GGGGGGGGTGAGGGGAAGTTAAATTTTTAAAGAATAGATGTAGCCGGAACGGTCACAGTTATATATAGAGGTCACATTAACTGACTATCTGAAGTTGATAATAATTTAGCTAATCTTGCAAGACAAAAAAACATTATTATTTCACCCTCTGAATCTTCTGCAACACATATTTCGTACTCATCGGTATAACGAAAATATGTAATTATAACAATGACTGACACTTAATATGTTACAAAATTTGAGTTCATTTTATTACTCGGATTATTAATTATTCATTTTATATATATATAACTATATATTAATGCACACACTTGTCTATAATATTAGCAAATATATGGGTTTAGTTAAACTAAACTCTAGAGATCTGTTTGCTTAGTTTATTCGCCAAAAACAAAATAAGCAGTTCCTTAAAGAACCATTATGAAATACCGAAATATATCATAACCAGTACGATATATTTTGGAAAAAAGAAAAAAGAATTAAAAATAAATGCGTAAACTTTAGAAAGAATTTGAACTCAACTCAAAATATAATCGTTTACGGACAACCTAATTTAATATCTTCAGTGGTATTAGAGAAGATTTGAAAGTATTTGAGATTTAAGATAGTATGGAATATAACTTAAGTGTTGAAGTTGTTCAATTTTCCTAATTGAGTAGTCAAATTAGCCTTCAATTTATCATTTTCTTCTCTCAATTTTTGATTTTCACGAAGAAACAATTGCTCGTTGTCTTGTAAGTATTGGATATAGTCCACTGCCTTGTCTAAGATTTTACTCTTGTTAACTTTAGCATTACATTTTACTCCGGAAATTAAATTAGATCTATTATCATTTATTAAGTTGCTGACTTCAAAAGCTGTATCATTAGCAGCAACCCACGGAATAATCTGTTGAAGTTTAGCGATTTTTGTATTAATATTAATTCTATACCTCTTTTCAATTTTGTTGTGTGCAACTTTTTGATCGTTAGTTAATTTTTTTCTATATTTTTTAGGGGCCCTAACCTTAGTAGTCTTTGCATTCGAAGTGTCAGTGGTAGATGTACTATTTGATATACCATTCGTATCTTGGAAAATGAAAGGTTGTGAATCTTCTATTTTAACTTTAACAGTGTTATTGTTTTCAATTGGTAACGATATTGGTTCTTCAACGCTGGAAACACTGTTATAGTTATTGAGTGTTATGTTTACATCTTCCTTTAAAGGATTGTGAAATATCCCTTGGCTAGCGATGTTATCCATATTAGTTATATAATGAGGGGAGTCTTCGATAGAAGTGGCTGAAGATGAAATAATAGTTTCTAACTGATCATACCATCCAGAGAGTGTTTCTAATGAAGTCGAAGTTTGGTTAGTTGGAGTAGCATTTAACAACCCGTTCGATACCATGTCATTGAGGGTATCAGTTTGTTTCATAGATGGTGTTTCAGCTATGTTGTCACTCCACATATCAGATGCAAATGGCATGTTGTTGTTACTTTGGAATGTTGCATTCCTGTTAAATGTATTATTATTGTGTACTTCCATTATATGTAATTTTTAAAGAATGTTATGTTATTAAAATGTATTTGTAGTATTGATTCTTATATAATTTAATAGATAATAGAAGGTAAAAAAGAAAATAGAACAGATAAATATTACAATTGATAAAATAGAAAAAATAAAATAACAAATAAAGGAAAGGTAGGTTAACTTATATAGTTTTTAAAATTGAACAATTCTAAATTCATTATTGAAATTGAAGTTGATAATAAAATATCCTTAGAAAGGTAAAACCTTGGCACTTTGAGTAACCAACATCTGCTACCAGATAGTCGTTAATTATGAAACTTTTTAAACTACATGAACAAAATCTAAGTTGTCTCTGGGTTGATAATAGTTTATAATATCCATATTATAATTATTTTAATAAAAAATGCGCAGTAACCTCTAAGTCACCGGAATAAATAAAGAAGTCCGCAAATTTGGTTGTAATGAATGTTAATTTAATTCTCAATAATACTTACAGAATACCTTCTGTGGACGAATCAATATCTTGCATATTTTTTTTCTTTTATGATTATTAGTAAATTAGTTAAGAGAAGTTATTAGAGTTGAATCTTTTTTGACTATTTCTGCCCCTCTTTGAATAAATAACTGATTATGATGCTATTTTAATGGCAAAATAAAACAAAATTGGAAACAATATACTGCATAACAGTAAGGCAAAGCAAGTTGACGTAATAAATTTCGCAGAAAAAACGAACACACAATCGTTTCTTTTCTTCAAAAAGAAACTGAAAATGTTGGGGACTTCTTTTACCTTGGCAGTGAAATCCCCTGACGGAAATTAAAATGGACTCCTTTTTTGATATACTTCCCTCATGAAGCACTATTCAAACAGTAGGTCACTTTTTCCTTGCACAACTAAAGGAATTAGAAATACATAGAAGAGGAAGGATGGGGTCCGTAAAAGGAAAAAGAAAACTAAAGGTCCCAGTGGGCTTGCATAGTATAGAAAAAACGAATTTACCAAAATGGAAAAAAGAAGGATGAAATAGAACAATTTTCTATTAGATTAGATGAAACAAAAACAAAATAAACAGAAAAAGCGCGCTGTGGGATTCTATTTTGATTTTATTTTGATTTTTCTAAGAAAACCCCATGCAGGGACAGATCCTTAACTAATGAAATTCCCCGTAAATCCCAAAATACACTTTCCAGAAAATATCCGCACCTGAGAAACTATTGGAAGGGAACAATAGACCGAGATCTATTTGAACTCTCTTCTACAAGGATATTGAGCACAGAAACCCCTGTGAAATTTTTGACTTTTTTGTCTTTTTGTTTTGGCTTTTCTACTTTTCTCCACATTTTTACATAAGTATTGTAAGTTTTCATCATCAATAACCTGAAGTGTACCTATATGGTAATCAATGCATGTAAGTGATTATGGTATTGTTATCGAGCCCATCTTATTTTTTACCGTAAACATGTTGTAGTACTAAAGGTATTGTTGTCCAAACATATATTGAAGAGCCCTAGTATGTTAATTTCACCAAAAAGGACAATAGATAATGAAAAAGAGAAAAAGAAAAAAATGAACAAAAAAACAGTACGACTGGACCAATACCGCGGTATAATAATACCCTTTGTATTGGTGTAAGATCAATGATATATTCAGATCAAGGTTTATTGATAACTAATAAAATCATTAGGCAAATAACGGTCTAATGTTTTCTGGTTGTCAGTTCAATAGCTATCTGATGGTTTCTATTGGTTGTTTGAGTTGTTTAGATAAGAAAAAGACAATACTATCAACAAAAACAACTCAAAGATGGCCAAAGGTGGCAACAATAAATTAACCAGACGTAAAATATAGATATATGTAGAAGACTAGATAAAAGAAAATAATATAAGAAAAAGAAATTAAAGTATAACCGGGTATACATACGTAAACAAACTTTAAAAGAAGAGTTAAATTTCTGGATTTATAGAAAACTCTAAAAACTGTATTTACATAATTCCCAAAAAAAAATAAGTAATTATTTGGTAAACAAAAAGGTGGTGATGAAAATATACCGAGGATCTTGCTAGATAAAAAAAAATGAATAGGTTCATTCTCACACTAGCAAAAATTCCTCATCATAATTATCCCCTCTTTTTCATCTTCGGTTATAGGTTCACGTTCTTTCACATTCTCTTATCTGTTGAATGTTTTATATCTCTAGTTCATTTTCTAGAGCAGCAAATTTCCGCAGCAAAAATACGAATATTTTTCTTTCACTGTACTTCTGTGTCGGTATCTGTTCGGTCATTTCTCTGCAAGAAAGTAGATTTACTGTTGCAACTCTAAAATTCAAAAATTTCAAAAATACATAGGTGTATATTTTAAGTTTTCCTTTTGGAAGAATAAAGTTCCTGAAAAGGGAGCAATATAATAAACCGTCGTTCAGACATTCTTTGGCAAAGTAACCCCCAGCTGAAAGGTTATTTATCTATGTAATTTATTTTTATTTGACTGAGTATAATGTCAGTATCTTCTGTGCATATCAGAAATTCCATGGAAGCGCTTTACGACATCAAATTAAGGTAGTTTTTCCCCTAATTTTAAAGACTAGACTGCTTAAAGTTTCTAATATTCAATATGTAGCAGATGGAGATTTTTTGAGGGTTTTACCCCTCTAATGAATTAACATTACAAACAACTATGAGAATTGATTCGTTATATCGGTCATGCTCAAACATTAGAATCTTGCCTTTTGGTGAGGCAGTTTTACATGGGATATAGAAAATAAAGGAAAATAGAATACAATAGAATAAATATGTTGAGTTTCTACACATGCAAGCAATACTACTTTCGTATATGTTTAGTCCCAAAATAGAAGAGATCGAATATTGGAGAATGAAAGTATGGAACAAAACAGAACACGATTGGCTCTTAGTAGCTAAGTTTTATTACGTTATGTATATGAAATACCTCTAATATTATTATTTTCTCTCCTTCTTATTAGAATACCACCTGAAATTAATCGGAAATAAACACATGTCAATCATATAAAGTTGTACATTTTCAACGAACTAACAACTTATAGCAAATAATTAAAAATACCTCCTTTTGTATATTCGGCAATCATATTTAATCTGGCTGGTCTATCAAGAGGGGGACAGCTGCAAAAAAATAACTATATACTTTGATTAGCGTTAATGTAATCATCTAATCCGGTTTAATATCAAGGCATATCTTTCAAACGGTATTGTCTGTTGAATATCCTTGGCAGAGTTAAATTTCTTTTTATTTTTATTTTTATTTTTCTGCAGTTCTTTCTTGGTATAACAGAAAATTCCACGGAGCGGTAACTTCAGATATATGAAGATACGGAAACCCCGAAATATATATTTTGGCTCGCACAAAATTGATAACAATACTTGACCAATAAAGAAGTATTTTGATCAGATAAGCAAGCATGTTTATTGGGAAGAGACTTTTTGTGCCCCCTTGTACTTAGTTATAATGGATAAACGTATGGCTAAATTTATTCATTAAGGTTTCAAAAAAATCATACGCAATGGTGACATAATCAGTGGTTTGTTTATTTTCATTTTAGTTTTTACTTCGGATTCTCTGTACATTTCATGAGAATATAGGAAATACAATAATTCAGCCGATTTTATTTATTTTTTAAAATATAGAAAAGTTTAATATTACTTAATCTTTTAAAGTTTTAATGTGTATATTACTACAACGAATGCACAAAACGTCAATCAGATGATTAGTAGGGCGTTTTTTTTAGCATTTCTAGCTAGCTAAGAGAAAGTGTTATCTATATTTTTCGGTAACCAGAGAGTATATTATACATATCTTTCTTTTAATTTAGTCTATTTTTAGTTTATCTCTTCACAGGTATGATATTCCCGCAAAACGCAAGTATCTATTAAATCTTTCTTTGTTTGGTACCAACAATGTTGAGTGCATATATTATCCGACCCCTCATTTCGTTTTCCTTATCTTACAGCCGATACCCGAAGATATCTCATAACAGAGCATCCATAATAACTTTATTAGTACTTTTACAGAAAGATCACTCATAGTATAGTTAATGCCACGTGTATCTTGGCATTTTTCTTTATTTGAGTCTTATTCTTTTCTAGGAAGTTCATTTCAATGCGATATTTTTGTTATTGTTGTTGTCTTCTGCATCTTTCAATTTCTTGTTTATGACTTCTTTAACTACTTGTTATTGAGTAACCCAGTGTTGTAATATCTTCCTATATTATTTCTTTTTGCATAAACAGATCACAACTAGTCTCATCAAATAATGTTATTGTTAACATGAATAAAGTTACAACGGAGACTCGTTTTTCAGATCAAATTCTCTCATTTCTCGTAAAATAACCTCAAATCGTTATTCACGCTATGAAATATATTCTTTAGTTATGAAACCGGAGACTTTGAATAAATCTGGACCATACTTATTGGATATATATTGTAAATAATGCTTCTACGTAAAGAGATATAATATATATTGAATGTGAGTCAAGAGAACAATATATGGAGAAGACTTGGCCCGTCATTAATATAATCAACCCTCTCCTCGAAGAAAATCAAATTCCATCCTAACTCTTGAAACGAGCTCACAAATAATAAACACATAAAAACTGTAATAACCAAAAAATGTCGTTAATTTCAAATATACATATATCTATATATTCTAATCATAATTTGTGTATAGTATTTAGGTACCCTCTAATAAGGACCTCTTTAAAGTATAAATTTACTTAGTGAAAGAAAAAATTGAATTGAATAATTTATTTTCAGTAAATTTAAACAGTAGAGACTTGTAGAGTGTTAGAGTGACCGGAACCAGACTTGAAACCTTGGACGGAGACGAAAGTGTCACCCTTCTTTAGGATGTTCATTTCTTCAGCCTTTTGGATACCGAATTGGACTCTAGCGTCAACATCTTCAGTCCAGTCAGAGTTAGCAGCCTTGGAGTAGACGAATGGGAAAACACCTCTGTTTAGGTGGGCCATTCTAGCAGCTCTTTCGTTTCTGGTAACCAAGATGATTGGACATTCTGGTCTGTACTTAGAGACAAGTCTTGGGGTAGTACCAGAGGTGGATAGAACAATGATAGCCTTAGCACCTTGTTCGAAAGTAGCAGCGACAGCAGAGGCGGCAACAGTTTCGGTGGTGGAGGTTGGCTTAGCAGTAGAGTTTCTCAAGTCATCGTACAATGGTAGATGAGCAATAGCTTGTTCAGCAATGACAGCGGTGTCAGCCATGGTGGTGACAGCGTTGATTGGGTAGTTACCCTTGGCGGTTTCACCAGACAACATGACACAGTCAGCACCATCTAGAATGGCGTTACCGACATCGGAGACTTCAGCTCTGGTTGGTCTTGGGTTGTAAGTCATAGATTCCAACATTTGGGTGGCACAGATAACTGGCTTACCAGCTAGGTTACACTTGGCAATCAATTTCTTTTGGACAGCTAGAACTTCTGGAGCTGGGATTTCAATACCTAAATCACCTCTGGCAACCATAACACCGTCAGTAACAGCTAGAATTTCGTCGAAGTTGTTAACACCTTGTTGGTTTTCAATCTTGACAATGATCTTGATGTCCTTACCGTCTTCACCTAGGACTTCTCTGATAGTTAGAACATCTTGAGCAGTTCTGATGAAAGAAGCGAAGATCATGTGAGCACCGTTCTTGACACCGAATCTCAAATCTTGCTTGTCCTTTTCGGATAGAGCTGGTAGATCGACATCGGTACCTGGTAAGTTAACACCCTTGTGAGAACAGATCTTACCGGCATTCAAGGACTTAACCTTCAAGTTTTGACCGTCAACAACTTCTAGGACTTCGAAAGACAACACACCGTCATCGACGTAGATGATCTTACCCTTGGAGATAACCTTGGTGATGTTCTTGTAGTCGACGAACATGACCTTGTCATCACAAGCCTTAGCGTACTTGTCATCAGTAGAGAAGATCATTTCGTGGTTTGGTGGAATTGGGTAGTCAACTTCGTTAACAGTGGTACCAGTTCTGATTTCTGGACCCTTGGTGTCCAAAGCGATGGCTAATGGTCTACCTGGGTATAGTTCTTCAGACTTTCTGGCGTTTTCAATGACAGATTGATGGTATTCGTAAGAACCGTGAGAGAAGTTCATTCTGACGATGTTCAAACCAGCCTTTCTTAGGTTGACTAAGACTTCTGGGTTGTTGGTCTTTGGACCAATGGTACCAATGATGGCAGTCTTTCTTAGTTGCTTACCGGCAACAACTTCTAGGTTGGTTAGTCTTTGGATTCTGGAGGACATTATTGTATTGATGAGATCAGATAGATGGTTCGGTTCTCTTAAGAAAAAGAAATGAAACAAAAATAATATAAAAGAGAAATAATATAAATAAGATATTAAAGATTAAAAGATAATAAAAAAATTTAAGTAAAGGAAAGAGAATATTAGTGAAACGGATTAAAATGATAATTGATTAAAGTATATATATCAAGAGTTAATGGATTCGAAATTGCGATGTTTTTGAATTGAAAAAAAAACGTATTTGAAAAATTTTCCAATATATCTCACACATTTCATCCAAAAGAACATTTCAACTAAAAAAAAACCTATTTACTGCGGTAGTAGTAGTTAATTATCACGTTAAACATTGCATACTTTAAACTAAAATCGTAAAAATTATCATCACCAAATATTCAGATAATTAATTATAATAACAATAATTTTATGATAATTCTATGATAAGTATTATAGTAATAGAGTGGTGGTATTAGTAGTAGCTTAGCTCTTTTGCATGGATTTGCTGTCTTTATTATTTTTCACGTCGTCAGATTAAATAATATATTTGGGTATCCAAAGGGTAATTATCCCCTGTCTAGGCCAGTTTCTGTGCAGAAATATGTGGACTTGTGCAAAATATGGGAATGCTTTTAATGGTTGTTTGACTGTAATTTTTGCTACAGGTTGTTGTATTTGCTAGGAAGGAACCCACGCGAGGCAAGTTGATTAGGTAAATAAGACGTTACGAAGAAACAACCTCAGAGAGGCGGCTGGAGACCCCAAGTTAGGATTCCAGTATCCTTTCTTAAACGCTTGTTTTTTGTAGTTTTTTTCCTAGTGCGACGGTTTGTGTGGTTGGCAGCATCTATTTAATTGCTTTTTCTTTTTATCCTCTCCGCCCCTTTTTTTCCTATAAATATTTTGTGGCCGCTATGGGCTCCACTACCATTGCAACACCCATGCCTCGCACTTCTAACACAAACTAATTCAGAGGAATCTTACGAACAACGCACGAGCCCTTTCAAAGACCATGATCATCCTTCACATTGTATGTGCCTGCAAAGAAAGCGAAAACGAAAAACGAAAAAAAAGGTTGTCGGAACAACATCCGATTTTATTCGTGTTTTTTTTGGAAAGTGGATGCCAGGGGGTGTGGGTGCAATTGGAAATACTAATAAAATCATCGCAGTTGCTAATTTGAATATTTTCAGAATGGCCAGAGAACAGAGAAATTTGCTTTTCATTATCACTATTAACGTCGAGGTGTATACAAAATTAACTAATTCATTGGTGTTGTTATAGGCATGTTAGATATAGATATATATATATGATGAATTAGGAAATTGGGGCGCCACTTGTTGTCTGCTGGTATTAATTCAAAGATGAGGATGACAGAAACAAAGATTATAAGGGTGTGTTCAAGTCCTTGAATCGTTATTATTAAATATATTCGATCTTGAATTATCCTATCTATATAACGTGTTTGTTTTATTGTGAATCCAAATCCTCGATAGAGTAATTGGGTGAGCTTATTGAATAACAAAATAATAAAAACTATAAGAACAATAGAACTTGTTAATGGTAATAAAATAAGTTATTAAAATGGAAACAACCTACTCTCCCTAGTGTTTATCAATTTGTACCCTGGGATCTTATTTTTATTTGTCTTCTTTATTGCGTATTTTGGAATATTCCTTTTTTGGCAATTTAGGCAAGTTATGGAAAGTTTTTAATTTTAGTATCAGTTTTAACAAATAACATATTTTTTAAAAAATAATTGAAGTAAACAAAAACCATAAAGTGACATCTTGCAAAGATTTCCCATTTCACTTTATGATGTATTCTATTTTTGTTATTACTATCAAATATATTTATTAAGGCCGTGTCTCAATAAATATTTCTTTTTATAATCACAAATATGTTAATAAGACATCTCAATGAATGTTGTATTTTATTAATTGAAAACAAAAAAAAAGATTACTTAACCTTAAGTACCTGTAAACTAATCGTAATCAATTTAGTTACTTTAAATGCTTCATTGTGAACATTAAAAATAATTAAAAGTTATACGGTGGGTGCTACATCACTTGGAACGATAACAAACGGCTGAACCATATGTTAAAATATTAAAAGACCGAAAAATTCTTGTCCCTTTGTACGTAACCGATATTTTCCAAAAATTGTGTTTTTGCTTTGGGGGTAACAGGACGAGGGGCAGCAAGACGAAGCAAGGGAAACTTTGACAAACATTAATGTGTGAGAGACAGAAGAGAGATATATAATAGTTAACATACCTATTTGACATGACAGGATTAATTATTATATAAAAAGTAATATGTATAATTTCAAATCAAAAAACAGACGAAGAAAGGACTATTAAGATCGTTATTTTGCTTTAAATTTAATTAAGCAGTGTTCCAGTTTATTCTACTTTTGGGAACAAATTTCATCGATATTACGAACATAATTTATATACTATTATTATAATGGGTTGGTTTTGGAGTGATGACCCTTCAAAAGGATTAAATAGACAAACCACCACAACTACAACAACAAAAGCACCTGCTAATATGTATGAAGGTGATATATCACTTTGTCCAGTGATGAATCCAAGTGGAAATACACCACCACCAACACCACCATCACAACTATCACAGTCGGCTCCTACTACAAGAATGGATGAAGGTGATATTTCTTTATGCCCTGTAATGAACCCCAGTGGAGAAGGAATAAAATCGGGGGAGAAAGGTGATAAAAATGCAATGAATCCATTGAATTATATCCCAAAGGATGTATCTGCTACTGTGAAACATCCAGATCAAGATATGCATTTAACTACAGAACGTACTATATCAACGATACCAAAGGGTAATGAGAATAGTAAATGGGAATATCCTTCTGCACAACAGATGTATAATGCAATGGTGAGAAAAGGGAAGATCGACTCTACTGATAAGGAGGAAGTCGATGAAACTGCCATCGAATCAATGGTTGAAGTTCATAATTTCTTAAATGAAAGTTGTTGGTATGAAGTATTAGATTGGGAAAAACAATATACTGAAGAGACCAATGTTCAACCAAAATTATTAAGATTTATGGGGAAACCGGGCGTTTTATCACCAAGAGCAAGATTACATTATTATATGAGTTATATATTTCCATCTCATTTTGCTAAAGAATTACCATTTGACAGACATGACTGGGTTATCTTAAGAGGTGACCCTAACTCTAAGGATTCTGAATATCCAGGTTATAGAAGAGTTAGATACGTGTTAGACTTTTACGGCGGTCCGGATGATCCCAATGGTTTCCCAACATTTAGTGTTGATGTAAGACCAGCTTTGGATAATATTGGTAACGCGAAGGACAGATTTGAACATTTGACTAAAAATGTTACCAACAAATATTTTGGAGAAAAGCCAAGCACAGAGAAGAAATGAAAACAACAACAACAACAACTGATAATTCGTTCCAAAGAAAGATTTACAGTATCCATTTATTTCCTTTTCTTTTATTTATTACGCCATCTTATGATCTGTATTTTATGAACTATATCTCACTAAACTAATATGAATATTATTCGACAAGAATTGAAAATAAAGAATAGACTAGTATGAATGTTCTGCTTAATCCATAATCTCTTGTAAATAAGAAAAAACCCCATCAGAACAAGCCACTTATGCATCTCTATATACTTGAATTAAGTCCAGATGTTAATATTGTAACGTATTTCATACACTTTCTTTATATACGTATATGCAATTATCAAGGCAGTAGAGGGAATTATAATATGTACTAAAACAATCATCACAACAATTAATACAAGGTAGATAGATCCCTTTATAGTAATTCTTCTAATTTAGAAATATTGATTATGTAAATCATAATTTGTGAAAATGTCGTACAAATATTGTAAAATTTTGAGCGATCCAACAAATGATGATCTCTCTTTCGTGGGATTTTTTCCTTTCGGCGATAATGGTTGGAAAAAGATTGTAAAAGGGAGAGTAAAAAAGATTCACATATTATTGGAGATTTCCACCTTTCATGACGAAAAGGGACAATAGGAGTAGATCTGTCCTATTTAAATGATTTACAAATGCTGTTTATATTTTTTTTTTGCAAATAAAATACATCAGGCAATTCCTATTATATGAAATGGATTTTCTATTATATCTTTTCAGAAGATATGGGATAATAATAAATTGGTAAGGTTCCAAAGAAAAAAAGTAACGAAATTTCAAATCTTCTTCGAGATGATGAAAAAAAATAGATAGCCATAGCCACGTTTTATCTTCTCTAATAGTACTACATATATATCGTTTCTAAAGCGAATACCTCCTCTCCTTGACAATCAAATAAGCAAGAAATATTAACAGTTAAGTTAAGTAAAATATATTATCTGATTATATAATCTCATATCCCCGAATTTGTTATAAAGTACTATCCCGGCAATTTATAAAAATATTGTCACTTCATAATAACATATATATTTGATTCGAACCAAAATAGTAATAATTAAAGGGAGATTATTATCATTATTGTTGTAGATCAAGTAATTTCAGGTTACGTTCCTTCCCAAAGAGGAATCATTACCGCGTTTGATCAAAAACTGATCCAAATGGTATACATACATACATGATTAAGAAATAATATAGATACCAAATTTTTCACTACTATGATTATTAAGATTTAAACCCGTTAAAATGAGTGATTGTAAAAGTTCAACATTTCAGGTCTCAAGAGGTGGGGTGTGCAATGTAATGCAAAGTAATTCACCACTACAAAGTTTTTTTTAATTACGAAACAAAATATATTTGTTAAATGCGATATATTGTAGTGTAACGTTTGGAAACACATAACTATATCAAATGTATTCCCTTAATTTTAAAAGCAAAGAATGCTTTACTGGGTCAGTTGTGAAACAAGCACCTCTTTTCTCTCTACACTATTAGATTGTATTACAGTGAAAAAATGTTTCAAAACGTTATACCCGGGATGGTTAATATGTCGAGCATTTTTTTTCTTCATTTTTAGGCACCGGTTTTGTCGTTTTGATTGGCGAAATGAAACTTCACGTAAAGAAAATATCAGAAAATCAACGCAGCGTTCAACAACTGACAAGAAGAAAAATGAAGTTTGAAGTAAAAGTAAAAACACACACATTCAACCGCACATTTAATGGTGTAATATTTCTATTACATACTACGTCTTATCTGAACTAATAGACTTTATCACTGTGGACGTTCTTTCTTAATCAGATAAGGCACCTGTTTGATTTACTTTAAGGGGAAGTGTGTTGCAAAAATACGAATAGAAAATATTTGGTAGGAATTAGAGCACCACAAATACAGAATATATAGAAACATGACAGTAAAAGGTTTGGACCATTTTGAACAAATTTCCTTTTACATTTTTTTACTCCATTTAGAAAAACTACCCTATGAGGAAATCTGCAAAAAAAAATAATCTAATAATAATAATAATAATAACGAGAGAAATCGTCATTATTGTATCCTTTTTACTTAGCACACAAGCAACAACTGAAGAAAATAAAATGAAATACCCACCACCTAAGAAATGTATATATTGAAGAGGACACCAATACCACAATTTAGGCTGGGCGTTTTTCTTATCTTTCGGTTCATTCTTAACTAATAATTTTTTTGTGAAGACGGTATAGCAGAGAAAGAGGCCGGGGGGTCGCATTCCCCGTGGGATGCTAAGACAAGAATAGAGTCAATTCTTTCTGTTTCAATAAAATATAAAGAAACACCGCAGCAATAATTGACATTTCTCTCAAACGACTTCATGTGTTACTCTGATTTTAATTATTTCAATTGTTCCACGGAGTTTGACAATACTGGTGTTTCTGTGTGCCATACAAACCTCAATGATCAGTAAAATAGAGTAGTAACCCTTTCCACAGAAACTTTAATTTTTATTTTATATTCTTCCAGGGGAAAATACTGCCAAATGTAAAAATAATACAGCACACAACTTAAAAAAAATATATCTTTGTTAAAGTGAAATAATGATTTACGAACCAGGATGGAGAAGTTTCATAGATATTTTTTAAATTCAATAACAATGCACGTAGTCCAATGATTTTTATTTTTTCAAGGCAAACTCAGCAATAAACGCCAAGTGATTTATAACGTAGTGGCAGACAAGTGCATATTATCTGAATATCTATGGAAGTCGAAAAGATAAATAAATAAATATATTCAATATACTGTTAATGTGACTGTACGGAATGGTAATGTCTCAAAGATAGGTATACAATATGTTTCCTACTATGGCAAAAACAATAGTGTATAGTATACACATTTACATACAACTTTAACTGTGTCAATATCTGGCAGAGTTAAAACAAACAGACAAACAAACCTGTTTGAACCTGTGCTTTATAGACATTACAATAATAATCATTAAAGGACAAGGAAAATCTATGTAACACATGTTTTATGCACGCACTTTCTCTTTCCTTGCAACTTCTCTTATTACAGGTCTCTTTGACCATTGGCACCCTCCTAGAGAGAAGAATAAAATATCTGTGTACGGATATATTTATTACAATATATATATACGGTCAACCAAAGCTAATAGCCATAATACCTGCACAGATATACTATTTGTCAAACTGCTCATTTGCTGGAAACTTAAGTCTGAAACTAGATATGTTGTTTGAAAATAGTTTGTATAACGTAAAACACTCAGTGTTCTGTATAGACAGTACTTCCTCTTGAATTTTTAGGATTTCATCTTGTGGTAGTACTTAGTGATGACACAAAATAATTTATGTACTTTTAGTATCACTTATATTTCGACAACATTCTTACTGGATGAGGGAATACGAGGGCCTTTGCATAGAGTTTTCTAAATTATTTTCAGGATTTACAAAGTAGTAAGGTAACAGGGTTTATCTTTTATTTACATTAAAAAACGACCACCATAATATGACCATGGCTACATACCTAAAATGGCAAATACTCATTGTTAATCCCAGTTTAATAGAAAAAAATGAAAAAACACACATACACATATATCACATACCTATATAATATATTTTGACGGAGATTTACTCTTTCATGAACTTTATCGGATAGGGATAATGATGAAGTTACTCTCCTATGTCAAAAACCAAAAAAAATATATAGACATTAATAATCACTTTTTAATGTAAAATAAGTAAAGAGAAAGAAAGAAGTTATTGTGGTTTTACTACAATTAAAGCTATGTCACTTTGATATATAACTATATCTGGAAATAGTCAGCCTCATGATAGGATTGAGTAAAAGCAAACGTTGTAAAGAACAAAAGGGTAATATGTACTAAGGAACATCAACTTATAATCTATAGAAGTAAATTTTTTGTTATTGCTGCAGAGAATAAGAATAAGAAATAATAGGTACTAAAGTTTTGTTATAGATACTACGGTATAGCATTCGTTCAAGTTCGAAGGGTTTTGCCATTGAAAAATTTATTTGTAATCAGTACATGGTAATTAATAATATTTCAAATCAAGTCTAACTAATTCACGACCAGCGAATATACATACAATACTTGACAACATAGAGAATTCATGATTAACTAGTGTTATTCCTCATACAATTTATAACCCTTAATGTACTGTATATTACTTTATAAAGTTGTCAGTATATTTAATTAGTAATAATAAAATAAAGTAAAAATGAATATAGAGCAATATGTGATAGATTTTTACCAAATATGGTAAGTTGAACTTATCGGGTGGTCCTCCAACAAAAATGAATAAATAAGAACAAACAGTGTGTTTTCTTCTGTGCCAGGTTTTGAGTGGGCATGATAATTTGTTCATTCAAATCAGTTGTTGTTAAAAGAAAATACCGCAGAACAAATTTTAATTTTAAAATTTTGGGATCTACAGAAAAAAAAAGAAAAAACTGCTAGAGAGCTACACACACAAAGAGGGAAACCTGGTTGTTATTTTCTTCAATTCAGTGAGCTATTCGTAGAACTAAATGATATTTTGCTGGTCAAGTTATCTTATCCACTGCATTCAGTGATATCCTCACACATACTAGAAAATATGCAGGTCACCCCATACAGTGAAGAATTGAAGGTAGCTTATATGAGGGTGGGTCGAAAAGAAGAGAGCAACCAAAAAAATAAGAAGGACGAATAAAAAAGTGGAAAATAATGAAACAATTTTTTTTTGTAAAGCGAAGAAGAGATAGTCCCGGTAAGTAGGCACAGATATATACAAAGAGAGAAAATAATATAGCACGTATGCCATTCCCTCGAGATCTGTTTTGATTAAATATTTTTTATTTTATTTTATTTTTCACTTGTTGCACTATTGAACAACTGAAGGAAATTTATTTTTATGAAGAGAAAGTACAATAAATAACTTTCATGGATTTCCCAGTTAAAGAAATCATAGTAGCCCAGCCCAATTTCTCTTTCATTTCTCTCTACCAAGATAATATTGATACAGATAAAAAAATAGGGGAAGGGAAAAACAGTATTAGCTGCTTAATTCGTTTCGAAGAGGTTCCGACTGTTACTTCCTCTTTTCTATTAATGAAATTAGCTTTTTACTTAATTCGGGATTGAAATTGACAGACGTTACTGATATCTTATTCTTATAATTATTATCATAATATTTTTTCTCTGAGAGCTTACCGTTTGAGAGGTAAAAAAAGAGCTTCGCAGTCTCTTCTCCCACTCTTTTTAATTCTTTTATTTTAATGATTTCCCTTCATTAATGGAAACCAAGAAAATATTGTTTTTCCCATTCCTGGAGATTAGTCAAAATGCAAAGAGTGTTATCATTTTTGTTTAGATAATATTATTATCTTTCTTACTTATTCATAGTTGAACTTTTTTTTTGTCCGTAAGACTACTTGCTGCATGACCGATTCTATGCAATAATTATACAGTAATTTTTAAATAAGAGAACTATCCGTCTATCTTTTTCCACCTATCGTCTATCTTCCCCCACCTGAATTCTTGCATTAGACTGTTCTTTTCTTATTACTGTCCGTATTCTTAAACTTTTCTTTTTGATTTCTGTTTAATTTCTTGTTTTTTTTTTACATTGCTACTGTTAATGGTTAATGTTAATCTTTTATTAAACAAATATTTTGATTTTCTTAGCTTTTCCATACTAAATGTAGAGTAAAAATTTCGTTGCTGCTGCTGTCGTGGACATCGTCCTGGTTGTCGTAGTCTATAGTACCGTCTAACAGTTGTTGCACTCGCCGCCGCCTTCTCTATTATTTTTTTTTTCAGGTCGACGCAATTTAAATTAAAATTTGAGTTTAATTTTTTTTTTTTTTTTGAAAAATTACATAGCCTATTTGGTAATAATATATGAATCCGACCACTGTAGAACTGACATGCATACTCAAATTATTAGTTCAGCAGAATTATTCATTTTAATATACACTTTAAAGATTATATTACCTTGAGGTTTGAATATATATATAAAGATCATATATATATAATGTTTATATACTTCAATTTTATACTCTTTTTAGATATTGCTTGATTTCAAAATAATATTTTTTATTGTTAACATTCAAATAAGATCATCGATCGGAAAGAAGAATTGTCAAAGTATTGAAATTAATTTCTATTCTTGATACTGTACATTTAGTTTTATTATTTTTGGGAAATATTAAACATAAAAATCAATCAGAATACGGTGTCTAAGTTAAGTACACACATATACATCCATTATTACAAGAAAGTCATTATTTCATTATTCATTACCGGAACTCATTTAACTTTTTTTTCCTATATTAGAAAGAACATACTATTGCATATCATCAGTTAAAATTATATTTTTAACATTATTTCTTTCAATAAATATACCAGATCATCACTATTTGCATATATTCACTTTATCTTCAAATAAAAGATTATAACCAAAAACACAAAAATATTTTAATCAATTAAAAGTATTTAACAGAATTATAATATTTTTTTTTCCATTTTTTATACCACTATTACTATTATTATTAACACAAGAAATTAATATTTCATTAAATTATTAATGCAATTGGTTCAAATTACACAATATTCCTAAAAAAAAAACGCTTATTTTTATTTGAAATCCACTTCCTTCTCTCTTCCCCTCTCAATTTCTCTCTTTCTTTTCTTTCTCTGTCAACAGTCTTTGTTTGCTATCAAAATTTTCTTACTCTCATTTTGCAACGTCACATTTTGATTCCTGCCTTCGTTTGTCTCTTCGATCTTATTAAATATTGCCCAACATGAATAACAACAATACTACTGCTTCAAATATCGTTAATTTACCATACCTAGCCTATGTTCGTAGAATGGTCTCTGCCAAGAAATCCGAAAATGTTAACTTAGTTCGTCGTGAATTACGCTCTCATCATAATTCAATGACCGAATATTCCATTGATCATTTCCATCATTTATTCAACTTGAATGCCGCTCAGGATAAATCTAATAATTTATCCAATTTTGAATTACAACCTCAAATCAATACCAAGATGCGTGCGTTGATCTTCGATTTTATCATGTATTCCCACACAAGATTGAATCTGTGTACTGCTACCTTATTCCTAACCTTTGACATCTTAGATCGTTATGCTTCAAAATTTATTGTGAAGTCTGGTAATTATCAACTATTAGCCCTAACAACCTTATGGTTAGCATCGAAATATTGGGATGCGAAACATCGCGTAGTTAATTTAACCACATTATGTCAGCTATGTTGCAATCAATATTCAAAACAGAATTTCAGAGATATGGAATTACATATCTTGAAATCTTTGAATTGGGATCTATTCCAGACTACAACTTATGATTCATTGATTGATATGCTACTATTCATGAAAAATAATGATATGGAAAACCCTTTTGAAGATCAAGATAGGTTTGCTGTGTCGTCAATTTTAAATTCTAATTTAAATATTAACGAGATTAAGCTTGGTGCTATTATTATCTGTGAACTTCTATCATTCGATATTAAGATTACTTCTACATATGATACTTACACTTTAACTAAAGCTGTAATCACATTACTGACTTTATCAATGAATTATCAATATTTTGATAAGTTTGAAAATTTAAACGATGTTTGTACTAACGATCAAGAAATGGTTAAGATAATAAACAAATTATTACAAATTTGCGCTTTTGATACTAATTTCCCATCAAGTTTCAAATTCAAACATTTTAACATGAAAAAAAATGATGATAATAACAATGAAAAAGCTTCCACTAATGAAAACAAACCTAGTACTGCTGAAAAGTTATTGCAACATTTGGCTAACTATAACCATAAGGTACAAGCCGATGAGTTTATTCGTTTGCAACAAATGGAAATGTTCAACGATCCGTTTTCTACAATGTTCAGTGATACAAACTCTTTCACAATATCTGATCACGACATTGATAATGACAATGATTTATCATCTACTGTCATGTCTACGCCTAGACCTGGATCTATTACACCAGTATCATCTGTATCATCTTCATCTAGTCCGTTAATGATATTACCACTAGGTAGTAAACCTTCATATATGGGTACTCCTATGCTTAACGCATTAGGTCAGAGTAGATCAAACTCCATTTCAACATTGGCTGGTATAGCACCATATCTAAGTAGACATCGTTCTATCCATGCTCCTATAACTCCGACAACACCTACTATGTTTAGGAAGCCAAGCATAAGGAAGTCAAGTACAGCCTCTAAAATGTCTGCTATTTATCCTATCCATCAAAGAAAAAGATCTTCGTCGAGTAATGATGTTCAATTTGAACAGTACGAAAACCACAATAAACGTTAAGACCCATGATCTTAGCCAGCATTCGTATATGGACTAGTTCTTTTTTCTTTTTTTTTATTTCGGTCACGACTTAACATAAATGATAGTTAGTTATATTTCTTCTAGATGAAGATAACTATCATTATCATACTAATGCATTCAAAAAAAAAAAAAATTACAACAAAAATTCATTCCAAAGGGAATTATTATAAGAGAATAGAGCAAAAAAATAAGAATTAATGACTATAAACCTACTTGCATTTCCATTTTTTTTCTACTTTTCCTTCTTTTTAATAACTTCTTTATAAAAATATACTTATGCAATTGGTCATATGTATGTATAACTTCTATATTCATTTAAAACATATTTTAAAAAAATAAAAACGTATATTCTAATTAACCATCTAATACGTGGTATGTATAAGATTTGTTATTGCAGTCTACTAGATCTACATAAACATACGTTTTGAAAATAAAAACCCAATACATCTGTTAAATTTCATTAATATTTTTTTTAATCTATTTTTTTTTTTTTTTGTTATGTATTTAAGAATTTAAACTAGCTATAAGCCCAGATATTTAGCGAATATTCACCATTCTCCCTTAACATGTCCTTCGCCACAATCCAATCGTCGTCTGATGCAAGTACAATGTAGTCACCGTCCTCATCCTGGTATTTAACTTTCGATACATTGTGATTTATCTTTTTCTGTATTGTATCCAAAACATTGGCAAACTTGGCATCAATATTAATCGATACATTAACAAATTCATCATTGAATGCGATTTTTAACACAAGTAAGTTTTCAGGAATATTACTATTTTTTTGTTCTGCATCAAAATTAGATACTCTACGCCTTTGTTTTGGTAACGTATCGGACATACGTTTAAAAGATAAACTACTGTTAGATGCTCTACTATCCTTTCTTTTATCACTGTGTGGCCTATCACCAGGGTTATTTGAACTTGTTGTAGATACAAATGAGTTTTCACTATGATTGCTCTTATACGATTCACTCTTAACACTGCGTACTAAAGATTGTAAACACGAACACCAATTATCTCTTGTCTCCTCATTTTTGAATTTCAGTAAGAAATTACCTTGTTCCTTTATAGATTCCCATGTAATATTCAATGATCTTGAATCCAGTGGAGTCACTTGATCCAAATTCATAATCATAATACGCCCTCTCAGATCCAATTTTGGCTCCGCGTTGTTTGTGCTAGTGTTAGAACCAAATATGCTACTACTATTACCGCTACTATTTCCCGATGATATATTAGAAAAGGAGTTATGATGATTAGACGATGTTAAGTTCAGAGTTAAACTTGATCCCGAGGAAGTTGGTTTCTTCTTTAATATCAAAGATGATTTCTTTGGTTGTATTTCAGAAAATAAAATAATGATTTTTTCAAATAAATATACTTCAAATTCACGTTCTGGTTCACTAGAGTTATTAGTAGAGATAAACACTTTATCATAATATAACAATTCGCCAAACTTAGCAATTCTATAACCTTTCCAGTTTGATACACGACCATATAATTTCTTAACAATCTCATGATTTTCAGTCCGTCTTTGATTTTCATTTATACTCATTGCAATTCTTTTTGATATATCTAATGCAATTTCCAATTCTTTCGAGATATTATCTGAACCGTTTGATTTTTCATCATGCGAATTACATGAAATCAATTCTTTCAATAACAATGGATAACGACAGAGTCTTTGTACAGGTTTATAAAGGAAAGATTGCAATTCCAACTTGTTCTTAATCACTAAATCTGAATCTTGGATTTTATCCAATGTATTTGCCAAGAAATCTATAGCGGCGTTCTGACCAATGGACCATGGTTCATATAATTTAAAAAAAAACTTAGAATGCATAAATAATGCACCAATTCTTTGTTTTTGTGGATCTACTAAAGCATTAATCTCTAATGATATTAAAAATCTTCTTTGAAAATCAATTACTTCTGTTAGATTTGGGAATAACATATATAGTTCCTCCGAAGTAATCAAATTGTTATCTAATAGTTGCTGTTTATACGTATCTAATGTTTCTAAATCATGTACGTATTTTCTCTCTGTAGCAATAAATTCTTTAATAACTTTATCATATTCTTCATGAGATTTAGATTTTTTTGCCCTTGATTTATGGTTTTGTTCTAAGTCTGCGTCTATCATTTGTTGGACTTTAACTGTGGATGGGAAAATTTCAGGAGCTGCGTTCATTAATGTAGTGACCACTTCCAATACTTTCACTAATTGATTGGTCGAATTTGCAAACACATCTGATATAGTGAACAATTCTTCATCATTGAAGGCAAAATGTTTCTTACAGCCTAAAATGAAATCGTAAATAGATTTCTTGCAAATCTTTAAATCATCAGATGAGACTACAGGTAATTTATATTGAGGTCTTACTGTATTAAACAAAATGCATAACGGTGAACCTTGTTGAAACAATTGCGCTAATTGGGTAACGGGATCACAATCCATAGAAATTGGTAAAATACCCATACTATATGTCAATTGAGTATCATCCATACTTACTGAATTGTGACCATTACTCGAATTATATGTTATACCATCCAATGTAAATTCGTCTTTGAAACTAATATTTGATATAGAACTAGATCTCATTGTTGTGGGTGTTGAATTCCCTGTACTTCCGATCATTCCAAATCCATCATTACTATAACTTGAAGAAATACTTCTATGACTATTATTCTTACTATGTACATTATTAGTCGTCACTGAGTTACCTGATTGAGATGATTGTTGTTCTAACAATTGTTGTTGTTGTTTTTGAGATAATAACAATGATTGTCTTTCACTCAATAATTCGCTTGAAGTATAAGCTAAATTCAAATATGGTTGTATTTGAGGTAATACTTCCAATCGTTTTTTGATATTCAAACACACGTAATATAACGAGTCACTTTCAGTGACTGCTGTATTCATGACATTACTCATCACTATATTAATTCCAGACTTCCCACTATCCACCAGGGATAACGACGGCCTCTTATTAGCTTGGACCACTACCATAGCCTAGTATATACCTATTTTTTCTAAAATAATGTAAACAACAAAATCAATATATGTTCACTTATATTCTTTACCGAATGTATATTTTGATTTACAATTTAAAATATCAAAATATCAAAATATCCAAAGTAAAATAATTTGGCGATGATTTACCACAAAAGATAAATAAAGGAATGGATTCTAGTTGAAAAGAAATACTGTACAATTGTAGTTAATGTCAATAATAAGCTAGAAGCACTTCTCGTCAGACAATTAATGATGTTCTATTAAACTTACAGTTTAGTTTATTAGTTCCGCTTCGAGCTTACATTGATATTTGTTATATATTTATATATAAATATATATTTAGCTATCAGAATAATCCATCAAAGCGTTGCTTGTCAGAGAGATGTGGCCAGCCAGTCGTCTCTCTGTTCAGTAAAGGACAATGGGAAAACACACAGAAAATATTGTAGGGAATCGACAGCCCCTCTCGCGGGTCGAACAGAAATTTTCAGTTCGTATATGATGATGAGCAGCTAGCAATAAACTATATATCGATGACAATGGGCAACCCCACTTTCTTCACCATTGTATCTTCAGTGACAATAACAATAGTGATATTGTTTTTAATACATTTATATACATCTATATAGTAGGGTATATTTCTCACTCGAGAGGAGGGAGAGAGAAGCAGGGGTGGGCTTCTCTACAAAAAACAGAGGGCTGTACTGTCTATTGGGACTTCTTACCCCAAATGGATTTTTGAGCTTTGTAGAATATCTTGTCTGCGACTGTACCCACTGCAAGGACACCCCCAATGGTAGTAATACAGTTCAAGAAGAACCCTGACCATGTCTGTGCATGTTGTTCCCTGTTGATGACCTTCAATGCTGACATTTCGTAGAAGATAAAGACACCAGGGGTACCACCACTAGCATGTACTGTAGTTGGGTGATCGTCGTCCCTACCTCCTCTGATAGGTCTTGAATGGAATGTAGCACTGAACTGGGTAGTCTCTACTGCTGGATATTTATCATTCAGGTATTCGTATCTTGTTGGAACAATCTTAGCAAAATACGAATATTGTAATAAATGAGCATCAGTACGATCTGATTTCACTTCACCACCGTCCAATGGATTAGTAGAGATTCCCGATAGATCTTCATCTTTACGTCTCAATTTCTCATGCGATTTATCTACAGGCCGGCCAAAACTCAAATGATGAATAATATGATTGAAATTCAATTCCCTATGGGAATCATATAACGAAGAGTCATGATTATGAGATATTCCTCTTCTTTCTATATCTTTAGTAATAAATGATTTCCCTGGTGCAAAATGGATATTACCTCTAATTCTACTTAACAAAGCACTCCCACGTACTCTACACCCTTCATTTAAATGATCATTCATATGTTTCACATAACCTTCTTCTTCACATTGGTCGATGTCAGCACCATCAAGGAATGCCCAACCAGCGTCCAAATAAGCTTGATGGACTTCATCACAACTTTGACAACAGACACGATGTTCTGGGGAGACCGCATCGTTAGCATTTTGAACTAGGGCACCATAACATGAACCACAATATTCGCTACCATGGTTCAACTTTGAAGTATCTGGTTTAAAATCAGTACCCATCTTATAATCCTCTGTGATGAGTTCTTTCCCATTTTGATCACACCTAGTCTTTATGAAACCTGAATCCAATATATCTAATTGTAATTCGCCAGATTCATCGACAATATCCAATGTTAATATATCACAAGAGACATCAGGAAACATAATATCAAAATTTAAAGACAATTTAGCATCACTATCTCTATCGACATATAATTGTGGTCGCGTTACTATTTCGGTCAATTGGGTCCATTCACGATATAGCAGCAATAATGTAGTCAGTATACAACCTATAGTGATGATACCACCAGTGCTGGTACGTACACGAACATCTTCTTCTGTCTTGGAAAACACATCCAACAAAAGAAATTTCGATCTTCTTGTACTCATATTTATCCTCCTATATGTATTTATATATATAAATATATATACACTTGATCAGAAAAAGATTACGAACTACTAAATCCAAACTTCAATAACTTCCCCAAACTATATTCTTCGTTGCATTTAATTATATGTTTACCTTGAAATGATTTGAATATTTTTTTTTTTCACTGATTTCGTTACAGACTTGAGCTGTAAACCAAATCTTTCGCCCGTACAGATAAGATATTTACTACACTCACACAGAAAGATGACAGCTCATCCAAAAATTGTGCGAAATTTACACTATAGGAGAGAAAGAGGGAACAACCTCGCGGCGGGACGGCGCGTTTGGCGAAAAACAAAAAGTGAGCTTTGGTGTCAGTCGTGAATAGTGATGGATATCGCTCACGTATTCACTAATTTTTCCTTTTTTTGCTAATTTCAACGTTTACAACGTTGAAATATATAATTATATTTTGAATTTATTTTCCCATTCATTAACAGTTAAAACAGTATACTTAAATATTTAGTAATTAATAAAGTACAAATCGATAAAACACTACAAGTTGTACATTGGATTCACATACACAGATTACTAAAGCAAAGTGATTTTCCCTTTATTATTATTTAGGTAACTCTTTCTCTTTATAGCCTCTCTGTGTCTCGCTCTTTTTAATTATTAGGATAAGAGCAGGCTTATTTAATTCAATTATATATATATATTATTAGAACACACTCACGAAGGGCAAAAAGAAGAAACAATGGACAGTAAAAAACAACTGGATCAATTGAAGGAGGCTAAACTCCTGGCAATGCATAATCATCCAGAACAGATGTTACCAAAAGTCCTTGAAACTACAGATACTCTTTTAGTCAATGCATTCAATAATAACGATAGCAATTCTACTACAGAATCATCGGAATGTATTGACTTGGCTAGATTCTTCTCTCAATTATTTTCTGATATATTAAATCACAAAGAGATTTCCACAAGTGAATTACCATTTATTGCTGCTAAACATATCGACACTTTATCAATGGTATGTCATAGATCTAAAGATCCCATTACATTACAGATTACTATTTTAACATTTTCAGGTATTTATCCATTATTAGTAGATTTAGTGGCAAAGACTTCAAATGATAAACTTTGGGATAAATTACAAAAATTTAAAAAATTTATTACAACAAAATGGAAAAGTTATACTGTTAATGGAGACTCCTCAAATGACGATTTAATCAATGACGCTAGACATATTGGTTGTAAACTTGCCATAGTTAAGTTCATCTCTCAATGTATAATTGTACAGACTAATCGACCACAGGATCTTGCACCACCATCATCATCATCGAGTATTCAAAATAACCCTCATGGGAATTATCTGTATACTATTAACTTGTCCTCTATACCTGATAATCATCCAGTGATTTCTAACAAATCGGGATTAGAGGCAGAATCTAAAGTATTGTTGGGCTTGTTAATAAGTTATTTGATAGATGAACCAATGATGATTAGTTCTGTTTTTATTGGGATTATTAATTGTTTGGCGTTTATAATGAAGGAAAGACCACAAACTATGACCAGAATCTTGACAGGGTTATTGAAATTTAATGTTGACGCAAAATATCAATTGGATAACATTTCTACGATTAATTATAAATTGTCTAAAAGATACGTCGAACGTTGTTATAAAAATTTTGTTCAATTTGGTACTAAGAATGATTTAATTAAGAATAATGGATCATCAGGTCCATTATGCAGTAAATTAACTAAAATATCCCAAACGTTACATATAATAGGTGAAGAATCAAAAAGTAAAGGTATCTTAAATTTTGATCAGAATCAAGTAGAAAACAAAATTCAAGCTCCAGAAAGGGAAAAGATAATGTCATATAGATCAAAGATTAAGCAGAAATATTTTGCCAATCGATCAATGAATGATAACAGTTCGAGTGGTGTTACTAGTAGTGGCAGCAGTGGCAGCAACAGCAGTGGAAGTATTAATAGTAATTCTACAAATTCTACAAATTCCGTAACACCTTTAGACAGTAATACCCTAACGTTACTCAAAAATTTACAACAATACACCATGTCGAAAAATAATATTACAAAATTTTTCAATACATCTCCTGTAGCTACTAACAATTCATATGGATCTGTTTTTTCATTAATGAATAGTGGAGATTCACAACAAGATTTGTCTCAATACCCCCAGGAAATACTAGCCAAATTAGCCACTGAAGCTATATTTAGGGCATCAACAACCAACTTAATATCAGGTTTATCCGTTGTAGCCTCTAGGTACACGGATCTAATGTCAAAAACAACTAATAATTCAACTGGAAACAATGATAATAAACGTAAGTTGGATAATGATGAAATCACTAATGGGCATGACATGAAAAGACCTAAGACAGAGGATGATATAAACAATAACATCAAGACAGAAAAATTTCCCTCTGATGATAACGAATTAGAAGTCGATGAATTAGATGAGAATGTTAATGGTGATTTTGATATTGTCAAGTTTCTCGGCAAGCCACAACCTATCTCTGATGATCATAAATTAGAGATGGCTAAAAGAATTATTAAAAAAATTATGAACATAAAAGATAATACATTTTCACCACAGTTGACATCTTCAAAATTAGAATCACCTCTAGAAAAAGTTAAGCTATTAGATTGGAATAATAAAGAATCTTGGTATCATATACTTATAAGACTCGCTACAAGAGGTACTACAGATTCCCCCGAGATCAGTGATTTAATCCGTTCAGAATTATTATCCTACATATTGACAGATTTTCAAAGTACGATTTCAATTGTGATCGAATGGTTAAATGAAGAATGGTACAGCACATACATATTAAAATTAGGTGATCCTGATGTAAACAATTACACCAAATGGTCATTAAAAGTATTAGAAGATCTAGTTCCATTCATGGAGAACCAGCATCGTCGTATATTCATCAGACTGATGAGTGAACTTCCAAGACTAGAACAAGCACACTTCGACAAGACAAAATCTATATTGCTAGATCCAGGTAGAAGTGCGCTCGGTTTTCAAACTTTAAAATTCTTAATCATGTTTAGAGCTCCCGTGAAGAACTCCATCAAAAATTTGTTAGAACAAGTTATGCAAGATGACCCGTCGTTGCAAGAACAGGTACAGCCCATCCTAGATAAATACTATACATCATCTACATAATATTCGTTATATGTAAAACGTCTCTGTATCAATTCAAAATGTCACAACTTTGAACAAAACAATCGTCCTGTTATTGTTTTATTTTGACTCTGGCTAATTGCCAACCAGATCAAAATTTCATCTTGTTCTTTTTTTGACCCTGGTGATAACGGCACAGATAACGTGCTGTTTTTGGCCATAATAAAATGTGAGATAACGAACGATGCGAAAAGGTCCGTTGGGATATGTGAGGTGCACAACTGGGAAGTGATTCAATTCTAGGTTTAAGGAAGAGAAAACGGAACAACGGTAAGTTGATTTCTCTTTCAGATGATGTCGTTAGAATATATAAAGAAGGTGTTTGCAATTGTTTATATTTACTGATTATTACATTTTAGAATATTCTTTGTAATTTTGTTCAACCCCCCTTAACTTCAAAAAACAACAACCAGTTCTATCTTCTATATTCCCCAGTTTCTCTACCTTGATTAAAAGAGATTTCTCAATAAGCAGTATAAAATGTTATCTACCTCTACCATTGCCAAATCTTTGACTAGAACAGTTCCTCGTGTCTTTTCAAATACCTCTAAAGCTCCATCTCTACGCTTATTTTTAAGATGCCAATCTACTTCTCATGGTAACAATAATTTAAACAAGAACGAACTACCATTTAAATTCAGTCCCGCCGGTCCAAAATTGGTTAAATATTCTAAGGACCATGAATGGCTAGCAATGCATGCTGATGGTACCACTTTCTTAGGTATCACAGACTATGCCGCTGCTGCTTTAGGTGATGCCACTTACATCGAATTACCTGAAGCTGATACAGAAGTCGATGCTTCTGATTCAATTGGTTCTGTTGAATCTGTGAAATCTGCCTCCGAAGTTTATGTTCCAGTAAGTGGTACTGTTGTAGAAGGTAATACTGACTTAGAAAGTAGTCCGCAATTGATTAACTCCGATCCGATGGGTAAAGGTTGGATTGCTAAGTTAAAAGTCGATGAAGCTACAAACAAAGAAATTTTGGATAAATTGTTTACGTTAGAGCAATACGAACAGTTTTTAAAGAGTGATGAATAGATAAATATATACAAATATTCAGTTTCCTGTCCATCTTACCGAAATATATTTACATGATATTTTATCTGCTACCACCTCTTCCATGTTTTGCATGAATGTAGTCTCAATAAAAGAATATATATATATACAATTTTATATAATCATTATATAACTAGTATTTATTCAAAAGTGAACTCCCATAACACGAACTTGTACAATCAAAACTAACGTTTATCGGATTCCGACGTAGTCTTAGTACTTAATTGTACTGCATGTATATCGTATTTCTTCATATCGTGACTCAACATTTTGTAGATCATTCGATGACGATTAGGTAGATTTAACCCAGAGAATTCATCACTAATGATCTCTAATCTAATATGAGACTCTGTTTTATTACTTGAATTACCAATCCCATCATGGCCTTCATGTTTGTATGAATCGTTGTATATCGATAAATTGACTAATCCTGGCATTGATTTGGTAATAGTATCCCTTACTGAACAGAGTACTGGCCCATCAATCCGTTTATTCAAGGGAATATCATCGTTTATTTTCATATCTTGACTCATTATCTTTTTACTTGTAAAACTAAATCCTCTGGAGACAATTTTGGTAGATATAGGGCTCTTAGCCAATCTTAACATCACAAAACAATACTCAACAGGATCTATATTACAAACTACGTACCCAGCAAAGAACCCACTTGATAATGATTTAATATCTCGAATTCGTATGATTATATTGGAATGGGGTATATTTTAACTATCGAAACGTAGATTGCAGTTAAAAATTGAATTTGAGCATGTGATAATAGTGCGGGTAATTCCACAAATTTTCTGCTTATGGGAGGTAAAAATTATGGGAATGAAGAAAAAATTATTTCCAAGAAATTTCCTTACCAACTTCATATTTAAGAAACACAACAGAGATAAAGTGGCAAACTGTTTTGTTATATTACAATAGAAGGAAACGATAAGGTAAACAGCTATACGTCAAAGTTACAACTTTTAACTACAATGTCTGAACCTATAGAAAACACTGGCAATCCATTGGAGAACGTCCCTGAGGTGCCTGCCGAATCTCTATCAACTGATATGGAAGTACAACCAACCCCTGAACAAACTCTTAACGAGACAAATAATGCAAATCAATCGGTAACTACTATGGAAAAGGAGACCTCCAATGATAACCCTGAAAGTGATCATGATAGTGAAACCGAAAATCTATATAATGATGGTGCAGATGCAGCAAAAGAAGAAAAGAATGAAAATATCCCAGAAAGCAATGAAATTACAAAAGAAATTGATGAAGAAACTGAAAATGCTAATAAAGATAGCAACAATGGGGCTACTGCTGATAATGACGAAGACAACGACGACGACGATGACGATGATGACGACGATGAGGATTCGGAGTCTAGTGAAAGTGAAGAATCTTCATCAGATGAAAGCGAGACCTCAAAGGTTGAAAATGAAGAAGAAGAGAAAACTGGTACAAATCAGGAACCAGAGTCTGCAGAATCTAAAGAAGTTTCTACCGCAGAGACCTCAACCTCTGAAAAAACAGATACATCTCTCTTAGAGAGACAAATGGAGTACATGAAAGAGAGTCGTTTGTTAGATGATGAGAATTTCAAACAGTTACCAGATCAAGGAAAGGCTTTTACAATTTTGAAATTGTTAAGTACTAATCCTGCTACAAAGATTCCAAATAGTGACTCTATTCTGAACATATCTTCAATTAGTATCCCACAAGCTCCGACTGGAACTGGTCCAATGCAATCCAACTTTCAACCTCAACGAGACAATGTTGCATTAGGTAGAACTGATTTGAATGAACCTATGAATGCTAAGGAACGTGAACTTTACAATATTTACTTAGAAGGTGAAAACAAGATTACTGAAATGCATAATATCCCACCTAAATCAAGATTATTTATTGGTAACTTACCATTAAAGAATGTTACCAAAGAGGATCTATTTAGAATTTTCCATCCTTATGGACACATTCTTCAAATTAACATCAAGAATGCATTCGGTTTCATTCAGTATGACAACCATCAAAGTGTGGTGGATGCAATCAAGGTTGAATCGGAACAAATCAATTTTGGAAAGAAACTGATCCTTGAAGTTTCAAGCTCCAACGCACGTCCTCAATTTGATCATGGTGACCACGGTGCAAACAATAGTTCCACTTTCATATCCACATCAAAGAGACCTTTCGATAATGACGAATATGGATCTACCGATAACTATAGAGAAAATGCTAGTAACTCAAAGAGAACCAAACGTAGAGTCCCAGAGTGTTTGATCTTTGTTAGAAGAACTGCAGACAGATCGTATGCAACCGAAATCTTTAATAGTATTAAAAATGGTACTGGCTTAGAAACTGATATGATGTTCTTAAAGCCACGCATGGAGCTATGGAAATTAGTTAATGATGCTGCTTTTGATGGTACTTGGGGTGTAATTTTAGTTAATAAAACGCACGACGTCGATATTCAAACATTTTATAAAGGACCACAAGGGGAAACTAAATTCGACGAATATGTCGGTGTTTCAGCTCAAGATGCCGTTGGGATATTCAACAACCTAAAGACTTCAAGAAAGAATGGTAGCAGAATGCAAGGCCCAATTAACAGTAGTTCATTTGGTTATGAACAACCTCCAATGGGCATGCCACCTGCTCAACAACAACAAGGGTACTATGGTAACTATAACATGCCACCTCCACAACAAGGATATGGCATGCCACCACCTCCTCAAAATTATGGTATGCCTCCTCCACAACAAGGATATGGTATACCTCCTCCTCCCCAAATGGGTCAAGGTTATGGTCGTTACCAAAACAATCAAAATTACAACAACTACCAAAACATGCCTCCTCCTCCCCAAAACCACCCACTTCCAATGCAACAGAACAATCAATTATCAGCTCTATTGGGTGCTAACCCAGGTCAAATGGATCAACAACAGCTACTTGGTGCTTTGCAAAATTTACCTCCGAATGTTATTGCGAATTTATTGGCAACTGCTCAACAACAACAGCAACAACAACCGAATCAACAACAACAATTGCTTGGATTGCTACAATCTGCACAACAGCAACAGCAACAACCATCGAGATATAGTCAGAATACTGGAATTCAAAATCAACAGATGGGTACTAACGACTATAATCAAGACCGCCATTCTAATATGAATTCAAGACAAGATAATCCGCATCAACAGCCTCCGCAGGACCCAAACGCAGGTGGTAACAATGTTCAAAACTTATTGGATAGTTTGGCCAAGTTACAAAAATAATGATCCCTGAAGTCAATAATGCAATTTCATGAAGTTGTATCTTGCAATAATGGCTAATGGTACTAATATGTGGATTGGATAAAATCTTAATTTAAACAAATCATTTTGGTATTATTACTGCCTTAATACAAACTATCAGGACAATCAAATTAATGTCGATTGACAAACCACTCCTTTATGAATGTTAATTAACCTTTATAACACAACATCTTTTCTTTTGGTAAAAATCTTTCCGTCGCGTTCTTTGAAAATAATTGATTCTCTTGTTATGATTTATTTCATGGTCTCTTAATTAACCAATTGATGTGGATACTACAAATTTATAATATAAAATATACAAATTACAAAATACAAACCCCATCTTATTCTTATTTTAGGGATTCTTATTCATCATTCTTCCGAATTCTCTCTCTTCTGCGACCAAGTCCTTATTCTATTGAACTTCATACTTTCCCACAAATCGAACGATATCTGGGAAGATTTATTCTTAATAATTGTGAATTATCTGCTACACATATATAGCGTACATATCAATCAATCTTCGATTACTGTATGATAATTGTTATGGTTTGACTTAACATTATTAAGTCGATCTTCTAGAAATTTAGTTATAAATATTTAATTTTTAGGAATATATCTACAAAAGCTCGTTATGTCGACATATTTTTTTCTTAATCTAGAAGTTCACTTCTAGTAAAATTTACATCATCAAACCCTTAGGTTTTACCCCATTAGAAAGTTGTTAGGGAGGGTGATCAACAAATATATAAACTCAACTATATGGCAAGAAGCAGATAGTGTCATATTTAAGTACTGTGAAGAATAACCCCCATCTTCTTCCCTATATTTGATATCCCAAACATTATGTGTATCCAATATGCAACTAAATCTATTGAATATGGAAAAAAGAAATGTTCAATTTTGTTGCAAAATGAAAATGGTCCCTGTGCACTTATAGCATTAGTTAATGTACTTCTCCTAGAAACCCAATTTGAAAATGAAACTGAGGATCTAAAGACTTTAGTGAAAGATTCAAAAAAGGTACAGCAACATGAATTATTGGAAGTCATTGCATCTATTGCACTACATATCACAAAAAGCAAAACTAAACATGACTATATAGATACTAGCATTTCAAAGGAAGAATCTGATATGTCTAAATTGTTAACTTTGTTGCCAAATTTAAATACAGGTTTAAACGTCAACCCTATCTTCGATGGAACGTTCGAGGATTCAGCGGAACTTTCACTTTTTAGATTATTTGGTGTACGTTTGGTACATGGATGGATAATAGGAAATGGTCAAGATGAGAACAGTGAGCTCTATAAACTATCTTATGATGAGGCTCTTAATATGTATGCACATGCAGACGAAATATCGAACAATAAAGGATATCAGGACAATGTAAATGAAACTTGTATATTCGAAAAATCTGACAAATTAAAGTCTTTTCTTAATGATTCGTCAACACAATTAACTTCTGACGGTATTTGTCATCTACAAAAGATACTCCCGAACAACACCCTAAGTGTACTGTTTAGAAATGATCATTTTGCAACACTACTAAAGAGGGATGATATATTATATACTTTAGTTACTGATTTAGGGTATAAGATGCAGTCTACTATTATTTGGGAGTCACTAATATCAACTGATAGTTCTTTAAATGATTTTTATGATAGTGATTTCATGGAGAATTTACCAATCCACGAAGATATATTAACTGGGAAAGAAATAATCAGTGATAATAATGAAATGACATCTATTGATAGGAAAATGGCCTTACAATTACAGGAAGAGGAAGACAGAAAAATGGCAAAATCGATGAGTAAGATTGTTGATCAGAAACATGTCCAGCTAAAAACGAAACAAACAAACAAACAACATCATAAAAAGACCCTTAATAGTGAACGCAAAAAAAAAATGTCTTCACAGCCAAAATCACAAAATATATCTCCATCTCAGAATAGTAGCACCAGCTCAAAAAGAAAATCTAACAGTACCTGTGTGATTATGTGATCTTTAACTTCTATAAAGATATTTTTGGAAATTGATCAAAGTTGTATTACTTTATCGGCTTATATTTCAGACAATATAAAAGAGATTTCAACAATGAAAAAACATCCAATTTGGGTTGAACTGTCTTAATCATTTTGCTTATTTAAGTTATATATTTATATCTGTAGTGATATGAACCCTACAAATTAAGCAATAGTTCTGTATCTCTCAATATATGATTTTAATAACATTTAGAACAGATTTGAAACAGAAGTAAAACGCAGTGGGAGTCGTGTTCCAGTTAATTTTTTTTATTTAATAATCTTGTTTATTATATATATGTATGTCATAAAAATTAAAATTTAATTCCAATAATAATACACTTTTTCATATGTTGATTAAGAATTTCTAAATATTATGACTACTGTCCAAGGATTATTAGTAAACATGACAGAAAATAAACAATCGAGTAACGAACTAGAAAATAATAAAACATTAAGTTCTAGCGCACTGAGTGATAATGTAACTTCTGTGGATACTAAAAATATTCATAACTGTGGTTATACTGATAAAAAAAAAAATCACCTGAAATCGATGGGTCAAAGGAATAAAAAACATCCAATTAAGAAGAAAAGGCTGAGCACGATGCACGGATTAAAAGATCATAAGGGACCTTCGAAGATTAAGAAGGGTGAGATATTAGAGCGAAAATATAATAACTTAGTCCTTAATAACAAACGGTTCACTTTCATTGATGGTATTTTAACAGGTGTGCTTATAGGTAGCATTGGCGCTACCCTTTTAGGTGCCCCATAATTTCATGTATGGAAAAATAGAAATATATAGTGCTTTTTCTATAACTAACGTTTAATTAATGAATAATTCACAAAATACTTTTCATTTTGAGCTACTATCATATCTTTGGTTATTATTAAATTTTTTCTTCTGAACTCTACCATATGGTTGTGAGTTCTTAAATTTTCTTTTAAAGTTAGTTGGTCCACTCCCGAATAGTTTCTCCTTTTCTGCTGCAGTTAATTCATACTTTAACAAGTTAGCATCCCCAAGTTCTTGAATGAATTGCAAAATTTTATCATTTTCAGTTGCCATTTCCCTTTGAGCAACCTTTAGGTTAAGATTGGCTTTTGGATCATAACGATGAACTTGGGATTCTATACTTTGAATGAACTTTTTTTGTTTACTGGCTTCTTTCAATACACTTGTATTTTTTAGATCGTTTTCTTTGACACCCATTGCTTTCATATGTTCCTCTTTATTGTTTGATATTTTTAGTAACCACATCTTTCTTCTTTCTTCCTTCCATTTTGTAATCTCTTCATCTGTATCTAATTTTATTGAGGTGCCTGGAATATTGATATTACTTTTACTTGTTAAAGATTGTGAGTGGTCATCGTTATCATCGTCATCGTCATCATTTTGAGAAGTTAATCTCAATGACCCTGGAAATGTATCCCCTTTTGATATTAAAGTCTCTTTTGCCATATTTTTGAGATTATTTAATTTCTCAACCTTGGAATCATCATTTAAACTTGAGGACGCACACGTAGAGTCAGGAATTGGTGGAACGGTCACTTTAGGACCATCAGATTCACCATTATTGTTGTGATTTATATTATTCTGCTGTTTATGTTGTAATTTTTTCTTGTTGTTTTTCTTTTTTATATTAGTTGGTACAACTGGTGCTATGTCTTCATAACTAACGATCTCCTTACTAGATTCGTCTTTACTATTAACATTATAAGTATTGGGGTTATTATATATCATTGCGTTCCTCGTATCATTATAAGACCATGATGTGCCATGATTGTTATATTGAGAAGCATAGGCATCATTATTGAACTGATTGTTAATTAAATGTTGCGGAAGTTGGTTATATAATATACCCTGATTATCGACGTTATGGTAATTGTTATAGTTGTTATTATAGCCCTGAAATTCCGATGGGTAACCATTCTGTTGTTGGTATGGTATGGAGCTAAATTGTGCTTGTGTAATGTAAGAGTTTCTTTCATTAGGTTGTGGGCGTTCTTCGGGTCTTCCGGTACCTAGTACTCCGGAAAATGTTGGTCTAGGTACGTTATTAGAGTATTCATGTTGATTCGTGTTACTACTATCATTTCCATAATTCATTCTTACTATAGGCTTGTTTATCGTTTCATGAGGTTCTATATGAAGGACCATGTTAACTAAGTCGATATCATCATTTTAAATTATCCTGAATCTGTTTTCATTTAAAACACAGGTAATCAAAATTTTCCGATGCCCTCAGTTGCCGTCCTTTAATATTCAAATTCTACATAAAAAATATGAATTTTTCAGTAAAAATAACTGATGCTATTAATATTATTAGATGTTACACTATATAAAATTGATCGTGTATAGTTTTTCCGTACTATTCTACTTTGAACAAAAATTATATGTGTTCAGAAATTACTACGTATATGCTTCATTGCTCCAGATCTCTACAAATAATAAGCAGATGGATTTTGTATGGTTACTCAAATATGTCCTTCGCCGTTGATATCTGTGTAGGTCCAAATTCGTCTTGCTCATCTCTAGAATTTTTATGTTCAGTTTTCATATATTTTCTTTTCTCCCTTTGTAGGATACTCCTTTGATCTTCTTGCTTGTTAGTTTCTCTATCCTCCTCATCACTCATTCCATCCATCTTTCTTTTCCCCCAACCAACTGTGGTGTCACTTCGTTCAGGAGGAACTAACTTATTTATATTGTCCACTCCTGTAGGTAAATTAAAGTTGCTATCAACATGGACATTTGAGTTTGTATTGCGGTCTCTTGATGTAACGCTCGATATATCATTTGAATTATCCCTAATAAATAATCTTCTGGGACTTAATCTTAAACCTATATTTTCAGCGTCATTTTCCTCAGTTTCATTCGTTAGCGACTTCTTGAGAGGACTTAACCTAGTATTTCTGATTACCATATTATTAGACTGAAGAACCGTAGCATCTCTCAATGGCTTCAATAAAGATAATTGTTCTTCATTAGAATCATGTCTACGTCCAGGTGTAGTTCTCTTTGGTGGTGAGACATAGTCCGTTTCAGGCGCTGTCTCACCATGGGTGTACACACTTTGGGGTCCTGATGAGTTCCTATTACCATCTGTAACTTCTACTAGCTCAATTTTCACGCCTGCTTTTGACATTTCCATCATAATAGGATCCCCTGGAAGACAAAACCAAATGCTTATAATATTAGATGAAGTACCTCTTAAATTATTCCAGACATTACCCATACTCACAAAATTTTTGAAATCCTTCGCTTTGAATACAAGTCGTTTAAAAGAAGGTTTGTTGTCCGTTTGTCTTATTCCCTTTTGACCTTCAACAGTGAATAGACAAAATAGATCTAAGTCACTCAAGACAAATATATTTGATACTCTCATAGCTTTTTTTAGTATACCACCACTTCTGTCAGTAATAGATTTAGTAAATGCCGTTAGTGACATAGTCTTTGATCCAATTTTTAGTTCCATTTCATCAGTTACGTTAACATTACAATTTTCGACAAAATTTCTAATGAGACCATGATTACAACTGATGAAGTTGATCTCGTCATCTTCTGTAAGTTCATTTTCGGTTTTTTCATTTGAATATAATTCTTCATTGAATAGTGACGTTGACAGTTCATGTTCGGCAGATTGAAATATTTCGATTAAATCAGGGTCCATTCTTCCATCAGGTTTCTCTGGTGTAGCACTTGATCCAAAAGCATTGACAAATTTTCTCTTATATTTCAAATTAATCACAATAGGATCATACTTAATAGGTTCGAAATGAACCGAATATTCTTTCGATATTAAGGAATCTAATTCAACATGCACAAGCAATTGATTAATTAATGTCTCTGGGCAGGTAGCTGTATTATTAATAGCTATTGTGAAACGAGTGACGCTACCACTTTCAGGTTTCTTGCACATCATGGCAAGAAGTTTGGCATTGATTTTAAAGGAATACAGTTTATGATCATTCCCTTGAGAATCAGTTATAATTTGTAAACCACTATCACCAAATGTGATTTCATATGGTTTAAATTCCATTATTTCAAAAAATGATTTCTCAAATCGTATTTGACATAGTGTAGTGAAAGTGTGGTTAACAGCCCATAAAATTATTTCTTGCTCGGTGATTGTTATTCTGATCCTCTCATCTACCGATGACAAAATATGAACTGCACGAGACCAGACATTATGTTTTTCGGATTCGTCAATGATCAATTTAAATGACATTTTATTCAATTAGTTTGATATAAAATAAGTCATTCTATTAAGTTAGTTTGGTGCTTTAACTTTCTTTTAATTGCTAAGAAAAAAATACACCAAATAATACAAAAATTATAATACAAAAATTATAATGTAAAAAATTACTATGTATGGCGTTTCCGCGAAATGAATTTGTACAGGGAAGAATATGACTTTTCTGTTTTGGCAAATAAAACAAAGTTCATAATATTAATTGTATTAATGATTATAGATGAATTATGAAATACAAATTATGTTCTTAATCGTGCTTCGATTTTTCATTTGTATAAGGGAAAGCATTTTCCTCTATAATTGGAGAATTGATTTCTTGATTTCCTTCATTTGAAGTATGCTCTTTTTTCTTTTTTTTTAGCATACCATCTTCCTTTGATTTTGATTTGGACTTAGACTTCTTCTTTTTCTTCTTTTTGATAACAACAACTTCTTCACCTTCAGAGTTATTAAGATTATCCTCCTTTATAATTTGTTCTTCGAATTTCGATCTTAATTTTTCTAATTCTTGGTCCTCATCTGAATCATTCTTATTCTGTTCTGCGAAATCAAAGTCCTCTAATTTAGTATGAGTTCTCAAACTAATTTTGTTTGAACTGGGGAGACTAGATGGAGACGTTGAGTTTATATTTTTATTATAAGTACTGATATTGGAAACACCTGGGATCACTATTGTTTGATCTGCTAGTACTTTAACCTTCTTGGTCTTCTTCTTCTTCTTTTTATGTTTCGCCTTGACGGCTTCATGTGAAATTTCATCTTTATTGCTATTTATTTTTATAATATCAATAGCGTTTGGAGTTTTTTCCCTTTGGTCATTGTCAGTAGCTAAAATATCATTCAAATTATCGTGATTTCCATTTCCTATTGATTGGTCTAAATAAAATGGATTTGATAAAGCTTCCTTTCTTCTCTCTTCCTTATATGTTTCATCGTCAAAATCGTTATAAGTATCTTTAAACTTATCGGTTTCGTTGTCATCACTACTTCTATCTTCATACTCAGAAACAGGTGGGTAATGATAATTATCACTAGCCAAAGAAAATCTATCAGAATCATATATATCCACATCCTCTTCAGCTAAGGTTTCTTGGTCGGCTAATACGTTGTCCAATTCTTCTTTTGTTAGGAAAGGCATATCAATGTCAAAATCAATACCCTTTGGTAATTGTTTTTGAGTTCCCAGTGATATTGGTGTCAACTCATAGCTGTTGAAAAAACTAGGCAGAACTTCGGCTAATAAAAGTGGGATCTCATCTGATTGTTCTTCTAAAGCCTCAAGACTTAATTTTAAAATTTCAGACATTTGGACACTTATTTCCTGAACTTCAAACGATTTTGAATAATTGGTTTGGGCTAAAAATGCAACTAGTTCTTTTAAAACATCTTTAACGTAATTGGCTTGATCTTTATTTCTGGTACACCACGAACTGAATAATTTTACTAAAGCAACAATAAGTGAATCTTGAGTCAAATATTGCATATGTAAACCCTTCTTGATAAATAGTTTTATTAGAGCATCACCATTTTCTACGTACGTCGCATATTCACCTAACGACCATATACAACTTTCCAATATTGTTGGTAATCTGATCTCAATCGAATCTAAGGATGTGACTTTTATTATATTCACTATTGTCGTATGTCTGATATCTGGAACTCTGACCATTAGATTCCTTAATTGATTACCAATTTTTGAACCTAAGTCATTTTCACTTAAGTCTAATGAAATCACAGCAAGATCATACAACACCGCATTATACCATTCAAAATCATCCACATTTAAATAATTATTCATTCCGCAGATATTCAGAATAACATTAACAATTTTGATTTTATAGTTATCCGGTATTATAATTGGTATCTCTTTTGAGTTACCCCTGCTGGTTTCGATAATTGCAACTTCGTCTCCCATAAATTGCTTCATCAACGTAGATACTATTAATTTCAGATTATCTTCTGAAACAATACCTTCCAGTAACTCAATAGCTTTTAATCTGATTGATATATCAATATCACTTATCAATTTCATAATCAATTCATCGTATTGAGATATAAAAATTGTGTTAATTTTACCAATTTTGTAAAATAAGACACAACTGATATATCTTAAATTAGAGTCTTGGGAATTGCAAAATTTACTTAAAATCTCTAGGCATTGGAATGCAACATCGTAATCAGATTCATCAAGCATATTCCCTGAAATAATACAGTTCACAGATTCATAAAGTACGGAAGCGGCGTTAGTTGAATCCATTAATTCTACTATCTTTGGTAATAATCTTCCCTTCAATTTTGGTTCAATTTTGGATAAATTACTAAATAATTTTAATAACCTGATAATTATCCAGTTATCATTAATATCGATTAGTATTTCATACAATAATGGCGATAATTTGATGAAAGGGGTAGGGTTTTTCTTAGATAATTCACATATTACGCTTATGGTTGCTGATACCACTGATTTATCAGTATCTTCCAATTTTGAAGTAAAATTATCAAAATTACTCTGTAAAGCTTCAGGGTATTCCAGGAATACCTTATACAAAGCAGTGATAGTCTTCTTCCTGATATATGGTTTCGAACTATTCAGCATTAAAAATAGATCGTCCACGATATCCTTTGCTAGTTCTGGAGTAACAATTGTAGATAATCCACTCAATGCAATCCCTACTTTGAAGACGTCGTTGCTATTACCATATTTGAGATCCTTCTTCAATAGGTTTGTAGCTAACATCAGGACATCAGCATCCTTATGAAATGATTGTGATGCTGCCAAATACCCGACTCGTTTTTGTTGTAATTTATTACTACTCATAACTTCTAAAATATGGAAGTTACACCATGACATATCATAGCCATACATTTCCAAGTACGTAAGCTTTAAAACAGCATTTGTTTTCAGTTCAATATTCGATGAATTGGCCTCTTGTCTGCATTCCGACAATTGCCCTTCTAGAAATAATTCGAGTTGTTCTGGTGTATCATTATGTGATCGTATTCCTCTTATCAAATCTTTCAATGACTTCTCGAAAAAGAATCCAAATGGACGAAGTCTTTGCATTACTTCATCTGCACTAGGCGCATATAACGATGTCATTGCTGATGGTTTGCTTTAGTTGCCCTAGATGTACGGATTCTCTTAAGTAAACTTTCAAGTATTTACTCTTTATATGAACTGTTAAAATATAGATATTAACTATTTCAATCTCTAAACTGCAAACCCTTTATCAAAAGTGTCAATACCACCTCCTTCTGTAAATTTGATCAATTTTTCTTTTCGATATTTTTATTGCCGAGCAGAATGTTGAAAAGGCTTTAGCAAAGGAAAAGTCAACTGATTAATGGGTCACTGATGTAGATATTCAGTAGGCGTTCGATGCTAGGTCTATTGCTGTTAAAGTATCCATATGCTTTATTTATCTGGTGCTTGTCAATTAATTTCATATTACATTACTATACTACTTAGAAAAACAATTATAATTGTAAGTAGACAGCCCTGAGTATATAATTATTATCTTTTCATCAGTATTATTAAACTTGTAGAACCTTGCACATTTCGTAATATGTGTAAAGGTATGCAATCATTACGTAAATAAATATTTAATCGGAATTAACCAACTCTCCAAACTTCTAAGCCCATTATATGAAACTTTTCTCCTTCTTTACTCAACGGTTCATTACCATATGTATCACAGGAATATGATACACCACGCAACAGGCTTCCGTCGCACCATAGACCATAACGACCATTACCAGCTCCCATTGATAAAAATTCAGATGTACAATATACAGCAAATTCATTAACACCAGTGTATGGATACCCTAGAAACTGCCATTTTCTATTGTCTTCTGTTTCATGTTTATCTACTTTATTCGTTTCCTCATTATTTTTAATCACCAAATCAGGAACTTTTTCCAATTTCCATAAGAAACATTCACCATTACCATAATAACGTTTATGTTCATGTGGTAACCAAGGTTCGTTCGAATATGCTCCGAATATACCATTCTGGCGATCTTTGATAACAATGACATACCCGATTCTTCTATTGACATCATCATCGGGGGTTACATTTGCATATAACGAATGTAATGAGGCCCCGTGTTGTTCCAGACTATATAATAATGTCCATTCATTGTATAACTGTATTCTTGGGGGCATTAACATTCGTATTTCATCACACATTCCGACTGTTAATAAACGGTTTTTGGTGGTAGGGAGGTATCCGACCAGGTTTACCTCCGGTAGCGTATCTAGATCTTCTTCATAATTTTCCCACTTGTTGCTGAGAAGTATATCAGATTCTGTCTTTGTATGGGAGAGTTTGCTGCCATTCTTCGTTGAAGCTTGCGACTCACTGGTGTTCGAGGGGAGCGAATCCTCGGTGGCCGTCAGTGACCTCCCAAGTTTATATAATGCATCTTTAACGTCAAACATTCAGAATCAGTAAAGCGTTCGTATCAATTGATGTGAGGATTGAACATATAGTTATGTTCCGATGTATTATCGTTGGTTGTCTTTATGGTTGATGTATGTCTATGTCCTTCTCCACACTAATATATATATGTACGTATATTTTTCTTTTTCTTCTGAAGTTGTATTATTATACAATCAATTAATATCGCTAAGGGTAAAATTCCGAGATGTGAACTAAATATCCATCAAACAAGGAAGGGAAACGAGAAAATTTTAGTCTTTACAATGACCATTTGTTAGGAAATATAAAATTATTGAGTTGGTATGTTGTCTAATGCATTAATTAGATATATATATAAATGGTATGGAATATGTATATGTACAAAAAGGATGTAGAATGAGGATGATTGTACCCTACTTCTTCGAAGTAATAAATTCGTCAATCTGTATGATTTCGCCGTTGTTTTCAGATGTGTTCTCAAAGCTATCATCATGCATATATTCGACAGGACTATTACTTTCGGAATTGTAAGATTCATTGTCGTGTATATCCTCTACTTCGCCATCATCCTCCAGAGAATTAAACTCCTTGACACCCTTGAATTTCCAGTACAAAACAGTGTATATGAAATAACCCACAAGCACAACAGAAACGTAGTTCATGTTGTCCTTTGTGACTGGTAGTACAGGAGGGAAGGAAAAGAAGACAATAGCAAAAATAGTCCAGCCTATTAACACAATGTTACACATCAAACCGAATTTTCCTAACCAGAATGGACCATGTGGAATGTTACGTTTTTTCTTTAGTAAACATATAACTGGGATAATATATGATAGTAATAAGAATGAAATACACCCAGTGATTAAAGAGTTAAATGCAGTAGATGAAGCTAAGTATAATAGACCAATGATGGCTATCCAAGCACAGGACATTAAATGAGCGTACAATGGAACACCAACAGTTGGATTGACTTGAGACCACAAGTGAGAATATGGCAAGCCTTTATCTCTTGCAAACGACCAACATAATCTCGCTTGCCATGTGTGGCATGCAATCACGCAACCGAAAGATGTGAAAAGAACCAGGCAACCAAGGAAAATGGCACCACCTTTGTTATTTAAAGCTTGGTTGTAGATATCCAGGATTGGAGCACCGGTGTGAGAGTTTAAAAGAGCATCCAAGTCGTGCAATGAAAAGAACATCGAGATCACATAACAGAATGATGTTATGAACCCAATACAAACAGTACCAATAATAGCTGTTGGGATAACTTTCTCTGGGTTTTCAACTTCAAAGGCCATATGTGTAGCACAATCCAAACATGAGAAGGACCATGCTGGGTTAATCAAACCCATAATAAATGCGATAACACTATTCTTCCAACCAGTTTCATTATAGAATGTGGCAAATACAAATTTAGCATCGTTATATTTACCTGAAGAACAAGCTAAGACAGTCACGGTGATTGTGAAAAATGATAATAATGATATGTATAAGGAACTTGAAGAGATCAATGGTAATGATTTACCATAGCAATTAAATACCATTAGGAAAGCATGTAAGATTTCAAAGCATACAAAAATATGCCATCTTTGGGGAATGAAATCCGGATGAGTTAAAGCATACATACCGACTACTTCAGTTGCAACTGATAAAGTAGTAGATGCACTTGTAAAGACTGAGCCTGCATATGCAAAGGAACCACATAAGTATGCGGCAAATCTCTTATGTTTCTTTGGAGCTAATTTCAAAGTCCAATAAAATTGACCACCTGCATGTGGATAAGCAGAAGATAGTTCACCTAGAGAGACACCCACACATATAGAGATAGCTGCGATGATCATAATACCGTAGACAATCATCATTGGACCACCGGATGGGATACCTGTGATCATGGATGCAGAGATACCAAACCAGGAGTTTGTTAGACCAAAACCTACCCCGAGAATCGACCACAAGGAGAAAGATTTTCTTAGGTGAACTTCTTCAGTAGGCTGCTGATTTGTATCTTTTTTGTCTTCATCGTTTAATGATGAGTTTAAAGTAAGGTGAGAATGCCTTTGATGTAAATCCTGTGATGTGGTGGATAGTACATCACCTTTCATATCGATATCTAGCATTTTTTATAAAATACGTTTTTTACACGAAGGTAAATGAAATATATGAAGTTATGATAGTATTAGTTCTCTATTAATGTATTAATAATAAAAAGATGATGAAGTAAAATATATGGATAGTTCAAAAACAAAAAAGGTAAAACAGAAATGTGCAACTTGTGACTCTGGTTATCTTAATAAAACAAAAAAAACGTCTACTTTATATATATGTAGCAAACTTTGAATAGTTCTAAATTCGGTATCCAATTGTTTTCGCTGTGATATAAATTAATTTAAGTTTCAATAAAAATAATCCTCTATGAATGATTCGTGACATCTAATCATTAAAATTAGTAGAATCATATGCTTCCTCTCTTTCCATCAAAGTATTATAATTTCAAATTCTAGTTTGTGTGTGTATTTTTTCGTTAATCTATTTTCTTGCTCCATGACTTTCTCTTCTCTTCCGCGTAATACGAATAAAATCCGAAATGTTGAATTTTTCCTCTTCTTTTTCTTCTTTGCGCAGTGTGATCTCTGTTCATTCCATGTGAAAATTAGGTTAGCTGCCTGATTCGCTGTTTCGTTAAATGTTAATTTAATTGGTGATGAGGAGCGGGAGATAAATATCTATTAGTTTAAACATTTCAACGATATTGTTAGAGTTCGTGATAGTTCTTTTTTCTGCTCAAATTTATGTATGATTATAGGGATTGCCAAATTAGGAATAGTTAACCGAGGTCAAGTTTATGTGTTATCAGCTCGATGATTTCAGCTGTTGTTGCTATTGGAAGCTAGATGTTTTGGATCTTGACACGTAGTGATCATATTTCAATATATTTCCTGTAATATTATCATATTTTTTATTTTCAAATGTTGCGGTCACGAAAATAACTCGAATCAAACCAATATATGTAAATGCATGTCTTTGTAGCGGACAGCCTATATATTTTTATTTTCATTTCTTGCAATTGCGTGAGAGAGGATGTTTCTTTGTATATACCAGTATAATTTTTAGACCGATAAGAACAGGAATGTATGGCGGTATCAATTGTCGATATTACTATGTGAAGTGACCATTCTATAAAAAAAATAAAAAAATGGAAAAAATAAGAAAAATGGGAAAAAATGAGAAATGTTAGCCTTATGCGAATGAAATATTCTTATAGTTGTATTTACATTTTTAACAGATGAGATAAATATAAAGTTGAAGTATCATCGATTTAATGGTTGTTTTATTTGTTTTTGAACATTTATAAGCAAAGAAACAACCTTTAATAACAGGAATGGCTGAAGCAGCAGTAGGGACCCGTCAAGTATTTGATTATAATCATTCTAGTGATGTGGAATATAAACAATTGAGAGAACAAGCTCAAAGACATTTTAAAACACATAAACAATTAAGTGCAGAATCACAACAAGCCTATAAGAATGGGGATAAAGGTAGAGCAAAACAACTAAGTGATAAATCACATCAGGAACATCGTCAATTTCAGCAACTTAACAATCGTGCGGCTGAATTTGTCTTTGTTGAAAATAATAAAGACTCTATGTCAAATGAGATAGATTTGCATGGTCTTTATGTTAGTGAAGCAGAATATGTTGTGAAAAAAAGACTCATATATGGTAATAGTCATGGCGAACAAGATATTCGTATTATTGTTGGGAAAGGTAAGCATAGTAGTGGCGGTGTTGCAAAGATCAAACCTGCCGTGGAAGGTCTTTGCCAGGAGGCAAATTTTCAATGGGGGATGGATTCAAAGAATGATGGTGTAATTGTGGTTAATGCACAAAATGGGAATATCCCTAATCAATGGCATAAAGACGTTGAATCTGTTGATTCTACTATTAATCAACCGTCGACTTATCAACCAGCACAACAAATGCAATATGCACCACAACAGCAACAAACGAATGCTAATAATAATAATAATAACAATAACAATAACAATGATGTATTCAGCAGTATATTAAAACTGCTATGCATTTGCATTCAAAAAAACATGTAAAACCAAATCACAATATATATATATATATATATATATATATATGATTTTAACAATTGTATAATATCAATATCAACATCACTGTTACTAATATAAATGATATAAATTCATTGTCTTTTGTTTTGTCTTCCTCTGGCAATGAATCGACTAATTTGTTCAATAATTCTAAATCTTTAACATTATTATCAAATAAATATAACATATCCCACAGTTGTGGTATGATATCAGGTGTATAACTTAACAAAAACTGTGACTTATATTGTTCTAAAAATCCTGTGCATTGTTGAAGATTTATGAGTTCCCCTTGGAGTACGTCTGACGATGCCATTGGGTGGTACAATTTGAAAACTTGATCAGGTAACCAAAACATTAAAATTTGGAACTACTATGGAAAATTTCCACAACAACTCTGATATACTTATAAATGATCTGTTTAGTTCTTATATATACAAACTAATCACAACGTTCTGAATGAAGAAATACCCGCCCAGGGCACGTGACAAACACTCGTCTCCGCAACTCCGGACGCCCGTGAACCCACGTGACCACCAGCTCCATAAATTTAAAAGTGCGGCTGACAGCACCACCACTGCCCCCTCCCCCCTTCCCCCTCCCTGCAAAAAACAATTCCAACGACGTTTCTATTCATAACGAAAGAAAGCAATTGCTGCATTGTCACTATTCACCGAATTACTCCTGCATCAACGGCAACCATAAAAGAAAGAAAGTAATAAACTTTATCTCCGAACCGCTTTCCCCCACAAATTTTTGTGTCAATCTGATAGGTCCAGGGGGAGCAGAATTAATCAATAATAGTAATAATAGTAATGGTGGTCATCGATAAGTAGAATAATTACAGTTACAATACTGTTAAAACAACTAAAGAATATTTATAGAGAAGAGGAGAAATGAGTAACTGAAAATTTGAAGCTTAATGGTGCCATGACTATTTTATGAGATGGAAGAGTGGAGAATATCTCCACATATATAACTAGTTTAATTTTAATTTTTATATTAAACAGTACATACATTCACCACAAAATAGTATTTATATATATATATAAATATAAAGACTAGGGGTGATATATTTTTAATATATTTAACGAATTTCGTGACCTTGTTTGACACGTAATATATTATACAAATACATTAATTCTACCTATACGTACACAAATTTTATACTGAGATATGGGTATACCTTTAGATTTATATACTAATGAACATTGTACTGTTCTTGAAGCAAAAAAATATTCGAAATTAGAGCCCATAGATGATTATTCTAAACAAAGATTATATGATTGGCTACTATTAGCCTCCGCAAATAGCAATAGAATCGTTACTTCAAATGATTATATTAGTAATCATGATCTTTTAAATGATCCCACAAACGATTTTCACCATGGGAATTCTAAGATCGATCCAAGGGAAAGTTTAGTGATACAACATTTAAATTATAGAACTTCACGTTTTAAACAATGTAATAATTTAACTACTTTGGTTTATGATACAGAATGGTTACAACCAGTACATATAATAACAAACGATAACTCTAATAATAACAATAATATTATAATACGTTCAATTGATTTAATTGGTGACATCAAACAATTATATAAACTGGTTTCACCAATTATTGACATATATGGTTGGGTTCAAAAATGTAATTCACAATTATTTATTACATTAATATTACAAAATAATACCCTTATCATAATGTCTTATGATTTATTAAATTTTCAATTATTACAAGATAATTGCTCATACTTTAATATAACATCAAACATTGGGAATCAAATAACAAAGGTTTTCATTGAATTTTTACCAAATTATTTACCTATTGTCACCGATAATAAATTTGTAATTTATAATTTCAATCAAGATTACTTTCATTTATTAGAGATTCCACATGAATTAATAAATTCAAAATATGATTATTTTATTAATTTCCCACAATTATTAATTTCAAATGATAATAACTGTATATGGCAAATTAGTAATATTTTAGAGACAAATCATTGTGATATTAAAAAATTCGATTTAGCACCAATATTAAGAGATGGTGAAACTTTAGATAAAATGTTAATAACAGATTTACATAGATTCACTACAGAGACAAATCAAAGAATTATTACAATTAATACAATAATTTCAGAATATATTGATTTTAAAGTCATTTTGACTAAAAATTCTAAATCTACAATGACATTACATTCCAATGATTTAAAAAAAATGATACTAATCGAGAAAAATCTCTACAGCTTATCATTATCTATCCTTAATTGGTTTCAACATACTGAACAATATGTCCTGGATAGTTATAACGATTTACAAAGTAATCTATTGTCAAGTGCTGAACAGTTACCCATTAGTAACAACACCAATAACACCAATAATGCAAGAGATATTCATTATGCTCATTATAATGACGAGTATAATACTATCACGTTATACCATTCTAACCCCATGATCATCGACACATTCGTCATAATGCCATAAACAGACGCATAACAAATACATATTTACATTCTTCATCTTTGCATGCTTATATTTATTAACCTATAATATTTTTGATAGTCAACTTCTAGTTTACCAACTGCATATTCCGATATTCGGAAAACATTCTATCTATAATTTACGTATTATTCAGCAAAAACAAATATAATTTTACTACATTTTTCCTCAATTAATATGTATAGAAACTACAACTAAAACTATATCTAATTATATGTATTTTGTATACTTTTTCTTATAAATTCAAAGCATAAAAAAAAGAGATCTACACTTTCCAAAGAAACGACTGCACAACCTCAAAAAGAAATAAACAGTTTCCCTTTGCTTCCACGGCAATTTCTTGGCAGACTTCAAAAAAAGGACAACTTACGAAAACAATTTACTGCTTACTCATCCGTAAATTAAAATTTTCCTCTCTTTATTTTCAGTTTCAAGGCAATAAATAATGAGCCAATAATATAATCCCTGCAATGATAGAATAGGCATAAATATCATCACAGGTTTTTTTTTACTTGATATCCAATTATTGACATGTTCTCAACTGTTTAGGCAAAAGGTAAAAGATGAGCAGCACGTCACTATTGAAGACGTTTTTATATAAAAGAAACTTATTCCATCTTACCTGGTATCATTGACATATAGATTCTCTTGTCGCGACAAACTAAACAAATATCAGTATCAATAATAATCTATTACTTACATTGGTATAATTGCCCATTCAAATACTAATAATTATATTTTTGCTCATTTATTTAAGGTCAAAAAAAAGAAAAGAAAAGAAGACACTACCCAATTTTTCAAAAGAGGCAAAATAAAAAATACAACATAAATAAAACGAAATGATAGAGATAAATTCTAACATTCCTTATGATTTCGTAACGAGTGTACTACATAATACACCACCTCCTCATCACGATCGTAGATCTAGCAAGACAGAAAGACCACATAGCAATAGTAGTATTTTACAAAATTTTACAAAAATGGAACCAATACAGAAGAGTTCACAAAATGAACCAAAGAAATGTAAGAATCCTCCAAAACAACGTATAAAGAGAGAAAAATTATTTACAACTCCAGATAAATTATCGAATTTTTTAAATCATGATTCAAATAAATTAATCCATTTAGAACCAGTACCAATATTCAATGATAAATCTGAAATTAAACCATGGTTGCAAAAAATTTTCTTCCCTCAAGGTATTGACTTAGTTATTGAAAGATCTGACAAGAGTAAGATTATATTTAAATGTAAAGCAGTAACGCGTCCCACAAACGAAATGGACAACATAAGTGATAATAATAATAGTAATAACAATAACAATAACAACAGCGACGATATAACAACTCATGAAAACCATAGAACCCCTATTATTACTACAAATTGTCCATTCCGTATACGGGCATCCTATTCCTTAAAATTAAAGAAATGGAATATAGTGATAGTAAATAATACACATTCGCATCAATGTGTATTCAATCCAGATTCTGATGAGTACAAGAAATTTAAGAATCATTTAATCGCTGAGAATGATACAGACACAATAAAAGAATTTGAAGAATTAGAATATAAGACTAAATTCAAATTACCAATACTACCCAAAGTGATCTCATGTGATTGTGGTCTAACCAGTGAAGTAAATTGGTTCGATGTTATGATTCCAGAACCTAAAATATCGGGAACCAAAAAGGTCACTAAAAAGACCAATATAAATAGTGGTATTTCTGCGACAACTACTGTTACCAATACTTGCAGTAATAGTAGTACTACATTGAATAACATGAACGGAAATATGAAATACGAGAATATCTCAAATTTCTTAGATTTAAACGACCCAAACATTAATATAATAAACTCGAAGACCGTTACACCTCCAGGTAATATTACAAACTTAGATGAAATTGATTTTACAAACATGTTTGCTACACAGAAGAACGTACCTCAATTTAAGAAGGAACCTACGACTAAATCTTTGTTCAGTAAACAACAACAAATGTCTGCCTTAGATGCCTTTAATTTTAACAAAATTATTACCACACCTTCAAATGATAATTTATTGAATTACTCGATAGATTTTAATTCACTGTCACAAGATTTCACCGATCCAGATTTGAATATGATCTTGAACTCCACAGATGATGGAATTAACACCTTTACTGAAAATGGACCCGAGTCCACCACTGCCACCACGTTAGATACCCTTATGGAGCCAACTGATCTTCCTTATATGGACTTTGACGCAAAGGATGATTTAAATATGGATTTGAATTATGGATTTGATATGGCTCCTAAGGGTCTTCATAATCAGGTGAAGGCCGAGCCAGAGGACCTGACTAACGAATTTACTTTTGACTCTATGATGTAACAATAAACAGGGTGATGAGCGAGTGATAATATTATTTATTTATTAATTTTTTTTAATGTATTTATATACTCTTAATGAAAGATACACTTACATATATTGCTCTTTTCTTTTTTGGATGATGCTATAAATACCATTATATGAATTCGCTAAATTGGGGAGAACGACTTCCTATTCAAAAGATAAATGAGGTGTGGTAATTAAGAATAATGTGGAGTATTTATATATAAACACGTGTTTATATATTTTCTTAATCTCATTACATATATCATTAAATAAGAATATATGGATGTCGTCCTGATTATAAATCCATACCTGCCTTCCGAGAAATTATAAAAAGAATTTGAAAGGAAGCATGAAAATGAAGGAAGTAAAAATATGAATATCCTAAAAAGTTTTAAATATTTGTGATTTTCATAATTCGTTTTGATTTCAAAAATTAGAAATCTGTAAAATATTCACCATATGGATCTTCTGCTTGAATACCATAATCCAGATTATCTTCTGGATATTGATCAAATAAGGAAGTATCACCAACACCAGATGTAATTGGAGGTTCATAAGGTGTCTCAATATCTTTATTCAACAATTTCTCCCATACTACTTCACTAAACCACGGGTGAGACTTAATATCTTCTGAACCACTTTGTAAATTACCAATTCTTCTTGTTAAATCGGCAGTAATTAATTTAGACAATAAATCTACCACATCAGGGTGGAAAAATGATGGATATACGACATTACCATGTAAAATCTTTTCATATGTTTTCATTGGTGTAGAATCATAAAAAGGTGTATAACCTGCTAACATTTCGAAAATTAAAATCCCTAAAGACCACCAATCTACAGATTTATTATAAGGTTTTGTTGCAATCACTTCAGGTGCAATATAATCAGGAGTACCACAAAGAGTCCAAGTGACAGTTTCTACCTCCTTAGCAAATCCAAAATCTGTAATCTTAATATGACCATTCCTATCTAATAAAATATTTTCAGGTTTCAAATCCCTATAAATAATATTATGAAAATGTAAATATTCCAATGCTAAAGTCACCTCAGCTGCATAAAATTTAGCAACAGGGTTAGGAAATCTTTGAGATTTTCTTAACAATGAAAACAATTCACCACCTTCAATATAATCCATTACCATAAACAAATTCATTGAATCCTGGAATGTCCCCCACATTCTAATTAAAAAAGGATGTTCAACCACTTTCAACATCCTTCTTTCATCGTTTGTATGTTCAATTTGTTTCATACGCACAACCTGAGCCTTTTTCAGTACTTTAATAGCATAATAACGACCATTATGTACTGATCTTACCAGATGTACTCTTCCAAAGGATCCAGTACCTAATGTTCTCATTATTTGGAAATCATGAAGAGAGTACTTCCCCTTTGAAATTGTGGATCGTTGCGGCAATAACGACTGTTGTTCGAGAGATGCATGTGTTGATTGCAATTGCTGCGCATGTTGTTGTAATTGTTCAGGCTGCAATTCTTGTGGAACTTCTGCTTGCATTGCAGAAGGTACTTCGTGTTGCATATCTCAACTGAATAATATAAGTGTAAATAGCTATATAGAAATCTAAGTAGTATATTACTACCTTTCTTCGTATTTCGGTTTATATATAACCAATCAATTAATATGGAACTCTTTTCTATTTTATCAATAATAATTGGGTTACTAATAGTTCCTCCCCAAAACAATATAATAATATAATAATTTGTTATAAATAACAATCTTACTTTAAAATAAAAAAAAAAGAATTAATAAATAATTATCCGTTGACTATCCCTAATTTTGAATAATTTCATTGTTTTTCAGTTTTCCCTATTATTACTGTTATTATTATCTCATAAAATCAGCGAAGTTAACTCCTTTTTCCGACGAGCATTGAAAAATTCCATAAAAATCAAAAAAATTGCGAGGCTTCTCTCTCCCTGGACGATAAATGCAAGATGTTCAACGAGAGAGAGAGCTGGAAATCGATGATTAATTAATTATTTAATTGATAAAATTTGATAATACTCTATATATATTATAGAAAGTGGTAACACGGACACAAGTGTATAGGTATATCTATCTTGTATGGCTACTCTACAGCCATATGTTGTTATTACTTTGCTGCTGCTGCTGCTGCTGTTGTTGCGGGTTACTACTTGTTGGTGGATAATAAGTAGCACCTGGACGTTGCTGTATATTCTGTTGTGGTGGTGCTTGATGACTGACCTGTTGACGTTGTTGATCTAGCAAAGGTTGTTGTTGTTGCTGCTGCTGCTGCGACTGTTGTTGTTGCTGCTGTTGATCTTGCTTTGTAGAGTCTGTAGCATTAATATTTTCCAATGATTTATCTATTACTGATAATAATTGTTGAGGTAAAGCAGGAATAATATTATTATTTTCATTTGTTTGCAATTTAATTTCATCCGGCGTTGGAGTATGTTTATCATTACTACGATAATAATGGAAATGTGACGAAAATTTCTTTAAAGTCAATTGTTTAATCTTATTAAACACTTCAGCTTTACTATTATTACTATTATTGTTATTATTTTCTGCATCATTATTTTCTTTAATAGTTAAAATATCTGCTGATTGTTTTTCGATAATTGCTTTAGTATACCGTAACATTGTCCAATCGAACAAATGATCATTATGATATTCCAATTTAATGCTTAAATCCTTAAACAATTTTGCCAAATATAAATAATCTGGTCTTTCATCAAACTTCAAATTCTTACAATAATCCAAATATTCTTTAAATTCCAAAGGTAAACCTTCGCATAATACTTCTGTACTGATACTTAATTTTTTCTCTAAAATTCTATCATATTTTTGTTTCTTAGTAGTTGCTTTCAACCCTTGCCATGGTAAGGAACCCTTACAGAAATAGACAAAGATATATCCTAAGGATTCCAAATCATCTCTTCTACATTGTTCAATTCCCAAATGTGTATTAATACTTGCATAACGAGCTGTACCCGTTAATGATTTATTTTCTCTATAAGGAATATGACGATGAGTATTAAAATCTCTATATTTTTTTGATAAACCGAAATCGATTACATGAACAGTGGAACCACGTCTTCCTGTTCCCATTAAGAAATTGTCCGGCTTAATATCTCTATGAATAAAGGATCTACCATGAATATATTGAATTCTACAAATCATTTGTAATGCTAACATGATGACAGTTTTAAAAGAGAATTTTCTATAACAATAGTTAAATAAATCTTCTAAAGATGGACCTAGTAAATCTATAACCATAGCATTATATTCGCCTTCACGACCAAACCATCTAATAAAGGGTAAACCCACGCCACCGCTTAAATATCGATAAACACGAGATTCGTATTCTAATTGAGGATGTCTTGAACGGATCGATTCCAATTTGATAGCCACTTCTTCACCACTGATTAAGTTTGTACCATGATAAATTTCACCAAAGGAACCACTTCCAATCTTTCTACCAATACGGAATTTTCTGCCTACACGTAAATCCATTCTCTTTTAATAAATTGAATATATAACAATTATTCAAAACAAAACAAAACACACACAGTTCACACTAATATGACATATGTTCTTAAATCCAATTATAATTCAATCCACAATTTCGTTGTTGCAACTAGCACTAAATAATAACCTGTTGACTTATAATCTGAACTAATATAGAATAAAATTGAAAAGAAGACAGGTAGACAATCTTTCCTTCTTTATTCTACCTTCCTGTCTCCCTCTCTCACCCCCACGAAATAAAATAAAAAATAAAAAATGTTTTTGACGACGAAACGACTCAACTTTCTCTCTTTCTCGCTGTGTGTCTCTTTTGTCACTAATGAGGACAAACAAACAAACAAACAAACCGATTCTTTCGCTGTGTGTGTGTGTGTGTATATTCGCATTAATGTACATAATATGGACAATTCATGTTATACTCACACATATAGACAGGGAACACACTCTTTATCTATCCATTGCAGCAACTACTAATACAATATGATGTCAATGGTATAACCGATGTATAACCGCTGATGGAGTCAATACATACGTTGAATATAGATTCCACTGTCAAAGTGCAAATGGATGGCCTGTCTGGCAATATACTATGCTATATATATATCTACACAACCCAGACACCGCATAGACACAACCACACGTGTGTGAAACGGTTAATTATACCTAAAATAGAGATAGTTGAACAATATTTTAGTAAAATTGCTCCACCAAAGATAGGAGAGAAAGAGAGATGAGCTAACACAATCCAGTAATACTCTACAATACAATAATACAATAATACAATAGAGGAACAAACCATCCTTACTTCTACCCATTCTATACATACAACTATCTGTCGGGGGATTTGGTATACAATTGCAGTCTCTTCTTTCCATGGATGCTCTGTTAATGTTTTATGATATTTGACCATTCTTGCTATACTGTAATAACTCCAATTACTAAATTATTGTCACACCTGACTGTATCTTATTCTTATCTCTCTTGAATATTATATATATATATATAAGTGATAGAAATGATATTCACTGGATGAAAGTGTACTATTTAAATTTTTGTTAGTTTTTGTCTAGACGTTTTGTTTATGATATACAGTTATAAAAGATACGAATTATTAATACACACACACATATATATTTTTTTGGATCGATAACAGATAAACACTCGAAATTTGGTAGAGATATGGTTGAAATTGTAGGTCATAGAGCATTTGCAGGGAAGTATCCTGAGAATACACTCGAGGCATTCAACAAAGCTTATGAAGCGGGCACTCCAATATTAGAAACAGATCTACAAATGACAAAAGATGGTATAGTCATAGTAAACCATGATGGAACCACCGGTAGAATGTGGAATCACGATTACGTCATTGCTGAGGAAGATTTCGAAACTTTATCAACATTACAACATAAAATCTTATCACAAGAAAAATTCATGAATATTGATGATTTATTAAATTGGGCGATTCTTCATCCAAATTGTAAATTGATGCTAGATATTAAATTTGACAATGATAAAATATTATTACATAAAGTTCATTCGGCTATGTTAAATTTAAATAATGATATCACCTATTGGCAAAAGAGAATCATTTGGGGGGTTTGGTCATTAGAATGGTATCAATATGGTGTCACGACTGCAATCTTGAAAAATTTCAATGTCATTGTAATCACGATGTCGTTAGAGGTAGCGGAAAATTTCATTAATTATTCTGCAAATTTAAATGATTCAGATTATGCTTTATTTGGGATTTCTTTATTATACGTTTCATCATGGACAAAAAAATTTAGGGATCATTTAGTACCTCTGATTAATAAATATAATATCCATGTGTTCCTTTGGACGGTCAATAAACAAATAGACATGGATTATCTTGTCGGATTGCCAATTTATGGTATAATTACAGATGATCCCGTCTCTACTACGGCATACGTTCGTTTATTACAAGAAAAAATCACTAAGAAAACACCATTTAATATTCCTCAAATGGTTACTCGTGAAGGGATCAGATTCTATTCTTTTTGCATCATTTATGATATTATCGATCAAGTATTACATTCAGGTTGGGCTCATACTCAATTATTATTTGGCTATTCGGTATCGAAAATAACTTATACAGTATTGAAAGCAATCCATTTCATGTAATTGTTTTGCATCTTTTTCTTTTGTATTCAAAATTACTACTATGTACAAATAAAAATATAAATAAATTAATACTATTTTACAATAAAAAAATAAAATAATTATCTCTGGAAATGAAGTCAGCGCAATTCTTACACTTGCATGACTGGTAATGCAGGTAGATCATCAGGATGCACTCTATTATCATCTGCCTCACCGTTCTTACTGGTTTTCTTTTCATTCCGGTATACTCTAACATTACCTGGTGCAAATCCACCATTCCCATACAGTGCCCATTCTGGTGTCTCTTGCAAATAATCCATGTAAGTGAATGGTTCACCTGTAGCTAATAATTGGAAAAATTTCTCAAAATCAATATGTGTATGCCATTTGTTCTCAATCTTGAACTTACGATGCGCAATCAACACACAATTAGAATGTGCATGTTCAGCCGCAATCTCATACTCCATACCACGTCTTTGTAACTCACCAACAAACCTCTCTACAAACGCTTTACATTCCTCAATGTATGGAATGTTTTGCATAGTTAAAGAATTAACATTATCCTTGGAAGAACCACTGAATGTAGCACCTTTCACTTCTATGAAACATGGCTCACCACGTTGAACTAAATCAGCATATGAGGAAATTTCTCCCATATTGAAACCCTTCACTAATGTCAACCTGAAAACAGTACGTTGATGTGATTGGACAGTTCGTAAAATGTCCAAACATTCCATCATTCTTTCCCAGAAATCCTTATACAATGGACGATCTACTTTTTTCAATTCTTCCTTTGTGGAAGCATCGATAGAAACATATAATTGAGTAACCCTGCCAATGGTTCTTAAGGATTCAGGGTGTTGAGCATTACACACTAAGAAACTTGTAATTTTTTTCTCATGTAATAATTCAATGAATTTGGAAATATATGGATATAAGATAGGCTCACCAACTAAAGATAGAGCACAATGTGCCACTTTGAAAGCATTAATAAACCTTTCAGCAATAACACCAGGAACACCTCTCATCTGTTTTATCATAGAATAATGAGCAGCCAATGCATTTTCAAGGATAAAATCAGGTTCATCTGTCTCCCATCTCCAATTCTTTGACACTGGGTTCGTACCATGTCTCCAACAAAAGACACATTTAGACGAACAGGCTAAAGAAGGTGTCAATTCCATACATCTACTAGAAGCAATATTAAATAAAGATTTCTTATAACAGGAACCTTTACCACGTAATTCATTTTTGGTCCACCTACAGATCTTAACACCAGAGTGAGAACCAACAATCTTATAACCTTGTTTGGTTAAATTCTTATAAGTAGGACTATCCTTTGCAATCATTTGTTTAACCTCTAAAGAATTTTTGTTTATTTTTCTAGTACCACCATTGCTATCTTTACCACCAACGTCTTCTAGATCAATATCTCTATCAGAACCTTCTTCTTCGTCATTAGATCCATCAAAACTGTCATTGTCATCATAATCGTCATCAGAATTATCAACAGTCTCATCATATTCGTATAAGATTGGTTCATTATCCTTCAATAAATCGCCTAATAAGTTTGCCCATTCAACGATTTTATCATTACCATTATATTTCATACAAACTTTACCAATTGGGAAGATTCTTCTACCACCTAGATGAGAAATCCAATAATCGACTTTAGTAGCTTGGTAACAAAATTTATCAGGCCAAGATTCAGAATCACCAAGACCTAATACAGTATAACCGACCAATTTCCTTAATGGGAACTTATCTAATCTATGATCATTAAAGTTTTCTTCTAAAGTTTGAATAAAATAATCTAATGGGCAATCGACATCATAAGATGGTACAACCATGACATAAAGGGCTTTTTCACTTGGAACATTAACAAAATATTCATCTAGATCATTGATTTCATCCAAATTTAACAATATAGGTTGTCTTTGTAAACCAGAGACTTCCCTCAGTTTTTCTTGGACAATGGAACCTGCTTTTGAGGAAGAACCTTGTAAAGAACTGTAGAAAATATAGATATCAGAATCTAGTAAGTCAATATTAGATACAGTAAATGCACTCTTAATTAAACCATCAGCATCGTTGTCGGTCTGAGTAGCTTTAACTTCAGTCATACCTTTCTTGCTAAACACTTTGACAGATTTTTTGGTAGCCTTAGCATTAGGAGATTTAAATGCCTCTGTGAAATCAACAGTCAAAGAATCCCAATTATCCTCTTTCTTTAGTTCCTCTTGAATTTCAACATTCTTTTCCTTATCATGACCCTTACCACCACAACATACTTTACCGTTTTTCTTTACATCATGACCTTTACCACCACAACATTTAGTTTCCTGTTTCTCGACGATTGGCTCCGGAGTTGGTGCAACCTCTTTTTTGTCATCATCATGACCTTTACCACCACAACAAACTTTACCATGCTTTTCAACGTCATGACCTTTTCCACCACAACATTTTGTCTTTGGTTTCTTTTTTTCAACTGGTTCAACTTTCTTTTCATTAGCATGACCTTTACCACCACAGCAAACTTCACCATGTTTCTTTACATCGTGACCTTTTCCGCCGCAACATTTAGTCTTTGGCTTCTGATCATCTTTAGAAACTATTGGCTCTTTCTTAAATTTAGGAAGTTCTGCAGTAGGAGCCTTACCACCTTTACCACAACATGGTTTACCATTTACGCCGGTACCTTTCCCGCCACAACACTCTTCTTTCTTCTCATGATTATGATTGTGTGTTTTTCCATCACCATTTTTATCTGAACATTTACATTTGTGCGGTTCCACAGGGACCTCACCCCCATTACCAAATATTTCTTTACCAAATAGAACTACGGAAGTCCATATAACAACCAGGATAGAGAGTCTACCTCCAAAATATAAATATATTGGTGACGCTAAACCTAGCGCAACATATACCTTTGATTGCAAATCCATGATGTAATGAGCAGTTATAATGAACTCAAAATTAAAAGACGTGAATATACAACCTCTCGTAAGTGACAAACTTTAACAGTTTTGACAGATATATCCTACTTGTATCGAGAATATCTGTTTTGATTAAACCTGTTTTTGATATATATATATATGTTAGAAAGGCTACTAAAAAAAAAATTGCGATGAGTATCGGCTTTTCCTCTTTTCCTCTTACTAATTCATTTATTATTTTTCTTGTTGCATTCGCTTTCCATTTGTTGCCAAACAAACTGCAGTTGCGTTATACAAAGACCGTTATCTACCTATATAGAGTTCAAGCAAGAGGATAAAGGTAAATATAGAAGGTGATTGGTTTCTTTCTAAAATGGAGTGGTATGAAGAACGTCCCAACTGTAATTTCCAAGACAATATAGTATGAACCCTCTTACGATTATGTTTATGATTCTATAAAGTTATTGAGGCGGAAATATGTAAAAAGTATCTCCCTACCGGAGTTTCATCTTAACTTTAACCTTTGACAAGGATTGTATCTGGTGCGTCACCAGACAACGAGAGTCTAGCAAAGGAGTAATGCTCAATAAAGTCATATGCAATAGACACTTCTTGTAAAGTAATCGGTTTAGTTTCTGTATTGAAAGGCTTTAAACGTCTCTCAGGGTCTTCGCCGTCGCTAAACAGTTCAATATAAAGTTCCACAGCACCTTCAGATATATCTGATTCTCCATACTTGGACTTAAAATTATTAAATTGTTCGAGAACCCATCCATATCTTTTTGGAACAGAATTGAAATGTACTTTACAAACTAACCATAGTACAAAAATTTCAAAATTAGTATCAAAATTTATATCCTTCTGTATTTCATCCTGACAGAATAAATTGGTAATTTCATCTGAAAATGATTCATCATATTTTAAAACTTTTGCAGTTGTCAACAATGAATTTTTGTATTCAGAAAACATAGTTTTCTCTATCTTTTTCAATTCTTGTAGTGATTTCTTTAAAACTTCAATCTGTCCATTCTTATATATCGCAGCACATTTTCTACGGTAATCACTAATGATATATTCAGTAGATTCATTAATATTTCTATTTTCAGTATGAACTATATTTATAGACTTTTGATGAAGTGCATTTTTGAGTGATTGTACGGCATCAAATTGAGCTCTGATGCTCTTAGGGCTCTCTGCTCCATTCCTGGCAACAAGAAATCCAAATAGTTCAATAATTGGAGCTAAGCAAGCCATGGTATCAATTTTGTTCAACAAATATAATATACCATTGGAATAATCTGAAGCAACTCTGTCTGTTTTTAGCGTAGGATTAGTTGTACCCGTAATTTTCGTTTCGAATGCAAATGTTGTATAATCTTCAATAAGTGGCAACTTTAATGTAGGTTCCTTTTCTAAGATATTAGAGATGGTGTCTAAAGGTAATTGAATTTTTAACATGACAGAATCCAGCTCATTTCCATCCAAAGTAAAACCATAACCAAATAACAATTCCTCGTTACTCTTTGCACCATAATTATTCAATAATTCAGCACCCATTTGAATATCTTGTTCCAGGTTTGTATAACAGAATGAACCTTCGGTGTCGGTCGACCATTCAACTTTCACATGATTACCATGGTTTAATAAATCAATTATAGGTAATAGCATAACACTTGATTCACTACATTTTGGGTTAATGATACGTTCGGGGAAGGCTCTAGATGTAAAAATCAGATGAGACCATAAATAGGCACCAAATGAGTACCACTGAATGTTATTACCGTCGATTGTCTCTTGAATTACATTATCATAGACTTTCTTTTTATCATAATCATCAATTGTTGTCATTAACAATTTTTCACAATCTGTGAATACATAATCTTGTGATTCAACGGTAAGTGTTTCAATAAGAGATTGCCATTCTTTAAAGATTGCTTTAAATTTATCAGCAATCGAATTACCTAAATTTGTCCCCTCAAGTAAATTTAATTCATCGAGGTTCCAAACTAATGGTGAATCTACGACAGTAGGTAACGCATTAATGTAATGTTGGAACCGATCTTGAAGCATGGCTATTTTCCTGTCTTTTGATCGCTTGTCAAATTTCAATCTTGCTAATAAACATTTCAACCAGCTAGTACCGGAATGTCCGAAGACATCAAGCGACAATTTATCTCTAATGATTAATTCATTTGGTAATTCAAACTTTACGTTCTTAGCTTTATTGAGATCATTAACATCTGCTATGCAATAGATGCCTCGACTAGGATCGAAATTAAAAGAGATACCATCGGGGATGATACAATTATGTGTTTTACCCCACTCCAAAAGGTTCTTGATCTTCAATTCAGACATGTGATATAATACAGTATGCTGGGCACCCTTCCTTATGATATCAGGTGTATAATCCTTTCAAGTGTTCGCATTGAAATTTGTCGTCATTTCTGTTTATATTTAAATAAATAAAAGAAGCGAAAACAATAAATTATGCTTTGATTCTAATCAAAACAAATGACTACATATTAGATGAGGGTCATAAAAAGGAAACGATTCCAACAGGTGTGAATGGATACTGGTTAAAACATAGAAGTGTTAATTGAATTATTTTATAAACTTTGTTAAAAGGACGAAAAAGATTACGAAATAATTAGTAAATTAAGCATGGAGGATGAGGGAACACACGTAAGGAAACCTTGGAGAATGACAAGATCACCATTACAAAATAGAAACTCGAAGACCCTAATTCCTTCACCAAGAAATAATTATAAAGGAGGACGTAATTTAACATTAGGTAGGTCTTCAAAAATACCATCTCCTAAGAGGAATAGTAATTCAATGAGTTCGGTTCAAGAAAATATTAAACAATTATCCTTGAGCGAGTTTGAAATAGGTAAAAAGTTGGGTAAAGGGAAATTTGGTAAAGTTTATTGTGTTCGTCATAAGAAGACAGGATTTATTTGCGCTTTAAAGGCTATGGATAAATCTGAAATTGTTCAATATAATTTGCAAAAGCAGTTTCGTAGAGAAGTCGAGATACAAACTAATTTAAATCATCAAAATTTAACAAAGCTTTATGGTTATTTTTATGATGAGAAAAGGGTTTATTTATTAATGGAATATCTTGTGAATGGGGAACTCTATAAATTGTTGCAAAATAATGGTCCAGTCTCCGAAATATTGGCAAGCTATTATGTCTACCAGATAGCAGATGGTTTATCGTACATGCATCAAAAACATATTATACATAGAGATATTAAACCAGAGAATATACTAATAGGATTCAATAATGTTGTGAAACTTACAGATTTTGGATGGAGTATAATAAGCCCCAAGGGTTTGAAAAGGAAAACACTTTGTGGTACGATAGACTATTTGTCGCCAGAGATCATTACCTCTAGAGAGTATGATGATACAGTTGATGTATGGGCTTTGGGTATTCTGATATACGAATTGATTATGGGAGCACCTCCCTTTGAAGAAGAGAGCAAAGAAATGACTTACAAACGTATTGTCAGAGGAAATGTAGTATTCCCGGATGATAAACCAGTCTCTGAACAAGCTAAGAATTTAATAAGAAGAATATTAGTACAGGATCCTAAGAAAAGATTATCATTAAGAGCCATTAAGGAGCATTCGTGGATACAGAAGAACAGGTCATTATGGGAATCTTTGCCAAACTAAATTCAGTACAAGGGAATATAGAAATTTGTTCATGAAACTTGTCGATCAGCCAAGATAACATGCAACTCACCGATATATATTCATCGCAAGAACAGCATCAGCTATACACGCATATTATTAAATGTGATCTAAATCAAATATACATAAATAGGAATAGCTAGCTAATTTAAGCCATCTAGTCCCTCTATTCGTACTTAACGATTTTGCTCTCTACCCAACCGGCTTTGTCTGTATCCATTTTTTTTTCGTTCTTTCGCTGAGTGTGTCCTCTAGTTTCACTTCAGACAATCTTTTTAGCAGAATATTCCATCGTTCACATCGAGGTAGATGTTTACAGATAAATCTTAAGGAATATATCTGCCATTGCATATAGCGGTACATATCCATATATTATATATCCAAAACTATTGTGCTTGGTCCATTTTTGAATCTCCAAACCAGAGTAGAAACATACCTCAATATACTGAAAGATGGCTGCTGGTTCATTGACAGACTTATTGTCTCAATTGAACGTTCAATCCACACATAATGAACATTCCCAAGTTGAAGAAACCAGTATTCAATTATTAGAAAATGGTTGCACAAACCCTGGGACAGCATTGAAATATTGTTTGATTGCTTTGATTCAACAGGATAAGTATAACAAAGCCCTGTCTATATTGAATACATATGGTGCTATCGATACAAAATATGGGAACCAATTAAATATGGAAAAGTTATACATTTTTTATAAGTTAAACAACGTTAAGAAGTTTGAACAATTGTATTCTACCATTATTACTGATGATATTGATGTTTTATTCTCTAAACCTGAGAGTCAACTTGAAAAATTGAGAGGCTTTTTACATGTCAGAGCTCAATTCTGTTACAAAAATGGTAAAAATGAAGAATCATATCGTATTTACAACTACCTAGCTTCCAATAACTCTACGGAAATCGATAATAACACAGAACTTGCGTGTAATGAAAGGGTTCCATTAACTGTAGAACCAAACATGATGATCAATTATCCTCTGATTAATGAATTATCTGAAGAATCGTATGATATGTTATTCAATGAATCCATTGTATTAGCTGCTCAGGATAAATATAAGGAATCTTTGGGATTATTAGAAAAATCATATAATATGGCAAAAGCTAGTGACTACCAAGACGATATTAATACCATTGAGCTCCAATTAGCTTATATCCATCAATTACTTGGCAACACAGCTGATAGTAAAGAATATTTGAATAATCTATTAATAAGATTGGAAGCAGGTTCCCAAATGCATATCCTTGCTAAAAACAATTTGGTTGCATTCCAGGATTTCTCTAAATATAAGGATAATATTAATTTGTTACTAAGAGATTTAAATATTGAAAAACAGAATAGCTTAAACATACAAACATTTACCCATGACCAATGGACAAAATTGAATTCAAATGCGATGTTCTTAAAATTATTTAATAATGTTACAGTGCAATCTCATTCCAGCCGTCTATCTCGTACATTGCATAATTACACCAAGATAGTGGATAACATAAACTTGGAGCCTTACCAAACACAATCCAAAAAATTGTATCATTTTGCTGTCAAGGCAGTCAAGAGCTCTACGGCGGGTAGTACCAACGGTGTAGTTTTATTGGCTATACAACTGCTTATCGTAGAAAACGAATGGGACAATGCAATCAGATTGGGTGAACTGTTCTTCAACAAATCTATAACCTCTGCCAATACCTTAACCGATGATCTTATTACTATTGTTTATGTGTTGTTTGAATTATACAATCATGTTGGTAGAGTTCATTCAAAGTCTATGTTATTAAAGAAGACGAGTGAATTGTTTAATGCTAAAGATTTCTCGAAGGTTACCAAATTCTCCATCAATAAATTAAATTTCTGGAAACATATTGCATTCCAATATCTGACTCTAAGTAAATCTTCCGACGCCAAGAAGATCTTTAGACAATTAATGAATGTAACATATTTTAAAGAACATCTAGTGGATGAAAATATTCTACAAATATTGAATGAAAACAGTCAAGATTTGTTTGATTTTGCTACTGTTTCGGACCTAGTAGCTTCTGTTGATGTTTCTTCATTAATATCATCCGGTATTGCTCCTTTAGGAAGTAATTCTAATAAATCTCAATCTATTGCTGCTACTTCAATAAATAGAGTGATGAAGAAGAAATTAAATGCAAAGAAACAAAAGAAAAAACAAGCTAAATTACAAAAATTCTTAGCTACTCACGATGTTACTAATAAGACCGTTGACTCTGAAAGATGGTTACCTTTGAAGGATAGATCTACGTATAGACCAAAGAAGAAGCAATTAGCTAAACAAACTCAAGGTGGTGCAATGAATAAACAAACTGAACAAGCTTTGGATATATCCAAGAAACAAAAAAAGAATACCAATGGTGGTTCAAAGAAGAAAGTTAAGAAGGGTCGCAAATAAATATAATTAGTTATATATTAAAAGAAGGAGAAATATATTGTAATGTGTTATATATATTTAAATTAATCTTTGTATTATACGAAATAAATGATAAAAAATCAAGCAAGTTAATAAGGAATTTATATATAAATAATCTTTTAAGGGGAAAAAGAAATATTATGAAATAAAAATTTTAATGTACAGAATATCTATTATCATTTGGATATACAGATGATTTGTGAATCCGGAAACTATATATCTATAATATATTTATTGATGGATGCGATGACTATTACGGTTAGAAAAACAAACAGACACAAATATTGGTTTGGATAATAGTATCTAAGTGAATAAAGTGTCTTCATCTCTTAGATACTCACCGATATCGGCCTGTCTGAATGCTACAATAGCAGTAGGTGGCAAATTTCTTGCTTCTGATGTACTCCTAGCACTGACACCAAATCCAAGTGGAGCGTCATGCATAGAGAATACAATGACACCTGCATGTTCTGGGATATCATCAGACATCTTACCAACATGTGCCTTTAAGACATGATTACCGTAAAGAAATGGCATTTCACCGTTTTGTTTAATCCAAATCTTATACTTAGCATGTTGAGCTAGAATAGATAAAGCTGTAATATGTAATCTAAACTTCCCTGTCTTTGTAAATTTACCTAAACATATACCAACAGACATAAGGTTTGGTCTGGCAACACTGGTGGCCAACTTAGCAACGCTATCTGGTACGTAATACACTCTATCCTTTTGCAATCTAAATACATGTGGGTTTTCTTTATTGTCAACTAGGTAGGAAATATTTCTACCAATGTATGCGGCAAGTTTCTCAAATACAACTCTAGTTTCTTCTTCTGTCAGTTGTCTCATTATTATAATTTATTATTATTTGTATGTGTAGTAGTTTCCTGTTCACAGTGTTTTTATTTGTAAATAACAGTATTTCGAAATAAAGAGGATGATCAGCAACAAATCAGTTTCATTTATATCTTGTCCTTCCAATGTGTAACCTCATCTCATCGAGCTTAATTTCCATCTCATTATTTTTGGGTTTAGAATTTTTCACTTTTCCTTCCGCTAACAAATTTTCAATTCATCGTGAAAATTTGTCAGTTCGTGCACCGTGATTTCACAGTCGGTTTCATTACCATAATCCTCAATACCTGGGATAAACAAAGCAAAAAGAGAAACCGTTTTTTATCCTCATCGCAGAGCGACTGAAATATCTCAAAAATTTTCAGCTCATCGCTTCTTTTCTTTGTATTGAATAAGAAAAGAAAAGAAACCAGTATCGAGAAAGTCAACTGTTGGGTTTCTTTTACAGTAATTTGGAGAAGTTTTTTTTTATTGAAGTAGAAGCTTCAATTATTATAGATTACAGTTCTGTTTTAGGTATTGGGTGCAGTCGTTTTTTTTTCTATTCAATCATCTAAAAAGATTTCGTTTATTAAATTTTATCACTACTTAGGTAGATTCTCGAAATTAAAACAATTAACTTGCAACAGTGCATACTTCGATCGATTTACATTATCGCATCCTTTATTATCGTTCAAAAATATTTTTTTAAAATCAGCCACAAATAACAGTATAAAGAAGATGTCTGAAGAAAACTTAAGACCAACATACGATGACCAACCATCTGAAGACGCTTACAAGAGAGGCCCTCAATACAAGATGACTCAGGCTCGTAAAGAAGATATCGAAGGTAATGACAAAGAAAAAGAGAGTGACGAACCAGAAAAGAAGAAACAACGTGTTGGAAGACCACCTGAGCTAGATGCCAATGGTAATCCAATTCCTAAGGAACCAAGAAAACCAAAACGTAAAGTTGCTGTCATGGTCGGATATTGTGGTGCAGGATACCACGGTATGCAATATAATCCTCCACATCCAACTATCGAAGATGCTTTATTCAAAGCATTTGTTGAAGCCGGTGCAATTTCAAAGGATAATTCAACTGATTTAAAGAAAAATGGGTTTATGAGAGCCGCTAGAACTGATAAAGGTGTTCATGCTGGTGGTAACTTGATCTCTTTGAAGATGATTATCGAAGATCCAGATATTAAAGAAAAAATTAACAAAGCATTACCAGAAGGTATTAGAGTATGGGATATCACTAGAGTTAACAAGGCCTTTGATTGCAGAAAGATGTGTGGTTCTCGTTGGTACGAATACTTGCTTCCAACTTATTCTTTAATTGGACCAAAACCAAATTCTATTTTATACAATGATATTGAGGAAAGTAGATTAGAATTGCCTGGTATTCTAGATGATGATGCTGAATCCATCGAATTTTGGAAAAATTTGAAGAAAGAAGTTAATGAAAAATTCACTGAAGAACAGATCGAACAAATTCAAAACTATACGCCACCACCAAAGGATGAATTCCTAGAATCAGAAGCTACCTACCAAATGGTTAAAAAATATAAAGCTTTAGAATATGCTCATCGTAGAAAATATAGAATCTCTGCTGAAAAGTTAGAAAAATTCCGTTCTGCTATGAAACAATACATCGGTGCTCATAATTTCCATAACTTCACATTAGGTAAAGATTTCAAAGATGCAAGTGCAATTAGATTCATGAAAAAAATTAAGGTCTCTGACCCATTTGTAATTGGTGATGCGAAGACTGAATGGGTATCTATTAAGATACATGGACAATCCTTCATGCTACATCAAATCCGTAAGATGATTTCAATGGCTGCTTTGATTGCTCGTTGTGGTACTCCTGTAGAGCGTATAAGTCAAGCATATGGTCCACAAAAGATTAATATTCCAAAGGCCCCTGCTCTTGGTCTTTTGTTAGAAGCACCAGTATTTGAGACGTACAATGATAGATTGGAAAAATTCGGTTATACTCCAATCGATTTCTCTAAATATCAAGAAGAAATTGATGCATTCAAGATGAAGCACATTTATGATAAAATTTACAAAGAAGAAGTTGATGAAAATGTTTTCAACGCTTTCTTTGCTTATATTGATAGTTTCAACAAGGTCACTGGAGCTCAAGGTGAAGAAAGCGAAGATAAAAAGGGTAAGAATGTTCAAAAGAGTATATTTGAGTTTTTAACAGCCAGAGGTATTCCTGACCTTGAAACAAATGAAAAGACCAATAAAGTAGATGGTAAAATTGTTGATAAATCAGAAGATAAAGAAAAGATTGAATCTACCCATACCACTGTAGATGCTCAAAATTAAACGTCTGGCGCTCGAATAAAGAAATAAATAAATTTACGTATGTATTGTAAAATATATATGTAATAATAACTTGTATATTATTATTATTTAATAGGTATGTTCTTTTTGTACTACTATTACAACTTTTGAATTGTTTATGCTGAATAATTGAAGATGTGATGTTGTTTTTTCCTTATTATGGATGTGTGAGTATGCAAATATTTGACTGCTGGTTGAACCTAGATCCCTCCAGCTAATTGTTTTTCAATTTTAATGATTTCATCCAAAGATACAGCTTCAGCTAATTGTTTCTTCAATTCTAGTTTTCTTTCATCGGTCATCTTATTAACTACAAAGTTCATCATTTCAGTAGATTTATCATGAGATTTTTTAGATTTAACTACTTTTGTGTTTTTATCATTCTTTATTATTAGAACAGGCTTCTTTTTTAAGTTTGTCCTTTCTAGGTCTGAAATTTTTGTAAAATCAAGGTTACGTAGATTGGGTAATATAGTTAAAACATAGGTCCTATAACCTTCCAAATGGCATATCTGATTCCCAAGGAGGGATATAGTATTAAGTGATTTTGGAGCACTCTGTAGTCCATTTAATTCGCTTAATTCTTTAATGTCATTACTGGCCAGTACTAAATTTTTCAAGTCTTTCGGAAGTCTCTTACCATTGATTGTTCCATTTATTCGATTTCGTCCCAATAATAACGTATGTATATCGGTTCTATCATGAAGATCTGGGAAATCTATTAGACTATTATTTGTAAGATCTAGTATATGTGTTGGTCTGGTCAATAAGGCCATACACGATGGCATCACAACAGAATCATTCTCTAAATCAAGATCTCGTAAGATAGTACATTTGTCCACGTTCTGCTTCTTATGAAAAAAATCAACATAATAACTTGGTGCATCCAGTATCACAGTTGGTGTGAACTTCATTTCTTTATTCTTGGTTATATATTAGCAATCTGTTAAAAAAAATGGCAGTATTGGTTCGTAAAAGTACAACCACTTATCCATAAAATATGAATTCACTACTTCTGAATCTAAAATATATTGTATAGAACGCTATCTTGAGATGATTATGAATGTCAGTATCCCCTCTACGTATTCGTCCTAAACTGCAATACCCTTCACTGGAAGAAGTTCAAACTATTGCATTGTTCCTTTAAAAATCGAAAATATTCAAATTCGCAGCTTCTACCGGAATATGAAAAATTTAGTTAAACATCGCGAAGTTGTATGCATTTAAAGAGGAAACACTGTAGGTGAAAGAGGCAATGAGGTGATTACTGTCTTCTTAGAATTGTTTAAATTCTTGTTTCTCGAATATGTTTATAAGAGTTACGAAATGGATAAAGTCTACTATTTTTTCCTTTTCCCATATGAATAGTTTTATCTAGTGTTATGTGTTTAAGATATACTTCTATTAAAGGTTTAAAAAGCTTCTGCACTTGACATATTTACATAGAGATAGGAACATATAATGGTATTTGCTAAGGAAGACGTCGATTATTCTTTGTATCTCGTTACTGACTCTGGTATGTTGCCAGAGGGCACAACATTATGTTCTCAGATTGAAGCTGGTTTACAGAATGGTGTAACTTTGGTACAAATCCGTGAAAAGGAAACTGATACTAAGCTTTTCATTGAGGAGGCTTTGGAAGTCAAAAAACTGTGCACTAAATATAACGTTCCATTGATTATTAATGATAGAATTGATGTCGCAATGGCAATCAAGGCTGATGGTGTGCATGTCGGGCAAGATGATATGCCAATTCCAATGGTCAGAAATCTTGTTGGACCAGACATGATTATCGGCTGGAGTGTTGGGAAAGTTTCCGAGGTTGAGCAATTGGCTAAATGGGGTCCGCAATTGGTCGATTATATCGGTATTGGTACTTTATTTCCAACACAGACTAAAAAAAATGCCAAGAAAATACCAATGGGCCCACAGGGTGCTATTGAAGTTCTAAATGCTTTGGAATCAAATAATGCTACTTGGTGTAAAACAGTAGGAATTGGTGGTTTACATCCAGATAATATTCAAAGAGTTCTATATCAATGTACCTCTACCAATGGTAAGAGATCATTAGATGGTATATCTTTGGTTAGTGATATCATGGCTTCTACTGATGCAGCTGGGTCAACTAAAATATTACGTGCTTTAATTGATGACGGCAAATTCAAGTTTGGAAACGATTTGAAAATAGGAAGTTATATTACACCGGATGTTCAAGCGATCCATAGCGTTCTTGAACAAGTATCCCACAATAGACCATTGATCCAACATATCACTAATAAAGTTCATCAAAATTTTGGTGCCAATGTGACTTTGGCTCTTGGGTCATCTCCCATAATGTCCGAAATTGAATCTGAGGTTGGTGAATTATCCCGTATTCCAAATGCGACCCTTCTGCTAAACACTGGTTCAATTGCTCCAGTAGAAATGGTAAGAGCTGCTATACATGCTTATAATGAAGCACAACGACCAATAGTGTTCGATCCTGTCGGATACTCTGCCACAACAACAAGAAAGAGTTTAAACGATTCCTTGCTGTCGTATGGGCAATTCACCTGCATTAAAGGGAATTCAGGTGAAATTTTAGGTCTTTCAGGATTGAATAATGGTAATATGAAGGGTGTCGATGCCGACACAAGTCATAATGATTCTAATTTATTGGCAAAGGCTACTAGGATTGTTGCTTTTAGATTTAAAACTATTGCAGTTTGTACTGGTGAAGTGGACTATATCTGTGACGGTACATTTGGTGGAGAATTTCTTGTATCACAAGGTACCCAAGGTGCCTCTGTAGACTCTTTGACTGTATATACTGTTCAAAATGGTAATATTCCAATTATGGGTGATATTACTGCAAGTGGATGCTCTTTGGGTTCTACAATTGCAAGTTTGGTTGGTGGCTTAAGCCCAGAAGGTTCAGTTTTTGATGCAATCGTATCTGCTATTTTATTGTATAAATCAGCTGGTAAAAACGCCTCTCTCGTCTGTGAAGGAAGTGGTTCTTTCCATGTTAAATTAATTGATAATTTATATCAATTGTTCCATGAAAATGAACCATCCAAATGGAGTGCTACATTACAAAAAGTGTAATAGTTAGGCTACAAAAGATCTTGTATATTGATATTTACATTGCGAGCTTAGAATAAATAAGTAAAGTGTATGTATATATATATGTAATATGAACTGGATGTTAGTAACGAAATTAAAAAGAAAACCACTCCTTAGATCGTTTGGTAAACTTCTTGAGATAGTTCCATATAAATGAGTTTGGGTTGTGAAAAATAAAAAGAGCTCAGTTGTCGTAGGATAGGTTACTTCTATCACTTGGTAATAATAGCCCACTTTTGTCCAGTTCTTCATATTTCTTTATAATTTTCTCTTTCATTTCTTTTTCTTCAGCAACTGTTAATTTGTTGATCTTTTCCGTAGCTGGAACAAACTTAAATTTACCTAATGCAAACTCTCTGTCAGACATTCTACTCATTACATATAATTGAGAACGAATATATTTTACGACAGCTTCTAAGTGAGTATAATCGATATTTTTTCTACCACCAAACAAATTTCTCCATACAGCAGTTGCTAATGTAGTATCATCAGTATAAAAGCCTACATCGTACGCAAACACAGCACCTTTTAATTGAGAGTTAAAATCTTTAGAATATTGATCCACAATTCTACCTGAAACAATTTTCATTTCATCAAATAATCTCATTTCTATATCGTTGAAAGTTTTATCTACAAGTTTTTGTTGGTAATTTCTGCCGTATTTGAATGGCATTGCTCTCATTCTAACAAATAGCATCCATTCATGTAAGGCAGTGATTTGAAACCATTGAGAAAATGTTCTTGGTAGTTTTAATTCTTCATAGAAGAATTTTGCAGAATCGGAAAGTGATTCATTTTCATATTGTAAACCTTGTTCTTTACAGATAGAATAATAGTATGATCCAGATACTGGGCCTGCTCTAATTTTATCCATATCCAACCCAAATGTCTTAATGACGTATTCACCTAGAGCTTCTTTCCACTTAGGAAGTTTATATTCTGTCGTGGTTGAATTTTTACCTCTCACTATTGGTGCACCTTTTGTATTAAACTGCATTTCATTACCATTGTTATCTTTACCTTGTTCTAATGGAGAAGGATTGCCAGTAGTAGAGTAGTATGCAAATGGTTGAACACTGGTGCTTTTAAAAGTGTTTATTCCAGATACCCTCGCGATACTACGGGAACCCGGATTACGAATCACGGACTTTAGCATTTTATATCTAGCTTGATTTTTCTTAATCTTACGTTATGCTCCTTAAAAAGTAATCGTAATAGATCTCGATATAGGAGAGTTGTTTAATATTTATATTAATGTTTCACAGTTCTTAGTGAAATAAAGCAATCACAAATAAGGTTTATTTGATAGCCTTATGTTATGTTTATACCGTTCCTTATAAGTTCCATATATGTTATCCAACAAACTCCCACGCCCTTTGATTCTTTCTTATTCCACCCCTCACTCTTTCTTTCTCTCTGTCGAAATTTTCACTTCTGCTGGAGTTTTTGCTCAAGTAAGGCGCGACGCCCATAATTGAGACAATTCCATTTGAGGAAGGGGGAGGCCCACCCATGCTCATTTTCTACAAAAGAAGAGCATCGAGAAATAAAAGATAATTATCTGTTGATAATTGTTAACGTTGGAGTCACTCATATGAATTTGAATCCTGTTGCTATTGTAAAAGAATGGTTTCTAACTGATGGACATTGTAAAGATATGTATGAGCCTACCTGTGCATGCAGTTTGTACAGCGTTACCTTCACCCATATATTACTGCTAAAATATGTGAATAAATTAACAGATTAGTAGACTCTATTCAAAATTGAGTAACATAGCATATATTTCCCGGAAAGAAAGGGTTATTTTTGGTTTCAAAGCACGTACTTACCTATTTCTCCACGAGAAGAAGCGATTCCATTCATAGAGTCTTAGATCTTGAACTTGGTTGTCGAATCATTATATCATATCTCCGTTCTGTTCTTCTAATAAAATAGGGATAACTTTCAAAGGATCCATAATGCATTTAAGAAGTTATCATCCCACCTGTAAACACTTCTCGTTATGTTTTCTGTCTGTGTAACTAATAATAGCCGCTGTGACTATCACTAACGCTAAGCACCCTCCCTCCTCGTGTCGCATGATGTTTGATCGCGGTGAAAAACCAAAATAACTGAATATTGAAAATTTTTATGCGATGACCTTCAGCTGCGATGAGCTGGGTTAGTTGAATAATTTCAGACGGTTAGCAATATAAGTTCAACATTAAATAGAAATTAAAGCTGTTTGAAATTGTCAAATTATAGGTTCGAAATTTATAATATTATTTAAAAGGGTAAGTAAGAACCACAGACCTTCTTTACAATGGAACAAAGTAATAAAGCCCATCGTAAAACGAAGGAAAAGAACACTGCCAAAAAGAAACTGCATACACAAGGTCATAATGCTAAGGCCTTTGCAGTTTCTGCCCCAGGGAAGATGGCAAGACAGATGCAAAGATCTAGTGATGTGAACGAAAGAAAGTTGCATGTTCCTATGGTTGACCGTACTCCAGATGATGATCCACCACCAGTAATTGTTGCTGTTGTCGGACCACCAGGTACTGGTAAGACTACCTTGATCAAATCATTGATTAGAAGAATGACTAAGACCACTTTGAATGATATTAACGGTCCGATCACTGTGGTTTCAGGTAAGCACAGAAGATTAACATTTATTGAATGTCCTGCCGACGATTTGAATTCCATGGTGGATGTAGCTAAGATTGCTGATTTGGTCTTGTTATTAATGGATGGTAATTTTGGTTTCGAAATGGAGACTATGGAATTTTTAAACATTGCCCAAACACATGGTATGCCTAGAGTTTTGGGTGTTACTACGCATTTAGATTTGTTTAGATCCCAATCAACATTAAGAACTTCCAAAAAGAGATTAAAGCATAGATTTTGGACAGAAGTGTATCAAGGTGCTAAACTGTTCTATTTATCCGGTGTCATTAATGGTAGATACCCTGACAGAGAAATACTGAACTTGAGTAGATTCATCTCAGTTATGAAATTTAGACCATTGAAATGGAGAAATGAACATCCTTATTTATTAGCGGATAGAATTACAGATTTAACTCATCCAGAAAAGATTGAAAGAGAGGGGAAACAAATTGATAGAAAAGTTGCATTATACGGGTATTTACATGGGACTGCACTACCTTCGATTTCAGGTACTAAAGTGCACATTGCTGGTGTTGGTGATTTCCCAATTTCTCAAGTAGAAAAACTACCAGATCCTTGTCCAACTCCAGGTTATCAACAAAAGCTTGATGATTATGAAAGAGAAAAGATGAAAGAGGAAGGAAATACCACAGTCACTCCTAAGAGACGTAAGAGATTAGATGATAAGGATAAGTTAATCTATGCTCCAATGTCTGATGTAGGAGGTATCCTTATGGATAAAGACGCCGTTTACATCAATGTTGGTAAGAAAAATGAAGATGAAAGTTTCGTCCCTGGTCAAGAGAGAGGTGAAGGAGAAAAATTGGTTACCAATTTACAATTAGCTGAAAAGAGTATCGCTGAAAATTTCGAAGGTGTTGGTATTCAACTGTTTAGTAATGGTACTGAACTACACTCTGTCGAACCTGAAGAAGATGTAGTAGACGAAGAGGAAGAACAAGATAAAGATGGTGATAAAGGTAGAGCTAATATGAGAAACCCAAGAGTTTACGGTAAATCTGTACAGGAAGAAGATGATGAGATCGACTTAGATGCTATTCCAAGTGATGATGAAAATAACGATGTCGAAGAAGAAGGTGAACCAAGAATGGTCGAAATTGATTTTGAAAACAATGGTAAAGATACCAATACCGCTGAAACTGATTCAGAATTTGAGTTAAGTGACAACGACGATAATTGGGAAACTGGTGTCGCCAGTAAGTTACAAGCCAATAAAACTAAGCGTCGTAGAAAATGGGATATTGGAAAATTAATCTATATGAATAATATCGAACCTCAGGATTGTATCAAGAGATGGAAAGGTGAAGATGAAGACGATGAGAATGAAGATGAAAGTGATATTGAAAATGAAGAACAGGATTTTTTTACAAAAAAGGCTGGGATCACAGATCAAAGTAAGGAAACCTTTAATGATTTAGAGAAATTCGTTCCATATTTTGAAAAGATGGAAAAATTAGTTGAAAAATGGAAAACTTTTGATTCCATTAATGATAGATTCATTGGCGCATCTATGAAATCTAAGAAAGAGTCTAAAGCCGGTGATTCTAATGAAGATGAAGTGTTCGGTGATTTTGAAGACTTAGAGGATGAACCAGAGAATGAAGGAAATGAGGATGTAGTGGAAGAAGATGATGGTGGTGCACAATCTGATGATTCATTTACTAACTTTGATAAAGAAGAGAAGAAAGATCTAACCATGGACGAAGAGCGTGAACTAAACGCAACTAAGAAGGAGAAATATCGTAAACAATTTGAAATCGAAGAAGGTGAAAATTTCAAGGAAGATGATCCAGACAATGAATTTGATACATGGTACGAATTACAAAAGGCGAAGATGGCTAAACAATTGGAAATCAACAAGACTGAACTAGATGATATGACTCCGGAACAACGTCAAAAGATTGAAGGTTACAAGGCTGGTTCATATGTTCGTATTGTGTTTGATGATGTTCCTATGGAATTCATTGAAAATTTTGATGCAAGATTCCCAATTATAATGGGTGGTTTGTTACCAACTGAATTAAAATTCGGTATCATCAAGGGCAGATTAAGAAGACATCGTTGGCATAAGAAGATACTAAAGACCAATGATCCATTGGTTATTTCTCTTGGTTGGAGAAGATTCCAAACATTACCAATTTATACCACAACAGATTCCAGAACAAGAACAAGAATGCTGAAATATACTCCAGAACATACATTCTGTAATGCAAGTTTCTATGGTCCATTATGTTCTCCAAATACACCATTCTGTGGTATTCAAATTGTGGCTAATAGTGATACAGGTGGTGGTTTCAGAATTGCTTCTACTGGTGTTGTTGAAGAATTAGACGTTGATACCGAGATTGTAAAGAAATTGAAATTGATTGGTTATCCCTACAAAATTTTCAAAAATACTGCATTCATTAAGGATATGTTTTCCAGTGCTATGGAAGTTGCCAGATTTGAAGGTGCTCAAATTAAGACCGTCTCTGGTATCAGAGGTGAAATCAAGAGAGCGTTATCTAAACCTGATGGACATTTCAGAGCTACATTTGAAGATAAGATTTTGATGAGTGACACAGTTATTTTAAGATCATGGTATCCGGTACGTATTAACCGTTTCTACAACCCTGTGACATCGTTACTTTTGGAAAAGAAGACAGAATGGAAGGGTGTGAGACTAACTGGTAAGATAAGAGCTGATATGAAGATCGAGACTCCGACTAACCCAGATAGTGCATATAAGAAGGTTGAACGTGTTGAGAGACGGTTCAACGGATTAAAGATTCCAAAGGCTGTCCAAAGGGACTTACCATTCAAATCTCAAATTCATCAAATGAAACCTCAAAAGAAGAAAACTTACATGGCTAAAAGAGCCGTTGTCATGGGTGGAGAAGAAAAGAAGGCTCGTGCATTCATGCAAAAAGTGTTAACCATATCAAGAGCTAAGGATGAAAAGAGAAAATCTAAGAAGGCAGATCAACGTAAGGAGAGATTAAAAAGACTCGCTAAGGCTGAAGAGGCTAAAATAGATAAAGACAAAGAAAAGAAGAAAGAATATTTTGCTAAGAATGGTAAGAGAAGTAGTACCACTGAGGATAGTAGAAGTAGTAAAAGAAGATAGATTACTAGTGATATTCTATAATTTTTATATTAATATTAAGAAAAAATTCTAAACATATTTTTTGTTCTTTTCTCCCCCTGTAACAACAATTTCTTATACAAAATGTTAAAATTTACATCAAGTTCAAGACATTTAATGACTATAGTTCCACTATTTGGTCGTTAAATAGACGTAGAGATAGACAAACGAACAAACTGAACATAGCGTTCATATTAATGCTAAAGTTTGAATTAAACTTATATGAGAATCTATACATACACTATATAAATTATACCAGAAAAAACAATCTTTCAAATAAAGATTCTTAGAAAAATTATTACCATCTATTTTATTTTATTTGATTAACCCAAATCGTTTAGAACACTTTCATAATATAATAAATAAAAATAGGAAACATCATATGAGTGTGAATGATCTTTTTTTTTTTTCAATATTAATTTCTCGTAAAATTATACTAATAGTTTTCCATAAATAAAAGAGAAGAATAGAGAAAAATAGATTATTAAATATATTGAGATAACCATTGGAAACCTTCTGCGTAACCATTTCTCATAACAACAGAACACATGAATAATTCAACTGGTCTTTGACCTTCAACAACGGTAGAACCAGTGGTGTGTTGTAAGTTTAGAGCAATACGAAGTTCTGCTTCGTCAACAGCATTTGGGGAATCAATCTTGTTACCTAGAATGACGAACGGAACATGTTCTAATTCAGTGATGTTGAACAGAGCGTCAAGTTCGACACGAGCTTCTGCAAATCTTTCTGGATCAGCGGCGTCGACTAAGAAGACAATACCGTTAACTTCTGGGAAATAATCCTTCCATAGACGACGAGCTTGAATATGACCACCAAGATCAAAAGTTGTAAATTTGATATTACCGATGGCTAACTCCTCGGAAGTTGGATGCCATGTTGGTTGTAGAGTAGCTAATCTATCATTCTTTAACATATGTAATAGAGTAGTCTTACCAGCATTATCTAGACCAAGGAACAGCAGCTTACCGTGTTTGTTCCATAGACCAAGAGAAGCCAAGACGTCTCTGAACCAGCCAAATATATCCCAAGCAGCCATACTTTCGTGAATTTGTGTATTAATATTTTTATACCTTACTTTGTTGTGAGAAAACTCTTAAAAAATAAAATTAAAAACAAGTCTCAAAGGAAGAAAAAAGGTTTCTCTTTAAAATGAACATGCAAGGGATACGCCTACAAAACCAAATCAAGAATAAAAATGTTCTTGTTTATCTTGATTGCTCTAGTGTCTTATATATCAAAATTCTAGAATATTCAATTCCACCTTGCAGTATGTTGATATTGTGACGAGCTGTCCACAGCGAAAGAAAAATTAATTTTCCAATTCTCGCGATTTTCTCCCTGGTGAGCGTAGCAACAAAAATTTTCAGCATTTTTCGCATTTCGTATTTCGTATAGTGACAAACTGGGGAAGGAACTACTATATCCTGATCACATGCCATAGCGTAAACAGGAATATCACATATTTAACAAACGAGCAGACCTGGTAAAAACCGATATGTCAGTAATGAGCTTGATGATGGACTAACGAGGGTTTATCTGTGAACTATTATTAGGTTCATGACTGTATGTTTGTTGATTGTCTAATGGCATGTTTATATAAAAGTATATATATATATGTATCTTAAATATAAATAAATGAGATATACCAATGTACCACTACTGTAGTAGTAATGCATGTTTGAGAAAGTAAGAATGACGACATGCTAAAAGAAAAATGAAAACGATGTGAAAATGAGTATGAGTAGTAGAATAACTGATACAATTATGGGAGATATATTCTGAACAATATCTATGTTTGTAGATCCATTACCATGTAGTCGATGACTCTAACGGATTTTGCTAGCATTTTGCGCGTGATGATTAGATCATCATCTTTTAGACAGAGCACCAACGAGACTTCCAATTTAGTAAGTAATTTCTTGGTAACACCACATACTTTGCAGAAATACTGATGAGAATGTACTTGATCTTCAATCAGTTTCGTAGCAACACGAATGCATGCTATTATGATTCTATGGATTTCATTATCTTGTAACATGTGTTTTAATTTATATTTTTGATCAGGGGCATCTTTCCTCATGAATAGAACTTGTAATAAGTATGTGGCTGATTGAAAGACAATGGATCCAAACATACATTTAGACTGAACACGATCAATAAAATCGTGGTATGATAAAGAAGGTGTATTTTTCATTACAAAATTGTCAAAATGTTTCTTGTTGGTTTCTGATATTTCGCAATTTTGGGTATCCCCTTTGTGAGAAAGTTCTTTCATTAATTGAATTACTCTTTCAAAATTGCCCATGGCCTCTTCAACACTAATCTCTACAAATACTAAATCATCATCCGTGTCTGCGACGTTCTTACACTCAGATTCTTCAATTCTTTGGATAAAGTCCTTGGCATTATTTATACATGTTTGCTCATCGAAATAAAATGTCTGCCTCTCCATTGGCGGTGAATCATCTACCGTTGACTGTTCACTTAATGACCGATCATCATCATCATAAACAACATCATTATTATTATCTTGAGAATTTCCATCATTTGAAAGAATCTCTTCAATCTCTGAGGCTGTAGTCACTTGCTCTAAGGGTGTTCTTTCCTTATTATCCCCTAAATGACTAGTGGATCCATTGCTGATATGATCGAGATCATACACATCGTCAGTGTCGACATCGCTTAAATCAAATGTTGATAAAGATTCCGTCTTTGGATTAGTTCCACTCAAAATTCTCTGTAGATTCCTACTACTTGCGCTATGGTTTGTCGGATATGCTTTTAATTTGTCTATATTTTCTGCAACGTAATCATTAACTTCACTAGCATGTTGCAATAGTTCCTCCACCGATTCTCTGTTCTTATTACGGGTAATGGTATCACTATCGGATACACCTGATCCACTCTGCATATCATCAAAATCTGTATCAGTATTGGAACTCTTTAATATCAGTGGATCTGAACCATTTTCGGGATCTATTTGAAATCTTACTTTTTGAACTGCAGGAAATAAACGTGCATCTTGACTGTCTATATCCAGGAAATTTCGTTTCTGAAAGATATTAGGTTTAAGGGGTAGGTCAATACCTATATCATCGTCGTCATCATACATGCTATATTGTTCACTCTTGGACTTATCTGATAATATTTGAGTGTCTGTAACTGGATCATGTTCCATGTTAAATAAATAATAATGAGATCGATTTCTTTCAACTTGTTTAAGATTATTATGATTTCTAAACCTTAATTTGACCTTTGGAATATATGTATATCTCTTTATTTGGCTTAAATATTTGTATACCTGTTGTTATTATGAAGGTGAGGTTATACTATTTGATATACTGCAGAAGAAAAAACAAACAAAGAATAAGGCTAAAAAGGAATTCTTACCGTAAAAGGTTTTTATTAGTTTTGACTTTAATACTACCAACAAAAGGATATATTTCTAGTTGAGATTATTAAATAATGAAAACTGAGTAAAACTATATATGAACTAACGTATTTCCCTGAAATGTTTATTCCTTATTTCATACTGGCTTGCAATATATGTAAGTAGTCCTTACAAATTTTTATGACAGCCTACGCAATTTTCTTAGTCGAATATAGCATCAACAAAAAAACAGAGGTATCAGCTATGAATATACATAACCCCCCCTTCGCGATAAATAACAGCCACAGAGAATGATGAGTTAATCGCATTTAGCTAATTATCCCACATTATTGGGACTTGCTTGCATTCTCCATATAATAAAAATTATATGAAACAGTCAAAAGTAGTGTTGTTTTAAACCAAAAAAGAGATTAAGATATGATTAGATTATATAAAATATTTAAAAAAATAAAATATGTAGTAGAAAGCATAAGCCTAAATCGCTTAGTATAGTCTGATAGCTGGACCCATAGTAGATTTGATAACTAGGGAACCAACATTTTGCCAGTTCTTCTTTAGTAGAGAAACCAAGAAGTTAACAGACATCAAGATTTGGTTGACTAGAGCGTCTTCTTCCATCTCGACGTTACCGACAGCAACAGCTAGACATAGAACCTTCTTCAATTGGAACTTAATGGTAGATCTGACATCAGTGACCTTTTGGTAAAGATCATCGTTGTGAGAAACTGGGGTTGGGAACTTACCAGCCTTGGATAGTTGAGGACCTAGAAGTCTTGGAACTTGCTTGATCAAAACTTCAGAAGCAACGAAAGCGTTGTACTTCTTGGATAGCTTCTTAATCAACTTCTTGTTCTTGTTTAGCTTCTTCAAGTCATCAACAGACATGGCATCAACACCACAAGACTTAGCTCTGTCAACATCGAAAGCATCACCGAAGATACAGACGGACATGTTTGGTCTTGGACAGATTGGTAGTCTTAGAGAACCAGAGAAACGCTTGTCTCTTTGAGGATCGTAGTTCTTTAGACCGATTTGAAGTTCAATGGTTTCCAAGAAGTTTCTCTTCTTGGTTTCAGTGGAGTACTTCAAGATTTCCTTGACTTGCTCCCTGACTTGAGAGGTAGAGATCTTAGACATTATTGTTTAAGTTGTATTTGTCTTCCAAAGTATTTGGTGGTCCTTGAGGCTTTCGACTTGTACAATGTTTTATACACTTAAAAAATAAGTAAATATCATACATTTAAAAATCATATTATCAATACTAGAAGGTATGTGATGAGTTCTTTTTATAGAACGTTTAACTTTCTCAAGCCACTAGGTTTTGTCACTGGAACTATAAAATTATTTTCCAATACTTGAGGATTCTTGAAAAAAAAAATGTGCTCCATTTTTTCGCAAGCATCATAATAATCCGGTGCAAAGCTATAAAAAAATATTAAATTTCCTAAAAAAATAATTCTTGCTGAAAGGAAACATAAGTTGATGGGTGTCAGGGTGTTGAAAACAGTCGCAAATTGTATAGAAAGTTAGAATAGGTTATCAAAAACTCATAAAAGGACACCAGTAGCATAACAAAGGAATGCTTACCTAAATGTGATGAACAATTTAACAGAAGATTTGTGTATCTACTGACATGCATACCCCAATATTTTGGGTATTCTTCCGAATTAATTCATCAAAGTTCAGTTACTTTTCATCTGGAATAAGTAATAGCAGTCGAAAGCTTGGATTTCCAGATTCTCTGAACATCTCACTTTGCATCATATCACTAATGATTTTATTTTAATATTTCTTGATCAGTGAAAATGCATGGTAATGGTTAACGGAATATATCTTATAGGATGCTAAATAAACCCCTTTACAGGTGTGTACATTGGTATAATAAAAAATGGATTCAGATAGAGCAGAAAACAATTCTAAATATTCCCACTAACATCTAGGTCATGCAAACTTTGGAAGTTTAATAATTATCTAATATCTCAAGATTCAACTAAAATAATGCTATTCGCATACATATTCAAATGGAGCCAAGTAATCGAGCGGTAATACATCTGTAAGGAAGTAACCTCGATACTGTACATCCAAAACGTGAAGTACCAGTTCAATGAACAAAGTAAAATGTTTAATATCACAGTTCATCAAATAGAACATTTACCAATGTTGTATTTAGAGAATATTATACTAAACAGAGTTGCTATTGTTAAACTGCTCATCTTTTGTGCATAGTAACGTTGGACAATGTAGCTCCAATAAACCTAATATAGGGGAAACGAATACTACATTATGCAGTATATATCATGTATTATTATATATACGGTAGTGCAATACACTCTGATTCTACTTATATTAGCTACCTTCTCCTTCAGATGGGTTAAGCTAATGTGAGCCTTTTCAGTGCTGCCGCTATATTTTAATATATTATACCTCAAGGTGTATTATTTTACGAAATCAAATATGAGGTCATATATAAAAACGTCACGTGACACAAAAGTCTATAAATCATATTGTAAAATAACAATTAATTTTTCTCGTAAATTTAGCTCGCATGGCGTAATGGCAACGCGTCTGACTTCTAATCAGAAGATTCTGGGTTCGACCCCCAGTGTGAGTGCTAACTTTACTTTTTTTACATTAATTCAAAATATAACTAACTAAACCACATATCGTTCCTGAATTTTGAATATATGATCAGTATTTCTTTTTAAATAAGTTATTAAAACCTACATTTAAAGGAAAGGAAAGGAAAGGGGAGGGAATTTATTATTTAATTTTCTTTAGTGCAATAGTCGGAAATATAGTATTGTAATTGTAAATCTACCTTTAATTTATAAGTTCCATGTCGAAACTAATACGATCACTCACTATTCGAAGAGAAAGAATACATATATGATAAATTCAATAATGAATGTCTTTATTAAAATATATATGCTATAAAATTGGTAGTAGTTACATAATCTTTACAATTATCAAATTGTGAGTATAACGAAAAGTAGTAAAGATAAAGAATGAATAATGTTTAAAAATGCAAAATAAGTGGAAAGTGTCACTAAGAAATGATCGATCCCGAACCTTATAAGAAATCCCCTTGTAGAACGTCTGTCTTATGTTGTTCCTGTTGAAGACTGTTCATACTGAAGTCCCGTTCAGAGAACCCAGTAGATGAAATGCCACCATTTGTGGAATGTAAATCTACCGTGCTTGGTTTATTAAAATGGAGAGCTTCGGATTCGTAAGAACCAATCAGTCCATTACCAGTCTCTGAGTTTTCTCTTTGATGTTCTAATCCTGGATATTTCTTTGTTGGGGAAGTAGATTTAGAGGTCGAAGAAGTCGTATAATCATAAGTACCATCACCTTCTTCCTTGGAATAAGAATTGTTCACCCCATCTTTTTCGTCCATATCATCTCTATTTTTTCTACCGAATTTACCAAATATTTTTTGGGTCAAAGTTGGTTTTCTTGCTACATTTCTATTCAAATCAGAACTTGTAGAATATTCATTTTCTTCATCTGAGCCTAAGAAGATATTTTCCTTTGGATTATTTTGCATATCATATTCCCAGTTCTCAGCATGATCCTTAGCAATGTTACCTAGGGCCATTAAATCTTCATTAATAGAAACCTTGACGTCATCCCCTTTAATATCATGCCTCTGGAACGATGTTCTGTCATCACGAGCTGGTTTGAATCTAATATCCGGATTCTTCGAGAATAGAATAATACCAGTGTACACTAGAATCATCATTAATAGAATGAAAGAGAAAGCTGCATTCATAATGAAAAATACCCACCCCATAATAGCAGATACAGCGTATGGTTGACCAAACAAATCAGAGAAAAACATGAATAGGAATGAATTCACAACTGTTATAGTGCAAATAAAAATATTTAAAAAGTTAGTTAGACGATCCAAATATGGTTTGTAACGAATAACTGCAACAAAATAGCCCAGATCTAAAATGAAGATAGCCAATGCCTGAGTCTTACCTGATGCTTGAGCGAACCCAATAAATAGGGACTTGACAAAAATATAACTAACTAAGACAACGTTCCACCAATAGTGACTAGCGTTAAACATGGTGTAAAAGAACCCGTATTTATTTAGAACACGTTCGTCACCATATAGTAAAGCAGCAGGGTTATTATAAGTTTCAATGGATTTTTTACCGAAATAACAAGTTCTGTAACCAGCCCAGACCATAAGCCCTACCGATAAAACAATGAAAAGACACGAAATAACAATAACGGCTGCCGAATCTCTTTCAGTGAATTCCCAGAATCCTAGAATTGTTAATTGTGTGAAACCAATATAGATATATCTTAATAAGGAACCCTTTAAGATAACTTTCCAACTTTGATTGAATTCTCTGAATTTTTGAGGTTTGATCCAACCAGCTCTTTGGGCCAAATAAATACTATATTTGCAAACCATAATAAACCCAGCTAGAACATAACCACATAATACAAAAAATGTAAAACCTGTGCAAACAATAGAAGTATTTTCAATACCCATACTATAACCAAGTCTCTTAATACCTCTAAAGATCAAAGTGTTTGAATTACCGTATAAGATATTTTCTGCACGTTTAAACAATGGTAAAGTTCTCATATAATCCCAACTTCTTTGAGTCAAAACAGATTGAGAAGTAGAAGTCAAAAACAAGGCTGGAGTACCACCAGTAGATTCGACATACCAACGGAAAATCTTTTGCATGAAATGGATATAAATAAGACCCATAGACCAAGCCATATTTTCACACCAAGCGGCAGCAATAGGTGGAACACTATGAACATGTTGCATACCAATAACTGCTACAGATTGGAAATACAAGAACAAAGACATTGTGTTTGCAGAAATATGAGATGCCGCAGTGGAGTTACCAAATGCAGAAAGGACAGCAGATAATAATAAACCAATACCAGCAATCACGGCACTAGCCCATTTAACACCTGTTTGAGACACAGTTTTACCATTGGAGAAGAAGATTTCAATACATGCTAAACGGGCAGTCATATTTTGGTCATAGATGTTAACAATCACGTATGCATCAATATCAGGAACTGAGTAAGCAATATTTGGAATATCATTAATATAATCCTGAGATATGTATTCAATGGAGTCAATTTCAATGTTACCTGGATGGACTGGACAAAATTGTTTCCAGTCTTCAGAACACACATCAAAGTTCTTTGTGATAATCTTAAACCCATATGCGTAAACGTCGATATAAGCTAAAATATAAGAGTCAATTTCAGTTTGTAAATCCAATGTATAATGTAAGGATCCGTCATCTGGGTGAAAGACGACATCAAAACTGTTAGAAGAGACTTGAGAACCTTCCATACAAGTGACTAAGGATGTAGCCCTCAAATTTCTCTTTGCTTCAGTAGTGGAAAGCAGTATAAATGGTAATAGATACCATATAATCTGAAATGGATTCATTATTTGTTCAGAATTTCCGTGGAGATAGATAGATATATCTTTATAAGTGGATCCACTGTTTTAATATAAATAAACTGCTAGCGAATGTATAATAATAAACCAACTATTGTTACAGATAGTAGTATTAGTAATGGTTTCTTTTGAAAAAAATAAAAATAGAAAGATGTAATAAAATTTCTTTATTTTATTATTTTATATTATATTATATTATATTGAATTTTCTTTTTGTCTTGGCTCCGGAAAGGGAGATTTACACAGCGGGAAGGGAAAAGTTTTCTTTTAAAAATTTCGTGTAAATGATAAACGAAAAGGAAATGAGTAAAGTACTGATTAATAACTCTTTTTATTAGTAATAGCTCACACGTTTAATTTATAAAACAAAATGTAGATAGTATGGTGAGAATAACAGATGGATTATGTTACTATAAGTGAATGAATATAGTTTAATGATATTAAAAAATAAAATAAGTAGATTATAAGTACTTTGAGAGTGCGAGTAGCAACTATATATTGATCTAGTATGACTTCTTATAAATAGTAAATCAAGAGATTTAAATAAAAATTTAAAATTTAAAATTTAAAATGAAAATGAAAATGAAAATGTGACAAGTAAGGCATAAGTGGGGGAAACGGATAATAGAAAAGGGACAGATAAAAAAAACACATTGTAACAACTACATCTAATTGATAGAATAAAATCTATTTAATATATATATATATATATATATTGTATTAAATTGACTACTAAATTCATCAACGGATCAAATCATCTTACAGAAAGAGTTTTATATTTTTACTTGATCTCATCACACGTATACGTAACGCCAACTGCAGGACAATAGGTGCAAATGTGCGTAAATTAAAATAACAGAAACTCCATTTCTTCAATACAAATAAATTATATACGTAGGTCTGTTCTTGTTAGTATGTATCGTTATACGACTAACTCTTAGGTGGAGACTACGAAGAGAGAACTAAACTCTTTTCATAACTATGACTTTTTTCTAGTTAATTTATAATTAGCAACTTCTTAATCTACGCTTCATCCTAGTTAGGTATATCATTCAATGATTTAAAAAGTGGCGGGTTTCCAATTAAACAAGGGAACACTTTCCTTTTCCTAATTCGTTGAAAATTTGTAATTGCTTCATCCCAGTTTAGGTGATACCAATCCAACCAATACCTTCATTAAGCTCTGAAAGAACTATTCATTATTAATATTATTTGTATTTAGCACAGCAATATAATATAGCAATGCAAAATTCCACAGAAACACTCTGACAAAACTCACAATAAATTAACGCGTTCCCCTCTCCTCTCAATTTACGTGATAAAATTTCCGTTGCTCCCCTCCGACAGAAGAAAGAGGGATAGACGCGGATATTAACTGCGCCCACTGAGAGAAAAACGAAGCAAAATCTCTCCACTGAGAATGCTCTCAATAGGTGGGCGGCCTTCTTGAAAATTTAGAGGCTGGGTGTTGTGGAGTTTTTGCAAGATTTGAAAAGAAAATATATTCGCGTTTTTTCAATTTTATATTATTTTCTCGTATCTTAGCTTAATTAGGAATAAACAGAATATACTACATTTCATATAGAGAAGATTTGGGTCTCATTGCCACCCTTCAAGAAGGAACGGTAAACCAAACCTACAATTGGCGTTCTTTCCAGTTGTTTTGTTATTAATTGATTCATTATTTATTTACCTATACACCAACGTACACTCAGTCGAAGCGTATTAATCATTTTGTTGTCTCACCTTTCTCTCACATCTTACTAGTAATCTTATTTGAATCACACGATTCCACGTGGTGGGTGGTGTCTACAGGCGTCTTGAATAATAAACTAGGCCAAATGGCAAGCATAGCGTCATATATGTCATTGACATACGTTAGTTTCAGCCCCACTTTGTCATACAGTAATTGCGCATCTACAATTTGTCTCGTTTGCATTAACGATTGTCTATCGTCGTTCTCTGTGATTGATTCGTAACGTCTTTCATCAATGTTATCAATGTCATCAGTAATAACACTAAACACATCGTTACGATTACCAATAGGAACGAGGATTCGTTTCATACCATTCATCTTAGCTCCTAACATTTTCTCCTTTAGACCTCCGATTGGAAGAACTTTACCTCGTAATGTTATTTCACCAGTCATACATATGTCACGATCAATAGGAAGTTGTAACAATATCGACAACATTGCTAATGTGATAGCCATACCTGCACTCGGTCCATCCTTTGGAACTCCCCCCATTGGAGCATGTATGTGATATTTACTTGACAAGAACTTATGAACCATTGTTTCGTTAACACCCTTGATTATGTTTCTGTTGATCATAGATTCCACTAGACTTGTAGCAATCTTAATCGATTCTTCTAATGTCTCACCTAGATTACCTGTACACTTGATGCTTGGACCGTCCGTGATCATATTGTTAGTTCTATTACCATGGCCACTCTTGAGACTTCCTGTCTTCACAATTTCAAACATTAAGACACCACCAGTGCCGCTAGAGTTATATGACAAACCATTGACAAGTCCGACTTTAGATTCATATTTCACATCGACCAATAATTCATCGTTGATAGAAGGTAATGGAAACCCTAAGTATTTATATAAATCATTCTCGTGTACTCTCGTTTTGAATATTGCCACTTTTGTGCTAGTTCCTTGAGTTTCAACATTTTTAATATATTCGACGATCTTTCCTCTGACAATCGATGCTAATTTTCTTTCCAAATTACGTACACCAGCTTCTCTAGTATAACCAGATACTAAATCAGACCATGCCTTGGAGGTCAATTTGAAATCACCATGTGGAATTCTATTAAACCCATTCATCTTGATTTGTTTAGGCAACAAGAATTTAGATCCAATCTGAATTTTTTCTTCCATAGTATATCCTGGAATCTTAATTATTTCTAATCTATCTAATAATGGACCAGATATAGTAGATGAATCATTAGCGGTACATAGGAATAATACTTGTGATATATCTACTGGGAATCCAACATAATGATCCATAAATGAAAAATTCTGTTCAAAATCTAAAATCTCTAATAATGCACCTTCTGGATCACCATTGGATCTGGAACTGTTCCTACTATTCATAGTACTTACTTTATCTAATTCGTCTAATAAGATCAACGGATTCATAGTACCACTCTTTCTTATAGCATCGATGATAGACCCACACATTGCCCCAACGTACGTACGACGATGGCCACGTAGGTCAGACTCATTGTAGATACCACCAAGAGATATTCTTTGATATTTACGATTTAATACTTTAGCAACTGATTTAGCGATAGAAGTTTTACCGACACCAGGAGGGCCCACTAATAATAATATCGGGGGTCTACCAATGGAAGAAGAATTATTACTTTTGTCATTAACCTGATTGTTTAGGATTTGATTTAATTTCAAAACAGATAGATATTCCAGAAGTCTTTGTTTAACTACAACTAAACCAAAATGGTCTTCGTTTAAAGTTTTCCGACTCTTGTTAAGATTAATAGTCATATCTTTACCGGAGTATTTACCAAATGGAATATCAATGATAACATCAAAATAATTACGTAACAACTGATATTCAGCATTGTGTTGGTAACCATGCATTTTTTTCAATTTATGAAAATCTTTAGTTAACATACTCATTGCATCAACATGGATACCTAATTCTTTTACACTTTTAATAAATTTCTTGATATTTATCAAATCATCATCTACCTCACCATCTTCATCATTATCATCATCGATATACTCATTATTATTGGAGTTTGTTGTACTACCCATGTATACTATTTTCTTTGACGAGGAATCACCAGGTATATAAGGTTTCCCTTTCACATCATTGACATAATATTTTAAGGATCTTAATTGATTAGCGATTAAATTTGTCTTCTCAATTATCGTTGCGTTAGCGTAGTATTTCTTAATATACTCTGTTGTAGAATATAATTCTGTGAAAATGTTAATGAAACCATTAACAACATTTGAAAAAGCCAAAATTCTCTCTTGTAATTGTGTAGTGTTTAAAAAATGTATTTTGTCCATATGTGGGGTTGGTATCATTGCAACCACATTATCTAAGAGTGATAATAATTTCATGAGTTGTAAATTTGATATCTTTCCAGAGTTTTCATTGATCAATATTTCATTTGTAACATCTTTCCTTAATTGAATAACTTTTTTCCAATTCTTTTTCAATTGAGAACTGTTTAATTGGAAGAATAAAGTGTTTGTTAAAGGTGACAACAATAAAAAATGTTCATCTGTTGTTCTCTTAAGGGCTCGTCTATAAGTAATGTTGAATTCGTTAACTGTAGTCTCTAGAGATTCAGTCAATTTTAATACATCAAGGATAATTGGCTTCAACTGTTCCATGGACGTTATATTCAACGTATCGATTACATTAGATATAGTTACGTTAGATTTCCAAATTATATTGTCAGCATTCAACAAAGGAGTCTCTATTTGAATTCTGACTAATGATCTAAGTATTAAAGTAGTTTCAGTATCATTTACTGTCTTTTTAAATGTAAGTACACGACAAAGACAGCCCATATTACATGCTCCACCCTGAGGTATAATCCCGAAGAAATAATTTGTTGGTGTTACACTTGAGTCATTTTTCGTTAAAGGGTATTGTTCATTCAACATTTGATAAATCTTTGGATCATATTCATTTTTATTGTTAAATAGTTTCAATAAATCAGATGCAATAGAATTTTGTAAAGTTATTTGAACATGAGAACCTGGTAAGATTACAGTTGAATGTACAACACATGGTAAATTTGGTATTATCGTCATATTTAGTTAACTTCAGAATTGTTCAAAAATCTAAATAGTATGTGTATGTTTTCTTACCTTTTAATATAAGTATATTTTAGCAACCTGTGCTACTTTTTAAATAAATATACACATAAACCAAAAGGATATATGTGATTATATATATATATATATGTATGTACTTACCATGTTATATGCATGGGGTATTGAAGTATATATCTTTGAGGGTCCTCAGTTACTTACTGTTAGAACCCAGTGCATTCGTCATGGCCCCCTAGTTCCGCCTTTCACGCTATAAAAAATTTAGAGAGACGATCCTGGACTCGCTCGGAGATCTTACTCGCTCTTTGGCTTGGTCTGCTCTCTGTGTGTATAATGGAAAAACAAACCCACAGTGAAAAGCATACTATATACCTACGATATTGTAAGTAAGCATATCTTTTTCATTAGCTGAACTCAAGCAGGTACACAAGGCTAGTTTAGGTGTATGACCAGTATGAGCATTGCTTATGATGATGATGATGATGATGATGATATAAGCTTTTAATCGATGTTTAGTCGTTATTTTTTCTCATCTTGAATCTGTTCGCTAACGTACCGTTATGATGGATATCCGAGAATATTAATAATTAATTGATGGAAGTTTCTATTACTATTTTATGTGATTCTAGTTGTAATTTCTTACTAACCCATAGATTCACTATCTGTACTATCTACTTGATTACCTTTATAGTAATATTCTATCAGTTGTCTCTTCAGACGTAAATGTACACCTGGAGCTTTCTCATCACCATCGTCACTATGACTTGATTTTTTATTTTTCACTTCTTCCTTCTCTATTATACGTGATAATATTCTATCTGATAAAGGTTGTTTTTTCTCTTTCTTTCTATGAATCTTAGGTACGAGTGTTTCATCGATCAACGTATAAAATTGTTCCAGATTTTCTTCAATCTCTGGTAATTCAGAGACTTTAATATGTTGCATTTATAATAGGTTTTGTGTGTGTGTATGTGTGTGTGTATGTGTGTGTGCAGAATTAATTATGCTCTACTAATAATTCATACATGTATCTATATATGTTCACTTCACTTTTTTTGCTTTCAACAGAATATATGACTAAGATAAATGGTTAATATGAAATTTGATACACTTATATTATATATATGTGTGTGTGTGTGTAAATCGAATATATCACAGAAATAAGAGTGGTTTAATGAAACGATAACTATGAAGCATCATTATATCATAAAAGAAATTAACTAACATATATATATATATTACATAAGAAGATAGCCAATGTTGTTTTCAATTAAGAAATGAGTGTACTAGATGCAGTATTGCACTTTAGCAAATTCTTCTATGGTGAAATATTCCATAAAATCGATAATAAATAAATATTCCAAGAGTGGAAACGTTATCAGTTATGAAGAGAGATAGACAACTGAAATATTATTTATTATATTCAAAAGGGGGAACAGCTGCAGCATAACCATCGAACGTTTGTTTGTTTGTTTGCTTTTCCAATCTGCTTACCATAATCCTCTGTGTGTGATTGTGTGTGTGCACCCGAAGAAAACCGTTTATGAAATATATTCGTTGCGAGATTTATGTAATTTTATTGGCAGAAGCGAAGAAAGGACTGTGCGAGCATGGAACTGTCTTCAAATCAGTCAGTCAGTATTGTTATTGTTGTTATATAATCTTGATGTCTGCTCAACATGAACAGAACTCACCCTATGAATTAGGAGTAGTTATCCTAATGCATAATGAGGTTTTGTTTATATGTGGGGGGAGGGCACTGAAAGACCTCCAAGGGAAACCATTCCTCTCATTATTATGTACGTACACATATTTTATATTTCTCTAATGTCGGAAGTTGCCAAGTAATAACAAAAATACTATGTGACTGAGTATGTATATATATATATACGTAACATTCTCTCCATTACAAGTGGTTCGTTTATTCAGAGAAAATGGTACTACTACTTAACCTTTTTCAGACAATGGTTCTTACACACTGCGTATTGATGGTACAGATGATACAGCGGTCAGGATTGGGATGAATAAAAAGTCAGGTAATATGTATTAATTAGAACAGTACTTACCATTCATTATACATAATACCAAAACTGATGAATGATATTGAAACTCACCTCATCTTTTAGGTGATGGTCAGCTTAGATATACATATATATGTGTCACGCTTGTTATCATCCATTGCTGAAAATAAACGACCCATTTTGGTTGTTGTATTTATTTGTTACCCCTGGGGGAAGCGCCCAGTCGTCCCCGCACCAAATACTGAGAGATAAATATCTTTCAACACCCACACATGCAGACACCTGTATCCTGCGGTAGTTTTAGCAAGATATTTTTAATTGTACGATTCCATATATAAGAGTATGGTGTTACCGTATTGGGCAATGTCCCATTATGGCAATATCTGTATCTGTATTTCTAATATCTATTACGCACATGTTTTACTAAATGGGGTAACACCATATTCTTATTACTGATAATAGAAGTGACGTTATTTATTTCAATATTTATTAATAGTGTATGTTATATATATATATATATATAGTACTTATGTCATTAACTGGAACAAGTGGATTGAGTATTTAATCGTCCAAGAGTTTTCTCATAACCTGTGTAGGTAAGCCATCTCTTGCTAGCATCAGCGCATAATTGTGGTTCCCATTGAGTAGAATCAAATGGATTACTACACATCAGAGTTAGTTTTTTTAACAATGAAAGATCTAACGGGGTAGTATCATCGACCAATGCATCCCTTTGGTTCACCGTAATATCATTTATTACTTCTTCTAATATCCAATTGTGGGGAATAAATAATGGATTGTACCGTTTGGAAATTTCTATTGGAGATGGACCAGAAGTTAACCATAATCTATATTCAGTGGTCCATTCTTGTATTTCTTTGAAAGTCTCATTTAATAGTCTCATCTCTCCACTATTTATTTTGCTCTTCCCTTTACCTTCAATGTATTCATGTCTTTGTTTGGCGGTAATGAAACAGGAAATATAATTTTCATCCTTTTGTATATCCTCTTCAATACTCATTTGATCAGGAATATCGTTCTTATCAAAATTTTGTAAATTGACAAAAAATTGTGTATAGTCAACTTTAGTTAACTTCAGAATATTTAATAAAGGCTCCACTATCGTACTACAAAATAATTTAGCACGTTCGGCTCTGCTTTGAATAGTCTGCTTAGTTTCGTCATCCTCGTACACAACAGTCGGGTCAGAAACATTTTTGTCCCTGATGTTTAATTCAATTCCTAATCGTCTTGCCATTAAATCCGCATATGTGATTGTGAATCTATATTTATACTCATTAGCACATAATCCAATTAACTTATTGGCCCTTATAACTAATTGTTTCTCCTGCTCTTCATTTAATTCTTTAATATCTATAATACCATTTTGACCTGATCCAATTAATAATGCCATAGAGTGGGCTAATTGTGTCAAATTAAACCATATTGCTGTAGGTTGATTACCTAACGCATACATTCCATTAATATCATCATGATTAGGTGTGTAACCAGGATCGAATGTATCCATAAATCCAAATGGTCCAAAATCTAAAGATAGGCCCATTATTGATGTATTATCTGTGTTTAATACACCATTAACAAATCCATAAGCTTGCCAATAAGCAACACATATTGCATTCAAATTGACAATATGTCTAAATAATAGATCATATTTACTTAATGGGGTATCTATCCTTAAAGGTTCTTTATTTTCTTGTGATGAGTTCTCCTTAACTTTTTCATCATTACCATCTGGGAACCAATCCTTGCTAAATGTATTAATATCATGTTTCGTTGTAGCAAACGTTTTACCATTTTGGAAAACTTCATCTATACAAAATTTTGATAAACTCACAAGACTCTTTGTATCCGGTCTTGATCTATAAGTATCAAAATTACCAATACGTATCCAACTTGGTGCAAATCTACATAATACTGCGCATGGTTCTAATCCATTTCTTAAGGCTTTAGTCCCAGGTAGTAACGTCAATTGTAACACTCTTGCACATGGCACGTTTATGTTATGGAGGAATTCACTCACAACGAATTCTCTAATACTAGATCGTAAGACGGCTTTCCCATCTGCAAATCTTGAAAAGGGGCTTTTCCCACTTCCCTTTAATTGCAATGTCTGGAAGCGACCCTTATTATCTGGAAGATCGAATAAATTTAAGACTCTTCCATCACCTAATTGTCCGGCAAACTGACCAAATTGAAATCCTGAGTAGGACATACTGTAAGGAAAAATTTTACTATCATGATAAATTTTATTCCCACATGTTATATCAAAGAAATCTTTATCCTTAGATAGTTGTAAATCCCTGATAGCATTGGGAGATGTTATTAATGGTTTGTATTCGGGTCTATCTTCTGGAACATTATATGCAAAATGAGACCCTAATGAAGTGATACGAGGAATATGGGAAGGTTTATTAGAGGTTTTTTCCAGTAATATTTCTTGTGCTTGTGATATCGATTTTATGGAATCATCTGGCATTAACTTTTCAATAAATCGCGACCTTCCGGTACTCTTGATACGGTTAATTATGTTGAATGGAGAAAGCTCAGGCATTTCTTTCTTATCTTTTATTTTGACTAGTATCCCTTTAAATTTATTTCTTTGTAAACGTTGTTGATATCGATTTTTTAAAAGTACCCCTCTTTTCCTTTCTTTTTTAATTTGTTCTTTTGACCTTTAGTGAATAGGGACCAATAATAATATAAATAATGCAAATAACACCTTTCACTTTTATATCAAACAATAAAATAGCAATGCTTGCATTAATAATTCACAATTATGATATCATCTGAGAAAGGCTAGAACAAATAAAATAAGGGTACGTTGCAAGTCATTATTAAAAACAATCGTTGCCAAAAATTCTTATGATGGAAAGAATCGAAAGTTGTTCGTTTCCCTTTATTTCTCTCAATACGTAAAACCATCGCGCGGCTGGGTTTGACTGTCGTTAGTATAAGTCATCAAATTAATGGCATTGGTTATTGAATCTTTCCAGTTAAGAGTCTAACAATCAAGAATAATTAATGATTTGGGTGGAATTTAGCAGTAACTGGTCAATTCAAGAAAATCATTTTAATGATAAAAATCATTTTTTTAATATGAATAAATTCAGTCCCCTAAAGGGTACAATAGTAGTATAATTATTATTTATTGACATCAGTTAATTGTTTAAAACTATATTCCGGTTTCTCATTTGAAGTTTAAAGGGAGATGTAAGGGTCAATAAGTTAGATACTTAACTTTGTTCGAAAACATATATAAAGGTACTGGATGAACTCAATGATCATTATCTAAAATTGGTATTTATATGTATGTACTTTGTATATAATAATTATTGTCATTTGCTTTTACTAAAAAAAATTATTATCGATTTAACAAACTACACAACTGAGTGGAATTTATATTAGATCAATACACATACACAAATAATGTCAAACCTATTTAACAAAGTTTCAGAAAAGCTTCCAGGTCACCACAAGAAGGAAGAAGATAGTAACCAATCTTCTCAAAACCGCAGTAACCAACAAAGAAACCAAGGTTTCAACAGTAGTACTGCTGATGACTCCCAAATGTCAAGTGGTATGAGAGGTAATGACTTCACGACTTCTCAACAAGATGAAGATTACGGAAACACAGGAAGAAAGGGCAATATGTCACAACAAGACTGGAACACTAATCAAGATTCTCAGTTCGGTTCCAACCAACAAGGTACTGGTACTTATGACTCTGGTGGTGCTCAAAGAACATCGGCAATGGGTATGGGTGCAAACTTGATGAATGATGAGGACAATGACGACCAATATGGTGGCGACCGTCAACAAAGAACTACAAGAAGCTCCGGTAGACGTCAACAAAACAACGATAACATGGATAACGAAGGTGATTGGTAGTGAAACAATTCTGCTAATTCTCTCTTTCCTTTTATTTTAGAAATATAACCTTCTTCAGGTGATTTTCTTTTTTCCCCTTCTTCTTCTTCTTCTTTTCTTTATAAGATATATACAGGTAAACTTTCAAGTAAAGTACGAACTGCATAGAGATGAACCATATGTAGTCCGTATATATTTATATTTATATTTTTTTGTATTCGTTAAATCAATAATCGTTTGTTGAATATTGTCGAATACCTGTCGAATGATTAGTCCCATCCTGTAAGGTGCATTGGTTTAAGATTTCCCATCCATTGTTCATGTCATTGCAAAAAAAGGGTGTTGTAACTTGAATATTAATATCTTCTCGGCGAAAAATAGAAGGGAGCAAAAACAGTCTCTATCGCTAGTAGTAATATTGAGTAGAGAACGTATAATGAACAAAACTAAATATTATATAATGGCAAATATCTCGATGCATTGGATAATATTATTAATTCAAATTGTTTAATATTTATCCACTCTATCAGAAAAGAGTGAGGTCAATATATGTACTGTTATTTGAAGATTATTGATATTTTGTTATTCCAAGCACATAAAAAAACTAGAGCCCTGTCGTATAATTAATTTTTACTTTGCATATTGGCTTAATTAATTTGTATTCGTTATTATCATTAACCATCCAAAGATTAGTTTGTGAGAGAGAGAAAAAAGAAAGAAATACAACAATGTTTAGACTGCCAGCTGTTACAGCAAGAAACTATGTATCTCTACATATAACGTCATCTCGTTCGACTACCACCAATAGAGTGATCCGTATTTCGTTAGTGAATAGATTTCATAATGGATCATCGATTTGGAATCAAGGAAAGATTACTTCTAAAACAATCATCAAAGGTAAAACTCTAGACCAAACGAAACAGGAAATACAAAAGGAGAAATTTTCAGATATTTTTAATACCAACGATCATGAACATGTTCATCTTCAAGAATCAGAGACGGAAACTAGTGATAGTTATCATTTGGGAGCCAAGGATCGTAAGACAGACAATACCGGTATATCTGCGGGTCGTCTCACACATACTCATAATCACACACATTCACACTTGGAACCTAATGAAATGTTAGTAGCGAGTCTACATGAGATTAGAAAAAATGCAGGCGTTAGAATTACATGGGTGGGACTCATGATTAATGTCGGTATAGCTCTAGGGAAATTTGTTGGTGGGATAGTATTCCATTCACAAGCATTATTAGCTGATTCTATTCATGCTGCAAGTGATCTTATATCGGATATATTGACATTAGTATCAGTTAACATGGCTTCAAAAAAACCAACAAGTGAATTTCCTTACGGATATGGGAAAATTGAAACTGTAGGTTCCTTAGCAGTATCCACTATCCTAACCATGGCAGGTGTTTCCATTGGTTGGACCTCATTATGTGCAGTTGTTGGGCCAATTGTTCCGCATACTATTATTGAGACAGTAACCTCATTCTTAGGTACACAACATGCACATTCACATTCACATACCATGATACCTGAAGGTGTTACTAACATAAATGCGGCCTGGATCGCTGGTGGTTCTATAGCATTAAAAGAATGGATTTTCCAGGCAACGAAAAAGATTGCAATAAAGACAAACTCTAATGTTTTGATGGCAAACGCATGGCATCATCGGGTAGATTCTCTAACCTCATTTGTAGCGTTGATTGCCATCACTTCTAGTCATTTCTTCGGCATTAGTTCATTAGATGCTCTTGGTGGTCTTGCAGTTTCAGGTTTAGTCATCAAGGCAGGTGGACAAGGTATGGTTTCTTCTTTGAAAGAGCTGATTGATCAATCCATTGCTCATGAAGACGAACGTTATATCAAGATAGAGACGGTTATAAAAGATGGTCTGAATAAGCTTGTCTCTGATAACAATTCTGATAAGCCATATGAGGTTAATGAATTGACAGTGCTTGCAAGTGGTCCAAACACTCGTATACATGCAATCTTACAAGCACCTATACAAAAGTGGGATAATTTACTTGGGATCAAAGAGATGGAAAATGTTTCTGATTATTTAAGAACGGTTATTAAGAAGAACGTTAGCAATGTGGGTAAAATAGAATTCGAGTTTATAGAACAACACAAACATATCGATATTGATAAGAAGAACGTTGCCAAATAATTATATATATGGATATATTATTATGTATCTGCGATACTTTCATATAAATAGTGTTCTTTTAATGTGTAACTTCGTAGTCTCTTCATGGAGTAATGTAGGTTCCATGCCGTTATGACCGTGTGCAACAATGTTCACGCATTTACTTATGTACTCCATATAGGGTGACTCCTGACACAATACGTAAACGTGGCACATACAACCCAACTCATCCAATAAATAGACTCTTCTTCTGGTTTTTACCTCTCGTTGCTTAAAAAGGTGAAGAATAATAACAATGGTGGAACCACGCGTCATTAACATGAAATGCTGTCAAGTGATGATTGAAAAAAAAATGGTGTTTGGTAGGTTCAATGATAATAATAATAACGCTACGTGGAAAATAGATATATATACATACGTAGGTAATAGAGAATCGGATTTTGGATGAAATTATATCTAAAGAAGTGTAATTATTTCATTAGAACGTTGTATTATATAGTTTAATAAGAAGATTTATTTTCTGGTTATTCATTGATTAGTCAATTCCGTAAATTTATTGGTGTACGTTCCCTGGAAATACTATAACCTTGGGCTATTTTTAAGGTTTCAAAATAAACGGTAAGAAAATGCTGCATTTAATTAAGGAAACTGCTCTAGTTCTCCATACTTCCAATATTACATATATCCTAGGTACGCTTATCATAGCTGGGTTTGTTTCAGTTTATGTAATTGTCATTCTTTTATCCCATTCACCTAGAAAGGCACATCCTGAAGAATTAAAATATACAACATGCGATGAAAACGGAGATCTAATAACAGACGATTTACCTAGTTCTCCTGCAGATGGAATTATACTCTCAGTGGTAGTCCCCAGCTATAATGAAACTGGAAGAATACTGGCGATGTTAACGGATGCAATTGAGTTTCTACAGAAGGCTCTTCCGGAGCAATGGGAAATCTTAATCGTTGATGATGGTTCTTCAGATGGAACTTCCGATTATTGTTTGAGACTGTCACATGAAATATTTAAATTAAAGGCAAACCAATTGCGTGTCCTCAAATTTACTGAAAATAGAGGTAAAGGGGGTGCTGTAAGACAAGGTTTGTTACATATCCGTGGTAAATATGGTCTTTTTGCTGATGCAGATGGTGCAAGTAAATTTAATGACGCACAATCCTTGCTAGATAATATTAAAGAAATGGAAAAGTCTACGATCAAAGGTGAAATATACCCAACAATGGCAATTGGTTCTAGAGCACATATGGTTAATACTGCAGCTGTCATTAAGAGATCGTTCATTAGAAATTGTCTAATGTATGGTTTTCATACTCTAGTTTGGGTATTTGGTATCCATTCTATAAATGATACACAATGTGGGTTTAAGATGTTCAATAGAGAAGCCATCGATGAAATTTTCCCATATTTACACACAGAAGGTTGGATTTTTGATATTGAAATATTGTTATTAGGTATTATTAAAAATATTAAATTCAAAGAAATTCCAGTCTCCTGGCATGAAGTGGGTGGTTCAAAGATGGACTTGGCCATCGATAGTTTGAAAATGGCAAAGGATTTAGTTATCATTAGAATGGCATATATTTTAGGTATTTATAACGCGAATAAAGAATGTTAACAAATCATCAAAAACATTTGAATATTCAATTTATAAGGTTCCTTAATCTATTCAATCGTATATATCTCAAGCATGTAATAAATCCGTAATATATATCTATGGTATATATTTGTATTTGATCAATATAATTTATCATTTAATTCTATTTAATAAATTTTCCATATCTTACCAATATCAACTAAAAGTTAAAAACTAATAAGAAATTTTTCAGTTCATTCTTCACAGACAAATTTATGTTTTTTACTTATATAATTACAAAAAGTTAAAGATCATGTACACTTTTATTTTATATGATAGAAAACCAAATATTGATATTTTTCCCTTTGAGCTCAACTTACTTTTTATTACCTTCAAAGATATCATAGGATAAAGATGTTAGTTTCCTACGGATGATAGTACCATTGTTCAAAAAAGTTCTGATTACCGCAGCATACTCTTTACTATCATCATTGATTTTATCAAATGCGTTCAGAAGTGCTGGTGTGTTTATTTCTAATTCAATTTCATATGTTGTCTCGGTATGTCTTCCTTTTACACCTTGATTATGGTTTTGAACTGTTGTGACATCTACCCTTGTACATGAGTCATTATGGATATAACTGACACGATCCTTACTTCTCTCACTAACAGGAGTTTGATTCTGGTATTTCTCTGGTGGTTCATTTTCAGGTACTGGTAATTCGAGGTTCAAAGATATTTTCACATCGTAACTATCCTTCGGCGACAATAATAGGATCTGAGAAATATGTCTCTTTTCGATGAATTGACCTACACGACCTGTTTGAATATCTCTACTCATTCTCAAAAATCTCGGTCTCTGTGTTGAAAGACCAACCCTGTATACAGAATCCTTTGTTTGTGATTCAATAATGCTAAATTTTCCAGAATTTTCATTCATCTCACTTACACCACGAATATATTTGTTTAATTCTTTAAATAACACTTCGTCCACATTTGGTGTTAAATGGGCATCCAAATCTGTATAAACAGCCTGAGAAGCGATAGGTGGTGAAACACGCTCTGGTGATTTAGCCTCCACAATTAAACCAAATTTCATCTCCAATTCGATAAAATGTCTGAGTTCAGGCTCGATGGAATACACCGTAGCATACACCCAATCTTGGACAGATTTGGTCAAATCATCATCTGGAATGATGTTTAAAAACGATGAATCAATCTTAAAATCAGATGCGTCGATACTTTGTAATGCACTAATTGTCGGTTTCCACTTTCTAGCCCATGTAGGCACATTTTTATATTTGTTAGGTTTGGATACAGAAGAAATTTCATTCAGCACTTCCAAATCTTTTTTAATGTTATTTCTTTTGGATATATTAGAACTTTTCTCTTCAAAAATATTAGACATTGACTCTTGTTGTTCCTTTGTCTTTTGCTCCTTAACAGGCTTCTTATTTTTCTTTTTAAGAATAGAATTTTCCTGTTCTTCCTTTTCATTAACAGTTGTAGAGTCTGCACTTTCATTTGATTTCGGTTCTTTTTCTTCATTATCTTCCTTTTTGTTCTTTTGAATATCTTCCTGTTTCTTTTTATCAGTATCTTCTTGTTTCTTAACTTTAGTAACACGAGTTGTTTGAGGCTTTTGTGGTGAATTGTTATCTTGTTTATCATAATCGAATGTCATTCCAGAATCAAAATTAATTTCACCTGTACCTCCTAGTTCATCATCTGTGTCAGTCTCATCATCGTGTTGAGTCACAGAAGGTTTCTCTATAGGCTGTGGAACTTCTACACTTGACGTTGACGGTACAGATGATGTTCGTACTGGTTCAGTATCAGTTGGATGTATTGTAACATTAGTAGAATCATCATTCAATATGTTGCGGTTCTGGCCCATGTTAAATTTTTCATCTCGTCTTGAAGGTTCACTTGTACCTGTAATAGGATCTGTATCTTCTGCATTATTAATATCTGCGATACCAATTGATGTCTTTCGTACGGGTTGCGCATTTTCTACTGAATTATTGGTTGTGTTGTTGATATTTTCACTCATCTTTTGTAATTTAATCTTATCACCTTCGTCATGGTTGACAAGATCGTCTAAAGATAGGGCACGTTTAGTCATTATGCAAGGAATTGGCTAGTATTGTTTTTGATAGTAAAGGAAACGATACAAATGGAAAATTCTCCAACAATTTCTGAAATTGGATTATTTGAAATGATGTTTGATATCTATATATATCTGTCTCAACAATGTACTCATTGTTTTGAAACAATTTTACAGTCGTCCTAAAAAGCTCTTCTTAGTTTACTTCATATAATGTTGAAAAAGGCGAACTCAAATGTTATCATGTTCGACGAATATCACTTTAAACGTTATATTTAAAATTTATGGAATTACTAGGACACTTCTAAAAAATAAAATACCATATTCTAAAACTTATATTAATCTATTTATATATATGACTATATCTATTTCTTATTGGCAATTGCAACTGCGACTGATTGGAAATCATCGTGTGAAATAGAAACTTTTACATCAGTAATACCAGCGGCATCGGCAGATTTCTTGGCTTCGCCATGTAGAGAAACTTCTGGGCCATTGCCATTGACACGAGTGATCTCGATGTCCTTTAGAGAAGCACCAGCACCTTTAGATTCAACGCCTAGGGATTTGAAAACAGCCTCTTTTGCAGACCAAGTACCAGCGAAAGAGCTTCTAATATTTGGTTGTTGGTTACAGTAGGAAATTTCACTCACAGTAAAGTTACGTTCAATAAATGTATCATTTTCAATGTTGATACTATTAATCAATTCTGAATCAACACCAACAGATGTACCTGGATTTTTACCAGATAGGGCTTCAGCAGTTAATTCTTTTAAAACTTTGGCAGTCTCGTATGTACCTTTACCATTGTAAGATGTTTCGTTTTGAATAGCCTTTTGGGTAAAAATCAAATTGTTGTTCTCCTTCTTACAAGGAGAGACACGGGCTAATGGGTCTAGATAAACTGGAGCTTCTAATTCATCGCTGTATGGAGCATGTTCCTTACTTACAAACAATTTATTGTTGATCATACCATTTAGGAAGAACTTACGTGCACTTCTTTCCCTGTTAGTAACCCTGTTAACGTAATCAACGTATCTAGCTTCATCAATAATAGCATATAGATAATCTGGATGAATAACAATAGCTTGACCACCCTTTTGACCGAAACCAAAAGATGTGACAGAAACAGCCTTAACACCATCGGTCTTCATAGACTTGGATGGATATAGAACATATTCAAAGTCCTCTAAGACCTTGTCCACATTGTCTGCGTTACGGTTACCTGGAATGACACCAGTATTTAAAATTTGTAAAGCACCATTCAACATCCAAGCACCAGCAGCACCCTTTGGATGGCCAGTCAAAAACTTTTGGAAAACACCGATAACTGGGTTACCTTCAGATCTTCCTAAATGCTTAACCATATCATTAATTGTTGACGATTCGTTCTTATCATTAGCCATGGTAGAAGTACCGTGGAAGGAAGCGACGTCTAAGTCATCAATGGTTAGACCATATGTGGCCAAAGCACCTCTTAATGGAGCAATACGAGAATCATTCTTCCAGAATTCGTTACCCCATTGGGATTGGGCAAATTGTACTTGTTTCTTAGCTTCAAGATTAATTTCATTGCTACGTTCAACCAAGAATTCTTCTTGGTCGACGATTGGAATGGAATCGGCTTCATATCTCAATAGTTCTAATTCGTTTTCAACCCATTGTTGAATTTGAGATTCACGGTTGACTAATTGACGCTTTCTGTAGCCAATATCTAGCATTGGAGTTGGGAACTTGAAGTTACCGTGGAATTCCCTAGCAGTAGTTAAGATACCCTTACCTGGAGCTGGGACAGATCTACCAATCTTATCCGTGGCAGTAGCAGCAAGAGCAACGATACCATAGATTGGAACACCCATCTTTAAGGCTAAATCGGCGTTCATGATAACTTGAATACCAGAACCTTGAGCTTCCATGAAACCGGAACGTGTAGATGTGGCAGGTCTTGACATTTCAGATGGAGTACGACCATGTTCGAATTCTTCAATAGAGTTGGAGGTAGCGTTCATGTTACCGAATTCGTAGGAACCTTCTTCTTGGAAGTCATCGTAACCACCGACTATACAAATTTTAGCCTTACCAGATAGAATAACTTCAACACCGTTATCGACAGATTCAACAGCAGTAGCACATGCACCAACAGGGGTCTTGATAGGACCAGATGAGGATATTAACAACATGTTAACCCATGCGGACATGGTATTGATAAAGGATTCTTGAAGAATATCATTTTGGACTGGTTCATCTTTGTAACGATCTTTAAACATGCCACGTAGAGCAGAAACACCACCCATACCGGAACCGGAACAGTTACCAACTTCAGAAACGTGAACGTATTTATACATTTCATATGGGTCACTAATACCTGAGGAAATAAAAGCCTCGACAACAGAAACCAAAACAAACAGAGTAATTGGATCAACTTGAGCAATAGTGTCTTCAGAGATACCGTATGTCTTTGCATCCCAACCGGTTGGAATTTGACCAGCAACAAGTCTGTCAAATCTTAAGGCCTTTGGAATATATAGAGTGGCACCCTTTAGAAGTTTAACAGAGTATTCACCAGATTCTGGAATTTCGAAAATATCAACCTTCTCACCATGCTCATGCTTGAATTGTTCTGCAGTTTCCTTAGAGGCTTCAAATGGTTCCATGTCTTCTTCAACAATGATTTCTTGGATCATGTGTTTCTTTTCCGGGTTGTAACCGTTAAATAATTCTGGTTCAATTAATCTGATACCAGCATGGTCCAAAATGTAAGCTTCGTATTTAGCCTTAACATCTTTATCGTCGACAGGTTCATTAGTCTTACCATCAACCCAACCGGTGTATGGGCGACCCTTCAAGTTACCATTATGGTATTTAATCAAACCCATCATCCAGGCCATTTCAACACAACCTTCCAAAGAAAATTCACCGTCTGCTTCCATTTCCCATCTAGTTCTGGAAGAACCCCATGGACCAACTTCGGCGAAACCAGTGACGACAACAACCTTTTCTAGATCCAATAGACCCTCTAGATCCTTAGAAGCGGATGCTTTGATTTCCTTATATGGTTTCAAAGTTGGGAAGTCAAGTTTGATGTTGGCTCTTGGTTGAACTTCGACCTTAGTGTAAGCTGCATCGGCATTTTCACCATTGACAACCTTGTGTTCTAGAGCAGTTTCGATGGAGACAGCCTTTCTAATTTCGGAGGTTTCAGTTAATTCGCTACGCAATTTACGGGTGAAATCCTTCAAATTCTTAACATATTGCAGACCACCATTCAAATCAGCCATCACAGGAGACTTTTGACATAGTTGAACAACAGCAGGGTTTAATAGACCCAATAGGTTGAAAGCCATTTCCTTTTGAGAGAATGTACGAACACCCATTTTTTCAATACCTTGAGCAATAACATTGTTAGCACTCATTAGACCAGTACCTCTAGTCCAACCGATAATAGCACCACAAATAGTCAATTGATCGGCCCAGGATTCGGAGTGCCATCTATTGAATAGTGTTTCTAAGGATAATTTGGATTCAGAGTATAGACCGTCACCACCGAAAGTACCGTGATTTGGTGACATTGGTAGGATAACTTGAGCTGGTCTAGTTTCAATACCTCTGGCAACCTTTTGCTTCTTAACGTAACCCATAATTCTGAAGATATTAGTCATCATAATTCTGTGAGCAAATTCAGATTTAGAGTCAATGTTGTCTAATTCGATACCATTTTCTGGAATAGCAGCAAATGGGATGATGGCATCTAGATCCCAGCCAAGACCGCCGTTCTTTGGATCATCGTAAATGTAGTCCACTAAGTTTTCACAATCGGTCTTAGAAGCTTGGTTGAATGGAACAACAATCAAGGTAGAACCCTTGGCACCGTACTTAGCGTACAAAGCTTGGAAGAAATCTAAGACTGGCTTAATAAATGTGTTTGTAGTAACAACGACCTTGGCACCACCTTGCAATAGACCTTGTAGAATTTCACCACCGATGGAACCCTTACCAGCACCTGTCAAAAGAATGTATTTATCCTTGAAGGTAATACCATTAACAGCAGCCTTTTCTAAACTATCTAAGAAGGATTCAGATAATTGACGATCGTATTTCCATGACCCATCCGATAACTTCTTCTTTAAATGTAGGAAAGGAACAGTTTCTCTTGGAATAGTGGAAGACACAGTCTTGGTAATAGTGGATTGATTTGGTAAAGATGCAACTTCCTTTGTAGAGTCAGTATCCAAATCATCATCGATGACACCAGCTAATTTAGTAGTTTGAGAAGCATCGATCTCTTGAGAGTTTTCCAAGAACTTAACCAATTTACCGTAAAGGTTTTCAAATTCCAATTGAGTAGAGTCAGAGACCTTGTGAGTGGAAGCTTGTTTTGTAATAGCCTTGTAAACACGAGCCAAATCGTCTTCGATAGTTGGTTGAAGTTCTTTAGTCAATGGACCACCAAGAGCCATCTCTTGAATGTATTGAGACAATTTTCTAATGTTTTCTCTTGGTGTTTCGTTATACTTGATGTTACCATTCTTATCAATTTCAGTGGTTGGTCCAGTTGGTTTTGAAATATCCCTGAAGACTGGATCCATATCTAAGACCATCTTACAGTTATCAATCAATTGTTCACCCAAAGTCTTTAGCATTTGGTAGTTTTCACCCTTCGATGGGTCAGTCTTAGAAACATGATATTCCATGAATTTAATTAGAGCTTCATTGGATCTGTTCATAATATTGATGGCTTCAGTGACAACTTCTCTATCAACATTTTTTAGTACACCATGAATGATTTGGAAATATAAAGAAAGTAAAGATTGTTTAGCCCAATTCCAAGAGGAATCAAAAGTTCTAGCCTTCTTTCTTGAGAAGGCAGTAGATAGACCATTAACGTAGAATTCACCCAATTCTTGAGTGATGAAATCTAATTGGTTTTGTAATTCAGTGACGGTATCTTTTTCCTTTAAGAATTTTCTTTCACCATTGTCTAGATCCATCTTCAAGTAACGAGCAAGGACTTGTAATTGTTGACGGGCCAAAATCTTATGATCCTTAGTTAATTCATCAAGGGCAGCAACATCAATAGTGGCAGTACCTGCACCAGCACCGCCAGCACCACCAGCCGCAGCACCTGCTGAAGCACTAGCCAAACTAATACCAGCCATAGAGGCGTATTTTTGAGCACTAGCGTCAAGGAATTGCTTAGCGTCAGCTTCAGAACCTAAACGAGAAGCAGGCTCATTGGATAGAGCGACCAACAGGACAGAATCTTGTCTACCGGTACCTAGACCCCAACGAGTCTGCAAGTATTTTCTAGCGATAGTGATAGTGAACCCACCAGGCATCTTTGAAGACATTAATCTTGAGATCAAAGAGGAAGATTGTTTACCTAGAGAACCTGGGAAAGTGTCTTGGAACATTTCAGCTAATTCTTCCAAAGGAGTATCTTCTGGTTTTTCAGGTGTGTTACCAAATTCTTTACCTAGATCACCAAGAATTTCATTTTGAACAGTAGATTTACCACCGACTAAGTCCTTAATTGTCTTGGATAATGGAATGGCATCTAGAGTCTTCTTTAACTTATGAGCAACCAAAGTATGTAAGACCAAACCAGCGGTGACTTGAGCATCTGGAACGTCAGCAGCTGGGCCAGCTGGAGCAGCAGCAGCAACTGGAACAGCAACGGCAGCTGGAGCGGCCGCAGGGGTAGCAGCAGCAGCTGGAGCAGCAGCAGCTTCAGTAGAATCGGTTTCAGGTTCAACTGGAGCAGGGTCAGTGGTATAATAAATTTCCTTGGAGTCCTTAGAGTAACATAGAACTTGTCTTTGTAAAGATAAAGCAGCATCATAGGATTCGTACTTATTTTTCAAAGTTCTTTGAGCCATCCCAGCCAAAGTTGGAGAAGGACCAATTTCGACAACTCTTTCAGTGTTAAAATCTTTTAAGAAGACATCTTGAGTTTCGATCCATCTAACTGGAGAAGCGAATTGATAAGCTAATAATTCGGTTAGCAAGGTATGAGCTAATTCTTGCTCGACTTTTGGTTTCATTACCATATTGTGTAGCTAATTAGATATTAATTACTCTTTATAGTGAATTATTATGATTGCCTTTATAACCAAGTAATAATAATATCAATATATCTACCCAAAAATAATAAGAAAGATTGGTGTCTTCTGAAAAATATGTTTTATATATAAGAAATTCGACAAGATAATAATAGCAAGTAGCAATTAACCGTTGCAACAGCGAAGTCTATGAACGCCGTGTAACCCTTTTGCTGTCAAACTCTCACTGTTGAAGTTTGTTGAATTTACGATGTCAACTGAAAATAAAAAAAGTGTTGATATGCCCCTCTCTGTGTCTCTCTGTAGTGCAATATTCTGGTTCCTACCTGTTGAGAGTTGCTTCACGCGTTGAAGAATCGTAATAACGAATAGCGAAGTTCATTTTCTTTCACATGCACGTTGAATTTGAGAAATTTCACATGCTTGAAGTGCCGTGCAAAGTTATGTTGGTGTGTCACTATATATGACGTTGTTTAAACAAATGTGGTAACAACGAAGTGTCACAGAGGTTATATATAATTTATTGATTAGCATCAACAACATTAAGACAGGGTGAAGCTCACATTTCAAAGATTTAATATGTAAGATTACAATTGAAATATATGTTATGCTCATAATAAAGCCCTAACTGAAAATTATAAGTTGACAGACGCGAAATGGCTCTTATAGCAACTGAAAAGTACAATTCGCTTTAGGCCGCCTCTTAACGAAGAAGGAAAAAAACAGAGAGAGAGAGTGAAAGTTGCAGTTTTTTTCTCGTTGGGCTTGGGTTATATAAAGAGAGAGGATGTTAAATAAATATTATATACATTCGTTTACTCAATTTTCATTTTTTTAAAGAAAATAGAATATTTTAAGTAATAGCAAGCAACATAGCTGTTATATGTAGGTGTACGACATATTCTTTTGGGAAACGCATACAGTAGTATCGTCCATAGAATACGCGTACATTACACGTATAACAGTATATGTGAAAAGTATCCAAGGACATTCAAAGCCTTTTCAATGATAGCGACATTTTTTGTTTTACAAAACTTGTCAATTTCAGGACTAGTTACCGTGGTTGCGACCACACCTACTATGTTCACAACCCTACTGTTGTTGGAAAACTTGTCCTAATTGGAAGATGAATAATTTATTTTATGCCCTTTTTCCACCCTAACCTGTATTTGTCTATATATATTCGTATATTTATTCAATTTTTTTAATTAACTTTGATTTTATTAGAGTTATTCAGTTACAATGTTGGGACTAAAATATCTGGGTAACAAAATCTTTATATATATTTAATATCTTGATTGGTCGTCTTAGTAGTAGTAGTAGCTCAAATGACTTTATATGATTAATTTTTCATTCTTTTTATTTTTTAGGTAAATATACATAGCTATTTAAAAATAGTAAATAAGTGAAGTTGAAGGGATAATATACACAGAAACTGGAAATATTAAACAAAGAGAGTGTTTTATTCTAATAAATATTAATAAGATGATTTAGAACAATATCTATTTGTTTGTTTGTTCTATCTAAAGATAAAAGAAAAAGGGTTATTAATTAAATCATTACAGTTAATGTTTAGTGGTGTTGTTTTTTAATGNGGGGGGGGGGGGATATGTCCTTATGAAAGAGAGAGAAAAAAAGGGTTTAGATAATATAATAATAATACGTTTGTTTATGTTTGAATGTTCTCAAATTTAATTTTATTTTTTGATTTTCATTTTTGTATTTTTTTTGGTTATATCAGTTACGTCTTGTAACAACAACAGATGGTACAACGACGACAACAACAACAACAGCGAAAATCAAAAACAAAATAATGTAACATCTAATTTTATTTCTTCTTGCTCTTTTAGCACTTTTCACAGCTTTATTAGTATGACCAACACCTTGTTCAATATCTTGTTGTGCATTTTCTACATTTTTATCGATAACTTCAATGTTTTCTTCTTGTTCAATAACTAATTGTTCCATATCATTAAACAATTGAGTCAATTCAGCCATTGTCTTTTCTAATTTTAATAATTCTTGGTGTCTTGCTTGAACTTCAGCTAAAGCAGTCTTTGCTTCACCACGTCTATTAGCATTTAACAAAGCTTGAGAGAAGATTTGTTGACCACCAACATCACTAATTGCAGCTTCGACTTCATCATCAGTAGCTTCCGGTTGAACAATTTTATATTGTCTCTTGGCTTGTTCTTTGTTTTCTTCTTTATAATTTGAATCAATAATTCTATAATCTTGAATTAATTTCAAAAATCTTTGTCTTGAATTTTCTGCTTGAGCTTGTTTATTTGAATCATGTAAACCATCTTGTTGAGCCAATTTAATATCTGTCTTTAATTGATATTGTAAATTTGATGCTTGAGATATTAAATTATCTAATTGATGTCTAACTTCTATTTCACGTTCTTCATTGACTTGAGTTAATAAATTCTTATGTAATGAATCAATATTATTAATAATAGTTTCATATCTATCTAAATTTTCATTAATTTCATTAATTTTGTTCATAAATTGTACAAAATCACCTTGATTACCATTTTGTGATTGTAAATGAGCTGAAGATGAAGGTTGTTGTTGATTATTATTATTACCATTCATTTCATAGTTCTCCGCATATGGATTTTCTTCTTCGTATGGATTATTATAACTCATTTTTAACTTGTTTACTTGGTTACTTGTTTGTAATTAATAATCAAATATTAGTAACTGTAATATATGTAATAAGTTAGATGTCGAGAAATTTATAAACAGTAACAAAATATTGAAAGAGAAAGTTACTTTCTAAACAGCACTCCCTCAAAAATCAAAAACTAAAAAATTTAAAATAGAATATTGCACAAATATGAAAATATTATGAAATTTCCTCTTTGTTATATCCCAATATGTTTAAAGACTTCTGAAACCACCACCACAAGAAAGCTAACATCAATTGTAAATAAACAAATACAGAGAGTGGAACTGCTGAAATTTCAACTTCAACTTCAACTTCAGCAGTTCCCGCATAAAGAAAACCGCAAAAGAAAACTTTTCTCGTTTTTTCACTTTTTTTTCCGCAGCAAATACTGAAATGTGACCATGTTGTACGGTCGTTTCCTGTGAGAAATACCGAAACCAGAACGCGCCTCTTCTTCGTTCCCGGAGAGAACGACAACAAAACGAGTAGCAAAGGAGAGAGAAAAAGCCACACGAAAATAGAAATTTAGTTTTCTTTGCGTGTGTGATGTCGTGTTGTACGAACAGCACGTGTTATCACTGGATACGGAGATGAGTTTGCTCTATATACCTAATCTATAATAAGGCAATAGAGTCCATTAGAATATATATATTTGTATAGTTGTATATTTGTATATTTGTATATTTGTATATTTGTATATTTGTATATTTGTATATTTGTTATGCTTGATCCTGTTGTAAGAAGGCTAGCAAAGTCTTGAGTTTGGATAGACTTGCGCGTGTGTCGGGTATCTGTTCCTTTGTAGAGTGTAAGTCAGTTAATATCTCACCATAATCTTTAAGTATCGTTTTGTTATTAAGATCATTCTGCGTAAGAGTATTCGGGGTAGTATTATCATTATCATTATTATTATCATTATTATCATTATTATTATTATTATTATTATTATTATTATCATCATTGCTACTGCTGTTTAGAGTGTCGTGTATACGTGCATCTAATGACTCTAACATCGTTGTTGTTTCTGTTTGATACATTGTATTTATTGTCTGTGGACCATCTCTTCTTAATTGTGATACTTTCACTGTTAAATCTTCCCATTCTTGGTATTTTTGTCGTACTTCTTCATTCAATTCAATGTCAAATGGTTCAACATATTTTTGTTGTGTATCTGTTAACATCCCGTTCATATCATTGTTATTACTGTTTTCCAGGTTTACTATATTTAATGAACCCGATGACATTTCCATTACACGTAGCAAATACTCTTGTAAATATATTTGGATCTCTTTTATAGTCTTATTAGAGGATCCTTCTGCATTAGTAGTAGTAGTAGTAGTATCACTAGGTAAGGATTCAGAGACTTGCTCTTGTAAAGATTCTAATAATTGACCATATATTGCACGGATTTGTTCTACACTAACATCCACTTTCTTACTATAACTAGACATTTTCTTCTTCTTCTTCTTCTTCTTCCTTTTTTTCTTCTCGAACTATCCTACTCGATTTATTTGTAATACGTATATAGAGATATTCCTTAATTGCTTACCCTTATTTGTTATATAACTTGTAATTTTATGTCATTTATTAACTGTTATTTGTTTAGTTTGTTTTTAGTCACTTAGACTTATAATGCTTTAATGCGCGTTTTTTTTGATTTCTTTGCTATACCAACTTTCGCTCTTTAATTTTCACTATGTGTTGCTAATATTATATAATTTTCATTTTCTGTTAAGAAAAATTTGGTCTCTTTTTTTTTTGATTTTTGATTTTTGAAGCTAAACTAAATTAGCAGCCATCTCTGCAACAAGGTAATAATCATTCATATATTTAATTTTAATTTTGCAACATTTAATTATTAACAAAAAAAGAGATTATATTCATATAAAATTTGCTTATTGATCAATATATATTAAAATATATATATATATATATACAAAAGTGTTTTATGTATGAAATAATACATTATATTTTAATATAGTAATAACACAAACTACCATTATAATATTAATATTTCAAAACAAACTACCTTTTTTTTTTAATTATTTCATTTTAATTTCAAATTGGCTCCATACTATATACAAATCATGAGTAGTGAAATTATATCTAATCCATATGCTCCATTCTATGCTCCATTCTTTGGATTTGCAGGTTGTGCAGCTGCTATGATCCTTTCATGTGTAGGTGCTGCCATCGGTACTGCAAAGTCTGGTATCGGTATTTCAGGTATTGGTACTTTTAAACCAGAATTGATTATGAAATCTTTGATTCCAGTCGTCATGAGTGGTATCCTGGCCATTTATGGGTTAGTAGTAGCCGTATTGATTGCAGGTAATATCTCTCCCACAGAAGATTATACTTTATTCAATGGATTCATGCATTTAAGTTGTGGTTTGTCAGTCGGATTTGCTTGTTTATCAAGTGGCTATGCTATTGGTATCGTAGGTGATGTAGGTGTTAGAAAATTCATGCATCAACCTAGATTATTTGTAGGGATCGTGTTAATTCTGATTTTCTCTGAAGTTTTGGGATTGTACGGTATGATTATTGCATTAATTTTGAACACTAGAGGTTCTGAATAAGTTTTATTATGTTTCAAACTCTTCTCTTTTTTTATTCCTTTTAAAATATATACATCTTTACATATCATAATAAACAACAACATACAATTATATCAAAGACAGATTTGTGTTCTTATTATTACTGTTATTATTTTACAATTATGTATATCTTACTATATTTCTTTTATATACTCATTCAGTGGTATCCATGGCGCTATCATCCACAGGTTTTGAAGTAATTTCTACTTTACCTTCATCATCAATATATTGATCAATATTCTCTTGGACATATTTCACAGATCTAGCACTATCTAAGAACAACAAATAAGCACGTTTCACATCAACAGGATCAACTACATTACTCTTTCTCTTTAATGCAATTTGTTGCGATACAGATATTAAATTGGCACTATAACGAAGACTGGTCTCAGTACCGGTCTTGGTTAATAAGTCCAATGCATCCGACGATAGCTCGACTTCTTCTTCTTGGGCCCTTATTGACAGGATCGTCTTGATCTCTTGTTCGTTATAACCAGAAGTTGTAATGATAATGGATCTATCCAAGAGATCTAATGGAAGACCATGTGGGGATTTATAATTGGTACCTCTGGTTCTAGAGATACCTCTGTTAGTGGCCATCATAACAATAGGAGCAAATTCATCCTCTAAGGCTCTGTTGATAAAGGAGAAACATTCAATATCTAACATGTGTACTTCATCGATAAATAATACACCTGGAACAATCTCTGCTTTACCTTCTTCCTTCCATTCGGCAACTTTAGTATTTATTTGTTCTCTGACTTCAGATCTAATTTCACCAGTATCACCAGTAAATAAAGCCAAGAAACCTTGCGTTCTGGAGTTAATCACATCAATTTCATGTAATGACACAGTATGGACAACAGTTTTCCTCTTTTGTAATTCACCTTCTGGACATTGAACAAATCTGGTATCGGCACCCATGGCATCGTAGTCTCTAGATCTGGCAAATGATCTACCAAGTTTGGTAATCTTACCACTTGCCTTATCAATGGAAATGACATCACCAGCAAGAACTTTCTCCTTCGTTAGGCCATCAATCATCTTGTTACCTAATTCGTAAATGGTCTCCATATCAGTGGTCTTAATGGTCAATTTACCTTGTTTATGACCACCTGTGATAGATCTATCAATTTGAATCTCAACAACTTCACCTTCAATCAATTCAGTTTCTTCTTTAATCTTAATACCAATAGATTTTCTAAAGGCTTGAGTTAAGGCTTCTGTCTTACTTAATTCAAGTGAAAATATTTCAGAACCTGCAATGGCAGTAAATGGAACATCTTTACCTAAGGATTGCGAAAGACCCATTGCTAAAGCAGTCTTACCGGTGGAAGGAGGTCCGGCCACTAGGACAGCTCTACCAGCAATGGTACCATTTTGAACCATCTTTAGGATAATACCTGCGGCTCTACGGGCTTTGATTTGACCAACCATACCTTCAGAGGTTTCACGTGGTTGAAGATTATCATCCAAACCTAACCCAGTGATATGCGAATGGGAAGCAATTAGTGATAATGACTTCAAGGAATCAGAAGTTTCAGAGGCATCGGTAGTTTGAATAGACATTTTTCTTATTTGATTTATTGAATTATAATATAATCTTCTTTTTCTTTAACACGACTATTCTTCGCTAAATACTAACAAATCTTTAAAGTGGTTTGAAATTACAATAATAATATTAGTTCAGCAAATACTTCATGATATTTTATTGAAATATTTTATTTCAAAAGTTTTGATACTCTTCCCTCTACATTTTAATATTCTTATTTTTTTTTTTTCGTTGGCTTGTTCGAAACTTAGCTGTGAAGGGGCAAAAGAAAATTACTTATCACGTGCCCAAAATTATTTAAGGTGCCAAACATAAGGAAACTTGATGAATCCGCTATAACTATGACAATTAACCTTTGTTAGAATTATAACATTTTACACATCAAACTTTAGGTTAAGACTCATTTTAACTATAATACAGGTTGTAAAACTAAGTATATTTACTACTTGAAAAGAATTATAAAATCTCTCGTATCCATCGATATTGAAAAGGATTAACCACAGAAGTATTTTATTCAACCTCATCTCATTGAATTATGAACATCCTAGATTCACTCAAATATTATTTTGGTTTATATTGTTGTGATTATGGCGGAACAAACGATTTATTTATAAAAGTCAATGGCAACAGATTTAAGATAATAAGATTGTTGGCTGAAGGTGATCTGACATTCGTCTATCTATTGAAATCCCTCGATGAGACACTTTATAGGAATCGAAATTATTTTGCCCTTAAAAAAATTACATGTCCTTTTGGAGATATAGAAAGTGTATCCAATGCACTTCAGGAAATTGATTGTTACAAAACATTCCAAAATCCTTATATAGTTTCATGTTTAGACTCACAAATCATACAGGAAAATGATGGCTCTAAGACGGTTTACATTTTACTCCCCTATTTTAAATATGGTTCAATTCAAGAAACTATTAATAAGAACTTATTGGATGGTACCTATATTTCAGAACAGCAATGTATTCGCTTGACTATTGATATATGCACAGGGTTGATGTGCCTTCACGATCCCAAGAAAAGACCATATGAGGATATCGAAAGCAATTTTAATTCGTCTACAGCATTTAATACAACCGACGATACTGATGCCCTTTTGGCAGATACGCCTTTAGATGCATCTACTATCCAATCACATCCTAATCATGGAATTTCATATTCTCACAAAAACCTTAAACCATCTAACATTCTCATTTCAAATGATCATACACCAGTTATTGGTGATTTGAGTTCATGTTCTAAATCGGCCATTACATTTAGCACAGAAACTCAGTTAGAGACATTTAAAGAATGGGTATCGAGGAATTGTCAATTAGAATATGCAGCACCTGAATTGATGAATCCCAAAATGAATAGTACAATTGACACAAAAGTAGACGTTTGGTCTTTAGGCTGCACTTTATATAACTTGATGTTTGGTATATCACCATTCGAAAGAGAAGAACAATTGAATGGTACACCAAAACGTGCAGCGATTCAGACAGGGTCGTTTTCATTCCCACAACAAAGTAGGTATACACAAGGTTTACTTGATATTGTTAGTAAATGTATTACGGTTGACCCGGCACTAAGATATTCTGCAAAGGAATTATTAGAACAGTTAGCAATCTTACAGGTAAATACATAACTATTCGTATATTAACATTATTTGTCCTATTAAGGGACGTATATTGAATTCCTCGTATATTTTAATTAATGAAATTAGTAAATATATAGATATGTTTTTTAAAATTTTTTGATTTAAATATTAAAACGGTACTAAATTTCTACTTACAGTATACTTTTCGTAGCATTACAATGTACATATGAATTGCAAAAAATGATGATATTCCTTTTTGAATGATATTTTTGTTGTTTGTTTCATTACATCCTCCTTCTTTTCCCGACGGTAGCTTGGAAACCAGTCTTAATGGAAGAAACAGATCTGGTGGAACCACAACTCTTACAGACCAAGAAATACAATCTGTTAGATTGTTCTTTCTTTAGTTCAGTGTTAATACTCTTACAAGTCTTACAGGTAACGTATTCTAGGATATATCTTCTTAGAACGTTTTCCATTTGCTTAGATAAAAATTTACCCTTGATGACTAATCTCTTTTGACCATCGATAGAACCAGAAGTACCTAATTCGGCGAATAGATATTGAATCAAATGATCAGGAGATCTTTGTAATTTTTCAGAAATATCTTGGATATTGGAGAAAATGGTCTTCTTACCATCACGTAAACATACAGGTGGTGGAATTCTGAACTTTGGACCAGATCTATCACCAGCAAGTTCTGGGTTGTTAGCTCTTAATATGTTGAAAAATCTAGATAATAAATCAGAGTATGGGAGACCAGCCTCTTGTTGTGCGCTAGATTCAGGAGCCGGTGAACCTTCAACACCATCGGTAGAAATACCAGCTTTAGCTAGTTCTTTTTCGAAGTCATCAGCACTGACTGGTTCCTTACTCTTCTTTTTCTTTTTCTTTAAAGAAAGTTCCCCTAGTGCTTCAGAAACTTCGTCGACATCACCTTCAGCTGTTTCGGTGTCCTTGGATGTAGACTTGGACTTCTTCTTCTTCTTTTTCATACCAGAGAACAAATCGTCACTATTGGTAGTCTCAGTGGAGTCAGTAGCGGAGGCAGCATCAAAGTCTGGAGCAACCTTCTTGGATTTCTTCTTCTTCTTTAAAGTTGGGTCAAAACCTAGGTCATTTGCTAAATCGGATGACATCTTTGGTGGAGGATATATATGCAGTTGATCTCTTTAATCTAACAATATATATAAATTGGAAAAAAAACTTTAAACAAGCACTATCTAAGTAAGCAGATATATTTATATATACAGAAATAGATGTAATAGCTCAGCGTGCAACTTTATTACCTTTGCAATATCAAACTATAATTGTGATTTCCAAAGCATCATTGGCGTTCTCTGTATAATTTTTCACTTTTCCCATGAGAGGGACAATTCGTGTGAAATTTTTTTTTTTGGGTTCACTTTCCTCTACAACTCATTCTTTTGTTGGATGGTCTCTATCTCTGTCTCTCTATCCGATTAAGAAATGGGTAAAAATTTTCAGCGTCGTCCATCGTGATGTGCAGTCATCCTGAGTTAGGGTGTAAAATTTAGTCGAATCCCGAGATTTGTAGACGTTCTTTTAGGGTAGTTTCCATTTTTCACATTTTTTTGGTAGTATGAGAGCAGTTATTCCAACCAGCAAGATGTTAAAGTAGGGCAACTTTCATAGTTTTGGATTACTTTTTTGCCTTGTAAAAATGAATTTTGAAGTAATTCTACATAATAGCTTGACTAGCTGGTAGCCATAATATATTTTATATAGTTCGTTATTTATTTTTTTTGTTCTTGACAGTAAGAGCATTATCCTTTTACCGTGGTGCCCCAGGGTTCGGTTAACGTCACAAAAGACCAATAGGTCCAGGAAGAGCATTTCCTCATTTTCGTGAAAAGATATTTGAAAGCGTGCACTATCTAAATATAGGGCGTCATCAAAAAGGCGGTCCAAAAATAAGAATGTCTACACATTTTGGTATTCGATTACATTTTAAGCCCTAACTCAGGATGGCTGCACATAACGATTATCTTGGATAGAATAAGAAAGTAAAAAGGATTACTATATATGTTGTACAATCTATATGTCTGAATATGTATATAGATGCTGTATGAATGGATTTTAGGAGTGTTGATGTTATATGCATGTGGGAGAAGTCTTGTAAACAAAGTTTTACCTTGTTCAATTTTCTTCGATACTTAATTTAGCGGCCTGTTCATTTAAGATCTTTGTAGCTTCTTCAGTAACGTTTTCAATCTCTGTACCTGCTGTAATTTCAACATTATCTGTGGTAGCTGGGACATTATCAGATGTATTGTTTCCTTCGTCATCACTGTCGTCGTCACTTTCTGGTTCGACATCATATTTCTTTAAGAAGTATGTTTCGATCTCCTCCTTTCCATTGTTTTCTGCCTCAAAGATAGCATCATGACCGAATTTGTTTCTAATAAATGGATCAGTTTCAAAGTCATCACATAGATACGTAACAACATCAAGTTTCCCATTTAAGGAAGCCCAATGTAATGCTGTGTTCCCTGTTTCATTTTGTAAATTGATAAACTCTTTCTGTTCGGATTCAGGTACTAACGAAAGGATATATTTCACAGTATCTAAATGGCCATTGGCAGCAGCCATATGTAATGCTGATGATTGGGAGACAGAGTCCTTACAGGTTACTAGCATGGATGGGTCAATCAATGTTGTGAAGATCTCCTTCAGAGAGTCGACGTCGCCGGCTCTAGCATCTTGGATGATAGCATCTTGATCTTCTTGGTCTAGTGGTTCCTTATGCAATGTCATTTTAGTATAGAGATATATCCTCTTTTTTAATAAAAAACGATTGTATTTTTATATTTGATTTCTTAGTATTCGACTTTTGATCAAAAATATAATCATATCACATATGAAGTCAATTCTTTATTAAAACGTTTTACTTTTAACTGCAATGTCATTTCACTATGCCATCTATCATTGATTTTTGCGATGCCCTCTTCCTTCCAAGCTCTAATTGAAAAGAAAGACAATTTTCAATTTTTCTCTGCCAAAAAATTCATCATTTCTCGTTAAACGTGATATCATCTTGGACGGCAAGGTACCAGTAATATATTATATTAAATTTCTAACCTTCAGCTATTCTAACCACATCTTGAGAGTGCAATATATTTGTTGTTTTTAATTAATGCCGCTTAAATAACATGTTTGCAAGAGAGAGTAATACGTTCACCTCTGTTTTAATACCCTTGTTCTTTTACATGGGCAGGGCACACCTAACAGAAACCTTCTTTACTTGTTTTGCCTGCTAACTCCCTCGAGGAGACAGCCGCAAGCCATAGTCTGTCTCCGTGGGGGCCGCGTGGGACAATCCTTCAAGAATTTAAGGAGATCTTAAGGTTTAACGTGGGTAAGCATGTAAGAAGGGGACCAATTACTTCAGCGTAATTGACATAAACCGATATACGGGCCTGGTTATATAATAACAACTACTTACATATATATAAAGGGGCCTGGGACAAGGTTTACTTTAACTGTTTGTTGCTGTGTTTTATTTAACGATATTCTGTTGTTTGTTTCCTATTAATAAGTGATGATTAGTGTATTACAACAATTATATAAGCAAATAATATAAAATGGGTAACATGAAAGAGCATATATCGGAACGTTTCGATGCCAATAAAGAAAGTATGTATATTATAAGGGTGGTGTCTCCATTTTTAACGAAATGCAATTTTATTCCTTCTTTTTGGTTGAATAATTAACTAACAGTATATCTTACAATATATATCATTTTGTATGTTTCTAATGTAGAATTATCAAATGGGTTCGACGAAATCGATCTTTTGAAGTTAAAGGATAAAGTAAGGGGGTTAAAGGATGACATGCATAAAGTGTCCACAAATTTTTCTGATCGTGATTGGAAGATACATAATGGTCACATCGACAGTATCTTACAAGATATCGACTCTACATTGAAATTGAAAGAAGTAGGTATTAAAGCAGCTAATGTAGCTAAACAACCTTTGACAAAGATAAGTTCCATTCGTAGTAATCATTCAGCAGATGGTGAAACAGCTACTATTGGTGAACATTTCTCTAAATTCGGTGATGACTTAACTACTCGTAGAAAGAAGTTACAGCAAGATTTAGAAGACGGTACAAATATTTCTGTGCTAAGGACAAAAGTGGCTGGTCTAAGAGAAGACTTACATAAACATGCTCCAGATTTATCACCATACGAAGTTGAACTTCATAATAAACATATTGATAAATTGGTAAAAGATGTTGATGATAAATTGAAATTGTCTGGTACAAAGGATAAGGTATTTCAATTTGCCAAAACACCTATCTCGAGATTAAGTTCCAGAGGTGGTTCTGGAAAGGATAATGGTTTTGAACATCCAATCATTGATGGTAAAGCTACCTTTATGGATCTGGATTTTGTCCTATTAGATTCAAACAAAGTGTATAAGAGTCTTGAAAGATGTACTTTATCAAGTACAGATTATAATGATAAACCAAAGGCAGGGTCCCTAACAATTCAATATATTGAAAATTCTGTGATATCATTACAATCATTACCATTTAAAAATGGTAGTATATTCATATCTGATGCTTCTAATTGTGTCTTGGTTTTACACATGCCAAAGGATGACAAGGTTCAACTAAGATTGCACAACCTTTACAAGTGTAAAATGTTGATCCTTTGTGATGATTATCTATCATCGAAACAAACAGTCGTGATTGAAAATTGTAAAGAATGTATATTCCACCAATCTTCAGAAACACATTTAACCATTGAAAATTTTAATAATGTAACGAAATCCAAGCAAGTGGGAAATAATGAACAGTCTGAAAGTACAAATGATTATAAATTTGATGAATTCGATACTTACTTGGGTAATATTCAAAATTTAAAGCAACATTATGTACGTTAATTAATAATATCTATGTATTTATCATTATGTAAAAATATTTTTAAAAGAACACTATTAGTTATTATGAATATCTTATCGCCATCGATTGCATTGGTATTATTGATGTATAGATTGTCTAATATATATATATATATATATTTCGTTGTTGGTGATTTTGTTATTGAATAATTTCTCCCTGTTTGTTGTCATCCTTCCAGATTAGGAAATTTGTCAACAACAAACATTTCAGGGAAGATGAGACAAACCGAATCTGTTCACTAGCGAACAAGAAACAAAGAAAATGTATATTCTTGCTTAACTTCTTCGGAAATATTAATTGCAATAGTTACCAATTCTACAATAAGTTTTGACTGTGTGTTCCTATTTTTCTAATTAATTATTTTGTTTGTTTAATTCAGAACTTATATAATGTTTTAGATACTGAAAGACATACTTATATATACCAAAATTCAAAAGGTATCTAACTCCTAAACATCTCGTTCCCTAAAATACTGTAACTTTGTGATAGTGTTCAACAATTTAACCAAATATGGACTCATTACGTACATCACCAGTTTCGATAAAGTTAAGTCCCTTTATTGATCGATATGTTCAAAATGTAAACAATGAATCACCTATTCCTAATAAAAAAACATTATTACCATTATCTCCATCGAAGATGAATTTAGCATATAGTCCACCAGTGACGCCAATGAAGACAAAATCATCGAACTTTGCATCTCCTTTACAATTTAGTTCTTACGATGATAAGGAAAATTCAAAATCATTGAGCAGAAGTCCAGTTTTAAAGAACCTGCATGAATCTGCTATAATCCATTCTCCAGACCAAACATCCAGAAAGACTATTTCAACCCTAGAAGCAGTAGATTTAACAGCCTATTCTAGAACTGAAATCAAGTATTATGAATTTCTTTGTAGAGTAGCTGAAGAGAAAAGATGGATAGAAAATTTAATCGGTGAAACACTTCCATCAGAGATTGAACTTTGTTCTGGCGATTCCTTAAGAAATGGTGTTTATTTGGCACAAGTAACACAGGTTATAAATCCCCAATTAGCCCCATCTATTTTTCCAGCTGGTATGAAACTACAATTCAAACATACACAAAATATTAATACTTTTTTATCGTTAGTCGATCATGTTGGCGTTCCAGACTCCTTCAGATTTGAATTGCAAGATCTCTATAATAAAAAAGATATGCCACAAGTTATTGAGACCATACATATTTTGATAACGATGATAAATAGGAAGTGGCCCGGTAAGACATCAGATATTGAAAATTTATCTGGTAAAATACATTTTTCAAAGGAAGAACTAAGAAAATGTCAAAGAGAATGGCCAAGAATCAGGGACTTTAAATCATTGGCTTCGACCCAGATTTCTCCGTCAAAAGACAAATCAAATAACTTGTCTAGTCCAGGTTTAATACAAGACTTTTCAAAATTTGATCATTTGCAAAACAATAGCACTTTATCTCCACCTGTTACACCTACGAAGAGTAGAATATCACCGCAATTAAAAACACCAGTGGATAGTACTAGAGAAGATATTAAAGAAGTAACTAAAATACAGAATTTACGACAACCAGAAAGTTCAAAATTACCTATGGCAGAGCATAACTCAAATAACAAATATCTTTCTCCAACATTCAAATCTACTGATTTGAATACACCTCGATTGCAATATAGTCCCTTGAAAAACACAAGTCTTTCGTATTATTCTCCAACCATTTCCAATTATTTGACATATGATTCTGATTTTTATCTTAGGAGAAGTCAAAACAGGGCTACTGAGTTGCAGTATTATGACAATTATGGCTCCAACTATCCACAATACTCTCCAAAGAGAAAGCAAAAAATGACAGAACATGAATTTTTAGACCAAGTTATACAGATTCAAAATCACTGTAGAGCTGTGAATATGAGATTTGATTTGTTTATGCAAGACAGATTATTGAAATTGTTTGAAAGTAATATTTTGTCCTTCCAAGTTCATGCAAAAGGTGCAATTCTAAGGCGTGCATTTAACATTTCATGTAGGAAAGACCTAAAACCAGAAGTTGAAGATTGTATTTTGACTCTACAATCCATTATAAAAGGTAACAAGATGAGGTATACATATGACAAACTAAGGATAAAATGTATGAGAAATGAGTATATGATCACAAAACTGCAAGTTATGGTCAAAAGCTTCCAAATCAGGATTAAAACGAAAACGCAATTGCAAGATATATCCATTATAGGAAATCATCTGATACTCTTTCAATCTCAACTTCGGGGACTACAGGTAAGAAATGAACTCTTTGGGTCAAAATTTAACAATTATCACAGGCTCAAAAGTTTAGTTAAACTCCAAGCATTCATGAGAGGTAAATCAACTAGGCGTAATATAAAGATTACAAAAAAAAAAATAGATGTTTTAGATGTGCATAAACTGCAAAGTATTTTAAAGGCCTCAACTAAACGTCAACAATTAGGGAAATTAATCAAAACTCTATTTTTAAATGAGGGGAGTATCAATCAGCTTTCAGCTGTCATGATGGGAAACCATGTCCGTAAATCATTGCATTTAATACATTCTAAGGAGATGAGTGAAGGTTCAGAAATTTCTAAAATTCAAGGTGTTGTCCGTGGTATACTTGTCAGATATACATTGGATTTAGTCGATAGCATTATTGAAGACAATAAAATTAATGAATTTCAGGCCTTTTGTAAAGGTGCACAAGTTCGTTCAAAGCAAAGTAATAGGGAGACTATCTTTATTAAAAATGAAAAGTCCATCATCAAAATTCAAAGTTCTGTTAGAAAGCACTTACAGAGTATGGCATACCAAGAATTAATGGATTCCCCTAACCCATCATTATGGGCAGTTAAGAAATTCACATATTTATTAAATGGTTGTGGTACTATTGAAGGGGTCCAGAATTCTCTGGAAACATGTCAAGCATCCCTAGACGCTGAAAATCTGAGGAAACATAATACCCAAGGATTGTTAAGGGAACAACTTGAGATGTTCGAAATTCTTGAAAGTTATGGCTTGAATGGATCACTGCCCAAGACAGATTTTCTAAGTGATTTAAATGTTGCCAGTTCCAAATATTCTAACTTTGAGGATTTATTATATCTGTTACAGGTGAATCCATCTTATTGGAAAATAATGTATAAGCAAAATCCAGAATTTGTTGAAAATAATGTTTACCTGACTTTCACTACACTTAATAAGAAGATGGGAGATAGAGAAAAGACATATTATATTAGACTACTTTCTGAAGTTCTTCAATTCTCCATTTCAAACTATAAAACTATTTCTGATTTCCTAATTAGCTATGATCAGGGTTGGGAAAAGCAATTGAGATTATTCCTACAAAGAGAATATAGTGAAACAGTATCTCTAATTATGCCTTTGATAGAATTTGTCGATAACCCTAGAACAGATTTCGAAAGAAATCCTTATCATCTTTATGAGAAGTTGCATCATTGTCAAGTTCCAAATGGTATATCCCCAATAGATGACCCTGGTGTGAAAAATGCATTTATTAGCAATCTAAAAAATATCTGGCACTCTGTTGAACTGGTTGCTGATATTTATACTAGACAGTTTGAGAATATTCCTGTTGAAGTAAGGTTCCTATGTACTAAAATATTTGGTTTCGCAGCTGATAAAAATGCGGATGAGGTAGACTCTATAAGATCTGTATCAAAGGTATTGATTGACTGTTTCATTGGTGAATACCTTGAAAATTTGCAGCATTATGGTTTTACTCATCACAGTGAAACACAAACAAAAGCAAAGGTTGAAACAGTTTTAGGTGCAGTTCGAACTGTTTTCGAAATGAGAAAATTTGAGGGGTATCTTGATCCACTGAATCAATATGCAGAAGAAATAAAACCACACATTAAGAATATTATGTACAATGTAATGCTTGAACCCGAATATGAACAACAAGGGGACAGATTAATCTATAAAGACATGGTTTCAAAACCTCCTCGTCTTGAAATCCTGGCAGAAAAAGCAAAGGAAATATATGAGAAATTTATTGAACATAGCAACTCATTTCCAGATAAAGACATAATCCAGGATATTTTAAAAGTAGACTCAAATTGGAAGTCCTTCCCTAAATCTGGGCGTATTTATCTCCAATTAAATGCATCGGTCTATAGGTTCTTAGTTTCTGATGACCAAATGAGGAAATTGTACGATCAAGTGAAACGAGCAATAATTTATATGACACAAATTGAAGAGGTGGATACAAATTTGTATGATCTTGTTGTTAGCAATGTTCTTCCAAAAGATGAGCCATTGTTTAAGAAGTTTCTAGATCAAAATAGAATTATCCAAAGAGATCCATTAATTAAAAATTTGGATCCATGTACCTATTTTAAGTTGAAAAATTTTACGCTAAAGAAAATCCATGATCTTGAAAGTGCAGCTGTAATGAGTAGTACAGATAACAAACTCCAGAATTTGTTAAATGATATTGCCAATACTATTAAAAATCCAAACTACGCGATTGATTATGTTACGCAAGAGTTAGGTACTACACGTATTACATTAAAGCAGCTCTCTCAAATGAATCAGGATGATAATCAAAAACTAAACGGCTTAAAACAAGCAGTTCAAAATGTTATTCGAAGCTCTCAAAAATCACACAATTATTTACCTGCCACTAAAGGAACTTTTGGAAATTTGAAGAACGCTTACAAGAATCTTCAACATAAAAGTGGTACAGAATTGAGCGGTTTGAAATTTAAGTGGACAACGAGACAATTGTATGAGAGAGGTGTAGTCACATCAATTGACAGTGAAAAATTAGGTGAACAAACAATTAAGGTATTTGGTTCAAGTGGTCCAAAATTTCCTGATATTTTGTTTAAGATGTCAACCTCAGACGGTGCCAGATATGGAATTCAAATGATTGATAAGAGAAAATCAACAGAAAATAAGCACAGTGAAGTCGTGGATTCGTTTACATTTGTTGCCTTAATTAAGAGTCAAGCAGGTGAAAAGGTGAAGAACTGGAATATTTTGAATTCCAAAGTAACTGTGGATACTTCGAAACTATTGAAATTGGTAGTTGACACATTCCTTTCTTAAAATAACTCTCTGAGGGTGATTGATCCGTCAGTTTCATATATATTAATATATAATATCCAAAACATAGACAATTTTTATTATGATTTAACTTATATATCTTTATAGGTCCTACATCACACTTTTGAAGAAACGAAGCACTGACAGAAGTCTTCTTGGTAATGTAGAGTTAAACACTAATTAAGAGCTATTATGAAATGAATGAGTTAGTAAGACTCTTGTTTTCTCTTTATTGAACTATTTATTTTAAATTACATATCATATTTTGAGTCATAAAAATGATGAGAAGCCGAGAAATATTAACGGCCAAACAGACCTAGGAAACCACGCTTCTTGGCAGGTTGATCATCTGGAGTATTTTGTTCACCATCAAGGTTCTTCTTTTCTACAGTCTCATTATATTTGGTCTTTGCATTAACATCCTCTTCGTATTCGATGTAATTAAATGCTAAATCAAATAGAGTTGGCTTAGCTCCAACAGGTTTGACAATAGGTCTTAGAGGGAATAAATTGTTTAGATGAACATCACTTGGTTTCACAGATATTGAATCAATCTTCTCTATAACAGTAGGTTGATATTTTTGAACAATATACGAAGTATTCAGTTCTTTTTCATATTCAGCCAAAGCAATAACACTCTTCCACCCAGTCTTAATCATGTCATCTAATTTAGCTAATGCTTGTTCAGTTAGCAATTCCTCAGGCAAATTTATCAACGGAGTGTTTTTTTGAACTTGTAATTTTCCTTGTAAAGTTTGGTATGAGTGTACATAAATAGCAAGTGATTCTCTATATTTACCCTTCGATTGGTATAAAGATGCTAAGCAACCAGCATTTAAATACAGTTGGAAATAGTCCATAGATAGTTCTAATTGAAAAATCAGTTCATCATCAGAGTATATACCAGGTAGTTCAGTAACCTCTTTTAAATAACTCTTCAAATTTTTGACAATACGTTCGATTTCCTTGTATTTTGTTAATTTAGATGACATAGAAGAACCTAATTTTTCCCATTGTTTCCATAACTTATTAAATAACGAAGCATCACGAGAAATAGAAGTAAAAATTGTTTGGAACTTAATGTAAGCTAGTAAAATCTCTTCGTTTTCCTCATTATCTATATTTTCATCACCTTCGACATCCATTTCATCACCAACTTGACGTGCCATCCGGTCATGTTGTTTACTTAGAATGGCCTCCCATTTAGACAGTTTGGAACTATAATCAGCAATGTCTTTGATTTGAACAACTGAAACATCATTAATTAATTGAGCAATTTGGTTATCTTTAATTTTACAGTTAAAAGCTCTCCATTCGATCTTATTGTTAACAGGTCCCTTTTCCATTTCGACATCTTCAAGCTTTGTTATGTAACCATTTTTGAACAATAAACTAGCCAATTCGTCATTAGTATCTCTTTCTGCCTCTACAATCTTGCTAACAAAATTATGAACATCAACAGCGGATGTAATACCCTCACCATATTGGGTCAAAGTATATTCATATCTGGTGTTTAAATAATCGATAATGTCAGTTGGTAATATTTGTTTGTCTTTTAAAAATGCACATGCAGCTAAAGCTAGAGCTAGTTCCTTAGTTATCAATTTATTGTTCTTAGTCTTAACTTTTTTCCCAAATATCAAATATTCAGCATGGACAATTTTGGCGTAGGCAAGATATTGCGCACGAGTGATCCATTGACCTTCGTTTTGTGTTATCTTAAGGAGATTTTGAGATGTCTTGTAGGCCTTCTTCAATCTGGTTTCTAGCAATTTCTGTTCACCACCTTTTGGTTTCCCTCTTTGACGGATTCTGAGTTTGATGGCCTCTGCAAAGGAAAGATCTCTTTCGGAATGCATTAAGACCAAAGCACCGAATAATTTGTTCTTCTTGTCATAATCATCAGATGTGATCTTGGAGTACTTTTCTTTGGCGCTATATTTTCTGGTATCCTTAGTAACTATCTTACAACGATGTCTTAGATGTCTCAATTTCACGTTTAATTTATCGTGATATTTACTGAAATCAGACTCTGTCTCAACAAATTGTTCAATACGAGAACCATACGTAGCAGCAATTGGTGAATAGACAACCATATTTGACACAAATAGTTGCAGATAATTGGCTTGGTTTGCTGTATTTATTCTCAAATTCTATATAAGATTTTAAACGAGTTCAATTTTTTATACAACTTATACTAAAAAATGCACATATTTTGCCCATTTCAATTCCAAAATCTCACTACCCTTCCCTTTGCATTCATCTTCTTGGATTTAATCTTTCTCATTCGCTTTGAGTTTCGAAATCTTTGAAACTTCCACAGCCGGCAACAACAAAATAAAATAAATTTCAAAAACTGAAAAATTTTTGGTTTACGATTCTTTAAATTGTCCGTACAAATAAGTAGCAATGGACGTCATCTGGGACGAACTGGACAGGTAATCAAGTAAAGATTTCGAGTTAACCATCGACTACCAATCTAACTTCGCAACAATTATAAAGGTTATCAGATCGGATTGAGATTCTGAAAGATTTAGGCTTGTCAAAATTGATTTTAGGTTGATAAAGGTATCGAAAGGACGTCATCTGAGAAAAGTAAACTAACTTTCTTAGGTAGGACAGAGTGCGAAAGTTAAAGGTTGATATTAATTGAGTTTAAGTCATAAAATGACTAGTTCACATTATTATAAATTGCTGATATGTGCAGTTGGTATATACGCAAGTTTTCTCACGTGGGCATTAGTGCAAGAGCCTTTGACTACAAGAGTATGGCCAGTTTCCAATGAACAATTTCAATTTCCAAATATTATTGCCATATCTCAGGCATCTGTAGCGATGGCAATAGGTTATATCTACTTAAGCTTTAGGAAAGTAGATTATCATGTATTTGATTTGATTAGAGACCATTACAAACAGCTCCTAATGATTTCGTTTACTCAAAGTACATCCACACCTTTGGCGACGTACTCGTTAAAACAAGTTGATTATTTGACCTACATGTTGGCCAAATCATGTAAGATGATCCCTGTCTTATTGGTTCATTTGTTACTTTACCGTACACCAATAGAAAACCAAAAGAAAATTGTAGCTATCTTGGTTAGTTTAGGTGTCACAATATTTACAATAGGAGGTTCCCAAAACAAGAAGAAATCTAGTCAAAGGACAAGCGGTTCATATTATGGATTTATATTATTGGCGGCAAGTTTATTCATGGATGGTGTGACTAATGCAACGCAAGATAAGATGTTGAAGACTGCAGGATCTAAGAAGGATACAAAGAAAGACCAAAAGTCAAATAAGAAAATTACTGGACCACATCTTATGTTCTCCTTAAATTTATTTATTATCTTATGGAATATATTTTATCTGACACTTATTGATAGAAAACAAATGAATCAAGCTCTCAGTCTCCTAAAGTCAGATCCCGATATTTTATCATATTTGGTAGTATATGCTGTGTGCGGTGCTATTGGTCAGTGTTTTATCTTCTATACACTTGAATCTTTTGGTTCTTTGCAACTGATTATGATCACAGTAACAAGGAAGATGATATCAATGTTGTTGAGTATTGCTATATTTGGTAAGACTGTTAATTATACGCAATGGTTTGGTATATTTATTGTATTTGCAGGTATTACCTGGGAAGCTACAAATAAAAGAAGTGCATCCTCCGCTCAAGTAAAGCCAAAAGGAGATATAAAGAAAACACAATAATTGCAATCTTGATTATCATGAATTGCTAGTAACGCGAATCAAGTTTATACTTGTGGGTGCATCATACACAATTAGACATCAGGTTCGTATAATAACGACAAATTGTTAATTATATAAGTATTTATATACACATTTATAGAATTATATCTGCATTTAGAAAAAAAATAAAAGTGATTCTTACGAAGTCTCATCAAATGAAATACTTTCGTCCTCGAGCATGGACTTGTTTAACCGTTTTCTCAATATAGGATCATAGGCATAAATATATAAACCTTTGACCCCTCTTGTTAGTAAAACGTTCAAACTATTTAGAATAATTTGTACTTTTACAGTATCTGGATTTAAAATATTCTTTTTTTTTGTAAATCCAGCACGATCATCATATAATTCTGGTTTTATTTTGAGACAATCATTAACTGAATCATATCCGATTGATCTTCCCAATATCACAGCTGCATAATTTAAATCAAAACCTTGGATGGTGTAGACACTTCCTACTTCATCAATGGAATCAGCTCGTTCACTCCATGGCAATGCAGCTCGTGGCTGATAACGATCCCATCTTACCCTAAAATTTTTCCCACATTCAACAAAATAATCCTTACCATCTAACCTATATGGGAAATCATATGTACATAATACTCTACATTGACCGAATTCTTCATTTTTTAATTTTAAGGCTTCATACATTTCACCACAATCATTCCAAATTTTAAAATCATATTTAACAGAATCTTTATTGTTGTTTTTGTCATTTGTCTCAACATAGTCCTCTTTCATACTTTTTGGAAAGTCTGGAATCTTGGCGTCTTCACTGATTGTCTTTATCCAATTCAAAACATCTGGAGGTGCAGCAACTCTAAACTGTTTTTCTAATCTTTCGTGATACCTCCTAGCTTCTGGGACTATATTCTCAATAACACTTATATCCGAACCATTTTTTAATTTTCCATCCCAGTAACATCCCATTCTCAGAGATTGTTTTGGGTCATATACCACAATTAGAACTTTTGTCAATGCTAAAAGTTCTACCATATGATTATCCCCATAGAATTTCTTAAAGGGGTCCTTTGATGTCGCCAACAGATGTGCTTCATCCACAACAATTATGTCTACCAATGTATTATCCTTTAATAATTTGTTTATTAGAGATGTCGGTCTCTCTAATGAACTTCTCTTAATATATTTGAATTGTTTACAAATTCTAATGTAAAGCTTTAACATTTCAGGATGATTGACAACCAAATAATTCTTTGTACCAACGAAAACATCGTTGTGATCTTCATTCTCAGTGGATAATCTTTCAAAGTCATTAAATAAAGAATTCAAAACGACAGATTTCCCAGTACCGGCATCACCATGAATTGCAAAGAATCCTGGAGAATGTTCAGTTGTTTTCTTAGCGTTATACCTAATCAATTGTTTACGAGTAAATCCTATAATCTTGTCTTTCAGTTTTTGTTGTTCATGTGACAGTTTTACGTTGGTCAATTTATCCATTGCAGCCGATTCAATCTGTTGAACATCGTTCTTTTTGGCTCTTTTAAACTTAGGTGCCTCCTTTTTGGTTGTATAGGTTCGATCCAATGTCATTGTTATTCTTTTAATTGATATATATGATACTCGTCTCATATGGATCAATTAGAAGAAGTAAAAAATATACACATTGCCAACTTCTATATGTATACATATCCTTTTTTATTTGAGTTTCGTATCTCTTGCATTGCAATATTTATTCATATTTTTCCGAGTTACGTTATTTGCAGCAATGAAAACAAATGTTACGTTATATATTCCGATCGAATGCCAAAAAAAAAAGTAATATATCACCGTTGCAACACCCCCCATGTATATCTGCCTTCGAACGTTGATATCTCTTGTTCAACTACCAGTACCGAACTTTAATTGCTAGAAAGTAATTATTCAATAATTTTTAAAATAAAATAAAATAAAATAAAAATAAACTTTCCAAACTGATTAAAAAACCAATGAGAAATATATATTATGACCTATACTCTCAACGCAACAAAAGAAGTTTATACGTGTAAAAGATCGTAACCATAATCGTAGCCATGAAAATATAAAGCCAAACGGAACCTAAAGATGGCAAACTTAGAAGAATATTGCTGATCCTTCTCCACCACCATAATTTTCTCCAAAAGAAGAAGCCTAACCGCTCAGCTCTATATCTATCTATCAATATAATATATGCTCTCCAACCACCAAAACAATCTCGCTTCTCCGCAAATTTTCTGTTTCTTCCGCGCTGAAAGATTCGTTCTTCTCCCTTTTTTGAAACTGCCAAAAGCTGGGAAGAAACAGCCGCGACAAACAACACGAAAACCGAAGCAACTCAGAGATGAGAGAAGTCCCCCTCCCAAGCACGGAGAGAGCGAAAAAGTCCAGGTAAGTAGGAGAATAACAGCTAGAAAGGGATTGGAGTGGGGCTTCACAGGCGTCCCTCCATACAAGGAGGTAGGAAGGGGGGAAACAAGATCGATAACTAAAAGACAATGATAGAATTGGTTGTTATTGTTTTACGTTTCCTTCTTTAAGAAGGCGTAAGGGATGAATAAGATTAACCATTAATAGACATATTAGTATAAGAATCCTCCAGCTCTATTCTGCTTTTATTTTGTTCTGTGTTGTATTTTTTCTTCAAATAAGGAATCCAAGAAAGTTTAAACTCTGATGGAAATTGAAGAAAAAATATTTATTGAAGGATCAAAATATAAGACTACTTGGCTTATTTATTTACTTATTTATATTATTAATAACTGACAACTCATAGGAATAAGAGAGAGAAAAGCTTTTTATTTTGTTAGGATACTAAAACGGTATATATTGGACAGTTCAGTTATCTTCACTCATTTTTATTATCACATAACCTTCAGCATATAAAAAGGTTTTACCGAACTTCGTTCTGACATAAATTTATTATAGTGCAGTTGCATTTTGCAATAGTTACCCATATTTTCATCAAGGATAATATTTATATATATATATCAATATATCAATATATCCTGACCCTTCAATTGTAACATCAGGTTTATTTTAATAATAGCCAATTATTTTTGTTCTAGATGGATCCATTTCATTCTTCAAAGAGAAGTTCAGTATCATTCGGCGGAACCACTGCTAGAACAACCACTTATCCAAATACATTTGAATATAGTCCTATGGATAACCTTCAATATGACACTCCTGGACATGACAATAATGACGATCTTAATGGTACTTATGATACGTATGACAATACACCTAATAATGCGAATAATAACAATACGGCTTTCTACACCAACCGATCACCAATGTATTCTCCTTTAGATTACTCAAGGACAATGACTTCTCCTGGCCATTCTAATAATACTTCAAATAGTAACAGTTTTATGGCACCCCCAGGTTTTTCAACATTACAACAGCATCAATCTAGAGCATATAATATGATATCTAATAATAATAGTAATAGCCCCATGGTTGCGAATAAAAATATAGTATGTGAATGGGAATCTACAGCTCCATTATATGCAATGGATTGGAGTATGGATGATTTAATTTGTTTAGGTTCTTATAAGGAGGACTCTAGGAATAAATTACAAATAATTAGATCCACAGACCAATTGAATTGGGATAAAGTGTCGGAATGTGCAACAACGTATCCAGTAAGTAAAGTACAATGGTTACCAAATAATTTAAGACCAAGACAATTGGCTACATGTTCAGATTCCCTAAGGATATGGTCTCTAAATGATTCTGATGGTAGTCTACAGGAACAAATCAACCTATCCCTTTGCAAATACAATAAACAACATAGCCATTCTCTAGATATAACATCAGCAGATTCAACAAATAGAATACTAGGGAGTTTACCTCCAATCACCTCATTTGACTGGAACCCAATCGAAACTAACTTAATAATATCTTGTTCCATTGATACTACATGTATTGTATGGGATTTAAATAGTTCAAATTTTGTTAAGACACAACTTATAGCACACGATAGTGAGGTCTACGATGTACGTTTCCTTACAAAATCTACACAGATATTCGCAAGTTGTGGTGGAGATGGTAGTGTACGTGTATTTGATTTGAGATCATTAGCACATTCCACCATCATTTATGAACCAACTGCAAATGTTGCGCATCCTGATTTGGATGATCCAACACAACAAAACCATGCATTATTGAGATTAGAACCTTCACCATCCGATCCAAATATTCTCGCCACATTTGTTTGTGATTCAAATTCGATTATAATCTTAGACATGAGAAACCCAGAATCCCCCGTCTTGACTCTAGAAGGACATAGTGGTACCATTAATCAAATAAAATGGCATCCAACAAAGAGAAATATCTTGATGTCCTGTGGTGATGATTGTCAGGTGTTGTGTTGGGATCTAAATAAGTATTTGGAGACAGGTACGCCAACAACTGCAGCATCTGATTCCGATGGACAAACGCCAATGTTGAATAAGAATTCGCAAGAGCAAGATATCGATATGTCGGGAGATAATAAAAAAGTGAATATGCCAGATTTTTATTATTCCAGCGGAACTGAAGAAGTTAATAATATTGCCTGGAGGCCAGATGATGGCAATTGGTTAGGGACTGTGAGTGGTAAGACATTCAAGAATATAAGAGTGCATTAAGCAGATAAATTTTATATGTGTGTATATTTGTACATGTTGTATATATCATAAAAGAAAAAGTTTTTCTTCGATAAATAAAAGTTTTGTTTAAAGATAGTAATCTTATTAAAAGAGGTTGTTGTTTTTTTGTTAAGATTTTGTTTTTTTATCTGTTTGTAACAAGAACATAAACCCTATTTTTCTTACTAAATGTAAACAAAAACGAAAAAGTGACATACTGTTAAATGTCTCTAAATATAAAAAAAAAATCTTTAATTACCAATAAATCAGATATATAAACATAAAATTTTCTATATAATTCAATTCCTTGCTCTATATGATTTGGAACCAGATCTTCCGCCTCTTCTATATCGTCTAGTTTTTCTTCTACCCTTAATAGATCCTTTGTTTCCAGACGATCTAGTAATTTTTTCAGTTGCACATTGCTGTTCTTTTAATTGACGAACAATTTCCAAATTACGTTCGTAGGTTACAGCTTCACTGTTATTATAGGTGGTGACATACGTTGCATTATGGACCCTTTTTGGTCGATTCTCTGAAGGTCGTGTAGGGAATTCGATCCTTCGAGCTCTCCTATTGGTTAATATTTTAATAAATTGAGGATCTTCCTCTACTGTTGTATCACTTTTGGACGTCTTACTCCGTTTTTCGGTTATGGTGAACTTCATAGTAATAGTTAGCTTCCTATTTCTAAGCTTTCTAGCTTCAGGACCTAATTTTACATAACTTGATCCATAACCACATTTATTCATAACTGAATATTCTTGAAGTACTTTCAAAGTAATTAAATGGAAAAATATTCTTTCCAGATCCTGCTTGGACCATTCTTTCCCGAGACCATGTTCCCTTAATTGAGTATATCCTGACTGTACAATCTTTGCAGACTTTGACCCTTTAAATATTTCTTGACAACTTATTACAGTAACCCTGTCAGAACCTAATGAATCTACCAAATCTACAATCTGTAGAGATGTTTCTGTAATATCTTGTTCTTTAATTTGACTTGCATCAGTCTCGGTTAAATCTAAATCCTTTTTCACACAATTATCACAATTTTGGAAACAAAAGTTAGAATCGAATTTTTCATCAAAATAATTTAAAATCAAATTTCTTCTACATTCAAATTGATTTTCACAAAAAGTCATGACTTGTTGTAATTTGTTAAGATGAACAGTTTTATTTTCCTTTTTAAGAGATTTGTCTATCTGTATCATCTTTTGTAATTTCCTAACATCTTTAAAGGAGTAAAAAGTAATACAATATGAATACCTTCCATCTCTTCCTGCCCTACCAGTTTCCTGATAATAACTCTCCAGAGACCTTGGAATTGTATAATGCATTACAAATCTAACATCAGGCTTGTCAATACCCATCCCAAAGGCCACTGTGGCACATATCACTTGAACAATATTATTTTGCCAAGATTTTTGTACTCTGATTCTTTCGTTTGCACTCATGCCCGCATGATATGCTGCCGATTTAATTCCTAAAGATGATAACATCTCTGATACTTCTTCACATGATTTTTTAGAATGACAATAAATTATACCTGTTTGATTTTTAAAATTTTCTAATATAAATTTTTTGATTGTTTCTACCATAATTTTAGTATTCGAATTTTTAGGTAAAATTTGATAAAATAAATTATCTCTATTAAAACTCTGTCTTAATAATGTCATGTTGTTTTGATTAAATTTCAAATTCTTGATAATGTCGTTAATAACAAATGTATTTGCAGTAGCAGTCAATGCCATAATTGGTATATTACAAAAATTCTCCTTAAAATAATTCAATTGTTTATAATCTGGTCTAAAATCATGACCCCAACTTGAAACACAATGAGCTTCATCTATAATTATTCTTGATAAATTATGAGTTCGAAATAAACTTTGTAGAACAGTTTGAAATTTTTTTGATGCATTTATCATCTCGGGGGAGATATACAATAAATCCAACTCACCATTAACTAGCAATTGAAATACAAAATTTTTCTGTTCAGCATTAAGTCTAGAGTTTAAATTAGTAGCTTTAATATCTAATGCAAGCAAATGATCGACTTGATCTTGCATTAATGAGACTAACGGTGAAACAACTATAGTAGTTCCATGTGTCTTCCCATTTTTAATAATTGCTGGTAATTGATAACATAATGATTTCCCACCACCTGTAGGCATCAATACAAATACGTCCTTCCCCGATAAAGTGGAATTGATTGCCTTTAATTGATTATTTCTAAAATTAGCCAATTTAAAGATTTTACTCAATTTGAAATAGAGTTCATCTGTCCATTTATAATAAATTTCTTGTTCTTTAGCCTCTTCTTTTTCAATATCAATAACGTTCTTGGTAGATGATTGTATCTGAGATGAAAGAACAGATGGTAACAAATCATCATCCGAAAGTATTGGTTCCAAATCTATAACTTCTTCTTGATCCATTGGTTCATTTACTTCCATTATATCGAAGTCATCATCACTACTGATAATAATATGTTCATTAGATAATGATTCAGTACGTGATAATGAAGGTGACGAAGATATTGCGTGGTCTTCTATTATTGGAACTGATTCATTATCAGATATTACATTATCGGGATCACTCTCAATAATATTATGATCATTTGTTGTGAATACTTTATCTATATGATGTTGATATTCTTCGTCATCAACCATTCCTTCATGAGATATATCGTAAAACCGTGATTCATCGAATTGATCATCATCTTCATTAAACAACCAGGGAGTAGCCTCTTTATCTTTTCCAAAATCATTAGCATTATTATTATTATTATTATTATTATTATTATTATTATCACTGCTACCATAAATATTGCCATTCGTATTGTATATGTTATCCAATTTTGTATCCAGTTCTGAAATAGATACATTCAAATTTTCTAATTGAGGATTAATTTCATTTTCCAATCTTTCAATTTTATCATTTTTAGAAAGTTCTGTTGATTGAATAATACCTGATTTTCTAGATAATAACCTATTAAGGTCTTTTAAATGTTCAATTATATTATTTTGTACATTGATAATAGATCCATTGAACCATTCTTCTTGCATGTTCAACACACTATGCCTCTTTTCCCTTTTTGAGTTTCCGTTATATTTATATTTATATTTATATCATCTACTGTGTCTGATTAGGAACCTTCAAAAGAAAAACACAATAACAAATGATGATTTTTACAAATTTACTCTAATATTGAAGGTTTCACATTTAAAAGAAAAATGTGTATATGTTAATTTGACCTCAGCGGCTAAACTTCAAGTCCTTTCATTTCTTTACTTTGCCACCCCCACCACTTCGAAAATTCCAGTTTCCCTTGAGAAGAAAAGAGTGGGTTACGTCAAGACAATACAAAACAAGATGTCAATATGGAATAGAAGGGATAATAATAATAACCTTTGTGCAAAACAAAAATTCAAAATTTAATTGCGCGACAGTTACCCTCTCTATCTAAAACAAAGAAAAATTAAATCTTTCATTTCTTCTCTTCCGGATAGCGGGCGCAAAAGGGACCAAAACAAACAAATTGGTATATGATATATGTTTGTATATTCACAGAAACGCATGGAAGACATCCATAATTTTGAAGTGGCTCGGAGCACTGTACCCCGGGGCCTCTACATGCATGACGATTTCCTTTTCCCACACACCGTTTCTCTCTCTCTCTCATTGATCCCCCACTAATCTCCGCAATTTTTAAAAGAAGACTGCGTACTAAATTTGACATTGGAGACGTTAAATGCAATTTTACTTTCTAATGTCACTGACATGAAGGACAGCAAGAGAGAGGGAATAACAGAATCACATAATAATAGGAACAAGAAGCTATTCATTAACAATGTTGTGGGAATGTAGCAGCTTTCATTATAATAAATAAAATATATACTCATACATTATTCGATTGCTCGAAGAAACCTGGGTTTTCTTGTGGTTGAGGTGGACAAATTGTAAAAGGAACTTTGAGAGATTTCAGTCAGTTTCCTGTTGTTTCTTTCTTGCCATATTATAAACTGAATGCATTTCTTTCAGTAGACCTTTTGTATTTCTACAGTTGTTTCTTGGGAGAATCAGTTTTGTTTAATATCTTGTTACATCTAAGTAATCATTATGTTGACATACTGTATATGAATTTACGTATATTTGCAAAAATAACAAGAAGAAGAAGATTTAGGCGATGCATTTTCTTTTATTTTTTTTGGGAAACAAGGAAACCTCTCTATTCTTTAACATAATCATGGAATATTAATAGCTTCATCAACAACATACATTCCCTCTTATAGACTTGCCATTTCTTTTTTACCATAAGTGGAATTTGTAATTATAATTTGATTCTCCATATATTTGCATTTCTCCGGATCTTCAACAAACTACGTATTGTATATTACATAATATATATATATATATATATATATATAAAGAGTACAGGTAGATATCTTGCAAATCAACTATTGTTTATTATTGTTAATATTTTTTTTTCTTTGCCTTTCATTTTTTTTATCAGTATTGTTTTCATTTTTTTTTTCCAAGGTGTGTCCCCTTAAGCTTTCTTTTTAAATTTAAAAAAGGTTAAAGGTTGATGATATAAGTAACAATTAACAACAGACAAAATAATATCCTAAACAAGACAAGCAAACATTGCAAAAAACAACAACCCAAAATAGGAACACTCATTAACTAAAATTACCAAACTGATTGCATAACTTTTTTATTTTTAATTCTTAGTAGACTAAAAAAAAATATAAACATATTAAGAAAGAGAGGAGATAGACGGAGAGCTAAAAAGCAAGATCAATTAAGGTCACATCACATTGTAACAATATTATCAGAATCGTGCACATATAGTTAAAAAAAACATATAATACAATATAATAATGGAACAGGCATGCGATTTGTGTAGAATTAAAAAGCTTAAATGCTCGAAGGAAAAACCAAGATGTACGAAATGCCGAAAGAATAATTGGACATGTACATACTCACCTAAAGTTAAACGTTCACCTCTAACAAGAGCACATCTAACTGCGGTTGAGAATAAACTTAATTTATTACAACAACTCTTTCAACGAAATTTCCCAGGTCAAAGTATCGAAACATTCCGTATTGTAGATTCAAGTACAGCTTTGAGAAACAATAAAATTGAAAATGACAATGAAAATGAAAACGAAAATGACAATGAAGAGGATAGTGAGCAGGAATCTGCAAATGAGTCTAGTTCATTCCCCATTCCTACGCAAATAAAATTAGAACCCACTTCGGCCTCGACAATATCAATGAATACAAAATATTCATTACGATCGCCTTTTATTACACCTAGAGTACCAGTTATGCTAAATGAGAGTCTTCCAAACGATTTATTACATGGGTTTGATTGGAATGAAAATAAAAATTCTGGTCCAATGTATGGGTCAGGGTTTTATGGACCCGCATCATCAGTATCGTTATTAAAATTACATGCTATAGTATTTGATTCTAATTATTTAGATGAAGAAAATACACCTGGTGGTGGAACGATGGCTCATTATAACCAAAACTCAGTAATAATAGATAAAGTTCAGTTAGCAAAACGTGAAACAACTGCGAGGTTTGTACAATCTTATTTTGATAATTTTCATCCCTTCCACCCAATTTTGGTTGAAGAAGAATTTATGAAAATATATAATGATACCACTACAACCTCTTTTACAGATAAATGGCAGCCTCTATATAATATAGTACTTGCCATTGGGTCGTGGTGTATCAATGGGGATTCAACGGACATAGATTTGCATTATTTTACAAACTGCAAATCCTATATGTCGTCAGGAAAAGATAGTTCCTTGAACGATTTACATTTCTTGGAGGATGGTTCAATAGATCTTGTGATCATATTGAATCTGATTGCAAACTATCTTTTTCTAAGGAAAAAATTTAATGCTAGTTATCAATTTAATGGTACAGCAATGAGGATGGCCCTATCCCTGGGTCTTAATTATAATATTCATATTCAATTACCTACACAGGCCCAACCGCAGGAGAGACACCTGAGTGAACTAAATAATTATAAACTTATCCAAAGAAAACTAATATGGTGGTCTATAGTTAATTTAGAATTGAAATTAAACCTTCTTATTTTTGATCGGACATATATGGCTTTGAACTCGAATCTAAATTTGTTCAACTGCTTGACAAATGATATAGATTTATCTTCCATCACTAACAATAACCTATTATATTTTAACAATTTGAAACTCAATTTACATCTTTTGGATATTTTTAATACGTTCATAATAGGTCTCAATCACAAACAATTTGATTATGATGAATTACTGAAGATGTTAAATGATAGGGAATTCTGTGAATTGAAAGAGGAAGAAAATATTTCCAATATTAATGAAAGAGTGTTTAAATTTCTATTTAATAGTAGAAAATTCTCCTTAAAGTTCTACTTAATTAAGAAATTCATCTCAAATTCGTATTCCCAGGAGGAATCAGTAAATAATCTGGTTCAATGTAGTGACCTAATAATAGAGATGATAAATGGATTTATAGAATTGCTTGATTCATTTATCCATAATAATGAAACAATAACAAACGCATTAACACCCTTAGTAATAACTACATGTGTTGAGGAAACATTTCATTCAGCAGTATTGGCTATTCTTCAATTATATGAGTCTGGAGACGACAATAAACAAGTTTTTGTTGAACAAATAAACAAATTTATTGAATTCTTAAAGTTCTTCAGTAATTTTAAAAATTTGAAGTCTTCATCATTGACCAAATATTTACATATTTTCCAGGAAACACTCCAAGATTTCAACAAACTTTCAGACCCTCAGGAAAAGGATCTCAAAATAAAATTGTCTAAGATGCCTTCCTCGACGTATGTAACTTCTCCCCATGTAGTTGATGATAACAAGAACCTGGCGCGACTTATTTCAAACGAAAAGACTGTACAAACAACGTATAACCGTACAAACAACACAAACTCCACTATGGCCACACAGGTTGGGTCACCTGGCTTATCTGAGGTCATGAATAGTAAGAGTTATACTGACTTAGTTAACCTACTATCTGTAGGCAAGCAACAAAATAATAATAATTTCAACAACCATTCCACTCAACTTCCTACTTCACCTTTCAATATATCGAAATTTGGGGCTATGTCCCCAAAGATCCAACAAATGTCGGTTCCATATATTCCTCCATCCATGAACAATTCCAAACCTATAAGTAACACAAACCGCATTTTCAATATTCCTCAACCAGGATCCAACACCATGGCGTCTGTTTTCCCATCTACAATATACGAGGGGAGCAGTAGTACAAGCTACCCTAACAATTCCAGTTACCAATCGATCATGAGCGGGAATAATGGTACTATTTCAGGATTGCAAAGTTCGACTAAGAACCATAATAACGCTACATTTATGCCTGATGTCTCTGGCACAACGAATAATGCTCAATTACTTGGTTCTACTGGCATTCCAAATAATAACAACAGTAACAACAACGCTGTAATTACGAATAACAACTCTAATAGCATGAGTGTCCCACAAACACCAGGTGGATTCCAAGAGAACTTGTGGAATGATACAACTGCCTTCAACGCACTAGGGGTCACTTCTGGTTTATTCAATACTACTACTATGGATGATGTCTACAACTACTTATTTGATGATGATATTACTGGGCCCAATAATGTTAACGATGGCACAACAACCGTTGGTAATAATGGCCAAACTCAAGCCTCATTTACGAAAAAGTAACGAGTATATATATTTGCATATCTACACATACTTAAATAATCTTTAATGACTTTTACGATTTATTTATTTTTATTAAGACATACCTAAATGTGGCTTTATCTTTATGTTCTGTAAATACTACTCGATCCGAGACCAAAAAAAAAGAGAATATTGGAACATTTCGTTTTTATAAAGGTTATTTTTATCCCCTTGATGAGACAATAACTTCGAACAATTGTTTACATCGAAAGAATAAAGAATTAATTGCGTAATAGCATAGACTTATTATAACATCCCATAATATCCTGTAAGCGAACACTATTGGTAACATATTAAGTATGTCAGAGATGTCAATAAATGAGGAAGCCAAGGGTGCAGAATCCAATACAGCGGGTATTGTCGAGAAGGATACTGATTCCCCTATTTTAAATAGCGCCCCTACAGAACTGAATGAGGTGGCTGATGATTTGAATTTAACTATTGTGTCACCGGAGTCAGTCAATAACTTAGACAATGGAACTGCATTTGATAGACCTGATATTATTGTTAGTAACTTGGACGATATAAACTCTGAGGTTAACAATTCTGTAGCAAATACTACTGAGGAACAATCAGATAATAATCAAGGTCAAAATGGAGAAAAAGAGAATGAACCATCGTCCGACACTCTAAACAAAATAGAGCCTGCGAATTCACAATCCCCAATACTACCACCAAGATCTCCTACAGGAGAATCGCCAATATTACCTCCTAGATCTCCTATAACAACCAGGGCTGCACCAGACTTGCCAAAAAGGTCAAGTGAATTAGAAACAGTTTCTCAACCTCCACATTTACCAGAAAGACGCGAAGTTCCATTGTACTCAGTTCCACCTCCATTATCGGAGGAAATGAAATCTGCATCATTCCGAAAGAATGCTGCTGAAATTGCAAGTAAATCTAGAAGTAATTCTAGGGTTATGAGTCCCATTGATTCGGCTGCAGAGATTAATTTAATAGCCAATAGATATAGAGTGACGAGCCATCAACTATACGATGAGCCTGAATCAAAAAGAGAAAATATCGAAGAGGGTCAAATTATATTGAAGTCGACATATAGTACAATCCTAGAGCACGAGAAAGAAGAAGAGGAACCTTCTGAATCATATACAGAAACTGGTGATATTGAAAATAGAGAACTATCTAAGGTGAATTGGGATTTCTGGACTAGTGTTGTCAATGACTTTTCTTCTGTAGCTAACAAAGAATCTATTCAATTAGAGACCGAGATTACAAAGGGTATTCCAAGACAAATCAGAGGCATCATTTGGCAATTAATTGCCAATTCCAAATCCAAAGAATTTGAAGATATTTTTATTACTTTGCAAGGTACCGAATCACCTCATGAATCGAGTATCAAGAGAGATTTAAAGAGAACCAATTTCATACCCCAAGAAAAAGTTGATGCATTATTTAATCTTTTAAAAGTTTATTCGGTGTATGATCCGGATGTTGGTTATACCCAAGGAATGGGATTCATCACAACGCCATTATTATTGAATTGTGAAACAGATGCCGATGCATTTGGTTTATTAATCGTATTAATGAAAAACTATGGTATTCGTGAATTCTTTTTACCTGAGATGCCCGGGTTAATGCTATTGTTGTATCAATTCGATAGAGTTCTCGAGGAGAACTCCCCAACGTTATTTAATCACCTGAATAGGGAAGGTATCAAATCGTCAATGTATGCGACCCAATGGTTCTTAACGTTTTTTGCTTATAAATTCCCATTAGAGTTTGTATTAAGGATCTTTGATATAGTGTTATTTGAAGGGTTTGAATCCATTTTAAAATTTGCCATTAATTTATTATTGAAAAATCAAGAGGTTATTATGAGTTTAAAATTTGAGAATTTACTAAATTTCTTAAAGAATGGATTATTTGAATATTATTCCAATTCGACTACGGAGACACTGCAGGGAGAACCTGCTCTTATTTCTTCACAAACCACTGTATCAACCACAAGCAACAACAACAACGTGGAGAGAAATGTTTCCATCGGTTATGAATACGATGTTGATTCATTTGTGAGAGATGCAATGAATGGTGTTCATATTACACCTATTTCCTTACACCGTTATGAAGCAGAATATCAAGAGGTTCATCAATTACAACAGGAGAAGGAAATGCAATATGAATTATTTAGAATCAAGAATAAACAATTACAAAATGAATCTAAGAAATTACATCATGAATATGCATTGCTAAACAAAGAGCATATTTCGATAGCTAATGAGTTGATTGAGAATCGATTGAAGACTGAAACGTTATTAGATGAAAATCAAGATTTGAAAGTTACGATGGAGAAATTACATTTACAAATTCAAGAAGAAAAAGAGAAAGGGGAGATCCCTAACCCTGATTCGACGTTGCCTATTAATTTAAAGAAGGATATGGCTCGAACCATCGAACGTAATACTGAAGTGATGAATGAGAATGAAATGTTGCAAGAAAAGATTAAAGAATTGAAATTACATGTTAAAGAATTGAAATTAGAGAATAAGAATAGTATTAAACAAAATCAAGGAACAAGAGAGACACCTTCAACGCGACATCAAAATTTGGATACAACAAATACTACTGAGGATGAGATACCAGTTGCCACCGCAACGGAAAGTTCAGTACCTTCATTAGGTGGTGGTTGGAAAGGTTTTAAAAATGTTTTCAAAAAGGAATAGTCATTATATATGTATGTATGTATGTATGTAATTTAGATGATTTCTCTTTTTTAAAGAAATGTTGATGCGAAGTGATTTGACTACTACGACTAACACCCACACATTATCAAAAATAATAAATAATAATAAAAAAAAAAATGAAAAATTCTAGAAAAACAAAATAATAATAAGTCGGGAGGTGTACTGGGTCAGTACAAACACCGTAGAAGCACCATTGTCTCACTACGACATGCCTGGAAATAAAATTTTCAAAAAAACAAAACAGAGAAGAATATTGCAATAGTTTTCACGGCTTCATCAATTTAATTTTTCATTCAATGAGAGAGAGAGAGAGAGATGATGATCGGGTATCAAATTCGATGATTATACTATAGGATAGTAAATACGGTGTACAATGTGCAGTTAGTAAGTAGTACATCCACCTATTGGTTAGGCATTGATACCCAAACAAACGGGAAAATAGTAAACTCATTACCTCTTCTTACCTTTGATGACCTAATGTAATGATACTAATTAAAGTAGAAATTACTGAAATAGATCTACTAGTAGTCTAGTATATAGGTATATATTTCTTGAATTATATTTAATAAAAGACGAAATAAATCACACAATCAGATAATATTAAAAATGGCTGTCAAGACTGGTATGTACAAGCATAGACTATTGCAAATGAATGAATAAAGAGATGTGATATAAAGAGATTAAGATGACATATGAGCGAACGAACGAAGGAACAAACAGAACAAACAATTACTATAATGTATAATTATAAGAGCAAGAAAGTCACAGTTTAAACCTATGAATGAATATGAAATAAGAAATAAGAAATAAGAAATAAGAAATAAGATATAAGAAATATACACATATATGGACACTAATTTTAATGCTAGAACTCTCATACATCAATCATCATAGTCACGTATAAGTTGATTTATCATTCAAAAAACGACACATAATAAAAAGGAATATAATAATACTAACAAAAACAAACAAACAAATAATAATTATAATGATATTAAAATTGTTATAATTATAATGTATATATATGAATTAGGTATCGCTGTTGGTTTGAACAAAGGTAAGCAAGTCACTTCCATGACTCCAGCTTCTAAAATTTCTTACAAGAAGGGTGTTGCATCTAACAGAACTAAGTTTGTTCGTTCTTTAGTTAGAGAGATTGCCGGTCTAGCTCCATACGAGAGAAGACTGATCGATGTCCTAAGAAACACTGGTGAAAAGAAGGCCAAGAAGATTGCTAAGAAGAGACTAGGTTCTCTAAAGAGAGCTAAGGCTAAGGTTGAAGAAATGAACAATGTCATTTCTGCTTCTCGTCGTCATTAAGCACATAATAACGTATTTTATTTAGTGATAAATAAATAAATAATTAAAAAATAAATACAAGGAACATATAACATTTTTTGAACATAGCCGCTCATCATATAATATATAAAAACACAAAAGGGGATTACAATAAATATAGAGAGAAAGACAAGTGACTCATTCATATATCGTCGATGTACACTTCACCTTTTTTATTTATATTTTTATTTTGTCTTTATCGATGAGAATGAGATGAAGACAAAATAAACTACAAGATAAATAAATCGGTTGGGATGTTGATCATGATCCAAAATATTGGAATCAGATACCATCGGAAATTAAGTAGCGAACAGCATATTTTGTATAGATGAAGACAGCGGGACCGCCAAATGTGACACCTTTAAATCAAGGAAATTTCCAGGAAATAAAGGAAGTTCTACAGCTAAAATATTTCAGTACGCTGGAGATAGATAGACAAATACAGAGTAAACTCAAACTTGTTGTTATTCTGACTGCGATACCGAGTCAGAACGAGAGATATTATTATTATGAATTTATCAGAATAAAACGTGACCGCGCGGTATGTGCTCCTCCTTCCCCTCTCCCCGCTCCGACTTTACCCCAAGTACTTCTCTTCCGTGCAGTTTGAGAATATTCTAGAGAAAGCGAGCGACTTTCTCTCCCCGAGGAACAGAATGAAAAACAACACAAACTGTGGAAATAATTTGGGAGAGATCTCGCTATGTAATATTAGTAATAACAAACAACAAGCAATAAGCAATAAGCAACAAATTATTCTGTATGAATCATCAATCACACACACCACACCACACCCATTCATCATCCTCATGTTGTGCTTCGAATTGCTAAGTAGTTAAATTACGCGGCTTTTTGTCTCTGTCCCTCTCCAATCCAAACCAAGCTGTTTTCACCCGGAAAAGACGGAAAGCGTTGAGCGTTGAGCGTTGAGCGTGAGCGGGTGGGGTGGGGTGGGGTGTATTTGCTTGCTTTCTTGTTTGTGGGTGCGCAATGTGTAATTGTGAATGAAACGTGCTCTCTCTTTCTTTAATTTGTAGGGAACAATCTGCGTACCACTGACACATTTATTTATTATATTGGAAAGTGGAAAAGTGAAAAATATTATTAGTAGGAGGAGGAGGAGGGGGGAGATCATGCTTTGACTAATACTATTACTATTATTAATTGTCTTTATTATTGATTGAATTTGTCTCGGTTGTTAGGAGTGCGAGACAGAGAGAGAGAGAGAGCCATACCTTTTGATTTTGATTTCTGATTTTAATGACAGAGTTAGTCATTTTCATTTTTGCTAATTTAATTAAGTTAATTACGCTATGTGAAATATTTAATGCATATTTTGCACCTCCTCTCAACACATTTTGCAATTTTACTTAAAGATTATTATTTTGATATATAAACAAGTAAATTTTTTTATATTGAATTGCTATATCGTATCAATCTTACTCTTATTTTAATATTTTCTAGTGTGTCTACATATATCAGTACTACAAACAATTATACTAATATACACGCCTACACTTAAAACTTATATCTCTAACACAGAACAATGTCAGACTTATTCACTCTAGAAGAATTCGATCAGGATGAAGTCTTCTCCTTATCATTCTCAAACAATGGTTCATTTATGAACTCCATTCCTACTTTATCATCAAGTCCTAATGGCTCTCTACTATCTACTTCACCATCAGATTCCTTCCTAGATAATAATTACACTCCTGCTTTATTGTCTACTTCAAATCAATCAAATTATTTAAATGAAAATTACAATAATAATAAATTTAATACAGAAATCTTCAAATTAGAGGATAATCATTCCTCAATAAATGAAAATTTCTCATTTATTGAAAATAAAAAGAATTTAAATCATAGAACGATAGATATTACTCAATCAACTAATAATAATAATAATATTGCAAATAATAGTAATAATAATATTGATGCTTTTGCTAACGTTGCTCAACAAAATTATAGAATTTGGGCTTCTTCAGTTTGAAGAATATTACTATAATAATCATAACAATCCATCTATATTCTTAAACATTTGCATTAGTTTTTTTTTATTTTTATCCTAAAAAACATTCATTCATTCATTCATTCATTCATTATTATTAGCATCATATAAACATGTCTCTATCTATCTTTTCTTTTCTTTTTCTTTTTTTTTTATGGTATATACATATACATATTTTAAATTAATAAACATTTAAATTACATTTACTACTTTAAATTTATATATGACTTATCATCTTATGATTATGACTTATCCTATTGGATTATTGTCATAATTATTGTATGGCAACACCCACACATCGCACCCTTTTTTGCTCTTGATATCTTTCGCTATCAACCAAAGAAAATTTATATACCTGATATTTTTCATGCACCAATAATAAAATGTTCTGATATACTGCAACCATTTTTGTATTTGTAAGCTTGATATAATACACATCTACATCTATATAATATAGTCATCGAGTAACCTTATTAGATTATTTCGTTTTGATCATCTGCCCTCCCTCTTTTTGTTATTATTGTTCTAAATAATAATACTGATAATCGATACATCACATTTACACATCCTCATAAACCAATGTTTAAAAACATTCTAAGAAGCTCAATACCAAGACAAATACTAAGGACGAACCATCCAAGGATAATATCAATCATCCCATCCTCTCTAACTTATAGATCCTTCTCCATATATCAACCAGTATGGCACGGTCATTTGAAGACCCCTAAGCCTGGCGAAGAATTGAAAATTACATTCATAGAGAAAGACGGGAATCAAAAGACGTTCGACGTCGCAGAAGGGGAGACCCTCTTAGACATTGCCCAGGGCCATAATCTGGATATGGAAGGTGCATGTGGGGGTTCCTGTGCTTGCTCGACATGCCACGTGATCGTCGACCCGGATTATTATGATGCGATTCCCGAACCAGAAGATGATGAAAATGATATGTTGGATTTGGCTTATGGGTTGACAGAGACTAGTAGATTGGGGTGTCAAGTAAAAATGAAGAAGGATATCGACGGTATTAGGGTCGCTTTACCTCAAATGACAAGGAATGTCAGTTCTAACGATTTGTAGTAATTCTAATAACTAAAAAAACGAAAAAGAAAAAGAATTACTCATTTTATTTTGTAAATATCCAAAAAAAACTCATATAATTCTATATATAATTAAGAATTACATATATCTCATGATCCCGCCGCCAATAACAAGGTCAACTCTATGCTATCTTATTCTATTCTATGCAATGCATCATATCGAGAGATCTTGTCTTGTTGTGACGTTCGCTCGTTACCTATTTTTATTTTTATTTTTTTCTGAGTAAAATTGCCCGTTTCGGAAAGATCATCAAATACTCCAAATGTAAATAAATAAACTGGAACTCATAAAAAAGTATACAAAACAACAAACAATATATACAATTATATTTACTTAATTATTTGAAACTACACCCATTCTGGCAGTTATCGAACCATTTTCGCTATGATTCAACATAAGATGAATGAACTTCGCCACTATGAACAATCCTCAGGACATTCTGACAGACCAACGTCAAAAGGTAGTTATACGAAACAACTTCATGATATAACTAATAATATACAGACTTCAAGTTCAGGCAAACGAAGAAAGTTATTAAACAATATTGATGTCGCCAGGATTGCTACTAGACAGAGGAGACAATTCCAAGATTTAAAAGATACTAAGGATTTGAAAGCAAATATTATCAAAATTGATAGAAATATCGAAAAATATCAAAATCGACTTATACCTGAAATTAAATACAATATCTCAAAACGTCTTTCTATGATTAATAGAATATCGAATAGATCTAATGATCATTCAATAACAATTGAACAAGTTGAGATTGATATTAAACAATTACAAACTAATATGGAAATTGAAATTGAAAAAATAAAAAAAGATTTCCAAAATCAATTGATGCAAAAGAAAGAACAACATATCAAGAATATGGAATCACTCAAGGTTAAAAAAGAAACAGAAATCAATGATTTAAATAAAATACCACCAAAGGAAGAACTCCTAAAAGATATTCATACTTACGAAGAGCAATTAGAAAAGCTGGAACAAAAATTAAAAGAATTAGAAAGATCAAATGAAATGTTCTCCACTGGGTTAGATGAAAAACTTGATGACGAATTCCAATTATTAAGGGATAACAATACAAAAAAATTGAATGATTCCAAGAAAGAAACCGAAGAGACACAATGGAAATTAGATGAAATTACATTTAAAATTCAAGATTCAAATTTTAATATATCTGTATTAGAGACAGATATTGAAAAAATAGTAAATGAAAATAAAATTCTACAAGACGATATCAATTCAATTGAAAAATCCAGTATGCTGCCAGAACAAAAACTTAAATTATTGAGTAAACAAGCTGAAGAGACTGGTCAAGAACACACCGTTCTTCTTGAGTTAGAAAAATTAGAGAATGAAAATTTAGAAGTTCATTATGTTCTCCTTGACAAAGAAATTAGAAAAAGAAAAATATTACAAAATACAATAGATGAATTAAATGGACATATTCGAATATTTGGATTAATAGGAGAAAATGGATCACAACTAAACTATAACTTAGAACATAATTCAATAAATGACCCGAATGAAAAAGATAACAAACCACTCTATTTTAATAGACTCTTTCAGAAACCTGATTATAATGTCGACAAAATTTTAAATTCAGAAATTAAAATATATAGTACTTCGTGTCTGCAAAACCATGAGGACTATAATATATTCCATATATCCCCAAGACCAAATAATGATCTTCAAATCATGGTATTGGAATTTCTTGCTAAAAATTACCTCGATGAATATAATGTCAAGTTCCAAAATTTATCTTTATACAATGAAAAGTTTACAAATGACAGCCCTTTTTCAATCCGTGAAGACAACACAATTCTACTCGATAGAACCCCTATCCAATTAACAGATGTACCATCTACTTTAGGGGATGATATCAGGGATGATGGATTGGTCCAATTAAAAGTACTGAAAGTACAACTATCTGAAAAAGAAGATTCTACGGGGCCTATAGATTTTTACTTCTTACAGATCAATAATGTACAATCCATGGAGTTATTACAAAGATTCTTAAATAAAGAGGAGGCTTGGAATAAAACACAGATAGGATTATTTATCTTGAAAATACTGAATTACACCAAATCCTGTTTTGTTTTTGACCTTGAGTCAAATGACACTAACGATGTAAGAAAACTTATGTTACCAATATCTAAGTGTATTAGTAAAATAAAGAATCCATCCAGAAAATAATAAAAAGATACACGTAAATAACTGAGTGAATCCTTTCAAACTGTGATAAGTGTAAATAATTTCTATTAATGTTCAATTCGGACGATTACCACGATCCTTTCGTACGTGCAAACATACATATCTTTATATATAATTTACTTCCTGTTTACTGAAACATAATTCGTTATATGCATATATTATTATTACAAATGTCTGATATCCAAAAATTATATACCATTGAATAACCAACCAGTCAGAATCTGTTTATTTTTCGGTTAAAATATCCTTAATTAACCAATTCAATTCTTCTCTAGTACCAACATTCCTCTCATCTATAGGAGTAAACATTGGTTTCTCATTGGCAAATTCTGGCATGTCGTCAATTGCACTATTCGTTATAACCAAATCATCATCATTTCTCAGACCATTATTGGAAATATTATAGTACGCACTCGTTGACGATTTCATTATATTTGGAAATACAGAAAGCGCATTATAAATATCCTCATTGGTCAAGGCCATCTTTGGTTTCGAATCATATTTCTTCAATATTCCAGTAGATATTTCGGTCTTTGAATCATTCTCTGTATCTATATCCATCTTATCATAATCGTCATCATCATCACTGCCGTTACTCTTATTATTATCATTACTATCATCGCAGTTGACAATAGGTAATCCAGGAATTTTATTTGTTAAGAAATTATTATCATTATTCTTATCCGTTACCGAGGAAAATATACCATCTTCATTTAAATCATAATAATCTGAATATTTCTTAGTTCTGTATCTTAACGAGTCGATACCAAACTCTACAACTTTCTTTAAATAATGATCCAAAGCTAACGACATCATATCGACACATCTTGTATCGACACTTCCTACTAAACCATGTTCCCTAGCTATACCGGTCATCTTTAAATAGAGACTATCAGTATCCGGTAAAGAAAAATTGTCAGTTGCCAATGGGGCATTAAACCCATTCATGATATCCTGGGACCATTCTAATGGAGTCTTCAGATTATTAGCTTTAATGCGTTTTAATGTTTCTTGATTTGTTACAATAGGTATTTTCGGTATATTAGTCAATCTATCTTGTAATACCGAACAATAAATGAATCCACGTTTACCAGCTTCTTTAGTGATTGTCTTTAATCTTGTTCTATCAGACATAGGTAAGGACATGACAATTTTCTTATAAGTTTCAATTTGTGAATTATGTTTATTAACACGTTTAAGACCTTTATTACCAACACTTGACCCGAACCCCCATGATTTATCAGATGCACCCAATGGAGAGTCTCTTAAAGTGTTTGTAAATATTCCTAATAACAATTGATTATGCAATCTAATTAACTTCGGTCGCTGTAAACTAATTGTATGTGGTGTAATCTCATTTGAATTATTAATATCAGATTGTGAATCGTCAAATGGTTTCGTGAGGGAATATGCTAGGGCAGCTGATTGATTACCCTGAACATTTGGTGGATGTCCAAATAACGAATCAAATTCACGACTCAATTCTTTTCTAGATAATTTCCCTAAAATAAATCGACTAATAAGTTGTGAATATTTAATCCAATTATCCTTCCCTAGCAATTCAATAAATTCTTCAATCATAGAACCAAGATCAAGTCTTTGGTTCTTACTATTAAGATTTAAAATATCTAGAGATGCTGGAGTATTTGGAACCTCATTTTTAATTGTCACTGGTTTAAGATTAGGGATACCTGTACTATCACCAGGAGTCATGTTTGCAGTATAACTTGTTGCAACGGATTTATGATTTTGCTGCATGGTAGACATTTCCTAAAGATTTTTATTATTTAAAAGTAGTTTTTTTCCTATTACGAAAGCAAAAAAGAAGTGTATGATATGAGGATTGTGCAATTTTTTTTATAGAATAGGTACCTTATAGGAATGTGTCACAACCTTTTTATAAATTTGTATTATCAATCTGGTGACAGTGACACTGCAGCACTGATTTATTCAAAATATGATAATAATATTCGTAATGTTTATTATTTTAGCTTTAAAAAAAATAAGCTGAAAAATAATAATAACGAAATGACAGGATAAAAGCTGAACTTGTGCAGTGAAAAAAGAGCGTAAAAAGAGAGAGAATATGATCTCTAGTAATAGCCAATGATCAATAAATAGATAGATACTACAATGAAAAGGATATATGGATATTAATATGGCCTTTATTCCTTTGCTTTTTACCCTTTTTCTACTGTCGGAAGTAACCTATTTTGATAGAGCCTTGTTTATAAGATTCGTAACCACCATACATTTTCTTTTCTGTTCTTTGAATTTTTTGCTTTTCCCACAAATTTTTTCATCGTTCCGCTCGCTTTTTCAAAAGCTTACTGCTATCGCTGATTATTTAATTGCTAAACTAACTTGATAAAGATGAGATATACGCTAACTGCAATTGGTGCTATATACAGTTACATATATATATATGTGTGTATGTTGGGAATAATTGTTACAGATAAACTACCTCCAGGTTATTAATATTACAAAGTTAGCTTTGCCGTGAGCTGTTTAAGTGGGCCTGGCGAATAATTAGTAGCCGGCGGGGGAAGGGGATGGAGAGTAAGTTAGTTGAACATTTCTAAAGAAAGCATACTACGAGAGTGATTGTCCTACGGCTTTTCTTTTCTTTTTGTGGGGAGATGTCGCTCATATATAAGGAAGGTTAGTTCTATCAGTCGTTGAATATTTCAAAGAGTTATTCTCCATTATTAAACGATTATTTTCTATCTGTAGATTTTCTATTCTATGATTCAATGAATCCATTTCAGACTTATAAGACAGTTTGGCATCTATTAATTCTGTCTTTAATATTTCTATCTGTTGCAAATAAAATTCTTTTTCATTTTTATTGTCATATATCAGTTGATCATTTTCGGCTCTTAATCTTCTATTATGTTTATTAAGGTCTATTGAGCGATCCAATATCTTTTGTGAATCCTTTAATGATATGATATAATCATTTTTAATTAATTCATAATTCTTCTTATAATGATTTTCTTGTGTCTTTAATTCTTGTTTTTGTTCTTCTAATATATCATCCAATTTATGTAATTGATTGGTATTAAAAGATAACTGATTTAAAAGATCATCATAAACACGTTCCGTTTTCAATTGAGACTTTTTTTGTTGTTCTCTTTGATTAAATTTCTTTGGAGAAGGAAATTTACCTGGGAAAGAATCAGGCAATCGTCTACTATCTAAAACGGAGTCTTTAAGATTGTTGTTATTTTCACCTATAAATAATTTATTAAGTAAAGGATCACCTTGTCTTGGAGAATTATAGTTGATTTCATTATTTTGATCAAATTGTCTATTATTACCATGGTTGTAAAAAGTATCATTCATTTCTCTATAAGTAGGATTAACTCTAGGATGAAGATTTGGCGGACTACGAAGACGAGTCTCTTGTAATCGGTCCCTTATATAATCATCATTAGTCGCTTTTGCACTTTGCGGTTGTTGCTGTCTCCATGGAGATGGTTCATATTGACTACCTGTATTATCATGTAAAAGATCATATTTCTGATAAAAGGATTCTGTAAGACCATCCAATGAATTAGACCTATGATGATGGTAATTATTATTATTATTATTATTATTATTAGTTTTAAATTCAGAAATCATGTTTGTATTTAGTCCGTCTTGTTCCGACAACTGTTGATATTTTTTAGATGGGGATATTTTTTTATTAAATAATGCATCTTTTACCCAATTGATGATATTTTCATCAGTTGGTGTATTTGATTGTTGTTCATTCTCATCAATCAAGTTTTCGTTGTATCTATCATAAAGATTCATCTAAAACCAATATAATATAAAAAATAAATAAATCTAGAGACCACAAATTATATTTCACTTTTTCTTCACGGCTGTTGTATGATTATAAAAGTATACCATGAACTATATTCATATTTACGCCTACTTCTAAAATTAAATAAAACATCTATATTGGTTACTACGAACTAAAAAAGTGAAAATGTCAAAATATTTTAGAATAACCTTTGTTGGAAGTTTTGATTACATTATTAGATACTATCACAAAATATACATTACGTTACAAATTTTTGTGAACGAAAATGAAGGGTTTCCACTGTAAGCCCTGAGTACGGACAGATATTTCAACCGTAAGTGAAAAAGGGCAAACGCTAGGGTTTGGGGGCGTAACAAGTGAATCGGAACCCTAAAAAAACAAAATTTCAAAATGGGGCAAAAAAAAGATATGAGTTTGCTTTCAGCATAATTATTTCCTCTTTTTGTCTTTTCAAAACCCTAGCATCCGCCCTATTAAATCAGGCGGATGGAATATCAATTACAACGATATGATTGTCATTGTACCCTGTGATAGGGTATAGTTAATAGTAGACACTAACTAAATATATTCTGGATTAGTATAACTACCTTTATCTATGATAAAAAATGTCTCAAGCAGTAATGTTACATATATTCTATTTATCTCGACAATCTTTCTTGCATTTATTATTAATGCGACTGCCCTTTGGTAGCATCCATACACAATGATATATCTATCATATTCATACGGCTGAACCCAATGTTCCAATCAATAAATAAGACCTAACTTGTATGCATCATGCTTCTTACACATACAAATCCTTTAAAACTAGACCTACTTCGAAAAACCATCAGAAGCAACATTCGAGGGTGTTTGACTACCATGGGCCTATTTATCGCTTTGTACGTATCAGGCCAGTTACTGTAGGCCATCTACAATATAGCAGAGAGAAATATATGGAGGTCTACAGCAGAAACACTCTAATCAAGACGTAGATCCTAAAATCATATTCAGGTCTGCGGGTGCTTCTCTAACAGAGTGCTAAAAATGCCATCAAGCGTGTTATGGGGCGAAATGTTAAAAGTAATTCACATATAATAAGCCTTGTGGGGCTTCTTTTCCAAAATAAACTGCCCCGTCCATGTGACCAAATATTGGGTCTCATATTCTTGATAAATTACCCGTGGACTTTATGAAGAGAAACTTCAAACTCCCTCTGAGAACCCCCCAATTCTTATTCACATATAAAAGATGAAAAGGTTCCTTGTCCTGTTTAGGAAATATTCTCTGTTCTACTCCGACTTTGAAACGCGAAAAAACCACAAAAAAACAAAAATTCAAAGATCGAGACAACTGGACGCAGAAATGCTTGAGACACAGGGACCGGACACCAAATACGCGTTTAACTAAATTTTTCGCTCTCTCTCTCACTGCTCTTTTTACCTGAAACAGCAAAAAAAACGCCCAAAATAATAATTAAAATGGCAGTGAATGTTTTTTTTGCTTGAAAAATTTCACAGAACGCGAAAAGACACACCGCTATATTGAAATACCGTGGATAACTAATAAATTTAACAGCCTTCCTTGGTGTACATCTCCCGTAGCTTTCACTGATTTTAAACTCTTATTTAATCATTTTCGTGTACATTTTATTAAAGCAGATCAATTATATTTTGTTGACTACTGCCATTGAAGTTAACCCTTTTTCTAAAGGATCAAACAAAGACAACTTTGATTTAGAGGCGCGTTTCTATTTTCAAATCACATTGAATTTGTTCCCTCCTGAACTACTGTGGATCATAATCCATGGACTTTTCGCATTTTGCATATTGTGAAAAATTCCTTCAATGAATAAGTAGTACGTTTATTTTCTTCTTGTTTCTTTTATGCCTTTCATCTGCTCCTACTAACATTGAGATGTTAAGACTCGAAAAATTACAACGTAAAGACCTTTCTTCTTCTTAATATTATCCTTCCACAGGATTATCCCTGGTATTATAGTTAGCTCTAATGCCTTTACATTCCATAATTTCAAACTACTTCCTGTTTTTCCAAATCGTCTCTTTGAACGTACGCAACAAAGAAAACAAAAATCAACGACTATTTCTTTTAGGAAGGGAGTATATTCTTGAATTGGGTCGCGTACTTTTTATTTTATTTAGGTAGACTCATCTATCGTAGGAAGATATTCCTTCCTGATTTGTTTTAATTTCGTTACTTTTTGACTTTTTATGTCATCGTTCTTTCTGCACGAAAATTAATAATTTTTCAGTCCTTGGGTTCTTGTTTAGTGGCTCAATTCTAGTTCTGGGTTACTTTTGAATACTAACACGGTCAGAAATTCCAGTCTCTTCTATCATATACAACAACATCAACGACCTTATTCTTTGACTGACATTAGACAGTATACATACATAACATATATTTTTCCCGTCTGTACTGTCCCAGAACGTTGATCCTGATTCATTAAAATAGATTACTGTTGATTACTTTATCATATTATATTCTGAAAAAAAAAAGACTCGAAAAAACATAGTAACATACACCAAAATAATCAAAACTATTCTTTGCATCTCTGCCACTATCTTTTTTGTTTTGTTATTTTATTATATATATATATTATATGATTCGAGAGAGTTATTGATTTCAAACATTATACCTTTACTTAAATAGAAACTGTCCTCTCATCTATCAATTATTGCTAGAAAATATCCATTGGAATAAAAATCAAACTTTGATATATATATACAAACAGATATTATCCAGACTACAATTGTATTTTTTTGTTTAATTGTGTTCATTTGCTTCTAATATCAAGATATTTTTCCAATCGAAGAAATAATAACTCTATCTTCCTTCAAAATACATAATGGCTTCCAATTCAATTCCAGCTGGTCTGGTCGTAACAGCCAAACAAACATACTACCCAATCGAGCTCTCTAACTCAGAACTATTGGCACACTATGATACTATTCAAGAATACCAACAAGAAATCCTTTCAGATATGTTAGCTCAATCAAACAAATTTAAACCAAACACCAAATTGATTGATCAACAACCAGAGATGAACCCACTGGAGACTAGAACTCCTACCATTACATTCCTTTACGAATTATCTGTCATGACTAGAGTTACAAACGGCATTTTCTTCCAAGCTTGTAGATTATATGATCGTTATTGTTCCAAGCGTGTAGTTCTTAAGGATCAAGCTAAATTGGTTGTTGCTACTTGTCTATGGTTATCCGCAAAGACTTGGGGTGGTTGCAATCATATCATTAATAACATTGTCGTTCCAACTGGTGGTAGATTCTATGGTCCAAACCCAAGAGCTAGAGTCCCAAGATTATCTGAATTGGTTCATTATTGCGGTGGATCAGATATTTTTGACGAATCCATGTTTCTACAAATGGAAAGACATATCCTTGATACATTAAACTGGGAAATTTATGAACCAATGATCAATGATTTTGTATTAAATGTCGATGAAAACTGCTTGATCCAATATGAATTATATGAAAGACAAATCGAACAAAAGAATCAATTCATTAGAAAGCGTGAATCCCAAACTTCTCAAGACAGTGATGCTACTGTCGACTTTAATGAGAACGGTTCAAACAATGCTTCCAACGGAACAACTAACCAAGATATATCTATGGCTATTGATCCAGTTAATATGGATACAACTTTGAATGATGAAGAAGATGAAGATCTTAAATTAAAGATTCAATTGATCAATTTAAAGAAATTTTTAATTGATTTATCTACTTGGCAATATGAGCTATTAAACTTCGAGATCTTTGAGTTGGCGTATGGTATCTTCTCTATCATTAACAGATTCACTAATCAAGATCAAGGCCCATTCTTAGTTACACCAACTCCTTCCATGAACAAACAAACTCAATTGTTTAACTTATTTATCAGTGCTGTAGTCGATACTCCTGCATCCTTAATTGAAATATACAAAGAACAAAAAGGTATTGTATCCTTCATTAAGAATGTCAAGAGTTACCATTCTGATTTACAAAAGAAAATGCAAATGGCTTCATCCATAGATTTATCCAGAAGAATCACTGTTAATACTGGTTATCCTCAATCAAACTCTAATATCCCATCACCAATCTACTCTAACCAAAGCTATACACCAATGAGAAACGGTAGTGCTCAATCTGAAAATAGTGTCTTTAGTACGGTAGTCGGCCATGGTTCACCAATAACTCCAATATTACATACATTCCAACATCTTAAGAATGACAGTGCATGTGCAAGTTCTATGAGTGTTTCAAGCATACCGAATGGTAAAATGAATGGATACAATGCTCAAAACAGTGTGATTACCAATCAACATCATATGGATGATCAATATTATAATGAAAGTAATAAAGAAAATCAATATCCTAATCATATACCCCCAAGGGCTAAGTTCATTAACACAGGGATGTTCCAATCTCCAAGTGGGACTATCAACAGTAGAACATCTAGCAATAGATCTTCAATGATATCGTTAGCTCTTGCTAACAATACAAACAGTATGGCTACTTAAACATGATAGTATGCCACACTCATATTAATGATAAAAATACACACGATAAATCCTCCCTCACAAATCATCCTGCATTTTATTACAAATTTAATGTAATTATATTCACATCAAAAATAAAAATAAAAAAAGTACAAAACATTTTTATAAACATAAATACAAAACATATATATATATATATGAATAGATACAAATCTGATAAACTCATACACATTTATTACAATAAAAAGGCAATACTATATTTGAATATGACCTTTGCTCCAAAACTCCGGACTTGCAATCGTTGTCATCAATGAATAAGTTTATCGTTAAGCAATTTCTTATGTTAACCTTTGCAATAATTAGTGTCGTTATTTATAAAACCAAAATTGTCTCTGGTCAAAATAGCACCAAAACAGCCCATTTCCCCCTCCTTGTCCATCTTGGGGTTTTCAAAAATAAAGTTTTTAGGTCTCAGTGTAATTAACGTAGCATAATATGCACCTTCGTTCTCCTACTTGTTTAGTGAAAAGGGGCATTTCTCGTTCATAGTGATCTAGTTTGTTGGAAAGTAAAGGACTTTCTGCGTACGTATACACTTGGTGCTTATTATTTATATGGAGTATAGTTAAAGATGGATCTTTCTGCAGGTATTTTTGTTGATATTGGTCGTTAATGTTATAGCAAATAATCTGACAACATCACGTCGAGATACTTCTTTTCCTATTTGATACTGATTGCTTACAAAATGGGGTCAACGGTCGCTAGATACAGATACATGAACCGTACAAGTCTTAAAAAATATAAGTTTTCAAAGATATATACATTCTAAGTATATATCTTAAAATTTATTTACTAACTTACATGTTTGTTTTACTTTACAACTCTCTTAGTCAGAGTAATACCAATTAGTAATCGCATCAGAATACCTACAAACGTAGTTATGTTATACTAATAGACTCCGTAATACGTTGATTGTTGTTGCTTTGCTGGTAATTGTATAAAATAGGTTCCTTAGGTGGTGGACCATAATTCAATATAGTTTGAATAATATTAGATCCACTATTAAATTGAGGAATGTTCGATTGGAGAATTGGATATTTGTTGTCAGGACATTTTCCAGAAAGGGTAAAATGAAAAGAAATAAAAAACCTTAAAACAATATGCGGCCAGTAAAATGGCCGCATTAGATATTTCCCGTATATTTTACGTAGCCCGGTTAGAACTTTTTCCTACAGTAAATTTAGTGGCAAAGAAAACCTTAATTCTGGGAACCAACCTTTTGGACTGGTCGGGTAACCATCTGACCACCAAATATTTTCGTTGCCCCGCGCCGCATTATACGCCTTCGTAATGAAATGGGGGAGGCTCTCCTAATATTGAAAACTTTAGAGGTTGTCCCTCTCTCTTTCACTAAGAGAGAAAATATTTATAAATGTTTTGAGATTAGGTGATTGCTTTGAAGGGTTTTTTTAACGCCACATTCACCTGTACTTCAGCGATTAGAAAGGATTATAAAGTATTAAAAAACATAAAGAATCAGGGTCTCCATCTCTATACTTTACTTATTTTGTGTTTATAAGCATCGTATCCCAGATAGAAAGAGAGAATAACGATCTACTCATATACGTGGTATTTTTATATATATTTACACATTTTATTTTTGAAACACTATTATAAGAAAATCAAAATTATAGATGTCGCAATATACAACCAGTGAATTTGATTTATTGATTCAGAAAGCTACTAGTGAAAGTATCCCTAATGGGGAATTAGATCTTCCTGTAGCATTAGAAATATCTGATATAATCAGGTCTCGCAAATTAAAACCATTAGAATGTATGCGATGCTTGAAGAAAAGAATAGGCTCAACATTAGGGAATCCAAATACACAACTTTCTTCATGGAAATTACTTGATGTATGTATCAAAAATGGTGGCACTCCATTTATTGTTACTATCTGTTCAAGAGAGTTTATGGATACTATTGAACATACAATAATTAGAATGTATGATAACAGACATATATCAGGAGATGATGAACTGTATGAACTTGTCACTAAGATATTCTATGAATTATACCTTGCATTTAAGAGTGATTCTCAACTACATTATGTGTCTACTGTGTATTCTAAATTGACGTCACGCGGCATCAAATTCCCTGAACATCTTGTGGATACTAACTCTCCGATGATTATGTTTGATTCAAAGACACCAGCAGATTGGGTAGATTCTGACGCATGTATGATTTGTTCCAAAAGATTCTCGATGATAAATAGAAGACACCATTGCCGTTCATGTGGTGGTATCTTTTGTCAAGAACATTCTTCTCACGTCATCCCTTTGCCGGACTTAGGGATCACTGAAGAAGTCAGAGTTTGTGATAATTGCTTTGAAGATTATGATATGAAGAAACGTGGCAATGGAGGTGGAAGCGGTAGTAATAAGAAAAAACATAGTAGAAAACATGGTAAGAAGAATAAGAACAATGAAGATGATGAAGATGAACAATTAAAACGAGCTATTGAATTATCATTACAAGAGAGTAATACGGGAAGTACAGAACCTATCATCCCTGTAGTAGAACCCGAAAATAGTACCTATGAAACGGAAGATGATCAAGATCTGAAAGCTGCAATTGAGGAGAGTTTAAGAGAGGCAGAGGCAGCAAAAGCTAAGAATAATAACTTTCAAAAATCTCAACAGACAACTTACCCGCAATTTCAACAACAACAACCTAATAATGATCTAACAGCTTCGGAAGAGGAAGACATATACATGTTTGCTTCGTTAGTTGAAAAAATGAAGACCCAGACTGTTACCGATATTTTAGATGATGTACAATTACAGAAATTATACCAAAAAGTTGTTGCTACGAAACCAAAACTCAATCATTCACTAAATGATAAAATAAATAAATATAATACTTTGATTGATATGAACGCAAAGATTTCAGATATTATGAACATATACGATTCATTATTGGAACAACAGTTGAGGAAAATCAACATTTCTCAACAGTACAATTTAGCTCAACAACCTTCTGATCCTTATGCAATTACACAACAACTTCCTGCTCATCCACAACCTGCCCAACATGCTGTACCTCAAGTTCAGTCTGTAATGAATGAAACCGTTATTGAGCCACACGTTCCTGTGCAACCAGTTGCCAATCCACAACAATATGTTCAGACACCGGTTGAAAATATCTCTCAACCAATCTTACCTTCAGAACCCCCATATCCCGAGGAGAATGAATTTTCTCCTAAAAAGAATGAAACCCAACATGCAGAGCCAGAAGCTGACTTAAATAGTGGAAAACCACCTTATCCTATAGAAGCTAATGAACAGACAGCAACACCCAAGGAAGTCGATACACCTGCTAACATTGTGACATATGATTTCCCTGCTGTTCCTGCTAGCAAGTTGCCTCACACTACGACAACCAACAGTGTTATGAACGATTCAGTTCCCGTTGGAAATAAAATAGGCGAACTAGAAGAAGAGGAACTGTTACTTGAATTGTAATATCCATGATAATTTATGAACCTTAGTTTAAATTATATATATATGTATGTGTATATATTAATTTATAAACAAATGCATGCAATAATAATGATAGTAGCAGTATTAGTAATCTTAAAAAAAAAATTCTATTAAAAAACAAAACTACCAACCATCCATGGTGTAATCATGTTGTATACTTGGTGTGACACTTGTAATAAATTTTAAGAATACAATCAAGTATTGATCTACTCTCAGAGTATCATTAATATCATCTTGAAGGTCTTCCCAATCATCCTCATATTCTTTTGGCTTGGCCTCTGAGTTATCTGTCTTATTTTCTAACCTCTTTCTCTCATTTACTTTCCTGATCTTCTCCAATAAAATTTTCATTACGTTGGCATGCTTACAAGGATGGATTGATACCGACAAAACCGTATCTTTAAAGAAAGGTAACTTTTCAATGGTGGCAGTTTTCTGTCTATAGTCCACTGATATATCCTCAAACATTTCATCAGGGGTTAGAGGTGTACCTTGAGAGTTAAATCCTACAATGTACATTTTAGGAACTCTATACGACGTTGAATAAGTAATATAAAGATCATAGTATCTTTTCTGATCTTTGGAGTTATCTTCAGTTTTCATTATTATTTCATCGTCGCCATCTTCCGTTTCATCAAGTTCCATATTTTTTAACATATCATCGATATCCTCGACCTGTTTTGATGTGGAATCTGTATTAGAAGAAACCATCTGTTTTTCCTTTGATTCCTTGGTATCAATATTATTTGGTTCAACATCGACTTCCTCGTCATCGTCTAGTTCATCATTGTAATCTATGTTAAATAAATCCTGAGCCCTCATTGTAGATGGGACTTTCCTACTCACTAGAAATTGTTTATCCTCCGGAAGAAAGTCTCTAATCGATATATCACTACGAGCCATCGAGCCATTCCATGACCACGTAGGAAACATATGTACTAAGTAATCTCCAGCTTGAACAAATTCATCGGGTGTTATTTGCCCTGTAGATAGAAACGTAGACTTATTAGATATGGGAGTTAGATATTCCCTCCAGCTGCTTAAAGTTGATCTTAACATTTATGACGTATGTGTAGGAGTAAAATAGAATAGTATGAGATATTTGAATATTATGTGTTCTTGATAATAGGATAGTTGTATTTGTAGTATTTATATAATCTTGTAAATTATCAGCAACAATGTATTTCTAATTAGTTATTACCATGAAGCATTCGCCATTCGTAATCTGATATTTCTTTCTGTTGTAGTAGTCAGGACAATTCAATACCGTTAAAGGTAGAAACAGAATATACATTGTTGGAACCACTAAGCGGATTCAAGGGACAAAAAAAAAGCCCAACAATGCGGATTTAAAGAAAAAAATAGAGTTATCAACGAAGATAGGATAAACGAGAATACTGTTACATTATTGATCCTAACTAAGATAGTCGATCGAGGTATACTAAGGTGAAGATCCGCTTGTTGGAAGCTTTAAGAAATTACAATCTAAGAAAGGATCAAGTATACTGACGGAAAAGGTACAAGGACAACAAATTGACGGGAAAATGATGGTAAAAAGAAAGAAATGGTTGGATAGGGAGAGACCTGATATGGAAAACGTTACAGATGATGATGAGGTCACTGATCATCGGATTGGGTACAGTAGTGGATCTCACTCAAGAGACCGGTCTTTGAGCCATGTAATCTCCAACCCCAGTGTAGAAGATATGGATGTTAGAGAGGAAAGGTTAATGAATCTAAGTGATAATGAATCAGTGTCAAGTAGAAGATCAATTAAGAGACGCAATTCTTTTACAGATGCTAAAGTAGCTAATAAACGACTAAGGGATTCTCGTAGATTTATATTCTTTTTGGGTGCTTTCTTAGGTGTTGCGATGGCAGCATATTTTGGATCATATCATGTTCACAGCAATAATATCGAATTATTTGATAACATGGTTAATTTTGAAAATGTTAAGGATTATCTTGATGATTGGAAGGATATATTACCTCGTGGATTCACGTCGTTTATATCTGATATACAGACTGGTTATGCTGCGAATCAATTACAAGACCTCGGAGAAAATTTTGCAGTCGGTAGGCAATTAATAAAAGATATGGAATTACATGCAAAACATCCTGTAGTTATGGTCCCAGGTGTCATCTCTACTGGCATTGAAAGTTGGGGTGTTCAAGGTGACGAAGAATGTGACTCTTCACCTCATTTTAGAAAAAGACTGTGGGGCTCATTTTATATGTTGAAAACCATGGTTATGGATAAAGTATGCTGGTTGAAACATGTTAGTTTAGATCCTATTACAGGTCTTGATCCGGAACATTTTAAATTAAGGGCTGCTCAAGGGTTTGAAAGTAGTGATTTTTTTATTACTGGGTACTGGATTTGGAATAAAGTGTTGCAGAATCTAGGTGCCATTGGTTATGAACCAGATACTATGGTTACTGCAGCATATGATTGGAGATTAGCGTATTTGGATCTTGAAAAACGAGACCAATATTTTAGTAAATTAAAACAGCAAGTTGAATTATTTCATAAACTTACAGGTGAAAAAACAATATTAGTTGGACACTCTATGGGTTCGCAAATTGTATTTTATTTCCTTCAATGGGTAGAAGCTGAGGGACCATCATATGGTAATGCAGGTCCTGGATGGGTAGATAAATACATTGAATCGTTTGTTAATGTTGCGGGCACATTGCTGGGAGCCCCTAAAGCAGTTCCAGCATTGATTAGTGGTGAAATGAAGGATACCATTCAATTGAATGCATTAGCAATGTACGGTCTAGAGAAGTTTTTCAGTCGTAAAGAAAGAGTAGAAATGTTACAAACTTGGGGTGGTATTCCATCAATGCTGCCAAAGGGTGGCGATTTAATTTGGGGCAATTTAAGTTATTCATCAGAGGATGAGTTACATAACAATACTGATACATATGGTAATTTTATTAGATTTGAGAAAATTTTGAGTAACGTTTACGAAAAGAATCTTACAATGGCCTCAGCAATAGATTTAATCGAGACTGTTTCACCATCATGGTTGGTTAAGAGAATGCGTGAACAATATAGTTATGGTTATGCCAGTACAGAGGAAGAGATGAATGAGAATTCAAAGGATCATTCCCATTGGACAAACCCAATGGATGTGGCATTGCCTAACGCACCAAATATGAAGATTTATTGTATATATGGTACAGATAATCCAACAGAACGTGCTTATGTCTATAAAGAAAATCATGCTAATGACACAGCTTCGTTAAATTTGACCATTGATTACGATAGTGACACACCTGTATTTTTAACTAATGGTGATGGAACAGTTCCAATTATGTCGCATGCAATGTGCCACAAATGGGCACAGGGCAAATCTGCATATAATCCAGCCGGAATCGATGTCACCATCGTGGAGATTAAACATGAACCGGATAGATTCGATATCCGTGGTGGATCTAAGACAGCTGATCATGTCGATATACTTGGTAGTGCCGAGTTGAACGAATACATCTTGAAGATAGCAGGCGGATACGGCTCAACAATTAATAACAAGTTACACTCGAACCTGACGAACTGGGTGGCTAACATAGACTTCCCCATGTGAGGCGCTACTCAGAACAGAGAGGAAGATATGCGTACACATAAATATATATATACCCAACCAATGGCTAAGGACAAAGGGGATAAGACAACCCTCACCATTACCCTTTATATGCACAGTCTCTCTATCTTTCTCAATATATATATATATATATGTTTAAATAAATATCAATATCCAATTACTTACTACTTCATCTCTGCACACTTTTGCCAATAGAAGTGTATATTTAAGTATGACCTAATTCAACTTTTCATGCAAACTGAAAGACTTCCAAAAACGGTCGATTTGTCAACAATGAAGACGCGCCGCGAAGTCTCAAGTTGTAATCGCACGCTAAATTTTTGGTCTCATTTGGCGTTGTCTTTGTTTTGATTTTTGATGTTTTTGGCGATATTTTGTGACATGTAGAAGTAGAACTTGTTGATAGTGAAGGTGATGAGATTCTTTTGCACAGATTCTTATGAGATAAAATTAGTTATTTTATGTAAGTTGATGTCTTTTGTTTGTTTGTTTTGTTGTAGTATCTGCTTATTTTTGTTTTGTTTTGTGTTTTGTTTATGCTTGATTGTTACTCAATAATGGAAGGATGTGAGTAAGACGTTTAATAGATGATTTCGTATATGGTTTGTCTTGTTGATGTTTTCCTCTTCGTAGTATATGCAAAATTCAGCAATATCTTAAGTATAGACAACTATGTGGATTTCTTATTTATATATATACTTGTTGTTAATTTTTAATAAGATCTAATACAAATATTCTTAAATTATAATAGGTGATTGGTATATATTTTACTTTATTTTTTTAAGTTCTTTTGGAGTCGATCGATAAATATAAGTGTATATTCACTTATACATAGTTTGCATCTTTCATTTACACACGTTATATTCATTCCTTTTTTTATTGCATTATTTTCAATCAACCTTACAATTACAAACTATGTCGTTACAAAATTATCGATTCCCATTAAGTGATTATTCCAATTCTAGAATGAACAGACTTGAACTGTTTGGAGGTAGTCGTCTAGCAGGTGCTACCACAACCACCTCAATGACTACATTACCTTCAATCAAATCTCTCATTAACCATACATCTGTTGATGACCATCAACCAAGTTTGATCCCCCAATATCAGCATCATTTACATACTTTGCCATCTGTTATGGCCGAACCATTACTAGAACGTTCACATTCATTACCAATTCATCCACTTAGAAACTACAGTGAAATATCGAAGAAATTAAAAATTAGATTACAATTTGCATATTATAAATATAAGACTCAACAAAGTGATTTGAATTTTGCGGATTTGAAATGCCAACATGCTGTTCAAAAACATGCCAATGTCCATAGAAAGGCTTCACGTAAGATCTCGAAGAGAAGAAAATTAGTAGTCTCTCAAGGTAATTATAGAACACCATCAAAGAAACATACAACTCAACCATTATTAAATTCTGGCGATGATACAATCTTCTCAAAATCTTATAATACATGTGTCGATTCAAGTGTATCCACAACAACCATTAATAACATCAAACTTTCTAATGCTACTGTGAGGAATCAAAACGATACTACAGTAGTGAATACAATGACAACACCTATACGTGATCAACAAAAGATAAATATGTTAGTAAAACAAGAGACGCCAATGAGTGTAAAGGCTGCAAAGTCTTTAATGCATTTGTTCACTAGCAGTAGTCAACTTTAAAAAGTTCCATTACAGAACATACTTACACACACACACATATATATATACACACCAAAAATTATAGCATCACGACAAGATTTCATTTTTAATAAGAATATCAATGTAATTTAGTCGCAAGAATAGAAAAAGAAAAAGTATTATATTACTTCGTTCATATGCTGATTGTTTTATTATTAATAATCACAAATTACAAAATCACATTAAATCAATAGATAAAATAAAAGCAGAATTACTATTCTTTTCATAATCTACATGTAAAATTACCATAACCAATTATATATTTATATAAATTCATATCAAAAGAAAATAAGATTTCCTTTCATATAGAAACTGTTTAAACATATACAATTGGGATTATCGAAGAAAGACATTGACCTCAACGGTCCTATATCAGCTCAGTTTCCGTATGAATTACTCTCGGATGTCTGTTCCTGTTTTAGCATATAGAAATATAGAAGGCCTTCGTACACCACGATAACTTTAATAAGGCATATTTTTGTTGTAAAATTGAAAATGATTAAAACATTAAAGGCCATACATGTAACTAACTGACAAATTTCTCATTGAGACACTAAACAAAGACGCAAATTAACAATAAGGTTATTTATTGTCCCTCTGACACAAAACCTTGAAGCGAATATGAATGAAAACTATAAAGTATTGCAAAACGAAGATCTTAATAGGATCCAAGAGATCTTGATTCCGCAAAAATCTGAAAAGGAAACATTTACCATACCACCTGGCTCTTCAAGCTCAAAATCATCCTCGACCCAAAGCACAGTAGCAACTACAGAGTTTATACCACACATATTTTACACTTTATATCAAATTCAAAAGGATCCTAATAGATCTAATAATCAGTTAGAGACTAAGACAGGTTTGATCAGGCACAGATTAAGGAATTGTAAGACTCTTATAAGGGAAAGCGATTCTTCTTTAGAATTATTAAGTAAGACTACTGATGAATGGGAACAATTTATTATGAATAGAGAGAATGAACTACAGATTAAGAAAAAAGTATTAGTGGATCTTCGAGGTAGAATTTCGGAGATTCTAACAAATTGTAATTATGAACCAGATGTTGAAGAAACAAATACTGAAGTCCCGATAGAAGAAGAAGCAAAACAAGAAGTCCAAAAAGAGGTAAATATAAAAGGGGAAAGTGAAGCAGATATCAAGGAAGAATCATCTATAGGCTTAGAAAATAATGAAGATAAAAAGATAAACGCACCTGAACTACCGGTAGAAGTGCCCAATAATGTTACGGAAACCGATGATAATACAAATAATAATACCAATAATATTGATAATAATAATAATTCAGAAATGGCTACAGCCGAGGTTCCAGATGATAATAACAACGCTCGTAGTACTTCGATGACCGTTGACGATGAAGCAATATTGGATGATATTGACATGGAATTGTGATACCATCGTAGTAACTGATAAATATTAAAATTGGAACTTAATTGACTACAACTTAGATTCAATTGAATTATTAAGTCAAACTGTATAAATAATAAACTCACCGATAAATAACTTTATATTAGTAAAATAAATTGTACTTTTTTTAATATTTAGTAACAATAATAATTTTTACGATTTGTAAATAAGTAAAACTGTGGGGAATCGTTGTCCAAAATTAATAAAGAGAATATATGGTACCTAATCATATCATTAAATAAATATAATATATTACTTTACCATTACTTATCATTAATTACATTATCAAAAACTTGTGGCACCATTTCGGTTAACCATAAATTATTTGGAATCGGTAAACAATCCCGTACGAATTCCTTTGAAGTTAGCATGAGTTGCTGATACAAGATAAATTTTTCTAATTTCTTACCCTTTTCTTTTTGATTTTGAAATATCACACTTGATGGATGTATTGTAACACTCAATCCTCCTTTCGACTTTCCAATGGTCTGGTATCCACCACTTGTCAATTTTACAATATTCAAAGGGAAACCACTAATAAAGGACTTCGTTAATTTTGCAATCATTACATTTTCACCCATTTGAGCGTCGCCATTAAAAGAAGCATTTATAGTACTCAATCCTAACTTCACGCAACATCTATTTAATTGATTTCGGATATTTCGAACTCTCAACATAGTTCTGTATTGAATTCTATGGTCCTGACACCAAGGACGGCTATAATTAGAAGACACCCAATCCTCGTAGATTTTAAGATACAATAAATGATCACTACTAATATCGCTCACAATATGAGACGTAGCTTCCTTCTTATTGCCAATGAAAATAGAAGTCGTCTCATGGAACATTGAAACTATACTTAGACATTGTTCTAATACACCTCCAGCCTTCGGATGAGTAGCTGCAGAATGTAGCACTTTTGCAAACTCTGGCTCACAAGGGAATTCACACATCATTTTTCCAAGTTCGGTGATCTGACCTTTACTATTTAAAGCACCCAGAATATATAGATTTTCCAGCGATTTGGTCAATGTTGAAATCTGAGGAGGATCTAGAAATGGGAAATTAAGCAGATCTTTAACATTCAAAGACAATAACAATAGTACTGTGTTTGATAAGTTTGTTCTAACAATTTCTGGTCGTGGCATAGCTTCTAATTCATTTTCATAAGAATATTTGGTAAATAATCTAAAGCATTTACCTGGCCCAACACGACCAGCTCTACCAGCCCGTTGATCTACGGATGCTTTTGAACAAGGGATGGTCAACAACTGGGTCATTCCTGTTGACGGGATGTATGAATTTTCCTTCACAAAACCTGGATCGATGACATATTTAATACCATCAATGGTTAACGATGTCTCAGCGATATTTGTCGCAAGTACCACCTTTCTACATTTTTCAGGGGTCTTTTGGAATATATTTGCCTGTTGCTCTTGTGGCAAATTAGCAAAAATAGGTGTAATTAGTAGTTGTGGGATCCTTGATCCTAGTTTTGATGCAATTTCTTCTATTTTTTCTTTAGTATTTTCAATTTCTTCTTGACCTGTTAGGAAAAGTAAAATGTCACCCTTTAGTGCCTGAGTGGTGTGAATTTGGAAGATTGTTGTGATCGCTGCATTAATGTAGTTACCTTCTGGTTGCAATGTGTAATGGATATCAACAGGATACCTTCTACCAGGAACATTAAATATAGGGCAATCTCCAAAAAATACAGAAAATTTCTTAGCATTAACTGTCGCGGATGAAATTAATAACTTCAAAGATTTTCTTTGTTTCATTATGTTCTTCAGGAGACCCAGAAGGACATCAGTAGCTAATGTCCTCTCATGTGCTTCATCAATCATAATACATGAGTATTTCGAAAGTTCTGGATCAGTGAGAACTTCTCTTAGTAACATACCATCTGTCATATATTTCAAGATAGTCTTACCTGGGGTTGTCTTTTCGTCAAATCTAATGGAGTAACCAACTTCCGTACCAAGAACAACATTCATCTCGTCTGAAACTCTTGTTGCAACAGACATTGCTGCAACTCTACGTGGCTGTGTGACCGCAATCTGATATTTACCTCCTTCTGTATAACCATCTTCAACCAAGTATTGAGGAAGCTGTGTGGTCTTACCGGAACCTGTTTCACCAACAATAATCAAAGCTTGGCTTTCTTTGATTGCATACATTAACTCACTCCTATATGCATACACAGGAAGTAGTCTTCTTGACTCCCCAATATTTTTGATTCTAGTGGCTTCTGATTCCAACTGTGTTAGTAACATTTTCTTTTCTTCATCTTCTTCCTCTGAACTTTCCTCCTCCTCTTCATTGCTGTCGGCCAGTACATCGTTCGAGTCGTTGGTAAAATCTATGGTTGCTTCTTGATCAAATACATAATCATATTTCTCTGATTCTGGAAGGTATATTTCATCTATGTTAGCTTTGGTAACAGCATACCCCATTTGTTGTTCCTCCCACATCTGTTGTCGCGTCCTTTTATCATCATTCTTCTTGTTTTGTTTTTCTCTCGTTGAATTATTATCCTTGTTATCACTGTTTATTTCAACATGGCCAAGTTTGAAACCATCTACGTCATCCCTTTTCCTCTGTTCATAAAGCTCAATCAATTCTCTCTTTAAACCAAGTTCATCTTGATCTTTGTGACTCAAGTGATCCCATCCATACTTCTTCAATTTTCTTTCTAAGTCGGAGAGTTGTTTGATCCATAATTTATATTTTTCTTCTTCAGTCAACGGGCTAGGATTATACCTCGATTTGCGTTGTTTATCTATATTATCATCTTTGTTTCTATTAAAGGTTTTACCTGTGGGATTATATCTACTTCCTCGAGGGGCATTTTCAAGGGAAGGTTCCTGTCTCACAACAGAAACATTCTTCTCATTTATTAATATGTCGTCGCTTTCTTTAACTTGTGTAGTTATGACTTGTTCCTCCTGTGGCTCATCCTCACGTACCTTCCTCCTCCTCATACCGACGCCACTTATTCTATCCGGATCTTCCATCATTTCAATCTTCCGTCTTTAAATGTTACACTTAGTAAAGTATGCCTTCGATTCAACCAGGTCAACCAAAGTATTAATACTAGTTCTTATTTTTCTTTTTCCTAAGTCTCCCTTATTAAATATTCAGTTATATTTGTAAATAATTTAACTACGTTACCTTATAAAATTTTCAGCATATAATTGAAATTATCGCTACAGCCTTTTACGGAGCTCATCGCGAAGTCATCAAGTTTAGATGGTTCTTATAAAATTGAAATTTATTCAAAGGCATATAAACAACAACTTATATGGATAAAAGTAAACGTTTATAATTCTCAATTAACTAAGATAATTTATTGCAATAAGTAGCGGCTCTATTTCAAAAGTTCCAACTCCAAACAATTATGTCATCAACAGCTGTAGAAGACTCCTTAAGCCCTCCATCATCCCCTAATAGGACAAACCATCAGAGAAAGAGGAGAAGAAGAAGGAGAAGCAGCACAAACTCTATGATGTCTTATGATCAAAAAAATCCCAGATACGTACCACCTTGGACCACTCCTTATGTAATTGGTATTGGTGGTCCATCAGGTTCTGGAAAGACAAGTGTGGCTTCAAAAATTGTATCAATGATAAACGTTCCTTGGACAGTTCTAATATCGTTAGACAATTTTTATAAACCATTGACAGCCGAAGAATCAAAGAGAGCTTACAGGAGTGAGTACGATTTTGATGAACCTGCTGCAATTGATTTGGATTTAGCTTACAAATGCATTTCTGATTTGAAAGAGGGAAAGAAAACCGATATTCCGATATATAGTTTTGTCAATCATAACAGGGTCCCCGGCAAGACTATCCCGATTTATGGGGCAAGTGTCGTCATCTTGGAGGGAATATACGGGTTATACGATAAAAGGCTGTTAGACTTGATGGATATTAAGATTTATGTGGATGCGGATTTAGACGTATGTCTGGCAAGGAGATTAAGTCGTGACATTGTTTCTCGAGGACGAGACTTAAATGGATGCATTGATCAATGGGAAAGATTTGTGAAACCAAACGCAGTTAAGTATGTGAAACAAACGATGAAAAATGCTGATGCTATTATTGCATCTATGGGTGAAAATACTATTGCAGTAACACTACTGGTAGACCATATTAAATCGAGGTTAGATGCGAAGTCGGAGAAACATATCAAAGAATTGAATAGATTATGTGAAATATCATCAGGTCATAAATATATTACGTTTTCTAGTAATCCTAAAGTCATGGAACTCGAGCAGACTCCCCAGGTTAAAGTGATATTGACAATGATTGTGGACAAGGACATTGACCGCGATAGCTTCGTTTTCTACATTGATCGATTTGCTATGATTTTGCTATCAAGGGCACTCGATGATCTGCCGGTACATAGACAAGAATCTTTAACTACATCTTCAGGATACCATATTAATAATGCTTTAAAATGCAATTTTGATCAAATAACATCTGTAAGTCTGATCCGATCTGGTGATTGCTTCATGAAATCCGTCAGGAAGACTATTCCAAGTATAACTATTGGCAAGCTGTTAATCCAATCAGATTCTCTTACTGGTGAACCACAATTGCATGGTGAATTTTTACCAAAAAATATATCGGAGTTCCAAAAGATTTTAGTTTTACAAGGACAAGTCATTACAGGGACGTCAACATTAATGGCCATACAAGTGTTACTTGATTATGGTGTCAGACCGGAGAACATGACATTGACTGTGTTTCTTGCAACAGAGATCGGGTTGAAAAGAATCATTAATGCCTTTGGGAATAAGATAGCTATTGTCGTAGGTAAAATTATTATGAACCAGGATATGAAGCAGAGTCATATGAAATGGGCATCCTCAAGATTTGTAGATACTAAATATTTTGGGTGTAAATAATCGATTTTTGATTTCAAATACGACATAAAAAAATGAAAGGAATAAAATATTAATATATTAAGCACATATAGAGACTTTGTTGTCCATGTATATAATCAGAGACGTCTCTGTACAGTATATAATTGAATAAACGAATTAATACTACAAAATAAGGAATATCAGAAATCCAATAATCTCAATACACTATATCCCACAGTGACAACTAAGACATATGCAATCAAACTTGCTGGAACACCTCTTGTAATAAAATTTCCTACTGTTAAATATCTATCTCCAACTTCATCAATCATGGAAATAGCAGTCACATTAGGTAAACCACTGGTAGGCAAACCCATTGCGCACGAACATAATAAGGTAGTAATCATTATCAGTAGTCTAGAGTGGTCCTCACCAGGTAAGTTAGCACCAATTTCACCCATTAATGGTACTAAAATCATGGCAGCGACAGTATGTGAAACAAAAGTCGCCATCACCAACACCCCGAGACCAAACAATAGTACAATCAAAAATAATGGCTGTCCCTCCACACTCTCCTTTATAATATGAGCAATTGTCGATAAAAGACCACAGTTAGAGACAGCTTTACCTAAAGTTGTACCACCCATTGCCAGGATAACAATTGTCCACATGAAATTGTTGAAATCGTCTGAACTTAACAAACCTGTACCAAACAACAAAGCTATTGGGATAATAGATATAATACCCATGTCACCAAATTTCTCAGAGAGTTTATTTGATAGACACCATAATAAGATAGTACCAATACTTGTAATACTAACAAACCATTGAGTAATGGTGAAAGGGTCTCTCAAAGGATGAAATTGTAAAATCTTAATATCCTTAGAATCGGTGTTGAAAGTTAATACTAATAACACCCAAATCAATAAGATACTAATAATACAAACAGGAATTGAAATGATAAACCATTCTATCCAAGATGGAGGTGGTGACATTAATCCAAATGAGAAAATGTTTTGAGGTGAAGATATAGGAGAAGACATACCACCGATGTTTGATGCTAACGCAATCCCAAGGATTAATGATTTAGAATAATCACAATTTCTTGGTAAGGTCCGCAACAACGGTTGAATAATGGAATAACAAAGAACAGGTGCTGCCACATTAGATACCCACATCGAAACAAATGCGGCAACAAACATATTTGTAATCAAAATTACTTGAGGGTTTGTACCTGCAGAAGATAAGATATAAGTGGATAAAACTTTTGCAATGTTATATTTGGACAAAGCTGCGGCCAAAGTAAAACCACCTAATAGCAACATTATAACACTTGACCACATTGTCGACAGGATAAATTGCGATGCTTGTACAGAAGTTAATGGTTCCATCGATGATTGATCCTTAAGTACAGGGAATACTACTATTAATAATGGAATCAACAACGATGTTACAAACAAGGGTAAAGTTTCAGTGGCCCAAAGTAATGAAGCATATATCAAAATTGCAAAACAATTCCTTTGTAGAGTATCCTCAAAGGGGCTATATATACCAACAAATGAGAGGAAGATAGCTGTAATGAAAACAAATTTCCATAAGGCAGTAGCATTTAAAACTAAAAACAGCATTTGTTTTATTGATAATTTGGAAAAATCAGCTATTGTCTCAACGTTCAAATAATTTCCAGCGGTATCGAACTCTATCACAGATGGTTGTGCTCCAACTGATCCTACCAACGAATTATTCCTTGTACGGATATTATTTACATGGGTAGTCTTCACATTTTGTGATTTACGTTCCAAATTCATTAAATCTTTCCAAACAGTGTTTCTTTCCCAAACTACATGATCTCTTAAATGTGAAGACAATTCTTTCTCTGCAGCTTCATAATCAACCAAATCCTCCCTACTTACATGTGTATCCTGATCATTTTCTATTTCATCAACATTTAAATATAGATCACTATTGTTATTGCTTAATTCTGCAAATGATGGAATTGATGGATAAGTCTCCTTGGATAATTTTGCATAAATAATAATAGTATCATTCAACAGCGATTTAATATTTGCTATTGTCTCTGGTTTAAACACATGAGACTTTGTAACGATTGTCTTTAAATAATCATTTTTAATCTTTGTATTCAATGATTTATCAAATTTTTTACAAATCTTAGAGAACCCAGTTTGATTCAATTCAATATATTCTTTCAATTCAGATAATTGAGTAAACATTGCCACTAATCTTTTCTTTAAAGTAACTTTATGTTGTAAGAATGGTGTAATCAAATAATTTGGTCCATTATTATCTCTGGATTGAGACAAGGACCCCCATGTATTCAAAGAATTTCTAGATTTTTGAGTAGCAATAATATGATTGCTATGAATATCTACATCATCCACCATGTCCAAATCATTATTTGCCCTAATTGCAGGAGCTGATTCAATGGACATAGCCAAACCTGAATTCATTGACTCGTCATCGTCATCATCATCATCATAATATTCATCCTCATCTGCAATATTAGTGTCTATATCTGTAAAAGGTCCATTCCCAGTAGAGACAATCCCTTGCAATTCACTAGTAGTAGTAGCAATCCTAGCAATATGAGGTAAATCTGGCATACTATTTTTTCTTCCTGTAGATCTTCTTTTCCTTCTATTTAATTTCATATTACTATTTTTACCATTTTTATTGTTATTACTACTACTCTTTGATTGTGGAACAGCATCACTTAAACTTGGTAATCTATTATTTAATAGATTTGATTTGAATTCATTGACATCATCATCCAGTTCGTTATAGTTTGCCAAGACACCAGTCTCCTGCGATATATAAAACTTATCAATTTTTTTCAATTCGATGTTTAACTGTTGGATAAATCTTAACACATAAGGATCGGAATTTTCTTCTAATAATGGAGTTTGTTCGGTATCGTTTAAATTTTGGAAACTATTACCCTTTGCGTATAATTTTTCTTTTTGTAAAGAATATATCAATTTCTTTAAATGCGAATAAGCAATATATTTTGAGGACCATTCTGGTACAGCATTAAACTGTAACGAATGGGAGAATTTCATTATTTCACTATAATTTTTTTAATATTTTAAAGGGTTGAAAAATTTGACATATACAGATAACGAAAATACGTGACTCAAAAAAAAGGAAGAAAAAAAGTAGTATCTTCTTATATATATATAGATATATATAAAGGAAACAGTCAACTTATCAAAATTTGCCTTTGTTTTTCAAGAAATTCTTTAAAAAATCGAGAGATTTTGTTATTAACTAATCCAAACTCAATCAACTTAACTAATCTAATTGATTATCTATTTTATTTATTGGTGTTTCTCCCCCCGAAAATTTCAGTAGCCTGCAAACTGTTCTCGGTGCCATCGCTTCAGGCGAACAAACAAACAAAAAATAGAAGAAGATCACATATAGCACTCTAAAATATGTATTGTATTACTGGTATAAATGAATATATATATATATATCTAACCTCTGCCTACTATGTAAAAATTATTTTTACAGATCAATCAGCTGACTTTTTAAAATAAATATAACTGTTGTAGTAATAGTTATATTTACTGCGCTTTGAGATACTGTATTCGGCCATAGTTCTTACAACACCTTCTTTTTATATGCTGAGTGTACTACTAACAAAGCTAAGAATCATATACGGATGGTAACGCAGAGTTGCGTTACATCTACATAATTTATACAAACACATATATATCGATAAATTCTACCAGAGTTTCAAATTTCATTTAACTATGACAAAGACGATTCTGGTATTCACAACCCAATTAAATTGAGCTACAAAACACTAAACTTAGATTAACTGTCATCGATCACTTCAAAGTTTAAAAGTTCCGTCTCTCTCTATTCCAGTAATTACAAGTAAGTTTAAATTAGTTACCTCTTGAGGTCACTTTATTATCCATATCCATATCGACACCGACACCCACGCCGACCCACACTTTCAGGGTTTTCCCCTCTCAGGCTCTATCAAATATTACACCCACGCCAATACCCACGCCAACACCCACCTCACCCTCACATCGCACCAGCGACCCTATCTCTCTCTATCTCTCAATCCCCTCTTCTGCCTGCCCCCTCGCACTCCTTTCTCTTCAAATTCGTAAAATTTCTCCGAAAATTATTTAAACGAAATCTGCTCGCAACGCACAGAAGAGGAGGCGGAGAGGAGAGGACAAGCCCACCAAACCAAACCAACAGCAATAGTAACAGCAATAGTAATATTTTTGCTCATTTTCTTATGTGTGTGAATGTGACAGCCGCATATACCCATCATCCATTAACACACTACAGGAGTGATATACAACCGTAACAACAAATTTATCCGGTTGTAATCGATTATTCATATTGGTGAAGAGAATCGATTATATCTAAACAGGATATGCATGATTTGATATTTTTCATTACCCCTGGTGGAAGGAACAATGAAAGATTGACATAAATTTATAATATCTATATAAATAAGTCAATTTATTATTATTTTAGTTGAAATTTATTAACTAATCTAGTCTTCCCTTGCTTTCCTTTTATCGTTGTAATAACAACAAATAAGTGTACCCCCCACAAACAGAATCTCATTACTGCTACTATTACCATTTCATTTCATCTCATAATAATGACTCAATCTCTATATACAACAACTGCAAAATACGCAGTTCCTGCTACATTGATTATTCAATACAAGACAGATCATCAACTTCCTCTTGTATATGATAATAAGATAGACATTGTAAGGACTACATTAGATATAGATGGTGTGACACATAGACATAATAAGACACATCATAGAACGAGGTCGGTAGCAATTAGATTTTCAAAACCTTTATATACTGAAATTTCAGCTGGTTCTGTTTAATAATAATACACATAACATATATTATTATTATAGTATATATATACTCACATTTATGCATCTTAAATAATCTAATTAATACTATTATTATTAATACTATTACTATTACTATTTTCATTAGGCGATGCCCGCGCGTGGTTCGCTTTAATATACACACACACACATATATATTTTTTATTTTGGTAGTAGTAGTTGAAAATTTTCGTCATTTTGCAATATATATATATATATACGTAAGGTCTCTATTTTCATTTTGACATCGCGATGACCTTGATCTGAATAACATTGTTAGTAAAAATAGAACACAGCAGTGATAGGATAATATGTTGTATGCTGGGAAGTTGGTGCTTGCACCTATGGTTAGAGCAGGTGAATTACCTACAAGATTATTAGCTTTACATCATGGTGCAGATTTAGTTTGGTCACCTGAAATCGTCGATGTTAAATTAATACAGACAAAAAGATTAATTAATGAAAATTTAAATACTGTAGATTTCATCACTTCCTCAAATAATAACTCGTCTTCTAATACCGTGGTGTTTCGTACTTTGCCAAGCCAAGAATCTGGGAAATTGATATTTCAAATAGGTTCAAATGATGCAGATAATGCCGTTCAAGCTGCTTTGAAAGTGGTTAATGATGTCGATGGTATTGATTTGAATTGCGGTTGTCCAAAACATTTCTCAGTGCATTCGGGTATGGGTGCTGCATTGCTATCCACACCGGATCTATTATGTAACATCCTGGACAATTTAGTAACAAAAGTTGGCAAACCCAATAAGAAACCAATTAGTTGTAAGATTAGAATTTTAGATAGTTTGGAAAATACCATAGAGTTGGTGAAAAAGATATGTGAAACAGGGATCACGAATCTGACTGTGCATTGTCGTACTAGAGAGATGAGAAATAGAGACGCTCCAAGATGGGAATATTTAAAGGATATAGAAACGATATGTCGAGAGGCAGGTGTCTCATTAATAATGAATGGGAAATTAAAGGATAAAGCTCATTTTATTAACACGAGAAAAGCATTGGGTTTACCAGAGACTGTCGGTGGGATGATTGCAGATAACGCAGAGTCTAATCCTTCGGTATTTAATGATGCTCCATTGAGTTGGCCTCAGGTGGTCCATGAATATTACGAAATTGCTACGAAATTGCAGAACCATTTTGGTAATACGAAATATATGTTGAGCAGAATCATCCCGGGGAAACAAAAAATGTATCAATATGTGACACGTTGTAAAAATTATGATGAATTGAAGTACCTATTGTCACAAATGGATAATGTGACAGGCGAATGTAAGGATCAAGATCCTTTAAAACATATAGACATAATGCGATCAGAACAAAAAAACGTTACAAAGAAAAGGTCATTGGAAGTAGATGCTGAATCAAATTCTAGTAAGAAGCAAAAATAGTAACTGCTAATTCTACAATATTATATAATAATTATTATAATAATAATAATAATAACGTGTAATATTAGATTTTTGGATCACTTTGAACGAGCAAGTATATCTTAATAACAAATATCACTCTTTTCTTTAATATAATAATTGTGTGTGACCAACGCAACGCAACGCAAAAGGAGGGCAAAAAAATCTCAGAAAATCTCAGAAATTTGGAAGTTGGCAAAGAAAGGCAGGCGCTATATATATAAAAAACCCAGAACGAGTCATAAATCAACACATGCACATACAGGGGTTTAGTCCATAACTACAAGTATATATTTACAAAATACGTCAGCTGTAAATATTACCGATACTCACGTAAGAAAACAGTAGAACACCGAAACAAATGGCATCTATGTTGAGTGATAACGGTTCCGAGACCTTTGATCGTGTCTCTAACCATAATGAGATCGACACCTCCAAATTAACAAATATAGCAAGTATATTAACCACACCAGGGTTTGATTCCTCAAGATTACATCCCTTGGCTGGTCTAGAGAAAGGTGTTGAATATATGGACCTTGAAGACGAACAACTGTCCACCATGGAAGGTTCCCAAGGGTTAATTCCTTCTCGTGGTTGGTCTGACGATCTTTGTTATGGTACAGGTGCAGTATACTTATTAGGTCTAGGGCTTGGTGGGTTCAGTGGGTTTGTACAAGGTGTAAAGGCCATCCCACCAAATGCAAGTGGTAGATTACAATTAAACACTATATTGAATAGTGTTACTAAACGTGGTCCCTTCATGGGGAACAGTGCTGGTATATTAGCATTAGGTTATAATATTATTAATTCTAGTATTGATGCGTTTAGAGGAAAACATGATGTTGCTGGGTCTGTTATTGCTGGTGGTCTTACTGGTGCCTTGTTTAGAGCTTCAAGAGGTCCTAAACAAATGGCTTATGCATCTGGTATAGTAGCTGGTGTTGCAGGTCTATGGAGTGGAACGAAAGACAAGATTCTAGAATAGTTTAATGAACCAAAAACAAAACAAAAAAGAAGAAGGGAAAATAAATAACCAAGAATACCCTTTACTAACGAACTACTTCAACTACAAATATAACTATAACTATAACTATCACCTTTCATCCATGTCATAATTTTAATTTATATCACCATCAACTTCTCTTTCTGTTTTCCCCAAAATTTGTTAAAAATCAACCAGCATTTACATATAGATATACCAACAAATAATAATAATAATAATAATAAAGGAAACAGAGAGAGTAAGAAATAGAATCGTATATATCACTTGTACATAATGATAATGTAATACATATTTTTTTTTTTTACATATAACAATGAAAATTTAACAAGATATCCATTGACACAAAACTTGTCATAGTAGAAATACTTCCACGTTCGAGAATAACTAGAGAGATCTCTCTTGACCACAAATTTAAATATATAGAATCAAATCATTGCTACTACTAGATAGTATATAAAGTATCCCACGTCCTTGCTTGATGAGCACAATACAATGTACTCCTAATAATGAATAAAAGAAATATGACATAATGGACAAGTGATATATACATTACTCCCTTTCGCAGGGGACTTCTATGCACTATCCCGGAGATACCGTCCATGATAATCCTGATAATCCCAAGGGACTCTCAGGGATCAATCCTAGCCATTTGACCTACCGTACCAACCGCACCCCACTGTCTGCATGCCTACCTCTCATGGTGGGAAAATAACAATAATGCAAAACTTCATGATAATGACGATCAAAACAAATTCAATTAGCTCTAAATTAGCTCTAAATTAGCTCAACTTTGAATATACAACCCTTCCAAAATCTTTGAAACCCAGGGTTGTTTTGCAAGAATATCCTATTGAACCAATGAAAAGAGACCTTACATACCGACACGTCCGCAGTACCCGCAGTACCCGCAAAAAAGCAAAACTCTAAAGCTTTGCTGCAAATATTATGTATGCGCTTATATCATATGCGTTGTGTCTCTCTATCTCTGTCCCTCGCTCTGTATGTGTGTGTGTGTGTGCGTATAATCATGAAATTATAATGAGGATTTCTTAACGACAGAAGACAATGAAATTGGGAGATGAGACAAATGTGCGTAGTAAAAATAAGGAATAATCTGAAATAACTATCAATGAATTTCTTTTCAGTAGTAGTAGAGTGCCCTAGTGATTAATACGAACTTGAATTACATTACAAACAACAATTAAATATTATTATTAAATTGAAATATATATATATATATAAGAGAAGAGAAAGTAGTAGTCATATTTTTATTTAATCAGTTTTAATTTAGTAATTCTTTTCTTATGTTCAAGGCAACTTACGATCTCTCTTATTATTATTTTTAGCTTTATTCGATTAGATAATAAAAAGACAATTATCCAACAAAAATTTAACCCTTTTAAACAATCATGAAGATTCTAACGTCAAAAGAAATCAACGAACATAGTGCTTATACCTTAAAAGGTGGTGCTTTAGGTGCCCTAGTTGGTCTTGCTGGTTCTGCTGTTTTATTTAGATTAGCACCAAGAAGATTCCCATCGTTTAAGCCCAGTCAAATGACTTGGTCTGTTAAGACAGCTCTTTTCATTACTCCACCGACTTTATTCACTGCCATTTGTGCTGAAGAAGCTTCTAATAGATTTGATGCTATAAAATATTCAGGTGCTTATCAAAGTGAGGAAGCTGCTGAAAAACAAGCTGCTTGGGATAAATTAAGCAGTACTGAAAAGGCTGTTGAATCCTTAAACAATAACAAATATAAGATCATTACGGGTATTTGGGCTGCCTCTTTATATTCTGCATGGAACATTATTAACAGAGATAAAGTTATGAATACTTCTCAAAAAGCTGTTCAAGCAAGAATGTATGCTCAATTTATTACAGTTATATTACTATTAGGTTCAGTGGCATTAAGTTCATACGAAAAGAAATTAAATCCAAATAAAGAAAAACAAATTGAAAAACAACGTTGGGCTAATGCTTTAAAGGCAGCCACCGAACAAGAAAAAATGTCTTCATCTCAAACAACTTTCTCTAACGAAGAAAGAAGAGACGCTAAGATCTTTAAATATAAATAAATTGTAGTTTGATACCCTACTTTATAATTTTTTGTCCTCCCCAAATCCTAACCTTCATGACTATTCGCAACTATTTCTCTTTTTCTTATTATTATTATCCTTTTATTTTTTTTTAACTTCAACTACTATTAGAAACATTCTACTTATCTATTCTTTTCTTAATGATAAAATATATAAATTTTTTAAAATCAATAAATAAAATTCATAAATCAATAAATCACTATTCTGTGATGTATATCGTCAATAACATTTCGTTTTGAAATCATCATATCAACCACCCCTTTATGAACTGTATTCTGCTATGTAATTACTATTTGGTTATATCCGGAATCCGAATGTTCCAATGTACTATGAACTTCTTTCAGCTCACGCGAGAGCCCATCTCAGAGCTCAACTTTCCGTTCTCGTCTCGGGAAAGTTACCTAACTTCAAGTGTACAGCCTCGTTTCATCCATTTTTTCTCACGGCAATAACGATAAATTATATAATTTATTCAACAAATTAAACGCAGTTCACCGTAATTTATTGTCTGCTTGGCCCCCCCTTAAACGTCTCAGGCAAACAGAGAAAATCATACACACAAAGAGGTTTTAGGTAAGCAAGAAAAAAGAGAAAAGGGGAAAACGGGATTAGCTAAAGCTCCATAAGTATTTTCCAGTTTGAACTTAGTGGTGACTCTAGTCCTGTATTGGCTCCATTTTAAAAGAAAGTTCAGTTGGATAATACACTTATATGAATGATATAAAAAGTGAAAAAATTTATATACAAATTATTATTTGAGATTTCATTTCATTAAGGTATTTTGTTGAAAGAGTCTTTTGCCTTAAAGGAAACTAGTATTGTATTGTTAATTAAAACAATAGAAAAAAAACAATTGTGTTTTAGAAAGGACACTTATACTTATACGACAACGTTTTATTTTGTTGAAAGTGTGATATTAAACAATTGATTTGAATTCTTTTTTTTCTTTTGGCTATCTAATTACATAAAATATCTACATTTGTAATCTATACGAAAGTTTTGCAAATTTCAACAGAAAAAATATCTTATTTTCAAAGATGACAGAGAGTTATTTGAAAGATAAAGATTTCATTAAGATTCAAAGATTGAATTCTCCAAGAAATGCAGAAAAGAGAAAATCTTTAATTCAAACTGATATTGATATTGATAAATTAACTTCACAATTAGCTAACCACTCAACATCTAATGTTCAATCTTCTTCTTCGTCAAGATCACAATCTAATACAAGTACTACTACTACTTCCAAAAGAAATGGTTTAAATACCACTGATGGTAATGAAACCACTTCAGATGAAAAATTGGATGAAAAACTATTAGTAAATCATGCACAATTTGTTAAATCTCGTTATAAAGTTAGATATAGAAATGATAGAGTCATTTCATATTTTGATGATGTAGATTTTGAATATAGACCTAGTATTTTAGATGGATCTATTAATGAACCTTTTAGAATGAGCTTTGAAGGTCCTACTTTAGAAAAAGTCATTAAAATTAAAGAAAAAGCTAAACGTTCTCAATTAAGACGTGAAAGATTTCCCCAAGTCGCTTCAAAGGATGATTTAGATACAAATAGTAATAACAATAGTAGTAGTGATGAAGTAATTGAAATAGATGGTGCTATTAACGATAAAGGCTACATGCATGAACAATTGGTCTCTAATTTTTCGGGGTTATATGTTGCTCTATGGATGACTATTGGTTTAGGGGTCTTAAGAGTTTTGGTTGATAATTTCATTGATGATAATAGTAGTTTAATGAATGGTGAAATCGTGAAATTTTTACGTAAGGATCTCTTTAAGGTTGGATTTGTCGATCTATGCATGTATTTATGCATGTATATACCATTCTTCATTCATTGGTTAGCTAAGAAAAATATTTTAAGATGGAATAGTATTGGTTGGAAAATTGTATCTGTCTATGAATTTTCTTTCCTTATTGGATTCATTTATTTACCTGAACATGTATTAAACTTCCATTGGATTGCCAAAATTTTCCTATTCTTACATTCTTTAGTCATCTTAATGAAAATGCATTCTTTTGCATTTTATAATGGTTATTTATGGTCAATTAAAGAAGAATTGGATTATTCAAGAAATGCTTTAACTAAGATAGAAAAGGAACCTCCAATTGAAATCGATGACGTTAAGAGTAAGGAAGTTAACGAAATTTTTCAAAAGAGTTACGATTTTTGTACATTTGAATTAAATTCTCAAACTCCAGATGAATCACAGAAATTTCCAAAAAATATTAATCTTTGGAATTTCTTCGAATTTACAATGTTCCCAACAATCGTATATCAAATAGAATATCCAAGAACTACAACAATTAGATGGTCGTATGTCTTAGAAAAAATTTGTGCTATATTTGGTACCATCTTTATTATGGTCTTGAATGCTCAATTATTCATGTATCCAATTGCAGAACGTGCATTGTTAATTAGAGATTCTGAATGGACAGGAATCATTGACAGATTGAGCCATTGGGTAAGATTATTGATCGATATGATCCCAAGTTTCATCGTCATGTATCTATTGGTGTTCTATTTGATTTGGGATTCTATTTTGAATTGTATAGCAGAATTATCGAGATTTGGGGATCGTTATTTCTACGGTGATTGGTGGAATTGTGTCACTTGGGATGAATTTTCTAGAATTTGGAATATTCCAGTTCATAAATTCTTATTGAGACACGTTTATCATAGTTCAATCAGTGCGTTTAATTTCAATAAAGCACAAGCTACATTGTTTACATTTTTCTTAAGTTCTGTGATTCATGAATTATCAATGTATGTCATCTTTAAGAGATTAAGATTATATATATTCTTTTTCCAAATGTTACAATTGCCATTAGTTGCAATCGGAAACACACCTCAAATGAGAAAAAAAACTATTTTGGGTAATGTCATATTTTGGATTGGTATATGTACGGGTCCAAGTGTCCTATGTACATTATATCTGACAATATAGTTTAAAGTCTAAAAAAAGAGAATTTAAATCATAACAAAAAATTTGTATTTATATATATATATGCATATGTAGATTTGTCATTATTCAAATTTTTAAGAATATATACTTAAGTTTATATACATGATTATTAGGTTTTTTACTTATCTGTATATCTCATCAAATGGTCTGGTATCATTAAAACAACTTTCCCATACTTCATCAACAATTCGAACAGCATGTTCCTTATCCTTACAATTTGGATTTCCCATTACACTCAATACAGCTCTTCTCTTAACGCAATTTTGATGACCTCTACCTACTTCAAATCCAAGGCCACGTCTTGAAAATTCTTGCCAGAATCTACATTCTCCACTTAGTGAAGAGGCTCTAATCTCAGAACAAGCATGCTGACTTAAATTTGTCCAATCGACATTCCATTTCAAATTATCATACCAATGAACTAATTCGTGACTCAAAGTGTCTTCCAAATGCCATTTATTCTTGAATCTATTCTGGCATAATAGAATTCCAATCTCCGGATGAAACCCACCACTTTTCCAATCTGGACAGAAGTCGCAAATGATTTTACTTTCATCGAATTTTATCAATGATTTATTGATTGGATCATTAAAATTTCTCACTCTTTCTAGTTTCTTTATTTGTTGAATCATAAACCTTATCGTAGGAGAATAGGTCAGTAGCCAGTCTCTGCTCTGATAACAAGAAGTGCATTGCTTGCTTTGCAGTATATCTTTGTAATCCTTTTCATAGGTCTCCTTCAACTCAGGTGTGAGACCCAAACCGGTATTGTATTGAAAAGATCTTCTATACCATTCGAAACCGGACGTTGTAACAGGCTGGTCTCGAGATTCAGTGGTCTTATTGTTAATAGGTTCTTCCTTAGTCATACTTCTGAATGGTTATTAGTCGAGGGAAATTCGTCTTTATCTAAACTAGATGCGATGTGTTACAAAGTTATTACTAAAAAGCATCAACATTTTATCTATTATTAAATTTTTATGTGGATGAAATATTTGTTGACTCTCGACATAGCCAAGTCAAAAAAAAAAGGGTAGAATAATTATTAATATGAGTTATTTACATGATATATAGACAAAGAGTATGAATACTATCAATTATATGCATTTCTACAAAACATTTGGTAAGTGTGGTGGTTTTTTGTTTCTTTGTTTTTGTTTACCTATATGTCTAGACCTGGGATGTACACATCCTTTATTGTGACATCCTTATTATGAGTTATCTTTTTCTTTTCTTGATTCTTCATCTCCTGTGACAATTTAGGTTTATTACCAGAGGTTGCGCTATTATTCGTAGCTGCATTAATCATAGCAGCTTGATGTGCAGCAGCCAATGCAGTTGCTTCTTTTTCTCTTTCTTGTTCTTGAACAGAATATCTTTCGAATAATATTGTATTAATATCAGTATCTTCCATTATATATTTTGCACCATTGAAATTATGTAAATAATTTCTCATCAAAGAAGGTTTCACTTGTGTCACTTGTCCTTTATATAGTTGAAATCTAGGGAAATCTCTGAGTACTTGTACTCTTACTTTTTTTGTACGTTTGGTCAACGCACTGTAACATACTGATGTAGGTTTGAACATAGTACAACGGTGAATTAAAATATTGATCTCGCAATGGTGACTAGAGACAGATTCATGCAATTATGTTCAGACAGATTTATTAATACGTTCTAACCCACGCTATCCTCTTTACCTTATCTTTTCTAATTCTACGACGTCCTGTTGTAGTTCATTTCCTCTTCCTTACAGAGAAATTGAAATCTATTTGTCTTCGGTTTGAAAAATCGAAATTGCTACTCGTGAAAGACGATATACACACGTGACTGAGGGTCTGAAAAATTTCAAAATATTAATAAGATTTCAGTGTTTTAAAGATTTATAGAAACAGATGATGAGATGACGAACAAGTGAAAGAGTTAAAGTAGGTATTGGAGAAGGAGTATATATCAGAGTGTATTGTTACCACCAAGAAAGCGAAGTAGCAAGCTATATATATATATATATATATATATATAACACATCATAATTACAGAATGAGTGGAGTTCAAGGTAAGTTGTCGGGCCGTGTGATGAACATGAAGTTCATGCGGTTCGCTAAAGATGATAGTGGATCAGAGGCTGGCACAAGGGAGAGTTCTCCTTCTGTGAAGGAAGAAAGTGTTGGGTCCTCTAGGTACTCTGATAATAATAGTAATTCAAATAGTAGTGGGTTTCATGATAGTAGTGAATGGTTTGCTGAGACCGCTAATCAAAAGAATCTTGATAAAAATGAAAAGACTAAAAAAAAACACATTGTTAGGGCTAGAAGAGGTCCCATTAGGGCTGTAGTTGCTGATAACATCAGTGTAACTCATTTACAAATGCAGAATAATAAGAGTGTACGAACAACCAACAATACCCAAACTGACAGTATTGCTGGTAATATAGGAAGAAGGAAATTTAATGAAATATCGAAGAAACGTAAGGTCGAAGATGATAGTACAGAAGACACCGACGATTATGAATTGGACCGTATGTTTAAAGATGATATTAAACGTCGCAAAACTACTGGTATTAAAGATAGTAACAATGAGAAATAGATTATATACTACATATACATACATACAAACACATATTAATTAAATAATATTATATTATAGCATTTTTAAAAACTGAGAGTTTCTTCTTGAAACACCAATTATCAAATGGCATGGTTTCCTCATGGTATATAATTTAAAGAAATATTTTACTGCGATAAGAGGGAAGACACGAAATGTTGGCCCTCCTTTGGGCCATTTCGCGATATTTCGCGTTCCAAGTAGTGAAGACCTCGCAGCAAAAAATAATTTTTGTTTTCATTCAGAAGAAATGGGGCACTTTAAGGATATTTTTCGTTCTTGCAGCAAAATTAATTGAAGTGGCTAGTTTCTTAAGAGGTGAATGGATCTAAAAAATGGCGTCTCCATGAGAAAGTAATGCTTAGAGAGAGGCCTTCTGATAGTAGCGTGTATCATGATCGGAGTGGGTCGTAGTAGGTCCACGAAATTAATTTAATTTAAATTTTTTTTTTGATCTCTATCATATACTTATCCATTATTGAGGTCTTTTGCTGTGTGATCTAAGACCACTTATTGGCAATTGGCGTCAGTTACAAATTGTTCCATATATCCTTGTTTGACGAGTATGTTTATATATATATATACTAGAAATATTTATAGTAAACATATATAGTGAATAAATCTGATCCTATTTAACAATTTATCATCAGCACAAACAGATCAAGATAAATCATAATGTACAATAATAACCACCAATTGGACTCTTATCCGACACTGGATGAGATTATTTCTAGACCAACTATATTTGACAAGGATATGACCAAAATATCGCCACCTCAGGAGATGACGTGGAATGCACAACCTCTTCATAACCATCCTTTATCAGCTCAATTTTCTGCTCATAAGAGACAAATCATTGCACAACAGGAAATCATTGCTGCTGTAAATGCTTCAAAGAAAGTTGTTAACTCTAAGAAATTAAAGATCAATAAGCCAAAGCATTCTGTGATAGATCTTACTCTGAATGAAAATTACAGAAATTTCCAAGTACGTCGTAACAGAATCCCAAGAGTCTTGGCCCAAATATCTGTCCCTGAGATGGTCGAATCAATGAAACAAAGACATTTTAATAATGAACATGCTGATAAGCCTCCCTACCCATATGCCACTTTGATTCTTGTTGCACTTCTACAAAACGATCTTAATAGGTTAACATTATCTCAAATTTATAACTGGATCTCTACTAGATTTCCATATTTCACAATGGATCAAGCTACATGGCAAAATTCCGTAAGACATAACTTGTCTTTAAATTCTGCTTTTATAAAAACTATTAAATCTCCAGATAAGAAAAGCTATTATTGGGGATTCAAAAGAGGTCATGAATTAAAATTTTTTAAAGATTTAGATCTTTCCTTTGAAGAACTAAAGGAAGTAGCAAAAAGTCTAGAGCAATATTTCTATCCTATCCCATGTATTAATGTTAGTCTGGTACCTCCAGTGCAATCAAAAGATCCAAAATTTAACGAACAAACTAATCCTCTTCCAACCCCACCTAATACTGATGATCATTACATGAATGTAGGTCTAGGTCCAGCATTCGATGTTTTGACTGCAACACCTCCAAAGAGTTCGAAAACTTCTGGAAAATCTCTATTACAACCATCGAAAAGAACGATTGATGACGAACTTCTTAAGGTGAATGCTTGTAGTATCGATGAAAAACTCGATGCTCTTAGAACACCAGAATTTAAGAACCATGAATCATTAATTTGTTCTCCTTTGACACCAAATAAATTGGAATCAATCCACAATTCAAACATGATCTTTTTCCAAATTTGGAATCAAGGCCATAGTTTTTAAAACGACATATACAAACAGACATTCATTACCAAACATATACCCCCTAATCACTTACATTTTCATTTCATGATACCACGCATACTTTATTCATATACCCCATCCCCAACATTTAGTGGGGCCTTTTATTTTACCTTTGCATTCGTTTAATTTGAGCATTATCTGTTCAAATTCAATCTTCTTTTTCAATTATATATATTTAAAAATATATATTATACTAATCGACTTAGTATATTATAATACCAAGCATACCAAATTTTAAAGTCGCTGTCTTAATTTTTTACGATTTTTTTATTAAATCATCACAATATATTATTTACTATTGCTATTATAAGTCTGTCTATAGATAATTAATTCATATTTCGTCATTGATATAACTATATTACATCATCCAGTCACATTTATATATGTGAGAAAAGAAGCCAATTATATAATTTAGATATACATTTATTTGAACATTATCACTTCCTATATTTTATTTATTGATTCAACGTCTCAGTTGGTATCGCATCGTCAATGCTTGTATGTTTCCCAACTAAGGTTGTTTGAATAAAATAATTTGCTTGAGTATTATTATTCTTGTTTCTTTTTTCATTTAAATCAGATAAATATTTCATGAATTTAGAATGCAAGTTGTTTTCAATAATACGTTGCAATAATATGGTAAATAATACAATAAGAATGAACCTAGTAAATACTTTATAAGCAATTTCTGATTTAGATAGGGATAATGCATATCCTTGTGGGACAGAAATAACATTTACAGTATTAGCAGCAGAAACACTAGCAATGTAATGAGAATCAGGCGAGATAGTTACTTTGGTGATAGCGAAATTGTGAACTTGTTTGATTAATTTACCCATTTGTAAATTACCTAATTTAATCAAAATCAAAGAATTATCGTTCGTCGAAATCACACCTAATTGGCCCTTTGAATCTACATCCATAGAAGTAATACCTTTGAATTTTTTACTTAAAAGTTTTGATTTAGTTATGGTTGCTTTCCCACTCTTTATATCGACCGCAGTCAATACTATACCAGTACCTTTTATAAATGATGCCGCAATCACAATTGTATCATTGTCAATAAATCTAATCTTGGATAGATTCAAATTAGGATCAAAATTAACATTACGTGCAACACATTTTCCAGTGACAGTTGAGATCATTTCTAAAGAATTCTTTGTAATGTATGTGATTAACTTTCCGTTTGGAGAAAATTGTAAGTCTTTAATTTCTAAAGAACTTTGAATTTCAAATATTTCTGTCATATCATTAGCATGAATGATTCTTAATTTTGTAGGTTCATCGGAAGATGCAATCGCTGTCAGCGTACCATCCTTTGTTATATTGATTAATTTAGTATATTCACTTGGATCTTTACTTTTATCAAAATCAATAGCTTTAACAAATTCCAGCTCGTATTTAGAATTAATATTATTATAAACAAATTTTCTAATATGTTTATTACCTTTACCTTCTTGAATTTTGTTACTATTTTCATTACAACCTAAAAGTATTACTCCTGAATGAGCATCCAGTGCAGTAGGAGAGTCATCTTCCGCTTCTAATTCGAATCCAGTGACCTTCGTTAATGTTAACGTATGGTCGTTGGGATTTTCAACATTAGTTTCTGAAATTTTTAAAGTATTCAACATGTTAGGGATACCGTTTTTCCCTTCACCACCTCCTCCAGCGATTAAAAGATTAGAATTATCTAGAAACTGAGCACCGTAAACTGGATACTCGGCGTCGAGTGTGCATGAGTCGAACTTCATTGTTTTTATTTTGAAAAATTGGATATAACCCTTTTCTGTCCTCTTAGATATATCTTGATAGGAAAACTTATAGTAGGAAGTTTTCTCAAATTCACAGTAGTAAAATAAACATCCACAGTCTGATAATTGTTTTATCTTAAAGCAACACTTCTTGACTAAATCAATGATGACAGGTAAATGTTCTATAACTCTAGGTTAGTCCAAATAATGACCCTTCACCTTCCTTTTAAATCCTCACTTAAACTTTTATTCTATTTCAATTAAGAAAACTTTTTATATTCATTTTTTATTTCCAGAATTTTGTTAATCCGGAGAGAACACAGAAATCTACAGGGATATGCTGATATTGTGCGGTCATTTCTCAAGGAAGAGAAGTACCCGTTACCATTATAATATTAAGATATTTTTGAAATATTTGTTAATCAATCAGCTAATCAAAAATCATCAGGTAAACAATTTTCCTACAGAATGAAAAGAAAGTTAAATTGGTTTTACTACTCGATAATAGATTTTACAAGTGTCTGTTCTTTAAGGAAATTGGTAGGACCCTGTACACGCACAAGTTAGCAGTGTATTATATCATTCTCCTGTTTGTTTTGTTTTGTTTTGCAAATGATTGACGATACTAGACAGATACTTTCTATACAATCCCATGTAGTCCATGGGTATGTTGGTAACAAAGCTGCAACATTTCCATTACAATATCGAGGCTGGAACGTCGATTCTTTGAATACAGTCCAGTTTTCGAATCATCCAGGGTATGGATCATTTACAGGATTTAGAGACGATAAGGAAAACCTTTACAAAATCATCGATTCAGGGCTAATAAACGGTCTAAATATTAAGTATAACGCTATAATAACGGGGTATTTACCATCTGTGGATTCATTGCAAAGTATATCAAGATTGGTCAACGATTTATGTATCAAAGAACAAATTCCATGGATCCTAGATCCTGTCCTAGGAGATAATGGTAAGTTATATGTGGATATGGAATGTGTTACTATATACAAAGATATTCTATCTACCTGTCAAGTGTATCTTACTGTTCCCAATCAATTTGAAATGGAGACCCTAACGGGGATGAAAATTAAAGATATGGATACATTGAAACGAAGTTTTCAAAACTTTCATCGTTCATATCCGGGTGTGAAACGAGTAATTGTTAGTAGTATAGATTTCTCAATGGACCATAGTCAAAGTACCGATTGTGATACCTATACAGTAGCATTTGCTGAATCTCCAAATTTCGATCAATTCCAATATTTTACTGTAGAAAAGATTCAGGCACATTTCAACGGTAGTGGCGATTTATTCTCAGCATTATTGGTAGATATGTTATTCCCCGTTGTGGAACAAAGCGTGACATCCACTTTGGCTTCTGCTGTTGGTAAAGCATTAAATTTGACACATCAAATATTAAATAAAACATATAGACTCACCGTCAAATCAGTCGAAACGCATCCTCCTTCTGAAACTGAAACTGTCCCACACATCAAGGATTTGAAGTTGATTCAATGCGCAGAGTTATTGAGAATACGTACAGAAGACATAGATATACGGTATCCGTTGTCCCAAGTCAAATAGAATAAAGAAATAAACTATTAGTCTGACACAAGGCCAAGCTGTACTACGTAATCTCCCAACTATCCAGCCTAGGGCGGGAAGAGACTTTATACAGTGACTGCACAAGTACAGACTCCTGCCACTCAATATCAATATCAATATCAATCTGATCTAGTCACACAATCTCTCTCTCTCTCTTTCATCCTCTCTCTCTCGTATGGCAAAGAATGATAGACAGGTACGCGTAAGATATTATTATATAAGCTGAAAATGTATGTAAATATTAATTGACGATCTCGCGTTCATTAAAATATGAAATATCACGAAGAGCAATGCGCAGAGACGCAGGTAGGAAGAAGAATTCAATTACTTGTCACTACCAAAAAGTTTGTATAACGTTCAATGACCACGATCACATTAAGGCTTTCGTTATAGTTAATAGCTGCAACATTGTCCACATATGGTAATAATCGTACCTTGACACCTTGACACGAATTTAAGCAACTGGAAATAATTGTCTTGGCTCATCTGCAACTTTGATTATCTTATATATATACTTAACCTATTTGATTTCTTTTTTAATTGTCAGTTCCATTCTCATTAGAAATTACCAAAGAAGTTGGAACTAAAAGCATTTTAGAATACTCAAAAAATAATATCTATAATGTTGTTATTAGAAGCTATAATATATTTGGCATTGGTTTGTAGAACAGTGCTAACTGCTCCATCGTATATTGATGTACAGGATAAACTATACGCACCTGATCCTCCTGCTACACATCACATTTTGATGGGGATAAAATACTATGATGAAGAAGCCAAAAAGGAAAAAGTCGGTGAAGTAATTATTGATTTATATGGTACTGTCGTTCCAAAGACTGTAGATAACTTTGCTATCATTGGTAAAGGTTTAAGAGTCTTAACTGGTAGTAGCAACGAAGAAGGTAGTACACTAGTTACTTACAAGAAGACCCTTTTCACAAAATTGATTAAAGATGATATTATTTCAGGTGGTGAAGTACTACCTGGTATCACCCCATTCTCTATCTATGGATTTAAATATGAAGATGAAAACTTTTTCCTAAAGCATGACAGGCCAGGTAGAGTCTCTTTGGTCAATGATGGCGAGCCAGACACAAACGATTCTAGATTTTCCATTTCATTAAATATTGATGGTTCTCCAGAGAGAGATGGACATAATGTTGTCTTTGGTCAAGTTATCTTTGGTTACGATAATTTGGAAAAGATTCAAATGTCTCAAGTTAGTGGTGCTTCATCAAGACCAGAACATGATATCACAATTAGTTACATCGTTGTTGATGAATTGAAGATCGCTGATTTAACTAAAGCACATAACGAATATATGGATAATTTGGTTAAATTCGAAGATGGTGATAAAACTGTTGGAGTTAAATTAGGACCGACAAGATCTCAATTGAAGGACGGTAAGAAGAAGAAAGATGAAGAAAAGGAAGAAAGAAGAAAATTACATGACATGAAACTTGAACAAAATAATAATCCAATCATGAAAGTATCAATTGGGTTTGTGCTCCTATTGGTGCTATACTTGGTATCTAAGAAGAGAAAGTTTTTATTTAGTAAATCTTCTGCTAACGTGAATAACTTAGATAATGTTGTCTCTATGAGAAATGATTAATTTGATAAGCTGCATTTTTAATAAAATGATGAAGTATGTATACCTCTAAACTAATACAATTATGTTTCTTTTTTTCTTTTTTTTATTGTTGTTATCCATATCTTAGTAGGTAAATGATATTTAATGTACAACTTGTATTCTGGTATTTGAAACAATTTTTATTATGTATGACGTTACATAGTTGAGGTATTCAAATAATGACTGTTTTGAGTAAGTTTTCTATATCCTCAAAATTTAAATATTTGCCAATTAAAACCAGTTTGCAACAATTGACATTAGGCGGTAACTCACCATGCATCACATCAAATGTATCTCTTACACCTTGGATCACTTTAACTTCTCCCTTTGAAGGTGGTTCCCCGATTATTAGTAGACCTTTGGTTCTTTGAATTTCCCACTCCTTTTCATTCTTATGTTTGAAACTATTTGATACACCAAAATTCTTCCAAAGTAATACCTGTAAGAAATTTTTGATAAATTTTTGAAATTCATTTTCATCTTTTAATGGTCTAAAGGTTAGTACAATTGATGACATACGAGGATCATGAATGGTTGCTCTATTGTCTAATTTGTGCGAGTTCAAAGTTTCTTTTGATTCATTTGTGTTATTGTTGACTTCAATATCCAAGGAATCGTATGAATGCACATCTAATACTTCTGATAACTGTACATCACTATATCTGGATTCAATTATTGGAGCCACTGCATTTATCTCTCTAATTCTTTCCTTAATGTCATTGATCATCTGAGTAGGTTTTTTATTAGTTGTGAGTCTATCAATTTTATTTAAAATGATTTTATCGGCCATTGCTATTTGGAAATGTGCAATTGTCAAATGTTCATCCTTCATAACGTCTTGACCATGCCAATGAGTCTCAGGTGAGATATCATCAAGGCATTTCAATATATGTTCAGCATCTAGGACTGTGATTATTCCATCGATATAAACACTACTATTTAACCCTTCATCTTGCCAAAACATCTTTGCAATTGGTGCAGGGTCGGCAATTCCCGAGGTCTCTAATAATATATAATCAATTTTCCCAGGTGATCTCTCTACCATATCTTCGATAGCTTTAACACCTACATTTTTCATTGAACAGCATAGGCAACCATTTCCTAGATCTAGCCATTCTTGGTACGAATCAGAACCGTTCTTGATGGTCATTGCTTTCTCAATTTCACTAGAGTCCCCAAATTCATTCATTATCACTGCAATTTTCTTGTCGGAACCTTTCAATGCAATCTTTTCTAATAAAGTAGACTTACCAGAGCCAAGGTAACCAGTAATAATAGTTACAGGGATTTTTTTCAAGGGAACGTTATCGGTATCGTTTTGGATTAAGTCTCTAGCAAGATCATTTTGTTTATTAACCCTGTCAATCTTAGAGTCACTAACCAATTTCACACCTCCATCACTCTTCACATGACTTAAAATTTCGTTTAAGTTATTTTCTGATCCTGTAACTAAAGATGGTAATTCACCATCTTCGTCTTCATTGTATTGGAAATTTTTCAAAGCAGACATATTTTGCGTACTAAAAAGGCAGAGTAGATTAGTTTCTAATTTGAAAACTATGGTATAATTATTCAAATCTGTCTGTGTCCGTATGTATCTAAATATGGCTGAACTCTTCAACACTTATATAACTCTGAACAGTTTCCATCCAGTGTTGCCTACTCATCTCTTATATCAATCATTATGTAATAAAGGTTTCCGAATTTGTGAGGGTTACTTTCAATTATTTTTTATGTAGCTCCGTGCGGGAGTTTCTGAATAAAAATGGGTGGAAAATGGCAACAAGACCGGCTGGTAAAATAATTGCCGTTAGTGGAATTGAAAAGTTTATTAGATTATATAAGAAGAGACAAGACATTGCAAAAGTTTCAATTTCCTTTCTTTCAGTTAAAAGGTGGTTCATCAAGTATAAGAAGTATTAGGCTACTGTATATTTGTTTGTTCTGTTTGATATTTATAGATTCTAAAAGAAATATACTATCTGGATATACTTCCTCTATTCTATTGCTATGACGTGGACATTTTTAGAATCTGCCTTACTAGTGATAGCATCTCTACACCTGATTAAAGCCCCATACACTAAAGTAGAAGAAAGTTTTAATCTTCAAGCTATTCATGATATTATTAACTACGGGGTATTTGATATATCTAAGTATGATCATTTGCAATTTCCGGGTGCAGTTCCCAGAACCTTTATTGGTGCTCTGATTGTTTCAGGATGTTTAAAACCTTTCTTATGGATCTCCAGTTTATGGAATGGATCAGATGCTCTCCCAACTCAATTGGAGACTCAGTTATTGGCTAGAGGTGTAATTGCTCTGATAAATTGTCTTTCTATCATATACTTAAAGGAACAATATCAAGCACTTGTCGATAGGGAGTCTGGTGCTGCAGAGGATGATGAAGGAAATAAGATTAACACACATGTGAAGAATGATTTCTCTTTCACAAGTGCAGGTAACTGGTTTTTATTGTTCTTCATGTCTAGTTTCCATATGATGTTCTATTGTTCTAGACCATTGCCTAATTTTGTCGTTGCTTTCAGTTTAACTAATTTGGCTTTGGCTATGGTATTAAAGGGTAAATACGAATGGTCTATCGGTATTCTTGCGTTTGCATCTGTTGTTTTTAGATTGGAAATTGCTGCATTGGGAGTTGGTATTACATTGTGCTGTATCTATTTCAAGAAAGTTTCAATTTTTAAAGCTATTAGATTTGGTGTAATGGGTCTATCCTTAGGTATAAGTTTATCCCTGTTTGTCGATTCATACTTCTGGAAAAACTGGGGGATCCCTGAAATTGATTCTTTTATCTTTAATGTTGTTGAAGGGAATTCTTCCAATTGGGGGACTGAATCTTTCTTTGCGTACTTTAACAAATATGTTCCAATGTTATTCTTACCACCAACAGCGTTGATATTAAACTATGCTGCATTGAAATTTGCACCAACCGATTTAAAGATTGTTGCCTTTGCAAGTTATTTCCATATTTTAATTTTATCTTTACAACCTCATAAAGAATGGAGATTTATTGTTTACGCAGTACCATCTATCATGCTATTGGGTTCGTTGTCGGCTGCATATCTTTGGGAGAACGTTAAAGTTGAAAATTTCATGAATGCGTTATATTTGATTTCTTTACCAGCTACTCCATTGATTTCTTTTATTCTTTCGATGTTATTCCTATATATTTCTCGTATGAATTATCCAGGTGGTGATGCGTTGTTTTCTTTCAATAATTATATCATCAATCATAATGTAACGGATGTCACAGTACATATCAGTGTTCCTCCATGTATGACTGGTGTTTCATTGTTTGGTGAACTGGACTATGATAGATATGCTGTCACTTATGATAGAACTGAGAACATTCAATCGTTGACTTCCTTGTGGAAAACTTTTGATTATGCAATTCTATTGGAATCTTCGATGGATTCATTTCAGTTAGATACAGCTAAGGATAACGAATGGGAGATTATTCAAACCACTCAAATGTTTATGGGTTTGAATTATACTTATATTAATGATTTGTTTTTTGATGAAGAAAGAAATATTCCAGAGATCTTTAGAGTAGCTTTTACTAATAGAACTATCGGTCCATTCTTTACCGACTTAGTAGAAAACTCAATTGTGAAATCTGATATTTTCTACACTTACAAGAGAATAAGTAAGGATTGAAATCTGATATGTTATATTTATGTATGTTTATTTATGGTTGTCTTAAAATTATTTACTCCTATTCATACGTTTGTATACTAAAGTGACTGTTGCAATTATGAACACACATGATTTTACTAATTATTGTCATCTTGATTTATATTATGATCACCGTTACCGAATGCGATATTTCTAATTTGGACGATCCAAGGATCCATTAGTAACTCAACGGCGGTAGATCTTTTATTTGGATCTTGAACCAAACATCTCTTCAAAAATTCCATACCAGCATCCGATACTTCATCAGTGGAAGGGAATGGTGGAATTTGACCTGCCGCTACGTGGTACATAATAGCCCACTCGTTATCTAAAGTGGCCCATGGTCGTCTACCAGTTATCATTTCAAGTACAACACATCCTAAGGACCATATATCATCTGCACCTAGTCTACCATGATTTTTCGATCCAGTTATGGACTCTGGTGCCATATACATAGGTGTACCTATCATATTTTGCATGTTATCTTCCGCATTTTTGTATTTGGATAAGGGATCAGAGCTATTGGCACTGGTTTCGTCAGGATCCTTAGATTCAACAACTGGGGTTGTTGTTTTCCTAATAGTACCATTTCTTATAATTTTTCTCGCAGCACCAAAATCAACATATTTGATAATACCATTGAAATCTAATAAGATATTCTCTGGTTTAATATCTCTGTGAACAATTCCTGATTCATGAAGATATGCAAGACCTTCTAGTAGTTCTAAAGTATAAACTTGGGTAACCATTTCGTCCTCAATTCTACCATGTTCCAGTAGTGTAGCAAGAGAACCACCTTCACAGTATTCCATAAAAATATTAACTTTATCTCTGTGCACTTCAACACCATAATATTGAATAATATTAGGGTGGTTCATCATTTCAAGGACACTCATTTCTTCCTTAATCGAAGGGAAGATCTTTTCCATTGTTTTGCTATCTTGGATCTTAATTTCTTTTACTGCTAAAATATCACCATTGTCAAGATTAACTGCAGAGAAGACAGCACCAAAGGTCCCACCTCCAATGAACTTACGTTTCTGCCATCTGATCGATACATTTGAGATGGATGAAGCTAACGAAGTCAAATACTTATCAGTCTTCACCTTATCATCAAGGACTTTACCTCGTTGATGGGGGTTTACAACAATAGTCTTTTCTAGTTCTAGGATAGATTTTAATCTTAATTCAGAATTCACTTCCAGCATAGCGTCGACATCAAAATCGTCCACAATTTCAATGTTGGCTCTGGTTTGTTGGTGAATATTTTCTACTTCGTTAGCTCTAGCACCCATGACATCGAAATGAGATATCATCAGGGACATACAAGCAGATATTCTTTGCTTTAGGCATTTGAATTGTGACTCGTCCAATGTTAAAATATTCAGACCACTAATCATTTGTAACGTAAATTCCATGGCAGTCACACACCATCTAAATGTCTTTGGGTCGGTAGGGTCACAATCTTCAACTAAATATGTAAGCCAGTTTAAACTTAACTTTACCATCAAAAGTACAATCAAAGATTTCTTTTCACTACCGTATGTTGTATTTGAAAGTACACCATTACAAAAGTCTCTGACAAAGAGAAACACACCATTTAAAAGATCCTTTGTATTACAAATAGGTTTAAACTTATTAATAAGATATGGATAAGTCACCAAACTGTTGTATGTACAACTATAATGCATTTTGTTTATTTTTGATAGAGTAACATCAACATTCTCTACCATGCATTTTCTATTCAAGAATGAAACACAATCATCGGTGGCTTGTCTAAATCTATCGCATTGGTATTCTAATGCATAACAAGAACCTTGGTTAATTAATGTTATTGAGTTCATTTCATGGTGGTTGTATACAAAATCTTCATATCTTATAGCGGTTGTACTTGATAAATTGTATGATTCACCTTTCCAAAGAACTGGGCGATCTGGAACCAGGACCAATACATAACCGAGCGTATGTAACCTAATTTCCAGCTCAAATAACTCTCGTTCGGCATCCTCTACAGGGGAACTGTTCAAAGGAAGAGTTTTGTTTCTCTTCGAAGTTGAGTAATTTTTATTGATTCTTTTGTTAATCTTATTGATGTTATGAGTTTTCATGTGTGTCCGTGAAGCTTCTTGATAATTGGAAAGAATATCTGAAAATTCCCCAATATTATGGCGTGGTACGCCATCGTCGTCGATGTCTTTACTTAATGGGATATCGGGATCTCTTTGTACTTGCAATGCATTGTAAATGGACAAACTGTTTTCAATATTCAACTTTGGAATCAGGTCACTACCTATATCAGAACTTTTAAGAATTTTCATTAAATCCTCATCCTCAATACCTAGTAATTCACTACTCCCAATTAAATAAACACCATTCTCTTCAAGTTCACCACCAGTATATATTAGAAAGTGACCTGTATTCTCTAATGTTGTCAATAACTTCTCATAATCATCGATCTTGAATGAAACAGAATTTTCGAAGGCCTTTGTAATCAAATTCGTAAATCTATTAAGTTTTCTCTTCATTGAACCAAGACTATCTAAAGTATGTGAAAGCCATTTCTCAGTATCACCGCTCATTTCTGTGTTAAGAGGGCCATCTTCTTGGAAATTTAGATAAGAGTTCAATCTCTGTAATAACCGCAACGTAAGTTTCGCGAAGCCATTTGCAATCACAACAGCAGAGCCATCTATATATGGGCCTATGTTTTTTAACTCTTCCCAGTACTTTAGTAGTACTTCCGGTTCCCTGAATGATTTGTATATTTTATCAGAATTATCAAGGATTTTAAGTTGCACCAAAACGAACAGATAATGTATAGCGTCCACTACTGTTTTGTCAAACCCTTCGTCAAATTTAACCTCAAATGGCCAATCGTAGTAATAATCCATCAATGTAGCCTTTAGTTGTACTGCTAATCTTATGTATGCCGTGAAATCGTCAACCATTTGGTCGACCATCATCATTGTAGGATTTTGAAGTTTCTTTGCATATTCTATTCGTAATATAATAATCCCTTTAATTAATTTTATTGGGAATAATAATAAGCAAGATAATTCTTCATTTGAATAGAGTAGTTTCATCTCATCAATTAGTTCTTTGTTATTCATATAAAATATCTTTGCCTTCAGAATACCAGGGGCCAATGGAAAAAAAATCTTCTTTTGAAATATACTTTCAATATCCCTTTCTTTAATTAATTGTTCTGTAAAAAGAGCCCTTTTAGCTGTAAGCTCATCATCAAATAATTTTGCTAGATCGGGTATACCTATCCAGTCCTCCAGTAATTTCTTCTTGCTTTTATAGTTCCAAATAGCATTCTGCCAGCTGATTAGGGCATCGACTCTTTGATTAAATGCAATTGTGTTGGTAATTGGTTTATCGATATTTAGTTTCCTTATGTTTGGCCAAAAGTTGATAATTTTATAGTATTTTTTCAATATTCCATCCACAATTATTTCGGACTCTGCCCTTGTCACCCCCTCTGCTACTTGGAAGGTCAATATTTCTTCGAAAAACACATCTGAATTATCTCTTAGTACCTTGAGTGAACGCTCTTGTTCATCTTTTGTACGACCATTCATCCATGCACGAAGTTCTAACCAAATATTATCTGCGTATTGATAATTTGTGTTAACACCATTTTTCTCTTTAGCTAGTTTTGTCTTCTCACTTCTGACAATATCACCTTTCAAGACATTAGTTAACATTGTAAGCCATTCAAATCTTTCGGCGATGTTTGATTGTTGGAATAATTTCTGAATTGTTTCAGAAATATTATTTTCATTTACAAGAGGTACATTATCTGGGCTTGATGCATTTTGTACACCTTTGAGAATATCTTTGACAAAAGTATTTTCTGGATATACTTCGGTTAGCCATTTCAATTTATGCAACAAATAATTGGGACTTATTGAACTAGAATTCGTACCATGAAATATTCTCATATTAATATCTTTCTCCGTTCGAATGTTTTCAGTAAATTTATTTTTCTTGTCATTTTCTAATATGTTATAATCCTTTGTATTTACAATACTGTCATTACTAGTATCCATTATTTCATTAATTTCGTCATTTCCTCTTTGAGAGTCGTTTTCAATGTCATTTTCTTCATCATCAAGTTCGATTGGTGGAAAGTTTATCGTTCTGGTGTAGTAGTCATCATCAGTAATTAATTTTTTCATACCTTCTAGATATTTTTTCTCATTTAAAATATATTGTCTTTCAAAAAGTCTTTGGCTACTTAACATTTTACCATTGGATAAGATTGGTCTAGAAATAATATTACTATTTGATCCATAAGTATCATCCGGACTGTGGTCCATGTGTAATGTCGAAGCACCATCCTGAAATGAGGATGTACTTGTCTTTGAAGAATTTACTGGAGAATTATAGAAAGTTGTAGCAACAGATCTTCTCTCTGGCGTCATAGAAATCGCAGACATTGAATCAGGAGATATATTGTAATCATTAGTGTCAGATTTTTGAAGCTCTATACTTGATCCTTGATTTTGTTTCTGTAATGAAAGCTTTGGTAAATTCATAATAGTTGTACTGTCTAACTCATGAACATTGTTTGTAATAGAACCTCTTCTACTAGGATCGTTAGACGATGATTGAGCGGCATTCTTAAAATCTGCAGCATTCGAGGTATTTGAATAAGATCGACTTTTGGCTCCACTTTCCATACTGGCAATATACAATGGATCTTTAGGGTGTAGTTGTAGAGGATTTCCGGATGCTTTTCGTTGAAGATCATTAGGTATGCTTGATTTTCTAGATGTTGGTAAAGGAGTATTGGAATATGATCTTAAACGTGTCATCGACGTTGTTGTCCTTAATGTATTTGGATTCAGAGGGGAGGTAGTTATGGTAGTAATGTTATTCAAACTAGATGTAGAACGGCTAGCTATATCATTTGTGGTTGGAAGTGTTGGAGTCTTACTGGGTTTCTCAGTTTTTTTGGAATCAGACATTTTAAATAAATTGAAAAGTTTGACTAATAGTCTTTCCAACGCAATATATGTTGGTGTAAAGTGTGGGGAATATTTTTTGGAGAAAACAGTTGAATTTTTATTTTGGTAAAGAGTGCAACTTGTGCAATAGTTCAGGATACTAAATTATCTGACTGTGCAATGATTAATGCTTTTAATTCTTCAATAACCTGTCACTGTCACCCTTCTTCTAAAATTTATAATAATATACTAGTAAAAAAAATCTTATGTATTCGTTAGGTTTTGTAATTCTTTCAATTAATTGTTTTCGAGTTGTTCGAAATTTGATGTATTTTATTATTAGCATATTTAGCGATTGCTCGTCTTGTTTTTTCTCTATATCTCACACTGTAAATATAAATATTTTTGGTTATGTGGGTGCTATTAAGAGAACAGAGATAAACGGCGATAACAACTTGGAATTAAAGTTATTTGCAAGGTGTGCTGATATAGTATATTGTGGTTTACATCATTATAGCTTACATACAGTCATATCTGTATTTGAATATTTTGGGTAGGTTTTGCCAAAACTGTAAATAAACTAAGAGTAAGTGGGAGGGCAATGGAGTTAGATAAATGTCTGGAGGTGTTATACAAGGGGCAGTTACTTCCAGAAGTAACAATTAGAGCATTGTGTTTCAAGTTTAAAGAGCTGTTGATTAAGGAATCGAATGTTATACACATCCAAACCCCAGTGACTGTTGTTGGGGATATGCATGGTCAGTTTCATGATCTTTTAGAAATGTTCAGTATAGGTGGACGGATCCCAGATACAAACTATTTATTCTTGGGAGATTATGTTGACCGTGGTTTATATAGTATTGAAACGATAATGTTGTTAATCGTGTTGAAACTAAGATACCCTGATAGAATACATTTATTGCGAGGAAATCATGAATCAAGACAAATCACACAAAGTTATGGATTTTATACAGAATGTTTGAATAAATATGGTGGGAATACTAGAGTATGGACTTATCTAACAGATGCGTTTGATTATTTGGTATTATGTTGTATTATAGATAATGAATTATTCTGTGTTCATGGTGGTTTATCCCCAAACGTACAAACGATTGATCAAATTAAGATTATAGATAGATTTAGAGAAATACCGCATGATGGGGCCATGGCTGACTTGGTATGGTCAGATCCTGAAGAGAATGAACTTATTAATCCTGAGAATGGGATAGATCCAAATAATCTAGAAGAATTTTTCAAGCCTACTTCGAATCAGTTTCAAGTGTCTCCGAGAGGAGCTGGATATACGTTTGGTCGAGCCGTCGTCGAGAAGTTCCTTGAGTCTAACAAGATGTCACGTATATATAGAGCTCATCAACTATGTAACGATGGTTACCAAGTATATTTTGACGGACTCGTGACCACGGTATGGTCTGCCCCTAATTATTGTTATAGATGTGGGAATAAAGCTTCGATATTGGAACTTTACAGTACAAATAAGTTTTATTTTAATGTCTTTGAAGAAGCACCTGAAAATAAATTGTTAAAAGAAAATTTCAATAACATTTATGATGATTCAGGGAGGATGACAAGTAAAGTTATCAATGATTATTTTATTGACGATGGGTCAGATGATGATGATGAATCGTTTAGAGATGTAGATGTCTTCTCAGAGGAGTACCAAGCCAGATCTGCCTCCTTACGAAGTGTCCAATATTTCTTATGAAGAACTGTTACCTACCTTCATTTAAATAAAAGGCATAATTTCGTGAAACTGGTAATAAAGCATCGACGTACTAAAGAAATGTTATATATAAATTATAAAGCTCCTTACATATTCCATATATAGAAATTAATTAATTCATAGTATAATATAGTCGCAATCAAATGCGATTCTGTTATATACATAACGATGATATTTTAAACATAGTACAACTCCAAATTTGTACCATCGTGGATCTCATAGTCTCCCAACGATATATGGTCCTTGAGAACGTTCCCACCTTTCTGTAAGGCAATTCTATTAGCTTGAGTACCTAGTTGTAGTGCAAGGATCTTCTTGAAGTCCCCCACAAGGTCGTCGTCGAGGCACTTAACACGTACTTTCTTCCCCAACCGATCGTTGACTAGCACTTCAATCATCGATACACAAATACCCTGTTTCACTCTTCTCCTCAACGTACATCATCTTCGAGAATCATTCGCATCCCCTCCTTTTATCTGATGCCCCCTCTCCCTAGCTCTCTATCCCTCCTAGTTGGTTGGTTGGTTGATAAAAACAATGACTGACTGACTGACTGAAATTGTATTGTATTCGCCGTCGCTTCTCAAGAACTGAGAAATATGAGCCCAATGCGGCAACGGCTAAGGAAATAGAGGAAGAGATGACTTCGACAATCAAAACCGTCTCTGTTTGTCCCTTTGAGAGGGGAGAGGCAACAGCCACAGCTGCTCGAGCTTTAGACCTTAAATCTGAGATGCAGGGAGATGAACGGCTCAAAAGTGCAAAGATCAGAAACGTTGTTGGGTATAAATATGTTTAGGGGAAACCTAGTTTTGATATTAGTTAGTAGTTGATAGAACTTTCTGAGTTGGAACAAAGAGTTACATTGCAGACCACTGAGGTTAAGAAAGATGGAACCAATTCGTATTCTATTTATCGATTCGTATGATTCATTCACTTACAATGTGGTAAGACTCATTGAAGAACAAGCAACCAATACTAGACCTGTCGAGGTCATTACTATTCACAACGATACGTTTGCTAATATTGAGACACTTATCAAGTATTTACCCCTCTTCGATGGGGTCGTCATAGGACCAGGACCAGGGAATCCGGTTCATGGCTTTAAAAGTGTAGGTATTATTGATAGTTTATTTAAAGATCAAAGATTAAACAACTTTCCTATTCTAGGTATCTGTCTAGGGTTTCAAGCAATGTGTTTTTCGCAAGGTGCATCAGTTGAAGAACTCGATACTATTAAGCATGGTCAAGTGTACCCTATTAAGTTAAATACTGAGAACAAAGATCCAATATTTAAAGAATACCCTAGGGATTTTAAATCTACTAGGTATCATTCTTTGCATGTGACAAATTTTGACAATATAAAATCAATAACTCCATTAGCTTATACTGAAGATGAAAATGGTATTTTACTTATGGGTGCTAGGATTGGTTCAAAACCTTGGTATGGAGTCCAATATCATCCAGAATCGTGTTGTTCTGAATTTGGTGCAAAACTAATACAGAATTTCTTAGATATTATTCATTCAAATGTTAAGGATAAGTATGATCTATCGGAACTAAGTAAAGAAGACCAAACTAAGTTATTTGATTTACAGAAAACAATCGATATTTCTCCAATTTGTGAACCGTTGACAAATAAACCTAACGATCCATTTACCATTAAAAGCTTCGATGTATCTCAGGATCCTCAACTGACTTTTAAGATATGTGATAAGATAAAGGGTGATAAGTTTATTATGGCATCATCTGCGGTCAGTGCTAATCGAGGCGAATGGTCTATAATTGCTATTCCTTCTAGAGATTCTACTGTTTTATCCCACTATGGTGCTATTGAAAAGACTACTATCTATAAGTGGCAAGATGAAAGCTTACATTCGAAGCAAGTTATTTCCGGTTTAAAGACCGTAGATGCTATTCATCAAGAAAATTTAAATATAATTAACGAAAACAAAGAATCCTTTTGGCATACCCTTGGAGAGTTTATGAAGGAAAAATTTATTAAAAAACATGACAATCTTCCATTTATTGGAGGTCTTGTCGGTATATTAGGTTACGAAATGGGATCATTTGTCCATTTTAATTCATCATCAACAACAACAACGTTTGATAAATTACCAAAACCTGATGCTAAACTTGTGTATATTGAAAACAGTGTCTTGATTAATCATCAGACAGGTAAACTGTATTTGTGTTCTCTATGTGGTGAGTTTCCAGAGGATATATCGGAGTTGATTAATTCTATTCTTGGTGAAGAACACACTATACAATTGAACTGGGAAGATACTTTACCAAATGATATTAGTTACGATATCATTATGCCAAATAAAGAGGATTACGCCACAGCATTTGATAAATGTCAAGAATATATGCATAGAGGTGACTCATATGAAATCTGTTTAACTACACAGACTATCGTGACTCCTTCAAAGAGACTCCCAGCATGGAGGATCTTCAAGACATTAATCAAAAGAAATCCGGCACCCTTCTCTAGTTTCTTCTATTTTAACGATATATTAGATAATTCCCATGATATCCTTTCCTTTATTAGTACGTCACCTGAAAGATTTCTCAAATGGGATAATAATGGATGTGAATTGAGACCTATTAAGGGAACTGTACGGAAATCTGAAGAGATGAGTGTTGAAAAGGCCACTGAGATCCTGAAATCACCAAAGGAATTTGGTGAGAATTTAATGATTCTAGATTTAATTAGAAATGATCTATACGAATTGTTACCTGATGTCAAAGTTGAAGAATTCATGTCTGTTGAAGAATACAAGACAGTATATCAATTAGTCAGTGTAGTAAAGGCTTATAACCTCAATAAATCCATGTATACAGGTATAGATGTTTTAAAATATTCATTACCTCCCGGCTCTATGACTGGAGCCCCCAAGAAAATTACCGTAGAACTGTTGCAAGATGATATAGAGAAGACCTTGAATAAACATATTGATAATGGGTCTAGAGGTATATATAGTGGTGTAACCGGTTATTGGTCTGCCAACGGTAACGGGGACTGGTCTGTTAACATAAGATGTATGTATTCATACGATAATGGTGACCATTGGAAACTTGGGGCAGGTGGTGCCATCACTGTACTAAGCACCCAAGAAGGCGAACTCGATGAGATGTATGCAAAACTCGAGAGTGCACTTCAAGTATTCATGTAAATATATATACATCCTTAGCATTTATATTATTATTACTTTTTGCTTTTACATCATTGCAGGATCATTGGCAAGAGGTATCTCGATCGATAGTGGGGGAGTTGCCCTAATTTCGGTCCTATAGGGCTCCTTTTTCTCAGTAGGTCCGACCAAAGAGAAAAAAATCTGAAATTTTTTTTGGCTTTGGCGAAGGGAAGAAAAAAGGAGATACAAATTGGAAATAAAGAGGGAATTTGTTTGAAACCTTTGAATGATGTCGAACAATAATAAACTGATTAAGATATCAATCGACTTTAGTTGGACTCTATTTTGATAGTTAGATTTTGAACCTGAATAATATACTTGCGAAATAATATACTGGATAGGTGAGACAAAATAAACGATTGAGGTGTTGAAATTATTAAGATTTACATTAAATAAGCATAACATTCATTGTTCTTTATTTATAATCCTTTGTTTAACTTTGAACTTTTTTTACTTTTGTAAAATTGGAAACATTGATACTATTTAATACTGTTGTTTTGAATTGTAATTCCTATATTGATAATTTTTTAAATTTCTAAGGTTCTTAGATATATTCATAATACAAACATAAACAAACGAAAAGAAGGAGAGTATGACTACTACAGTTCCAAAGGTTTTTGCATTCCATGAATTCTCTGATGTAGCAGAAGCTGTTGCTGATTATGTGGTTTATGCACAAAATGGTGCACTTACCAAGAAACCAAAAGAAAGAAAATCGTCTGCAGTGAATTTATCATTGGATGATAGGGGCACATCCTCAGTTGATATGCATCGTATTTTATCGAATAAAAGCATATCGTCTAGAGATAGTAGCAAAAAGACTAAAAAAGAGAAAGAAAGGAGGTTTAAGATAGCATTATCAGGTGGTTCTTTAATTCAAATTCTGCATGAAGGTTTATTAAAAAGAGATGATATTCAATGGGGTAAATGGGATATTTATTTTGCAGATGAGAGATTAGTTCCATTCAAATCCGATCAAAGTAATTATGGACAATCAAAGAGGAAAATTTTTGATCTTATTGATACAGAGAAATATGGTACTCCAAATATTTATCATATTGATGAATCTTTAATTGATGACCCACAAGAATGTGCGGACAGTTACGAGAAGGTCCTTATTAAAGGATTTGCAGGAAGAGATTCTGTTAAACTTCCGATGTTTGATTTATTTTTATTAGGATGCGCTCCGGATGGTCATATTGCTTCTTTATTCCCAAATTTCCAAGAAAATTTACGTGAAAAATTAGCATGGGTTGTCCCTGTAGAAAAAGCTCCAAGTGGACCAGAAAATAGAATATCGTTGACTATTCCTGTGATTTGTCACTCTCATAGAGTTATTTTCGTTGTGGAAGGTGCTGTGAAGGCACCTGTGATTAAAACCATTATGGAAAGACCGGAGAAAGGTTTACCAAGTAGTATTGTCAATGAAGGTGCAGCTGGCCGTGTATCATGGTTTGTAGATGATGATGCCTTGACTGATGTTTTTGTTACGAAGAAGAAATATAAATTCCATAACAAGATTGAATTCAATGAACCATTTAAAGAGGAAGCATCTGAAAATAGTAAATAATCCCATTCAAGAAAAAATACTTTAAAATAAAAATAACAAAGATCACTTGTACTGTGTACTCGATCTTTGGACGTATATGGTATGTTGTTTCTTTTTTATTTTAAAGTATTTTTTTTTTCTTATTCCCTTTTTCCATAACATATAACACACTATACCACTTCACATACACAATTATAATTATATTAATTTTTTTTTATCATCCTTTGAAATGAGAAGGAAACGTGATGGTACTTTGATCTTTCCATCTTTAATGTATCTCTATATGTTTACTTTTGTATTTGTATTTGTACTGTAATAATTATCATTTTTCTCCCTTATATTTTTTTAATTAACGAAATACAGAAAGATATATATATTTTAACGTTTAGTTGGAGAGGGGAAGGGAAAAAGTAAGAAAAATAGTAAACAAAATGAATCATGATTACATGCAGAAAACATCGGAGTTCAATAGTATCTATATGTTATTATTATTATTATTATTATTATTTAACTGTATTACTTATATTGTTATTATTGTGTGTTGATGTGGATAAATGTGACGTAGTTGAGACATTATCATGCAGACTAATAGGAGCCAAAGAAGAATTATTATCAAAATTCACATTGGCCGCCATTTGTTCATATATATAGCGTCCATCTCTCAATGAATATTCGTAATCTTCATTGATTCTATCATACGTTTGTCTATCATTTTCATCGTTATAATTATTTTCTTCATTAGCAACAGGTTCATATATCATCATACCGAAAAATTGATAATAATATTCTTCACCTAATATTTTTAATAAAATCTTCCTCTTGATATCGAATTTATAACTTATTGGAACCAAGATCATGAAACACATTGGTAAATAATTGTTTAAGAAATTAACAAATGAGATCAATTTCAAATCATGATACAATGTTGTATTGAAACTAGATTCATTAGCAACTTCCTTTGGTAAAAGTGTCATTAAATTGAAACATAGAGGAAATAATAATCTTGAAGAATACAATGAATAATATAAAACGTTTGATGGATTGCTATTGCCATTTGCAATTAAATGGAAATTATTGAATTTAAATTTACTCATTGCATATAAAGAACAAACAGTATTATATGATAATATTAATAAAGTTGAAATGAAAACATCATCATTATTTTGCCAAAATAAATGATCATTCAATCTTGTTCTAGGTAAAATCTCTACCATTAGAATCAAACATGATAAAATCATTGCAATGAAACCACAAATTATACTAATAATATTTTTTGGGGATAAAATAGTTGAATTGTAAGATTGTGCTAATATGTGAATAATTCCATCTGATTTCTTCTTATAATAAATAAAATTATAATAATTTGTAATAAATTTATTATAATTGTTATTCAATTTTTCTAAAGAATTTATTGAAGAAGTTTGTAAAGGCAAAAGATTTTGATCTGTCGTTAAGGAATCATTAATTAAGGACAATTTATATTTAATTTCATCTTTCACTTCAATCAATAATTCATTAAATACAATATCACCATTACTTAATTCTTGAGTACTTTGAATTGTTGCTGCTCTTTCTGATAAAGATAATTGTGCGTCATTTAAATCTTCATTCGTTTTACTCAATTCAATGAATAATGCATTATTTACATTTGGATCTCTTTCTATTGTAGTCGAATCATTTATGGATTGAGTTCTTTTCAAAGAATGAATCAATGGTTTTAATAAATCTCTTGGAAACATGATTAATCCTGAAGATAATAATATTAACGTATAACTTAATGAATATAAATGTGATAATGAAATTAATAAAGGTTTAAAATCTAGTGGAGAATGACCTGTTGAAAAGATCAAATAAGTGAAACCAATCAATATACCTGCTAAACATAAAGAATAAAATTTAACATTATCCATAATTGCCTTTGATAATCTTTGTTTAATATCAGTCTTTAAGGTAATATATTTCAATGAAAGATAAGATATTTGCACAGGTATAATCAACCAACATATTATAAATTGAGTCCAATATATTAATAACCAAAGAAGATTTGTAGCAGACGAGGAGTTATTACCAGTCTTTAAATCCCATGGTAATAAAATATCTGTCACTAATAATACAAACATATTCAAGGAAACCATTGTTAAAGTCAAAGGAAACAAATTCTTGTGTAATTTAAATGAAAAATATCTATTAATCGCAAGTAACGATAGTAATAAAGTAATGACTGTACTACATAGTATCCAAAACATCACCAAAAAATATAATATTATAATTATTCTTATTCTTCTATATATGGAACCATTCGCTGAAAAGCTTTTTTAAAAGTTTATACTCACTCACCACTAACAATTAATTCAAGAATCTGTCAGTTGTTTTCTTTTTTTAGTATAGTTATATAACCTATCAACTCAATTACTTAAAAAAAGCAATTGCAGTTACAATAACTCTCGAACTACAATCCAGTTAAATAGTATTATTGAAGTCATCTCCTAGGATTGAACCTGTCTTCGTTTATTGTGAAGTTGTGAACATCGCAAAAAGGGTTAAAAAAACAACAATGCAGCTCCATGTTAAATATACGTAAATATATATTTCAGTATCTAAAAAAAACCAAACTGTAGGGTAACACCCATTCCCGGGTAACACACCCCACGCAAACAGGAAGAACCCGCCCCCACTCTGCCACCGCCGTCTTCTTCTTCTTCTTCGTTTCCCCCCACGCTCGACACCCCACCTCACCCGTTAGACATGACAAACCCAAGAACAAACCCCTACTTAAAATTTGATTTATTACTAATATCATTACGTACCCTAAACAACCCTATCCCTTATACACATATAACGTTTTTGATGTCTTGTTGTACTGTTCCAAAACGTAATTGGCTGTTTATTTACATATTTACGTTTACGGCTGGCTTTTCTAAGTTGCTGACCGTCCATCACCATTATTATCATTATAATAAACTACTAAACGATCAAACCAAAGATATCTTGTCGACGTATCTCTGCTACTTATAGCTCTCGTCTCTTCCCCCTTTCAAAAAGACGAATGGATGGTCTACCAGTTGGTGCTCTCGCTGTAGATTAGCCATTCTCCATATTAATTATGCATCTGTCGACACCCACACATCCCGCACAACTGCAACGCTCACTCCGCGCGTCCAAATTTCTTCCAGAGATGCGCAAACACATCAAAAAGATATGCTGCAGACTCTCCCCGTTCCCCGTTCCCGTTCCCCCACCCCTTAATTTACCACAGCTAAAATTAGTTTCCAGTCTTTGACACTCCTTGAAGCTGTCACTAAATAAAATTATATAATATTGCAATTCAACAAAGCGATATAATGGCAACTAGAAGAAGAACTGGTGAACTCGAGATTGCTGTTGTTACGATGACAAGGGGCTTAATACCGATTTCGCTAGACTGCTTACCGACATATTGCGAGTTCTGCCTGCTGTTGTTGCTTTCGTAATTCTAGTTTAATGTATAATTGTATAATTATTGTAGTAATTCGCTCTTTCGCACCCCTTGATAGTTATAATTGTAGATCCGTAGTATAAGTTTATGTAAATAAGGAGTGTGTAATGAGGTTTATTCTTTTGCTGGGCTTATTTTATTATTACTTTGTTGGAAATTTTAAGTTAGGGAGTAACTACTTCGAAGGGGAGAGAATGTTTCTTATTAAACTTTGAATTTCGATTAAAATATTTATATTTAAAAAATTGACATATATAAAGGTAACTAATAGTTATTAGTCTTAATCATATATATCTTTGTCTATATATCTGTTTATCATCCCTTCCTTTCAACTTGATTTAAATATTTATATTTCAAAAATCACCAGTATTAATTATACACACAAACACACAAACACACAAACACAATGAACGCTATGGCTGATATACATTTAAACGATGCTTCTTCCAAAAGATGGAAGGAATTGCTACCACATGCCATCGGTAGACAATCTGTCGATAAAGATCTACATACTACCTTTGCTGAAGGTGTTGCTGAAAAATTCCCAAAGGAGTTCCAAAAGACTCATATTCAAGATCTTCTACATTTCACTGCCAACGAATTAGGTAGAACTGGTTACGCCATTAAGGATGATGGTGATAAGGTTGCTCATTTGTTCTCCGGTAAGAATGGTGCTGTTCATGTCTTATTCACTCCAAAGGTTGTCCCTCCAACTATCCCAACTAATTAAGATGAATTAAAAATTTTATCTTTAATTCCTTTTTATATAACCTTTATGTCCTCTCTAGTTTTAGTTTTTTAATTAATAATATAATTTTGTTAATCAATTAATTTTCATTTATAAACGCTCTTTAAAAAATTGTTTCATTTATTTCAGTTACATACATATGTATACTATTATCTGTACTTTATGTTATTATTTAATAAACCATCTTTCTACCGGTGATGGTTCTCTTTGTTTCATAATTACTTCCACCACTTTCATCCTCATCCTCATCAACTTTAGCTCTATTTAAGACTTTAACAAATGTGTCCACACGATATCTCATTCTAGAATGCATATAAGCTTTAGAACATTTAATATGATAATGGAAATAATTTCTAAATAAAATCAATTGCGACACCGTCTTGAATTGTAACTCCTCATTGGCAAAATGACGTGGGAATAAAACAAATGTAATAAAACGTTTAGATGCTTCATCACCTACTTCATTACCTTTTGGTAAATGATTTTGTAACTCTAAAGGTGGTTCTGTAGAAAATATCACTTGAGGGGCACTTTGAATGTCACGATTTCTCTTACGTGCATCAACAAATTCTTGAAGAAACACTTTACCAAACACTTTATCGGTTTCATCTTGGAAAAATGTTTCAAAAATTACAGTAATACGATCATTTGATGGTTTAATAAACATGTTTTCATTATCACGATATTGGATGGTATATAATGTACTAGAGACATCGATTGATGAGACATTACCAGTCTCTTCATTGAATCTACCAACGGTTACTGTGGTTGTGGTGGGATTTTTCGTACTCAATGTAGCAAATTCTTGGAACGCTAAGAAGAATGGATAACTCATAATGTTTGTCTTAAGTAAAGACAATTGAACAATAGTCTCTGACGTCAATTGGGAAAGATCAATACACAAAGTATAATCAAACCCAGCTTCGGCACTACCAGCGACTGTGATACCTGGTAATTTGGTATATTTAGCAGCTAAGTATGGTAACACACCCTGAGATCCATTATCACATGTCAAAATTGATTGCCAAGCCTTGGTTCTAACACTCAACAACAATAAATCTCTGTTTTCTGGATCATTTGATACATGAAAGTTAGTGTAATCGAAGTCAGAAATGATACGATCAAAAGTTAATGGTGAACCTGAACCATTGGCTTCAAGAGCCTCACTGAATGTCTTTTGGATCAATAAATTACTAGGTTGTAAATGCAACATTATTTAACGCTCTGTATCTGTATATATGCTTGTCGTTATTGCTGTAATAAATTCAATAATAAGGAAAAACAATGCTCTTATAATAACCTTTATTTTCCTTTCCTTTCTGGTAATTGAAATGGGACTATCTTCTCTATATGTTATTACAAGGGAAACTACTAAAACTCTCTTTGCTCCTATTTTGTCAAATTTCCCTCCAAGCTGGTAATGCTAGGGACGCCTAAAATCACTCGATACGAGACAGCATAGATACACCTAGTGTACTATACATTAGAGATAATATTATAATATTTATCCTTTGGAAGTAAGTATATTTACAAGTAAACATTTACATAAGTATGTTTATGAATATATATATATATGTGTGTATGTGTGTACGAATGACTTAAAATTTAGAATCATATAGCCCCTTCCAAATTGGAAAAAGACGTTTGCTTCATCTCTATTGCTCTGAAGTTGGCTTCTTTACACCATACTTCGATCTAGATGATATTCTGTTTACAACACCACTTAGATCCCCAGCACCTCTTACAAGATGGTATTTCACACCAGGTAGATCTTGACATCTACCACCTCTCACATATACAATACTATGTTCTTGTGCATTGTGACCTTCACCTGGAATGTAAGCAGATACAATTCTACCATTCGTGAGCCTGACTCTACAGGCCTTCCGTTGTGCAGAGTTAGGTTTCTTTGGTTTCAAGACCATGACTCTCAGGACAACACCTTTTTTGAATGGTGATCTCTCTAAATCCGGAGATACACAAATCTTCTTACGTCTAGGTGGACCGGATCCTCTCCTGATTTGATTAACAGTTGCATTAAACACTCCTGAGGTAGTAAATGCATTGTGTTTGGATAATTGCATTACTGGCTTAACAGATGTTCTAGTAAGTGATAGACCCATCAGCATACCGGATAGTGGTTGTGATGGTTTTGTTGCTATAGCAGAGACCCTTCCGGCAAACAGCGTTCTAAACATCCTTTAAACTATATATATTAATACAAAATTAGAACTTTCGTTGGTTATGCACAATTCTCCTTTTTGACCTATTGCTATTCTTTGTAATGTCTATTCTGTCTCTTAAGAAAGTTCTGCTCTCTCTTTTATTTTGTAGATGAGAATCCCCTTCGTTGAGATTGCAGTTCGTTCGCTTGAATTTATTTTCTTTATCACAATTGCTAGTCGTGCAACACGACGTTCAGTTCATATGAATTATTAAAATGTTAAAAAGAATGTATATATTGATAATGGAAATACTATTTACATATATGTGTATGTGTGCGGGTGGGTATCATTAAATCACTCGCTTATAAAACGGCAACCGTGTCTTTGACTATCATTTCTTCGTGAAAGTGAGTCTCTTTCTTGTTGGTGCAAACTCCCCCAGTTTTCTACCGACCATATCTTCACTGACTTCCAACGGAACATATTCCTTACCGTTATGTATTTGAAACTTCAGACCCACAAACTGAGGTAAAATCGTGGCAGAACGTGCGTTGGTTCTGATTGGTGTACCTTTGGACATTGCCTCCCTTATAGGTAATGGAACAATATTTGGTCCTTTCCACGCGGACCTTGCTAATACTCGTATTGTCGCATGCATGATGTAAGTCTGTATATATATGATCTTTTACTAACCTCTGATCTGTGGAAGCAGCCCAGTAGAAATAAACAGATTCCTATCTGTCTCTCTTTTATGCAAAGTTGGTTCAAGTTAATAGAATAAACATTTATTAGTTCACGCTGCGACAATTTCGGAATTTTTAATAAAGGAAATGAACGCTAATACACATCGTTTGCAGTGATGTTCAGCAAGAAAGTTAAATATCTACCAAGAGATTGAGTTGATATATTCAATAAGTAACCACTTATATTCATATGAGTTGTCTATATCTTCACTAATGTATATATGATTGAGCCTTCATTGGCTTAGTCCAGAATGCGTTGTTGGTATACAGCTTAAGACCCTACACTATGCTAAATGATCTCTTTATTGACAGCTGAAAATTTTCTTGAAAATTCGCTTAGAACTGAAATTTTGTATGGATGCGATGCGATGAGATGAGATATGGAACAGCTACTTCAAAGTAGTTTTAACTTCTTAAGCTAGCGCAGATAAGTCTAGAGATCCAAGTTATTTATTTAATCATATATATATATGATCTAACAGCTTAGTAACCTTTCTTTGAGTGATTCGAATTTCATTATATTGATTTGATAATGTTTGCCGCTAGATTTGACCCAACAAAGATTGTGGATAGTTCACAAACTAATGAAGAACAAGAGCAAAAGAAGACTGTTATTCCATTGAAGAGGACCAGAGATGTCGAGAGTGAGAGTGAAGAAGAAGATGAGCACGAAGATGAATCGGAAGAGCAAGATAAAGAGGAGACCGCAAAGAATGAGATAAGTGAAGTGTCTGACTCTGAAAATGAAAGTGAACCTGAAGTTGAGGACAATACGCCAATTGAAGACGGTGATGATGACAAACATACATTAGTCATGTCGAGATTCCATCAAACTCTTTCCCTACAAGAAAGTATTCAAAAATATGATAAAACTTCCGAAAATGACTCCAAGATAACAACCAACTCTGATTTACAACCATCATTTGATAATGCCGATAATGTTGCAACCCATGAATTGGAATTTATTCCTCAACCTGATATTGTAAGGGCTGATAAAACTATGAAAAGTGCCATTGAAGAGAGTCATTCTACAGCTTGGATAAATACAAAAAAAGTATATTATGATAATACAATGATTAAACAATTCGATGAATATAAGGATGAATTAACTCCCAATTTATTACAGAATATCCAAAGAAACTTTTCAACGAATACTTTTGCCATTCAAACTATCTTACTTGATAACATTCTACATGTATTAAATAGATCAATGAAATTGACAAAGAAGAATTTAACGAGACGTATAGGTGATCTGTTAATCAATGCATCAACTGGTTCGGGTAAGACTCTAGCTTACTCTATTCCAATCATACAAGCCTTATCCAATAGAACAGTAAATAGATTGAGAGTCTTAATTATTGTTCCAACCAAACTATTGATCCAACAAGTCTTTGATACTCTGAACAAATTAGTAAAAGGTACAGGGATTATTATTACTACAGCTAAGATGGATCAATCCCTAAGGGAAGAAAGTAGAAAATTACAACAATCGGAACCTGATATTTTTATTACTACCCCAGGTAGATTGGTAGACCATTTACAGTTGAAATCCATTTCATTAAAGAATTTGAAATTTTTAATTTTAGATGAGGCCGATAGACTATTAAATCAATCATTTCAAAATTGGTGTTCTGAATTGATGACCACTATAGACAATGATAAACTAGATCATTTACCTGGTAATGTGGTTAAAATGGTATTTAGTGCCACTCTATCGACAGATACACAAAAATTACATGACTTACATTTATACAATCCAAGATTGTTCTTAATAGATTCTGTCAAATTGTACAACTTACCAAGTACTTTACAAGAATTCAATATTACTGTACCAACAGCAAAGAGCATGTACAAACCATTGTTATTATTACATTTATTACCATTGTTAAGCTCTACAGCAAAAGTAATTGTATTTGTTAAATCGAACGAAGCATCTCTAAGACTGGCAACTCTAATTAATATCATATTGCAAAAGAAAAATATGATCAATAATGTATCTGTAAATTCATTTAATTCTAATAACTCAAGAGCGCAAAATAGAAAATTGGTTACTGAATTTTCAGAAACAAAAACTGATCAATCGCATGCATCTATTCTTATTACTACTGATATTATGTCAAGAGGTATAGATATTACAAATGTGACAGATATAGTGAATTATGATGTCCCTATCTCCTCTCAACAATACGTGCATCGTTGTGGTAGAACTGCAAGAGCTGGAGCCTCTGGTAATGCTTACAACTACTTAGTAGGTAGAGGTGAAAAGAAGTTTTGGACCCAACATGTCTCTAACGATATTAGCAGGGATATCCATGGTTTTGAACCAAAATTCTGGTCTAAACCAGACAATTTGGACGAAGATGGTGATATTGACATGGAAAAGAGCGAAAAGGTTGAAGATAACATATCAGTTGAAAACTACAACTCAATTATGGAGATATCTGATTCTGAAGATACATTATATAAAGAAGCATTGAATGATCTTAAGGAAATGGCATCAACAAAGTAGATTGAGATATTACGTAATACTTATGTAACTATATAAGGAAAATGGTATATTATCATGTTATGCTAAATATAAACATATAACGTTTATTATTTCCCCTCAAACAATCATGCAACTGACGTTTTATTATTTCTTAAATTCTATCAATTTCTATAGTAGTTTCTGAATTTGGTAGACACTTTTTGATACACTTATCAACAGCAAATCTCAAGGATGTCTCATCGTCGTTAGAACCACCTTTCAAGTCAATCTTTAACAGCACAATAAATAAACTAAAATTGGTTTTAATGATAATCAAGTCACCATCATTTAGATGACATCTTGACTTAAATTCTGATAAATTTTCTATTTTCTCCTTGATAATGGCCTTGATATTTGATGGATTATTAAATTTTCTTCTGTTTCCAGATTTCTTAAACTTGAAAATCGACAAAAATGAATTCAATATTGAATCATCATTACAATGATGATTCTTCATGGATGTAGCCACAGGTAAAGAACTCGCAGATCTTTTGCGCCCCATTATTACTTTATTCAATCCATTACTAACATTGTTCATTTTTTCATTATGACTGTTCACATCTTCTAATTGATTTTGAGAATGAGTATCCTGATCTAACAAGAATGCTGACGAAGGCAGCACGGTTGTTGAAAATCCTAATAATAGAATAGTAGAAGTCCATTCTGCAATTGTCAAACCATGAACCAAAATGAACATTGAAATCAAAAAAGATGCAACGTAATCAGAAATATTTGACAAATTATCGGGTAAACTAGGGAAAATCAACAAATAAAATGAGTATATTATTGTAATCATTGGATTTTTCGTCTTCAATTTACTATTAGTGTTAGCATAAAACGTTTTGAATAGCGACAAAGTTGCCAAGAATAAACTGAACAGTACAACAGCATACCACATAGTAATATTATATCCTGAAATTAATTGACCTGCTGCCATCCCATCATGATGTGAGTGAGGAATTTGAGCAACGATATCACTGTGATGATCTGGATTAGAAGATTCAACGAAAATTGCAATAAATTCCTCTAGCATATGGAATAATAGATCTAACCCTACAAAACATAAGGAAACCGCTAAAGCGAAACTCAATAGTACATCCACCCTATTTAGACCAAATGGGAATGTAATTGTCCCTGTAAACCACGCTTCGAAATGAGATAATGTCTCGATCAAAATGATTGCAAGAGATCCTATTATATCATAAGTTATGAAATGCGACAATGTAATAAAGTTACTCCATGCTTTAGCGTTCCCAATGAAAAAAATACTAATACCTAGTAGAAGTTGTAAAGAAACAATAACCAATTGTATATGAGCTTTAGGCCACGGTAGGTTTTGAAGAATATCGCCAAAATCAGGAATAGGCAAGGATTTCGCAATATTCAAGGGAATCTTAACTTCGGTTTCTTGGAAGAAATTCATAGACACAGAAGAATGTTTGTAACGATGCCCCTTACGGAACGAAGTCCTCGAGCCTGCCGAGGATGGTGGTGTGGATTTATGTGGCGATGTAATTGTTGTCTTTGGCGGTTCATGATGCCCCTGTGTAAAATTGAAAGGTGATTCCAAATAAGTCGATGATCTTTTTGACGTCGGTATCACTTCAGGTGATGTATTTCTTATTGGAGATCTATTTCTTGAAATGGGAGGGGGAGCCAGTTTAGAACCAGGGACATATTTGAGAGAGTTCCTTCTAGGTTCTCTTTTGAAATTAGAAGCTGTTGGAACCCCGACAGGAACAGTTTTTGTCGGGGTATTTGATGAAGATGTATTGGTACCGCCATTGTTATTGCTATCACCAAATGTGAACCCTGAATTGTATATCAGACTAGAGCTAGAGTTGTTACCATCCTTTGCCGAGTAAAAGCCTGCCACAGGCGGCGACATAAACTTGGTCTGTACCTGTGAGTTTGTAAAAGTTGCCTTAGCAGTTTGAAACAGATCGGTAGAAGACATATTTGTAGTTTCATTCCCAAGGTATGGTGTCTTGAATTCTGAGGTCACGGGCTCAATTGGTGTAGGAGGCATATCCTCTTCTTCCTTGATGGCATTCATCACTGGTGTAGTGGCTGAGCTATGAAGCTGTTTTTCATTAGAACCATCCATACTGATTGTTTATTCTTTTTATAAAGGAATAGGGATAAGTAACTTCTGTTAAAATATCCTATTATTTAGGAAAAGTCTTCCAACTGATTCAAGATTATATCAATAATAAATATATAGGATGAAACTGGTAAAACCTATAAACAGTAATTATTCCAAAGATCCTAGAAGTAATGATCAATAGCACTAACGAACAGTTGCTTCTATGGCTCACAACTAAGAAATTGTTTAACTTCTAAAAGAACTTATTCATTGAATCGTCTTCTTAATTTTAATTGTGAGGTCTGTAATATTTAGACCGCCTCGTTTTGATTGTCACTTTGAACAATTTCGATATCCTTTCCCTGAGAAAGCACCGCGAGCCACGTGAATACAGACATATCAACTTGATAGAGATATTTAAGTTGAATAATGTTGTTAGATTGGACGATTCGATATTCTTCAACTGATGACACAACTAACTGTCACAACATCTACAATTTGGACATTTAACTGTTTGCTTGGCCCATTATTTTTTTTTCCTTTTTGAAATGGGAGGGAACGTATTTAGATTACTCTCGGAGTTAGCTGCTAGGGATGTCCCCCAAGTCATATATTCCTATAAATTACGTCCATTGTATCGTGCAGGTGCCCTATCTTTATCGACTGTTCTAGTTGCATATAGTCTATCTTTTGCCGATGTTTCAAAATTGAGTGCTTCTTTACAATACAAGAATGCTAACGGTGAAGAAAAGAAAGATGCCTTATTTTTGATTAAAGCTTATGGTCCCATAGGGATGGCATTGATACCATTGACCATATCAATTGGTTCGTTGTTTATCCTATCAAGAACTGTCACAAGAGTGAAATATATCCCCCAAATGCAACAAATGCCTAAATGTGAAATCACTCGTACGTCAGCCATCCTAGGCCGAGAGATAACCGTGACCAGACCTATGAAGAATATTGTTAGAAGTTCCAACGTTAGCATATATACAGGTAAGGGACCTCAGGGGCTTGATGATAAGGGAAGTTTTTCATTTTATTTGAAGGATCTAAGTCCCTCACTGAGGACACCAGTGAATAGTTTATATATTCTTCCTAGATCAGGTGCAGTATGGAAATCTGATGGTAGAATATTATCTGCTTTATTTGGAGACAGCAAAAAAGGTAAAAGTATATTATCTGATGAGGGAGACGATATTAACTCTTCGGTAGGTAATAAATCTTCTAAGGAAGAAATCATTAACTCAACACAGAAAAATATTATTATTCAGGAGATGATGAAATTGAACGCTAACAATAAGGTTAAGTTTCATAGTAAGAGTAAGAAAGAGGAAAAGGCAAACCTCATTAAAAATATTGTAAATAACACTAAATCCAAATAATCAAGCCTCCATATACGTTTGTGTTTATAGATAACATAAACAATCTTTTTGTAAATACAATTAAATTCATACACTTCTTTTAGATAAAATTTAATAGTTTGATAATATATCCCAGTTTCAAGACAATGAATGACAAATATGTATAGCAAAAATTCATCTATTAAGTGGTTAATTACATCTATATACATGCTGGAATTTAATATATACATATATTGATATTTATTACCTTATAAGAAACCCATCAGTTGAAGTAGATAATCAAAGAACAACGCATAAGAGAAATATAAACCTGTCTTGATATTCCCAGTAAATTCTTTCCAGCAATCATCTGGATTATCTAAATCTACTTTCCTAATCATAGTAAATACTCTATAGGCAAAGATAGACAGTCCACCAATAAAACCGGGGCCCATTATTAATCCACTATTGATACCTGCTAATGCATACATAGCAAATTGTGAAGTGGCCAAGACATTGCACACAGTCTTGGTGTTTTTACCCCAAGCTAAAGCTGTAGATTTAATACCTGCCTTTATATCGAATTTCTTATCCTGATGAGCATATATAGTATCATATATCATACACCAAAGATAAGATCCTACGTACAGAGGGATCATAGTAGACCAATCCATTATTCCCATTGCAGGGAACCCCAATAACGCACCCCAGTTAAAACAAGCACTCAGTGCAGCTTGTGGATAGTATGTAAATCTCTTGAATAAAGGATAAGTAAAGACAATAGGTAACGATGCTAAACCCAGCCACCAACAGTTAGCAGGCAGTTGTGCTAGAATACCCATCCCTACAGCGGTCTGAGCACCCAAAAACAATGAAGCGTTCCTAACTGAAACTCTTTTGGAAGCAATTGGTCGTTCCACAGATCTAATAACTTTATCATCAAGTTTTCTATCAAATATATCGTTGATTGTACAACCGGCACCTCTCATTATCAGGGCACCTACACCGAATAAACCTAACATCCAAGTCGTTTGCCCCAATGTTGCACTTGTTTCCATGGCACCCATAATAATAGCCCATGAACAAGGCAAATACAATAACCATGTACCTACAGGTTTTTCCAATCTCATCAATTCTGCATAAGGAATCCATTTTTTAGGTAACTTTGATACAAGAGGACCTAACCCCTTAAGTCTTTGTTCTTTCGCTAACGCTAGTTGCTCCTTTGAAAAAGTAGGTTTCAATTCATCTTTCTTAGACCAAGTACTATTCAATCTCGTTACGGGGCCCCTAATAAATATAGTTGCTAGAGACCCTTTACCTCTGTATTTCAGAATATTGATACTGAATTGGCCATTTGATATGCTTTTTGGAACAGCCTGTAACACATGTCTTGGAACACATAATCTCAACATCCTCTTCAAAAGAATGCCAAAATCAAAACGAGTTTAATTAATACCTACCAATTATCAGAAAACCACGTTCCCTTTCACAACAAGCCATTCCTATAGAGACTGATATACATCTCTATATCAGTCTATTTCCATTTAAACGATGTTCATCGCTAGTGTTATGCGGTTTGCAACAGGAAATTTTCGCCTTGCTCCGATACGTCCCTGTGGGTTCAAGAAAACAGCGATAATTAACAAACGAGCGAGAGATGCTTCGAGAGGGAGAGCCAAAGCTTCAGAATATATATATATATATATGAAAATGGTGATACCTGTTTCTGTCTCGATCGAATTCAACTACATTGGCACCTAGATTTTTCGGATATCGACCAATTCCATAACTGCTTAAGAAACAAAAGTAAAGCAAAAGAAAAATGACCGTATACGTTGCTTCTACTACTGCTCCCGTCAATATCGCAACTTTGAAGTACTGGGGAAAAAGAGATGCTAACTTGAACTTACCAACCAACTCTTCTATCTCCGTGACATTAGCTCAAGATGATCTTAGGACTTTAACTTCTGCAGCTACATCCGAGAGGTTTGAGAAGGACACCTTATGGTTGAACGGTAAAGAAGAATCACTAGCTAATAAAAGAACTCAAGACTGTTTGCAGGATTTACGTGACTTGAGACATCAATTGGAATCCCAAAACCCGTCTTTACCTAAATTATCTCAATGGAAACTGCATATTGTCTCTGAGAATAATTTCCCAACTGCTGCAGGTTTAGCATCTTCTGCCGCTGGGTTCGCTGCATTAGTAGTAGCTATCGCTAAACTATACAAGTTACCTCAAGATATGTCTGAATTGTCAAGAATTGCTCGTAAGGGTTCTGGTTCTGCCTGTAGATCGCTGTTCGGAGGTTTTGTTGCTTGGGAGATGGGTGATGCTGAAGATGGTTTGGACTCTATGGCTGTTGAAGTCTTACCATTAGAGGCTTGGCCTGAAATGAAGGCTGCCATCTTAGTTGTCAGCGACGTCAAGAAGGATACCTCATCCACTCAAGGTATGCAATTGACCGTTGCAACATCTGATCTATTTAAAGAAAGAGTTACTACAGTTGTTCCAAAACGTTTTGTAGAAATGAAAGAGGCTATTGTAAATCGCGATTTCACTAAATTTGCTGAAATGACTATGAAGGATTCGAATTCATTCCATGCCACTTGTCTAGATTCATATCCACCAATCTTCTATATTAATGACACTTCAAAGAAAGTTATAAGATTAGTACATTCCATTAATGCTTTTTTCAACGAAACTGTTGTTGCTTATACTTTCGACGCAGGTCCAAATGCAGTCCTGTATTATTTAGAAAAAAACGAGAATAAGTTATTTGCATTTTTATATAAACTGCTACATCAAGTTGATGGATGGGAACCAAAATATAATAAAGATCAATTGAATGGGTTTATTAATACTTTTGAAAATGAATACAAGGACAAGATTGAATTCTTTATCGATCCTGAATTATATCAAGGAATAACCAGAATTATATTAACTAGAGTTGGACCTGGTCCACAAGATTCCGAAAAATCTTTAATTGATCAATCTACTGGTTTACCAAAATAAGCTTCAATCAACAATTAATATCTTCTGTGCTTAATTAAAATAGTTGAGAATTTATATTCAATGTATGCTAATAAATAAATATATAAAACGTATTCCATAACTCCAAAGAAAATTTAAGCTATTCGTGATTCTATTATAAATTTTTTCAAATTGTTTTTCTTTATTTTAATATATAAGTTCATACATATATATATATATATATATATATTATTCTGTTGTTACAAGTTAATTACATTATACAATAACTAAGGATGAGTGTACTTCCTAATCGTATTGAAAAGATAATGAGAACAATACTCATCATCCTTGGTTAGCAATAAAAATATCTATCAGTTAGAGCGGCTAGATGGTAAAAAAAAGGTATGATACAAAGATCGATTATTCATCTAGTTATTCGTTTCTTTTGGTTTTGGTTTATTTATTTTTATTAGTTTTTCTTCTTCTTCATATTCAAACTTCGGATATTTTGTTTTGTTCATCATGACTGTTAGTTTTAGAGAATTTCCAGATTCTTGCCCTGCAATCACCACTACCAGTAGCAAAAACTTCATATTGTTCACCTAATGGTTTACCGTTAGCAACGGCAACCGATATGACAGAGTTTTTATGGCCTTGTAGCATTAGAAGTGGATTCCCTGTAGGTGTGTCCCAGAATAGAACACCACGATCTTTCGAACCTGATAGAATGTATTGATCATTTGCCGTTGTCGTTACTGATAATACGAAATCCTTATGTCCTACATATGTGACTTCACATGTACCATTTGTAGTCTTTGAAGTTTGGTTGGCATCAGCAGCGTTAGAGGTACCACTAGAATTACGAAGATTCCATAATTTTACAGTTCTATCAAGAGAACCTGAGACAACCTTGTTACCGTTTCTGGTAAATACGACACTGTAGACAGAATCCTTGTGTCCTGTGCCTAATTCATTTTCAGAATCTAGTCTCTCTACTAAGAAACCTGTTTCTGAATCCCATACTCTAACAGCACGATCTAGAGAACCAGCTGCAATATATTTACCATCGCCTGGAGAAACTGCCACAGTAGTAACACCATCTTCGATGGATAGAGTTAAAGAACATTGACCAGTCTTTAAATCCCACATTCTAACAGTTCTGTCACCAGAACCTGAAACTAATTTATCACCGGATGGGAAGTAATCCAAAGAGTAGACATCTTGGTCATGACCTTGTAGTACCATAACAATCTTGGCTTGAGCGATATCCCAAATTCTAATCAATCTATCTTCAGCACCAGTAGCAAGATATTTACCATCTGGAGAGAAACAAACTGAACGGATATACAGGTCAGCGGATGATGTATTACCATTACCAGAGCCAGTACTACCATTCTCTTCAGAGCTGGAAGTACCTGAGACAGGGTTCGCATTGTCATCCATTAACTTGGCAACCAATTCACCCGTGGAGACCTTGTAGACCTGGGTTGTCTTGTTACAACCAGTGGCTAAATATTCACCGTCGTTACTGAACTTAACACAACAAACAACGGAAGTGTGATCCAAAGAAAATAATAAATCAACATCAACAGAACGTGGTAAAGCTGGGTTATATAGAACATAGTAATCTTCTGCTTGCTTCTTCAAGTTATCAGGTACTTGTTGAGAGTCTAAATCTAACAAAAATGGTGGAATTGGTTTAACTTGACTAGCTCTTTGGTCATATGGGACTAAATAATGATCATTACTGGTTGGTTTAGGTTCTTCCGGTTTGATTTCCTTTTCAGTCTTGGTTTCTGGAGCTGTTGCTTCGGTCTTATCAACGGTAGAAGTTGGAGATGTACTGTCACCAGTCACCACGGGAACAATTGAAGGCATAGTTGGTGTAGCTGTTGATTGGCTGGATTCAGTTGTAGTGATCGGTGGGATTGGAGCAGGAGCGATCTTAGAAGCTTCTTGGTCATTAGTTTGTGGTTGTTGTAATTGTGAACCCAATGCGCTAATCAAGGGAGCTAAAGTTGGGCCATTACCTTGACCTTGGTTTAAAGGACGGATAACTTCAGGTGCCTTAGCAGCACCAATGTTGGTAGCTGGTAACTGAACTCCATGTGCATCAGGTGCGACTGACTGAACTTGAGGTAATTGAGTTTGAGATTGAACCTGAGGTAGTTGAGGAACTTGAGGTTGGACAGGGAGTTGTTGTGGCTGTGATGGAGCTGGTTGTTGCTGAGGTTGCTGAGGTTGCAATTGTTGTTGTTGACTTAATGTTGCAATCTGTTGATCTTTTTGTGAGATTTCTAATTTCAATCTATTTATTTCCTCTTGGTAAGAATCTTTTAACTTTCTATGAGACAATTCTAATTCATATACAGTATTTCTAATTTGTTGCATTTCTGCTAGATTTTGATTTATCTTATAATCAAAATCCTTTTGATTTTGTAGACGGTAAGAGTTAGCCTCCTGAGAGACATTATTGAACTCTTGTCTGATACTTTCCAGGAGTTCGTTCAATTTACCTTGAGAGTCAGTAATAGATGTAGCCATTGTTTTTATATCACGTTTATTTTAATAACAATATTGCACGCTTTTAAATCGACTTAAATTAGAATTTACTTGTTTTTTGAATCTTGAAGTTTAGATATTATAGCTGTTCTTTAGTTTATATCAAAGGTGTAAATATAATTATCTAACTAAAACAGTTGGTTTCGGAAATCCTCAAAGTTTTTAAATTTTTCCTACTTTGTTTTCTGTCAAAATCAATAACGTCAAGTCAATAGTTTTAAGAACTGTTGTTTTGTCTTGTTTGTTTGTTGTTGTTTTAATAAAGTAGATGTTTTAATAGGAGGAACAACAAAGAAATAACTTGGTTATAATATGCTTATTTTCACGCCAAATAAAAAAATAATAATAATAAAAAAAGAGATATAAGTCTTATTAAAGGTAATAAATGTGTGTAAACAACCTGATATAAATAAATTGAAATTGTTATAAACTTATTCGTTAACAACTTTTAGTTTGTTATTTGGAATAAAAGTTATTGAGGAGTGATAAACAACGATTATGATATCTGTTATTTTTAAATTTAACAAGAAGGAAAAAAATAAGAGAAGGAGAGAGAAAGAAAAAAATATACAAAAATGTGAATTATACCAAAATTTAGGATTAACTGGGGGATTACTTTTTTTACGTTGTTTTGTTTTGATTATTATCTTCCTGTCTAAATTAAATTTATTTCGGGAATTTTTCAAAATTATTTTTTTCTTTTCTGTATCTGCAGTTCGTTGCTGATATTTTGTTTCGTTTTATGGTAGCTACGTTATTAAACAGGTGAAGCAAATAAAAAAAAAGTGTAGTTATTTTACCTTTTGGGATTAACGCAGTAATACAGGAAGAAGAAACAAAAAATACAGAAAATAAAAAAAAAAAAAAGAAGAACGCAACAACTAAGAAAGAAAAAAAAATCAAAGAATACACATACAGAAACGGGGTATATGGAATGAGAATTGGAAATAAGTGAAAAAAGGAGAGATTAAAAGCGGATGGAGCAAACGGGAAAAGATTCGTCAACTAAAAGTCAAAACAAAACAAAGAATAAGCGTTAGTTCCTCTTTGTCTATCTAAATTGATGGAAAAGCAAAATAATAATAATGGCAAAGAATAGACCACATAGGAATAACTTTAATTTTAATGCAGTTTTGGAAAATGTAAAATCATTGAACACGGAGGTAAAGCCGTCCCCTTAACTGCGTCAAATGCTTAACAAATCAAATACTCTAAAAAAATATAAAGAGACAGAGTAACTTGGAACAAATGAACAAATCAGACAAGTAAAATTGACCATACAATGCACACGTAATAATAGCAACCTTACATTTAGGATGTTCCCTTTTCATTGAACGACAAAAAAAAAATATCACAGGTGCAGAAAAAGAAAAGAGCATCCTTTGAAAATTTCAACCAAAAATTAAAACATAAATAAATAAACAGAGAATTTACGTTGCTGTTGATATATTTCTGTTTTTAATCTTATAGATGAACAATAAATCGACAGGAAACGGAGCAGCAAAAAAGAAAAGAAAAGTGGGAAACAACAAAAAATAAAGAGATTATCACTCAGCTTTGTCACAATGATTCAAATGGAAAAAAAAGCAAATAAAAAGAACTTACGTGGCAACGGATACTTCATGCAGCAATAGAAATTACTCACCTTATAGTATTCTTACCATGTGGTTTAAAAAAAACATATGGAAAAAATAATAAATAAAACATCTTGTACGATCTATTGTCTCTGTATTTGTAAATTTTACCGGGAACCAATAAATGGATGAATCCTTCCTTATATTAATTTCTCTGAAGGAAATTCCTAAGCCCGGCTAACAAAATTCAAAAACTTTTGGGGAAAAGGCGGCGGCCCTTTTTCGTAAATAGCGATTCAATCTAAAACAGAACCCTAATTTTACTATTAGTGAATATTTGAAGGGTAAACCCTAATTGTTCCATCTTGAAGTTGGAAAGCAGCAGAGCAAAAACAGATTTTAATTTTTCGCCTGTTTTTCTAGTGAAAGCGGCAAAATCCAATATTGGACGAGTCCCATATACTTATACAAATCAGCATTGTTTCATAATCTAATAAAAATAGCCGCTGAGGGCTCAGTGGCAAATTGAGTATAATATGTACCAATAAAAACTGAAGGTTCATAAACGAAAAAGTACATTCGACTGGGAGATGAATAAGAATTCCTTGCAATAATAGAATTTGAAAATAGAATTTGAAAATAGTTTCAGACAACAATTCTGTGCTTTAGTAAATTTAGTTAAACATACTTTTACTATTCTTATTAGTCTTAGAATAATAAATTACTTCTTTTTAAAAGAAAAAGTGGTTGTTTTTCTCAAAAGAAGTTAACCACATAACTATAATTAACATCTCCCAGGTCTACTACCCATGATCGATATTCCCTTGCATTTCAAACCTTATAATTAACCACTTTATGAACTTATTGTTATGAGTTGAAACTTCTTAACAATGTGAGAGAAAACGAAATCCTGAACTGTTTTTTGAGGTTTTTGTTGTTTAATTCTATCTCCCTTCCCAGAAACAAATTTGAGGTCATCACTCTTTCCGCGTTCGGGTATCCCTCGTACTTTCTCTCCAAATATATATTTTTTTTTTCTTCCTCTTAATTGGAAACGTCACAGTGCCCATAAAGTGATGAAAGGCTCTCGATGATACGCAAACTGTTAAAAGAATCAGAGATTCAAATGAAAAACTGATACATCTTGCCATTGTGGGTTTAGGAAGTAAAACGAATACCTATGTAAATTACCTAATCAGTACATTTACTAGAATCGTTTCATAATACCGAAATTAGAAAATATTCTAAACTAAAATGTTTATGACTGTAACGTCTTTTTTTTTGTAATGTTTTGTATCTAATTGTCATATATATATATAGAGAGAGAGAGAGAAAGCAAAAAGGAGGTTGTTTTGAACTCATATAAATTAGTTATATTTGTTTTATTCTTTTAATAACTTGTTTGTATTGTTTATCATTTTCACATAAGATATCATATCTTCAGAAACCGAATACAAAATTAATAAAATAAAAGTAAAAATGAAATTGTCAAGTATATTTTTAATATTATTCGCTAGTTTTGCAGTTGCTTCTGGGCAAATAATATCCACTACTAAGATAACTTCTTCTGTCACATCCACATTTTGTAGATCATGTAAGACTGCTACAATTGAAAAATATGATTTACCTTCATCTTCTACTACCTCAATTGTCACCCAATCATCTACCTCAATTGTTACCCAATCATCAACCTCTATAATTACTTCTGAGTTTTGTCCAATGTGTGTCACATCAACTATTCCTTTATCATCAACTGCAATGGCCTCCTCATCCAACCCAACTTATTCCTCAATTGATTCTACATTTTCTAGTTCTAGTTCTATTACCTCACTAGTAACATCAACTGTTACCATTTCCATCGAGTCATGTTCTGACAATAAATGTTCATCATCTAGTGTAGCTTCCTCCTCTTCTTCTTCTTCTTCTTCTTCTTCAAGTATTCCATCTTCCTCATCGATTTATTCTTCCTCTTCCTCTTCTTCAAGCATTCCATATTCCTCATTGGTACCATCCTCATTAGTATCTTCCTCCTCTATTGCTTCTTCTAGCTCGACAATTGACATCTTTTCCTCTGCCATATCCACTGAAACTACTTCTCCTTCAAAACCTTACTCAGATAGTACCTTTTATTCTCCATCGACTACTGAAGTTGTTACATCTTCATCTTCGCAGCCCCAACTGAATAGTAGTGTTATTAGCTCCACACCTTCGTCTACTACATCTATTCCAGTAATATCAGTAAAGATAAAAACTACTGAATCGACTTTGTTATCAACTACTACATCTACTGTTTGTCCTTCATGTAATGTAACAACTCCTAGTTTAGTATCTACTGTTACTACCCCATCATTAACAATAACCACCAAGTCGTCTGTCTCCACAGTTACTACCCCATTATCATCCACTCAAATTAGTAGCGACATAACTACAGGAAACACTGTAACAACCACCACTTCTGTCGAAACTTTCATAGAAACCACAACATCTAGTAAACCAGAGGAAATTGTCACTAAATCAGTTCCAACTTCAAGTAATGAAGACTTATGTCCTGGCTGTATTAAGACAACAACACTCACTGAAGAGACTTCCTCTACTCATAGAAGCACTGTTCCTACAGTTGGTAAAGAAATACAATCCACCTCTCATTCTTCCAAATTAACTACACCTGTTACCTCACCATCTGTACCAACCTTAGTGGAGCAAACCACAACTTCTCAGTCAAATACACAAACTTCGCAATATATTAGTGTCTTTGAAGGTGATGCCACTATGCTAGGGTATTCCTTCACAGCTCTAATCGCATGGATATTTATTATTCCGCTATAATAAAAAATATACATTAGTGTATATATTTATTTCTCTTATATGTAATTCTTGTTCGTTTACTAAATGGGAACGTCTCTTTATACACGATTTAATAATAAATATATAAAACACTTTATAATTCATCCTATTCGATTTCATTGATATATTAATTGTGACATCCATTATTTAGCGGATTTATTCATTATGTTTTTTTACTTTCGCTGTGCATATTCGGACATCACGAATAATCTCGGAGGTTTGTCGTCTATGTTTTTTCATTGGCTTTCGCTTTCTAGATTTTCGAAGGGATAATAAATAAAAGAATAAACAGTTCAAGATGAATGAAAAGATCTTAGAAAAAAATTAAGAATTGGTAGGAAGGTTAGAACCACTGAAAGATAAGAAGCAGTACTATTACTAGTTTTAATATAAAATTATTGAGTAATCTGGAATTGAACAAGAATTTTATAGGACTTCTACATGATGTTTTCACGAAATAGAACCAACGGCAGTTGGAACGTGATAAGGGTTTCGTTACAAAGGTTTTACACAACAAACAGGGGATCTTATTTCAAATTATTGAAATTCAGGCTAAGAGACACTGAGTCAAATTATATAAGAAGTCTCAAGCGCAATACAACTTCGATGGTATCAGTCTTACGGAATGGTAACCATCTGCACTCATCATTAAATAAAGGATTTGGGAACACATTATGGCGTTATTTCAATTCTCCATTCAATGTAGTTTTCATGACTACTAATATATTTGCATTTGCTGGTATTGTAGCATTTAGTACATTGATTGATATCCGTCATCTTCATAATTTTACGAAAATTGAAAATAGTCATCATCAATATGATCAAGAACATCAATTATACACACCAGACAATTATGTCTTGGCTAGCCCAAGTAATGTAAGGAAACATATGTATCCGATGATGACTACCTTGATACCAAATAGTCTCACAGTCCCAGAGATACCTATTAATATAACCGACGAAGAGATTGTTTCAACACCAAAATCTCAGGATAAAACTTTAGAGATGTTACAGAGAAAAGTGACTGAAAAGACTCAAGAGCTTGAAGATATGGAGGTTGATACACCATTCCACACTTATAATGTTGAAGATATTGAGATAAATAGTAAAAACAAAAGAGTAGTGGATTATAACTCAGCCAAAATCAAAGCAGATTTGTTCAACATGTTATACTCTTTTAAAATATATGAAGATGTTATTGTTGATACGCAAGCTAATAAACATCACCAAAAATTGTGGTTTGAAGAACTTCTACACTTCAGAAACAAACATAAGGATGTATTAGCGACCGGTTCTTCCAAAATAGACCCATCCTTCAGACCTACAGTGACAAATTTTTATGATGCATGGAGAACTACATATCAAAAGATGGAACCTCGAGGTGGTGACTTGATTGAAAATTTTACATTGCCTAATTGGTCACAATACCCATACTCACTTAAAGATTCGTGTAATAAGTTGTATGAAAATAAAATGGGTGGAATTGATGATTTCAAATCTTTTTATGATAGCATCAAGTCCAATAAATTTAAGAAATTAATCAGAATGTGGTACTATGATAATTATAAACTGATCAAATGTCGTCAATCGAATGATACCAATGTCATGGCTCAAAGAGAAGAATTTTATAATGAATTGTTGAAAGATTCTCTTCATGATCCTCCCACATTTGTCAAATACGCATCAATAGTATTGAATCCGCATAATCCTCGTAAAGATATCCTCTTCAGCAAGATAAACCCGGATGATAATCAAGCAACACAACAACGACAGCATACAAATAATATTCCAGTGGTACAGGTAGAGACAGTATTAAACATTCTTCAAGGATACCTGACTTTGCAACAAGAAAAGAAAAGAACTAAGATTTTAAATTATAACAATACGTATTTGCGCATTGTACATATGATTAAAGAGAATGGATACTTGACTGACGAAGGCAAGATTGGAATCCAGTTATGTCCCGATGATCAGGTAATTTATTCGCATCGGAAGTGGCTCTCTAAGAATAGGCAGGATCCTAAACTGTATGATCGATTGGGGAAGGATCCCCATATATTACAGTTATTAAGCCAGATAACAACGTAATGATCGGTATCAAAAAATAAATACAACAACACACACACACACACACACACACACATATATATATATATAAACATAAATATTCCCAACACCCGGATAATCCAAATTATTTATTCTATTATTTTTCAAATAACCTCTTGTTATACAGTCTTTGTTCTATGTAATCTTGAAGGGCTTTTCTTCCTCTCAGTCTCCGTAGTGCGAAAAAGACGAGTTTTGCATATTAAATAATATTTTAAAATGAAAAAAAAATTTTCAATATTAAAAGAGCAAAAGAGAGAGATGCCCATCACCAGAACATCAACAGTTAATATAAAATAGTAAACAAGACACATATAAACATACATATATACTACCTGATATGAAATTCCTTACTACCAATTTTCTAAAGTGTTCTGTTCAATCGTGTGATACTAGTAACGATAACTTCCCATTGGCTTACGATGGTTCCAAATGTCAACTGGAACAAGATGAAAGTATCGAATTCAATCCAGAATTCCTAGTGAATGTGCTGGACCGTGTAGAATGGCCAGCTGTACTACAGGTTGCCTCAGATCTAGGAAATACGTCACTACCTCCAAATAAACCTGTCTTTGAAGATAATAACGCATTGACCGAGGATGACATGGCTATCCTAAGAGACCTACATACATTATTGATCCAGACATCAATAGTAGAAGGTGAAATGAAGTGTAAGAATTGCGGACACACTTATTATATTAAAAATAGCATCCCAAATCTGTTGCTACCACCACATTTGGTATAACCCTTCAAGATAACTCATCAATCTTCGAATAGATATATATTATATAAATATATTAAACATCTGCATATATAAGACTTATTTACAGTTAATGTATAATACCATACACTAGTAACTCATTATTACCCTATGGAGGAATCAAATTATATTATTACACTTTCGCCACTTTAAAGGCTCTAACCTTCATTAAATTGGGCAAATATATATTATCACATCCATATATCTTCTCAATACTGTTTGTAAATAATAGATGATTGATTCCCTCCCTTCACACGTTGTTAATTGATTGATGCTGTCCCTTCTCTCTCCCTCTTTAACATTGTCTTCGCCCTGTTTTTTGTTCTCGGGGCATGGAACGAGGGAGTTTTTGAAGGATTCATGAATTACGAGAAGTGGAAGACGTTTTTGACAATCGTTAGTTGAAATTTTTATTTTATAGTGTGGAAGGGGTGTTAAAGTGGAGTTCTATTATCATAATTGTATTTATTTTTGGTAGAAGTGGCATCTCATTAAACTACCGGTATATTATTTCATTGTCACATTTAACCCTGTATAGACCGTACTCTATTCAGTTTTGTTTCTTCCTTTTTTATTTTTAGCTTACATTAAAAAAGTTGATAGGTTGAACAAGAATAGGATTAGCTACTGATATATTGTTTACTTTACAAGCACGGATAACTATTTACATTTGCGTGTATTTAGTATAATCTGAGAAGAAATCCCTATTGATTTACTATAATTTTTGTTTTTTACATTCTATCATCTTTATTATATTTGGCGTATAGATAAAGTTTAATTCCTGAACATTCTTTCACGGATATATAGATTCAATATAATACCCCAAACATATCCCGTTATATTATACATTCCTAAATTGTAGTACGAATATTTTTTCCATATTTGAAATCCGTTTATTTGTTTTTAATTACTGTTATATTAACCCTTTTATTAGATCTTTATTTATTTTATTTTATTATTATTATTATTATTATTATTATTTCTTTATCATGACGGATAATCAACAGCAGACTCTAGAACAACCAACTTCATTTAGTGAAAGAAGTAGAAGTGTTTCCTTTTCGAAATTACTTTCAAAATCATGGAGATGGAACAGTAATTCTACTGGTAATGGTAGCACACAGGGATCTACATCATCTCATGATAATTCCCCATCCCAATCAAATGTAAAATTAACAGAAATGGGGGAACCTAAAAATTTATTACCTGAAACTATAGTCACACCAGCAGATCCAGATATGAGTTCCAGATTCTCCAAATTCAAAAGTATATTTCAAAGTAATAATACTAGTCCGGCTAATTATACTAGTACTGCATCCAAAAACAGTAGTAAACAACCGGACACTTTACAAATAGAAACTAAGGAGAAGAAGTTGTCAAATATGATAACTGAACCACAGTCACCTGTTCTTCGTTCCCCAATGCATGCACATCTTGAAGCACATTACCACCCTTATACATCTCCTACTTCAAAATCTAATCCTCGTTCTCCAATGAGTGAACCATTGAATCAGGAATCTTCATATCAACAACAAAATTTAGTCAATAACGATAATAATATTAATAGTGGTAGTAGAAAACGTTCACCATCTGCACCAGTACTACCAAAATCCCACGATATCAGTGTTATTGATAATGATACATATAATTCTTTTTCAATGAATTCTGGGTATCTACCGCCAGCAGCCTTATCTTCTACTTCAACGACGTCTTCACCATATCAAACGAGAAATTTGAGTAACATATCATTGAATGATATCAAGGAGGATGAACAAGTCAATAAATTTAATCAATATAAGTCTCCATTACGCAAGGGAAGTAGTGGTCCAATTCAGAAGATAGTGTCTCCTCTTAAGACAGTTTCCCAAGGTGGAAGCCCTAATGAGAGCCAGGAGAATATACAACCGTTTCCATCTATTATTGTGGGATTGACAGATGAAGAGATGGATGAACCTCAAGACGAAAGTATCCTTCGTAATGAAATAAAGACACCACAATTGGGATCACCTATAAAGGAAAATAAGAAGCTTCTAATTGGTGGTAATAAAGAGATTACAGATATTACGATACTAGATTTTCAACCAACAGAACCCCCAAAGGTATTTGGCGATAAAGAGCCAAAGAGATCCCAACGGTTAAGGACAAAATCATTTAGTAATAAATTCAAAGATATAACTGTTAGTCCCAAGTCGTTTGAGAAAGTTAGATTATTAGGTCAAGGTGATGTTGGTAAAGTTTTCCTTGTCAAGCAAAAGAATACTAATAGATTATATGCATTGAAAGTGTTTAGCAAATCCCAAATGATAAAGAGGAATAAAGTTAAAAGGGTATTAGTTGAACAAGATATTCTAGCAACTAGTAATCACCCATTTATTGTAACATTATATCATTCATTTCAATCAGAAGATTATCTTTACCTATGTATGGAGTATTGTATGGGAGGCGAATTTTTTAGGGCATTGCAAACAAGAAAGAGTAAATGTATCTGTGAGGATGATGCGAGATTTTATACCAGTGAGGTTACAGCAGCTCTGGAATATTTACACCTATTGGGTTTTATCTATAGAGATTTAAAACCTGAAAATATTTTATTGCATAGATCCGGTCATATTATGCTTTCTGACTTCGATCTTTCTATTCAAACGCAGGATGCCAAAAATTTTAAGATAAAATCGCCAATGATAACCTCTGGACATAACCAGTCGGCAATGATAGATACAAAGATTTTCTCAGACGGTTTTAGAACTAATTCTTTTGTTGGTACCGAAGAATATATTGCCCCTGAAGTGATTCGTGGTAATGGACATACAGCCGCAGTGGATTGGTGGACACTTGGTATATTAATATACGAAATGTTATTTGGAATGACGCCATTCAAGGGAGCAGACACCAATAAGACATTCTCTAACATTTTGAAAAATGATATAACATTCCCAAATAATAACGATATTTCCAGGCATTGTAAGGATTTGATAAAAAAACTATTATGTAAGAATGAATCAAAAAGATTGGGGTGTAAAATGGGTGCAGCTGATATTAAGAGACATCCATTTTTTAAGAAAGTCCAATGGTCATTTTTAAGGAACCAAGAACCACCACTAATACCAAAGTTAACTGAAAATGGATTTGATTTTGTTGCAACATCTGCAAAGAATAAGAAAATAAAAAATATGCCATCAAAGAAGTCACAAGATGGTACAAACACTGATAAACCAAATGATGAGTCTAAGATTGACTACAGCAAAATTGACATATCATTACTATCGCTAGAGGATCAAGAAAAGGTTATGTTTGATGAGCCTGTTGCTAACGATGACGAAGTACCGGAAGATGATCCATTCCATAATTTCAATTCGATGAGTTTGATGGAAAAGGATAACGATTCTATGATATATGGTGATAATAATTCGTATGGTAAGATTGCATATACGCCGAACTCTAACCGTTCTAGGAGTAACAGTCATCGGGCCTTTTTTAAGAAATAAGAGCGATGATTTTATTCTAGAGATGACAAGCTTTATAAATATACGTCCTACATATGTATATAAATACCCTAATGAACCCTTCTTTTATGTTAATAATAAACTCACTCTGATTCACTAGCTCAAAACTGAGTATATATCACAATATGTATGCTTTTCTTTGAATTTGTTTTTTCTTTAATTGTTCTATCACTTTAATCATACAGTCCTCGAAGAAATCAATAATAGGAAATGAAGGAAATAATTATTTAAGCCGGCACAGTATGAGTCGGGCTTAGTCAAAGGTGACAAGCGTGATGATATTTGTATCAATAGAAAACATCCTAGATTAATTTAAACTAAGATTAGATATATCAGCATTCAAGAAACCATATAAGGCAGTAACTTAGAGTGACACACACACACACATACATACATTTTCTCTCTCTCTCTCTCTCTCTCTCTCTCTCTGTGTCTCTCTCCCATATATCATTTATAGACGATGGCTCCCGGATTCTGGAAGAATCTAACAGGAAAAGGGACTACATCCAGGCGACCACTCAACACATCATTTCGTCAACAAAGACTTCGAGCATGGCAACCAACGTTATCCCCTCAGAATACCCTCCCTATGCTTGTCGTTCTTATAACGATATTTGTACCCATAGGGATCGGACTTCTTATTAGTGCGATCAACGTACAGGATATAACGATACGGTATGATACCTGTCAAAAAATAGCTAACCAGAATGCATTTTCTACTATTCCAAAACAATACGTTAGTACTCATTTTAAGACACAGTTGGGGTATCAACCTAAATGGATGCTCATAATTAGCAATGATGCCACCGATGAAGCTCCAATATGCAGGTTAAATTTCCAAATACCAAACATTTTAAATTCACCCATATATATATATTACAAATTGACAAATTTTTATCAGAACCATCGTGTATACATAGAATCTTATGATTTAGACCAGCTAAAAGGGTCTGCCGTTAATTTGAGTACTTTAGACAAGAACTGTAAACCTCTCAATAAAGATAATACTACGGGAAAAATAATCTATCCATGTGGACTGGTCGCAAACTCTTTATTCAATGATACATTTGAGTCCAGATTAAGAGGAACCAGTGGTACAGAAGATTTTATTCTAACGAATAATAATACTGCTGGATCAACTGATAAACGCAGATATAAGATGACGGAATATAGCGCTTCTGACATAGTCCCGCCGCCTAATTGGGCCAAACGATTCCCAGATGGTTACAACGAAACTAACATACCTAATTTACATACCTGGCAAGAATTTCAAGTATGGATGAGGAACGCAGCATTACCGACATTCTATAAGAAAATATTGCAAAATGAATCATCTGCATTGCCAAATGGAGATTATTCGATAGATATTACGTTAAACTATCCAGTGTATTCGTTTAATGGTACAAAGACATTTGTTCTAACAACTAATAGTGTAGTAGGAGCAAAAAATATATGGCTTGGGATTGTGTATTTAATAGTAGCAGGTATATGTGTCTTGTTTTCGCTGATTTTCTTGCTGAATATCATATTCCAGACAAAAAAATTAGAGGATCATCAATATCTGAATAATGTTCCTAGTGAATCGCTAATTGGCCTGCAAGAACCTAGAAGTTTTGGAGTCGACACTATTCATTCTACTTCAGGGATAAACAATGATCAGAAAAATATGAGATTCCCTGTCAGAGAAATCCTGTAAGGTATTTTAAATATCTTTATCGTGAGGCCATTTTTACCCTCCATACGTAATATTTTGCATTTCTGACAATTATTTATGAAAACGAGATATATAAAGCATATATTATATTTTCTCATTATTATTTACTCTATATCATGTGTATTAGGTCAATTTATAGGTTATATACGTCAATAGTTGTCTGTGAGGATTATCTTAGAGATAAGTTTGTATTATTATGTTCTTGTCTTTCTGCGTAATCTTTCAGTCATTAGCAATGATGATTGCGATGTAAGTTCTGGTCTAGTATTTTCTTGGTTCCCTGTATTACCAGAAGCTTGCGACCAGCTTGGTCTTCCTAAACGATTTATACGTCCCGATGAAGATCTTGATGGAATGTTGTTGTCAGTACTACTTACGGATGTTGTGCTGCTGTCTTTAGCATAGCTTTCGGGACTCTCGGAGTTATATATACCCTGGAATGCATCACTAGGTCTTGAACGTCTTTCATAGCTAACAGATTTTCGTTGAGGATCCTGGGTTTGTGAAACTGACTCCGTCACAGATGTTGCAGCTCTCCTCAATGAAGTAAAACCTGACGGATATTGTTCTTTTTTCACTTGCTTCTCGTGTACCCTTTGTTGTTTTTCTAAATGTTCTGTCTGCTTCTTTAAAATCTTTTGTTCGTTTGGTAAGTCTTCCTTATGACCTAACCATGAGGGGAATCCTGTGAATGGTTCCTGGTTCTTGTAGTGTTTTACAAGTGCTTTGTGCACTATGGTTGATGTTGGTGAGTCGCCGTCCAATTCAGGTTTCACTGACAGTTGAGAAAATGAAGATGATATAGATTTTGTAGAAGTTTTGAATTTATTCCAGAAATTTCCAGATTCTCCATGGACTGCCGTAGACATTTTTGATGAATATATTGTATGGAAACGTAAAGTAATTTTTCGAAGATTATTTGACTTTTAGCAATTTAATCTTGAAGTATAATAACATAAATAGAATAGAAGCCTACTGTATTGTTTTATATATGTTGCATTAAAAATGCACTTTAGGTTATGTTCGATCTTAGGTTTGTTTCGAAGTGTTAAGTATTTGATGTACCTTTAGAAGAGAAACTGTCAACGTCATAACATGACTAGTTTAATTATTCGTGTATTTTATTTTAGCATACAAGGTGTCTGGGTGTAGAGAAGTAGCTTTCAAAATATTTAATTAAACGACAAGTTATACAGTCTCAGTCCAAGGACAGATACAAACAAAGACAACAGTTGAGTTGAAAGTCCAATGGAAACGGCCCATTCATATATATATTAACAAATTGATCATTAGAAAGTGTGTATTATTCAAGTATACATATATGGCCATACGTGTACACCCAATAAGAGCGAACGTATATATATTCGGCATTTATAGAAATCATCAAGACCCATGAATGATGATATTATCTACATAGCTAGAACAATATCCTAAATATTATCCCAAGGAATCTTTGTGTGTGTATTTTCAAATTTTCGTTTCGTGAAATGAGACAAGGTAGGATATATCTTATATAACCTTAGATTAGAACAATCTAACCAACAGTCTTTTCAACCAAGAAAATGCCGTATTTCTCCTTCAATTCCTTCATGATTGGATCATTGATCTCTGGAGAGTATGGGGCAACCAGACCTGGACCCTTTATGGTACCATTTAGAACTAATCTAGTGGCAACAGAAACTGGGTAGCCGACGGTAGCAGCCATAGAACTGTAACCACCAACCTTACCGTAGTCAACCAAAGTAGATGTTCTGGTTTCAGTAGTACCGTCAGCATTTTCGATACCAAACTTATGTTGTAGAACAACCAAATCACGTTCACCTTCTTCGTATTGCATTAACTCTTCTAGACGAGCACATAGAGTATCAAGAGGGTTACCTCTTGGCGTAATATTTTCATCGGAGAAGAAACCTAACCATTGGTAACCACCTAGAATTCTTTCTCTGTCATCAGCATCCTTCCATTTGGTCAAAGAGTCGATCTTAGCAATTAAGTCGGTTTTAGATGAAGATGAAGCACCTAAGTATTGTTGTAGGGCATCCTTCCATGCAATTGGTTTGCTGAAAATGTCGTTAGCGTCATCCTTTAGGAAACCAATGTCAACCAAACTCTTAACGAATTCTGGGAAGCCTTGGAATCTTAAAGTACCTCTAATAACGGTTTCAGCTTCTGGGATGTGGTATAATTCCTTGAATAGAGTGGAGTCTCTGTTTGGATAACAAACAAAAGCGAAACCTGGGTAAATGAAGTATGGTTTAGCAGAAGCCATTAGATCTGCAGAGGCAATGTTAACAATCTTACCATCCTTCCAGTATTTAGCGGAGTTTCTCAAAGCCAAGAGAACACCTCTAGAGGACCAAGAGAACTTGTAACCCAAAGGATTGTCAGAATCTTCTGGAGCTGGCAAACCACCACAGTAGGACAAGAAGGATTTGATTTTACCACCTTCTCTGTGAACTTCATCAATCATCTTAACGGCATATAAGTGATCGATACCTGGATCTAGACCAATTTCGTTCATGACTGTAATACCAGCTTTCTTAATTGCTGGTTCTAGTTCTCTTAGAGCTGGAGAAATGTAAGAAGAAGTAACGACATCCTTCTTTAATCTGATAGCACTTCTAACGACGTTTGGATGGTAGATGTAAGGAATCAAAGAAATAACCAAATCATGGTTAGTCAAAGCAGCATCCAATTCATCATCCTTAGTAACATCTAAGGAAATAGCAGCTGAACCAGATGGTTTAGCTAATTTTTCAGCATTAGCTTGGGTTCTACAAGCAACAGTGACTTCAATACCGTCGGTAGCAGATAGGGTGTCGATGACTGGTTGGGCAACGAACCCAGAACCTAACAATAGAACTCTCTTAGTCATGTTGAATGTTGTTATTTTTATTATTACTATTATTTATTTTTTAGTTGTAATACCTCAAATAATAAAAATTAGTTACTTCTGTATAACTGAATAGTAAATTAATTAAGAATTAAGAGTAACATGAAGTATAAAATTAAAAGAAAGTATATTGGTATTACATCCTTATATATATAAATTCTTTAATTAAATGTCAAAGAAAGAATTGAAATTTTTCACCTTTAAATTTACTCAATTAATCAAATGATAGATACCAAGATGCATGCAGTGGTTATAATGGGTCATAATATTACTCAGGTAATTCTGAAATATTCAAACGTGGGTCATAGAAAGCTGATTTCCATATATTATACCAAGCGATTATGTGAGTCCTTCCTTACTACCACTTGCTGTCCGTAATCACTTGAAAATATAAGAACTACGTCTATAGAAGCATATATCCCATGGGAATTCCCCTGTTAATTCCAAATAATATATATATGCTGTTTTTTGTTTGGTGCCATAGAGAGATGACTTAGGCGAAGTTTTTCAATAATAACGGAAAAAAAGAAGAGAATTCCGTTATTATAAATTTTTACCAGCGGAATTGTAGTTCATAGAGGAAAATGGTAAAATTCCACCGTGATTATGTGTACTTGCCGTATAAACTGCTCTTTTCTCTTCTTCAGTTTTGCTCTTACCATGATAACTTTTAGTCATATTAGATATTGCTCCAATAGCTTAAAAGGATATACATTCTATATATATTTTACGATATGTCAAGATCAATAAGTGATATTGAATCATCCTTCAACGCTGTCGCAATTTGAATTTGAATGAGAACAATTGCCACATAATTACTAGAATTGTTGATATTACAGTATTTATGTCTTTGATTGGGTAGTAGTGGTATTGTTGAACAAATCTATTGCTCAAAACTTTTGGTAAGATGATTTGTTGCTTCAATTACAAAGCGATCGCCTCGCAATATCGAATAATGCTTGCAAAATCTGTAACAAGCCCTAACAAAGAAGGAGGCCTAAAATATCGTAATGTACGGCACTGCCAATTTTTCTTAATATTTTTCAATTGTCTGGTAAAAAAAAAAAGAAGAGGACACCAACGCATATAAAATAAAGCTTGTAGCGTATAATATTTTATTTTGTATAAATATAAAGAACAAATGAACGTAATTAGATACATTCCTTCAAGGGTTCTTTTTTGGTTTTTTAAATTTTATTTTTGCTTTTTAATTAGACCTTTCAAATCTGTAAGGGACTTTATCTCCATCTCTATGACGCCATCAAGGTAGTTGTGGTAAACGAATCCCTTATAGTTAAATACATGTTACTATGCAACATTGGAATCCTTCGGGAGGAAGGTATTGTGTAGGAACAGAGTGGGTTGAAACGACATTTCCTTGTGAAAGGTCAATTTGTTTTCATTCCATTTTGAAAGCATGTGAAATCTCTTTTTTTTTATTTACCATGATTTTTTGTAGTTGGATAAAGCCTAAAAGCGTTGCAAAAGTGTTTAATTTTTAATGTGTTTTTTTTCTTATTTTTATTATTTATTATTTTATATATTTATACGGATACATGGTCATTAAATCCTTGGAATTCATTAAGGAATGTTTTGCAAAATTCATTAGAAATTTCTGGAGTTTACTATTAAAACTTTGCTTGACGATCAAAGTTTGCTTTTATACAGATTTCTTGTTAGAATTAAATCGTTTGTGATTTCTGGTATCATTGGTGTATTCAGATGGTAATGATGAAGATGCAGTTGTTGAAGTAGACGACGATGACGACGACGTTATAGGACCAGCAGGTTGACCTTTTCTATATGTTTTTCTTTCTAATGTAAACTCTGTACCTTCTACCATTATTTTCTTAGTATCAATAGCTTCCTTTTGACTGGATTCTAATTGGAAATCAATGACAATGAAATTATCACCAGTAGTCATTTTCATAACAGGACCAAAATCCTTAATTAATTTGTTTCTAATTAATTCCGGTTTTATACTTTGAGTGTCGTTAATATATACTGGATAATAACCATCTCTGTTGACATTGTTATTGGGCCTCCTTTTACCGTTATTTTTGGAATTGTTATCCTTACGGTCGCCATCTCTGTTACGGTTATTTTTCTTGTTACGGTTAGAATCAGTGCGTGGCATTGAAGGTTCCTCACGAGCTACAATAATTTTTCTACTTTCTTTTGGAACTGCATCATGTAGCGAAACCTTCGAAGCCCATGACATTTTCTTTGGTACGACAGGTAAAGTAGTAGTAGGCTCAGTTTGTTCAGTAGTCTCCTTAATTGTAGTAACAACAGTATCTGTCAAGTTCCTCACTTCGGTAGGTATTTGTTTGTCCTTGGATTCTACGGTGGTCTTTGAATTAGACTGAGACACATCATTTGGTATTTCTACGTTCTCAGATTTATTATTAGAAGTACCGACAGTTGGAGCAACTTCATTATTAGGAATGTTCTTTTCAGGATGTTTTTCTTTCGTTTTCTCATTGTGTTCGCTTTTGCTTTCTTTCTTATCCTTAGATTTTTCCTTTGAATCGATCTTACTTTCAGGCTCTTTCTTCTCATTAGAATTGTCCTTCTTGTTTTCCTTCTTTCCATCCTTCTTGCTATCCTTCTTTTCCACTGAAAGTTCTTTTATGTGGTCCTTTTTTTCAACCGGTAAATCTTTCTTCGAATCCTTCTTTTCGTTCGAATCTTCCTTCTTGATCTCTTTTTTATCCTGTGAATCGACTGATTTGATTTCTTGTTTTGATTTTGGTACATCTGAGGTCTCTATCACCTTATCAACAGGAGTTGCTTCTTTTTCGTATATAATTTCTTCCTTTGTTTCAATTGGTGTTGTATTTTCTGTTATTTTATCCTCGACTTTAGAAGAAGAATCTTTCTTGTGTTTTGAGGCTTTCTTAGTCTCTTTTGCTGGTTCTTCAGCAGTTTTCTTACTCGTTGTTTCGTTTTTAACAGGAATAGATTTTTCGATCTCTTGTTCGTTGGCTTGAGAGTTAGATGCTAGATTTTCAGATTGACTGTCTTGTGGTAAAAACCTTATTATGTCATTTGTTATGTCATAAACCTCGCTATTTTTAGCAAGTGGTGTTAATACAAACATTTGACAAAATTTATAAATCGGAGATTGACTCCAAAATAATTCACCGGTAACTATTATTATAATCCCTTTATGAGCAATTCCTGTACTTTGAAAATCGCAGGAATCTAATTTCAATTTCAAATCACAAATTTTTTCCTCATTTCTACCAAAGAATCTGCTAATATTATCCTTACCGGTTAATTTCACAGTAGTTAAAGTATTAGAGGAAGTTGAAGGGATCTTATCAAAATCAACTTGTTGATAATTGATGTGCGTTAATTCTGCAGTGGTACTATAAAAACTTGATAATTTACCAGGATTGGTTTTCATCCTTTCATAGTAAGTTTGCAAAAATGCATATGCAATATCTTGGACACTGGAACCCATGGTTAAAATTGGATGTTTCTTTTTGTTTTGAGTACCTCTTGAAGTTGTTAAAAAGTGATGGTAAAGAAAAGTTTATGACGTTATATCTTAGAGATTCTTAGATAGTAATGCTTATTTTGGAACTATCTTGTTCAAAAAAGAATTCTGTCTATGTAAGGGAACGATAATATTTCTAAAATAATATAAGGTATATTAATCTTTTGAATGTTAATGTTAATTCTTCAATCTTTTTCTTTCTTTGATTTGAAAAAGATATATATATATAAACGAAGGACAATTCAAATGTTTAATAATGTGAAAAGTAATATGATCGTGAATAAATATGACTGTACGTGAATGATATTAAAATGGGCAAAATTAAAATAATTACGAAATAATGAAAATAAAAGTTGCTCAACGTTACAGTTAATTCGGCTACTGGTATCTTGATGAATAAATGTATATTATAGTTTGATTGCAACTAAAATAAACTCGAAAAATATGGGAATGATTTTAGGAAAAGTTATAATACAATGAAAGAAAGAAAAATGTAGTTTTGATATATGGATTGATGCAATTGCCAAAATAAAGTCAATAAAAATTAAATTTTCTTGTTAAAATTGAAAAGAAAAGAAAAGAAATAAGAATGGACGAAGATGCTAATAGAATGATTTGTTATTTACAAATGAATATTCTGTGGGGTTGGAAAGGTTATTCGAACTTCGTATTATATACTTTTTAAAAAAGCACGAAGTATGTTTCCAGTGAATGTGTTTTCTGATCTCAGTCTACTAGTGAAAGCAGGAGACGGTATGTATTTTTTTTAAAAAAAATGTTCAATTCGTTGCCAAAGAGTTGCAGCTGAATAATAATGGTACACCAAGGTTGGTGGTTCACAAACGTGTTAGTAATACTGTTGTATATTTATCTATCTAAATTGATACTCAAGAATAAATACTACGAAAATTGAGGCAAGTATATATATATATATCTTTTAAAAAGGTTGCTCCCAGTTAAACCTCCTCCAACGGCCAAAATCCTTTGAGGTGGCAATTTTTTCCTCTCTTCCTCTTTTCTAAAATGTTTTGACGGTCGACTTCGTTCGTTGTGAATTGCGAAAGTAACGTCAAAAACTTCTTTTTTTCAGAAAATTTTGCGCCCAATTTGGATGCGGCACGTGATATGGGAGCCTTTTTACCTTTGATTATTTCGACAAAGAGTCAATATATCAAACAAGATAGATGCTCGACTATTATATTAGTTTAAGTATGACTACCACGAATTACATATTTATATTTAAGTATACGTAGGTATGTAGTTTTGTCTGTGTGTATGAGCGAGTCTATCTGTGGTATGACACCATGTAGTTACGCCAGTCCATGAGAGAGGAAGAAAATCTAATCATTGGCTTTACTTTGCTTGTTGCAATTGATCTTCATTTATTCCATAGATTACATTTTTATATTGGGCAAAATCGGTTCCATCAGGTAATTTGTGCATTGAGAGTTTACTCAAGTAACAGAATGAAAGAAGCATTAATAAAGCTTGACCACCGGTAGTAGTAAATATTGGAAAACGAGGAATCCCAATTTCATCACCAACCGTTGTTAATGAATATTTTGGCGGTTGGCCTTGTGATTGTGCATGTTGAGGGTTCTTGAAATCACGAATCATCTTATATATTAGATTCAAATCGAATAGGTTTGGCATAAATTTATGAACCCACCATTCAAAATCAGCTCTAGTGGATGGCATCATATCATTCGTTAAAATATGTACTAAGAAACCTAAATCATAAGCTGCATGGAATGTAATCCATGCGGTGTTTGTATCTAAGATCAGACCAGAATCCATCATCAGTTGTGCAAATTCGAATTTATCGATACCTGTTGTACGATGGTTTTCAAAGTTAATCCCAGAATTTCTTAATAACTCTAAAGATTCAGCGGATATCATTTCTTTATTTGTATCAAAGTCAAAATTGAACTGCCATGTCGAAGGTTCATTATCTGGTTTATTACCGTTTGCGTCACTTAATGAAATTCCGAGTTGAACAGGGTTTAAAATATCAACGTTAGATCTCATGGTTTGGTAATGATAATCTTCCTTTGATGAAAAATTACCAATTGGTCTCGCTAAAGTGCCGATGAATTCAGTACTCACAGATACGTAATTATATTGAGTAGCTAACCTTCTTATGGCAACAAATTCGCTATGGAGGTTCGTCTTCCATACTTCGCGAACAAACAAATGCATTAAAGGTGGTAAGATCATTGGTGGCATCATGTTCGAATTACTTACTGTATTAGCACCAGGAGGTGCATTCATATTAGGAGCTAATGGCATATTGACAGGTCTATTTACACTAACGTTGACACCAGGCTGTTGCATAACGTTCAGTCCGGGAGGAAGATTGTTAGGTATGGGACCTGGCACACCCAAATTGGTATTATTATTAAATGGTTGAGATTGTTGTTGTTGTTGTTGTTGCACTGGTGCCTTCATTCCTTGGAAGTCCTGTTGTTGTGGAAGTAATGGGCCTCCTTTTTGATTCATTAGATATGCATTTCCTTGTTCCTGTGGTTGATTAAAACCATGCAATGTTGGTAAATTACCAGGTTGTTGTTGTAATTGTTGCGGTTGATTCATTAATCCATTAGTATTCATTTGTGAACCAAATCCATTATTTGGAATTCCTATCGCTATGTTTCCATTCGTATTATTATTCTGTTTTTCATTACCTTGATTAAAGAATTGATGATCACGCATATTCATGCCCTGATGTTGTATCGCCTGCATTTTGAAGTTTTATTTTCTTATCTTGATATGTCTTGCTCTTAATTTTTCGTATCCTTGATATTTTGTCTAGTAAACAATGTAGTTTTGAAAATTCGGTATTATATGTATAACTTTTATCAAGCAATAAGTATATATATTGATATCTTGCAAGCTCTGTCTTCAATTTAATAAAAATTGTGTATCCTTTGTCGTTGTCCATCATTTACACAGTGTATAATAGTATCTTATAGAAGACACCAAAACGGCCTTCGCCATTCGTTTTTCCTTTCCATTTTCGAAATTTGAATGAATTTTTTAGGTAGTAATTATCGTGTTATACGAAAGGTATAGCAGTATTACACCATCCAGAATTTGGACATTAATCTCTTTGCAAATTTTTATTATCCCTTTAAATTGAATTTTTATAAGTAATGAGTAATGTACAGTGTGGATTTATATACTTATATATTTATATAATATATGTGATGAAGATCTAATATTATTAATAAAAATGGATTGGGAAAGAATTTTTAGAGAAAACAACGATAATTATGCAAAAAAAAGAGTTATTCAATGGTCTGTCTCTAAGCACTTTTCACTTTTTTGGATTCTTGTTCTTGTTCTTGTTCTTTTACTTCTTCTTCAACATCATCAGCCTTTCTCTTCTTATCTGTTATTTCTTTTTCTTCAGATGGTGGGATCTTTTCTGGCGGACTAACAAACCATGGGATTTTACCTCTGTTAAAATCATTTAAGATTTGTTTAGAAACACTAGACTCATCAGGTTCCCCACCTTTCAATAATCTACCACCTTTGTGTGCTAAAATTTTTATGAATTCAGTAGCATTATTCCAACCAGAAATTTCATAAGTTCTTTCTAAATGCTTTCTTTGACAACGTTTTAAGACACCTGGTATATATTGTTCAGGATTGGAGACATGCTCAACTCTAACAACACCTCTGAATAAAATATCTTCCTCTGTATCCTTACCTGAAGGAGGAACAATACCTGGACAGTCAATCAAAAAAATTCTCTTCATCAACGTAATGTATTGCCAGACTTTGGTTTCACCTGGGATAGGAGCCACTTGACACACCTTCTTCTTTCTCAGAGTGTTGATAATTGATGATTTACCAGTGTTTGGATAACCAATGAAACCAACTGAAATTTGTTTTCTATCGCTGTGTAATTGAGAGAATTGACGTAATAGTTGGATCAGAGAACCCTTACCAAATGAGTTAGTAATAGAGGCATGGAAAGCCAAAGTAGGACGTTCCTTCGATAAATGTTTAACCCAAGCAGCAGCAACCCAAGTTGGGACCAGGTCACACTTATTTAAAACGTATATTAAGTGTTTGTGAGGAGTTTCTTTCTTCATATATTCCTCAACAGATTTACAACGGGTACCTAAAGGATCTCTAGCATCTAAAACCTGGATAACCACATCAGATGAATCAATAACTTTGTAAAGTTCGTTCCAAATACGTTTTGATTGACCTTTGCTAAAGATATGTTCCTTGGTAGTTTGAGTCCATCCATCTTCGTCAGTTTCACCACCCATTAGACCTAAGGTTGTATTAAGTTCTTGTTTTTCTTCAAACACTTTGCTATCATTAGAAGCATCGCTAACCAAGTCTTCTAATGATGAAGCAGCGATACGTGGCTTCTTTCTTTGAGATTTTGGACCAAACGTATGGTTATAAGATTCGGTTTCCAAAATGTTAGCTCTAGGGGATTCTGTAGTGTCTTTTTCTTCTAGTAATGACATTGGCAACTTGTTTCTTCTTAATAGAACTTGGTAGGTATCCTTTTGGGTTTCACCCATGGCACCTCTAAAGTGTTCCAATGCATCCTGGGATATAACTCTTGTGTTACCAAACCAACGACGATCCGGTTGAACTCTAGCAGTAGGAATAGTAGCATCTTGTAGGGGAGCAGCTCTAATCAAGTCACCATTCTTATTCTTAACAGCACCACCTTTGGTATACATATTTAAGAACTGAACTCTCTTACCATCTCTGTAAAAATTTTCACCTTTCACTTTTAGGTTACCGTCTTTTATCTTTCCCTCACGGGTTCTTCTGGATTTTTCCTTTTTAAAGTTCCCCATGTTTAAGTATACTATCGATATATGGATATTCAGGTTCAGTATCTTGGTCTCGGAATCTGTTGAACCCCTTTTGCCATAACTTCATTTAATATATATAAAATGTCATTACTAAATATTTCCCTCTAGAATTCCTATTCTAGCGATGCCCATCGATCGGAAAGAGAAAAATTTTCGTTTTGGCAGTAGATCCAAAAACATAAGAAAAATTTTCGTGATCACGTGCAAAATATATTTTTGGTCTGGATAAGATCAAAACAGACTCGATACTTTTATATTTGGAAAGATTGTTAAGGGTATAATAGTAATAATATATATGTATATGTATCAAGTATATGCTAGTGGTCATGTAGGTCTTCATAATAAATTGGACAGAACGCTATTTAAATTAATCGATTTTTTGTTGCTGTTATTCTTAATAGCCTTTGGAGCATCGGCTCTGTTGGTTGCAACCTTATGCTGTTTGAAATTTCTTCTATTTTCACCTTCCTCTGTCTCTTTATCTGTGGAGTTTCTCTTTCTGCTGTTCTTTATGTTGGCGATCATTTTACTTTGTTCTACGTTCTTGATGAAATCAGCATTTAATTTATTAGCTTGCGATATTTCAATCTCCAATTTGGCTTGTCTAACATCATTCTCTCTAGCAATTTGTTCAGTCAAGTCAGCCCATTTAAATCCAGGTAGGTATTTTACATTTAATATATCGTCGTGATAGAACGTACCTTTTTTCCCACCAATAATATTACCGTTCAAAGTAATTGCACATAATTTTGCATCTCTCTTCCTAACAAATTCTGCCCAACCTTCCTCGTACATTGTTTTTTTATTACCACCACCTTTAACTCTTCTTTTATGCTTGTCGTCAGTTTCTCTCTTTAAAAACAATCTGTCTACTTCACCAAATCGCGAGAGGATATGTCTCATCCTCGCAGGTTTCATATATGGAGGAATACTCGACAGGTATATGACACCAGTCTTATGTTTTGAATTCTTACGCATATGTTGCACTAGGGCTAATCTCTTTTTTAGATTGGCCGTCTTCTCCTCCTTAGTCATCATATCATTATCCTCCTTTGTAGCACCTAGATTTTTTTCGTTGTCATCGTTTTGTGGCCTTACACCTTTCATGTCTTCCTTTTCATTTTTGGTGGCATTGTTAGAATCCTTAGTAATATCTTCTTCACCATCATTCTCTTCGCTGTGTTCCTCATCCTGATCAAATGCATCGTTAACTGTAGATATTTTCTTCTTGGACGTTATTAGAAGTGGGTTATTGCTTTCCTCGTCAGAGGAGAAATCGTCAATATCAGAATTAATGCTACTCATAGTGCAATTTTTACAAACTGTATGTCGGATGATATTATGGTTTTTATATCTTGAGCATATGCTATGGTAGAATGTTTCTATTTTCCGTTGTTTTAGTTATATAACTTATAAAAGATTTGTTAAATGTAAAAAACCTCATCGCATCGCTAAAAGAAAAAAAATTTTCAATATTTGGAAGCATTCAGCGACAGCAAACAATTAAATTATAGTGGAAGGTATACACAACAAACGATACACGCACAGAATCATATAGCATAAAAGTAATACTTTTCTATAGAGAGAGGTACTTATATATTGTTGAATAAAGAAAGAATAAGAAAACGATTTAGAAAAATATGGTACAACTAGATTATGCTAATTAATAGAGAAATGAACAGCAAAATTTTCTTTGGAAGCTCAAAATTAAAGTGGCTTCCTGAATTTTCTTTCATTACTATATCTCGACCTTGTGTGATAGTTGCAAGGCTAGTAATGGAATAATTGTTAGTCTGAGTTTTAGTGTCAGTAGTCAGGGAAGCACTGTTTGTTTCCTTAGTTGTAGAGCCTAACTTACTCTCTTCGTTATCAATTATTGTTGTCAAGTTTATATCATGTGATATATGTCGCGTGTCACTGGTTGTAGTTGATTTTTTATCTCTCATTGTGGTGGTTGCTTCATTAGTATTATCACTTGTTTCAGTATTATCACTTGTTTCAGTATTATACGGGGAGGAAATGCTCGATATTGTAGAAATGTTTAACTTAGTTTTACTTATAATATCTTTGGAATCACGAGCATTAATCAAAACTTCTGTTGGTAAACTATTCCAAGTGTCCGTTTCCGATGAATATTTCGAAACGTCTGTTATACTTGTTTTAGATGATACAGATTGAGCATTCGTACCTCCTAAATTTTCTGAACTCATTAAACTGGTGACTGCGTTGTTGTTATCAGACCTGTGATTGATTGATTGCGAGAGTAGGGTATTATCTTCATTGTTTGTAAAAGAAAATGAGGTCTCCATCGATGAGTAAGGAGATGTGGTTAATATACCGTCTGTTAAGGTTTTTTTTGCTATGGGACTACTTCCTAAGCTAGTTAAAGATAGTTTTAGAGATTCTGTGGTTACCGTACTACTCTTACTTCTTTGATTTGCGTGTAGGTTTTCTCTAGAGGTCTTTTCAGGAGAAAAAGTCTGAAAATCTGTAGGATTCAAGAGACTCATTGAACTTCCTGGAGTTAGGGAACAGTCTAAACTAGTGACTGTTGAAAATATAGTTACAGTTTTAACGTCTTCAATGGATTGAGTGGGATCCTTTGTTACTTCTATAGTAACAGTTAGCGCATTTGTATTAGAAACAGTGGTTGTGAATAAGGATATGTTTTCTTCTTTTATAGTGGTTGGGACAAAAATTGTAACCTGTTCTGTAGATGTAAATATAGCAGTTACGTTATTAATACTTGTTTCCATATTTCCATTAATAATAGTATCTATTTCCGTGATAGTGGTTACTTGTGTAGTTCTAAATGTACTGAAAGCAGTTGATATTATTGGTAAGACTTCTGTGATCGTAGTGTTTTGAATAATTGTTGAGGGTACTATGTCTAACGACGTGTTATTAATGGTTACAGTTTCATTTATTTTATTTGTGACAAGAGATGTATATGTCACAGTTATAGTGTTATCTATAGTTTTAACCACGGATTCGGTGTCATATTTTGTTACCGTATAGTCCAATGTTACTAACTTGGTATCAAATACAGTTTGATTTTGGGTCACAGTAAAGTATTCTGAGTTTGTTTCTTTATCAGTTACTGTAACAACATTGGTTACGTTGTTATTTTCTGTTATAGTACTTATATCAGTAAGAGTGTTGTTCTTAGTAACAGTTTCAAACTCAGTTATTCTTTTTTCGTTTGTTATAGTATATGTTAGAGTCATGGTCTCACTCTCAACCAACGTAGACACCTCTGTAACAGTGTCTGTTTGTTTAGTGGTCAAGGTATCTGTAACGGTGGTTGTTTCACTTTTGGGAATGGTATTTGTTAAAGTCACAGTATCAATGCTACTGATGGTTTCGAATAGTGTTGTACTTATATTTTGTACAAGAGTTACTATATTTGTTTCTGTTACGTATTGTGTAACAAAGCTAACGGTTGAGATGGTTTTGTTTTCTGTTGTAGTTTCTGTTTCTGTTGTCGTTTCTGTTGTAGCATCTGTTATAGTTTTTGTTGTTGTTTCTTGTTCTGTTTCCGTTTCTGTTGTAGCATCTGTTGTAGTTTCTGTTGTAGTTTCTGTTGTAGCATCTGTTTTAGTTTCTTGTTCTGTTTCTGTTTCTGTTGTAGTTTCTGTTGTAGTTTCTGTTGTAGCATCTGTTATAGTTTTTGTTGTAATTTCTTGTTCTGTTTCTGTTTCTGTTGTGGTTTCTGTTGTAGTTTCTGTTGTAGCATCTGTTATAGTTTTTGTTGTAATTTCTTGTTCTGTTTCTGTTTCTGTTGTAGCATCTGTTATAGTTTCTGTTGTAATTTCTTTTTCTTTTTCTGTTTTTGTTTCTGTTTCTGTTGTAGTTTCTAATGTAGTTACTTTTTCTGTTTCAGTAGATGTAGATGTAGAAGTTTGAATTAAAGTAGCAGTTTCCGTAAAAGTTTCATTGTGAGTTAGAACGCTAACTTCAGTTAATGTTCTAAATTCAACAAATGTAAAACTTTCTTTCAGTGTTGTTTCTTCAGTTATAGTGGTATACTCTGTAATTGGTACACTTTCCGTCACGGTATCATAATTGATTATAGTATGACTACTTATCACAGTTGTTAGTTCTTGTACAGTTGTTAGTTCTGGAACAGTTGTGACTTGGGTCGTAGTAATAAATTCAGTAATTTTATCAGTACTCAGGGAAATAGAAGTTGCCGTCAAGGTTTTTGTTACTTCGGTTGATTGCAGAACGGTTGTCGTTATTGTCAATGGAACTCTGAGAAAATGGAACTTTAGATCACCAACATTATCCTCTGACTGAGACAGAATGGCTCCTGGTGGTGAGTAACGACATAAAATCACTGGGTCTGAACCACATGTTAACATAGCACAACCTACTGATGATGAGTCCTTCCACACCAATTGTGAGAATTGTCTATTTAGGGGTCTAACATTTTGGGTATCGTAATTATAATATGAAATACCTGAATACCAGCTATCTACAACATCATCCAAAGATTGGCCCCTACTGAAAGTAAAACCATATTCATTGTTATGGTAAATATTTTTTGACTCATCGTTACAATTATAGTTTGAAAGTTCAGAAGCTGCCGCACTTGCGGCAGCTTTGTTCCACGTCAATGAATTAGTATCCACATGGTAAGATCTCTTCAGATTGATATATGATAAAAGTTTGTCCCTATCAACACCACTTAATGGTGAGACATTTATTGCCCTGGAATAATTGATCAAGAAAATCCAAAATAAAATAGTTATAGCAATTTTCATGATTATTTAGTTCTTGTTAGAATGGAACTTGTCGTGGGCAACTTAAGTAAATTTATAAAATATAGTGGAAAATGTTTCGAATTTCAAGAAGTACAACATTGTGAAAGACCTCTATATATACTCTTCGAGAAATGTTCTAAGAGTTGTCCAGGACCAATATTTTTCTACAATGTCTAACAGTCGAGAATAATGATTCCTTTAATGAAAATCATTTTCTATATGACATGCATATCAAAATCCCTACGTATTCAGAAAATAAAACTTGTTCGATCATTAATTCGTCAAGGGAATTAAAAAATTCCAAAATAGTGCACCCTTAAGAGCTGTGAACTAAGAAGCTTCTATGTGCATCTCTGTTTAAATTTTATCTCTCTCTGAAAACAGTCTTTGGAATGAGATTTAAATAGTGTCTTAGATGAAGTTCTTGAGGCTATTAAGCGTACCAATTACATTATACTAAGGTTTCAAAATTATCACGCAATATAATTCATATGGATTGTTTTGATCATTGACCTCAAAAATATATGTTGTCAAATTCAGTAAGAAAGGTAAGGCGGCAACAGATACCCTGCATGCTGATTCTATGTCGATTATGGTTCATTGCTCAAGATTAACTGAAAAAAATATCCTGATAATTACCATAAAATGTTGTTTGTCTTTCTTTTGTATTTCTATTGTTTTTCTCTCCTCCATCTACCTATTATTTTCCAAATTTTTTCGATCAGCTAATCTTCTTTTTATTTTTTTCTTTCTGGAATTGGTGACAAAGTAAGCTATCGGATGAGGCTGAAAATGATAGGTAATAATGACAGAAAATAATATATTACAACAAGGAACATACTAATTTGAGTGACGTAACCAAACGAGGGACGTTCATCCTATAAGATGTTGTAACTTGTAGGGTTATACAAAGAATAATTTCTTACTTAGTGTTCTGGACGGTTTATTATTAACGACGACATGCTAATCAAGATGATGTTATGCTAACTTTGAACAATGTACAAAATTGTTATATATCGAAATTGTAATAACCCTATAACTTTTTAGTTCTTAGATGCTTCAAATTCTTTAGAAAATCATTGAAAATTAATAATTCTTCAGATTTATCATTATCTTTCAGCTAATTCGTTACTCGCATAAGGTCAAATAATATTAAAATGGTAGCGTTTTTTTTAATAATGGAAGGACAAAAAGTTCAGGGAAAATATTGATGTTGTTATTTTTTCATTGTTTTGTTTTCAGATGTTTTCAGATAAATAAAAATATAGCATTGTTCATGATACCACTTTTTGGTGTAATATGTACGAAATATAACTAATATACAATAGAGCATTTTTTTCTGGATACCATTGTTCATTATTGAACTATCTCTTATTCATTTTTTCTACGTCTTCGAGGATTGGAGAGAGATGGATGGGGTAAGTTGTTTACTTTACATTATTAAATATTTTAACATCTTTATTTATCTTTTCCAATTATGGTTAAGTATTTTATTATCCATTGTTATTCATCTAGCCAAGGGTCTTGTTCTTAATAATAAAAAACGTTGTATTACTCAAAATTGAAACAAGTCAACCTCCTTCAATTCCATAAACAAAATACCTTAATTCTTACACTAGTAACCTCATTTATGCGATTTGAATAATAACCTTATGATGTCATAAATAAGGTATAAATACAGAAAATATTTAAGTAATGTAAGTAGTTATAGAGCTTATATTAACCTTTATAGATATGGAATTTTTCGAATTATGGCGTTAATAAGTTATAAATCTTCAATGGAAGAAGAGGCTATCTATCATACTCTAATCGTATATAGGTTTAACATTATCAATATTATCAATACGTTCTTTAATAATTTTTGAGGTGATTTCAAAACAGTTTGATTTTCTAGAGTCAGCGTTGTAACCAATAATTGCTGGTAAAACTTTGAACCCGGCGTAAGAAAAAGTTCCATGTTGAATTGGGAAGAACACCTCGTCTATTTCACCTAATTTACCCTTTGTGTAGTAGTCCTCTGTAACACCAACAGTAGAAATAATGAAAGCTTTTCTTCCTGCTAATGGAGCGTTTTTGAATTCTTTCCCACCAGCATATGCGAAATTTTGAGTTAAAACTCTATCTATCCACCCCTTCATTAGTGCTGGCATAGAGTACCACCACATTGGGAATTGGAAAATAATTAAATCTGCCCATTCTAATTTAGCTTGTGCTTCTTTTATATCTTCACTTAACATACCAGCCGAGAATGCAGAACCAGAGTCTCTCATTGCGTATAATCTAGTCCCCCTGTCATGATTTAAGAAGTCATCTTGATCGATACCAGCCTTCCAATGCTCGGCGTATAAATCTACTACCTTGACCTCGTGGTTTTTTTCCTTTAAGTAATTGGTTGTAACCTCCAACAAGGAATGGTTCAGGGATTGTTTTTCTGGATGAGCAAAGACAATTAAAACTTTCATTATGTTTTTATTTTTCAGATATGTTTATTGTGGTGTTGTTAAATTAAGTATTTTGTTTTTGGCAACTACGGTACATGTCAATATCAAAGTTATTGTCAATTTTCAGCTCTTTAAATACTTTTATGTAAACAGATTGATTATTTATTTTGGTATGCCTCCCTCGAGACTGCAGATCTACACGATTACGTAACAGAAAGTTGCGGAGTTAACAATAAAATAATTCGGCCGAATCCGCCGGTTGCTTACTTTGGGGCGCAAGCTTACGTAAGATGTAATGATATAAAGTGAGGGATGAGGTTGACAGTTGTGTTCATATACATGTTTATAAACATATTAGAACTCTTGTGTGCTTACATAATTATGAACTAAGAACGTTCAATGACATCTTAATTAGTGTACATCGGTCTGGTATTATTGTATTTTTAGTTATTTAGAAGTCTATGTATAGAAAGCTGTTCTTCTTGTTAAGAACAAGTTGAACTGTTGGATTTTTATTTAGAAAAGGAAATAGAGACCACGAACTGAAACTGATATATTTATTCAAAGAAATATTTTACCGAAACAATACCTCATCTTTTATTAATAAGCAGTAATAAAAGACTATGTATCTTTTAAAGAAAATGGGAAAAGGAATTCATAATACTAATAGAGAATAAGAAATTGAAGGAAAATGTTACCCAAAAGGAGTTGCATTTCTAAATCAATTAGATTTCACATGGAGCGTTGTAGTCGTGAGTCTTGTAATCCCAGTAGAAAGATAACTCAGTGATATTAGAAACTTTAGAAACACCGCATTGAGAGTAGAAATCAACGTCTTTAAATCTGTCTTCAACAAACTTATTGTAATCAGGTAGAGAACATGAGAAACCTGGACCACTGCTACAGTTAGTCAATGGCTTGACGACATCGTTGACGATAAATCTGACATAAGAAGAAGAAGTACCATTGGAAGATTTACAGTTGTATTTTTGAGTTTGTATTCTAGCACCTTGTGGAACAATCCAAGATCTATGGAAATCTGTAATCCAGTCAATGGATTCAGGGTATAGTGCAGGACTGTCAGTAAAAATACCTAGAGCAGCAGCATAGTTTAATATATTGGTGTCGTGAGTGAAACTTAAGAATACTTGTTGGTCTAGTTTGTCTTCTGGAGTGTTTAATAGAGTTAAAGTAGCGTTGACTGGAACGGAACCAACAGCATTAGCTAATGGGTTGCCAATAAATTCATCGTAGTAAGTCAATAAATCACCGTAATAACCGTACTTGATCAATTCATCAATTGTAAATACGTCACATATTTCACTGTAGCCACGGACATTGATTTCAAAACCGCACCAGTTGAACATGTTTAGGGCATCAGTCTTTGTCAGGTTTAGACCAGGATTTTCAGTGTTTAATCTCTTAGAAATATCAGTAAGGAAAGTTTGGTCGTATTTGGCCATGATGGCCTTACTGGCAGATTCGTTCCAGTTTGGACAACCGTTGATTGGTGTCAAAGTATTTGCACCTTGAGATGGATCTTCAGTGATAGTTTGCAAGTTAACCTTGAACTTATCACCTAGAGCTTCAATGAAGTATTCGGCAGTATCGTGAACCCTTAGGGAGTTGGAAGTCCAAGCAGTAAAGTTTTGATGTTTGTAAAGAATTTCAGAGTAACGTTCTAAGAATTCTAGACCTTCAGTAGTACCAGTGATACTACCTAGTAATGGGTTGTATGGATTTGCGACATTAGCAGGAGTTGTCAATAGACCATAGTTACTGGAGTTTGCGAATGGGTATTGGTATTCTTCGTTCAAGAAAGCTAGGGATCCATTAAAACTACTAGTGTAGTTACCAAACTTGTACCAGATAGCATTGATACCATTAGCAGTGGAACCAGAAGTTGGATATCTTTCACCATGTCTAGCATATAAATGGACTTGAACCAACTCACAAGTTTCTGGAATATCTAGGGGAATGCTGTTGTTGACAGGATATGAGAAGTGAGGAGCGTTACCATACAAGTATTGGTAGATATCTTTTTGAGAACCGATCTTAGAGAAGTCGTTTTCAAGGAAAGCAGAGTCGATGATAACAGCACGGACGACAGAAGCGGTGGATACAATTGAAGCTAAAGTAAGGATCTGGTTAAACATTTTAATAGTATTATATTAAAATATATACAATAGGTTGTATATATGGCTTTTTGGATGATAAGTTATACATAGTAATAAAATAAAATAAGAGTAAGAGAATTATAATCGAACATTTGAATTGGTGAAAGTATAGAACGAGTATCCCTTATTTATATATTCTTCTGAAAACATTTAGAGTTCATTAAACTCGATACAAAATTATTTCAGGGAAAATGAAAACAAGCTAAACAAGTATAAGTTGACTATTCTTATTCATTTACCAATTGAGTATCAATTAACGTAATAGTTTTTACTTCATCACACGTGGAATAAACTTCAAACATCATCTAGACAAAATATAATGAATATAGAACATTAACAATATCCACGTGAATGTACAATGCTTAAATTAACTACAAAGAAAAGAAGAAAATAATTGATGTTAATGGGTATTATTAAATTTCTAAAAAAGGTACCTCTCCAAACATAACAAAATATTATTCATGCATTGATTGATCGCTATCCCAAGAAAATATACAGATTTAAATATCACAGAACTCAATGTTTTAAGGAACGTCAAAAACGAACCTTGCAATCTAAACGATTAAACAATAATTGTTGAAATCCCATATCAATACTCAACTTAATAATAAGGGGTACCCTCCCACCTTCAACCGGCACCTCTCCTAAAGAGTGCATGGTTCTAGTTTCTATTTCAATCATTGCATCGCACGTTCTTTAATCGTTAAATTTGATACTGTTAACTTGGGTAATCTTCTCCCGCTTAATCTTTCTTTTCTTTTTCTCGGCTTGAACATTAAAAAGGGTACACACCTCAGACGCAGATAGAGAGTCTACCAATAGTGTCTCACACGCTTGAGTCACCGATTTAATTTATTGAGTAATCAAAGAAGAGGAAAAACATACGATACCATCAGTCAACGATACTTTAACAATAAGTTATCGATAGCGAAATCTTAACAATACTGGAAACGCCGGAAAAAAAAACAGGACCTTTTGAATTTCATAGTTGCAAAATAGTTCGTACCTTCTTCTTTTTCTTTTGTTTTTACTTCTTTTTCCAAATGAGTATATAATTTCTTGGTGAAACAATGAACCCTTTAAAAGTTTGGAACAATCCAAATATCAAAAGGATAAAATGGTACCTTTTTAGCACGTGGGTAGTGTTTCATATATAAGAAACAGGAAAATTATTTCAGAGAGAAAACGAAGGGGGGAAGATGGGTAACGTTTACTTACTCTAATAATTCTTTAATATCTTCGGACCAAATGGCAGATATCTTATTGTAATTCTGAATTTGTTTCTGATCAAACCGAATCAAATTTTCAGATTTCGTATGATGACTCTGTTTTGAGATGTCAACATACGCGCAAAATCTATATTGAGAACACTCTCTTGTTTGCATCCAGCTCATAGTGTCTTCACTATTATCGGGAATAACCATGCCATCAATATGAAGTCCCGAATTGTATATTTTGGATAATTCATCCACGTTCCCATACCTTTGTGTCATAAAATCGGGATATTTCTCGAAATCGTTTGTAGCAGCATGTGGATTCTTACATAGTTTTGTACCACCGTTTAGCCATAGCAATGAATTCTTGTCGTTACAATGACCTATTTGAGTAGAACATATACCGACTCTACTGATATCTTCTTCGTCGTCATTATTTACTTGTTTCTCTTCGTATAATGTCCCCACGGCACCACATCGTGTGGGGTCAATTGAATATGAGTGGCCTGCGACAAGAGGACCTAACCAGAAGTACTCTTTATCTCCATGAACACAATCCTCTAATATCTCTGCCATGTTTAATTGCATAGCCATCAATAAACTACTATAGTTCTCTACTGTCTTACTTATTATAACTAGTCCACTATCAACTTGATGCATAATTAAATTATTGAAAAATGACTTGTACACTTCTTGTTCTGTATCCTTAGTTTGTGATAATTGTAAAGCACTTGATTTTAAATTGAAGATCCATTGAGTTCCAATCAACTGACGTTCTTGGAGTGTTGGTTCTAAATTAAAGAAATTAGTTCTACAATGAGGTTCAAGTTTAGCATGGCCGATGTCTCTATCGCGATATACATATAATCCATGCTTTTGATATTCTGGGATGTTAAAAAATTCTTTAATTGGTTGGAATGGTACTACATCTACATCTAAAAATATAAATTCTTCGAATGTATTAAATAAAGTAGCAATCCATTTACTAATATAACCTGTAATTTTAATTTTTGTAAATTCAGTATCAAGTAATTGAGAAACGTTCAAAATTATTATTTCTTGTCTTGAATTAGAAAGTTTGTGTTTTAAAGTATCCTTAATAATATTAAAATCATTTAAATTCGTTACTACTATTTGGATTGGTAATTCATTTTTCAATTTATCGAGAACTTTAATAAGTCTAAGGAAATAATCTATTTCTTTCACTGACATTGTCGTGACTATCCCTTTCCCCTTTGCTGTCTTTATCCAATATTTAAAAGGATTATCCAAATGATCATGAAATGTTACAGTGGTATCTTTATTTGTAGATAAATCAAAGATTAAGACTTCGTTGGATTGATATTCTTCTGTATATTGTATATTCAAAAATGGGAATAATTTATGTGTTAATTTCGTCATGAGACTCAAATCATCTGCAAATATATCCTTTAACTCTACATTCCCTCTTAAGAAACAGTAATCGTAAATTCTAAATCTTTCTACATTTCTCATTAACGATTTAGTTGACCCATCTATATCAAGGGTCTTCGACGTAGAATCCAATATCAAAGTCCTTGCAAGCTTATTACATTTATTCGCTATATCAAGATCCTTTAATTGTGAGTATATGTCATCACTAAATAACGAATAATTAGTATTTGTTTTCTCGAGGTCAAACCCAGAATCGTCTCCTGTTATTGAGTCTGGATCCACGTAGTATCCGTCCTTAAATGTACCGAATCTAAATATATCCTTCTGATATGGTTTTAATTCCGGTATTATGTCTGTTGGTAGTGATTTAAATGTAAACAAACATAGTGTTACTAAAGCTAGAAACAATGTCATCACAATGAAAAATTGCTTCCTTCTATGAAGGAACATTCTTACTTTCATTCGTGTAGCGACCATCTCGTATGGATGTGTCCCTTGGCCTTCGTGTCTTATTGGATACGAATTCGTTTGAATTAGACTAGTTAGAGAGGTCTTACTTTTAAACTTTATGAGCCTCATCGGAATTAATCTTCAATTGCCAAATTGCAAATACTAATCTACACTATGTGTAACCTGGGAGAGATCGATTCATCGCGTTGCAGTTCCATTATTTCCTTTTAACCGAGAAAGTACGGCATACTCACACTCACACACTCAAAAGAAGGAAGGAGTAAATTTTTCAGATTTACACACACTTTTTTTTTTCTTTTTGGTTGTCCCAGCAGCCAGAAATATTTTCAACCTCATCACCATTTTCTAGATATTATACAATACTGGTTTTAAACAAGTAACTATACATCGATGATTTCATGGTTCAGTACTCTCCAGATTGTCAAAATAAGTAGTACCACCATCTGAACAGATCGAAACAGAAAAGGAATATGACAAATCCACAAAGAAGTATCCTAGCCATCCCAGTGAATTTACTGAGAGAATGTCCTGCCAATACAATAATGGATCTCATGACAATTGTTAACAATGGATACGATAAACAAGTTGTAAAATATGGTATTGTTCAAACACCAAGGATTCATGAAGTCACTACATTTTTCGGTGATCTTGGAATAGATATCGATGATTGCATACTCTACGTCATGGTGGATGACGTAAACGATGTTGTCCCAGGTTTGCTCTCCAGTGGAACTGTCGGAGGTTACAAATGGTATGATATCAAGGAAATTTTACCATTTAAATTTTCTACAGAGAATGTGAAGTCTACTTTAGCCTATAGACCATTACCTCAGGATAAATACTCGGATTCTTATGAGATTACAGGTTTTACCTCATTTGGGAAAGGTTGTGGTTTGAAGACATTTGAACATACACTTTCTGATTTTAAACAAAGATATAATGACTGCAAGAAACTTGTTATTAAAGTTATTGTGGAACATGAATTGGTTTCTTATTATGAACAGAAATTAGGATTCGTTGAATTGGATAGAGTTCTTCAAAAGAAGAGTGAATTACAAAGTTCAGGATTTGAAGAATCGTTTATGGTGTCTAGAGATTTCCATGTATCTAGTATGGTACGAACTATTTAAATAGCATGACTATACAGATGATTAATAATAATAATAATAATAATACATTTTATTTTAATAAATTTTTTAGTATATTTTATATTTATAGATATATATATATATATATATGTAAAAAATGAGTAATTCTTTTTTATTTTGAATTTTTGTTTTTAAAAAGTTAAAAATAGGACAATTTTTCTGAATATAGTTAAAAGAATGGGTAATAATAAAAATATACCTATTCAGTGAATGCAATGGTGTGTGATGATTTTTAGTAGGATATGTGGGTGAACTTATTTTTAATCTAACTTGACACGGACAGCCTTTGTTTGAGTGTAATTGTCAATAGCTTCAGAACCCATTTCTCTACCCAGACCAGAAGCGTTGAAACCACCGAATGGAACAGAGTGATGGAAGTCATTGTAAGTGTTAACCCAGACAGTACCTGCCTTAACTCTGTCAGCAACTTTAATGGCACTGTTGATGTTCTTAGTATGAATACCAGCAGCTAGACCATATTCAGAATCGTTAGCCATCTTGACAACTTCATCTAGATTCTTAAATTTGGTAATAGTAATGACAGGACCAAAAATTTCTTCTTTGACAATTCTCATATCTTCTTTAACATCACCAAAGATAGTTGGTTTAACGAAATAACCTTTATTACCAACTCTTTCACCACCAGTCAATAAAGTGGCACCTTCTTTCTTACCGATATCAACATAACTTAAGATCTTTTCTAATTGCATTTGAGAGGTTTGAGCACCTTGGAAGGTAGTTTCATCGAATGGGTTACCAACCTTAACATTTTCAGCAGCAGTCTTCAATTCTTGAACAAATTCATCGTAGATAGATTCTTCGACATAGGCTCTTGAACCAGCACAACAAACTTCACCAGAGTTGAAATAAATACCTGTAATAATGTTTTGAACGGCATTCTTAATGTCGGCATCAGCAAAGACGATATTTGGAGATTTACCACCAAGTTCTAAAGTGACTTTCTTTAAACCTGCAGCAGCACCTTGATAAATATGTCTACCAGTAGCAGTAGAACCTGTGAATGCGATTTTCTTAATCTTTGGATGTTGAGTTAAAGCTTCGCCGACAATCTTACCAAAACCGGAGACAATGTTGATGACACCAGGTGGGATACCGGCTTGAGGAATATATTGAGACACATATAAAGCAGATAGAGGTGTAGATTCAGCAGTCTTTAAGACAACAGTATTACCTGTAATAGTAGCTGGAGCAATTTTCCAAGCCCACATTAATAATGGGAAATTCCAAGGAATAATTTGACCACAAACACCTAAAGGTTCTCTCTTAGTATAATTGAAATGAGTTTCACCTGTATTAATTAATCTACCATCTAATTTATCAGCATAACCAGCAGAAGCCTTTAAATAGTTAATAACTAATTGAACATCAATTCTAGCATTCATAATAGCTTTACCATTATCTAGGGATTCAATTGAAGCAATAATTTCTTTATCCTTTTCAATGAAATCGGCTAATCTCCATAAAGCTTTACCTCTCTCTAAAGGATCGATAGTAGCCCATGAATTATTGTTGAAAGCATTATCAGCGGCGATGACAGCAGATTCGACATCGTCTTCTCTACCTTCGTAGACATGACAGATTTCTTCTTCAGTAGAAGGATTGATGACTTCGAAAGTTTTGTGTTGTTTTGATGGAACAAATTTATTGTTAATGAATAAACCTGTAGGTTGTTCATATTCTAGACCGTTAGGTAATTTAATTGGGACATTTAAAGGTAAATGTGAGAAATAACGTAGTTGTAATCTACCTAATTGTGAAGTAGATGATTTTAAAAGTGCAGACCTAACAGAGAACATTGTATAATGAGTATTTTTGTAAGTTTTTCGTTCTTATTGTTATTAGTATTATTATATATATATAATAATTAAAAAAGAAATAATAATTAAGGGAAGAAAGCAAAAGAAAAAGAAATACACATAGTAATTATAATTATATAAGGGAATGGAACAGGAAAAGAGAGTCAAGATAAAATTGTAATTCCATTCCATCCCTTTATATTTATAATAAAATAAAATAGTAAAATAATAAAAAAGGAAATATATGTTCGCTATACTTGTGAAATGGTCTAATCCGTAATCTCCAATTGCAACCATCAATTATCAACCCTCTCCATCCCCATCCCCATCAATCTGTATGTGTTCCTCTCCCGCAAAATTTAAATAAGTAAGAAATGTCCCCTCCCCACCTCCCCCCACACAAACTTAGCTCTTATTTAATCTGTTTGAAGGGTGTGAGTTGTTCCCCCCAAAAAAAGAAAATGGTAAAGAAATGAAGGGCTTTTCCCCCCCCCCTCACAATGGGACAAGAAATGCAACAGCAGCAACAAAAAAAGGGGACAAATTCAAATAATCCAGCGATGGCCTCATAATAATTACGAGAGATGGTTTCGTAATAACTGCTGCTGCTGCAATAATAATAATAGCGATGGGAATATTCTTATTCTCCGAATTTACGGGAATACAATAGAGAGACGATGCAAGAAATGTACGTTTGTGCGTTTGTTCGTACGTTTTTTTTCAATTAATTAATTAACCAGCGGACATAGCAGCCGTGTGGGTGTGTGGGTGGGTGACTGTTTGTACGTCAGTTTAAATGCAAAACGGTTGCAATTCTTTCTGCAATTAAGTATTTTTGTCCCTTTCTTTTTCAGTCTGCTCAACTGCCCCTCTCTTTTTTTTGGATTTAATTGCTGTTGCCCGCGTTGGCTGTTCAAGATGATGATGATGGTCTTAATAATTTCACTTTTTTTCTTTTTCCGACCTCTGGCAGGGTTGAAGATGGGTTTTTTATTAATACAATTTGTGAGGGGGAAATGAGGATGGTGCGGAGTTTGGCCAATGGGTCATTTTTTTAATTACGTGAATAGCTACTTGTTTACTAATAAATTATTTGTCCCATTGTACATTTACTATATATTTTTATTAAATCATTCGACTGTGTCAATTTTCTCCCTGCTTATTATTATAAGTGCCGTCACATTTTAAATATTATAATCACTCCTCTTTGTTAGCAAATAGATCTTTTTTTTCTTTTTTTTAGTCTTGTTACGTATCTATCATAATACATGCGATTACATTTTTTTTTTTTAGTTAGTTGACATTTAATGGTTTTGGAAGATACAGTTCTTCTAAATATTTCAATTCTTCTTCAGTGAAAGTAACATCTAATGCTGCTAACGCATCATCAACTCTTTCAGTTTTACTCATACCAACAATTGGAAAACATCCCTTACTAGCTACCCATGCTGTAGCTAATACAGCCATTGGAATATTTTTCTTCTTAGCTAATTTTTCAACACGATTGACGATTTTTGTGTCAACAGGTGATAAATCATTTAGTTTCCATGCATTAATAACAAAACTAGTACTAAACCTTTCAGTTTGAGTACCAATTGGTCTTGTTAAGATACCTTGAGAATTTGGAGACCATGGAGTTAATGCAATATCATGTTCTTGGCAATATATATTCAAATCACGTTCATCCTCTCTATATAATAGATTATAACAGGATTGAACGTTAACAAATTGATACCATCCATGTCTTTCAGCAATAGATTGCATTTCAACAAATTGAGTTGGTCTCATTGACGAAGCACCGATGTATCTAACTTGACCGGCATCAATGACATCATTCAATGCTTTCATTGTCTCTTTGATTGGAGTGTTAGGGTCAAATCTATGAATTTGTAGTACATCAATATAAGTACCCAATCTTTCAACAGAACTTTGAACACCTGCCATGATATGTTTACGGGATAGACCTTGCTGATTGGTGATATCCAAGCAAGAAAGTTCATCTGCTAAGATGTTACGAAAACTAGGATCCAAAGTTTCATCCACAGGGAAAAAGATTTTTGTCATAATAACAACAGTTTCTCTCTTGATATTAAAATGCTTTAAGAATTCACCAAGCAATCTTTCACTCGCACCATTGGAATAAACATCAGCTGTATCAAAAGTACGTAATCCATGATCGTAACAATATTTTAATACTTTGAACACTTTCTCTTTGTTATCTTCCATCCAGGCTTCATTTTGTTTGGAACCATAAGACATACATCCAACAATGATTGGAGAAATCTTCATACCCGTGTTACCGAATTTCTTTTGTTTAGCTAAAATTGAAGACATAATTGAGGTGGTCGTATGCAGATATAGTATTTAGAATTTATCGAAATATATCTATATCTTCATATAATATAATTATTATAGGAATTATTTAAATTTATTTAGAATTTATATTTGAGAAGACTGGACTACTTATATACTTTTCTCGAATGTGTCATTTTTATTTTTATTTTTATTTTGGTAATACCTCGTATAAATAGTGTAATTAGCAACCAACCATCAGAATTTAATGAATATCGAAATTTTCAATGTTCTCGTTCTGTTTACTTTAGAATCATTACTGTTGTATTAAGAAGTTTTTCAATTGATATGGGTATTCTTCCATAGAATACATAAGTAATTGAATAATTCCGAGACTTATATAATGACATTGCAATTAGTTGAGACTCCCTTAGCCAGGGGACGTTCGTTTGTTTTTTTCGGCCGAATATAACAGCTCTCCCCTTTTTTAACTAGTTAATTATACTGTTTTAACATTTTATCTCGGAGATATAGTGCTTCTCGGAGGAAAGTTGAGTCGTCTCGTGACTTGAATTAATCAATTTTGAATGTTCGGAACCGAAACTCCAAAAGTTCCTTATATTATCAAGATCATTCGAAGATAACCAATATCTAGCGACAATAAAGAACTCTACACTTATGTAAAGTAACATATGTAATTAAAAAAGTTTATCAATAACATATATTAATAAAAGCCTCAGTCATTTCTTGTTTGGTCTGCTTCACAGAAATTATATGGGAACGAGATATCTAAAATGCCCCAATAAGAAATAAACATTTCATAATCTAACAATCATTTAGGTAATAAGAAAAACAGCCTATTAAGGAAATGATTAATATAGAAAGATAGAGAATTCTGAATTTACACTCCAAGTTAGATTCTATTTGTTCCATAAATTATATATAATAAAGAAAAAAACATTTACATTTAAATAGAGAAGAATAACAAATATATTTTGCTTTCTTAAACATTAGAATTCAAATTACGCCTACACCTCTCTACTTGATAGTATATAAAATGAAAGAATCCAAGAACTGATTTGACCATGCAAGCTTCAGCTCACTGCTCAATTAGTTGACTTATACGGAGTGTAAGAGAGCAATGTACCTATTTATGTATTTGTGTGATATGATGGCCATATTGATTCTGCTGAACTATAATTCTCCAAAGACCAAAAAAACCAGTTGCTGATGATTTAAAAAAAAAACTTAGATTTTACTATTCTTGAAGTTTTTAGAGATGTTACAGAGGTAGTTTTATACATATTTAGAATTCATTCGTTCAATATTTTACTTATTAGTTCTAGAAATTTTGAAATAATTAAACCATCCTGAAACTCAAATTTGATGATAATTAAAGTATATCAAATGTTAGAACAAGAATAAGGGTCTATCTTTTACAGATTCCTGTTTCGTACTTAAACTTTGTCATTTCTTAAATAATAATTTATTGAAGCGTATTATTTTTTTCTTTTGTAACGGAATCGAAGATGCCTTTTTAAGTGCGGTTCCGTAAACAAAACTTTAAAAGTGATAAAACTTTATATGTGGCATCAAAAATGGGGTTAAATTAAAAGAAAGAAAATTCGATTTAAACCTTATTATACCAACAATTATATTTGAGTACATCTGTATATATATATTATTTCTGCTGAAAATAATTACTACCCTTAGAATAATAGAATATCAATCTTTACTTTTATTATTAAATGTTACACATGTTAATACATATGACATCTATATATCCTTTTAGAAATAGTTTTGTAGTTCTATAATATGAGTTGTTGAAGTGCAGGACACGTTGAATGTACAAGTCCAGTTAGTTGTTTTTTGAACTCATTGCGACCTTCAATTGACGATACCACAGCTTTTATTTTACGCTTCACTAGCGGTGTATCACTGACATTCAATATCTGCAGAGTTTGGGAGCACGGTAAACGTGATAATAATGCATATGCACTCCCAATACCACAACCTTTGATAGACAACTGTTGCAATCCACGGAAATATGTTGGTTCAAACAGAGATAATGGATCCATCTGGAAAGTATCAATTATATTCAAGGAAGATATATCTCTTGGGATCTTACTTAGTGTATCACCGAAACGTTTATTATCATAGTCCCTATTGTGGTTCCCCATTATTGTTACTGAACGTAGTGTGGAGGGCATTGCTGAATTGAGACGTCTCTCACCATCTAGAGAAATTACTTTCAAATATGGAAACCCTTCCAAATCCAGATCCGTATGCTTATTATCTTCTTCCGCACCATTATAACTACACAGTATTTCCAATTCTTGCAGTGAACTGCTTTGCGTATGTGTGATCATCAAATTTGGGACATCATTGACACGTAATACTTTCAGACAAGGTAATTTCTCTATGTGACGTAGTTCAGTAATTTTGGGGTTACCGCTGAGATCGAGACTCTCTAAAGTGAGCCACCCACCGAGACGGTTATCGTTTTGCAATACTATCTTTTCGAAGTCTATAATACCATTAAGCATATTATATGATACATCCAACGAACGAATCATAGAATCTCCCAATTCTGCCAGAGAAACAATATTATTATGACTTACATTGACCGTTAATAAATTGTGACTACTCTTAAGTATTTGTAAATTACGTGAGAGTAAATTGTGAGACAGATCTAAAGTGTGTAATCTATTATTATCTGTGAATGTACAAAATGTATCGTTGATTTCATTATCCCTTAGACACAGTTCCTTTAGTGTTATCGGAAGTCCTTCTACGTTTCCAATTTTGTTATGACTTAAATTTAATTTTATCAAATTTGGGGTATATGTACCCAACCCTACAACACTACGCAACGTTCTTTGGTGTAATATTTTTAGGTCATGTACTTGTTTCCAATCTGTAGAATGAGGTACTGTAGACTGCAAGGCACTCATCAGCAATGATACAGCTTGTTGTTTGCTACTACTGAACGAAATTTCTGGAATATCACTTAGCCTAGTTGCATTATTTAATGTCTCTTGTTTAGGTGAATTAACCACCATATTAGAATTATTTTGTGAAAAAACGCTCTTTAATAAAGTTTCTTGATCGACACGAGGTGGATCCAAAGGAGTTGTTGAATTTGCAATATTATCCCGTATAACATCCTGTGTCCCTTCTTCTTCTTCCATTGTAAAAGTTGAAGTAGTATTCTTTGTGGATGAATGATTCATCTTACTAGTATTAGTAGTTGTAGTAGCAGTTGTATCTGCCATCTGACTACTCGAAACATTTTGAAATTCATCTTCTGGCACCCATATACCTTTCGAATGTTTGAATCTGTAACCAATGGAACTGGGCGTAATCAGGTTCAATTCTTTGTTATTATTGTGACTAGTACCACTGACGGAACTACCTCTGGTAGATATAGTTCGGTTTGTAATATTTCGTTTCATATCAAATCTGGAACCTTGCGTTCTCAATAGATTATTATAGACTTGTTTAGCAGCTAATGCAGGATCTTCATCTTCAAACATACTGCTATTGGTGAACTCATTTACACCTTCATCATCATCATTATTATTGCTCGTTGTCTTGTTTCCATTATTATAATCGTTATATAGAGAATCTGATGTTGTCTCATCATGGTATATTCGGGACTGTTGTAATTCGTTCTTCTTCTTGAATGTATTCATCATTTGGCCAGATAATTCACCAATATCCTTAATAATCAATGCAGATTCTGGTTCTCTTGCCTTCATTCCAGTTTTATGTTTACGTAATACTGCTGGTTCTTGTTCTTGTTCATTTTCAACCATATCTTCAAGATCTTCTGAACTTAGTGGGAGCCCCCCATTATCATTATTGTAACTGAAATTCAATCTATGTGTGGGTGATGTGGATTTCATATGAGATTTCATATACGGTATAAACTGAGGAGGTGAAATTTCCATTGTAGTTCCTCGGGTAGATTGTTTTGCTCTTCGATTAACCGTTCCATATTCCATAATGCTCTCACGATCATAATCATCATCATCATCATTGTTTAATCTAACTATATCTTCTGAAAGATCTTTGTTCAAAAGGACAGAAGAAGGAGATACAGAACTATCATACTCTACATTATCATTATCTCTATCATTCTCGTCATGGAATTGAGAAATAAACGCAGACTCCGAAAAACTATTGTTTGTCTGATATGCCTTCAATGGTTTCGAAATCTTACTATCCAATGTTGTTGCATTAGTAGCATACGTAGTAGGTTGACTAATATGGAACGACCCCAACTCATCAGATAAAGCCCCCAAGGAATCACTCAAGTCATCATCACCTTGACTGAGATTGCTACCAGTGTGTATCTCATCGCTGTTATTATATTCCATACCAGCAAACATACCAGGTTGGTTAAGCACTGAACCCATAGTTCTTTATATATTTTCTTCTAACGAACTGGGGTTAATTATATGTTTCTCTCCTGTAAGAAAGAGCTGTAATATCTTGGTTATAAATACTCCTTTTTAATTCCTACAATGTAAATGTACCCTTTGCTTTTAACCTCGAGAATTTACCTCTTGTTTCTCATTGATGATGGATGACAATATTTTGGCTATATAGCTTCGAAATGTAAACAAATCGATTTTTCAATTTTTCCTTAGATGACCAAGGGAAAAATGTTACCCTCACAACACGAATATTTTCTTGCTAGACATATGGAAGATCCTACGACTGTTACTGTACAGAAAATAACAAACACGACTCATCGTTTACCACGAGGTAGGGTGTGCCCGCCCCGTAACACTCCTCGTACAGGGAGAGAAGAATCGCGAATTGCCAGACACAACAAAAGAAAACAAAGAAAACAAATTAATAATAAACAAACAAACAATGAGAAGGTTTGAGGCTGTTCTCCCCCCAATATATCAAAAGCAATAGAAAACAAATTAAAATAAAACAAAGGATATACATACAGATTATACATTCTCTTTGATCAACCATCAGCAAACAAGAAAAAAATAAGCTAAAAGAGAAGGACTGAAAGGTAAAAGTGAACATACTTAACAGTCTAATATTGGTAACGTACACAACTAGTAAAGATAAGTTTATTATTCGTTGATAATCAAACAAGAAAGAAGTTATAGTATTCTACGTTGCAAGAAGAAACTTTGGCTTAAAGATCAATATACTATAACTAAGGTTCTTTAAACACTTCCAATACATTCATTATTATTAGTGGAAACAAAAGAATAAAAGCTACATTCGACAACAAACATCTTATACCCCACATTTGATAAAACGTGGTCACCAGTCATCGAATCAAATTATTATGAGCAGGTCTAATTCTAATACAACAGATAGATCCTTAGTCAAGGATGGACCCATATCATCACAGAAACATCGTCTAGCGAACTCTCAAAATGGTTTAAATCTCTTATTGAAGAAAAATACTGCAGTCAATGATATAAATAACAGTATGATGCCTATTTTGTCACCTTTAAAGATGTCACCTCCGTCCTTGATCTTAACAACAGATCATAGTACAGATGGTAATGATAATGAAGACACTGAAACAAATTTTTTCAAGAATCTAACTCAAAACTTGAAATATTCGATTAATAGTCCAATTCCCCATACTCAATTTCCCACACCTTATTCTTCAAATCAAGGTAATAGAAATAATAATCGCAATAAAAAAAACATTAACTATAATGCCAATGCTAATTTGAATACTAATATTAACAATACTAGTATGCTATCTTCTGAAAGTCAACAACAACATTCCGTTGATTCCTCAGTATTAGAAAATAGTATCAATACTGGGCTATATGCTGGTCGTAATTTACAACGAACAAGTGCTGACAAGGCTTCAAAGAGTAGTAATTCTTCACTGAACAATACTGAACCAACTGTAGATCTAATGAATAATGATGGCGACACTCTAGAAGATATGAATATGCAACCATCTACGGTTTTACAATTTGGTAACAATTTCCCAAATGAGTTTTTGTTAGCTTCTCCAGAGCAATTAAAAGAATTCTTATTTGAATCCCCTGGTGGATTCAATTTGTTTCATAAGACTCCAGCAAAGACTCCATTAAGATTTGTTACTGATTCTAAAGATATGAATATTAATCTGACTTCAAATACAAAATCTGTCTCCAGTTCAAACTTAATTCATTTATTTACATCAGGCAATGGTAAAACTGAGGACCAAGATAAACTGGGAGGAAACAGCGAGTTTGGAATGATGAATAATGGTCAAGATGAATTTTTGAGTAGAACACCTTTGGAGAAGATTGATATCAATCTAATGTTTAATCAATCGAATATATTGTCGAATTCTGTGTCTCCTTCTAAAAAAATATCTATGAGTTTAACACCTTATGGTAGACGAATATTACATGAAATGGGTACCCCCTTCACTAGAAGTCTAAACCCTACAAATAGCGCATTAGTTGACTTCCAAAGAGCGAGAAAGGATGTTAATAACAATACTGGCATGAGTAATAATAACGAATTGCACAGTCCACCTGATGATAAAGAAAATATAACCAAGGGTAGACAACTTAGAAATAAATTTACTCTTACGCCGAACAATAAAAATAAAACTTCTCATGCAAAATTAACGAGAAAGAATTTAAAGAAAATAAATAAGAAAAACGACAAGAACAACAATACTCATATTCAATACAAGGACAATAAAAATCAACTATTGAAGAAGACTTCAATTACAAAACTACCTTATGAAAAAAATAGTAACAGCTACGATAATTTTGAAAATGATTTCGATGGCGATAATAATACATATGGATCATCCCCAACTACCATACAGTTGAATTCGTCAGTAACAAAATCAATCTCAAGACTTGATAATAGTAGAATACCGAATTTGAAAAATATGGAATTGATAGATGAAAGACTGGGAGATAAGTTATTCGATTTAAATGCAAGAAATATTCCTTTATCACCTACACCTAAATCATATTCCTCGAGTAATAAACTTAATATTGACACACTGAAGATACCAGAATTACCAAAGATGGGATCGTTCAAAAGTGATTCGAATAATCCAATATCTTTACCAGCGACGTTATCTGATTCTTCTGGTCAACAAAATAGTAAATTTAACAAAAATTCATTATCAAATTCCATATCCACTTCTACGTTATCTGTAGATCAAGGAATTAATGGTCCAAGAGTGAAAAAGGTTAAAAAGACAAAACCAAAGAAACCTAAATTCCAAGTGTTTGTCTCGAGTATAAACAAATTCAATGAATCAAACAGTTTTATTCCGATGTCACCAAAGGGCAACAAACAAAACCATAATAACAAGACAAACAACAAACTCAAAAGGACACAATCACTTTTGCTTAAAAAGAAAAAGACAATAGATGTATCCCAGGGGTCCAGTCACAATACCAAACAAAGGAAAGACAATTTACCCAAAGCCAGACGTTCAAGTTCAATGAGTACTAATGACTCTATTCATGATATTTACTAAGAGACTAATAAAACAGCTTGGTACATGGCACTAAAACTCCTGGATGCATCGTATATATACACATCAATACATACATAATAAATACAATACAAGTCAATACATATTTCATGGCATAATTTTACAAAATATTCCTTAAAAATTGCGTTGTCACATCTGTCAACACTAACATTAATATATTGACCCCGACCTTTCCTTAGAAAAGAGCCTTCTCTGAGATTATTGAACCCGAGAAACTCATCATGTTTCCAAAGATTTATCTCGTTTTCCTGCAGTAAAGGCTCCGTGAAAAAAAATATACAGATTAGATGGATGGATGATTTTTTTGTTACTTGAAAAGAAAGGGAGTTAGAAACAAGAACAGCATAAGAAAGCAAACGATATAGATAAACGAAGAATAGTGAGCCCAAGAAACGACACAATTATATAATTCCGGTTGTGACGGTAAGAATAAATAAAAATCAACATTTTTGAAATCCATTTAACCTGCGGTAGAACTAACCAACTGCAAAATCGAAAGATTCGTGAAGATCTAAACTACTCTGTTATTTATTGAGTTAAGTATTATCTGTTTATTCTCACCTCATCACCTTAACATTCTAGAGCGATACACTTAGACACACACGCACACATTTATTCTAGATGGATACTCGTGATATACTGATAAACAACGCCTCGATGCTGGATAAACATCTTTCTATGGAAGACAGAACTGGACTTGTTTCAAGTGATTCCCAGGTACACCCAGTACTTTCAGTACCAGTAGCCACTGCATTTTCTTTGTTGAATGTTTCTACCAATTTTGAAAACGATTTTAAAACATTCGATTATGTGTCCAACTATACTTCTATTCTTAGTACTACATTAGATGAGTTTCGAAGCAAGAACATAAAATTGAATAACGAATTACAATTGGCAAAATATTATGAATATAAGAAACCTATTGCAAGTAGTACGATAAGGCAGAATAGTGTGGTAAGTACATCTGACTCCTCAATTATTCAAAGTGATAGAAATAAAAATATCAATTCTATTATTGATAATTTCCTTTCATTTGCCGAAAATAATATAGACCCATATAGATTAAAAGACTCCTTGAAAAAATATGATGACATTCCAAATCCTCATTCAGGTTTACGATTAAGCAAGTTATATAATGACACTCATCTATCAGATGATATAGAAACAGATTCTCATTCTTTTGCAAACCTAAATTTTGCAAATTCTTATTATAAATACTATAAAAAATTATTGACAGTGGATTTAAAAGATTATGATATATTAAAGAAACATAACTTATGGGTTCCCACAGTTAGGAAAGATCATACTCAATTTTTAACTGAATTTAAGTCGGGTGAAAAACAAGAAAATGATGATATGTATAAGGACAAAACTTGTCCATTATTTATTACTGCAACTTACGCTTTACCTTCATTATACGATTACCATGCAGGCCATTCAATATTACCATCGATTTTTTCTGAATTTAAACTTCCATCTCTAATGTATCATACTACTGTGGAGTTCAATGGCCAAGTGTTTATACTGGGTGGGTTAATGGCATGTTATAGAAATGATAATGAAATTCCAAATGTTGAAAATTATTACGTTGATGGGATTAAGAATTTGCCTCCTCCACTATTACAAGATGTAATTAATAACCCTACAATGGTAAACAATCCATACCTTTATATTCAATATGTCAATTCTTCAAGATTATCGAGACCTAATATATCAGGGCAAATACCTCCACCATTATTATGTATGACAGCCTCAAAATTGACAGAAAGATACTTATTATTTTATGGTGGTATTGAAATTAAAACTGAAACTAATTTTGATCCAACTGGGAAAATCTTCATTAAGAAAAGGGCATTTTTAAATAATACCGCATATATCCTGGACACAGTATCCTTTAAATTTACCAAGATCGAAGTGAATACGCAATCTTTCAAAGAAGGTACTTCAACTACGTTTTCACCAAGATTTGGTCATATGCAAATAGCTATAAAGAGTTCTGATTTGGATATTTCTTGTAATTCAGGGTTAACAGAGAGTACTAGTTCCTTAGCGGTCAGTATATCAAATTCCATGAAGAAAGATGATTCAACTGGAGGTTCTGGATTGCATAGCCATGATTCTCCAAATATTGATCCACAACTTGATGAAAATACCAATGTCATGACGCAATCTAATTCTATACCAATGATAAATTCTCCTAGTACTCCAACTACCACCACCACTTCCAATACGAATACTAGCAATAATAACAATTCAAATAATATCTCAACTAGTAATGCTCACCACGCCAACAATATTTTTTCGATATTGATCTATGGTGGTTATAGACAAACTGTTGATGATAAATATACTGCATTAGATGATATGTGGAGATTAGATGTGAACATTGTTGCTCGTGGTAAGAAAGGGTTTTTAAAATTTGCTGACTCTATTATGGCGTCGAATATTCCTGTTATAGGTGAAGAAGGTGAAATACCCAAAGCAAGAGCTTTTTTTGCTTATTGTTTACCTGATACAATTTTACAAGGAAAGAATTCCTTGGAATATTCATTGTTGAAGAGGTTAGAAGAAGAATTCAATGTAGAGTCTAGTCTATTTGGCAGTCATACAGCTGGAAATAATAGTAATGATGCTACCACGTTATTATTCCCAAACATTCCACATAGTTCTCACATACCTATTGATAAAGTAACTACAAATACATCCACAAATACCAATACATCATCATCGAGGACCGCCACAAATAATTTCCGTAACGGTACAAATATTGGAACTGCCACTATAAATCTAAACAAATCAATCAGTAATAATATTAACGAAAGACGATCAAACACAAATGAAAGTTTAAATTCGGGATCGTTACATAATCAATTGAGATCAATAAATTCATACAGTGGTAAATATGATCATAATAGAAATGGAGATACCAAACGAGTCATTGTGATTCATGGTGGTTCTGATAACTTAGACGTGTTTGGAGATATGTGGTGGTTAGATCTAGATTCCATGAAGTGGTTGAAGATCGATACATATAACAAGAGTGATTCAAGTAATGATAACGTACTAGAAGTGAGTGAATTGAAACTTGTTGGTCATTCGATGGTATCAGCTGGTTATTCAGGTATATTCATTGGTGGGATGGATGATAATTCCGTCAACAAAATATATTGTAACGGTGAAAAGGGAGAAGGTGCTACAACTCAAAATGGTCTCGTTAATGTTATAAACTTAAAGACTCAATGTTTAATGAAGGTCGAGGATCCAATTGAATCTATGAATGAAGGTCAAGAGCAGGACTCAACTGCTTTAGAACTATTAAGAAAATCAAGATCCATATGTAGTGTCGGAGGATCTACTATTGAGTCCGACGGTACTGTATTACTGATTGGCGGTGTCGTGTTCAACAACAACGATATCGACAAGATATATTTAAGAGGTGCCATGCTAGAATTCATCCTGCCAGCTATGAGTCTACCTATATAATAAAAAGTCAAAAACAAAATAATATAAAACTGATATATGTATATACGCAAATATATTAAAGAGACGATAATTCCCACCACAGTTTCCCACACTCCGTAACACGGTACGTTATTGTTCCTAAAACGGTAATACCATCTAGCATTACAGTATCCCAAAAATTATTAATTTTTTCTTTTATAGATTGGCACAAAAACAGACAAACAAAGTATGAATAGTGCAACTTCTTCCTTGTTTATGTCTCTAATCACAATACCGAAAACGAATAAACGTTCTGAATGAAAAAAAAGCCGTGAAGCGAAAATTTTTCAATTTTTTTACAGAAAAAATTTTCACTTCCGCGCTTTAACGTGACGTGACGAGACGTGAACGAGTTGGATTAACTGACTGTGAAGAATCGCTAAATTTTTTTTTTATCACACAGAGAGAGAGCTTGAGTTTTTAATAAATAAAAAGGGCACAACATAGAGTGTCATTAATATTTATAATATTTTTATCTTGTTAAATATATTTATAAATTGTGTTATTATTATGTTCGATATATCAACTTGAAGAAAACTTGTGTGAAATAACGATACTCAACAAGTTACAGTTGAAAGTTGGTTAATTAATTTGGCGACCCTTTTTTTAAGCATTTATTTACTATTTTGACAGTTTGCCACAATTTTTTTTAAAACAAACGAAAAAACAATTTTAAAGGTAGAAAAGAACTAAGCTTTCACAAGTTGATTGTTTTAAACAGTTTTTAAATTTAGTTTCAATATTTATTCCTTTTGATCTTCTTTTTTAGAGCTTTTTCAGTCCCCTATTTCTGTATTTTTTTAAATTTAAAACTTTGACGTGTGATATCCCACATATTTTAAAACCACTCAATATTTAATAAGATAAAATTAATTTAAACATAATAAAATGTTAAGTCCGGAACGTCGTACTTCGATGGCTGAACGTCGTCCTTCTTTTGCTAATTTTTCAGGTAATTCAAACCATATAGATACTTTAATGGTACCTCATTTAGCAGGTATTGAAGATCCTTTACCAGAGACTACACCTGAAAAAGTTGATGTATTAATAGCTGGGACAGGTCTTGTAGAGAGTGTTTTGGCTGCCGCTCTAGCTTGGCAAGGGTCTACGGTGCTACATGTAGATACTAATGATTATTATGGTGATAGTGCCGCTACTTTAACAGTTGATCAAATTAAAAATTGGGTAAATAGGGTGAATAATAACGATATTATTTCATATAATAATGCTAAATTATACTTATCTACAAGTATTGGTCCGTCATGTAAATATATGTCAAAGGATTTCGGTATTGATTTATCTCCAAAGATTCTTTTTGCTAAATCTGATCTTTTATCAATCTTAGTGAAATCTCGTGTACATCAATATCTAGAGTTTCAATCTTTATCAACATTCCATACTTATGAAAATGATTCCTTTGAAAAATTGACAAATACAAAACAAGATATTTTCACAGATCAAAATTTATCATTAATGACAAAACGTAATTTAATGAAATTTTTAAAATTTGTTTTAAATTGGGAAGAGATGCCAGAGATATGGCAACCTTATGCCGATAAATCAATTACGCAATTTTTATTTGAAAAATTCAAATTAGAGAAACCTCAAGTCTTTGAATTAGTATTTTCTATTGGTTTATGTTGTAGTGTCGACACAAAGGTTCCTTTAGCTTTACATAGAATCCGTCGTTATTTGATCAGTTATGATGTGTATGGTCCTTTCCCTGTATTATATTCAAAATATGGTGGTGCAGGTGAAGTTTCTCAAGGATTTTGTAGATCTGCAGCCGTTGCAGGTGCTACATATAAATTAAATGAAAAACTATATTCTTACAATCCAACAACCCAAGTTGCTACTTTTACAGATGGATCTAAAGTTACAGTTACAGAAAAGATCATTATGTCGCCAACTCAAGCTCCCGAAGGGAATCAACATATCCCTGATCAAAAATATGAAGTGAACAGAATGGTTTGTCTAGTAGAGAAAGATTGTAAAGAATGGTTCAGTGAAGACGAATCTGCTGCTGTAGTAGTATTCCCACCAGGTTCCTTAAAATCAGGTAATAAACATGTAGTTCAAACCTTAATCCTAGGTGCTGGTTCCGAATGTTGTCCACAAAATACATCTATTTGGTACTTGTCAACAATAGAGAGCGGTGTTCGTGCAGAGATGGATTTGGATGCCGCCTTAGAAGCATTAGAGGTTAGTATTGTTAGGGAATCGTCCAGTGATATTACTGACAATAATGATATTGTTAAGATCGATGAAGATGGTCGTCCAATTATAAATTCAGTTAGATTAGGCCAATCATTTAAAGAGTATATCCCAAGAGAAAGTGTTCAACATTTAATGAAATTATCATATACTCAATATACATCTACACCACCATTTGATGTTGTAAATCCAGCTCTCTTTGATAATGATGAATTAAATAATAGAGCAAACTCCGTGAATAAATTTATTCCAAATGCTAGTGATAATGGCATTATATATACTGCAATGCCTTCAAGCGAGATATCATATGACGAAGTTGTAACAGCGGCAAAAGTCCTTTATGAGAAAATTGTTGGCAGTGACGATGATTTCTTTGATGTTGACTTCGAAGATGAAGATAACGACACCGTACCACAGGGAGCTTCTGTCAATGGGACGATTAGTTACGAAAATGCTATTGATGATGACGATGATGAGGATGTGGACATGGGAATACGCGGTGACGATTCTAATGAATTTGTGGGACAAATGGAAATATGACGAGACGGGGTTCTCTCATATAAAATACCTATACATACATTCACACATACATACATACATACATACATACATATATATATTTGAGAAATATTACTCTATATATTTAATTGATAATTCTTTGAAATCATAAATGGCAGCTCACACATTATACTCTTTTAAAAATGTTTAGAAATGAGAAAAGGAAAGTATATACAAGTCTCAATTGAATCTGTCATCAGTCTTTTATCCTTATGACCCAATAAAAGAAAGGAAAACGAATATGAACGTATGACTGTTTTGACTTTCTCACCATCAGTGCACCCATAAATACTCCTCTTCAATTACACCCACACATCCTTATACTTTAACAGAAAATTATATCAAAAATGTTTTTACTTAATTTTTAAAATTTCAAAAAATTTCACCAAGTTTACAAATATTCAATTTTCTCAGAGTAAACCCGCAGGAATTCGCTTGCCAATACAAATATTAAAGCCGTGAAAACTGAATTCCAAAAATTTCAAAAATCACAATGTTCGGTGATTTCATACATGCAATCTTTCTATAGCTTGGAAAAACTCAACTCAAAATTAATGCAGTTCTACTCAATGTAACGGTTGGAAGAAATGAATTTCACCTCATCACCTCTAATGAAGATTATTGTCTGCTATATTAATTTCAATTCAAGACACTTTCAATCTACAAACGTGTTTTGTTTCAACTCTTGATTAATTAAATATTTTCTTGTTTCATTTTATATAAAAAGTCTTTACGGAGCAGTCTTTATATTTCTCACTAGCGAAGAAGTCAAAACTACCCAATCCAAATCTCATATTAAAAATGTCTGACGTTGAAGAAGTTATCGAAGTCCAAGAAGAAGTTGTTGAACAAACTGCTGAAGTTACTATCGAAGATGCCCTAAAGGTTGTTCTAAGAACCGCTTTGATCCACGATGGTCTAGCCAGAGGTCTAAGAGAATCCACTAAGGCTCTAACCAGAGGTGAAGCTCAACTAGTTGTCCTAGTCTCTTCTGTCACTGAAGCTAACATCACCAAATTGGTTGAAGGTCTAGCTAACGACCCAGCTAACAAGGTTCCATTAATCAAGGTTGCTGATGCCAAGCAACTAGGTGAATGGGCTGGTCTAGGTAAGATCGACCGTGAAGGTAACGCCAGAAAGGTCGTCGGTTCCTCCGTTGTTGTCGTCAAGAACTGGGGTGCTGAAACCAGTGAACGTGACATGATCCTAGAACACTTCTCCCAACAATAAATGGATTAACATTTCGATTGATATAGAATAATCATTTTTATCCCTATTATTAACGTCTTATTATTTTTAATTATTATATAATTGCATTTTTATATTGATATATAATATTAATAAGAAAGAAGTATAATTTATTTTATTAAAAAAGCAGTGTGTATATTCATATAATGCATGTAGATAAAAGGTTTCATCATAATACCTAGAAGAATAAGGGTAAATCTCCATTACCATATGTAACACTGGAATTAGTCATGCTATGCTCTTCCTCATCATCATCATCATTATTCATCACGTCAACGGTGGTATTCTCATTGTTTTCACCATCCATGAAACTTTTGGTAACCATCTCTGTTTGTTCTGTGGTTAGGTTTAATATATTTGAACTCTCTATATTGGACCCAGAGTTGGTACTATTATTATTAACATTGCCATTTGGATTAACATATCTTGGCATAGCTGTAATATTTTGTTTCTTAACCATACCAAATTCATCTACATTCATAAACAATTCAATCTCATCTTGTGTATTTTGATCTGTCATTTCTTTCTCAAGAAGACATATTTCACTGACGATACCAGGGTAATCATTAGGTAAATCCATAGTAATATTTCTGGATGATGTAGATTTATTACGTGTATCTTTATTATTCCTACTATTTTGTCTATTATCAGATATTAGTATATCATCTGTCTGACTCAACACATTAACACTAAGAAGACCATTGACGTCCATTCTAAATAAGACTTTACTAGCAATCTTAGTACTTAACCTAATCTTGTCAAAAGTTGCAAAATCGAAGGATCCTATCACTGGAACATTGTAACACAATGTTGTAGAATCATCTTTATAAACTTCCAATTTTTCAAGGATTGATCTATTACCAGGTATAGTAATCTTCGAAAGTCCCAAAGCTGATTTAGATATGAGTGCAAATATATTTTCACCTGTATCCATCGTCTTTGCATACAAGTAACATTCTTTACAATTAGTTTCTTTCAAATCCTTCAATGCACTATAGAGGACGTCACCTTTTATGATACATTCGAACATCATATGCTCTTTATCCAGTATTAAACCGGTATTATCTATATCTTTTATCACATAAGTTCTATATTCCACTCTTTCAGAGATCATTGAATCCTCGAATATCAGAACAAAGGGGGATCCATTCCCATCATATGATAACGTACATTCCACAATATCGTCAATATTTTTATTCATTATATTGACACTATCCAATAAATGGTTAATCTTAACACACAGCTTCATATATCCTTCACTATTCTCTTTATCATTCTCATCACTAGGATCATTGTAAGAATATGACATAAATAGCTCTCGGGCTAGCAGTAACTGTATCTTAATGACATGGTTATTCTCACGGACAAATGATAGACCGTCTTTATCAATATATATCAGGACATCTTCTTTCAGGCCAAATGCTGTTAAACAATTTAATGCTGTAGTAATATGATCCAAATGTACGGTTGTAGCGACAAATTTAGACCCTTCATCTTCCAAACCAATCCTTACCATATCTAAGCACCATTAATATCCAGAAACTTTCTATTACAATGTCTATATCGATACCTGATGTGATATTTTACCTCTTTATCATTCTTGTCCATCATGTACATTTAAATAAACACATTTCAATAGATTCTGATTTTTTAGTTTAGCGCGGCTCCAATCGAATCCATTTAAGAGTGAATCGTATCTCAATATGGATAAAACTGTAGCTTTACTTCTTAACATGATTCAAACAACTTTATCCACTGAGTGATAACAAACAACGGCATATATAATGAATCAAGCAGTGAGAATAGCATCTCGTACAAAACCTCATACCCATGTTTTAATTGTGTTGCATGGTCTAGGTGATACGGGTCAAGGATGGACTTTCTTAGCATCTGAATTACAACAGGAAAAATGTTTTGATTCCACAAGTTTTATATTTCCAAATGCACCACACATTCCAATTACTGCTAATAGTGGGATGCATATGCCTGGTTGGTTCGATATCAAAGAGTGGGACCCACACATGAAGCAATTCGATACAGAGGGGTACCTCAAGTCATTACAATGTGTCGAGGACTACGTTGAGGAGCAAATGAAGAATGGAATTCCCGCTAAAAATATCATTATAGGTGGGTTCTCGCAAGGTGCAGCTTTAACATTAGGTAGTACATTAAATCTTAAGGAGAAAATTGGAGGGTTTTTTGCTTTATCTGGGTTCATTAACTCTGGTATCAAGGATGTCATATGGGATAATGAGGTCAATAAAAGCGCCAAAAGTTGTAATTTAGATACACCAATCTTCCATGGCCATGGTGACTGGGATCCAATTGTTGCAATAGAAAAGGGTAAACAGGCTGAGAGATATCTTACAGAGGAGTGCCATTTCAAGGATTATAACTTCCACGAGTATGCACATCTCGAACATTCAGTCGCACCACAAGAATTAAGGGATTTGACCAATTTTATCAAGAAATGTTGGCAAATGTAGATTCGCTATATAATTCAGTACTACCCTTAAATAATCAAACCTAACTGATAAATAATTGAAGAGAATTGTGCCCTATTACGATTGGTTTATTCATTCATATTTCTGAGGAGAGATGAGATGTTAATAAATATTTTTCTGTTGATCATCCGAAAATTAAAACTTGAAGCGAATATTAAAAGTTTCAAAACAAACTTTACCTATAAAGATTTTACTTGAAATATTTTACTGAAGAGTACCTTATTGATCTATATTTGCTGACCACTAGTGATAGTATCTGTGGTATGCATAATGAGTGAAGAATATGAGAGTACACAGTTATCTGTGGACAGTATTTTAAGCGATGTTTATGCCAAAAGAAAATCTTTTAAGGCTCAACCCAAAATTGATATTCTAGATATCGATGAACTTAGGGAATTACAAGGAAGGAAACGTAAGGAGTTTGAATCCTACCTCAAAAGAAATAGGTTGGATATTAGACAATGGTTACGATATGCTTCGTTTGAATTGGAACAACGTGATATGAGACGTGCAAGATCTATATTTGAAAGAGCTCTCTTGGTTAATAGTGCACATATCCCGCTATGGATTAGATATGCTGATTCTGAAATAAAATATAAATATTTAAATCATGCTAGAAATATCTTAGACAGAGCTATTACCACACTACCGAGGGCTGACAAATTGTGGTACAAATATTTATTCTTAGAAGAGTCATTGGAAAATTGGGATGTGGTTAGATCATTATATAACAAATGGTGTTCGTTAGAGCCTGAAAGAGGCGTTTGGATTTCAAATATTGATTTTGAAATACGACAACAGAGATATGATAATGTTAGAAATATTTATGAAAAATTTGTATTAGTTTATCCAGATGCTGAAACATGGTTATCATGGGTGAAATTTGAATCTATATATGGTACCGTTGAATCTATTAGGAATATATACTCAATGGCTTTGGATGTCCTTATATCATATGAATCCACTATGGTCCAAAATGACAATTATGAAACTGGAATAACGAAACTAGCGCTGTTATTTGCTCAATGGGAAGTTTCCGAAAGGGAATATGAGAGAGCCGCAACTATTTACAAGGTTTGTCGAGACAAATGGCCAAATAACTCTATTGTGATTAAGAGTCAAGACGAATTTAATAGAAATTTTGGAAGTGTGACGGATATTGAGGATACTTTAATTGCGAAGAGGAAAATTAGTTATGAAGAGGAGTTGAACAATGACGTTACAAATTACTATACTTGGATGCTTTATATCGACTTGATCCAAAAATATTACTCTCAAAATATCATTGATGTCTTTGAAAGAGCTGTGACAACTTCCATACCAAAGCAGAAAAAAAAAAAGGATATCCAGTGGAAGCGTTACATATACTTATGGATCAGATACTTTACATTCATGGAATTGAATAAAAATGACATTGAGCGTAGCAGAACGTTATATAAGCGATGCTTGAATAAAATTATTCCACATAATACCTTTACATTTAGCAAGATTTGGATTATGTATAGTGAATTTGAAATTAGGCAAAATAATCTACCATTAGCAAGGAAAATACTTGGTAGAGCGATAGGGATGTGTCCAACTACAAAAATGTTCAAAAAATACATTGAGTTGGAAATAAAATTAAGAGACTTTGACAGAGTACGGAAAATATATGAAAAATATATCGAGTATACGCCTTCAGAGAAAGATATTTGGTTGGAATATGCAAAATTGGAAGAGAATTTAGGAGATGAAGAACGAGCTCGTGCTATTTTCAAGATTTCATTACAAGACGATGTGAGCGACATCCCCATAATGTCTCAATTATCTCTACTTGATAGATTTATAAAATTTGAAACAGAAGCACAAGAGTATAATAATGCGCGCTCTTTATATGAAGTATACCTCCGTAAAAGCAATTATTCCACTAAAATTTGGATTTCTTATGCAATGTATGAGAGTTCTGCTCCAACAGAAAACCAGCTGGAAGCATTATACGGAAATAGTAACAGTGAATCAGAAGGAAGTGATGATGATGACGATGATGTAGAATTTAAACCGACAGAGGAAAATTTTGCAAGAGCCAGAATAATATTTGAGCGAGGATTAGAATACTTTAAAGAGAGAGAAGATGGGAAGAACAGGTATATATTATTCCAAGCATATGAAGAATTCGAGGAAAAGTTTGGCTCTGCCGAAACTAATCAACGAGTTGTGCAACAAGCACCTAAGACAGTTTTACGTGTCAAAGACGAAAATGGCATTCAAAGGGAATATACCGATTATGTGTTTCCAGACGATTCTTCGCCTTCTGGAAAGGTGAACGTATCTCGTTTTCTTGCTTTCGCAAAGAAATGGAAAGAAGAAGAAGAAGAAGAAGAAGAAGAAGAAGAAGAAGAAGAAGAAGAAGATAAGAAGGATGAGACACACGAAATGTAAGCCATATGTCTATTCACTTGAAAACAATATTTATAAAAGGTTTTTCAACTTTATATACATATAAATATTCTATTAATGCATCGATTAGTCCATATCCCCTGTAATGTGCATTACTATCAAAGTAATTTATAGAGAATGAGGGATTCGTCGTCATTATAAACCTGGCGGGCCTGATAATTCTGGAGTATCTCCTGTATTTCTTGGACCATTATCCGGGATTCCTGGAGGTAAATTCAAATCATTTGACAAAGAATCCAATCCAGGAGGTGCGCTTGATACCGAACTCAATCCGGGTGGCAAGTTCGATACAGAATCTAATCCAGGTGGTACATTTGAGGTAGAATCTAATCCAGGAGGTGCATTTGAGGTAGAATCTAACCCAGGTGGTACCATGTTAGGGCTTAATCTTGCTGGCTCATTGAAAGTATCCAACCCAGGAGGAAGATTACTAGATGATGATAGAGCAGGAGCTGCTCTATCTCTGTTAACATTGGAGCGATCAGAATGTACTATAGCTTGCTGTAGTTGTGGTGGCGTAGTACCTATATTACTAGATTCCTCATATGATAATCTCACATTCTGTGCTTGCTGTCCATTATTTGAATCAGAATATCTATTGTACCGAGAGCCTCCATTATTATTGCCAAATCTAGATTGATATTGTGTTCCACGGTCATATTTACCACTACCACTTTGGTTTATGGCACTATATCTGGAGTTTCCCGTGTGAATAGTACCTTTGTTATCGTTCGATCCCTGGAATGTATTAGTATCCATATCACGACCAGTATTAGGTAGCGATGGTGCATTATACTTATTGGAATATGAGGGACAATCCCTCGTCGTATGACCTGTCTGACCACAGTTGTTACACAAAACCTGTTGGGCAAACGAAACTCTATTGGGACAGTCATATTTCATGTGGCCCTTTAAGCCACATATTGAACAAGGTCTATCATCTTCTCGCAACGTACCGTTCAACTCCGCTAGTTCCCTTAATTGACCCCTCTTCAAATCATTTTGACCTTCTGGAGATGTAACAGCTCTAATAACGATTGCTTGACAAGCCTTAATACCCTCTTGCACTTTCTCCTCCGAATCTGCTATTATTAAGCAATGTAATGGATCTTCCATATTTGTTGCGCCCTTTGGTAAATCGTTAGAATGTTTACCTTCTTTCACAGAACCTCTACCTCTTATTGCAATCTTGCACTTCGAACTTTCTTGTAACTTCTTCAATGTATTACCACGAGGTCCTAATAATAATCCAACAAAATTAATTCCACTATACTGGTCTACAGGAATGTAATATTTTTCCTGGAATTTGGTGGGCCTAACATAATCTTGAGGTGGAACATAAAACGGTATCATCTTCAGAGCAATTTCTACAAGCCTATATCTTTCATCTTCTAAACATTTTCTATATCTTTGTTCATCTGTATTAGTTCTTTTCCCATCTGCATCATAGACAGGATTCGGACTAGGCATTCTTGTAAACCATTTCGGTAGAGGCAATGTGTCTCTTCTCAATAGTTCAGTTATTTCTTCGATCCGAAAGTATGCTTCATAAGCATCCATTTGCTCAAATGTTAGGGCTCCAGTTATAGCTGTTGGTAATTGGTTAGAGGTCTCTTTAGTTGAGTTGTCAGCTGAAACATCATCCCAAAAATTAATATGGCCTGGTACTTTATTTATTATGTTAGCCATATTGTGTAATATCCTGCTATCTGCTTATTAGATTTTGGTATTAATATCGTAACAATAACTGCTAACAAAAAACGACTATCACTCTAACTTGTCGTGCAATATCTTTAATTAATAACCATCTGTGAAACATGTATTAGAAAAGTAATCATCCGAAATAAAAATCATGAAGTTTTCTTAAGCTCATTGCATTTCCCGAAAACCGTGAAAAGCGAGAATAATTCACTTTAAAATGTTATTCATATAAACAAGTGCCATTAATGCTGACGAACATATATGTATATATTGTTATTATTTCATTTATACCTAAGTTAAAAATACTAATACCCTAAACTTTCGCAAGCATTTCTGTAATTGTTGATTTTACTGTGTCAAATATGTCAGAAGGGAACCCATTAATGACGGTTTCTCCATCGCTTACCTTTCTGACAGCAACTTGACCATCTACTACCAATGTACCTTCTCCCTTGAATTCTGCTTTATGGTTTAGTTCCATTAGTTTTCTTCTCACTTCTGCAAGTCTGATATCACCAATGGATAGTGATCCATTAGTATGCCTTTTATTATTGGTTATTATCGGTTTTAGTACAAGCTTACTTCTCATTGAACCAGATTTTTGTGATGGAGCTTCTTTTACTATTCTACCAATAACATGCGCCACAGTATGACCTTCTCCAATCCTTTGCCATCTTAAAGATTGATCCAATTCTATATCTAAGCTAATATCCAACGTCTTCACTATGGTATCAAACTCGACGTTTTCATTGTATGGTATGTCAACCATTTCAATTTTTCTTTTAAGTAGAATGGATACAACATTTTCATCTTGTATTTCTTTAGAACCAAGTAGTATAATTTTCCTAGGTTTCAAGGTAGGCCATATAACTGACGCTGATCTTTGATCAACAACATTGTCTAGATTTATGAATGATAACTGACATGAAATGGTCGCCGTCTCCTTTTGAAATATTCTTAAACATGGATGATTCTTGGCATCTAGATATTCAAGGTTGTCAAATTTCATCTTTTCTTTTTTCTTTCTTTCCGCATTCTCTTTTTCAGTTTGTCTATCTTTCTTTTGTTTCTTTGAACGATTTGTTGCTTCAGAATTATTCTCTTTCTCATCTTCATTGTCTCGTACATTTCTCTTTTGACTACTAATTTTATCTTCTTCTTGTTCTTTGCTTTCCTTTGGAATTAGTTGATCTATATTTACAAAAGAACCATATTCATCAATCTTATGCTTTACCGGTTTGAATTGGAACATTTTGTTCTTAATCGACGAATTTGGCAAGATGATTGTATCCATAGGTATCTCATGTTCTTTATTATTCTTACCTTTACCTTTTAATATATCAATGAGATCATCGTCATCTTCATCATCATCATCGTCATCCTCACCATTCACATCTCCAATAACCCTATTAGTCCCGTCAGGTGAAACAATGGTCCCATCACCAAACGAGTGCGCAAAACTACCAGACAATTTTGACTCCTTCCGTAAAACTATCTCATCTTCTTTTCTTTGCTTTCGTCTTCGGTCGATCTTCTCATTAAATTCAATCAACGACTCATCTTTTAGAGGCTTCAGATTGGCAATTTCGAATTCTGCAGTAGTTGAGTAACTAATATTTGCCCCCTCCTGTACCTTACCATTTGCATGTTCCAACCATTCTACTTTCATCTTGTCAAGAATTGGTTGGTTGTTCTCACGGTTGGATGTTAATAACACTGTTACATTAGATATTTCACTCAAATTTTTCATTGTTTCAGAAATACATGAATCAACTTCTGAAACAAAGCAAATAGAAGGACCTTTTTGTTTCAAGATTTCTTTTGGAGTAACTGGCTTCAATATATTATTGACATCAAAGGGTGACCGACCATTTCTATTTTCCCATTTCTTAATGATAGTTGAGGATAACCATTCCATCATAGATTGTGCGTAGGTCACCGTTCTCCCTTTAGCATATGATACTAGTAATATAGGTACCTTTGATTGTTTCCCATTATTCGATCTTTCATACAGAAAATTGTGTGTCATTGCTAATAAATCTAAGAAATTCCCACCAATTTCACACGGTATTATAACAGAACCGCCGTCCATCAATGATTTCCTCAAAGTCTCATTAAACATATTTACACGTCTCTTTAAAGGCCGAGATGAACCAAACTGAGTCAAACTAGTGATAACGCTAGATGGTCTACTTAGGGCTGATAATGACTTACCACTACTGTCCAACAAGGCCGCAGCATTTAGAATAGTACTCTTCGAATGATTCCAATTTTTCGCATACAATAACTTCTCAGAGTAATTAGTTATACACCAAATGGAAGAGCCAGGTGAGTAACCAGAACTATAAGCTGTCATTGACAGTCCATCATATCTGGATCTCAAATCGACATCCTGAGAAAACTTCAAGGCTTCAATAAAATCAAATGCTGATTCAATGTCATCAATATCCATTTCGTTTGAAGCATATGGCCCTGCCACACCTCCTGAAACATATAAATCAATTGTAGCGACCCTTCCTAGATTTGTTATGGGTAATGTAGTGTATACATGTATTCTAGAGATAAAATGGGAAAGAAAATTATAGTAAAGTAAAGGATATGCTCCTAAACAATCAACTGTTGATTGAGATATCAATATAATATCCACATCAGGAATAATCGAAGCCCAAAAGGACACTGACTTATCATATGGTACCTTTGAATTGGACCATGCTGGATCCAGTAATATCGTAACAGTCTCAAAGCGAATTACTGTCCCAACACACACACCTGAGCCATCCTCAAGCGTTCGTAGTTTGTATGCCATTGTAGTGATTATCTTAGTAGTCTACAAATTCAATACATGAAATGTCAATTCAAAGCCAAAAGGGGTTCCAATTGGACTCTTTAACTATTGGTCCTTTCAACGTTCATTGTTATAATAAATATTATATTCGAATAATTCTCCTTTTCGGAGGGCGATGCGACTTTTTTTTTTGGTTCATGGAACATTTCTTCAAGGTATAGATAGCCACAACACCTCTTATCGGTATATTTTTGGATAAACGTTGGGATATATTAACAAAAGATGCCAATGAAGTTTTATTTTATAATACTGTGCTAAGATAAGAATTGTTATATTTTCTTGGGTGAATTTTATTTTGAAACTTAGCTTTATTCTTTACATTACATCAAAATTGAAGGAGCGAAGCTTAAAGCAAAATTATTACTATCAAACATGGAAAATTCTGACAGTTCTGTGATATTTGGCATATGTTTGGTGGATTTTCATCATAAGAGAGGCCCTGAAATTGAGTATTGGCACGGGTTACCGGATGGGGTAAAGAAGGATGGACTTTGGACAAATTTACCCTTTCAAGCTCTTCCAGATGGGTCCCATTCATTCGAGGAAACATTCACCTATTTCACTTTATTATACGACGAAGATAATCATTGTAGCCCAATAAATGGAGCTACCGAACTTTCTGCAAATGATGTGAATAATTACTCGACGTTATTCGCCATATCTTGCTCTAGACAAATTAAAACTGACGATTTACTAACAAAGGATAAAGATGTCACACGTTCCACCGTCCAAAAAGCAATCGTAGTAGTATTTCGTGAACCAATATTTGGTCAAATTAGAGATAAATTAAGTATCGTTACAAATGCTTACTTTCTTCAACATGATTTTACAGATAAACAGATATTGGTATCCCTATATGACAATTTGAAAGTGCTCTATAAATCCTCTTCGACAGAAGACATATCAAATTCCGCGAATAGACTGTATATTGGATTATGTCTACGGAAGGTTGTACATGATTTCAAAAAGGATGTTTTAATATTATTGAAGGCAATGATATTAGAGAAAAAAATTATATTTTATGGGAGCAATGTGGAATACTTGTGCAATTTACAGTTCAGTTTGATTAGTCTCATACCGTCTTTATTATTAGATTTACGGGATAGTGGGAGCCCCCTAACGTATAAGGATATATCAAAGATGGAAAGAGCCACATCATTTAAATCAAGTGATCGTAAGTCGGTTTTAAAGTTTTTAGGATTGCCATTACAAATATTCCAGAAAGGTGGCTTATTTTCACCATATACACCACTCCAACAAGTTGATGATATTAAATCGGAGAAGACTAATTTTTTCGTTGTCGGTTCTTCTAATTCGTTACTTTTTGAAAGAAGAGATGAATTATGTGATATATTGGTGAATGTTGATACTCTGTCACTAGAGATAATTAATAAATCATTAGATGGACCTTTACAACTTACTGGACATGATAAGAAATGGATTGAATCTATTGTTGCCATCGTCGAAGAAACGTGGAACGAAAATGATGATGAAACACCCAAGAATTCACAATTCAAAGGTAGTGAAGACTTTATAAGATGGCAGTTTGAAGATTATATAACTGGTCTTCTCTCCTCTGTAAAACTTTTTGACTATGTGAATTCCAACAAAGATAACCCAGTTGCATTACAAAGCATACCTCAAGATTATCTAAATTTGAATCCCTGGAGTTTATATAATATCCATTGGGTAAACATGTGGGAAACTACAAGGAATTATGAAATTTTCAACAAATTGACAGATGATAGACTTTTTGATTTGTTTGTTCCAAAGCATGCCTATAATGGTGTTGATAACTTTGTAATATTTCAACAGAAACTGATCTCGGCATTCCAAAATCTCAGAAAGCACCCATCCACTGATGCGCCTTCAAACAAAAGTATAGAAGATGAACAAGTGTCGAAGGTGGTAAGTAATGGAAATACAGTTGATAATGAAAAGAAAACTCACAATGATAATGAACCCATTCCAAAGGAGAATGTTTGGTCATCGTGGAAGGACTACTTTAACAGGAAGAAAATTAAAAATAATGAAGATGCAACATGTTTGAATAACGATACTAATGATACAGCCAATTCAGTTATATCTAAAGGTAGCTCTAACAATTCCAAAAAAACGAAAAATGACGACAACACAACGAATACAAATTTACAACAAAATTCAACAAGAAAAGCTATTGAAAATGCCCTATTAGGTCTTGGATTGCATCGTGATAATCATCAAAGGGACTTAAATGAAAGTAGCGATGACGATGACAACAATGAATCGTTTAGTTCTGCAAAGGTAAACCAGGATGAGAGTTTTAGCTCTAAAGAACAGGAGAAATCTAGTAACTTCATTCCAAGAGATGAAAATTCAAACTCGGATAGTATGACTGCTGACGATTTGATATTAACGGAAGATGAAAAAGAGGAATATGTAGTTCCGGATGACACAACTAAGACAGACAAATAAATTAGATAAATAAAAATATAACGAAATGATGACTAAATTATTTTTTCCATATTTAGTACTTATATATATTTTCAAACTCTCTTTTTGGTGTGGAAAATTTAATCAGTCCTATGCAAAAAAGGGAAATCCATTTATGCAAGACATACATGGTCTGTAAGATTACTAACCAGGGGTTAGCATTTATAAGGTTTGAGGTTAATTTGGTTGAATTTAACAGAAAAAAAACAACAAATATTAAGTTATTTTCATTATTACAAATACAGCAAAAGGGACAACAACATTTGAAGAGCTACATACATCTCATGAAAAATAAAATGAAGCTCTGCGGCTCTTTTGTGTAAAAAGAAAAAAGGGGCATACTGGGAATTGAACCCAGGGCCTCTCACATATTCGAGTTTAGAACCCAAAGCGAGAATCATACCACTAGACCACACGCCCAATTAATTTAAAAATATTGACTCGAAAGCAATATAAAATATATATAAGAATTATTTGGGACACAACTGCGACATGACTTAATAATAGGTTACTGATGGGAAAATTGAATATTAGACATCTTCTATTTAACTGAACAAATTTTATTATATTACAAAATCAACTTATAGTCGTCTGAGGTTTTATATCTTATACAAAAATATATAAAGTAAATTATGGAAACAATTATATTCATAAATGAAATATTGTTCCATTTATATATGTTGGATTATCATTGTCGTGATTATAAACTCACTCGACAGTGGCGTAAGTAATCTATTATTAAGTTGTTGCGGGATGAACCTATTGTTAGATCATTGCGGGATGAATCTATCAATAGATCATAACCTTGGTCATTATCCCTCTTATAATATATTTCCGACAGTTACTGTGGATACACAATGTTGTAGACAAACTGAGATAGAGTGTTTACCTCTATTAGTCTCTTCAAGCTTTACTATATTTAATTCGGACATTTTTTAATACGATAATCGATTGGTCTCTTTATATTATATATAATTTATAGAACGAATAGAATCTAATTTCGAATGTGAGCTGAAGCTGACATACTGTGGTTAGACTTATATTCGTTCATTATTTAAGGTATTAGGTATAGAGGTGAATGGTGTAGCTTGAGGTTTGATGTGTTATAATATAGAAAGTAGCAATACTTAGTTATTACAATTTTATGTTTAGTAAGAAATTATTACTAACTGTTCAATATGATTCTAGAACATTCTTTAAGAATGATTAGTAAGCAAGTATTACTAATTGTTTCATAAGTGTCTAGAACATGTTTCAAGAATGTTTAGTAAAAATACTATCAATATTTGGTAGACTGTTTTCCTTTTCCAAAAGTATAAAAGGACCACATATTCTAGCTTTATATATATACAATCTTCCTTATATAGACTTACTTCATATAACATAAAATAAACTACAAGATTATAAATTTGAATATCTATAACTATGTCCGATAATTTCAACTCGAATACTAATCGTATATTCTCGATTTCAAACTTACGTTTACACTACCTTTGAAGGATTAATGACCTGCTCACTAATATATCACTAGCTATAAATATTTGGTACTAAAAGTTTATCTGCTATAACATAATCTCGACTCAACGGGTTTAATCTTTCCATGTTGAATAAGTATTAGGTGATACGAAATGTAAAAATTTGTAAGAAATATTTACAGATTATAAAGGAATCTATATTAAAACTTAATAAAGTTTTTTACAATGGTATGTATCCAAATAATACTTTTAGGCATTACGAAATCACTACTTTCAAATTTTATTTTATGCATATAACATAAAACTGATAATCTTTCTCTTAATATATATAAAGGTATTAACGCACTAAAACCTCTCCTGTTTTTTTCCTTTAAAAAAACAAGGACCTTCGGATTTACCTATGTTAAAACATTAGGATCTTATTCATTTGTTCTGACTACATACATATTGATTTCTATTTTTAATCCTTCTTGTTTATTTAATTTAAAATGTAAATATGTTTACCTTTTTCTTAATTTATTCACAATTAAATGCTTTGAAAGATTTTCCGAAATGGAGTGGTTCATATTTAAGAAGATTGTGGGTGTCCCATTACTGTAGCGATGACATATATAGTGATAAAAGAGATATGTCAAAAGTATCACATGTTTCAGTTCCGTTCAAGCTAGTTGTCTTAAAGGACAATAACATATTCAAACATTTCAAAGGCTGTAACACGGAGCTTATCCATCGTGCTGTTATGCCGACTGTTCCCAGACTGGGAGTAACCAGTTCAGGTAACGTTCCAAACTCCGAACCCTTAGCTGAGTATTACAGCCACTTTAGTAAATTCCCAGATATTTTACTTAATACTTAAGTAACTTTTATTTCCAAGAAGGTCGGCGTTTTTTAGCCATGTTTCGGGTATTTGGAGCTAAGAATCAGTTGACGCATATAGACCAATTTTCAAGAGAATCCATGACAATAAATCCTATGTGGTCGTGTTACTATGGACATTAGGTAGACAATCTAACGCTGACATTCTAACTGGAGATGGCCTATTATTTGTTTCGGCTCTGATAACATTTATTAGAACGACTCATTCAAACAAATTTCAGAAAAGGTTAAGAACTTTGAAATGTGCGTTGGCAATTTCCGAAATCAAACAATATATCGAGGATTTCAAAGTGTCAGCAAGAAATACTGTATCTGCAGGTAACTTGACGTTGCATCCAAATGAGGTTAAAAAGTTAATGAATGGTGATGATAGAACTTTGATTGGTTTTGGAAGATACTGGATTGTTAATTTTAATTTACCACATCGTTTAGTAGGTGGTGTTCCATTGAATATCTATAATATAAATGTATATTATATAGGATAAACAATGCTTGACACATTCAGTTTTTAAAATGTCGAGTACTCACAAAATTTCATAATATATTAAGAGGCGTGAAACCATAACTCATCACAATCTTAGTAGATTGCCAACCCTCCATTAAAGCCGTTTTGTAGTTGTAACAATGGTTTAGATATGAATATATGGTAGTTTCCTATTATTTTTAAAGACATTTCAAACAATTAATTAAATTATTACTATTGCAAAGGTCTGGCTATCTAATTATAAAAATTGCTGTTTCAATAGGGTGTAACCGTTATCTAGCGAGGTGAAATTCCCGTCATCCCTAATTTACAATTAGAACAATAAATTTTACAAGGGATAAAAGAAGCAAGGATTTAAAGTACTGATTTTTTGAGATTCAATAACATATAGGATCCAAACTGCTAAATACAGAACATATCAAGGATCAGTAAATTCGGACAAGGGATGTATAATATTGATATATAGTAAAAGTCCAGATTTATATCTTATTCTTATGAAAACTAACGCCGAAAATTTCAAATGTAACCGTTGTTGGTATAATTATCCTCCCTTGTTAAAACTAAAAAAAAAAGATGAACGTAATTTAGTATTCAATAAAGGAAAAATTATCGATGACTCAACTGAAAAAATACAAACACATACATTAATTCATTGTGTGAGCCCATTTTCATCATATTAGGAATTGTAATGAGAAATAATGTCAGATACATTAAAAGTTTCTTTTTTTCTTTTCAGAATTGCTGCTGCCAATCTAAAAATAACTTGAGCGGGGGAGAAAAAGAAATGGCAAATCTGGATTCTTTTCATGTAATTAATTCTATCAATAAAGAAGGCTGGGTTGCTTGAGTGGGAACTGCGGGATTTTCTTTGTAAATACCAGCAATATTCCTAATTGGGTAAATGAAAAAACCTTAGAAATTTAGCTTTTTTCACCGAAGACTAAAATCCTAATCCAGAAAAATCTATAAATAACTTATGCGAAGTTTATTTACTAAAATGGATAGGTAATAGGAAATTCAGGGAATGGGGAGTAAAACGGGATTTATCTAGTTTTCCATTATATTGTCAGCCGTTTGGATAGTACTATGACAAAGGGCTGAGTATAATGCCCCCTTATTTTTTTTGTCATTCAGGGCTAATTAATAAATAAGAAAGATCCTTGTCATGCGCAATGCGATCAACTGCAGCACAATAATAAAATAATTGAAGGAGTTTAGTACCTCTTTGATTTACAGTTTTTTGGAAACCACTGGCTTTATAGTAAAAAAAAAGAAAATTGAGGGTATATACGTAGAATATGAAAAGGTTTATATATCTCTTTTAATGATGGGAATTTCTTTTTAATAGAGACATGAAAATAATCATAGATGACAATATATACGTTGGTAAAAATAAAATTACATATTTGTATTATGGAATTAATGCTACACTACATGTAGTAGTTTGTACATTCATTTACAGAGTTATATCAATACAAAATAACATCTAGACATGGCATAATGAATATGCGACGTAATACTTTTATTCGATCGTAATAATGATGATGATGATGATGATGATGATGATGATGATGATATCAATCAAGATTGTTCGAATTCATTTGCATAATGAATGGCTTGATTAGCAAATGTAGTTATTGTATCATGCTCATTAGTATTATTTTTATTGCTTGGATCACCATCAGCTGTCTTACCAGATGTTGAAGAAGTAGTTCCTGTAACCTGTGACTCGACTTGAGTACCGGATTGTTGATTTTGTGCTTGTGCTTGTGCACGAGCATGAGCATGTGCCTGAGCTTGAGCTTGAGCAGCTGCAGCAGTAGCAGCTGCAACTTGATCATCAAAAGTAGCATTTGTATCAATTTGTCCGTTAGTACCACCAATCTTATGGAAATCTAGAATTTCTGAATACATCATGACTCTCCAGGTATCTACAGGTAAATCTGCGTCATTGAAATGCCAATCAAATTTAGCATCAGCGACAGGTTCATCAGTTGGATCATGATATGGAGCTAGATAAGGATGAGTTAATGCATCTGCTGCTGTAATTCTCTTTTTAGGATCAAAGACTAACATTTTTTCAAGGAGATCCACAGCATCTGGCTCCACATTTTTAAATCGTTGACTGAATGGTACAGAATCTCTATGAGGTAAAGATGTTACAAATTTCAAAGTATTTTCAGAACATATCGTATTAATAACGTCTTCTGGTGGGGAACCTAACAAATCAGTAATAATAGAGAATTGATGGACATGATCTTTACCTGGGAATAAAGGTTTTCCTTCGATCATTTCTGCAAAGATACAACCTGCAGACCAAATGTCAACTTCGACATCATATTTTTGCCAAGTTAACATAATTTCGGGAGCTCTATAATATCTTGTTGATACATAACCTGTCATTTGTGGATCTTGAATTCTTGCTAAACCAAAATCGCAAATTTTCAAATCACAATTTTCATTAATTAAGATATTACTTGGTTTTAAATCTCTATGAATCACGCCAGCTGAATGAACATATTTCAAACCACGTAAAATTTGATATAAGAAATATTGAACGAATTGTTTCTCTAAGGGTCTAGTTTGTAATAATCTATGTAAATCAGTACCTTGTAATTCTGTAACGAAATAAATATCTTCTAAAGGAGATAAAAAGATATCTTGTAAACCGATTAAATTTTCATGTCTTAAATGTTTTAATAATTTTAATTCTCTATATGTTCTTTTGGCCAATACTGCAGTTGAAAATGGTTTCATAATTTTTTTAATTGCAACAGGTTGACTTGTTAAAGTATCGGTAGCAGAACATACAAGACCAAATGCACCCATCCCAACGGGGTTTAAGTCTGTATACCTATTAGTGATTTCGAATACAGTTCCAAAGATCTGTGTTCTAATAAATTCTTCATGCGATGTCATCTTTGTTTTGGTTATATTTGCTTTCTCTATCTATCGATATAATCTAATTTAACAAGATGAAGAATATCTTAGTTAATAAGAACAATTGATATATACTATATACATATACATGCATATATGTTACTTAAACTTGTTATGTGCAGTAGTTAGTTATTTTTTTGGTTTAGTTGCTAGCATAGTTCGATAACGTTTAGTAAATCCCAAAAGCTGCTCCACAATGGCGTAATTTCCCACCACTTCGAAAAAACAAGCTAAAAAAATAAACACCAATTAATGTCCGGCTTGAAAATCAGAAAAAATTAAATTAATTAGCAAGGCAGATGCTTCGTCCATAACGATACAGAATGCTGTTACCCCCACATTCCATCAAAAATTCAAAGAGTGTTACCCTCACTATCACATTGAACGAAACAATCTATAAATAGAGTTATTTTAATAGCTGAATCCCTTACATACACAGATATGAAAAAAACCAAACCTGTTTGAAATCCCGGTATATAAATTCCGCAATTATGAATATTTAGTAGACCACATTAAGACAAGAAGAAGAAAAGAAATGACGGGTGGGAGAGGAGGGAGGTTTAGGTCCATTACAGAACGGGCAAAACAACCTTATCGTTGGTCTCCCCTCCCTCTTGCTTACCTTCCCAAAAACAAAAAAAATGCATATTTAAATATTTTGGGTCATTAGCTATATAGTTATCTGAATGTGTTCCCCACCACTTCAATTGATGATAAACAGATAGAATGAATACCCACCAAGTTTGAGTGTAAAACATATATGGACGGTTGTTTTTCTTTACTATGTATTTTTTTGCTGGGTTTCAACATACAGTAAAAAATACGTTCTGTAACAAAAAAGAAACAAATATTTAGTGTGCCAACAGCAATAGCCATAGCAGTAGCGCGTAGTTTAGCTTGTTTATTTCGCTAACAAACAAGAAGGTAAAGATCTTGTCTCTCCTCTCATCAAAAAAACGGACCGCAACAGCTTTTTTAGTTGTCGTTACTGCTTTGCAATAAATAAATATATATATTTTTTTGAAAAGTTTTTTTCTTCAGTAAGAAACTCGCACCAGATCCCGTGTCCCGAATAGGAAGTATTCCAAACAACAGACCCACCCGGGTTCCGGCAGGGTAGGCCCAGAAAAAAGGGTACAAACGCCGGCAAAAGCACACATTCTCAGACGCGTTACTCACCACCACTTTAACAAAACAAAGATAAGATACCACGCTCTATTATTTAGGGTTAAAAACAAATACAAACAAACAATAATAATATATATTTCTGCATGGGAATCTCTCTGTCAGGATGTGTAATCCGCTCTTTTGGTATTGTAATTAATTAGAAAAAATTGTTTATTTCAATTTTAGGACGAAGGATAGAAAGAAGGAGTACTAAGAATGATGCTCAGTGTATTGTACGCCGATGTCTTAGGTCCAGCAATTACACACATTATTCATGTTTTTCAGTTTTTAAAGCGAAAATTTTTTCAAATTGCGAGATAATTCCAGTCGCTTCCAGACTCTTGCGCGCGCGTTTACTTAGTAAATCTCATCACTTTTCCCCTTCCTTAGCAAGAAAAATATTCGTTCAGATAGAGGTAGATTGCGAAATATTGATGCTATTAATAAAAATAGACACAGAACAGTTGTAGTCCATTTTTATTCTTCTTAACCAGTAAACTATCCTTATAACAGACATAAAGTTTTATTCTGTTCAGCTCATTTTGGCTAAAAGCTGGCTCCTTATTTGTTTTGGTTTGTTACATGCTGCGCGCGGGGTTCAATAAAGCAAGGGTAGCAAAAAAACAACAACCTGAATTGACAACGAAAAAGTAACGCAAGTGAAAAAAGAAGAGGGGTTGGTGGGTGATGGTGAGGTTGATGTTGTTTGTTGATTTCCTAACATGGACACACCGAATGCAAAGAATTACACATACTTTTCTGTCGTCTTTTTAACAAACTAAAACAAAAACATTGCAACGATAGAGAAGGAAGAAGAAGGTAGTTGTTTATTTCCATTCAACTACGCAAATTTGGATAAGGTAAAATAATTTTTTTATTTTCTTTCTTCATTTTATTTGGATTATCCTTAGTCAAGTGCATTTTTTACCTGTAATCGAATACAAATTGGAAAATTAACTGAAAAAATAATTTATTTTTAAATTTTCTTTATTTCTCTTTCATATATAAAGCAAGGTTTATTATCATATTTACATCAATTTTAAATTTCTTCTCTCTACACTTTTTCTATTTTCTCTCTTCTTCTTATTAAGATATAAAAAACCATACTATAAATATATTTAATCATATATCAATACATCAAAACCAAGTCTTTCGCTTCCCTTTAAAACAAACAAATTACAATGCAATTCTCTACTCTAGCTACCGTCGCCGCTCTATCTGCCGTCGCTTCTGCCGCCGCTAACGTCACCACCGCTACCGCCACTGAAAAGACCACCACTCTAGTCACCATCACTTCTTGTGAAGAACACGTTTGTGAAGAAACTGTTTCTCCAGCTCTAGTCTCCACTGCCACCGTTACTGTTAACGATGTCATCACTGAATTCACTACCTGGTGTCCAATCCCAACTGAAGAAGCTCAAGTCACTAAGAACACTACTACCGCTGCTACCTCCAAGGCTTCCAACGGTACTACTTCTCACACTGTTACCTCTTTCGAAGGTGCCGCCAACCACGTTCTACCAGCTGCTGGTGCTCTATTCGCCGGTGTTGCCGCTCTATTATTATAAGTTATGAATTTCTCTTCATTTTTTTAAAAGATTATTAAACTTTAGCGAAGAATATTTCTTCTAATGTTTATTAAATTCTCATTTAGTATCAAAAACAATTGCTAACATTCTTTATGTTTAGTAACTTTTGTATTTTTGATCACGTTCGTTTTAACAATCGTTTTTTTCACCCCACCAATATTTCTTTAAGAATTATTTTATAAACATCAATCCAAAACTAATCCATCTACGATCAAGAACATTAAATAAAGCTGGCCTTTCCTACATCAATACTATTTAGTATCTGTTTACGGTTTTAATGGTTAGCTCGTTTTTTCGATTCGTATGTCTACCGGTACATTTTTTCATTATATTAATGCATATATACATTTGTTGTGTGTGTGTTTAATAATATTGCTACTAAAATCAATTATATTTTTTTTGTAATCTTATATAATATTCCCATCAACAAATAATAATAATAATAACAATAACAACAATAATAGATCTCTTCATTATATAATTGTTTACATTTTATATTTTGGGAAACTACGTTGACTCAAGCGCAGCTTAGCTATGTTGTACTCAAGTGTTAATCTCCCGGACATCCTTTGTTTCGTATCTACTCGTGCTTCGATGTAAATTTTGGCATGTTTTTTAACAATATTTTATTTATGTATTATGAACTATCAAAATTTTCAACTATATCCATCATCCGTATTTTCCTTAAGCTTTTGCTATCACTGATAGTGACAAAATATGATTACTAATTCCAATATACACTTTGTATTATTAATAAGCCGACAATTTTCATTCCTTTTTTTTTCTTCCGTTGTGCGTTGACGCACGGTAACTGCGTACATTTATGTGTGAGAAACGGAATTTAATGAAAAATTTATAAATATTATTTCTTCCATAAGACAATGCCCAGAGCTGAAAACATGCAAGGCGCCATCATTAATAAGCGATGTTTAACAATCTACATTTTATTGCTTTAAACTCCATGTTATCTTCATCAAGTGTTAATATATATATATACACATAGATCTATGTACTTGTAACTAAGCAACAACCATCTATTGTATGAAATTTATTTCGTTGAGGAAAACTTACTATAAATTCTTAAGACTTTTAGTGTAATCCCAATATTAGGATTAACTAATTACTTTTGTAAAACTAAAAATATTAAAATATGACAACTTCAGTTCAAAATATTGACGTTTCTGATATTGCAAATGTTAAAAAAACTGAGAAAACCACTATGGGACTTCCAAATGATAACATATATACTATTAAGATGGGTACTGAATCATTCAAATTGACAGGCTTATCATTTAATTCCGATGCACCAAATTATTTTACAGAATTTTTCACGACTCATGACAATAAGACAGAATTATTCTTAGACAGAAACTGCATATCATTTAAACGTATTATAAAACATCTGCAAGGTTATTATTTAGATATTGCCGATGAGGACGAATACTCGATGATATTGGCAGATTCTATTTATTACAGATTTAATAAATTGACTACGGATATTAAAGAATCTCCATATTATTATGCGAATATTGGTGGGAAATCATTTAAATTTTTGAAAAAATTATTTAGACGTGATGGAGATTCAAATAATTATTTCCAAGTATTTTCAAATACAATTAATTCTGAGATTGAATATAGATTTGTTAATAATAAATTATCCGTGGTGCCAATATCTTCAAATTTTGTCTCAAGATCACCAGAATATTTTCAACTATTATTAGATTTGTTAGGTGGTGCCACACTCACTTTAAAGCCTGACTTAAGAGATACTTTGATTAAAGAATGCAAATACTATCGTTTTCAAAACCTTGAACAAAGGTTAATTAATGTATCTCGTAATACGAACCCATTCAGTGACGTCACAGAGATAAAATTACATCTAGACGATATTAGTTCAAAGGGACTAACCAGTCCCATTGAGAAACATGTTAGTTCACAACTAAGTAATCAATGCATGAGTAATAAGACTGGCTGCAAAAGTTCATCCACTAATGGTAATGAATGTGATAGTAGTAGTAATAACAGTAGTAATAATTCTAGTGATAACGAAAACAATGATAACGAACCAGAAAGGAAGAAAAGGAAGACTAACGAACATCAAAGACCTTGGGATATGGTAAGATATAAACGTCCATTTATTGACGATTCATCGGCAGAATTAATTTTCCAATTGAACCCTAATGAAAATTCCCTAATCTTCAATAAATATAATAAGATTATTCATATGGATATTACTGGAGAAAGTCTAAGAGTTTTTGATAAGGCATTCAATGCATTCTTGTCTCGTCAAGGGATAAGTCTTAACAATTATAAAAGAAAATTTGCCGCTTCCAAAGGTGGTAAAGAGAGAGATCACTTGGTGTTACCTGCATGCATTTCCATCAGTGACATACAGGTTAATGGCGTCCAATGCAGAAATATCTGTCAATTAATTACTGACTCTAAATTTAATGATGTTGTATACGACGTATCAGAAAGGGACAACAAGAAATACTCACCAGGGTTGAAACTTCATCTATTAAAATCATTGTGGAAGTTAGGTATCAAGGATGGTAAAATCATGCTTATTGCTATAAAGATCGATTCCTTTAGCGGATTAAAGGAATTTAACAAATTAACCGAATTTATATAACAACACAGGGGGGGTATATACATTATTTGCATTTCATTAATAGAAAATTTTAAAAAAACAAAACAAAACAAAAATGATACGTTTGAATTTCGAACCACGAACTTTTTTGTACTCTTTTATATCTTTAAATTGTATAATTATTCATAGAGTTTCTAAAAACAATATATAGAAGTAACTTTTGTCTTACAATCTTATACTTGATGAGGTTTAAAATTTTTACAAAAAAATAAATTAAATCTCTTTGTAAAACGGTTCATCCTTATGCAGGGGAACTGCTGATCATCTCTGTATTGTTTCAAATTGACCAAATGTCCACGGAGGGTTACTCCGCGAACAAAGTTTTTAAAATTTGGAAGTCCTTATAGTAATTAAAAATTTGAAAAGTAATCTTTTTAAACTGACATTATTTGGAATTTTAACATGGGTTCGAGAGTAGTTTATAAATAAAAGTTAGTTGATAATTATGATTAATCTGTTTCAATGTTGAAAATTAATAAAGTGCCAATGTTTCGTTTCTTTACTAAAAAAGTATCCTATTAAATGAAAAATACCAAATCTTATCTAACAACTTTACTAATTGACCTCTTTTTCCACCAAGAATGGTACTGTAAGAAATTAAGAGTAATATGCACAACACTTAAGTTCAATAGGTAAAGAAATCTTTAAGCACAGTAACTGATAAGAATCTGCCGGAAATATATTATAAGAATGTTAACGACCAAGGTTAATTCCGCAATGATCTGATAATAGGTTAATCCCGCAACAACTTACTAATATATTACTTACGCCACCGTTGAGTGAATTTATAATCAAGACAACAAGAAATCCAACATATATAAATGGAACAATATTTCATTTATGAATATAATTGTTTCCATAATTTACTTTACATATTTTTATATAAGATATAAAAGATCAGACGGCTATAAGTTGATCTTATAATATAATAAAATTTGTTCAGTTAGATAGAATATGTCTAATATTAAATTTTCCCATCAGAATCAACCATTGATAAGAGTCAACCACTGATAAGAATCAAACTAAACAGAGATGAAAGGTGTGATTGAGGAAGTAAAAACCTTTAAAGAAAATGATATAAAAAGGAAGCTCTTAATATAATATAAATAAAATATTAAATGTTCTTTAATATGTAACTTATATATATTATATAATAAAAGACACCGATCGATCATTGAATTATAAGAATGTCCGAATTAAAACAATTAAAACTTGATAATCGATCGTTCTCTTTATAATATGTATATTTTACATATGGTAGAAAATTTAACGTTCTGTATATATATTCTATGTGGAGCGTCTTTTTATATCATCTTGTGAAAATTTTCACCTAATCAATATCGCCGTATGCCATTGTGTATTATAATGATATCTAGTGATATCACATATGAGAAAATATGCATAAAGGTATTTTTTACCTATATTAAAATTAAACATGATATATATAGCGCTTAATTTCCGATAGATCTATACATCCCATTTCACTTGATTTATCGATACACCTATTTTCTTCTTTATAACATTCATCGTTGCAATGGCATCTTGTGAACTGTCATGCTCACCAGTTTGAATTTTCTCACTCAATGTTTCAAAAGTTAGGTTCTTTAACGATATTTTATATCTCCCAACAGAAAACAGAATGGCTGTATCAATAATTTTTTGGTGAATAATTCGCATGACATTTAAATCATTTTCTAAACCATGACCAATTAAAATACTGTTTCGATTTATCAAATCAGATGTCAAAATTCTGTCCATAACATCTAAATAAGGAACAGCTTTATCCATATCCTCTGAATGGATACCACTAAATAAGGTATTTAAATCTATAACTTCCCCGAATGGTTCCACAATTTGGTCAAATAACGTCTTACTTGTAAAAAAATCAACTATAGTCAACCTTACCATTTCGAAACCCTTCGAAGTAAATGCCATTTCACAGTCGAGAGCTAAAACATTTTCTTTCCCATCAATAAGAGATGTCTTTAAAAAATCACTTATTTTTCTTAATTCTGGATATGAATCGTTTTTGAAGACATGATGTTCTGCTTTTTTGCATCCCAATCGCATAAAAGAGGTAGATGTCGTCGATTCCCCACAACATGGGAACACATGGGTCTTAGTATCTTTATTGTAAATTTTCTTCTGTGGATGGTAAGTACATAAAGTATCCAGCATAATTTCGGTTCTTTTGAACTTTGTATTACATCTTTCGCAATTAGCATACTCGCTATTATCAATGTAATCATCTGGTAGAATCCGCGACATGATATATTTATGCTTTTCCAATATCTTTGGGTCAATTAACATATCTGCCAATTTTTGCATAACGTAGTTCTTATTTCTTGTTATAGTGTCATCAATATGTTTACCAGTAGTCATTTTGGTGCTGGATATGACGGGCTTCCCTGCAACTTTGATCTTTTTAAAATTGCCTTTTTCCTTAAGAAGATCTCGTAGTAAAACACTCATATGAAAACGATAGCTTTGGGGTGATGCACTAGCTTTGGCCACTCTTAGCTCCAGTTCAATTGCCATTCTTTTTAATCTCGGTGCATCAGCTTTTAAACGGCATCTTCCTAGCTGATCGTATAATTTTTGTAAAATTTTATACCTATCTTGAAATTGGGCTGATTGTGTTTTTAGTTCTGCTGGCATAAGACCAGTAGTATGCTTTGACATTACTGAATAGATTTAGATTTACTCTCTTGATATTAGTTTGTTCAAACCATACTTTAATATAACATTTATTTATTACTTGTTTGTTGAAGTATTATCTTAATCAGGTTTTTGACTTTCATAGCCTCCAGCGCAAAGGTACCTACCTACCTACTGCACTTAAACTAACTCTTTTCTTTTTTTTCTCCGGCTCAAAAGTCAATGCGCTTCTTCTCATTGTTAACGATCCATGAAAAATTTTGTGCGATGAGCAGGCGCTGAATTTTCAAAACAGTAACATATTTTTGGGAGGCCCTCCAATAAGATATAGTTCCAAAGGTTACATAACTAAGTTTAGTTTTTAAATAGTTTTGAAGGCATTAATATTACGAAATAATTCAAATAAGGTAAATACTAAGCTATTAATTCCTTTCTTACATTTTTTGTCACATCACTAGATCATCTAACTGCTACAGTGCAAGAAAACGAAAAAGATATAATCAACATTTTCCAAATAGTTATTACCGAAGGATATGACTTCCCCAGATTATGTCTTCTTAGACTTACAAAAGGTGAAGGAGAGAAGAACTTTATTCACCGAAATTTTTCCAGAAGAGCAAAATATTGAATTATTTAAATTTAACAAAGCTTCATCAACTAAAGAGAACCTTCTAAAATTATCCAAAGAGATCCTCATTTCGAACTCCATTCCTGCATTTTTGTTCATTTACAAGCCAATTTTTCTTGAAATTTTATCCCAATGGATTTGGAACATTCCTAAGGAGTATGCTGTCCATATTCTCGATGCAGCTGCAAGTATTATTACCACCTATCCTTTATCCATGTCGTTAATGGAAGAGTTCTTGGAAAGTGAAAATGAACACTTTACCACAATCCTTCAAAATCCTTCTACACAATCAGAACAAGATATTTCCAAGATTCTGCTATCTTACTACCGATTATTATACCACAATAAAGAAGTTTTCAGCAAGTACATTAACCCTGATTTATTGTATAATTTCATTAATAGCGAAACCAATAGTTTTTCAAATAGTATAATCAAATTCCTTGCCATCAAAATTGTTTCATTATATCTAGATATGGGTGAACAGGCAACTGTTGATATGATTAGAATAAAATGCCCTTCCCAAGATGAATTGTTAGGTCAATATGATAACGATTCCGAGATCGATTATTATTTTCTAGATGTAAATGAAGCCAAGAGATTTTCAAATTACTCACGACTACCAGAGGTAGAGGAATGTTTAGTTCCTGTTCGCAATGGGAAATATTTTATCATCAAACCAGACGATTTAACAGATAAAGTAGTCTCAATTTGCGGGATCTTAGTACCTAGATTAACTCAGAATGACTTGAGTAGTGATGCTTCGCCATCATTTGTACCAACTGAAAAAACTATTGATACATTTCGTCAGCTTGCCAAACAAGTTCAGAAATCAGCTCCAGTCATGCTGATAGGTAAGGCTGGTGCCGGTAAGACATTCATTATTAACGAGCTGAGTAAGTACATGGGATGTGAAAAATCTATAGTAAAAATTCATTTAGGGGAACAGACAGACGCAAAGTTACTTATTGGTACGTATACATCCGGTGATAAACCTGGTACCTTCGAATGGAGATCAGGTGTTCTAACTACTGCTGTAAAAGAGGGGAGATGGGTACTTATTGAAGATATTGATAAGGCCCCAACAGAGGTTTTATCCATTTTATTGTCGCTATTGGAAAAACGTGAACTTACAATTCCATCGAGAGGTGAAACTATCAAAGCTGCCAACGGATTTCAATTAATATCAACAGTGAGAATTAACAACGAAGATAATAGAAATATATCGGAAGGTAACGATTTTAATCTAAATTTAATTGGTATGAGAATTTGGAATACCGTATTCATGGATGAGATTAACCCAGACGATTTAAACAAAATTTTGTGTAATAGATTTCCAGTTCTTTCTCAATTAGTTCCACGATTAATTGTGACATATGATTCTGTGAAGAAAATATACGAGAATCCAAAATTTATTTCCCTAAACAGGGGTGCACATGCAAGAGGTACATCTACCAGAGATCTTGTTAAACTTTGCCAAAGACTAGAAGTGTTATTTAACAGTAACAATATTACTAAACCAGATCAATTAATCGAATCATCAATATATGACAACATCTTTTCGGAAGCTGTAGACTGCTTTGCTAGCTCTATAGGTGAATTAAAAGCACTGGAGCCTATCATACACACTATTGGTGAGTCTTTGGAAATTGCATCTTCAAGAATTTCATTATTTTTAGGTAAACATATCCCTGGATTCGAAGATTTTGATGATCACATTTGCATCGGTAGAACACAATTAGAAAAATCCAAATCTGCATTAATGAAGAAGTCTGTCAACTCTACATCGTTTGCAATGACTAACCATTCTTTACGTCTTATGGAACAAATTGCTGTCTCTGTTAGAATGACCGAACCAGTACTGCTTGTTGGTGAAACTGGGACTGGGAAAACAACTGTTGTTCAACAACTATCCAAACGTCTTAATAAAACCCTGACAGTTATAAATGTTTCGCAACAAACAGAAACCGGTGATCTCTTAGGTGGATACAAACCTGTTAATTCAAAGTCAATTGCTGTCCCAGTTCAAGAGACGTTTGAAATATTGTTTGAAAGTACATTTTCTCTTAAAAAGAATCTGAAATTCCACAAGATGCTGCATAAATGCTTCAACAAAAGTCAATGGAAAAATGTTGTTAGATTGTGGAATGAAGCATTCAAGATGGCAGTAAGCATTTTAAAGCCAGCGGTCACAAATACCGACAAAGAGGAACCAGTGAAGAAAAAGAAGAAAAGTTTAGATTCTCATGAGAAAACTGTACTATTACAACAATGGAACGATTTTAAAGTAGAAGTGGAGAAATTTGAAGCACAGTCCAGTTCTATCGAAAGCTCTTTTGTTTTCGACTTCATCGAGGGTTCTCTTGTGAAGGCAGTCAGAAACGGTGAATGGCTTTTACTTGATGAAATAAATCTTGCATCTGCTGACACTTTAGAAAGTATATCAGATCTATTAGCAGAAGCAACATCCAGAAGTATTCTATTATCCGAAAAAGGTGACATTGAACCAGTACATGCCCACCCGGACTTCCGTTTATTTGCTTGTATGAATCCAGCAACAGATGTTGGTAAACGTGACTTACCGTCTGGTATAAGATCGAAGTTTACAGAAATTTATGTACACTCACCAGATAATGATATCAGAGACCTATTATCTATTATTGACAAATACATTGGAAAATACAGCTCCAGTGATGAGTGGATAGGAAATGATATAGCAGAGTTATATCTTGAGGCAAAGAAACTATCTGAAAATAATAGGGTTGTCGACGGTTCAAATCAAAAGCCACATTTTAGTATTCGTACACTAACAAGAACTCTATTATATGTGCGTGATATCATCCACATCTACGGTTTACGTCGTTCGTTATATGATGGGTTTTGTATGAGTTTTCTTACACTTTTAGATCAGAAATCTGCTAAAATACTAGAACCAATCATTGAAAAGCATCTTCTTGGGAGAGTTAAAAATGTAAAGTCTATTCTAAGAAAGGTACCACCAGCTCCAGGATCTGATTACATTAAATTTAATTACTATTGGATGAAGAAAGGTAACGAAGAAATCAAAGAACAAGCTCATTATATTATCACCCCATTTGTTGAAAAAAATATGATGAATCTGGTAAGAGCAACGTCCAGTAGAAGATTCCCAATTTTGGTACAAGGACCAACATCCTCAGGTAAAACAAGTATGATCAAATATTTAGCGGATATTACTGGTCACAAATTTGTGCGTATCAACAATCATGAACATACAGATCTTCAAGAGTACCTTGGTACATATATTGCCGATGATAGTGGCAAACTAGCATTTAGGGAAGGTGTATTGGTGGAGGCTTTGAGAAATGGTTATTGGATTGTTTTGGATGAATTAAATCTTGCTCCAACTGATGTCCTTGAGGCACTTAATAGACTTTTAGATGATAACAGAGAACTTTTCATTCCAGAGACACAAGAAGTTATCCACCCACACCCTGATTTTATGCTTTTTGCCACCCAAAACCCTCCAGGCGTATACGGTGGCCGTAAAGTACTCTCCAGAGCTTTTAGAAACAGATTTTTAGAGTTACATTTCGATGATATTCCTCAAGATGAGTTGGAAATTATTTTACGCGAAAGATGTCGAATTGCCCCATCATATGCTAAAAAGATTGTCGAAGTTTACCGCCAACTGTCTATAGAAAGATCTGCATCTAGATTATTCGAACAAAAGAACAGTTTTGCAACATTACGTGATTTGTTTCGCTGGGCCTTAAGAGAAGCTGTCGGTTATGAACAATTGGCTGCGAATGGGTACATGTTACTTGCAGAACGTTGTAGAACACCTCAAGAAAAGGTGGTGATACAAAATATTCTAATGAAAGTAATGAAGGTTAAACTTGATATGAATACTTATTATGAGAGTTTAGAGAACAAAAGTCTAGAAAATGAGAATACAATTGTTTGGACAGGTGCTATGCGCCGTCTAGCTGTTTTAGTTTCAACTTGTCTAAAGAATAATGAACCAATATTACTTGTCGGTGAAACAGGTTGTGGTAAGACCACTATCTGTCAAATACTTGCTTCGTATTTGAAGAAGAACTTAATTACTTTGAATGCACATCAAAATACAGAGACAGGTGATATACTTGGTGCCCAAAGGCCAGTGCGTAATCGTTCGGAATTACAGGGGAAACTCCTTGGCCAATTACAAAATGTTTTGAATTCTGATATAGATGATATCGATCAGTTGCTAAAGTTGTATAATAGTTTTGATAAATCTACCCTAAGCAGTGAAACAAAGGATAACATTTCCAAACTTCGTGATAGATTAAGAATTTTATTTGAATGGAGTGATGGACCTTTAATCCACGCAATGAAAACTGGTAATTTCTTTTTATTAGATGAAATTTCACTAGCTGACGATTCCGTACTAGAAAGATTAAACAGTGTTTTAGAACCAGAAAGAAGTATTTTACTAGCCGAAAAAGGTGTCACTGATAATTTTGTTACTGCCACAGAAGGTTTCCAATTTTTCGCTACTATGAACCCAGGTGGTGACTATGGGAAGAAAGAGTTATCGCCAGCCTTAAGAAATCGTTTCACTGAAATATGGGTTCCTTCTATGGAGAATTTCGATGATGTCAATCTGATAGTTTCATCCAGATTACTATCTGGAATTAGTAATATTGCCTCTGCTATAACTGATTTCTCTGAATGGTTTGGTAAGAAGTTCGGTGGTGGTAATGCAACAAATGGTATAATTTCCTTACGTGATATTTTAGCATGGGTTGAATTCATTAACAGTACCCACGAGGAAATCCAGGATCCATATTTATTATTAGTACAAGGTGCCATGATGGTCTTCATCGATGCATTGGGTACGAACAATACAGCATATTTGGCTGAATCAGAGGAAACACTTAACCAATTGAAATCACATTGTTTAGATGCTCTTTCTAAATTTGCCAAAAAGCCTTTGGCTGACTACGTTAAAAATGTTTCTGATGTCAATATCTCTAATGAAATTTTGAGTGTTGGACCATTTTCGATAAACAGGAATAGTACAATTCAAGAAACTCCATCTTTTAATTTATCAGCACCAACGACAAAAATGAACTTAATGAGGGTTATTAGAGCCCTCCAGGTGAAGAAACCCATTCTTCTAGAAGGTAGTCCTGGTGTTGGGAAAACAAGTCTTATTACTGCTTTAGCTTCCATAACAGATAACAAATTGACCCGTATCAATTTATCTGAACAAACAGATCTGGTTGATTTATTTGGTTCAGATACACCGGGTGAGAGAAGCGGAGAGTTTGTCTGGCGTGACGCACCATTTTTACGAGCTATGCAAAAAGGTGAATGGGTTCTTCTTGATGAAATGAACTTGGCTTCACAATCTGTTTTAGAAGGTTTGAATGCATGTCTTGACCATCGTGGTGAGGCCTATATTCCTGAACTGGATAGATCTTTTACTCGTCACCCTAATTTCATTGTTTTTGCAGCTCAAAATCCACAGTATCAAGGTGGTGGAAGAAAGGGGTTACCGAAATCCTTTGTAAACCGTTTTAGTGTTGTTTATGTTGACCTATTGAAGACAGATGATTTGACATTGATTGCAAATTACTTATATCCAACGATCGAGAAAGAGACGATTTTGGGACTAATTAATGTCATGTCTACATTAGAGCAAGATGTTAGCAAGGATAGAAAATGGGCAACGTTAGGATCACCATGGGAATTTAACTTAAGAGATGCTTTAAGATGGCTGAAACTTTTAAGCAAAGAATCTATATCTGGTGAACGAGAAGTGTTTGACTTCGTCAATACTATTGTTGTACAGAGATTCCGTACAGCCTCTGATAAAGAAAATGCACAGCAATTAATTGAGTCAATTTTTGGTACTCACAAACAACCTGAAAATTTCTTCAGAATTACAAGAGAATATATCCAAATGAATAACGAGGTCGCTGTCAGAAATGATGTCTTCTGCAATCCTATAAGTCAACATTTAAATGCATTGCAATGTAATATAGAAATTTATGAAACAGTCCTTCGTTGTATCAACAGAAATTGGCCTTTAATAATGGTTGGTCCAACTAATTCAGGTAAAACCGACGTTATTAGGTACATTGCAGGTATTGTAGGTGCTGATTTACACGTTTTCTCTATGAATAGCGACGTCGATAGCATGGATATATTAGGTGGTTACGAACAAGTAGATTTAGTGAGGAAAATATCATACATTACTAGTGATCTGAAAACCGTTTTAAGAAAACTTCTGTGTGTTAATTTGAGATTAGGAAATGAAAATAAAAGTGCATCCATAATTGGTTTAAAATTGTTAAAGTATATCTCAAGTACTACCATTACTGTTCCTATGTTTGCAGATTTCAAAAGTAAGTTTAAGACATTATATTCGTTCATTCAAAATGATACAGAATTTGATAATTTAGATCAAAGAATGAATAATCTGTCAGAAATAATTGATAAAGAGAGCGCTGTAAAATTTGAATGGTTTGATGGTATGTTAGTGCGTGCCGTTGAACAAGGTCATTGGTTAGTATTAGACAATGCCAATTTATGTTCACCATCTGTCCTGGATAGATTGAATTCGCTACTAGAAACAGATGGATCATTGTTAATAAATGAGTGTAGTCAAGCAAATGGTGAACCTAGGGTCTTAAAACCTCACAGAAATTTTAGGTTATTTATAACAATGAACCCTAAATATGGTGAATTATCTAGAGCAATGAGGAATAGAGGGATTGAGATCTATATCGATGACTTAAAAGACCGTGCTACCTTATTCGACAATGAAATATTATTAGATTCCCGAACGGAAAGTGCGAATAAAGGGGTCCATTTTAAGAAAGAAGGTGATGTAACAAACGACTTTAATATTTTATCAATTAGTAATAACTCTAGGCCACATCCATTAATTAAATTTATGCCTACTTATTCTGCTGATCTTAGCGTATTTGCAGTATTAGATGATATTATATGCTCAAATCAAGGAAAGATGAATAGTGACATTTTAACAAGTGTTATCCCACTTGATAAGGTTGATGAAATCAAGAGGTGGTCCAGAAATGTCCAACACAATCACTCATTCAGCACTTCCATCGATCACGAGATAGTTGCTGATTACATTTACTTCTTAGAAAATAAAAATGTCCTTTCGAGAATCAACAGAATCCAATTGGAAGAGGACTCAAAAATCGGAAATATATTAAATTTACCAGAAGTGATCATTACTCCGCAATATATTAATCCAATTTTAAATGTATTTACCTTACCTATTTTGAAAAAAATCCTTCCAAATGTAGATTCTTCGGAGTCCATTTATTTGTTCACATGTTTTGCAATGCTACTGACGTTGTCCAGACAGTTGCAGACTGCTGATGCCAGATCTAAGAATTCAAAGATAGACGAACTGAATTATCTTGAATTATCTGCCGCTATATTTAATGGACGTCATGTTCGAAATGGTCCTCAAATTCCATTATTTGCCTTATTAGTGAATATTATCAACTTCGTGACAAAATTCCTTACGGAGGGATCACTATTTGAAAATTCTCATGCCTACAAACAATTCACGAAATTATTATTATTGGTTGAATCTACAATACAATCTGCCCAGAATAAAGATGAGGCACGTCTGAGAGTATACCAAGAGTTGTTGGAAAAATGGTCAGAAGAAGCAAGCTCAGAAGGTATAGAGGTCGAAGAATTTACTAGTATTTGCTCCAGTGTCAAGGAAAGCTTAAGTTTGACTAGTGGTCAATCTATCGTAGAACTTTGGGAAGCATTTAGAAGGGTTTATCCATCAACACTTGTAAGCTGGAAATTATGGGATGAATTATGTGTACTGGGCACACATTTTGACAAAGTCAAATCTGAGCAGTTTAACGAATCCTATGAATCTATTCGTGATTTAACAAAAATGATATCCTTAATATCCCAAGAAATTATTAATAATGACGAATCCGTAGTCAAAGGACTTTTAATGAAATTTGAAGACGGTATCCAAGGACTGGAAGACATTTCCTCAAAATTTTTGCTGCGCAGAAAGCACTTTTTTAAGGAAGAATTTGATAGTCTCTCAAGATTGCTAATCAGTAGAAGTGACAGAAACAAGGATATAATATTTGAGATAGCTCCATTTACAACATTTACAACTGAAAAATTAATTAAATTTGATAATGACAACTATTCTTATCCTCCTGTATTTGATTATCTTTGGAAATCAGAGAATGGGATTTACAAATCGTTTACTGATTCCATATTTTCATCGAAATACTTTGAAAATATTGTTTTAAAAAGTAATCAATTTACAAGTTTTGCTGGTAGCCAAATAAAACAAACAATCGTTGATGCCAAAAAGTTATTGTCTTCGACGATCAGAACATCGAATTTGCTTCTGGAAAATTCCACTGAAGAATATTCAAAGTTATTAGTATGCTGGATGGATCAAATCGTTTTTACACATACCAATTCCAATCTGTCGATAATTGATAGAGATATGTGGGAGCAATATGTTATAACAGAATCCAGTGAAGCATTCAGAGAAACATTTAAAGAATTTATTCAACCGGCATATCTGTTGAGCCAAAGGGGGATTTCAGAATTAGGTACAGCATATGTTCTCTTCGGTATCGCTTTGATCCAGTTATTTACTCCTAATAGGCCGGTCGATCCAGCTATCAATGACTACGTCCATTACCAGTTATTTTCAAAGCATAAAGAATTCTCAGAAAGTATGCTAAATAGCTGGTCAACTATTCGTACAGTTATTAGCGGTGATGAGAAAATATATGCGGAAGACCTTTCTGATGTCGTTACTGATGATGATGCTCCGAAGAAACCAAAGGTATATCGTCCAACAACACCAATTGATAATTTATTCGATGAATGGTTAAATTTTGTGGAATCCAATGTGTCTTCTGAACAAGCTAACCAACTTTTAACGACAATTGATAATAATGAAAAATATTCTTCCGATAGATTAGAGTTATTCCAACAAAACACATCAAATTTCATGAAACGTCTAGATACAGGGTATACGTATTTTTCTGACTTAAATGAAATATTTTCTGGTTATATAATGAGTATGAAATTTGGGTTTGACATTCTTAGATATTCTGAGATTGAGAAAAAGAAAACATTGTCATTATCCGCTCTATGGCCTATAGATGTCTTGGAGTTATATAATACTAAAAAAATCAAGAACTCATATGGAATAGTAAGCAAACTAATTAATGGATGGACGTTAGAAAATACAAACAATGAAAAAGTTTTAGTCTTCTTTTTACGTTTGATAAAATTACATAATATGGATGACAATTTACTACCAGTTTTTAATGAAATTTTGCAATCACTTTACTATAGGTGGTCTTTGAAACGTATTAGAGAAGAACAGAAACAACAAGAAGAAGCTAGTCTATTCAAGTACGATGATACAGAAGAAGACATCGAAACAGCGATTAAGAAAATGTTCCCAGATTATGAAGACGTCCTAGATACTGATATCAATAGTTCAAAGAAATCTAACGAAGATTTTGAAGAAATTCACTATACGATTGCTAAGTTATACATTTCAATATTTAATGCCGATGAACAAGAAATAATGAAAGATATGATTGAAAAAGGTTCATCTGTAGTTGATATTATGATCCAAGAGTCAACAAAACTTCAAAATAACATGTTAAATGGTAACCAGTTTGTAGGTGTCATGACTTCCTTAAGTGATAAAATCCATATGTTTGAAAGTTCAGATGATAACAAATCAATTAATTTCTACGAAGAATCATCTATATCCGAATCCCAACGGGCTGTCACACTTGTAACTAGCCTATGGTTATACGTTAATACATTATTAGCTCAATGGCCCGATCATGCTACACTAATCGAGCTTACCCGTATGTGCAAAGAATTTTTGGAAAATCCTACAGATACACCAATGGCTAAACAATTACACAAAATTGAACAGATTTACACTGTTACTATTGAGTGGGAAAAATATGCCGCTTCAAAGGTATCATTGAACGAATATATTACGAAAATTACATCATTAATTGTCTCATGGAGAAAATCTGAGTTACGTACTTGGAACGAGTTGTTTAACACTGAAAATGAAAAAATACGTAAGAGTATTGGTAAATGGTGGTTTTATTTATTCGAGACAATCATCGTTTCTAACACAAACGAAAATAATGAGACTGATTCTGATAAAAATTTGATGGGATTAACCATATCGTTGAATACTTTCTTTAGTAAAAGTACATTAGGGGAATATAGTGATAGATTAAGACTGGTATCATCCTTTAAGAAGCATGCAGAAATACTTGGTCTATCACCTGCCCTTTCCAACGCGCTGGCCAACATTATATCATTTTACGAGCAATTTGAAGATACTTTACTTCAACAACTTCAAAAAGGTAAAAAGTTACTAGAAAAAGACATGAATGAGGTTATTCTACTTGCTAGTTGGAAGGATGTAAACGTTGATGCGTTAAAACAAAGTTCACGCCGTTCTCATAACAGTCTATTCAAAATTGTGAAAAAATATAGAACTATACTTTCTACAAATGTATTATCTCTGATTGAAACTGGTTTACCATATGCCCCAAATATGGCGCTTTCTTTATGTCACATCCAAAATACCAGTTCAATGTACGAAGGAAATGATGAGAGTACCAAACAAATATTGTTGAACATTCCAGGTTGGAATACAAGGTCCAAGATATTACAAAACACAGGGGTTGTCAGTACAAACATGGAAAAATATGTTTCAACAGTGTCTGCTCAAACATTCCCTGATTTTGTTGAATTTGTTAAAGATTACGCTAGAGAGGCAGATCGTTTACGTGACGAGACACCCAATGTCTATAAGAAGGAAATCAAAAAATTATTAGCCACCTTAAAAACCCAAAAGAGTAAGTTATTTAGTGATGCTCTAAAGGAATTAAGAAGAAGTGGCTTAAAGACAAGTTTCAGAAAGGATATTCACAAAATTCAAGGTAACTCTACAATTATATTGGCAAGTTCAGTAGCCTTTGGCAACAACAACTTAAAAAATTCTGATACATACTATTTTAGAATTATTGACATCTTACCACGTCTAAGAAGCGCAGCAGCTTCACCTGCTGATGATGTTCCAATTGCAGGAATAGAAAAGGGTATGGCAGTCATTGAAAATTTAATGTTTTCTTTAATAACTACTAGGCGATCAATCGATAAACTTTCAAATAATTTTGAAGTCGTATGCGATTTACATCATACTTTTGAAAGTTACTGTTCATCTCAAGGTTCAATTAATCAATCTTCTTTAAAAATTGATTTATCTAACATGCAATTTTTAGTTTCCAAATTACCAATGTTGTTAGACTACTGTATAAACGCCCTTTTAATCGTCGATGAAACTATGAGCACAGAACATGATAGAATCTTTTTAAACAGTTCAAAAATTAAATTAAGCTCTTTCCAAGAGAGACTAAAAAAGGTTATTGTCTCTGACTCATTGACTTCCCAGATGGTATCTGAGTTCAAGAATTTTATGGCTAACTTCATTAAACAAATAAATGATAATAAGACAGAATTTAATTTCTTCATTTATGATGTTTTATTGAATTGGATTAACACCAACAACCGTCCACACATTACTGAAGCTAAATCATCCAAATCAACTGACCTTTCAGAAATCGATCAATTACTGCGTAAATTATACACTAGTATTATCCTAGCATTCCAAAAGGTGATGGAGGACGATTGCAAGCCTATAACGACTGAGGATGACTTATGGTTGTCCACTTCATCAAGACGCATAGTTGCCATATCGAAATTGGTTCATAGTGATACTATCATCAAAAATATCAAAAAGATTGAAGCACTTCTTAAGACAAGAGATTTTTCAATTGCTGACTCGCAATTAATTCGTGCTATGCTAATGTTTACTATGCCTGTCGTTACACGTTACAGACAATTAATAGAAACAGCTTTCAAGAAAACAAGATCATACTACGTCAATTTAAGTCAAGGGTCTTACATCCTATCCAATATTCTATTTAACTTGGCTAAAAATGGATTCTGTTCTCCTGAACCACCTTCAGAAGAAGTTGAAGATAACAATCTACATGATGGTACAGGACTAGGTGATGGCGAAGGTGCTCAAAATAACTCTAATGACGTAGAGGAAGATGAAGACTTGTCTGAAAATGCCCAACAAGATAATCAAGATCAAAAAGATAAAGATGAAAGAGATGACGATGAAAATGACGATGCAGTTGAGATGGAAGGTGATATGGCTGGCCAAATGGAAGATTTATCTGATCAAGAACAAAACGATGAAGATCAAGAGATGGAAGAAGAAGATGAAGAGCTGGATGAAGAAATCGACAATCTCGACGAAGATGATCCAAATGCAATTGATGATAAGATGTGGGATGAAAAACCAGATGACAATAGCAAAGAAAAAAATTCTGATAAAACCATAGATAATGCTGACGACAATAATGATGTTCAAGCTAATGAAGAAAACGACAATGAATCTAATGAAAATCCAGAAAATGCTAATGAACAAGAGGGTCAACAAGATGAACAAAAATCCGATGAAACTAATGAAGACAACAATAAATTAGAAAATGACTCAGATGCCAATTCAGATTCTGAAGGTGAAGATGTCGGCGAACAAGATGATGAAGTGAAAAATGAAGAAGGTCAAAATCTTGATGAAAATGTTCCTGAAGTTGAAACAATGGATCTACCTGAGGATATGAATTTGGATTCTGGAGATGAGAATGGTGAAGAATCCGAAGATGAAAATATGAAAGACGAATTCCCTGAGGAACAAGATGACGATGAAGATATTGATATGGAGAATGATAAGATAGAACCAGAGATACAGGAGACTGAGATTGACGAAGCCGAAAACAGTGAAGAGCAAGAGGTTGAAGAAACTATGGATACAGTTGACATCGATGAAACACCGCTACCTGAAGGAACTAATGATAACATAGATGAATCTGAAAGTCAAGAAGAAGCAGAAGAAGAAGAAGCTGTTTCAGATGAAGAGGAATTAAATAACGAACAAGGTGCTCCTGATGAAAATGAAAAAGATCAAGAAGAAAAACAAGAACAAGAAGAGGGTAGCAATAATGATATTGATGGTTTGAATGGTATCGACATGCAATCTGATGAAGAAAATATTAATAATGATGCCGCTGTAAATGAGCAATCTGGTGCTAAGGGTACTGGATCCGATTCTAAGGATACTGAAGAACAAGATGATGTAGGCAACTTTGGTACCACTCAAAATTCTCATGAAGAACAAGAAGATCAAAAAGAATCTACTGATGCCTCAAGAGAAGAAGCTAAAGAAAGTTTGAAACAACTAGGTGATGCTCTAAAGGAATTCCATAGACGTAGACAAGACATCAATGAGACTAGTGAAAGGGACGAAGATGAAAATGAAGAAAAACCAAAGGCCAACGAACGTCCTGATGAATTTGAACACGTTGAGGGTGCTAACACTGAAAGTGATACCCAAGCTTTAGGATCTGCCACTCAAGAACAGTTACAATCAATCAATGAAGATATGGCTATTGATGATGAGTTACCTGAGAATCAACATTCTGATAGTGAAGATAATATCAAGGCAGAAGATGAAGATCATGATATGTTACAAGATGAACTATTGAAAAAGGAAGAAGAAAACATCAGTGATTTAGAAATGAATGAAGGTGCTCAACAACAGAATGATACAGATAATGAATTAGGCCAACGTATTTTTACGGAGAAGGATGACCAGAATGAACAGGATGATGATATGTTTAACGAAAAGGATCTAATAGAAAGTCAACAATACAAAGATGAACTCGATGAATTGATAGATACAATCGATAATGAAACCAAATTTGAAAATATCGAGGATACTCCAAAGAGGTCGATAGAAGAGTCACGTGAATTGTGGCAAAAGAGTGAAAGATCTACAAGTGATCTAGTTTCTAGACTAGGTGAGCAACTAAGATTGATCTTAGAGCCTACATTAGCTACAAAACTAAAAGGTGATTATAAGACAGGTAAGAGATTGAACATGAAGAGAATTATTCCATACATTGCATCTCAATTCCGTAAGGATAAGATCTGGTTAAGAAGAACTAAACCAAGTAAACGTGAATATCAAATCATGATTGCATTGGATAACTCTAAATCTATGAGTGAGTCAAACTGTGTAAAACTTGCCTTTGAAAGTTTGTGCTTAGTCTCAAGAACGTTAACTCAATTAGAATCGGGAGGTTTATCTATTGTTAAATTCGGTGAATCCTCAAAGGAAGTTCATTCTTTCGATCAACAATTCAGTAACGAAACTGGTGCTAAGGTATTCCAATGGTTTGATTTCCAAGATACAAAGACAGATGTCAAGAAATTAGTTGCTGAATCATTAAAGATTTTTGAAAATGGTCGTGCAATAACTAATTCCGATCAATGGCAATTAGAAATTATTATTTCAGACGGTGTTTGTGAGGATCATGAAACTATCGAAAGATTAGTACGTCGTGCAAGAGAAAAGAAGATTATGTTAGTATTTGTTATTATAGATGGTATCAGCTCAAATGAATCTATTATGGATATGAGTCAAGTTAATTACATCCCAGATAAGAATGGTGTACCTCAATTAAAAATCACAAAATACTTGGACAACTTCCCATTTGAATTCTATGTTGTAGTACATGAGATTAGTGAATTACCAGAGATGTTAGCTCTAATTTTACGTCAATATTTCACAGATTTGGCATCATCATAGTTTGACAATGGAACTATCCCCCTAAAATAAAATAATAACTAAAAAATAAAATATTAACTAAAAAATAAAATAAAAAAGTGTTATATAAAATAACCTGTATATTTGTATATTATAAAATAAGAAAAATAAAATAATTTGTATATTAAATGCCTGTTTTGTTTTCTTTCATCTGTTCATCTGTAACATATTCGCTATACGTAGAAGGAGGAAGTCATATGTTTGACCGAAAGCCCTAAGAAAATTTATTACAGCAAAGAGAGAGAGCCACTCAAGACTCGCCGCTTTCACTGAAAAAATTTTCACTTTCTGAATGAGGGAACTTCGGCTGGGGAGAATTTTATTATTATTATATAAAGAAGAGAACATTGAAAAGAATTGGAACATGTAAAATACACAAACAGTTCTGTCTTTATATTTCATACTTTTAATATTAATGCAAGTAAATTAAGTGTACTACTACATGTACTTCTTAATGTAAGAGCAACCATACAGATGAACTATCGTGGTTTCAGATTGTGACATGTTATGTTGTTTTTGAACACTTCTCACCGGTTGGTGAGACATGATACAAACTTTGTCAATAGATATTGCACTGTATCTTTTAACTCAAACGTATATAAAAAAATGATATGGGATAAAATGATGATAAATAGTTACATTGCTCGAAGTTCTAGTATCGATGTGAGCAATACGATTTCTCAATAGACTACAACGGTATCTGATCCTTCATTTTTTTATTTAATTATGCATTCAAAGCCTCTTGCATGACTTGATATAAATCTACCTTAATAGTTTAGCACTTGTAATAGTAAAACTGTGAGTATATATATTTTGTTTTCATTATATACATTCTGATTTTTCTGCTATGGAGCTAACTTCAAAGCTCAATTTACATTGAACTTTTTTTTACGTAAAGATATATATATAATTATGAATATTGAATATGGTCAGTTTTCCAAGAATTATTACAAAGTTATTCAATCCAATTGGGGCATGCACCAAAGGGTAACATTGTAATTCATCAATACAATATGTCAAAGAGAGTCAATAATGCGGTACGGTATAAGTATCCTCTCCCTGTTCATCCAATAGAGTTACCACAATTGATTATCCATAATCCTGTGTCTTGGGCATATTGGTCTTACTGTTATCTGACTGGTTGCAATGCTTTACAACGTAAGATACATGTCGACATAATAGGCGAGAAGATTGTTCATATAGAAGTTAGGAATCAGGATGATATGAAATATTTATGGGAAAACGGGTTCTTTGGAACAGGACAGTTATCAAGAAGTGAACCAACGTGGTATAATCATATGAAATCTAAATTTCAAAATGAAAACAATGAATCCATAAATAAAAATATCAGTCTTGAACAAGTTACAAAGCTTAGAAGACAACAAAGGATAGAGTTTAAGAAACAACGTGAAGTGGTCGAAGCTAAGCTTTTGGAGTTAAGAAAAAAAGGCGAACTTACACCTGAAGAAGAAGCTCGAATATTAGAACAAGAAAGGGGAAAACTGAGGAAGTTTAAAGATGATCAAGTAGCATTACATCTAGTGAAAGAAGATCCTACTGAGAATGTGAGGGAGAAAGGACGGTTACTGATTCAAGAGGCAGAAGTAATCGGTGAGAATGGAGAAATTATACAGATGGAGACCCTAGAATTGATGCCTGTGGAGACTATATTCTTAAGTTTTGCCCTGGATGTTTTAGATATCACTCCATCAAAATTTATTATAAAATGTTGCATGAATGATTCATTTGATTATACAGATGAATTACACAAATTATTGATACAATACACAGCATATCATCATTATAGATCACACGGTTGGTGTGTAAGGTCAGGGATTAAGTTTGGCAGTGACTACATCTTATACAAACGAGGCCCACCTTTTCAACATGCTGATTTTTGTATTATGGTTCTTAATTCAAATTGTTCGAATCCATATACATGGTACTCTACTATTGCAAGAGTATGTGGCGGTGCAAACAAATCGTTGGTCCTTTGCTATGTGGAACGTACTAATTCAAAAGAACAAATAATTAAATGGGTAAAAGAAGATAATCTATCTAAAGTATTCAACAGTTTCTCAGTAGGAGAAATTATTTTCAAGAGATGGGTTCCTGGCAAGAATCGTGATTGACCTAAAAGTCATAGATACATTTAATTTATAAGGTACGGTTCTTGCAAAGAATAAAAAAGCATTTAATATTAATATTTAACATCTAATCTGCATATATCTATAAAAAAGAGAAATAAAAAGTATATAAGTGCTCAGATCAAACGCAAATATGATGCATACTGTTTCACAAACAGGAAGTAATGTGTTCATTTTATACTGCGAAGATTATTATTTACCAGCATATGTATCCAAAACCCAACCACAGTCTCTCATACCTTTAATGTGGGCTTTGGGGCCTTCTACCGGATCATCATAGATCTTATTTATCTTTTGATCATGTGTTGCAGGTTTTGATATGCACATAGTTTCTTCATTTGGAAGAATACACTTCAATTGTGATTTTGGGAAAGGACAAGGGCAATCGGATTTTGATAAAACACATTCAAGTGTCACTGGACATAAATAGTTTTTACATTCATTATCTAATACTCTATCTTCATAAGGTTCTAGCTTTGGACGTTGCTGTTGCTGTTGCTGTTGTTGGTTGAAGTTAAACATGAAACTATCGACATCTATGATGAGCATGGCTATAGTGAGCACTAACGCACTTAAAGAATAATGTAATTGCATAATGATAAATTTTATTGTATTTTCAGGTAGAGATATATTTCTCAAAACAGATACTTCACTTGCAAAGGTTGGTACTTTGGGTAAATAATGTGTATTTTCTTATTTAAAGTTTATATAACTTGGGAACCTCATCTTGCTTATTTAACACAGTGGCAACTCGATGTTTACATATTTTGTTGATTGTCGTGCAACACGATTTAGCGTTTCGCGTTACTTTTCCTTCTGCCTTTGTTTTGAAGAATAACATTAACAATGAATGGCGACCTGAAACAATGTAACTTGTAGGAGTGATCCTTCTTATTTTTAAGATGCTGCTGAGTTATATTTTTATATTGAGGTATCAGGAATCATTGAAGTGAGTGTGTTAGCGTGGACAAAGGAGAGAACAAGAGTGAGTGAAAGGTAAAGTGAAGATGTACTACAGGATAGATCAGTACACCAACGCGTATAATAAGATACTGAAGGAATCTTCAAACCCATCTACTTGTCAGTTAGTGATTTTTGTCTCATGTTTAAATATAGATGCATTATGTGCTACACGGATGCTAGCTACCCTTTTCAAGAAACAGTTAGTTCAATTGCAAATTGTTCCGGTTTTTGGTTACTCCGAATTAAAGATACACTATGCCAAATTAGATGATAATATTAATAGTATTATACTCGTTGGATTTGGTAGTTACGTAGATATTGAAACATTCCTGGAGATAGATCCTAATGAATATCGTATAGAACAAACTCGTAATGACGCAATAATTACTCATGAAGATACGTATAAAAGACATATATATATATTGGATAGTCATAGGCCGTGGAATTTAGATAATTTATTTGGTTCAGATATTGTACAGTGTTTCGATGATGGTACTGTTGAGGATTCATTAAATGAACAAAAAGAAGCATATTTTAAATTGATAGAACTGGAAGCGGAGAGAGATTCAGATCAAGATGATGAGTCAGCCAGCGAAAGTGAAAATAATACAGACGACGAAGACGACGAAAATACTTTGGATAATGGTAAAAGAGCTCATCCTGATGATGTGCAGGACACGAAACAGGTTCGTAAGCTAAGAAGGAAACAAATTAGTCAGTATGAACGTATCTTAGAAGAATATTATTCTCAAGGTACTGCTGTTGTGAATTCTATATCATCTCAGGTATACTCGCTGATATCTGCTATTGGGGAGACTAATTTAGCACAATTGTGGTTGGCAATTTTGGGAGCAACATCCCTAGATACTACCTACTCTGCAGTTTACAATAACCTATATCCAATTATGCAGGATGAAGTTAAAAGATTGTCGCCTGGAAATAGTTTACATGTTTCTGCTACAAGATCAAATGGATCTAACTCTGTGATGAAGACACCTGATACATTATCCCTTGAAATTCAACCTGATTATTATTTATTCCTGTTGAGACATTCGTCATTATACGACAGTTTTTATTACTCTAATTTTGTTAATGCTAAATTATCTCTGTGGAGTGAAAACGGTAAAAAAAGATTACATAAAATGTTTGCAAGAATGGGTATACCCTTAAGCACAGCACATGAGACATGGTTATACATGGATAATTCTATAAAAAGAGAACTTGGTAATATTTTCCACAAAAATTTGGATAGGTACGGTTTACAAGATATTATAAGAGATGGTTTTGTTAGAACTTTCGGATATAGAGGTTCTATAAGTGCCAGTGAATATGTCGAATCATTAGCTGCTCTTTTGGAAGCTGGATCTACGCTGAATGCGAGCAACCAGTCGAATTCCTCTTCGTCTTCTATATCTACTTCGAATAAGAATAGCCATGATAGAAATAATAGCGGCTCGGGTAATAATCAAAATGGAGAGAAGAACGATGGTAATGATAAACATGAGTACAAAGAAGAAGATTCAATTGAAAATTCTCGTAAAAGAGCCGTTACTTCGATGGAAAATATCAGAAAACAGTGGGTATCAAATTTTTGGCTAAGTTGGGATGCACTTGATGAGAAAAATATTGATATTCTATCGAAAGGTATCAAACATGCGCAGTTTCTTCAAAAAGCTATCTTCAATACTGGTGTCACTATTTTAGAAAAGAAAATGATTAAACATCTAAGGATATATAGACTTTGTGTTCTCCAGGATGGTCCTGATCTTACTATCTACCAAAATCCCCTAACGTTACTAAGATTAGGTAACTGGTTAATCGAATGTTGCGCAGAAGCAGAAGACAAACAATTATTACCAATGGTGTTAGCCTGTTTAGATGAAGAAACGGATACGTACCTCGTGGCAGGTCTCTCACCAAGATACCCAAGAGGATTGGATACTTTGAGGACCAAAGAACCAATTTTGAATAACTTCAGCATGGCATTCCAACAAATCACAGCTCAAACTGACGCAAAAGTGAAAATTGATAATTTTGAAAGTTCGATAATAGAAATAAGGAAAGATGATCTATCGCCATTTTTAGAGAAATTAACCTTAAGCGGATTGTTGTAACGAGTCATATTTAATAATATAGGCATAAATATACATATATATAAATTGCAGGTATGCAAGAAATTATAGTATTAATATAAAAATATAGTATTCTGATACTTATAAACGATATCACTGTTTTTTCAAGTTTTATTGTTCCTTCCTGTTATAGTGATCTTTGCAATTACATGTCGAAATAAACTCATACCCGAAGAATAGACGAATTCAATCCTTTCTTCTACAATATCATTGTTGTTAGTGTTAAATGTCGTTGTTTAGGATTTCAAGTATTGATTATGTCTATAGGCATAGATTATATATATAAATATATATGTTCTCATTCCAAATAAAAGAATAAATCCCTATATTAAACATTATATAGGAGTGTCATATTTAATCTATGATAATATGATATAATCAGTCATACTAACTTTGAATATATGAGAATTCCATGCTAAAGTGTCTTCTTACTTCACGTTATTTTCTGCGAAACTACCTTCTATTCGCTATGGTAATGTCGAGCCCCTAGCCAGTTTCCAATTGATCTTATTTGGAGTACGAGCATTATTTCTCTATCTACTATGTTAGGAGTGTGCAAATACCAGGAGTCTCCGGATGTTCAAATTCAACCCTTTCAATTTCTGTTGTTTGTCAGGTCTAAGCTTACCAAATAATGCTCTCAACGGAGCCTAACATTTTTTGTCTAAAACGGACTTACTCTAAGTTCCAAGATTATGTGACAACAATAAGAAAATCTAAAAATGAACGATCAAAAAAGGTTTGATAGATAAAGTTAATACTTTGTTTTTGTAAAACAATATATATAGACCTACAGTGATGACATAAAAAATGGTTAAGACCCCTAAAAATGACAGATAAAAGAGAATACACAACAAACACCTCTCATAATAGAGACGTTAATAATAGAAAACTTTCTGGTGACCCATTGTTTGAGATGCCGCCGTTTCCTCCATGGAATAATGTAGAGGATAGAACCACAAATGAAAGAAGTCTCTCTACCCCTTTAAGAAGAAAAATGAAACGGTCCCTAAAGGTAAGTATAGATAATGATTCGTTGGAAACTTGTCCTTCGATTATAGTAAGTGATGAAGATGCCAAAAATGAACTTAAGAATATTGAGTATGACTATCAACCTTTTACGACAAAGAAGTCGATTAGCGAAACAAAGAAAAAAAATTGGTTATCAGCTGAAACTGCAGAGCATTGCTTAGTGTTTCACAAAGAGGGTCATTTGCAAGGCGCTGAAAATTATAGACCAGATATCATGATTGATTGTGTAACAGAAAGTGCTTCGGGATCTGACATATTGATAGACTATCCAGAAAATATAAAAGATTCATATAAGAATAAAGTAAGGAAGTCGAAAGATATTGGTAATAATATGCAAAATAGAGAACATAAATCAGCTACTAAATTACTGGAATTAAAAATATTTTGGGAGAACTCTGATCTACTTAATCATTTAGATACAGATATGGTTATCAGACAAAATGAAATTTTATTAAGGGAGCTGGATGAATTAATTAATGTGAAGAAACAACTGAAAAACAGAAAGCATCATACTTCATTAAGGGAGAGATGTGAACAAATATTGAACGGTAATGATGATTTCTAAGATATCTAGGTGTGATAGCATTTACAAAAACCTGTGTAAGAATAAATGGTTGCAAATCACTCGTTCCTAAGGTTCTAAAAGTGATAGTGAAGCATATGTTTTTTATCGAGTGTAGGTATCAAGGTTTGGAAACAATTTGATTATGTATAAATCTATTGTGTGAACCTGTAATTACAAATGTAAAATTCTAGAACCTTTTTGATTACTTATAATATATGAGATATCTGATGATGACCCGGATCGTATGATTATGTCACTGATATGTTTTCTAATTAATGGTTCTAATATTATTAGTACGTTATGAAAATATGATTATTCAGGCAAGGGTAGATGTCAGTAAAATATGGATCGCTTTGAATGAGATTGCTATAGATAGTACCAGTACAATATAAATATATCAATTATATCGAATATCACTTTAAATAACAAAATAGCTCTATATCTGTCTCTTTTCCTTTTTCTCTATACTTAAATTCTTTCTCTTTTATGTAAAGCTTTTGAATTTATGGTAAAGCATTTTCACAAATTTCAAAAGCTCTTTTAAGAAACAAATATATGAGTACGTATATCATATGTTTTACTATTCTGTTTAGATATATATCTATAAATAAATACAAAACACTCTAATTCTAATCATATTCTAGGGAATCTGAGATAGAGGGTTTGTCTCTAGTGGTCTCTGCAAACTTTAATTTATTTAATTCGGACATTTTATAATATGTCAATTGATCCGTCTCTTTATATTATATATAATTTATAGTGTTAAATATAGCGGCAGCACTAAAAAGGCTAACATTAGTTTAACCTATCTGAAGGTGAAGGTAGCTAATATAAGTAGAATTTAGAGTGTGCTACACTGTCGTGTATATAATAACACATGATATATACTGCATAGTGTAGTATTCGTTCCCCCTACATTGGGTTTATTGGAGCTATATTATCCAACGTTACTATGCACAAAAGATGAGCAGTTTAACAACAGCAACTCTGTTTTAACATTAACAACATAGTAATAGTGATTAAATATAACCGTCTGTTATATTTTTGTCTTTGATTATCTGAGATCCCAATACAACAACATCAAATATATCCGATATAGTGTAACGGCTATCACATCACGCTTTCACCGTGGAGACCGGGGTTCGACTCCCCGTATCGGAGTTTTTTACATTGAGTTTCAATTTTTTTATTAATTGAAATAAGGCAAATTGTTTCCCATTTCATTTTATCTAATCGTAGTAAAACACAGGTCAACACCGTTTCAATTATCTATTCTTTAAACATGTAGGTTTTACTTGTTTGTATTTGTGTAATCCCAGTTTAAGTTGAACCTTTCCCATTCCGTGTCTTAAAACGGAACCGCACAACAAAATTACGCGAAATTGGCCCAACAAACCGAGCGGCGTTCGGGTTTCAGGGAGCGAAAGCCGAACAAAAACATAAATCTGAAAATAATTGAGAATTTCTATATAATATTTACTTTGCCACATTTTGGGATAAGCAATGAAGCGAAGGTACAGGGGCAAACCAAGAAAGATTATTATTGGGTAATTGGTAGACGCAAGGGTCTCTCATCCTAACTTTATATATATATATGTACATGATAAATAGGGTTAGAGATAGTTTGAATTCCTAATTTTTAAAACGAAATATTTACTAGTAAGACCAATTCTATAACGAAGATAGTATAGGAAAAATGAATATTGTTAAACTGCAAAGGAAATTCCCTGTTTTGACTCAGGAGGATTTATTCAGTACCATCGAAAAGTTTAGGGCTATCGATATCGAGGACAAAGGTTATGTTGCTAAACAAGAAGCTTTGGAGGCAGTCAGTGCCTCTGGAGAAGCTTCTTATGATGAAGCTAGAGAAACCTTGAAACATGTTGATGTTGATGCTTCTGGTCACGTTGAATTAGATGACTATGTGGCATTGGTAGCTAGATTAAAAGAAAGCAAAGCCGGAGCAGTACCTCAGACTAGTTTTGCTGTTGATAATACTACTGTTCAAATGCCTACATCTCCTGGGAAACCAGCATTGCAATACAAAGGTACGGGTGCGCAAGCTAAAATCATCGTTGGTGGTTCTCAAACTGGTACTACGCATACTATCAATGAGGAAGAAAGAACCGAGTTTACTAAACATATTAATAGTGTTTTAACTGGTGATAGTGAAGTGGGTCATTTGTTACCTTTTCCAACCGATACTTTCCAATTATTCGATGAATGTAGAGATGGTTGGGTTTTATCTAAATTGATTAATGATTCTGTTCCAGATACTATTGATACCAGAGTCCTAAATAGACCAAAAAATGGGAAGCCATTGAATAATTTCCAAGCCAGTGAAAATGCCAATATTGTTATCAATTCTGCAAAGGCAATTGGTTGTATTGTGGTCAATGTTCATTCTGAAGATATCATTGAAGGGAGAGAACATTTAATTCTTGGTTTAATATGGCAAGTTATTAGAAGAGGTCTTTTGGCAAAGATCGATATTAAATTACACCCTGAATTATACCGTTTACTTGAAGAAGATGAAACTTTGGAACAATTCTTAAGATTACCACCTGAGCAAATCTTACTACGTTGGTTTAATTACCATTTGAAGAAAGCTAACTGGCATAGACAAGTGACCAATTTCTCTCAGGATGTAAAAGATGGTGAAAACTATACTGTTTTATTAAATCAATTGGCTCCAGATCTATGTTCTGTAGCACCATTACAAACATCAGATTTGATGCAAAGGGCTGAACAAATCTTGGATAATGCTGATAAGTTGGAATGCAGAAAATATTTGACTCCCGGTGCATTGGTTAAAGGTAACCCTAAATTGAATTTAGCCTTTGTTGCTAATTTGTTCAATAACCATCCGGGTCTAGAACCATTCGAAGAAGCTGAAAAACCTGAAATTGAAGAATTTGATGCAGAAGGTGAAAGAGAAGCAAGAGTCTTCACATTATGGTTGAATTCATTAGATGTTGATCCACCAATTGTTTCTTTGTTCGATGATTTGAAGGATGGTTTAATATTATTACAAGCTTATGAAAAGGTTATGCCAGGTTCGGTCGACAAGAAACATATTAATTATAAGAAAGATCCAACTACTGAATTATCTCGTTTCAAGGCCCTTGAAAATACTAATTACGCTGTTGATTTAGGTAAACGTAATGGATTTTCACTTGTTGGTATTGAAGGGTCAGATATCCTAGATGGTAATAAATTACTTATTTTAGCCCTCGTATGGCAATTAATGCGTAGAAACATTAATAACACCATGAACAAACTTTCATCTAGTGGTAGAGATATGAGTGATGCACAAATATTGAAATGGGCTCAAGACCAAGTCACTAAAGGTGGGAAATCATCTACTGTTCGTTCATTCAAGGACCAATCTTTGTCCAATTCTCACTTCCTATTGGACATTTTAAATGGTATTGCCCCAGGTTATGTTGACTATGATTTAGTTACCCCAGGTAACACACCAGAAGACAGTTATGCCAATGCTAGATTAGCTATTTCTATTGCTAGAAAGTTGGGTGCTTTGATCTGGTTAGTTCCAGAAGATATTAACGAAGTTCGTTCGAGATTAATCTTGACTTTCGTCGCCTCCTTGATGTCTTTAAATAAATAAATTATCTCGGTTATGGCAACTTTAGCTTTCACAGTTGTTATATTTGACATTGACTTATAAACTGTGAATTTTGCAATTTCCTCAGAAATGTACTATTATTAATATTAAATATAAACTATTCAGTGAACCGTATTTAATTAATCATTTTTAAAAATTTGAAATACTTTTTTTATATTTTTGCAGGAACACGATACATTTTAAACTTCCTCGTCTTTAATGTAAATATGTTTTTTTATACAACTTATTAAATAGGAACCCTACTATTCGTAATTTGATCCTTTAATTTTTCATCCCATTCTTCCGTCTTAGAGTTCATATATCCCATAACATCACTCATACCTGTAGGGTCTATATCCGTTCTCTCTATGTATTCAATACCATCCAATGAAGTTGCTGACCCAAATTTCACGTTTTGATTATCAAAATGTGGATTGGCCAATGTTGCGACATATACAGGAGCATTTGCAGCTTTATAACCGTCAATATTATGCCACTTGGATCCCAATAATCTCGCAAAATAGAATAAGAATAACATACCGTAATATGTAAAAACGTTCAAAAATTTAAAAAATGAATGACTTGTAAAAATACCTGGATGAACAACATACTGATGAACACCTATATCTTTCATTGGTTTGTACGTCCCTAAATGGACTAAATCTACAAGTCTCTTAGAACCTTCATATGATGCGTCACTCTTGAGCAATTCCATATCTTGCAAGGATAAATACTTAGGTAAGGACATAATACTGGAAATCCATACAATAATAGCATTACCTTCTTGCAATAATGGAAGTATCTTGTGAATAAAATAATAGGGACCAAATACATTTGCTTGAAAGACTAAACCCATCCCATCTGCGGATTTTACACCAACTTTTTGGATTTTATACGTTGGATAAGTTACGGCATCTAATGGATTCACCAGGACATCCTTCACAGCAGCAAACCAATCAATACCATCATATACACCCTGAGCTGCATTAATGAATAAGTAGTGAATCGCTTTATATTGTTTTTCTAATTCGTAGTATGCATTCAAAATGCTCACCATATCAGTAAAATCAACAAGAAGATAGTCATAATCCACTAACCCAACACGATTCACTTTTTTAACATGCTTTTTCAATAATTCAATGACCTCTCTCACACGTGGCAAAGTTCTGGATGTAACAACAATTGTCAATCTAGTGGATGGACTCTCCCTTTCAATCAATCGATATGCGATGTTGATACCAAGGTTACTGTTTAAAAGAAATGAAACCAAAAAGGAAGAATGATAATTTATTTATCTTGTAAAAGAACATATCATCCTTACAATCTCCTATTTTAATGGTTAGTCATATTGAAAATAAAGACCCAAAAATGGTAGGGGTGGTTGAAGTAATCTAAGATCAACCCGACCTAAATATACATACCTATTTGTACCTGTAATTACTGCAACTTTTCTAGTGCTCATTATTTGATTCTTCTTAAAACAATCTGTGATGTCAATCTGTGATATCAATATATACTTTTGAGGTTGACGTATTCGTAAATATATTAATTACACCAACTTCAAAAATAAAGATAACTATATATATATATTTTTTATTGACAGTCAAATTATTCCAAGATGAACCATCTCGAGGATCCCTCATTGAGACAGTAACTAAATCGTTTAGTTTCTTGATGGCCGACACGATCCGCTGTCTCCGTTTCGTTCCCGTAAAGAAAACAACGAAAGAAATATATCAACTAAACGATGAATATTAAATAACAAAGGACTGACGGATTTAAGATAACATGGGTGTTTCAATAGAGATTATTATCATATAAAATCATATACAAAATAAATAAATACATATATATGTGTTATGCTACATTTAATTTCTTGTGACTTCTTCAAAGATAGCTTGGAATGGTGCCTTGACACCGGTCCATTTCTCGAATTGTGCTACACCTTGGTGAACCAACAATTGAGCCCCGGGAACAACATTCCATTGGTACTTGTCTTTAGCTAGTCTCATGATTGGTGTGACTGTTGGTAGATAAGCAGCTTCAAGAAGAGTTGGAAGGAATTTAGTGTGAGTAGTCTTAGTTAGGCAACGTTCAAGTTTACTGACCAATTCTTCATCTAAAGGTTTGTCGGCTGGTACACAACTGACAGCAACACTAATAGTGTCTTGAAGTTTATCAGCATCTGCTGTACTTTCAATGATAACAAGGTTGTATTCCTCTGGGAAAGTTTTCTTTAGATCTTGTAACTTGGAAGTAGTTCTGTTGATTAAATAGATCTTTTCACAGCCCATGTTGTGCAGGGCATAGATTGCTGCTCTTGAAGTACCACCGGCACCAATAACTAAACCAGAAACTCCGGAAACTAAACTTGGTACACCATTACTGATTAAAGAGTTCTTGATACCTAACCAGTCAGTGTTGTCACCATGGAATTTACCATTTCCGATTGGAGTAACTGTATTTACAGCACCAATAGTCTTGGCCGAATCAGATAGTTCTTCCATAAATGGAATTATATCTAGTTTCAATGGGATAGTGACGGCTAAACCACCTAGATTTTTGTTACCTTCAAGTAATTCCTTTTTAACAGTTTGGGCAGAATCGGTTTCAAATTTATCAAATTTGTGTGGTAGACCTAATAATTTGTAACCAGTATTGTGTAAGATTGGTGATCTAGAGTGACCGATTGGCTTTCCAACAACAAAAAATTCCTTTGCAGTAATACCACCCATAGAAGTATAGATTTGATTGATCTCCGGTAAGGTTAATTGACCTGGAGCAGCGGCAGTATTCAACAGATTGGATGTAATTGGCGTCAATAGAGTGTTCAACACACGAGAGACTTGACCAATCTTTCCCATATTAATGGCAATTAATGGCTTGGTAGTATGAGAGAATCTAAATCTTTCTAGAGCCAAGTTATCTTCAAATTTTGCTGCGGTTCCAACAAATTTTACGATGTCGACGTCGAGAGATAGGGCCTGATTATATCTATTCTCCCATTCTGCGTCATCCCAGTTATAGGAGGCACTGAAATCATGATGAGAACCAATGATCTTAGTGAAACCCTTGTTGTTAAGAACATTATATTGGATGTCAGACGGTAGAGTTAATTCAACATCGATATATTCAACACCAGATTTTAGAGCCAGGTTAAACAATTTCTTAAGTGTAACGAAGTCATCATCATCAAATTTACCACCTTGTTTCTTAGTTCTAATAGTAAAAATTATTGGAAGACCGTCTGTAGCAATACGTAATGTAGAAAGCTGTCTGGAAACATAATCAGAATCCAACTCAGCTAAATGGTCGATTCTTACTTCAACAGCATCGCAACCATAGGTAATTGGATTCAAGCTGTCGACCTGTTGAGTTAAGTCTTCAAAAGTCAAACAAACAAAAGCGGATCTTTTGGTTGGAATGGCAATTTGTCTTTTACCAGTGACCATGTTAATGAAATTGCCAAATACCTTTCTCAATTTTTGGAATTGAGCTTCAGTTGAACAGTGTGGAGCGAAAAAGGTGAAATTGGAGCATTCATTATACCATTGTTCTCTTTTGGACCAAACATCTCTTATTTCTTCAACATAAGCTGGTCTTGTTGGGTCACTTTGTAAGAATATAATAGTTTCTTCAATATCTCTGTGTAGATGTAAAACAATACCACCTTCTGAGGCGAATTTTTTCAAAGATTCTCTAGATTCGCCACTTTCGACAATACCACCACCAGAGGAGAACACGTAACCAGAGTCACCGTACTTTTCAATAACCTCCTTAAAGATTCTAGCTTCTTCAGCCCTAAATTTTTCCCAACCATGTTCAGCAACAAATTCTTTAATGGTACCTTTTTCATATTGTTCTTCGAAAAGTTCATCTAAATCGACCAATTTGTAACCAAGGGCAGCTGCACACCATTTACTAATAGTAGTTTTACCAGCAGCTCTCATACCAATGATGACAACACTCTTGTTGGAATTGACGTTAGAAGAGGTCAATGGTTCGGCACCATCTAGTTTAGCACCCATATTGGTATGTAGAACATCCCACCAACCTGGCCAAGTCTTACCTGTACAATGTCTTTCCAGGATTCTTACAGGTGTAACATTTTCAGATTTGGAATTATAATTAACCATACCTGCCAATAAGGAGAAACTCATAGCAACACGGTGATCATCATAAGTATCGATACCAATTGGGCCAGATGAATTACTTGGAACCTTCAATTCATCGATAGAGTCAAGACCGTAAATTTGGATACCATCTGGTAATTCTCTAGTTTCTACACCAAATTTGGCCAATTGTGTAGCCATTGCCTCAATTCTGTTACATTCCTTAACTCTTTGATTGGCAATGCCTTCAATTGTTGTAACGTTACCGGTACCCTTACCATCGTTAGCAGCGGCAGCAACCACACAAGCTGTTAAAAATGCATCTGTCATTGGTTCCATATCAACGTGCTTTAAGGGTTTCAATTGACCTTGAGCTGGCCCAGTAACTGTAGTTGAAGTAGCTGTTTGATCAACAGTACAACCCATTGGCTTTAAGACGTCTCTAGCAAATCTGGCATCACCTTGTAAGGAGGCAGAACCAATATTTGGAACTGTTATAGTGGTACCGGTCAAAGCAGCAAAAGCTAATGGATAAGTAGCACTGGATGCATCACTCTCGATAACATATTCTGGTGGGTTAATATAATGAGCCTTTGGAATGTGGTAAGTGTATGGTTCGGTTTCGGATTGGGTAACCTTGACACCAAAGGTATCCATCATTCGGATGGTCATATCCACGTATAATTGTGATATTGGTTTACCACCAACTAGAGCCAAAGTAACTGGTTCTTGAGCATATGGAGCACACATTAGAACTGAAGAAACGTACTGGGATGAAACTGTAGCAGAAAGTTCAATACGACCACCTCTAAAGACAGAATCAGTGTAAACCTTCAATGGCAAACAACCTTCGTTTTTCACATAGTCGATCTTAGTACCATTAGCACGCAAAGAATCGACCAAAGGACCGATCGGTCTTTGTTGCATTCTAGCATTACCAGTTAAAATAATGTAATCCTTATCCGGACGAGATTTGACTAAAGCGGCAACGGTTGTTAAAAATCTAGAAGCTGTACCTGCATTACCTAAGTATAATTCTTGGTCACATACTGTTAATGTTTCACCACCGCGACCTTCTAGAACGACAGTTTCACCATTATCTTCCCAAGTGATGTTGGCACCCTTCAATAAATCAACAGCTGCTAACATGTGTTTCGTGTCATCAGAGTGTAATAAGTTCTTTATCTTACACGTACCTTCACCAAGAGCAGCCATAACAAGGGCACGGTTAGAGATAGATTTGGATCCTGGTGGGACGATAACCTTATTTTGATCTTTTTCAATATTATTGAAAGGGTAGACCAAAGTTTCATCAGTAAGAATGAATCTAAAATCTTCATCAGAGACGACGTGAGCTGAAGTGCCATAACACTTACCAATGCTTTCCAAGATGACACATTTCTTCTTAGCACCATCATTTTTCTTATCAATACTCATCTTGTCAAGTAACGTCTCTAGAGGAGTAGTCTTATGTAAAGTTAATTCTTTGAACCATTTTTCTTCAGGAGAGACAGGTAAACCATAAGCAACAAGGATCTTAGATAGACGAGCCACTTGAGTAGAAGATAAAATCCCCCAGTAACGAGACAATTCGGCTTCTTTAACCATACCGATAGAGACACATTCCCCATGTAGAGCTTGTGGAGTTAAAATAGCTTCGTAAGCATGACCGATAGTATGACCGAAATTCAATAAGTTTCTTAAACTAGATTCACGTTCATCGGAGGAGACGACATCGGCCTTAACTTTAATACTTCCCAAAACCAATTTGTAAGTATGTTCTAAGATGGCTTCGATGTTTGTATCAGAAATGTTGTAAGTTTCATCAGTCATAGTGCTCTTGTAATCAACGAATTTTGCGTTGTTAACAATATCTAAGAAAGAATTAGCATTAACTTCAAGTCTAGTGAATTCATCTGCATCCCAAATACAAGCAGTCTTGATAACTTCAGCCATACCATTAATGAATTCTCTTTGAGGTAAAGTACTCAACCATTTAATATCTACCAAAACAAATTGTGGTTGCCAAAATGCACCAACAAAGTTTTTCCCAATTGGAGTATCGACAGCAGTCTTACCACCAATGGAAGAATCGACCATAGCCAATAAAGAAGTTGGAATCTGTACAACACGAACACCCCTCATGAAAGTAGCAGCAGTGAAACCAATCATATCACCAATGATCCCACCACCAATAGCGACCACGACAGTATCTCTTGTACAACCTTGTACTAACATGAAATCTTCAATAGATTCTTTAGTTTTTCTAGTCTTGTTTGCCTCACCTGGTTTAGTAACAAAACGTAATAAACGAGAACCCTTTGGTAAAGATTTTTCGAATTCAGTGACTAATTGTTCCCAGTATGGAACTTTTGTCAAGTTAGCATCATTGACCACAATGTAAGTAGATGATTTACAATCATTAATGATGGTTTGAATCATATGGGTATGAATATCGTAACCTACATGAATAGTAGGTTTCCCCAAAATAGACACTTTTTCAAGTGACACAGTGGGAGTAGCCATGATTTGTTAAAATAGTGGAATGTTATATAAAACCGGCTTTGGTCCTTTAATAGCTTGAGCTTAGAAAGAGTAAAACCAATTGGATACAATAATAATAATAAGACATACAAATTGTAAGATAATACATTCAAATACGGTCTGACCGTGAACTTATTGATGGTATGTTGAAGTGAAAAAGATGGTTTCCAGTTTCCACCTCTCAGCTTTGGGTCCTCCCTTCCCTCCCACTTCGAAAACTCGCTGTCTTCACAGGACTGGATGTCTTGATTACTTAGTATCATAATCACATCACACGCTTCAGCTTGTTTGTTTATAGTGAAACTCCCGCACAACAGCAGAGGAAATGAAATTTTTCAAAGTGAAATTTCTTATACTAAACACCCCGTAGCAAAGATATGAGTCAGCATTGTCAGTGACGGAGAGATCATGCCACACGACACGGCAGGATGGATTGTGAGCCAATGTCATGAGAGTACTAGAACTAATGAAGTATCATTTTTAATTTAAAACTGATATTGTTTTGGACTATGGCATGCCAAGACGTTGTTATTGACCATCGGTGTTATCACGAAACTGTTGTTTTGCTTCTAAAGTATAGTGAGACACTGACAATGAGCTTGTTATAACGCGAAATCGCTTTTATCTGAAAATAAAAGAGCAGAAACTTATACAAAACAAACAAGATCAAGAACCGATGACATCGACTTTAGATTGTTTGGTATGAAGGATAAGAATGTGAATTAAACCCCTTTGTTCCTTGGATATCCATTGAGATATATGGCTTAACGCTTAATATTGGTGTCTATATATATAATTATAAGTTTCGGTAAACTTTGCAGAACAACTTTATTTTCACAACATTAAACCTAATAGGGAACTTCAGCTAGCGAAATTATTCAATGTTGTAAACTCAAAGATGAAAGTGACTGTATGGTTTCAAAAATAATGTATGCGGTTCTAATTCCTCATCATACCGTAACTCAATAATTATCACTAAATAAGATATCTATTATCTGTTAATTTCCACTACTTCTGTATATTAAAAAATCACACCAATTGAGAGTTGTGCTACCAATTTCAGTAGGCGTATATGTATAGGTGAGATTACGAGATTTGAAACTTTTGATTACATATTCTATATGAATTATCTCTCAGTTCTTGAATGAAAATATGTTCATTATGCAAGTTGTTTGTTCTATTTTGACTGAGGTGATGTTGTGCAAGTTGACGGTGTCTTGAATTTAGATGCAATAAATGCGCTTACGAATATTACCAAACAGTTGTTGAAACATTAATTTCGTTGAACAATCAAAATGATACAAATGAATTCCCAAATCTTATGGTTCGTAGAGTTCCAATTTTGAACAGGAAGAGATTGTACCAATCCGGATTGTACTCAGCAGTTCGCTACACCTAATGGACTTTCAATACAGTGAAATAATAAAAAAATCATTGAATACTCTCGCCTTATATATATATTTGTATATTTGTTTATCTGATATATTAATTAAAAGGCGTTTGCTAGGAAAATAGCCGCCGAAGTTCCCCGGAACTTCTCCTACTAAAAAACAAATACATACACACATGAAGCAACTAATTGAACGTGTGGAAAGTAGCCACTGACCTTATCAATATCTGGTTAAAATGCATTCATAAAAGTTTCATTGCACTCCTCATTGGAAAACAATGCCTGCCACACGTGACCACACCATTCTAGCGAAACGTCTTCCTAAGAATTTCCCTAATAGAGGTAACAACAACCAGTTGATCGCCTTCGACAACTGTTGCAGACTCTCCTTCCATTGTCTTTCTGCTTCAAGTAATCGTTTTTCCAATTGAGAATCCTCATCATCTATTAATAATTCCAGATCTGAATCGTATTCATGGTTTTCATCCTCAGTTGTAGGAGTGGAGGACTCAAACGAACCGCTGTGCATTGATATCACTTCCTCGCTCATAAGGCCACGGAAACAGGAAGGCTAATATGTGATACTGCTGAAGCTTTTACTTCTTTAGTTGTTATATATATGTGAATTTCCCTTGTGCTAAGAGGTGAAATACTGATTAAAAAATAGTATTGAATCGTCGTATATCGCAGCAAAATCGAATGCGAAATTCTACGCCTAATGGAGGAGGAGATATTCCTTCTCTCTGTTTCTCGTCCAACGGGAAAAGGAAATTACACCACGTCGTTCGCAGTGATCTCCCCCACACACTAAAGAAAACATGGAAACATCATTATCAGCCAAACCCACAGGAACTGCCGGTAATAAACATATCTCACATATCGACAACGACAACGACAGCATCACCTGAAAGTGTCGCTGTTTCTACAGTCATGGTTCAATATCGGTAGAGATACAACCCACACTATTAGATACATTATTTTAGTCATTCGATCGTTACTCTCAAATCACAGGCTTATTTCCGGGTAGACCATAGAATGTTAATTGATATCTTCCGCACGCAAAAAACTGATTTGGGAACCCGCGGAGTTAACAAACGTTCAAATTTTCGGTGCCGCTACGGACACAAATAGTCACAACGAAATTTGCTATGAAAAATAGTGAATCTTCGGCCGAATCTTCGAATTTATTACGTGAACTGCGCCGCTTTCGTAGTGATATTCTCCGAAGTTCTTTCTTTCTTTTTTGGTTGATAAAATCATATTTTTATGTAATCATTCATACCCTCCACTCAACAAAAACTGAAACTTCAAGATTATATAAAGAGAGATGATAACTGGAACGATTTCTTGAGGTTACGTTTGTTTTCATTATATAGGTGTAAATATGCTCAATTATATGAAAATAATATAATATCTACTCAATATTGTTATGATAGGGACAACAAGAATGTGGTCTACTATTAAAACTTCATTTTGCGAACACAAACTTTCAAGCGATGCCCTAGTGGTGCCTGCTTCAATCAATCCAAACACTGCAACAGCAGCAACGTATCCATCTCTTGATACACAATTGAAGTTATTACAGGATAATATTATGAGTAAATTGAAATTGAATAATACAGTGACTTCACAAAATTCAATGGTAGCTAATCACACTATTAATCAATGGCATTTCCATAATTCTGTTAATTCAAAAGAAAATCCTCAAATTATTGAGACTCCTACTTTATTACTTCATGGTTATGCTGCATCATCTATGTCATTCCATTTAACTTTTAATAAATTAACAAATGGGATAAGAGATCTTTATGCTATTGATTTACCTGGGAATGGCTTATCGCAAACACCCGATATTAAATTACCTTCATCAAATACTAATAAGATGACATTCAATAAAGATCATTCAAGATTTTCAATGACTAAACAAGTTGACACTCTAAAGGAAAAACAAGTCCTAAGTGATTATGAAGATTACTACCTTGATAGAATTGACCAATGGCGTAAAGATAATGGTATTGAAAAATTTAATATTGTCGGACATTCCTTTGGTGGTTATATTTCCTTTAAATACGCTATTACACATCCTGATCAAATCGAAAATATTGGTTTAATTTCGCCTTTGGGGATGGAACGTAATGTTTACTCTTTGAATAATAACTTTGTTGAAGCAAAAGAATATCAAGTGACTCAAGAGGATCCTTCATCGATATATTATTCAAGAAACTTCAAAGTACCCACATTCTTATTCAATAATCAACTTAATACATTAAGATATATGGGACCTATCGGCGGATCTTTAGCAAAACGTTATATTAATAGAGCTTATGTTAATGTACCAGGTACAGAATATCATGATTACTTATATCATATTTTCTATAAAAGTGATAAATTTCCTAGAACAACAATTTCGAATTTCACAAATATGTTTACTAGAAATCTATTGGCAAAAGATCCAATTCTAGATAACTTACCAAAATTGAAAGCAAATAAAGTACTATTGATGTATGGTGATCATGATTGGATGAATGGAGAAGCTGGTTATGAAATGGCTACAGAATTAGCACAAACATATAACTACAAACCACATAAAGAAGTGGATTTTGTTCAAGTACCCCATGCAGGGCATAATCTGTTTTTAGATAACCCAAATTTCTTTAGTGACCAAATTCTTTCCTTTCTTAAATAAATTTTGAATAAGTCGTGTACTTCCATCAAAACTAAAACATCTCAAATATATAGATTCTCATTCTTAATAATATTTTCATTTTTTTTTCTTCAAACACACCTTAATTTATCTGTAAATTACATGAGATACATATATGTATCGTTGGTCACATGCATTTTCCAACAATAGACTTTTCTTATTCTCCTTCTCGGTTTACAACAAGAATTTAAACAAAAAATGTAACATACTGTAGAGTCTCTTGAATTAAAATAAGTGGTTTTAAAAACTGTATTTCTATAAGTGACAGCACAACGGCCCTTCCCCTCCTCCTATGAATTGCGCGCACGTATCGCATCAATCACCAACTTTAAAACAGTCATCCTAAACTATACATTGTCATACCATGTCGGAATCCAACATACCTCGACATCGTCCACAATTCTCACGATTGAATCAACCATCTGCATTGTTCTATTGTTCTTCATCTAGTTGTTCTTACTCATCATGTCTGACCCTATCAATGTATCAATCAATCATCGGAAAAAGCGATGCCGAACATTCATCAATTCCAGTGAAAAAACCGAAGAAATAATATTTTGGTAGCATACCTTCCCAGTTAAAATATGTAGTAAAATTGTGATGATGATCTTTGCAGTTTCATTAACGACAAGAATTAATATTATAATTGTTCTTCTAGCAAAAGAATACATAATTTTATGTAATATATATATGCGTATATATAGGATGGGAAATGGGCCTGGGGAAGTTGGGCTATTTCATTCATTTCGAGAATAGATACAATATTACGAGAAATCGAGGGGCTGAGTACTACATTAACAGAATACTAAAGCTGTATATTTGATAATATTTTTTTAATAAAAATAATGGAGTTGAACAGGAAACCAAGAAAATTGGCTTGCATATCATGTAGGAAACGTAGACGGAAATGTGATATGCAGCAGCCATGTTCAAACTGTGCTCGTAATGATGCTGAATGTATATTCACAAATCAAGATTTACGAAGAAATAGATACTCGACAAGCTATGTGAAGGCCCTGGAGGCACATATTGCTTATCTAGAATCCTCTTTGAGGCAGATCAAGAATACTGCAGATCCCAAACAAAGAGGTATATTATTGAATGAAATAAATTTAGATAATACTGAGACTCCAAATAAAGATATGACTTTTCAACAAAATCCATTAGCAACTTTGGTGAAAACAGAAACTAGCACAGTTGATAATAAAAATGGTGAAAATATCAACGGGAGACGCTCAGATACTTCGTCCAGAGAACCAAGTATTAACTATATTACTACATCGACAACAAGGCCCGGATTACACCAAAGATCTAGATCACCATCGCCATTACCGACAGTAGGTAGTGGTACCAACAGTATATACCCAACAAATTCATTATCGATATCAAATAAGAAAAGAAGAATTGAACATAAGAGACAAATGCAAGTAAATTTGAAAAATTTGTCAAGATCTCCTCTTATCCTGAAATCTTTTTCATTATTCTTTAAATGGTCATACCCTGGTCATTATATGTTCATTCATAGAGAAACATTTCTAAGTGCATTTTTTGGAGATGAATCTACAAAGAATTATTATTGTTCAGAAGAATTAGTCTATGCTATTGCAGCATTGGGGAGTAAAGCTTCAAAAAAATCAGAAGAGTTGTATGAACAAAGAGATATATATTATCACCATGCAAAATCCATTGTGTTAAAAAAAATATTTCAGTTAGAAGACAAATCACTTGCTGAGTCTACATCGTCATCAAAATTAGCCATTATTCAAACATTATTATGCCTTGCATTCTATGATATTGGGTCTGGGGAAAATCCAATGGCTTGGTATCTTTCTGGGTTAGCCTTCAGAATATCTCACGAAATAGGTTTACATTTAAATCCCAAGGCTTGGGATAATGTCTATGAAGATGAATTGTCAAAGATGGATATCGAAGTGAGAAGTAGAATATATTGGGGATGTTATATTGCAGATCATTTGATATCTGTTTTATTTGGTAGATCTACATCTTTAAGGCTTTCAAATTCAACAGTTCCAGAGACAGATGAATTACCAGATATAGAAACTGGTATTGAAGACTATATTTATAATCCAGGTGAAGCATTATGCATGGCTAATCCCTTGAAAAAATTAATCATTCTTTCCAGAATAACAGAAATTTTTGCCAAGAAGATTTTCATTCAAACAGAAACGATAGAGCAAAGAATTGGTTATTTAACAAAATTTAATTCAGAGGCAATGATTTGGAGAAATGATTTAAATGATGAATTACAATGGGATAAACAATCCTTGGAAAAATTAGAGACTCTGAATATTACTACAGTATACGTATGGTATCATTATTACATTGTCATTATCTCTTATAATAAACCATTCTTATTTGAATCCTCCCAATCTAGAAAATTAATTAAGGATTGTATCTATGAATTGCATGCATTATTAAATGTATGGAAAAAAAGATTTGGCACGTTTGAACGTTGTAATCTTTACATGGTTTACTCTGCTATTTTGTCGATTCAATGTATGGATGTGGAGTCAATCAAAGATAATGTATACAATGATTTTGAAGATTTCTTGAAGTCTGATACTTTGAATTATGAAGTAGCTAAGAAGTTCATTGAAAGTAGCAAGAACATGGAAAATAACAACGAATTTAATTCTGAATTTACAGATTTGTTAGGCTCTTTATCTCACGGTACAGATTTTGCCTTGGAGTATAATTTTGACTTCACATTATTGAATGAGATTGATAACTTAATTACTAGTAACCATAATACGCATACACTTACAGAGGAATCAAAATTGTAAACATGTACTTATATATAGATAAAAAATATTAATTATGGATACAAATACAAATAAATTATTCATAGAGTCACTTATATAATTTAATATATATGATTGTTTGGGTATCTCGGTAGATATCTTAAACTAGGAATATTCTGGATAGAGCGTTGTGAAAAATATTGATGCTTACATAATACTGAAAGGTACACACAAGTTGACATTATAAAGGAAAAGAAAAGAATGACCGTCAAATGACTATATATCTCAATAGAAAATGTCACAGACAGCTATAATAGAAGAATTGAATGATCCAACCATTGGTAATGCCATTTCTATATGGGAAAAAGGTGTGTTTAAGGAGCGCGATGGCTCAATGTCAGATGCTATCAAATATTATAGGGAAGCATTAAAAGTATATGATCAAGTGGAAAAGGTGTATAGAAAGAAGTTACATGAGGAATGGTTATTATTTAAAAAGTTGGAAAAACTAAAGTTAAGTGAAGACTCTAAGATTAATACGGCGGATGATTCAACAAATAATGATGAGGATGATGAAAGTTTACTGCCATGTTGGATATTTGAAATGCTTCCAAACGATATACTATTAAGAATTGTTAGTCACGTTGTGGAATATTCTGGTGAATCATGGGTTAATCTTTCTCTTTCATGTTCTAAGTTCAACGAGCTGTGTTTTCATAACTCTATCCCTTATAAAATCTTTAAGAATGTAATATATTCCAAACAGGTATATGATAATGCACTACAAACATTGAATGGTGAAGATAGCGTAAAGAATTTAGAAGAGATATTTTGGGATAAAGATTATGAATTAATGCTTAAACAACGACCCTATATTAAATTCGAAGGTGTCTATATTAGTGTTGTAAATTATCTGAGATATGGTTCGAATGTTGATGGTTCTTCATCATTAAGAAACCCAGTACATATGATAACGTATTATAGATATTTTAGATTTTATGAGGATGGTAAGGTATTGAGACTATTAACAACAGATGAACCTACATTTGTTGTAAAATATTTCACCAGGGAAAATAATATTAAATCAAGTCATTTATGTTCATGGAAATTATATTTCGATGGTGAAACTAATTACATTACCATATCCAGATCTAATGATAAGTACGCATTCAAAGAAAAGTTGACTATAAAAAATCAAGGGAATAAAAGGTTCCAACGATTGAAATGGATGGAAACGACTGTTGAGGATAAGGAAGGTAACATTTCTAAATGTTCTTTGAAAAATGAAAAACCATTTTTCTTTTCAAGGGTGATATCATTTGCTCATCATGTTTCAGCTAAGTCATCGACCTCTAAATAGGTCATTCCATTTATCGGTACCACATTCTAAAACGTACTTGAATTCAAAAGAGTTTATTTTTATAAACTACTATGCTGTATACGATATATAATTGAAAATGAACATTTAAATTTTATTAATATATATATATATTATTTTAATTTAATTTTATATCTATAATATGTCAAAAAATATAATATAACGCTTTTAAGTTTTTCTTCTTTTGAGTAATCCAGTACTACTTTTTTCCTACATAAAATATAGGACATCCTTGAGAGGTATACACTTTCAAAGTGGCTTTATTATATAAAATGAAGAACCTATAAGTTTAATTCCTTTAGAATATGAGAAGCAAGTTCTTTGTATAACCATGTGTTACCACTCACTTTCTTGAAATGAACACCTGCTAGACCAACAATTCTAACCTTCACAATGTGAATTTCAAATTTGATTGGTGGTCTTTCCTTGGTACCATTGCTACCTGACATTGATCTACCATCAGGCATCTTGTTCAAATCTTGAATTCTTGATGTTGTTAAGATATCTTCTTGTTGGCCCATATCATCAATTGAAGCAGATGATATTTCTTGGGAATTATTGTAATTATATGTATTAACAGTTGGGGAAGCGACAATTGAGATGTTCCTTTCATGGCGTGGGCCTTCCATTGGACTTCCAGGTACCATACCCTGGTTGTACTTAACGGATGTCTTTCTTCTAAGAGAGCTTTGTCTTGAAATTGAGCGGTTTGGAACTTGCAATAATTGTTGCTGTTGTTGTTCGTCTATTGGATCATATTGTTCAATTTTTTCACCATTACTTGAGATAGGGCTAATTGCAGATCGTTGAACACATATAAATCCACCTTTAACTTCTTTGAATTCAATGTTCATATTCTTCAAGACAGAGATAATTTTATATCTAACAATAGGCAATGGCTTCGAAGATGTTGTTTGTACGGAGAAGAAACCTTTCAAGAACAAAGAACGAGGATAATCAATAGATGGCATAGATCCAGCTGGAGCTCTCGAAGCCTCCTCAAGAATTTGAGAATCTGTTAATTGAGGTTGTTCATTAATAGCCCCACCATATAATGCATGATCGATACTTTGACCACCTTTCTCTGATGTTCTAATGACACTGTTATTATTTGGTGTACTATTAGATATGTTATCAGATTTATTATCATCACTGTACTCTAAGAACCCATGATCATCAACTTCACCTTGTGCAGGTATCGAACTTGGTAATACAGGTCTGTTAAATTTAAGTGATTCACGACGTGCATGTCCAACGGATTTTGCTCTAGCACTTGGATGGTATTTTCTACCTTTAATGACATTAAGAGGTGGTAATGGATTGTTTTCATCATTTTCTTCATCAATTTGTGAGTTATTACCTTCGTATTTAGTAATGTCGTTTTCGTCGTTAAGAGTCATCTTTTGTATATTTTGTTCGATTTGTTTTTCACGTTGCTGCTGCAATATCGTCTCTGCGTTACTTGGTAACGCTGGTAAATCAGTTCTATTTTGGTGTTTTTGAGATGCAGATCTTTGTGGTGGGGTAATAACAGTATGTGTACTTGCTGGGTTAGTCTTTAATACAGAAGTCTTATATTCTGTATGGGCACCAGAACCATAAGATGGGGCACGGGCCACAGGTGGTACATATTCAGAGACAGTACGTGCATGTGTCTTCTTGATTGGTTGTCTATTGTTATTACGATCTTCGGGAACGGGTGTGACGTTGATCTGTGGTTGATATTGTGGAGTTTGCATAGACACTGTTGGTAATGGTGGTGATACACTTTGTTGTGCACGACGTTGAGATAATTTTCTAAAGATACCACCAAAACCGGCATTATTGTTTGTTTCAATAGGTGATGCACTAGATTGTTGCATGTATGCGCCTTCATTAAAGTTATCATTATCTTCCTTATCCAAATCAATAGTTTTAGTACTGGAGTTTTGAGTCATTACTGCATCGAATGTATTGTGTGTATCAGATGCTTTCCTAGTCGTTGGAGAAGTGTGAGCTTGTTCCGGAATTGAAAGTTTTGGTGGTACCAATACTTGTAATGGTTTTTTGCTTGCATTTTCATTTGGTATAGATGGTAATGGAGATTTTACTGGAGATTTCAATGGTGCCATACGTTGATCTAGAGAAACTTGATTATTGTTGTCGTTGTTGTTGTAATTAGTTGGAGTTGTATGAGATGGTTGTGTAGTGATATATTCTTGTTTTCTTTCAGGTGGTTCTATTGTAGAATTTATAGTATTATTCGCAGATGATAATTCAGTGTTCTTTGATGTATTGGATAAAATACTAACTGCATTTTCAAGTTGTTTATTTTCAGAATTGTTTTGTAATTGTTGTTGTTGTTGTTGTTGTGCTTTTCTTCTTTGCAATTTAGCTAATTTACGAGCCATCATTTCTGAGACTAAATAATACATTGATAATAAAGGATGATAAGCTTCAGTTGGATCTTCAAAATTATTATTTGGTACCGTTGAACTTGAACCACTAATATTATTTATATTATTATTTTTCAATTCAGAAACGATTGTCCAATAATAATGAGATAATTCCATATATTTTTCTTCATTAACAATATCGAGTAATATTGTTTTAGTATCCTCAATATTATCGATAAATTCCAAACGAAACATTTCCTTAATAACATTATCATCTAATAAGTTAGGAGTCATTGGTATTCTCTTTGGTAAATAAGATGGAGTTAAGTAATCGTAACCTCTATTCATCCATGGATGTTCGATGACTTGTTTCAATTTAGCTCTCTTTAATGGATCTACTACTAACATTTTGGATAGTAATGATATTATTTCTATAGATAAATGGTTTGGATATTCAACTTTCCCTTGTTTAATCTTTTCATGTAATACACTTGAATTTTCATCATCGAATGGAACTTTACCACAAACTAGGACATATAAAACAACACCAAAGGACCAAATATCAACTTCTGGACCAATATAAGGCATTGCTTTCAATAATTCAGGCGCAGCAAAATATAAGGAACCACAGAATGTATGTAATAGTTTTTTATTATCATAAACGTTTGATAGCCCAAAATCAATGATTTTAATTTCACCTGATGTTGAAATCATAATATTTTCAATCTTCAAATCTCTATGAACAACATTATTTGCATGTAAATATTTTAGAGCACTAGCTATTCCTCTTGCGAATTTTCTAGCATGATGTTCTCTTAAGGAACCATGTTGAATGATATAATCAAGTAATTGACCACCAGAGACGTATTCGAATAACATATAGAAATGGTTAGACATTGTACACATTTCGAACAGACGACATATATGAGGATGATATAATACTTGACCTAACGATGCTTCTCTGATTGTTCTTTTATCTCTAGAGATTTCTTTTTCCAATTTTTTTTGTCTTTCTAAGATTTCTTGATCTGTCTTTGCTGAAGGTAACGATTGTTCTTTATGTAAGAATGCCTTTGTTGCTCTATTAACAATTTTAATTGCGCAAACTTCATTAGTTTGATGATGTTTAGCCAATTTTACTTTCCCCATTGAACCTGCACCTACAGTTTCTAAGAAATCCCAATCACCTAATGATTTTCTATGGAATTGTTTAATCTCTTGATTGGTTTTAGTTGACGAAGTTTCTCTACGTGGAGTTTGATTAAGTGATTGTGATTGAGGTTCGGATTTCATTCTTTTATGTGAGGTAGAATTCCCACCATTGGGTATACTTACTGGAGGCAACAAAGGTTGTTGCGGCGTCCTCTGAGGAGTTGGCTGTTGCTGCTGCTGTTGCTGTTGCTGCTGCTGCTGCTGTTGTTGTTGTTGCTGTTGTTGTTTACCCATCATTCTTAAAGATGCCGGTGCAACTGAACTTGGAGTTATAGGTTCTTGTTCTAATAAAGATGAAGATTTCCTTTGATGATTCTGTACAGGGGTCCCACCCATATGAAACTTGGGATTTATATGATAATCTTCCATATTCTTTTTTTGGTTCGTTTTCTTTAACTAACTAATTAAAATTGTTGATATATCTATTATCAGAAAGAATCAATAATTGAGGAAGTGATAAGATTATTGATTGATATAGTCGAGTACGGGTGAACTTTTTGATAAATGATATTTTAACTAAAGGGGAAGCAAAAAATTAAAATAAAATTTGGGGGAATTTAAAAGAGGTAACTCACTAAGCCTTTATTAGTAGCTTAACAAAATAAAATAAAACGTTACGCTATTTGTATTGCAATTTTCAACTATCCTTCTAGCAAATTGTCTGTCTTGGCAGGGGTTCCATCAATACATATGTGTATATCCAATATCTAGTACGTTTGTTCTCCCATCGTTGAATATATTTGTTATAATTGCAATCAGCATATCGAGCCACAGAGAGTGCGACGAATCTTGTCCCACCGCCCACTGCCAAATGAATATTTTCTCTCTATTTTGCTTCCCCTTTTTCCAACTTCGCTGGCAGCGGTGGCGGGGAGGGGGAGGGTAACGACAGGGTTGGTTAGGGTTGTTGAAGTTGTCTCAATTTTCTGGCGTGGGGGGCCGGGGAACAGAGGGCTCTCTTTATTTCCAGGTGAAATGGTCGATATATAAACAGCATGAAGAATGGATTTCTATATTGATTGATCTGGAGTGCAGAAGGGTATAGAACAGTTTTGTATACGATATCGCAGCGATGAGTGAACGTGGTACGAGGAGATCGACTAGGATCAGTCGTCAAGTGACTGAGCCGGTCGCTGTTCAGGAAGATCAGGAGGATACAGACGCGTTAAATGTGATTCAACCACATGTAAAGAGACAGAAAATTGAAGACACTGGAAGGGAGTACCCCGAATGGTACAAATGGTTAAGTGATGAGACACTGGTTCAATTGGCGAGACATCCATTGGACACAGTGGATGCCATTGAATTGAGGTTCGATACATTGTCAAATGTTAGAACTAGTTGGGAATATCAATACGTTATTACTTGGATTTATAATGTATCTGAATCGTTTGTGACTAAACAAATATACCCGGGAGGGAAATCAATGTGGAAGACAGTCAATTTTGATGAAATTTTGTTTATGAAGGATTTTTTAACTTTATTAGAGACTGGTACAGATGATTTTAATATTGAAGAAGAACAAGATGACGAGGAAGAAGTAGATGAAAGTAAAATGAATTTATATGAACTAGTAAGACTTTCATTGTTAAGACAATTAGGGAATAATAAATCGATCGAATTGAGAGAATGGGATACTTTGATTAAAGAATCATTTGATGGCGTAAATTATAATTCTAAATTTATTTCTTTACCATTAGATAAACAATTTGAAATCTTTTTAAAAATTATTAAACAAATTGAATCCAAAAATATGGTCTTTAAAAATTTTATTGCTAATAATATGGAATTATTCAATTTCATTAAATTGAAAGAAAATGATAATGAAAATATATTGTTTATGACTTACCCAGTATCGATTGTCAAACAAACATTCACCCATATAGATTCAAAGGATTCTTCTTTACATGTTCCAATTATGTTAAAGAATTGTACGGTATCATATGAGGATTCCAATGGTCAAATCGATTTGGAACATTTGGATTATTCAAAAGAAATAGATTCTTATTTGAAAAATATTATTATCACTAACGAAGTCTTAAGTTATAATTTTTCAACATTTTTGAAAACCTTCCAAGATTTTAAATTAATTTTCAAAGGTAACAACAACAAAAAGCAATCTTCTGATATAAAGAAAATCGTCGACTCTTTTGAAAGTTCCTTCGAATGGGTCGTTCTAGCTAGAATCAATTCTGCTAAATTGTTATTACAAAGAGTGAAAAATCAATCCATGAGACAATTGATGACAAGAAGAAAACGGTCAACAAGATTGATCGAGAAAGAAGAAGAGACTAAGAAAAAAGTTGCAGAGAATCATTTGGAAGATAAGATTGATCATAGACAAACGTTTTTGAAATTAAGAAAAAGAACAGTAGCCAAAATTATCAAACGTTGTAAAGAAAATATGTGGAATCAATTATGGGCAAAATTCGAACAAGATTGTAAAATAGAGAAAAAATCATCCAAATGGAATATGAATGAAGTTGATGAAAATGTAACAATAGAATCACCATTGAATCTAATTGATAAATATGTCTTACCAAATGGTTTAAATTATAACACTAAGATCATTATCACTGACTTGATAACTGAAAAGAATTCATTATCCCAACATGAACAAATCGAAGAATTGCCTACAAGTTTATGTATCACTGAGCCAGATATCGTTGAGGCCAATCAGTTAGGAATGGGACCTGAGATTGAACAAATAGATAATCAAAATGATTGGATGTTTCAATGTACTTGTATGACTGATAAAAAGACTACTGAGCCACCTGGTACTATGGAAGTTACTGCTACTATACCTATTGTGAAAAATGAACCTATTATAATTCATCAAAATGATGGTGAAGAAATCAATCTGGAGAAATTCCATAAATTGGATATTTTGAATAGACCTATCATATGTTGTGACGTATGTCATAAATGGCAACATTGGGAATGTCAAGAACAGTCTCTTGTGGATTTACTTTCATTTGTCTCTGTGCATTCAAAGAAGGATCTAGATAATATGAAATTCTTAACACAACGTGATTTTGGCACTGTCACATACGATAAGAATGAACCACATCATAGTGCAACCAGAAGAACCTCACGTAGACAGCATCAGGAGGAAGAAACAGAACATAATGAACTAAATGCAATGAGACCAGTCGATAGAAGAACACAATTCGGTGAATGTGCTGTCTTTGTTTGTCCAATGTGTTTGGGAGAAATAGAGCAAGAGTTACGTGGCACATTTGAACCAGAATTAACTATCGTGAGAGCCAAACAAAAGAAGCAACATGATGATCGTGAAAGAAGAAAGGCAAAGAAATTGTTGGAGAAACAACAAGCTTTGTCTAATGCTAGTATTACTACTGCTGCTGCTGCTTCTGCTGCTACCACACCTGTACAGAATCATAAACCAGTTATGGCTACGTTTTCAACTGGCTTGCAGAACGCTAGTATAGTGGAAACAATAACCAACAACGATAAACCAGTCATTATCTCACAACAGCCAGTAACCCAAACATATAACTCCGGTAACCCACCAACCCAACCACAACTATGAAATACTAGTATATATATATATAACGCAATGCGCAATCATCAGAAGTAGATAGAACATGTATGTAATCATTTAATCAAATTAGATAATAAATGTGTCAAAGCCTATTGAAGGCCTATGTCCTAGCCCTCTTCCCCAGCCCCCTTCGCTTGCGCGGAACTCCCAGCGCGAATGAGACACATAAATTTTAGAAAGAGCAAAAAACAAATAAATAGTTTCCAGTAAATAATCGGCGCAGAATTATCTAGTCAAGGATAGCAAAAACGATCAATATGGAACGATGCTCTTCACTGATTCACATAGCTATGGCAAGTAGTGAAACAAAAGATCTTATGTCTTATCAGTTTATCAACATTGTTATCCTACTGTTTTGGTTGGATGTCGTAAAATAATCATCTTAGTATTGTGTTCTATGCTTAAATATATATATATATAATATATATTGAGAGGTTAGTAATCAATTCATGGCATTATTGAAGGAATTTTAACTATAAAATCATTAATATATCCACCCGTATATTGAATAAGTACTTATACATATATTACATGAGTATAAGTGTAAGGTTTCAAAAGGTACATTTCCAGTTTTATTATATTGACATACCCCGTATTATTCAATCAGCATTCTTCATATCATAGCTGAAAGCCATTGATTAGGTGATTTTGTTTTTTAAGAGACATTCGTTTTAAATATAATAGGAGCTAGAAAGATAAATTAATACATATCTATATATTGGTTCGAGTGGCATATCCTGAGGTAACCCTTATTTTTAATATTATAAATATATTTTAGCAAAAATAAACCGGTTTCATACTCACCATTCCACTTATAATTTGAAAGAATAATGATTCTGGGGTCATTAGCACTCATGAACAACTCATCGTTGAATGAAAATATATCACTGTCGTTCAAAAATATCTCCAAGGGGAAACCTTCTCTGTGCTATGCCGATGATCTAGCGACAAGTTTTAAGAGAAATAAAAGAAACGGTAGTGGCACTCTTGTAACACACAACCATGTTGATCATAAATTGAGGACTAGATCAGTATCAAATCCTGTGACACCATCCATGAGTGCTGTGATATCACAGATTAAACAGATGTCAGGGGAACCAATAATTGGTAAACAATCTTTAAGAAGAAGTTTTAGTTCCGTACCGAATTCTGATTCTAGAGATATTTCTTTAATAGATAGAGATGACAATGATGATAATATATATATACCGAAAAGGAAACATCGAAGTTCCAATGATAACGACTCTAAAAACACTGAACTATCACACCCTTTATATTCTGGCAATAGTTTAGAACAATTGCACATGATACGAAAAGACCCAACTATGAAATTTTTTAATGTCAATGATCTAGATTTACAGGATTCGTTAACTCCTGAAGATATCGTACAAATAATACCACCCATATATGTTAGACATAAATCTGATAGGAAACTTCCAAAAAAGTTACCATCAGAAAAGAAGATTATTCAAGAAAATACAAAAGATCTAGAGTTGGAGGTATGGCCTGATTCCGTTGATCAACGAGATAAATCTACAGTCACGTCGACTACAGGGATAGATTTATTACCAGATAATAAAAAAATTAGACAGAGGTCAATGAATCCAAATTTTTTAAAATTATTAGCTATTGAAAGGCGAAGTATAGACAAAAATATTCTTCCTGAGGTCCATATCGACAATCAAACGTTTAATAGTCTCTCTGTCCACCCTGATACTCAAGTAGTTGATTCCTTAGATTTTAACGACGATGTTCGTTTAGCTATCAAGACCAAATTAAAGTTATGGAACGATCTTGGTCGTGGAAGTTTACGGAATGATTTATATGGCGATGCAGTTCCTTGGAACATGAAATTTATTCCCTCTGATACCCAGGACAATGACAATGTTGACAGTTCACTAGTAAGGATGAACTCCACATTAAAACCATGGTGTAATGATAGTACTGACATACGAGAACACGGAATGTTGAAACCATGTGGACGCTTCACCAACGGGTCTCAATATGTAGTGAAGGGCTGGTGTGACAGTAGATTTATCCAATAAAGTAAACTCCGGTGCCAACTTCACCAACAAAAAAAAAACTTATATACTCCCATTTTTTGCATTTCCAATCTAGTCATCATATATTTATACATATTTATTTAAAGATCGATAGTAAAACTAAATATATCAATAAAATAACTATGTCATTCTGTTTCAGTTATAGCTAATAAATTTTTTGACTGTATATTTGTTCGTGGTTCCTTCAGCACGGTAAGCAGGAAAGTTTGCAGCTACGAATATTGAAAATCAAAAAAGATAAAAATAAAGGGAAAAGCGTTCTGCTTTAGGAGGTAATCTGTCAATAACAATAAATATTTACAGTCGCAACATTTGGTATAAACGAAAGTGACTTAAGTTTCTATACATTTATAGAGTTTACAAGTTTATAAAGTACTAAAAGAGTACTTTGTTTATTTAGTTATTGTGATTTTTAGATCCATTAAGCATTTGTTTTTTTCGTTATATTGAGACTGATAACGAGAGGGTTATTATTAATTTTTTAAGGAGTTCATAGGGGAATAACGATAAAAATAGACTGGCAGAAGAAATATTCGAACTTAGGTAACCAAATAAAACATTATGAAAAGGTTTAATATAACATATCTGGAAATATTTAAGAATGGGAGGTCATTGTCGGCTTATTTTGACACGTCACTAGGTGATGATAGTAGTGGTGATTCTAATCCAAATTATGGTTCCACTGGAACTAGTACAAACACTATCAAGCCAGAAGTGTTCCATAAATTGATTCAAGATTTAGTACTACCGAAAGTGGTATCTTTAGAAGGCAACAAAGTAACTAAAGTCTCGACTACTTTGGTTGACGATTATGACTGTTTTTATTCCACAGCATTAGACACAAATGAAATATATGTGTGCTTCACTAAGGTTGACACCCCAAAGATTTTACCTCTACGGATACTGAGTGATTTAAAACAAGAAGAATATAAAAAGAATGATTCTAACATTGAACTTCGAGTACATATAGGAGAAATTTTAGACAAATTCCATGAAGAACTTCTAACATTCAAGAAACAAAACTTGACCAGTGATGGAACGGGAGTTGATGTCAGCGATCAAGCAGAGGCTGATATTCAAGATGTTATCCAAGTGATGAATGATAATATCGATAAATTTTTACAAAGACAAGAAAGAGTATCGTTATTAGTTGATAAGACCTCGAAATTGAATAACAATAGTAGCGGATTTAAAAGGAAATCAGCTAGAATAAATGATAGATTATGGTGGCAAAGAATGAAGAATACCACACTATTGATTTTTGCAATCATTCTAATTGTGAGTGCGCTATTCATATTTTATTACGTTCTCTAAGATATGTTGTGGTTATTTTAACTCGATTTTAAAAATGAATATGCATAAATTAGTCGACTTGCTCTTGTGGTTTTTTACAATGAGTTTATAAGTAGGTTTCATTCCTATTACATTTTTTGTCTGCTCACTGTTGATTAACTCTAAATTATTGACTGTTTATGATAACAAAGAGTAAATATATATGTACATGCATATGTATTATGTGACCTCTTTTGATTTAGATTGTAAATAATATTAATATTATTTATGGTACTCTAAGAAATCAAATATTATTAATTGATAATTTTTAAAAAACTGATATTAGAATATATATATAGGTTTATAAATGTGTCCAAATTATGGAAAGAAATAAATATGAAAAAGGACTATAACTTCATTTATGCAAAGAATATTTGACTAATGGATATTAAAAGTAATTAGATATTCCATTTGGAAAAATCTGGAATATCTAAATGGAAGAATGGTAAATTAGTACCTGAAGCAGCATTGACTTGATAAGTTGTTCTACTCTCTAAATCCTCAAATGAATCATCGAGGTTACTACTATCATCTGAACCCTTTTGAGATCTGGCCAAATGATAACTAGTATGACCTGTTATTATAGATTCATCACTGAACTCTTCATTTAGCTTACCGAATTTCATGTTTACCAAACCTCTTTTCACCCATGGTGATGTGATACCGGAAAAATGGAACTCTACTTGTCTATCAGCATACTTATTGATAGATTTTCTTAAATCTACCAGAGATTGTAAAGCAGTAGCATCAACTTGTGAAACTTGAGAGAAATCTAAACAAATAATTTTCAATAGTGGTCTTTCATCAATAACAACACCGGTATCTAGATTAGTGTTTTGGTTAATACCGGAAGCAATATCCTCACTATCACTTTCTTTCTTTTTATTTTTAGAAAACCATGATAACTTACCCCTCTTGAATAACCCTTTGTAAAATGTTGGTGGCTCCCAAGGGCCAGGATCGTTCCACGGACGGTCGGATTTCTTTGAGTGTTGAATCAATTTACCTCTCTTTGTCTGTTTCTTGACTTCATCAAATAAAATATCAAAATGTCTAGAACAGTTTAAGTATGTGTAACTGTCAGATAGTCGGTATACCAATATTCCTGGTGGTGGCGCTAATATATGGCAATCTGGATTTAATTCTTTGGTGTATGCATGATCAAATGGTACCCATTTGTTATAATAGTTCAACTTTGAAGTAGACTCGTTAGCTTCATTTTGATTTATTGTTTCATATAGATTTTTCTTGTACTCATCACTATTGAATTCTTTGTTTTGACTCTTTTTAGAAGATGAAAACATTTTACCTTTAATTTTTGCAAAACGAGATGTGTCTTCTTTAGTGGAATCAATATTACTGTCTTCTTCGTCATTTTCAGATAACGGCTCAGATATTATAATCGATGGATCGTTGATAACGTTACCATTGACCACTTCAGCAATTTGAATGTAACCAAGGAATTTACCAGCTGGGAAAGTAACTTTTAGGATTAACAAAGCAGCAGACCAACACATAGCAAAATAAATACCATTTTCAATAGAAGAGAAAACAGTAATAAATACGGTAACAATAAAACATAGAAAGTCTAATGGATTCATCTTCCAAAAATTCCATGAGGTTTGGTAAGAAGCGACTAAATCAGAAACGGCGTGAATAATAACAGCAGACAATGTAGCAGAAGGTATATAAAAGAAAGCTCCTGTTAAACAATAAAGCGCCAATAAAACACAAGCACCACTTATAATACCTGAGAATGGAGTCTTAACGTTACATTTAGCCTTTAAAGCTGATCTTGAGAATGAACCAGTAGCAGGATAGGCCATAAAAAAAGTACCTAACAAATTGGTGACACCAATAGCGATCAATTCTTGATCTGGAACAATTTTATAATCGTTAACTCTACCAAATGATTTAGCAATAGATATATGTTCTAATAATAAGACAATAACAGAGGCTGGTAATTCTGGTGCAATTTTGGACATTAGATCATCGCGTAAATCGAAGACCCCAACATCTTTCAAACCAGATGGCACGGTACCTAACACTTTAATTCTTCTTTCAGCTTTAGTCTTACCTCTAGTGATAGCCCAAGAGATACAAGTGAAAACGATGATCACGATAGCATTTCTACAGGCTTGAGCATAAAAATAAAACTTTTGAATAAAGAAATTCAATTTGGGGTTTTTCCTTCCGTAATGTCTTTCTGCTAATTTTGGACCCATGTTATTACACCACCATTTCCAAACGTATAATATTACCAAAGGAATTAATCCGAATACCGCATCTAATTTTGTATCTGGTAAATGTTTTAAAGTTTCGATGATAACTTTATAAGTGGATTGTCTTGTATTTAACTTGGAACTATAACCCATTAATGATGGAACTTGGCCACTCATAATGCTTAAAGCGGACCCAGTCATAAAACCTGACACTGCATTTAAAGAAATTAATTCCACAAGGAAACCAAGTCTTAATAGGCCAACACCCAATGCAATGATACCACATAAAAATGCCAAAGTAGTGGCGATTATAGGAGCGGTAATATCAGAGTCGGCAGATAATTTTGCTGTGACTTTGGCAACAACTTTTGCAGTCTCTAATGACATGACAGCGACTGGACCAATACAAACATCCTTGGAAGTAGCAAATAAAGAATATATGAAAGCACCGATGAATGAAGAATAAAGACCATATTGTGGTGGTAAAGTAGCAATTTGGGCATAAGACATAGATTGTGGTACAAGCACACACCCAATAGTAATACCAGCAATTAAATCCTGGATAAACCACATGTAATTGTAATGTGGCATCCATTGAACTACAGGGAATATTGAAAGACAATAATTCCCTACAGACTTCCAACTACAGTATTCTTTTAAATCGTGACGGTAGTATTCTTTGAATGATAATTTGTGTTCATAGAATGAAGGAATATTAATATTTGAACCACTGTCTACATTAGAATCATTTAAAAATGAAATTTGACTTATCTTTGCATTTGATTTTTTAGAGGTATCATATTGATTATTTTGATTATTTGATGAATGATTAGCCGTGATTGTGTTAGTATTAGTATTTTCTTCATCTTTGTATTGATTATATTGTTCTTCTAGATCATCTAGGTTAGCTTCATCACTAAAATCGTTACTTCCTCTGTAATCAGGTAATTCTAAATTTTCTTCAATATTTCCTTCATCAAATTGATACCGACGACGTGAATCTCCGTCTAATTGTTCCTCAGCCATTGTTGAAATTGGCTTTTTAAATATGTAAGGATATTAAGATTATGTTGAAATATATGTATACAGAATTTTTAAATAAAAAAACTGATAGCTAAAAAAATGTGAATATCCTTATTATCTTTTTGTATTCTTGAACGAACTGAATCTATTGTAAGTTAATTCTTATTATTAGTATATGTTATTTACAAGTTAAACTAGTTAAAAGAAACATTCCACATTTCTACATGATAAATATATTTCAAGGGAACCTTATTCCTTTTATATAATTAGATAAACAATTTCGAACATTTGAGATCATCTGCATTAATGAAATATAGTGTCTATCACGTACATATCCTGAAGTTAGTGATTAAGAACAATCTAATCTAAACATTTGTCTTATGCATAATGAATGGCAAATATATGGCTCCTTCCACCGCCAATTACTCATCACCATCCTTCGCATAACAGTAATATGAATAATTAAGGATAATAGCAAAAGAAGCCATACTTTTTATCATTCCCTCTTCCGTTACCACAGTGGTAATTATCTCACAGTACAACCACTATGCCAAATCGATGTAATAAAGATAATCAGATTATCTGCTAGTTGAATATCTCTTTATTCTTATCTCTCTTCTAATTGCAGTCGCCGCATCTTTTTCCTTTTGGCTTTGTATGGCGGGGTGGTCCTCCCACAATTGTGGCATCTATATCTCTGTTGGTGGTGGTGGTGGTGGTGATTTATTCGGCCGAGGCAAAAACAAAAAATTTATGCATTCAGATATAATCTCGGTGTGAGTGTTTAGTGCTTTCTTTCTTCGTCAGGACGGGTCCGTCCTTTATTATTCATTGTTCACAATAGGGAAAAAAACATTCTCGGAGTTAATTACACAATAGCACGTGACTGGGATAGTTCACGTGATCTGTTCAAATTCTGGTTGTTCCAAATAGGATGTGAACTCCGATCCACAAAGGGAGGCTAACTTCGGTTTATCACCATTGCAAGGTTTGATCCATGAGTAACCATACTTCGACACTAAGCGGTACCGTCTGCTAATTTTTCTATTCATTGTGTGGTCGTAGTTGTTAGACAAATTGAGTAAGTCTTGGGCTACGTCTGGTGCCAGTATTGGGTTATCGATGGTTAGAATCGTTTTGACATCATTGATTTGTTCTTTTAATAAATTATTTGCACGACAGGATGGAATATCTTTACCTAATACATTCATAGGTAATAGTAATGCCGGTACTCTAGCCGTTTTACCTAGTTTCCGACGTTGTAATTGAGGCTCACTCATTAAAAATTGAAATTGTTCGAATATTGGTTTAAACATATCTATGGGACAATTTGGATCCTGCTTAGACATATGGTCTAACGTCAATTGGATTGCCTGGCTGTCATTTCTTAACCATAGGTCTCTTAAAATTGGAACTTTCTTATCTTTTAAATGTTCTGAATCTTTATCGATAGGCCAATAGTTAAGTAAATCATCGTATCGTGTCTCAAATACTTTCAAGTAAGCGGGAACAGTGTTCGTCCAATGGAAGTATGTCATATATATTAGTTCCTCGGCGGCTTTGTTCTTCTGAGTAGTCTTTCTTGCAATGGTAAAACGTTTGACTAATTCATGTAATCGAAGTTTTTCATTTTCGGTAGCATGTTGATTTAATAAGATACGTTTCTCAATTAGTGCCGTGGTCGATGCGTGTAACGGAATGTTTCTCAATGCTTGTAATATGGACATATTTACCGTAAAACTGAAGTGTGGTTTCCTTGATTGTAATGATATATGAGTATGTTCCGTTGAAATGTATTTATCTATATTTTCCATCTCTCTCTCTCTTTTATTTTTTTATTTATTCTTTTTGGGTTTTTTTATTGGGATGAAAATAATGACATCGCGAAATGTCATAGTGAGAAAAATAAACATTGATGTAGTCCCATAATAATCACAAATTTTTGATATTAATGCATAATTTTCTATATATATTTATTTATATATATAATGTTATTTACATGCCGGTGCCGTTAGATATAATAGTGTAGTTGAGTTAGCTTCCTTTAGCAATTATTGGGTAGAACATTCCGGGACTCCCTGCGGATGCGGATGCGGATGCGGATTAGCTTCACCTTCTTGTCGATTATCGTTATCACTTGTATTAGGTTCATCCTTTGGTAATTCATGGACAATTTCAAATGAATTGATATGTTCACAATTCTTTGCATCTATTGGCATTGTATCCTCCTTTGATTTTTTGACACCAGGTAAAATGTTTCGTAATTGTAATAGATCGTTCTTTTCGTTCACCCAATTATCCGGTGGAAACTCGATATTAATGGTGACATATAGATCTCCGAAGGTCACTGAATGTGAAGTTTTATCGGTAGAAATAGGCCACCCTTCACCAGATACTTTTATTATATCGCCCGGTCTAAGCACTTTACCACTTGGGGTCGACCATGTTAAGGTTCTACTGTCATATGTCTTCATAAGATATTTGTCCTGGAAGCCACCAATTGCTTCCATCAGTGTCACTGTTGTAGACATGAACAGGTCTTTATCATGCCTCTTCATATTTCCTGTTGTTGACGTCGCCTTCTCCTTTATAACAAAGACGATGTCTCCAGGATCTTTCCCATCTAAAGTTTGATCGGCTTGTTTATGTAAAGTTATTCTATCATTAGCTGTATAACCTCTAGGGACAGACACTGTGACTGTTTCCGAGACTTGTACCAATCCCTCCCCATGGCATTTCTTACATCTATTCTTTTCGGAATTTGGTCTTGCTCTAACTTTCCCAATAGAAGCACATTTCGTACATGCTAGCCTTTGTACCGTACTGAACCCAAATGGTGTCCTCATAGTTCTCTCAGTAAAACCTTTTCCATGACATTTGGAACAATCGATCAATGGTGGTTCATATAGATTCCCATTTTTGCGACGTCTCCAACCGTTCCCTTCACATGTCCCACATACCATTGCTCTGGATAATTGGAATTTAATATTCTTACCATTATACAATTCTGTGGTTGTCAATTCGATTTCGATTATAACATCGGGGTTCTTTGTCTGAGGTGGTGGAGGTGGTGGTCCACCATTAAAATCCTGTGTGAAGAAATTTCTAAAATCGGCATCATCCTCATTATCGTACTCATCACCTCCAAAGAAACCATTGTTAGAGTCCTTGTTAGTCAAAATCTCGTAAGCATGGGTAATTTCTTTGAATTTGATCTCGTTAGCTTCTTTCTCTGCTGGATCGATGACTTTATCCGGATGGTAACGTAATGCCTGTTTCTTATAAGCTTTCCTAATTTCAACCTCGGTAGCCTCTTCACTAATCTCTAACACCTCATATGGATTCATAATAGTGTGATACAGTTGTGTTAAGGGGGGACGAGGACCAGTTGACGTAACAACCTCATCATAATATTGGTTCCACTGTCACTTTTAAAAAAAAGTTATTGAGAATGCTGCTAAATTTTCATGGGAATGGCTTGTAGAGTTTCAACATTGGCGATTGCCACTTAAATTATATTTCCAACCCTAATATTAGGGTTGGAAATATTTGTTCACGTGACTGTCGTGGTTATACATGCGGTGTCACCCACACACCACAACATATCGCACATATAACAGCTGAATATATAATAATTAAAAGAAGTATTCAGAAGATAAATAAAAGTTGCGTAACCACCACACGTAAGAAGCAAGAAAAAGACGTTCACTTCAGTTATCTCTATGAGACTCTGTGTGTGTGTGTCTTTGATTCGTTATTCTGGCTAGATGCATTTAGTACCCTCATATCAAAGTCATTGTTATTACATACTCCGTTTGTCGACTAATTTCTTTGAAGTAGTCCACTTTTGACATAAATTGGTATCAGTTCTTAATTTTATTATGATTTATATTTTTACTATGGACAGTTGTCTCTCTGCCTATCTAATTGCTCTCATTTTACACAGATAAGAGACTACAATAATTTGACTGATCAATCCTTTGTTTTTTTTTCTTTGCAGTAGTAGAATAAGAAAAAAAATTCACGTCTCTTCTCACGAGATGTTGTCTTTCTGTGGGGTATTCTGTGTATATGAATCATAATTTGTCTGTTTGTTTTTTGCTCATAAAAAAAATTTACACTCTGTGAACGACAACTAACAACATATGCATATATATAAGTCAATGGATTATTGGCATCATGTCGAAAAGTTGTTCTTGACATGGAACTAGTCCTCTAAATATCTAGTAACATTTCAGCTAATTGAATTATAATTCGATATTATAAGAATAATATATATATACTAAAAGAAACTCTGTTAAATTTGTTTATCATTTTGATTTTATAAATCGAACAAATCAATATCCCAATAATATACATATATTTTGCTATTTCTTTTGGCCACTTCCCATCTATACAGAGATATTATTATTACCATATATAACATCTGTAAACCGTTCCACATCCTGCCCCTATTAAGAAAAGATCGGTGTTACGAAGTACTTTGAGAAAAAGAAGATATTTATTCATTTATTCATTTATCTACTTATTCATTTCACTGCTCCTCCCTCCCCCTCCCCCCTTGGTTTCCTATTTGGTTTATACTAAAAAAAACCTCGAGAAAACATCATATATTTGATTACGTATATTTTTTGTGTTTGTTTTTCGCTGAAGTCCTCGGATTATTGTACTCCTTATTTTCCCATTCAGTTTCATCGGTAGAAGTAACCAGTAGCACATACTTTTATTTATTTTCGCTCAAGAAGAGATTTTGTTTTATTTTTGATATTAATTTCATTTGACGTCACACGTTTTAAACATTAAGCTTTTCATTATCTACATCCCTTTACATCTTTCATCTTTTTTATTTCCTTCACTTTAAGAGTTGTACAAATTTAAAAAAGAACTCGATCACGTACTTTTGTTTTGTCAGATATCTACAATAATAACGAGATACAAAAAACAAATTTACTCCGAAGTATTGAAGACATATTATTCTCTCATCTGAACAGATTATTGATATACCAACCGATCCTAATTAAATCTGGGGTAGTTCGATATTATTTCTGTACATTTTTTTTTATTTCATTCCTCTATTTACAAGAAGAAGAAGAAGAAAAAATACGTAACTTACGTCTTCTTTAGGAATACTCAATATAATTAAAGTATCTCCCCTCTCCCCTCTCTTCTTCCTCTCTCCTCTCTCCGCTCTCGACTAACTCAAACGGTTTTAACCTTTTAGTACGTTTATTTGTTTGCCTTTATAGAGATAGTTGTCACTTAGTCCTAAACTCTAAAACTACTCAACTCCGTACCATTGCAATTTATTGTTATTACGTATTACGTATAATTACTAATTGTTTGTTTGTTTCAATATACTGTCTGGAAAACATATAAATATAACAGTACCTATTCATTTTATTCTCATTATGTCCCAGTCTTTGTTATTATTAAGAAACTCTTCCTCATTATGGAAGAAAACCATTCAAAAATCTGCATACATATCATCATACATTAATAAAACTAATATGTCCCCATCAATTCTAATAAATTATCCAGTTTACAATCTAAAGAGTTTTCATACTGGTCCAGTGACGGGCTCACTTAAAGCACAACCTGCCAAGAAAGTTATGAAAACTAAATATAATTTCGAACCTGCTGAACCTTTGGCTATTCAAGATCTGAATGAATCCGTTCTAAACGCCAAATACGCCGTCAGAGGTTCTATTCCAATGAGAGCCGAAGAATTAAAAATACAATTACAAAAGGACCCTAAATCGTTACCATTTGATAGAATTATTAACGCTAATATTGGTAACCCCCAACAATTAAATCAAAAACCATTGACTTTCTATAGACAAGTACTATCTTTGGTACAATATCCAAACTTATTAGAGTCCCTAGAGAAATCTGGTTCAACCAAGGAATACAAGCCCGATGCTATAAAGCGGGCTAGACATCTATTGAATGCCATAGGTGGATCTGTCGGTGCTTACTCAAACTCTCAAGGTGTTTACGAAATCAGAGAAACGGTCGCTGATTTCATAACAAAAAGGGATGAAGATGAACCAGCTTATCCAGAAGATATCTTCTTAACTGCTGGTGCTTCCGCTGCCGTGAATTATTTACTATCTACTTTAAGTAGAGGTCATGAAACCGGTGTTCTTATCCCAATCCCACAATATCCATTATACACAGCTACTTTGGCTCTAAACAACACACATGCATTACCATACTATTTGGAGGAAAAGACTGGATGGTCTACTAATATGGTAGATATCGAAAAGGTTGTCAATAAGGCTATTGCAGATGGTATTAAACCTTCTGTCTTAGTTGTCATAAATCCAGGTAATCCAACGGGTGCTGTCTTATCTAGAGAATCTATCGCTAAGATTTTCGAAATCGCCTCTAAACATGGTATAGTCGTCATTGCTGATGAAGTTTATCAAGAAAACATCTTTGGTGACGTCAAATTCATCTCCATGAAAAAGGTTCTAAGAGAACTTCAACATAACCATCCAGGTCAATTTGACGATGTTCAATTGGCATCATTGCATTCTACTTCCAAGGGTGTCTCCGGTGAATGTGGTCAAAGAGGTGGTTATATGGAACTTACTGGTTTCAGACCAGAGATCAGACAAGTGCTCTTAAAATTAGCTTCCATCTCATTATGTCCAGTTGTTACAGGTCAAGTATTGATTGATTTAATGGTTTCCCCACCTCAAAAAGGTGACGAATCCTACGAACAAGATCAACTAGAAAGATCTGCCATTCATTCAGAATTGGATAAGAGATCCCAATTACTGTACAAAACTTTCAAAAGTTTAGAAGGTATCGATTGTCAAAAACCTCAAGGTGCCATGTATTTGTTCCCTAATATTCAAATGCCATTCAAGGCCGTTCAAAAGGCTCATCATCTAGATATGACTCCAGATGAATTCTACTGTAAATCATTACTAGAAGCTACTGGTATTTGTACCGTTCCAGGTTCTGGTTTCGGTCAAGTCAATGGCACATACCATCTAAGAACTACATTTTTGGCCCCAGGTGAGAAATGGATTAAGGACTGGGCTAAATTCCATAAGGAATTTTTCAACAAGTTCCGTGACTAAAGTAAGAAAAATAAAATAGCTGATAAAATGATTTTTACATAAAATCATAACAAGAAAATTGTTAATCTTTGCATTACTTATTCAGCGATTGTGTTATTACGTAAATACATAAACATATATGTCTCATACAATATAATAGATTATATCTTTTATCTAACGTATTACTCTTGTGATATGTGATCTTGGTAAATTGTTGTAACAATTTTTTGACATCATAAAATAATTTCCATAGTCTACGTTTCTTCAAATTGTCTCTATTTTAAGGCCTCTCTAAATAAAATATTGAATTTGGTGTCTTACAAAACGTTCATCTTTCAAGGCGGTGAAGGTAATAATGGAAAGCGAAAAAAAAAATAGAAAATGAGATGCATTCTAGAACTAAACGTTATTTACAAATTAATGAAGAACGGAGATTGTTGATAGTGTAAGAATATCTTAATATTGTCATAAAGACACTCATAGCATCATTTCGTCATCATACGTATATTTCAAAACACTTTATTTACAATACCCGTATTTTAAAGTTTTCTTTCCATCAACAGGCATATATAAAAGCATAAGCATAGGCATATTATAAAGCATATCACGGGGACACCCAATGCAAGGATGATTGAAACGATAAGTGAATTTGATAATATTTCCCTTAATGGAGGAAGGAATTTTAGTTGGGTATTCCTAGTTGACTGGATCCTTGTCGTGATCTTATGTTTAACAGTAATTTTTTATTTAAACAGGGCATTTGCATACATCATAAATTTGGCATTGGAATGGATCGTATGGAAACATTTCAAAGTCAAAATAAATCTGGAATCAATACGGTTCTCATTGTTAGGTGGTCGTATATTTTTTAAAAACTTAACAATAATAGAAAAAGATCATACAACGTCATTTCTACAAGGTTGTATAACGTGGCGATATTGGATTTTTAGGGCAAGACAATCACAGTTTGCAGATGAATCTAAGCATTCTGATGATATAGAACAAGAAGAATCGGGAAATGAGAAACTACCATGTAGATTTCTGATTGAATGTGATGGTGTTGAGATTTTCGCGTATAATAGGAAGGTATCCTATGACAATATTATAAATCTCTTCTCAAAGGAGGAGAAACAGAAATTTTCAAAATTCCTTTCAGAAAATAATTTTAGTGATTATGGCACTGGTTGTGATGATCTTACGAGTTCTAATAATATGGATCAAAAAGAATCCTTCAATTCTACTAGCAATAGTGCTAGCGAAGAAACCAAAATAGATGAAGATGTAGAGCACTCTAGTGATTTACCCAATGATTCCCTAGGGTCTGGAACACATAATGACAGAACATTCAGTCAACCGCAGAAAAAACTTAATTCATATTCATTTTTAAAGTTCTTACCAATAGAATTGAAATTGAAACACGTTTCTGTTGTTTTAGGAAATAAATTTACGCCTTCTTTGATTGTGTTAAGTGCTGATAGTGGTTGTGGTAACGTTGATTACAGACTCCCTGACTCAAAATTAGATATTTTCACTATGAGTTACAAATTACAATTTAAGAACATGGTAGTCGCAATGAAACCGAATATTGGATATAATGAAGAGGTATCAATTAAATTTAAATTGAATAAAGGGAAGTTATCAAAACTTTGGAAAAGATTTTCTGTCGTCACTGGACTGATTACTAGACCTTTGGGTTTGACTCACAAAAAGAACAAGAATGAAGCAACGGATGCCATCTTTTTCCAAAAATGGCAAGGTTTATCCTTATACAAAGGTGTGGGAAGAGAAAGCATAAATAATGAACTTGATGATATTGAGTTCGATTTTACAAGTCATGAATATGCAAAATCTTCTACGATAGTAAAATCACCCAACGTTGATATTACCTATGAAGTAGCAATTCCCGGTCTGGTGCCTCATGGAGCTCATAGAACCATATCAGGTGTCGATGGACCGGATGTTGGTAATAATGGTGCGCCCCCGACGAACCATTTAGACATGCAAATTAACGGTGGTTCCATCTCATATGGGCCATGGGCACAGAGACAACTAGGTCATATTCAGGCTTTGCTAATGCCATCCGTCTTCAAATCTCAGAAACCTGTTCAAAAATTATCGCCAGGTTCGAGAAGAATATATACTATTTTTAGTATGTCAATTGCCATGTTAGATGATACTACGTGGCGTGTGCCAACTAGGGAATCCAGTAAGGATGTGGCATTTTTAACACATTATAAAGAAACGAAGGATGAGTATAGACCATTTGGGTGGACAGATTTAAAATTTTCTAAGGATTCTAGTGCTGAGGTAATGTTTGTTCTAAGTCCGACAGCCGAAGGTATTAAAAATAATATTAATATACATCTTGTTAATAATGAAATTAGGTCGAGTGTAAATCATGATATTTTCCTAAAATGCCAATACTTTGATTTTGGTTTTCTTATGCATTATCCTTTAGGTTGGAATGAACAATACAAATGGAAGGTCACTATGTCATCAGCCCAGTCAGAGATTTTCCTACTGAGGGAGCATATGACATTAATTAGTGATATTGTTACAGATTTTACTGCTAGTTCATCGTCAATATATGAACAATTCAGACCATCATTATTTGAATTATCGTGGCTTATGGACGGTTATTCGATCTACTTAAACGTTAATGATCATAACATTATAAATAATCCGCTAGATTTTAACGAAAACTGTTATTTGTCACTTCATGGTGATAAATTAACGATTGACGTATCCGTCCCAAATGTTAGCATTACGAATACATGCTCTAAGATTGATTACAAGATATTCACGCCAATGTATAGATTGTTACTAAATGCTCCACCTTGGAATACTCTTAACGAATTTATGAAACATAAAGAAGTGGGTAGATCATATGATTTTACAGCTAGCGGTTCTTATGTTCATTACATGAGATTAGGTATTGACAACGTTGATGAGATAATAATTGATTGTGTGAGTAAATCTACAACACTTCATTGTTACGGGTTTGTGATTAGATATATTATGAATGTGCAGGCAAATTATTTTGGTGATTTCTCTCACTTCATCACGTCCGAGGAATATACGGAGAATTTAATTTCGTCAAACACTAACGATTTTATACCCAGTACAGACATTGATGATGGTGGTTCATTTTCAGGAATGGCTACAAATTTTAACAAGAACGCTGATATTAATGTAAAAAACAAGAATATATCACCTTCTCAACTCAAAAGGACCGAAAACGAATCAGAAGTTTGGTTTACATTTTCCGTGATTGAGGGTGCATTGATTCTTCCAGAAACAAATTACAATGCCGATCCGTGTATTGGTATGCATTTTAGTGAACTTGTGGTCGACATAAGAAACAATAGTTATTACATGGATATTTTGGCAACAATAGATAATATCACTCTGAGAAGATTCATGGGCAAACAATCTAACGACATTTATGAATGTGTTCGGAAAAACAATGGAACAGATTATTCTAGTTTTGGTACCTTGTCCGCATTATCTGTTGCTGGGCATAGAATGTATGGACTACCCCCCGAAGAACATACTTATTTTTGTAAATGGGGTATTGATATTGGTGATATTAATATTAATTCTACTTTAGAAATTGTCAAAGGTCTTGGTCTTGCAATTCAAAAGATTAAATTTGGTCATGATGACCTGGAAAATATTCTACTATATCAGAAGGATATAGTTGATGATATGACATCGGTTACACTCAATGTTAGTTCGCTTGAAATTGTTTTGAATACACCAGAGCCAAAGTCATTTTTATCATTTAGATTGAATGACCTATGTGTCAGTTCTATTGATTTCATGAACGATAGATATTCTAACAGACAAGATATTACATTGCCAAACTTGAAGGTATCCCTTTATGCATTTACAGCAGAAAATGAAATCGTATGTTTTTTTAACTTTGAAACGAAATTTAACTTTAGTAATTTTTCGAAGACCAAAGATTTCCGTGAAAATATTATCAAACAAAGGAATTATATCACAATGAGTGATTCTGCCTTCCATAGAGTATCATTTTTATTACCAGAAGAATATCAAAATTTATCTGTATATAACGACCGGTTTGGGGATATTGTCCCATCGTGCTCACTGCCGTCATTAGCTTTACCCGTTTTACCAGAGACGATTGACATTATAATTGAAGAATTTTTGGGAGAATATTCCTCACTGTTAGAAGTTCTATCTCCTGTTAAGAGTGACTTCGAGAACCAAACCTCAGATACAGGGTATCTCACAAAAACATCAACTAAACAATCTGATTTCACTGTAATGAAACGTGTAGATATGGCTTCTTTGAACAACAATATTATGGATATGGGTGACGAAATGAGTATCGACCAATCTGACTTAGTTTTTGATATTAGCTATATTTCCATGGAATTAAATCCTAACGTAGGGAAATATTTACAACAATTTTTGAAAGATTTCTATACTGAGTCTATAATTGGTGTTTTAGATGGTATAGAAATTGGTATTGTCAATAATTTGGGAAAGCTAAATGAAGGTAGTTCTATTATTACAAATGTTAAATTGAGAATTTTATATTTTGACATATTCTGGGGTATTAAAGAAGAAAGTGGTATAGAATTATTCCTGGACAAAATTGATTTTGAGATGTCAGAGAGGGAAATTGAAGAAAATAGGGAGAAAAGGGTCAAGGACCTCACATTATTGATGAAATCTAAATCTGTCAGAATAACCATTAATGAGCGGGATACAAAAGTTCTCGAGGAAGAAAGACCACCTGCTTTGTCACTTGTCATGGAGGGTGCAGAAGCCTGGTCTACTACAACTGAGGATCAGACAAACTCGGTCAAGATCACGTCAATTGATTTTACTGTGGACGAATCACAAGTTGAATGGTTATTCGAATTTTTTAGTGTTCAAGATAAATTTATCAAAGAGGTTACAGAGACGTTTAACAACATCCAAACATTGAGAACCGGATCTCGTAAATCTTTAATATCTAAATTAACTGCTGCAAGCGAACATTACCAGATTAGCCACGATTCTTATGTTATTACTAAACCTGCATTTATAATGAGATTATCTCGAGGACATATTAGAGAAAATCGAAGTTGGAAAATTATTACCCGTCTACGTCATATTTTGACCTACCTTCCAGATAATTGGGATCAAACTATTGATTCGTCATTCAAGGATAAAAAGGTTAACACATTAAAGGATGCAAAGGAAATATTTATGAATGTGTTTTCCAATTGGAGAAACTGGGAATTTTCAGATGTGGCAAGATCCTACATATATAACAAATTATTTTTGGAAGGACAAACTAAACAAAATGAGAATTCGTTAAGGAGAATTGTTAAAGCGAGTATAGCGTCATTTTTTATCACTGTTTATACAAAAGGCTATGAAGTGGATCATAATTTTGTTGTTACAGACGCAGATTTTTTGTTAGAACAAACACCTCAATTTTCTGAACTTGGTATCAATCGTGAGAAATTCATCAATGTAACCGGTAAGATAGGAACTATTAAGGGTAAATTCAGTGACAAGCTAATTAAAATGCAAGAATTACTTCCAGTACTTAAGAGCGAAGATGAGAATCAATTAAAACGAGTCAGTACACTTTCAAAAACATTTAAATTAAACGTTGCTATGCTTTTTGGTCATAGTGAATTACAGTTGGTAGTTGGAAAAACTAACATAGTTAATACGATCAATGGGGGGACCGTAAGTATGTTATGGGAAAGTCCAAAAGAATATACATCGCACGCAGGTTCCATAATTTTATTTTCAGAAACTTCAGAACTGTGGCTAAAGCACAGAGGTGTGGTTCTTGCCGAGGGTCAATTCCATGATTTGTCCGTATCGGCCACTGCAGAATCTTGGTCAAATCAACCAACTTTTGTTATTAATGCGCAATGTAGTGATTTACATTTAAGAGCAATGGCTAATACTGATGTGTTAGTAAAGTCGATTGGTGAAATAGAAGCAACGATCCAACAAATAAAGAAAACTTGGAAACCTTCAAAAAAGACGATCAATAGTTCGTATCTTAATGACCACAAGATAAATGCAGAAATACTTTTCTTTTTATCCAATGTCAGTGTTGAAGTAATGCCCCTTTCACCATTTCAATGTCGTAGTGAGATTAGAAAGGTCGAAATTATCTTTAAAAAATATGATACTCAAGATATTATCCTTAATGTTTGGGATACGGATATCTATGTAAGCTCCAACTTCACAAAACAACAATATTTCAGAATATCATTGGGGGATTTACAACTGAAATATGACATTAATAATGAACAAAGTACAAGTTTCAATATTGGCTTGTCGGCTTCTATTGCAAAATTGACTTTCTCGGAACCTCACAGAATGATCTCAAGTTTCCTGCAAGATGAACGTATTGCATCTCAGAGTTTTGCCCAATTTGAGAAATTAATTCCAATCTTTCAAAGATTAGCTGTTGGGAAAGACTATTCTTCTTCAAATAAGAAGAGGTGCATTTTTGATGCTGATATAACATATCTAGGTATTTTGATTCCTATATCCACCACTTTCTTTGTTCTGGAATTCCATTCCCTGCTTGGGTCGTATGCAGATCTCGACGATATTAAAGGCGAGAATGACGATGAAGTCTCTGGACAGCTGTCAGCCCAAAATATATTGTTCTTGATTAAAGATCGTGATGTTCCTTCAGGATTATCTAAGATACTGGATTTATCATTGAAGTTTTCAACGACTCAGAAGGCAGCAGATTCCGACAAATCATTTGAACTGGAGAGTAATCATTTCAGAGTCTGCTTCTCACCGTTCTCGTTCGTCCGTTTAATTTGGGGTAACCATCAACTGATGACCTTGTATGATTATTATAGAGAGAACAGAATTCAGAATTTATGGAATTACAAAACACTTAATGATATCATGAAGACGGATAATACCGGGACATCTGAATCACCTTTGAAACTATCCTCTATCCATATTCTTTCCTACAATTTCTGTGTTGGTTGGATCTTCCAGGATCGAAGTGGTAAGGAACCAGGTGTTATGTTAGGATTCAGCAGGCTATTTTCAGCTTATGAAAAGGGTTTTGGTAAATTAACTCTGATAGAAGCATTTCTTTCAGTAGCTAACGGAAATACTTCATCGACTTTTTATTCACAAGGTAACGAAAAAGAACGTATAAATAGAAGTTATTTGCCCAATATGCAAATTTCTTATTGGTTCGAAAAAATAGATGAATTGAGAGATGTTTATGTTAGATTTCGTGGTGAAGCGCTGGACGTTAATTTTTTACCATTGGTTATTGAAGTTATTGAGTCGTGTGTTAAATCGATGGAACTTTTCCAGCACTTGAAACATAGCTTGATTAAAATGCAACCGTCGAAGAACAAAAAGAAAAACACTGATCACAAGTCTATGGATCCGACCAAAACTTTTGCACCTCTGTTTTCAGGTATAAGGTCTATCAACTGTCAATTCCAATATGATGGTGGTGTTTTCAAGGTTTATTCAATTCACGATTATGAGTCAAAATTAGATCCATCTTTCGAAGTTAAGAGCCCGGGTGTACAAATATATCTAAATTATAAACATTACCCAGATGCCAAGAAACCTCATTGGATAAGAGGGTTGGTTAATATTGAAAGTACATATAATCTTCTTTATGCGAAATGTGCACCCCTAATTGCTGCATTTATTGTGCAACTGCAAAATATTGTTACAAGATATAATGATAATGAAAAACTTGAAATGAAGAAACCAGTTATTAAACCTACATCTACAAACTCTAGTATTGACTACAAGCGTTTACTAGATCCATTCGATATGGCATTTAAGATTACATCGGACGAACAAAAATTAAGCTTAAGTTGTGAACCTAAAGCCAAGGTTCAGTCTGACATTGGTTTTGGTTCTTTTACATTCGACATAACTACAAATGAGAAAGAAGATTCTGATCCATTTAACATATCCTTGGTTATTAAAAATACAGAGGCGTCAATTAAGCATGTCTTTTCTAGAGAAGCAAGTACCTCGTTCAATGTCGATTTAATAAATTTGACAATGATATTTACACATCCTGACGTTATTAATATATTCGGTTTAGGTCTTATTTCTGACGTGAACGTGTATTTCAATATGAAGCAACTCCAAAATCTCTATCTATTTTTAGATATTTGGATGTTAAGCAGTCTTTTGAGGAGCAAGCCACTTCGAAATATATCAAGAGAAAGTAGTCATCTTTCTATCCCAAAGGTCGCCAGTATTAATATTGATACACCATGGTCGTTCACATTAATCTTTACAAATATAAATGGGGATGTTGATTTAGGTTCTTCGTTAGGTCTGATCTCTTTGAAATTGAAGAGGACATGGGTAGCTTCAGATCATTATCAGGATAAGAGGCAATTACTTTACACATTCATTGATGATATTCGCTTACTATCCAAGGGTAGATTGAGTGGTGTCTTAGAGGTGATTGGTGCTTCTTCAATTATTGAGGTTAACTGGCCAAATGAGTTGTTTGAACACAAGTACCCACTGGTGTCACTTTCGGCTAATATTGATAATATTTCTGTAAAAGCTGCATTTGATTATCACATGTTCCTTATTGGTACGATATTTAATACAAAGTTCCATCTACATAGTGAAATGGATATCAATAACATTATGCCTGATTTACTAAAGGTACGCGTTACCTGTGAATCTATCAATGTTTGTTCAACAGCTTTGGTGGCAGCCAACATTGTTGATCTGTACAATACTATAATGCGTATGAGACAAGACAATAAGATTTCATATCTAGAAACATTACGGGAATCTAATTCGTCTGAGACAAGAAACCAAGATACGTATAGTGACGTTATTAAATCATTAAATCTTTTGCAAACAGATGTTTCTGTGGATATCTCCACTCTAAACATACAAATATCTCCAATTTCCTTATATGATATTGAAGTTCTAGTGATTAATATTGGTAAATTATCTGCAAGTTCCGGGACACATTCTGGTCCAAAAGTCAAAACAGACCTTAGCTTACTTGTTCGTGATGCCTACGTTGCATTATCTACATCTAAGAAGGAAATGGATGAAGACACAGTATCAAAAATTTCTGTTGAACAATATATGGAATATGCCTCACATATCACAGGGGGTACGATTGTTGAAATGCCAATGGTCGATATAAGTATGACGACATGGCAAGAAGGAGATAGTAATATTTTGGAATTTATATATGACTGTACCTTTGGTGAAAAAGTTGGTGTTAAATGGAATTTAGGTCCAGTCAATTTCATAAAGGAAATGTGGGCTACACATGTAAGAGCCATGGCAGTGCGTCACTCACAAAATGTTGCCGACATTGCTCTGGATAATGAAGAAGACGTCGAGAAAAGATTGAAAGAGGAAGAAAGTATTTCTAAGTTCATTTATGTTGCGCTCCGTGATCCGAAAATTGATATGCCTCAGATTAAAGATTTAGGTGATGCTACCCCACCATTAGAATGGTTTGGTGTTAACAGAAAAAGACTACCGATGTTTACTCATCTAACAGTAATAAAACCCGTGCAACAGATTGTGCACACTGCCGAACAACAATACGCTAGTATTATCGGACATTCTCAATAGTTACCATAGTTTAATATGGACAATCTAAGAACTTAATATATATAACTGTAATACTTTATTTTTTTTAAGATTATATTCATATATATATATTCTTGAGGGTTCCATAGTTCGTTTCATAAATATCCAACGCACGCATCTAGACACTCTCTCCAAAAATGTCTTCGTTCTGTAGGGTGACACTTTTTGTCATATTATCCCTCTTATATATACCAACAAGTTGTTGAGCTAGTTCAAACATGTTGTTTCTTAACGAAATAACAACAAATTGAGCATTCTTCGTACTTTCCTTTATATAATTTGCAACAATAGAAACGTTCCTAAAATCAAGAGCTGCATCAATTTCGTCCATTACATATAATGGTGTTGGCTTGTACTTGTGCAAAGCAAATACCAAAGCTAATGAACTCAGTGTTTTTTCACCTCCTGACAGATTGGTAATGTTTCTCCAACTCTTCCTGGGTGGCATCACGCTGAATGTAACACCTTCTGAAAAAGGATCTAAACTATCAACCAATTCCAATTCTGCATTACCACCCATTGTGATCATTTGGTACATTTCCTTCAATGTCATTGAAATGATACCAAAACCTTTCATGAACTCATCGTATCTTTTAGTTTTTAAATCTTCTAGTATCTTTCCAATCTTATCCCTTTTTTCAATAGCATCATTTAGGTCATTTTTCCTGCTTCTATATTCAATTAATCTTTTTACATACTCCTCTAAGATGTCAATATTTGCGTTGGTGGTATTGAGGTACTCCTCCAGGGCAATGATTTCTTGGTCTAATCTATCCTTGTCAATATTCTGAAGATCAGACTCGCTTAGTTTTTGTATGCCTTCAGAAATTTCACCCTGTGGCGCGTCGACATCCATGGAATCATCATTAATGTTGTTATTATTACCATCATCATTTTTTTCAGGATAGTTAACATTAGGCTCGGTATGTTCATTTGTATTTGTTTGCGTACTGGGTGATCCATTGGAGGTATTTTCCTTGGATAATATTTCATCTGTTCCTTTAGATAAATTTTCAGTTTTTTCTTCATCTAACTGTTGTAAAATTTTTGTTACATCTCTTATCGATAAATTATTCAAATCCGTATCAAAATCCTTGATTTCTTTTTTCACATAATTGACGAGTTTGTTTAATTTTTCTAATTTGTTCTCGACTTCAAGTTTAAACGATTGGTACTGGTTCTGATCTAATTCAAATTCAGATATTTTTTCTTTGAGCTCCTTGATTTTATCGTCCGCATCTTCTTTTTTGGTTAGCATGCTCTCTAGAGCAATTTCTAATTGTGAAATGATTTCTTTTGTCTCTAAAAGATGACTTTCTAACTTAGTTATCTCTATTTCGCTCGAATTCAGTTCAATCATTGTAGTGTCAAGTGTTTTCTTCAATTTCTTGATCTCATTTCCTTTTTTCTTTATCTCTGATTTTTTCTTTTTTAATTTACGTTGTGTGGTGTCGATTCGATCTGAAAGCGAAGTTACTTTTGAATTTTGCAATTGCAAATTTATCCCACCAATTTCCATGATCTTCTCCCTTAATTGTTGAAGTTTTTCTTGAGTTTTCTTGGTTTGATTTTCTAAGTCGGATAGTTCCTTTCTAAGATTATTAAGCTTTCCCTCGGCTTCATTGACCTCGTCATTATTGTTTTGGGCGGTCGCATATGATGTGAGTTTTTGTTCAAGACTTTTATTAAGAATCTGAACTTCACTTTTTAAGGAGTCTAGATCTAAGGATAACTTCGATATTTCCAATTCAACTAGAGGTTCCCTATCCTTTAGCCTTGTGAGTTCCATTTCCATTTCGTGGTATGTATCATTTGCTACTTTAAAATTCTTTTCTCTCTCGTCTAGTTCATTTTCAATCTTATGTACGTCGTCAGCAGTATACATTTCCATCTGAACAGTAGATTTATCTCCCAATTTCATCAAACCACGTGATACCTGGTTCCCACCACCACTCATTGTACCAGAAATATCAATGAGTTGACCATCTAGAGTAACGACTCTGTACCTCCTCTTGCCATAAGCAACGTTATTTGCCTGGTTAAGATCCTTGGCAACCAAAGTATCTCTTAGAACTGAATAGAAGGCCTGAATAAACTTTTCTTGTTGTGGCTGTATAAGATCGAATAGACGGGGTACATCAATTGGAGTTTGAATTGGATTGGTGTTCATATGTCTTAATTTATCCAATAAGATAAACCTTGCATAACCTAATTTATTCTTTCTCAAATATTCGATACATTGTTGGCCACATTCAACTGTCTCCACAACTATATCATCTAGACGAGGACATGCAGTTGAGATAGCAATATCATATTTTTTAGGTATAATACCCAAATCACCTAATCTACCGTGGAAACCAGATATACGACCAGATTTTTGCAATCTTGAAAGTGCTGCAAAAACCTTATTTTTATTTTGAACGCTAGATAGAGCAGATCTTGCCTCGGCAGCTCGTTGTCTTTGTGTGTTTAGTACAGACTGCATATCTTTCAATTTTTCTTTAGCTGTTCTACATTCTCTTTCACCTACAGATATTTCTTTCTTTAAAGCTTGTTGTTCGTCAATTAGTTTTTCGTCCATTTTTTGGTTCTCATCAATAGCTTGTGCCTTGGAGTTGATCTCGCTCTTAGTATTAGCTATATCTTTCTCCAAGTCCATCTGCACTTCTTGTAGGACGGATATCTCGGATTCCATCAGTTGTATCTGTAGTGTTTTCTCCTGCATCTTAACTTTCCATGGTTCTAATTCGTTTTCATATTTTGTGATATCTTCGGATATGTTGCTAGTTTTTTCCTTTAAGGAAATTTTAATATTTTCCAATTTGATTTTCTCTTCTTCCAACTCAGTATTTAAGTTCTGTAATATTTCTTCATCCTCTGTAGACTCTTCTTCAAAATTTGACAACTGTGTCTCGCATTCGCTAATCTTCTCTTGTGTTGATTTTAGAGACTTTTCAGCTTTTCTTTTCTTGTGTGATAAATTTTTCAACATTTCTTCAACGGATACTTCCTTCGTTTTTTTCTCTCTTTTGTCCTTATTCATATCTTTCTCTTCGGAAGCAATTTTATTTAATTCTTTATTCTTTCGATCATGTGATTCTACCAGTGAAGAAATCTGTTGTTGTTGAGACTCAAATTTTTCCTTTTCTCGTTCTAACTGTGAATTCAATTCGGTGACCTTATCTAAAGAATTCTTCAACTTCATATTGGATTCGAATATTTGAAGTTGTAATTTCTTTGATCTAGCTAAAGTAAGTTGTTTCTCCTTTTTTAAATATTCAAGTGCTGCATCTTTATCCTTTTCTAACGACGTCTTATCTCGATCGACGATTTCAAATCTGTTCTCTTTTTCAATACAGATATCGTTTAAAGATTCCATCTCTGCCGCATTCTGTTCAATCAAGGGTTTATACTTAGTTGTACCGATTATATCCTCCAAATATTCCAGCAAACCGTCGTCATTATTCTTCTCGGCCTTGGCTTTCATTTGTGAAATATTTTCAACTTCACCTTGTAGAATTAAAAATCTTTTATGATCTAAGTCAATACCTTCTTGTTTCAATAACTCTGTTACAGTTTTATAGTTACTTTCTTTGCCATTAATATAATATTTAGAAGAGTTGTTTTTAAAAGCTCTTCTGGTAATGACTAAATCGCCCTTCTCAGTATCAACCTTTGTTGAACCATCCGGGAGGTCGTTGACATATTGAAAATGAACCTCTATTGAACATGACGGAAGATTTGGATATTTTTCAGATTTATGAATCAAGTCAGCCAATCTATCTTGTCTCATCTTATTCGCACGAAATCCAAAAACAAATAACATTGAATCAATAACATTTGATTTCCCGGAACCGTTAGGGCCAACGATTGCAGAAAAACTAGTACTAAATGGGCCAACTACTTGTCTCCCAGCGTACGATTTAAAATCATTTAAAACCAATTTATTAATATATAATCTTCCTTCCTTTTTCAGTTTCAAATTGTGTGCACTATATAATTTCTGTAATTCAACTCTACTGTTTTTAATTGGTGATAATTGAATCAATTCTAATTTTCTGGTAGGTGATCTACCTTGAGATCTGCCAGGTGATCTCGGTGGTGATTGTGAATACGCTTTAATTTTACGCCCAGACCGACTTTGTTGTGTCAATGGAGGTTGTAATGTCGGTACTTGGAGTGATGAAGTTGGATTTGAATTTAACGGCTGTGAAAAGGCAAATCTATTATCGGTTGAGCCAATCACTAATTTTCTAGGTGTCCTAGATTTCGAATAAGATATATTGGATGGCATAGCTTCAATATCGTCATTTTCATCATTTGAAATGCTTTCAGACGTATGGGAATGGGTCGGTGTTACATCCGGAAGTGAGGCAGGTTCGGGCGTTTTTTCTTCTAAATCGCGTTTCTGTTTCTTGCTCAAAGGACTGTCAGACATATTGATACTGTATATGTAGTTATAATGAGTATACTTAACTCTAGTATCAGATGGTCGTGTCACTTTTTATATGTTTGAGAGTTTTAGACTGCGATGGGGGTTTGTTTATATTGCAGATTAATTGACTACAGATCCATTTGTTTATGTTTCCAAAAAAAGCGTTTCGCCTTTTTTTTTTTCACGTAATTTATTGAATGTATTGAAATGCATCGAATAACAAAGAGTTCAGATAAAACTATCAGGACCTGCAAATTTAAGGGAAGCATATGGTGTATAATGTGTTCAGGTTCTATTTTGATTTAAGCGAATAAGGGAATAATTAGAAGAAACATTCCTGCATCTTTTTCTGCGATCTTTATAACGAATTATGGAGGGAAATCCGGTGGTAATTGACAATGGATCCTACAATATCAAATTTGGGTTGGCAGAAGATGGAAAGAACAAACCAATTTGTAAACCATTAATCGCACATAATTGTTTGGTAAAAGATAAATATGGTGTCTCTTATCTTTCGAATCAGGTTGAGAGGATTAAAGATATATCTTCAGCGACCATAAGAAGACCACATGAACTCGGACAATTGGTTTCATGGGAGTTGGAAAGTCACATATGGGATTACTGTCTTTTTAACCCCGATGAATTTGATGGTTTTGATATTATTGATTCATCACAGAAGGATTTGGTTTTGAGTGAAGCTTGTATCACAGTCCCTGAACTAGGTAAGCACACAGATCAAGTTGTGTTTGAAGAATATGATTTTAAAAGTATGTACAAAACATGTACAGCAGGATTTATACCGTTTATTTCTAGTGATAAATACAGAATCATATCAGGAAAGGATATAGACGATTCGTTGGAAACCAAACGCTTTTATGACAATCACGATGATGCAGGTAAAGGTACAAAAAAGGACTATAGAGATTATCAACTTGTGATAGATTCGGGATTTGACTGTACATATATCGTTCCCGTTATAAAAGGTATTCCAGTATATAAGGCTGTTAAGAAGTTAGATATTGGTGGAAGGTTTTTAAATGGACTATTAAAGGAAACTTTATCCTTTCGTCACTATAACATGATGGATGAAAGTATATTAGTCGATGAAATTAAAGAAAAATGTTTATTTGTTAGCCCAACGTCTTATTTTGACAGTTTCAAGAAGAAAGATGAAAGTTCCGTAGTATATGCATTACCCGATTTCCAAACAAGTGTTATGGGGTATGTTGTTGATTCGATTCATCCATTGGCAGATAATGGTCAAAGTATTACGTTAAGAGATGAACTATTCTCAATCCCAGAGACATTTTTCCATCCAGAGATTGCACAATTATTAAAGCCAGGTATTGTAGAGACGATTCTAGAGAGTTTATCGATGTTGCCAGAAGTAATTAGGCCATTAATGGTCAGCAACATAGTTTGTACAGGCGGTAACTTCAATTTACCAAATTTTGGATCAAGATTATGTAGTGAGTTACAAAGACAACTACCAACAGACTGGACATGCCGGATTGCCCTTCCAAAGGGTGACTGTTCGTTATTTGGATGGGAAGCTATGCAAGCATTCGCTCAGACTGAAACGTATAGGAAGAATAGGGTGACAAGAGAGGAATATCTGGAACATGGCGCTGAATGGTGTACAAAGAACAGATTTGGATACCAAACCTGGATATAGCTTGGGCATTTAACTTAGTCTCTCTCTCTCTCTCTCTCTCTCTCCCATTATTAAAGACCTTGTGTTTTTTATTGATATTACCCTCATATTGAATGAAAATTGAACCAAATTCGCAAATTTGCGGATTGTTTTTGGCTTCGAAGACAACTTGCACGCAAGTTTGACGCGCCAATTGTCGTTTTACTCTATAGCGGTGTTGACGAATTTCCTGTTTTGGCGCGGCAAAAAACGATGGGCGCGCACGCGGAGTGCGAAAAGTTGAAAGAACACTCAACTGGGAAAAAGCGATTCTTAATAGTTGATCGACACCTTTAGGAAAAGTGAAGAGATCTCTTATTCAATTTGAGAATGAAGTAATCATCAATTCTCAAAGGGTTTACAAGATGAGAAATGATACATTTCATTTCATGATGTGTACCTTATGATCTCTATATAAACAGTCTGTAATCATATATATTTCTATAACTGACAATAAAAATAAATTGAAACTCTTCTCCAAAGAACTTAACAGTTGTTTATTTGTTTATTTTTGGAAAAACCATAATATAGTTTTGTTTGGTGTTCTATGACATATATATTACTTTAATGCAGCTTATTACTAAAACATATTTGTGTCTCTTAGTATGGCTCCCGTTGCTGACTTTTGCAAGTCAGTTAGCTCAAATAGAGAAAGAATTTGGTATTGAAACCTTTTCTACACCATCTCTAGATAGCAATTTGCAATTGTTAGGAAATATTAGTACATTATCCTTTTACAAATACACTGGACAACAGAATTTTACAGAACAGAATACTAGAAGTTCATTGATCTATTATTCAGATGATATTTTAATAGAATTGATACCAAATGACCAATTAAGTTCTAATGCCATGATAAAGCAAATCGTACCATTACGAGATAATTCATTTGTATTAAATGGTGTAGGAAATCTTTTGAATTATGATCTTTCGAAGCAATTAGTTTACAATCTAACAACGTTATCGGTATACCCTATCTTTAATGAAAGTCTAAATATAGTGTCAACCATTCTGGTGGATAATAATATAGTATATTTTGGTGGTAATTTCACATTCCAAGGATCTAATAGCGCATATACTTGGGATTCAACCAGCAACACTACATATCCTCTATCCTTTGATGGTTTTGGGAAAGACTCTACAATTAATTCCATCGTAAAATTGAATGACGACGAGATTTTATTCACTGGAAATTTCTCCACATTGGGCAATAATACATATCTAACTTCCAGCATTAATAATAATACCAATGTCTTAAATCTAACTAGTATCGAATTAGAACCTTTGGTATCTTTGAAAGCTGCAATCTGGGATGTGGATTCTTCTAGTCAATTTGATTCAAGTAATTTTATTTGTCCTAGTAATAAAAAGGAATCATGGTCTCAATCTGGTACAACAGGTTCTTTTGTTGTTAATTTATCGTACGATGTTACACCATCTAAAATAAGATTATACAACTCTCCAAATACGGACAATGAAGTTTCTTTATTCAGAATTATCACTAATCCATCCAATAGTATTCTAAACTTGACTTATCTAGATCCATTATCAGGAAATTTGCAGTACTGTGATGCCTTTTGTCCATTATTAACGACAAGAATTCTAAATACACAAGCTCAAAACGATTCGTTGACTATAGAGGATAAAGTCACTATAATTAATGGTAATTCCACAGTCGTGAAATGGTCAGATAGATATCAAGATTTCGCCTTCGTCAACCCTGTTGATGTCGAATCATTAACTTTTACAGCATTGGATTCTTATGGCACCAATATCGGACTTGGTGGCTTACAATTATTCCAAGATTCATTCAATAGCTTCGCTAATAATACATTAAATGAACCAAATTGTGATGATGAGTATACCATTACATCTGTATCTCTTTCTGAAAACGATTGGAAAGCAGTATCTAACACAGTAGATTATATTAGCACTTATTATACTCCAAATGTTGATCCAGTGCCTTTTGTTGAGTTTTCTGTTGATTTAGAATACAATGGTGAGTATTCTATTAATATTTATACACCTGGGTGTTCAGATGATGGTACTTGTAGTTCCAGAGGTATTGTTAATATAACAGTTTGGGACACAACTGATAACTCAATAATATCAACAAAGTCTATTTATCAGAACAATAATCAGCTTAAATATGATGAATTATACAGCGGAAATTTGAACATTTCAACATGTCGTATTACTTTAACATATCAAAATGGATTATACGCTAGTACAACACCAGTCACTATTGTTGCTGATAGAGTGAGTGTCTCGATCGTGAAATTGGACACCTCAGACTTAGCTCAATTAACTTCAACCTCTACAAAATCGGTCATTAGTTTGAATGGGTTGCTTCAATATCAGTTATCTAATTTTACTTCGACATTTAGTTCTTCGGAAAGTCCTATTACGGTAACTCCTCTTACCAGTTATGTGAATGCTACGTTTAAAAAAAACTCTTCAATTTTGGCAGAATTATATGATAATAACACGTTACTTTTAGGTAGTGAGGATGAAGGTATTTCGGTAGTAAAATTGAATAACGATTTGTCTTTAGAATCAAACAACGGTTTTGAGGTTAGTGGCAATGTGAATGTATTTGAATGCTTTAGTAATGGTATTTTTATTTCAGGTAGAAATTTAAATGTCTCTGGTGAACAATCCAATAATCTCATTTATAATGGTACTTTCCATACTTTTAAAGCAGATCAAAAGGAAACTTCAACAACATTTGCAAATGTTTCATTTTCTAACTCCGAATTGCTAGTATTAGATAGTAACTTCATTTGGAATGTATCTAGTTCTAGATCTATTACTAACGATTCAAGTCTCTCACTGGGACTTTGGTCTTCAGGAAAGAATTCCCAAGATGATACCTTATTGTATGGCTCAGTCTACCAAAATCAGTTTGCAAATTTAGATTCAGCAGTTTCTATAGATTCAAATGGAACTATCTCTGTTATTGATTTCCCACAAGGGATTTCCCCATATCTAGGTTTGTTTTTGAATTCGTCATCTACTGTCTATGCCTACGAATCGAGAGATAATAATAATAAATTGTATTTCAGTAATAACAAACAGATTAACAATATAACATCATGGGCCGGCCCTATTTCTTCAATGCTATATTCTGGCAACAATTCGATATTAATCGTTGGTACCGTTTCTAGTGGTTCTACTAGTGCGCAACTTACAATTTTAAACACTACTACTTTAACTGTTGTTAATAAAGAGGCATTACAGGGATCTAATTCCAATATAACTTCAATGTTAAATTTTGAGACTAACTCAACTCTTCTTATTGGTGGTAATTTCAATTTATCAAACCCAGATTGTAATGGTATATGTCTATACAACTATGAAACCCAAAAATTCAATTCATTCGCAAATGGTACATTAACAGGTTCCATAACATCCTTACAGTTTTACAATGATAGTTTATTACTAATATCTGGTATATATGATACTACGGACGTTTCTGGTATAACATTATCTCAATATGATATAAAGAAAAATGAATTAACTCCGTTAAGACAAGATAACACAAAATTAAACTCCTTTATTACAGAGGGTGACAGAATTATTTCATGGAACAGTACTACTTTATTCATATACCAGGATAACTCCTGGGTTGATATGCAGATTCCTAATATAAATTCGTCCAGTGTTATTGCTGATGTTTCTCTGTTCTCAGGTTATATCCCCGGTGGATCTCTCTCTAAGAGAGATGGTAGTAACTCCACCAATAAAGTATTAGTAGTAAATGGGCAATTTCATAGTTCACAATATGGGACCATACAATCATTTGTCTATGATTTCGACAAATGGGTTCCATATCTCTCTGTTAAAGCCGGACTGACAGAAGACTTAACAGTTGGACCTAATTTTTTTGTTAATGAAGATACCACGTATTTGTTCAATTCTCCAGTAGTACTACCTAATGCAAACTCTACAATTACTGTACCGAAGACATCAAGCACCTCGTCAGGAACATCGACAAATAGCGCTACAATATCATCATCACCCAAGAAGGCACATGAAGGGACTAAAAAGATACGTCGTGGGTTTGTCGTTTTGGTTGGGTTAGCCCTGGCACTTGGTACTGTCGCAGTACTAGGTTTGTTCGGTGTTCTCCTAGCTGCACTTTTCAGAGATGAAGAGATCAAATACGAACCTCTGACACCTCATATTGGTGAAGATGATATGATAAATACAGTACCTCCAGAAAAGTTAATGAAATTCATCTAGGAAATAAACTATTCGTTCCCAAAATACTTGAAATGGGAAATCCCCCACTGAACAAAGTTACTACCAAAAAGATGTCACTGTAATTCAGATAATATGTCATTCGTGAACTGGCATATATCATATTGACCCTATTCATCCTATGAAACCCTTTGAATCTTGTTTATAAGAGAGTAACTGTTTCAACTATTTATCATGGCTCATTAAACGGTGCATGGGTGTCTCTTGTCAGAGATCCATCGCTTTCGCAGCGCAAAATTTCATTCTAAAAAAAAATTGACGGCCAAAAAAAGAGCGAAAAAAGTTGTTTACAGTTAAGCGAGAGGACCTTCGCCTCTTCAATTAGTGGCAGGCAGACAATGTTTTGGTGACAATTAACTAATCCCAAACACGAAGAGATCGAACAACTGAGATGGCAGAACACCTTGAGGTAGCGTTCATAGTCAATGGCCTGGACTTAACAGTGTCCTCTACAGTATACCATTTACTACGTAGAATTGTATTTATAAAGGTTCATACATATATATAAACACAATTAAGAAGGACAATTACTGAAAACGCACATATTTCTAGAAGAAAGCAAAACAGCAAGATGTTATCTGGGAAGATTGTTATTAGCTGTCTATTGAGCGTTGCTTTCTATATAGAGACAGTAAGATGCTTCTATTTACCAGGTGTTGCCCCAATGACCTTCCACGAGGGAGACGAAATTCCACTTTTGGTTAACCATTTATCACCATCCATGTATTTTCAACATTTAGATGAAGATGGCAAGACTTTTAAAGGTGACAAAGAAAGATATTTATACTCTTACGATTACTACTACGAAAAATTTCATTTCTGTAAACCTGAGAAGATCGTTAAACAACCTGAATCCTTAGGGTCTACTATTTTTGGTGATAGAATTTACAATTCTCCTTTTGAAATAAAAATGTTACAAGATCAAGAATGTACATCTCTTTGTGGGAGTGTTATTCCAGGTGATGACGCAAAATTCATTAACAAATTGATTAAGAACGGTTTCTTCCAAAATTGGTTGATTGATGGTTTACCTGCCGCAAAAAAAATTCACGATACTAAGACTAAGTCTGATTTTTATGGTTCCGGGTTTGAATTAGGCTTTGTTCAGGTTCTTCAAACAGTAGGATCGAGTCAAGTTAATACAGTTCCAAAGAAACCATCCTCTAATGAAGGTATTGAATTAGACACTCGTGAACCTAAGAATGTTCAAACTTTACAAAATATCGAGGTAGCTTACTTTGTTAACCATTTCGATATCAATATTGAATATCATGACCGTGGTGAAGGTAATTACCGTGTTGTTGGGGTTACTATCAGTCCAGCTTCTATTGACCGCTCTAGCCCAGATTCATGTTCATCTACTGGTAAACCTTTGATTCTAGAGGAAGACAAAGATAATCAAGTATATTTCACTTATTCTGTAAAATTCATTCCATCTGAAACTGTATGGGCTACAAGATGGGATAAGTATCTACATACTTATGATCCTACCATCCAATGGTTCTCTTTGATTAATTTCTCTGTTATTGTTCTTCTGTTATCCTCTGTAGTCATCCATTCTCTATTGAAGGCTTTGAAGAGTGATTTCGCGCGTTACAACGAATTGAACTTGGACGATGAATTCCATGAAGATGCTGGTTGGAAATTAGGTCATGGTGATATCTTCCGTATCCCACACAAATCCATGTTGTTATCCATTTTGGTCGGTTCTGGTACTCAATTATTCGTCATGATTATTACCACTATTTTCTTCGCAGCATTAGGCTTTTTGTCCCCAAGTTCAAGAGGTTCTTTAGCTACCGTAATGTTTATGCTATATGCATTGTTTGGTTTCGTCGGTTCCTATACTTCTATGGGTGTCTACAAGTTCTTCCAAGGTCCATACTGGAAGGCAAACATGATGTTAACTCCAATTCTGGTACCTGGTTTTATCTTTTCTGTTATCCTGTCCATGAATCTGATCTTACTTTATGTTCATTCTTCAGATGTTATCCCAGCTAGTACTTTGTTCTTTATGGTATTCTTATGGATTATCTTCTCGCTTCCATCAGCAGTTGCAGGTTCTTTAATCGCTCACAAGAAATGTCATTGGGATGAGCATCCAACAAAGACAAACCAAATCGCAAGACAAATTCCATTCCAACCATGGTATTTGAAAACAATTCCAGCTACTTTGATCGCCGGTATTTTCCCATTTGGTTCCATTGCCATTGAACTATATTTTATTTACTCCAGTTTATGGTTTAACAAGATTTTCTACATGTTTGGGTTCTTGTTCTTTTCATTCCTATTATTGACCCTAACGACATGTCTTGTCACCATCTTAATCACTTATCATTCTCTATGTTTAGAAAATTGGCTATGGCATTGGAGAAGTTTCATTGTCGGTGGTGTTGGTTGCGCCGTTTATGTCTTTATCCATTCCATCCTCTTCACCAAATTTAAACTTGGGGGTTTTACTACAGTTGTCCTGTATGTTGGTTACTCTACAGTGATTTCTGTCCTATGTTGTATCGTCACAGGTGCCATTGGGTTTATGAGTTCCATGTTCTTCATCAGAAAGATCTACTCTTCCATTAAGGTTGATTAATTCATCATATTATTATTCACTTTCTATATAGCATATAAATAACCAAATTTAAAATGATAGGATAAACATTAGACTTTATTATTTGGAAAGAATTTTAGTCATCTGTTGTGTTATAGTTGTTTTCGGATATCTCAGGCAAAGAAATAAAAGCATAACTTAATAAACTTTTAAAGATAAATAATCGTTGAACGAATGGGAAAGAAATTCAGTTGTGTATTAGTGAAGGAAGAAGTAACAGCATTAACAGATTTAAATAAATACCTCAATGAAATTTCATTACTCTAAATTCAAATGTTTATCACTTTTCCTTTTTTGTTTACTAAATTGTGTTCTTCTGATCTCTTGGTAAAATCTAAAATATTGAAAAAAGTTTACAAAATGTTAAAAATGTTAAAAATGTTAAAAATTTAGGTGCTATTAATAAAATATGATATTTAAAGAAAAATGAGATATTTAATTAAGAACTAAGAACTCAGTCTGTTATTAACTAACAGAAATTATGTGGGAGCACGATATCTCAAATGTCCTAATAAAATCTAAACTGTTACTAAACCCATTAGCATAACAATTAACAATGAATCAATCTAGACCTAATGCTACTATGCAAGCTTAGAGTCATAAAGGGCATTATTGTACCTGATGGGAAAATTGAATATTAGACATCTTCTATTTAACTGAACTAATTCTATTATATTTCAAAATCAACTTATAGTTGTCTGATTTTTTATATCTTATATAAAAATATATAAAGTAAATTATGGAAGCAATTGTATTCATTCATATATGAAATATTGTTCCATTGATATATGTTGGATTTCTTGTTGTCGTGATTATAAATTCACTCAACGGTGGCGTAAGTAATCCATTAGTAAGTTGTTGAGGGATTAACCTATTATCAGATCATTGAGGGATTAACCTATTATCAGATCATTGAGGGATTAACCTATTGTCATTATCATTCTTATAATATATTTCCGACAGTACCATAAACAATATTTAATGTGTATAATTAGTTTTGAATTAAACTTTCAAATATTTGTCACCCTAAGTATTGTTAAACAGAGTTACTGTTGTTAAACTTCTCATCTTTTGTGCATATTAACGTTGGACAATGTAGCTCCAATAAACCCAATGTAGTGAAAACGAATATTAAATTATGCAGTATATACCATGTGTTATTCTATATAAGGTAGTGCAGTGCAGTGCAGCACAGTCTAAATTCTACTTATATTAGCTACCTTCTCCTTCAGATAGGGTAAACTAATGTTAGCCTTTTTTGTGCTGCCGCTACATTTCAACACAAACTTTATTTTATTATAAAATCTGTGCTGAAGTAGACATAATAGAGTTAGATCTTGATTCGTTCATTATTTGTAGTGTTAGGTAGAGAGGAGTAGGTGTAGACTGAATACTAATGTTTAAAATAAAGCAAGTACTATTTGTTATACTTTTTTTATATCTGTAAGTGATTTTTTATATTGTATATAATTTATAGAACGAATAGAATCTAACTTCGAATGTAATTTCAGAATTCTCTGTCTTTATATCTTATGTATTTTTCTCGACAATCTGTTTCTCATATTACCTAATCATTAAGTAATCTTTTATTTGAACATTTTAGATATCTTGATTCCACATAATTTCTCTCAAAATCAACTTATATGTTATAATATAGAAAGTAGCAATACTTGGTTATTACAATTTTATGTTTAGTAAGAAATTATTACTAACTGTTCAATATGATTCTAGAACATTCTTTAAGAATGATTAGTAAGCAAGTATTACTAATTGTTTCATAAGTGTCTAGAACATGTTTCAAGAATGTTTAGTAAGAATACTATCAATATTTGGTAGACTGCTTTCCTTTCCCAAAAGTATAAAAGGAACACATATTCTAACTTTATATATATATATACAATCTTCCTTATATAGACTTATGTCAGAAATTAAGAGTAATATGCACAACACTTAATTTCAATAGGTAAAGAACTACCTTTAAGCACAGTTATTATGAAGCGTGTTAAAATATGAAACAAAATATGTGGCAACATGAAACAAAGTTGATCGCATTATGAAACAAAACATAATTCGAACCTCAATTGAGATTAGAATAAAAAATATATAAAGACAAAGAATTCTGAACTTACATTGGAAGTTAGATTCTATTCGTTCTATAAATTATATATAATATAAAGAGACCGATCGATTATCGTATTAAAAAATGTCCGAATTAAATAAAGTAAAGCTTGAAGAGACTAATAGAGGCAAACACTCTATCTCAGATTCTCTACAACTTACTTTATATAACATAAAATAAACCACAAGATTATACATTTGAATATCTATAACTATGTCCGATAATTTCAACTCGAATACTAATCGTATATTCTCGATTTCAAACTTACGTTTACATTATAGTCGTCTCATTTTTTAACATCTTATATAAAAATATATAAGGTAAATTATGGAAGCAATTATTTTTATAAATGAAATATTGTTCTATATATATATGTTGAATTTCTCGTTGCCGTAATTATAAATTCACTCGACAGTGGCGTAAGCAATCTATTATTAAGTTGTTGCGGGATGAACCTGTCATTAGATAATTGTGGGATTAACCTATTATCAGATCATAACATTGGTCATTATCATTCTTATAATATATTTCCGACAGGAAAGAGGAGAGAACATATTAAAAAATATTTTAATTTCTATGTCAATCCAAACTTAAAACTACATTCCAGAAATTACAGGTCCCTTGGCCCAGTTGGTTAAGGCGTGGTGCTAATAACGCCAAGATCAGCGGTTCGATCCCGCTAGGGACCATTTTATTTTTTCGGATTACTCAAAATTATGACTCGTATTAACAGAAATCGATATTTTTGCCTATCTTTATGAAAAAACTACTGAGATGCATTGATAATGTGGCAAATAGAGAGTATTCCTTTAATCTATCTTTACTCTTCTTTCTCTTAAACTATATAAGAAAGTTATAATTTACTAGGCTTAATTATCTTATTTTAAAATACTTAAATTCGATAACTATATCTCAATTTGCTATGTCAGAAGAAAATGTTACTACGGTACCAATAACCAAAGAACCTAATAATGAAACAGAAGGTCAACTAAAAGCCGAAGAAGGTGAAACATCATTTGCACTTTCAGAAGAGCAGAAAAATTTGAAAGAAACTAAACTTTTACGTGACACATTAGATTTGCTTTGGGATAAGACGCTTGAGCAGAGAAAAGTATGCGAACAATTGCAACAGGAAAACGAATATCTACATGACTACATTGATAATCTAATGTCATCCAGTAACGTTCTGGATAAATAGGATGTTAATTGAAACACGTCATTTCAAAACTAAATTTAAACATGAAACGTCACTAAGAAATTCCTTTAAAAAACGTCAATGAACAGAAAACATCTGATACAAAAGTGACCAAATGCTATAAGAAACTAGTTTGCCAAAATATGTTGCTTTATGATTATGTTTTTTTTATTTTAATATAACGAAAAATAATCTTTGTAAAGATGTTTCCTTTAAATGTTGTCCGTCATGATAATGTACGCCCAAATACTGATATCAAAAATAACTTTAGAATATCGCATTTCTCTTCACCATCAATTGATAAATATGGAAATCATCTCCGTTTAACCCCAGTAGGAGAAGAAAATGTCGATTATTCCAAGAATGTAAATCGATCATTTTACAAGCATGTAACTATGTTACCGCCACGTCCAGTCTTCCCCAACTCGACTGTTAACGCTCCTCGCCAAAATCACACTAGAATTATTCATCCTCCTCATGTGGAAGAAACCTTGACAGATATTCCTTTACAGGAGGAAATAAAGATAGATCTTAATCTAGTATCTAAATCAAGAGATAGAACTGGAATTGATTTCCCACCATTCTTCAAGGTGTATGACTATGAATGTAGATTTGATGAGGACGATATTATCCCTTTGACAATTAATAATGACCCTAATTGTAGAAAGAAACGGATGCGGTTCTCTAAGGAACTTGAATATAAGGATTTGAAAAAATTCGTTAAGAGGAAAGATTATATTTTGTATTACTTGTTTGGTTTTGATCGTACTGGGTTTTTTGGGATTCTCAAGGAACGTGAAAGTTTTTATAACTTTCCTATAAAACATTTCATTGAACCATTACATCAAGAGGAAGACCACGGATTCTATTTCGAGGAGTTTGAAGATTCTGATTCAGATCTAGAGGATGCAAACTGTTCCAAAATAGACTTTTTTGATGTCTAACAATATATTATTTTCTCTATTTTTTATTGATTTAGTTAAATATATATACCTAAATTATACATTGACCAAGAACATAAAACTTATAAAATAAAACTTATAAAATAAAATAAAATAAATCTAATCATTGGAATCTGTTATCCCATTTTCACTAATAATATAGACACATTCCTTTTCAGGCATATCAGGGGAATCCTGTAATTTAGCTACCCTTTCCTCACCGCGACCTTTACGTAACAATATTCTTGTGGCAGATGCATGTGCTAAAACATGACCACCAACAGGCTTACGTCCATCTGCTGAAGCAAATAATGCCGAAGCACCGGGATCTGATTGAACTTGGTTAGTTAAGAAAATTGCAATGTTAAACTCTTCTGCTAATCTATTCAATTTAAATAAATGTTGGTTCAACTTCTGTTGTCTTTCGTTAAGCTCGCCACGTCCGCAATAGTCAACTCTGAAGTTTGCCATAATAGAATCAACAATTATCAATCGATAATCTCCAGAACTTAATTCTTCTCCAAGAGCTTCTACTAATTCCATTTGATGTTCACTATTAAGAGCTCTAGCATATGTAACGTTTTCCAGACAAGCATCTGGATCCAATTCGTATCTTTCGGCAATTTGTTTGATTCTTTCAGGTCTAAAAGTTCCTTCTGTGTCAATATAAGCGACTTTCCCCTCACCACCACCCATTTCCTTAGGTAATTGAGTGGTTACACATAATGTGTGAGATAATTGCGTCTTCCCACATCTGAATTCACCAAATACTTCCGTAATACTCATTGTCATAATACCACCTCCAAGGATAGAATCTAATTGTTTTGAACCAGTAGATAAAGCAAACACATTTTTTCTAATGTTAAGTTGAACAGTTGCAGAAACAAACCCTACTTTAATCACTTTACCTGCTGCTTCCTTAATCTTTTCCACTTTCACCTCACTTAACCCTTTAATCCTACAAAGATGTCTTCTAGTGGTGGAAAGAGCAGTGTTAACTGTATACACTCCAGAACTTTTCAACTTTTGAATATCAGAGACATTTATACCAAAATTTTGTAATTCATCTACACTGACAATATTTCTATCATCACTGACTGATGATTCTGTTAATTCGACAGTTGTAGTCATATTTTATGAATCAAAAAGGTTCAGGTAAGTAATAAACTAAAACTGAGATATTAAAGCTTATCTAGTTTATTAAAAATAAATAAAAAGTAATACACTTAACAGAACCTTTTAATAAGAAAACATAGATAGCGTTATTAAAATATTCTCTCTTTCTTGCCTCCTTTATATATGTTTTGGACTCAAATTTTTGCCGCTTAGCGGCTATTTCGGCGCTACTCCATAGCTTCACCAAATTAAAAAGAAACCGTTGAATAAGAAGAATATATAAAATATAGAGACACATCAAAAGGCAAGATTCTTCCAAACAAAATAAGATATCACTCATCATGAAGTAATACTCTTACAACTATGATTATTTATTTCATTTTTATTTTATTTATTTTTTTGTAATTATAAAAATCATTACAGCGTAGAATAAGTAAGCATTCCCAATAAAGAAACCCAAATGTATGTAGAGAAGAACTTGGGATCTTAAAAGGGAGATAGGAAAAAATATGGTAGGAGGGCGATGAGAAAGGATGGAGAATATAGTCTAGAAAAAATTGAAACGCAATTATTTTTTATATTTTTTTTATCGCTTAGCAAGGATTAATTTAGTCTCTGTTAGCAAATCCACCCTTTTGGAAATCCCAAGTGTCTTCAGAGATTCTACCTCTTAGGGTTGGAGTCTCTGTACCCTTAACGTAGACATCTTCGAATAAGATAGATAATTTAGCCTCTGGAGGAGCGCATGCGTCAGCTAATTCAACTTGTTCATCGACATGTTTTCTAGCAGATTTATCGTAAGCCTTAACTTCAGCTTCAGTAGCGATACCTAAATCGATCAAGTGCATCTTTAGACCTGCAATTGGATCATTCTTGGATCTCATGTTTTGGATTTCTTCTCTAGTTCTGTAAGTAGTACCTGGATCAGACATAGAGTGACCACCATATCTGTAAGTTTCATACTCTAACAATAATGGACCTTTACCGGAGACACACCAGTCCTTAGCAAACTTAGATGCTTGATAAACGGATAGAACATCCATACCATTAACTTTAATACCTGGGATGTATTGACCACGTTTAAAATATTCTGTAGTGGCAGATGATCTAGATGCAGCAGTACCCATACCATATCTGTTATTTTCACAACAGAAGACAACGGGTAGATTCCATAATTTTGCCATGTTAAAGGATTCAAATACTTGACCTTGATTAGAGGCACCATCACCATAAAGTGTGAAAGAACAAGCATCTTCATTCTTATATTGATGAGCGAACGCCAAACCAGTCCCTAATGGAACCTGACCACCGACAATACCATTACCCCCATAGAAACCAGGTGCGTACAAATGCATAGACCCACCTTTACCATGAGAGACACCTGCTCTTCTACCCATCAATTCAGCCAGGACAGCTTTAACCGCACCACCTCTCATATAAGTGAAACCATGACATCTATAAGATGTAATCACTGAATCCAACTTGGTGATAGCATTTTCAATACCTACAGCAATTGCTTCTTGACCAACAGATAAATGACAGAACCCTCTAATTTTCTTAGCCTTATATAGAGCATCACAGGCCATTTCCATTCTTCTAATGATGACCATATCTTTATACATTTGTAACAATTCCGCTTTAGAGGTCTTGTATGATAAAGAGGGTGGTTCCACAAGATACCCTTCAAAGGATTCCTTTGGCAAATTGATGGTGACTTCATCATCACCGGATCCATTGTCTTCCATGGGGGTAGTCTTTGTTGCAGTTGTGGAGGATGTCCCGGAGGAAGTGGCTGTAGCCATTGCTCTTTTCATGTTAATTGTAGACATAAACCTTAAAGCTGAAGGAATTGCCATTTTGGGAGTATTACGAGATGCAGACAACAACATTTTGTGATGGTAAAAATAATAAAAAACTGTGTTGTTGTTTGTATTTTTCGCAAAAAATTTAGTTAATTGATTCTGGGACACAGTACTAAAAAATCAATCAATCTTTATATTCGAGTATATGTGCAATTGAATATATTGATATATCTCAAACCGTGTTAATCAATCAGTTTAGAGTATGTATCTTAACCTCTTTCAGTTTTAAATTGTCGATTGTGCAAGAAGGGGGGTGAAGATGAACAAAAAAATCATCATTGAATATCCTTAAATAAATAGATAAAATGAAATAAAAAAAATCGCCTACAAATTTTGAAATTTAAAATCTTGCAGTCCGAGGCGAATGGCAGAAAAGAAGCAAAATAAAGAAGCAAAGGCTTTCTGTCACTGTCACAGCAAGAACCACAAGTGACATGAATTGTTTTGTCCTACTTCTTGTCCTTAAAGGTTAATTTAATATGTTAATTTAAATGATGATTTTTTTTATTGGGTTTTGGCGGAGGGAAGTATTTATATATACGTATATATAATTTGTAGATAGATAAAGACAGGAGAGTTTCGATGTAATGTTAACAGTAGACTTTAATAAGAAAGGTTATTATTATTATTATTATTATATTTTTTTTTTAAAAAAAAGGGTTGTTGTTTGTATATCTATAATAAAAAAAAGGAGGAAAGATAAAGAAATAAAAGTAGAAGATTTCAAACAAACAAACAAACTATTTTGGAGCATCAGCGTCATTACTGGCGTCAGCAGTAGCATCTGGAGCAACAGCAGCAGGAGCAGCATTTTGTTCATCATGTGCGTTTTCAGACATATCAGAAGTCCATAAAGTCAAGTTATCTCTTAGTAATTGCATAATCAGCGTACTGTCCTTGTAAGATTCTTCAGATAAAGTATCCAATTCAGCAATGGCGTCATCAAAGGCTTGTTTAGCCAAATGACAAGCTTTATCTGGAGAATTTTGAATTTCGTAGTAAAAGACAGAGAAATTCAAAGCTAAACCTAGACGAATTGGATGAGTTGGTGGTAATTCAGTAGTAGCAATTTCAGAAGCAGTCTTATAAGCTTCCAAGGAAGCATTAGTAGCTTCTTCTCTCTTATCAGCAGTAGAGAATTCAGCTAAATAACGATGATAATCACCCTTCATCTTATAATAAAAGACCTTTGATTCACCGGTAGTAGCAGAAGGAATCAAAAATTTGTCAAGAACAGCTAATATATCATCGGAGATAGTTGTCAATTCCGTTTCAATCTTAGAACGATAAGTTCTAATCAAAGAGACTTGATGTTCTGATTTTTCTTTCGATTCTTCTTTTTGTTCAATGGAAGAAACAATTCTCCAAGAAGCACGTCTAGCACCAATAACATTTTTGTATGCAACAGACAATAAATTACGTTCTTCAACAGAAAGTTCTTGACCTGCTGATGCGACTTCCTTCATATTTTCAACCATTTCTTCATAACGTTCGGCTTGTTCGGCCAATTTGGCTAGATAAACTGAATCTTCACGACTTGAGGACATATTATATGCGAGTGAGTGAGTGTGTGAGTGTAAGCGTGAGCCTAAATGTGTATGTTTTTATGTGTTTGTGAGGGTATATATGTACAAAACCTTTAACACTAACACTAAATACAAACGATAATTTATATATATATATATATATATGAATATTAAAAAATAAAAGAGGGAGAGAGAATGAGTATTACTCTCTAAACGCTAAATCAAATAATAAAAAACGATTAAAAAAGATAAAAATCAAAACAAATAAAGGTTGAAAGTATCAAGAACCCAAAAAAGTGATCTCAGTTGTGGTAAAATTAGCCCACCTTCCCTCTCTCTGTCTCCCACAATCGATCAATCAATCAATCAATCAATGAATCGGTATATCTCACTCTCTAACAGTAATAACAATAGCAACAATAGCAGTAAGAGCAATAATAATAGCTGCATCAGTTATTATTGCCCCCTCCAATAAACAGACAAACTTAGCGAGCGAGGCGTTTAATTCTCTCACTCACTCCATTTCAACGTGCATTGTCGGAAAAAGATAGGTGGTGGGTGGTCTATACTCCTCTGCGAGTACCAGAAATAAAAACGCGTGGTTTTTTTTAAGGGGAGGTGGGCTATGATAGAGAGGAACGGGGGTGTTACCCGGGGTGCCGTGCGCAGTGATGCTGGACTAGTGGAAGCCACCCGCGAGGTCGGCCTGTTGGCTGCCTGTATTATGCAAGGCGTGTAACACCCATACATTTGTAGTAAGGAAAAAAAGGATTCCTCTATCTTATAACTAGTATTTCTATATATTTCAATGGTGGACAGGTCGAAGACAATCTCAGGTTAATTACTACTCCAATTTTAGATATTTACCGCCAACGAGTAACAAATAGTTATCTATATTTATATCTATATATCTATATAACTGTAAAACTGTAAAAGATATCTTAGTAATCTTCTAAATTATTAAAGACAACTTTTTTATCCTCAAGGAATTTAATAAAATCTGTCCAAATTGATTGTCCACTCTTTAATACGGTTTTATTACCAACTATAATTAAACCATTTTTAGCTCTTGTCAATGCAACATTCAAACGCCTCTTATCAGATAAAAATCCAATCTTATTATCCGCATTATTACGTACACATGAAAATATAATAAATTCCTTTTCATGACCTTGAAATGAATCAACTGTAGCAATTTGTAGTTTATTAACAATATTCACAATATGTGATTGTAAATTTTGACCAGGGTAGGAATTCTTATTCAAATATTCATCTTCGTCAGTTTCACGTACCATTGCTTGTTTTCTGGGATTAATTATGGGATCATTTAATAAAATTTCGGATAATAAATCACGTTGTGCAGAATATGCAGTAATAATACCAATATTACCTAACTGAATATTTTTCTCTTTAATTAATTTATAAATAATGTCAAGAATGGCTTCACATTCATAACGATTATTATAACTAAATCCACCACTACCACTTCCACTACCACCACTATAAGCTCTTTCTTCATATCCATAATCACATTGATAAAAAAATAATGGATATTTTATACCGGTCCATTTTTTTTGTTCTTCAGTGACACCATTTAATAACTTATCATTATAAACTCTTTTAATAGAAAATTCACTAATCTTTGGATGCATTCTATATTGTGTATCTAACATTTGTGGATCACCACATGTACCATTTAATAAAATTCTTTCAAATAATGACATCTCTAATTGGGGAATATTACTAAAACTCGATAGTTGCTTTTCATCACCAACAAATAAGAAACTTTTAATACCAGGTAATGATAATGGTACTAAAGTTGATGCTTCAGAAGATTGCGTACTTTCATCCATAATTACAGTAGGAATCTCTTTAATACTCTTTAATTGTCTGCCACCTGCTGTAATATTAGTAGTACAAATGATCTGTGCTTGTGCAATTATCTTAGTGACTAATGCACTCTTCGCTAAAAATAATTTTTTTTCAATCTTTGGTGATACTGCACTCTTCCCACGAGACCTTAGTAAATCTTCTTCTCTTCTTAAATCTCCAGGTAACATATCATATACAATATTATGAAGACATATCTTACCCAAGGGATGTGATTTATTATATTCAGATTCCTTTCTATCAGACACAATTCTTAGTACTTTAATACCTTTTGTATTATCAACAAATTTCTCTGCAATATTATCAATAGCAATATTTGATGCTGCGACACACAAGATTGGGAATGAATGGAAACTGGTAATGATTTGATGAATTAATTCTTCAATAGTCGACGTCTTACCGGTACCTGGGGGACCTTGAATCAAAGTAACTGAATTGTTCAAAACATATTCAATAGCATCACGTTGAGATTTGTTTAATGAACTTCTAGAAAATTTTAATCTATTATTAAAATAGATTGGTTTTAGTTTTTTATTGCCTAATAATAAATTAATAAATTTCGGATTGGTAATACGTGTCATTGCAAACATAATTCTATTAGCTTGCGCTGAAACTGGTAAAAGTTTTAAATGCTCTGAACCTAATCTTGATGGCAATGACATTTTATTCCATGGGAATAATTCTAACAATAATTTTATCCGATTTCTTTCTTCTCTAACTTCTTTCACGAATGTATACCATACCAAAGATTCATCAATAGTAGTTAACATCAATGGTTGCCTTTCATTGAATGGATTATTAGTCTTACCAACGAGATGTGGCATGATTAATCTCTTTAATTCATCATTCCCCTTAGTCTTAAATTCAACAAGAAATACAGGCTCCTTTGAATTCTTAGACCAAGATATTTCAAAATCTTCCAAAAATTCATTTTCTAACTTTTGTTCTAAAAACATAGCTTGAGAGAAAGTATCTAAATAAGTAGTCAAATCTGGGAACGTCAATTTTGGAGTAAATCTATTAAATTTCCGTATTTGAACCCCTTCTTCCGCAGGTTCAATTTCTTTTATGGTCGTTTTATTAGATTTTTCGAATTTAGGAGGAGTTGGTGTGACTTCTTTCTTCGATTGGGGACCTTTATCATTTTTAGATTTTGAAATTGGAACATTTTCTTTAGAGAATGATGACACTAGAGAGGCATCCCAGCTTGCAGGACCCCAACCATTAGAATTATCCCACGAAGGTGATGCGTTAGCAATAGCGGTAGGTTCTTTTTGTCTTTTTCTGTCTTTTGTCTTTTTCACTTTCTCTTCTTTCTTCTTTTTCGAATTATCATTAAGTGCTTTATTATTATCCTTCTTTTGGGTTTGTTTCTTACCTTTACCAACTAAATCTGTACTCGATAATGCCCTCATCAGGTCACCTGGTTTGTTCAACAATGATATATTCATCCCCATTTGACGATGACTATTATTATTACCACCTACAGCTAGATTACTACTACTTTGATTTCTAGAGATATTTTTTTCAACATTTTGTTCAAGGGTAGCCGCCAGATTTGTATCACTTGTGACAGCTTTAAAACCTGAAAAAGATCTTAAATTTAACCTGGTGTTACTTTCAATCTTAGTATTATCTTTTCTATTCTGATATGCTACAGCATCAATTTTCTTTAATACACCTTTAGGAGGGTTACTATTACCATCATTTGTAGGTGGTTTACTGGAACTCCTTGTAGAAGAACGAGTCTTTGGATTACTATTACTTGTATCATTATTCCTAACACCACCAGTACCACGACTCTTTGATGATTTTCCTTTCTTAGTAGATCTACCTTTACGTCTAGTAAATCGTTTATTATTTTTACCACTATTTGAAGTTCCCTTTGGTTCTTTAATGTTTAATAAAAGGTATAAAAACTTCCCAGAATCCTCAGAGACATAATTCTTGGAATTTTTTTTAGTCTTAAGACAATCATCACAATATACTTTAGAACTCGGGTCCACATTCAAATGATTATCTTTCCCACATTGTTCACATTTACAATCTCTTACGGTAATATATCTATTCCAATACATCAATATGGCCCCATTCGACAACGAATACGCACTAGTAGGCCTAGTGACTCCTGCGTACAATTTTTTAAAACATGGATCACATAATAGCACCATATCATCGCCTCCAAATCTAATAATTTGCAACTGGTGGATATTATTGTTAGAACATTCTTCGCACGCAACCAATTCATGGGTTCTATTATCCATGACTGTCTTATGTCTAGCTGAGGTCAAATGTTTCATCAGAGACTCACCTGAGCCTGAAATGTCACATGTAGTACATTTAAACTGAGATGACATACTCCCTTTCCTTGTCAGGCACGTTTATCTTATCACAGAAGGATAACAACTACGTTAAAAAATATATATATACGTATTCTTATTAAGTATTAATGGTTGAAATTATGTTGTAACTGTGGCAGCACTGTTATATATCTGTCATGTCATCGCATTTTTACGAGGAAACAAAAAGCTGAAAAAAAAAAAAGACTTTCAGTTTGTTCTCGAAGTTGAGCTCTTTCCCCTAGTCGGCCTGTTAATCCAAAAGAACCTTAATGATATAATCAAAAGACAACAACAACAACAACAAGAACAAGAGTAACCATACACGTTGGTCATTTATTCTATCTATACTTCAGTGATTCTTTCAATGTTTGACGAATTGCAAATATTATTAAGAAGTCTTATTGCAAGTGTCACTGTCTATCTGTATAAGTAACGATATTAGTTTTTTTTTTGCTGATACAGACCCCGATTTAGGCCGATATTCATAATCCGATCTGCCCCGAGCAGAATAGATCACGCACATTTAGGGAGAAAATGAAATGTATCTATATAAACATATAAATATAGATATAAGAGGAACCAGTCAGTTAAATAAAAATAACACCAGAACTAATAATCGGAATACGGTCACAAAATAACACGAACCAAATAACCCGAACCAAATAGCAATGTCTCAATTTTCAGAATCTGATTTTGGTGCAAATGATTATTCCACAGCAAGACCTGATTATCCACCAAATTTCTATGACTTCCTATCCCGTTACCATTCGGGGTACAATTCTCAATTAGTAGATGTCGGTTGTGGTCCCGGCACTGCTACCTTCCAACTAGTTAAATGGTTACCTGAGTTTTCAAAAATCACAGGGACAGACCTGTCTCCACCCATGATCAGCAAGGCTAGCGAATTAGCCACCAGAGCAAGCAAAACTTCCCAGCAAGAAGATTCACAAGGAAAACAAATAGAGTTCCATGTTTCCAGCAGCACAGATTTCTCGTTTCTTCAAGGGAAGTCATGTGACATGATCACAGCCGCCGAATGTGCCCATTGGTTCGATTTCAATGCTTTCCAATCGGCAGCCGCCGAAACCTTGTCGGCCCATGGTACTATAGCCATTTGGGGGTACATCGACTCGGTGTTAGAGCGATACCCGGACACCGATGCTCTCATGTTGGACTTACAATATGGAGATGACAAGCTGGGTCCGTATTGGGATCAACCGGGACGTGACATTCTACGTGGACTACTACAAGACAGACATTTAGACCCTACGTTATATGAACGAATCCAGGAGTCTCATGTGGTGGCACGTGAGCTGACCTCGGCGGCAACACAGGATTTCCCATTACGGATCACTAAAGAGATGCCTCTGAGCCGGTATCTCGCTTATTTGAAGACTTGCAGTGCGTACCATGCATGGAAAAAGGACCCGCAAAACAGGGACTCTCCAGATCCTTGCGATGAACTTATAGCTACCATTCAAAAAATGCACCCGGAATTAAAGGACCTCAATTACAAAGTCCGCGTGCTTTGGAGCTCATTCTATAAAGTGGGTACTCGTCGTGCATGATGATGTACACCGCTTACTAACATTCTCCCATGTTATTGGTTGAACATTTTTCTCTTTTTTGGCCGCTGAAATAATCTCTCCAAATGCGGGTGCGATCTATTTTTCCTCTCTGTTCTGCTCTTTCTGTATATATTTTAAGCCGAGGGAGATATAGAGGGACACCCTCGAAATTACACGCACTCCCTCCCACTCCCACTCTCTGTGTCGCACTCACACACGCATTGGTGGTGGCTCCTGCGAATTGCACCGCCCAAACCGTGAAAATAGATTTACTTAAGCAAAAAGTATTACAATAACTAAATGAATTAAATAAGGCACCCAAGTTCTTACTCTCTTTATTTCTACTATCGAATTTAATGATCGTATGGCTTAAATAATACAGTAGTGTACGCAGGGAGCAGCAGCAATATTTGCTAATGACGATGACACCCAGAAAAAAATAATTGCAAAATAGTCTGGAATATATTTGATTAACGATGCGATTATTAAGCAATGTATCAAATACACTTCAAGCTACAATTTTATTGAAATCTCAATGAAATTGTTTGTTTTGTTTTGTTCACACCCCATGTTCCTAGAGACAGACAAAGACAATTAGATAATAACTGGGGTGTGATTCAATCATTCTGAAAAAGGGTTATTTTATATCAAAAGATTGTGAATGATTTTTAAATATAGTAATTTTTTATTATTCAGTTAATCATATATATATATATATATATATATATGGACATGAGAGGATTAAAGAGTCCGATAATTGTAAGAATGTAGATTATATATGTATTTCCTTTTAACTTGCTGATATCAATATCTATTATTTATTCAAAATAAATTAAAAGAATAAATAAATTTAAAATACATTGACACATTAACATACACACATTTAAAAAAAAATTACCATGTCTATCGTACAGATTTCTAACAGAACACATCTAGAGAAAGTTGTCTCTTCAGAAGATAAAAATAAATTGTTAGTATTATATTTTTATAGTAACAATAATGAACAAAGTAAATCAATTAATGAAAATATTCGTTTAGGAAGTTTGAAATATACTAAAGATACTATAAATTTCTTATTTATTGATTCCTCAATTAATAATGAATTAATTTCATTATTTAAAGTTCCAATAACTCCATATTTGGTTATTGTAAGAAATGGTTATATTTTACGTACTATGACAGGTACGGAATTAGAAGATTTTGTTATGTCTTTAGATGAATGTTCAGAGACTATCTTAACAATTAATGATTCATCCTATAATCTTTTGCATAACCAACAGACCGATGCCCGCCAAATTAAATATAGAAACGATAGTGTATCATCTATAGAGACAGATAGTACAATAGGTTCAGACACTTTAGATGAGGAAAATGACCCAGAATATAATTCGGATCTTAATGACAGTTTATCAAAATTGGTACAAGCTGTTCCAGTAATGATCTTCATTAAAGGCACTCCATCAGAACCACGTTGTAGATATTCTAGACAATTGATATCTATATTAAGAGAAAATAAAATTAGATTTGGGTTTTTTGATGTATTGCAAAATGATATGGTTAGAAAAGGAATGAAAAAATTCTCAGATTGGCCAACTTTCCCACAATTATATATGAATGGTGAATTTGTTGGTGGATTAGATATCGTAAAAGAAACTATAAAAGATGAACCAGAATTTTTCAATATTTCTTTACTCTAACAATTAACATTCTATATCATTCTTCTAACTTTACTATATTCTCGCATACAATATTATTATATACGTACACACATATACATATATACATACATACATACATACTTACTTACTTACTTACATACATACACACGAATCAGTTCACGATTTTTTCCTTACACATATTATTTTTTTATCAGGAATAGCTGAAGTATTATCACCTAATATATTATAGTATATATCTATATATTAAAATCCCTAATTCATAACATTTCGAGGTCAGAATCTGACAGAGATTCACTGATAATTTCAGGAGTAGGCTTGATGGGTGACCTCTTTATCGGCGCACGTTGTGACAACATTTCATACATTGAATCATCAAAATCATCGTCAATGTCATCATTATCACTATTGACTATAATATCGTCAAGCATCGCCCTATCTTCATCATCTAATTGGGGTTTTGGGGCGTACTTATTTGTTCGTTGAGAATCAGCATTCATCAAATTTCTTATTTTATGTCTTTTCTCATGTTGTAATTTTTCTAATGACATCTTTTCTTCTTTCTCAGAATCATTTGTACCAATTACACTACGATCCACATCTGAATTATTCATGGGACCACCGAGACGTTCCACTATATCCAAACAATCATCAACATCAAAAATATCTTTCTTACCTTGGCGTAACTGTATTTGTGACTCCATGGGCAAAGTTTTAACATAATGTTCCAAAGCTTTCTTCTTGTATAATAATTGTTTCCGGATTAATGGTCCATAATAACTATATGATAAAATGATATCCCTGTTTAAAGGCACAGCCGAATATTTATACAATTCAATATTAAAATATTCATCGCTTTGGACCTCGAAGGAATCCTTCATCCTATTTACTTTCCATTCAATTGGAAAGTTTGCACGACCATGATGATGTTGCTGAGATTCATTACTAGAGTCTTTCAATTTTAAATTATAGAAAGTTGACCGCACTTTTCTAGTAGCATACTCCAACATCTCTATCGCATTCGTACTATTATCACTCTCACTAAGTGCATCTGTTATATCACAAGCGAATTTAATATCAATTTGACCTTGATTAAACGATTCATAATTTTCCAATAGACCAAGTTTAAAATTAGCATTACTCATTATACCTGAAGTGGAAGAAAGTAAATTATTGATCATTTTATTATCGTCAGTAATGTCTTTGGATCCGTGTATAATTTTACCCACAGCATGAAAGTAGGATGTGGGTTGTTTTCTTGCAGCTAATTCTAACTCTCCTTTTGATGTAGCCCAAAATTCTAAGGCACAAATCGAAGACCTAATATCACCACAATTTTGAGAAAGTTCATTAATAAACGAGGTTCTTTGTTTCCATTTACCATTTTGCTTAATTACTGTCTTCTCCTCATTTAAAATATGATTCAATGTCTTTTTGGTAAGTGTCATACTAATTGGATTGAATTTTATGCGTTTAACTCTGGGATCATTTAAAAGCTTTCTACCAATTATGGTTTCTGCAGTGTACATATTATCTACGCTAAAAGAATTCTTATTTAGATTATCATTATCAATTTCACATTCACTCAAAGATAATACTAAAGGTGGTAGTTGATCATCATCACAATATAACCATTCTGATAAAGATTTTTGGAACATCGTTCTAGTTTCATCATGAAAAACATTAGGAAAATCTTCTACCAGAATCAATGAGAGGTTACCTGTAATTCTATACTTACAATTATTCAAAAACTCACGGAAACTACCCATCTGGTTGAGGCCATTTATCGATTGATCGCTGACATATTCCACATAATCTACATTTTCCGTGTCCTCTGGTCTTAATGTGAGAAGGTTACGACTATTGTCTCTGTATTTTGGTATTAATATATGTGATAATTCTTTAATAACTGTACTTTTAGAACAGCCACTAGGTCCTGTCAACAAAAGAATTCTAGTGTCTACAGAGTTAGAGAGCATATCATCGAGATATTCCTTCACATCATTGAGTTTTCGTTTATGTATAGCAATTTCAGATAAACTTTGGGGAGCAAACTTCTGGAACCAAGGAAGTTCTAATGTTTGTTTTTCAAAATTAATATCTAATTCAGTGGTTCTGGACTCTTGTATGGAGTTTAGGGAAACCGATCGTAGATCTTTCCGTCTCGTTTGATCACTCGTGGAAGCAATTCTGTCATCATTATCGTGAGGTCTCTTTGTATATCTGTAACGTTTCATTAAATATTGAACGCCCACAATGATGTGAGCTAAATATGTAACTGTAATATCCTTTAAATTGTTCTCTTTTTGACAAGAATATTTTCCTGAGATTCCAGTATAATTGTTTCTTTAAAGCTCGAAAAGAAAAAAATTCGATATGTAAAAACAAAAACAAAGCTCATTGCTTCATGGGGTGAAAAATTTATGAAGAAACAGAGATAAATAGAGACGATTATATAAACACGATAATTAAAAGATAGATCGCAAGATAGGCAGTTATTGTAATAATATAAAAGTACTATTTGTAATATTATCTGACACTATCCCAATAAAAGTTACCTGGGGATAAATAATTGATTGTATACTGCTTTTAAGATGAGCCTGAATAGAGGACAAGATGAAGACAAATCTTCAAAAATCAAGGAAATATATCGATACAATGAAATGTCTAATAAGGTTCTGAAGGCTGACAAGAATTTACAATCTGTGCAGTCTGATCCTCTGAGGGATGCCGAGTTATCCCATCCAAAGTCAATGAAGAATATGATATCATATAAAGATATGGGAAGTAATGTGAGACAAGATCTCAATATTAATGAAAGAGAAACCGCAGAAAGAGAAGTTAGTAAAGCTGCAATGGCAAATAATAAGGAGGATAACAAACATAGAATGGACTTATATGCTTCTAATAATACCACACTCTTAATGAATAGTAACCAAACCAATTTGGTATATCATCCTTCTTCAAAAGAGAATACCCTAATATATAGAAGTGTTTTAGAAGGTGTTATGAGTATACTAGGAGATGATATGCCCCATGATGTAATATTGGGAACGGCTGACATAATAATAACAACACTTAAGAAAGATGAAGAAAATTCCGATGGTTTGATTGATAAGAAAAGATTGAGCATAATATCTGACTTGGGTATTGAAATAAGTAAAGATCAATTTACAGAGCTATATAAATCTGTGAAATCTATAACCGACTTCCATTCAGTCAAACCCTCCAATGACACAAATAAAGTTGTTACAATATTAGCAAACAGTGACGATGAAGATAATGAGGAAGAACTGAATGTACTTGAGCAAGAGGTTAACATGGAAGAGAATGAAACATATGAGATAAACGCTATCGAAGATAAAAATCATGTATCTGTACCACAAATAGACACTGCTGATGTCTTGACAATCGCTAAAACCCATAAATCATTTTTATCAATTGCGAATATAAATGATGGGTTCTTGAATACTATATTGGGAAATTCTTCCAACTCAGTTAGCATGAAACTACTTGAAATATTATCCAATTATCAACATGACGACGAGAAAATTAAACAGAATTTAACAAAAACCTTTTCAAACGCAAACGATGCAATGATGGATGATATAATAACCAATAGATCGACCATATATTGGGGTTTGAAGTTAAATATGAGTAATGCACAAGGAATTTCAAAAATACTTCACGAAATGAGGGAGAAAGGTTTGAATAATCTTGTGCAAGAATACGAAATAAATATGCTAGAAAATGGAAAAAGAGTTCGAGATGATGCAACAGCTGAGGAAGATAGCGCACACTTGACTAATTCTAAAAAACATAAATCTACACAACGAAATGAAATAGCACTTCTAGATCTAAACACTATTAAATTTGATCAAGGTTCGGAATTGATGACAAATAGCAAGGTCAAATTACCGGAAGGTTCGTTTAAAAGAATGAAACCCGAGTACGATGAGATCCACATACCCCCACCTGCAAAAGCTGAAATAGATTATGATTTAGTTCCAATAACAGCTTTACCAAACTGGGCAAGGAAGGCCTTCCCATCAGGAGAAACCGAATCATTAAATGCTGTACAATCCAAAGTGTTTCCAGTAGCCTTTGAAAGTGATCACAATATACTTCTGTGTGCACCAACAGGTGCCGGTAAAACAAATGTGGCCATGCTAACAGTTTTAAGAACATTAACCAAATATTATAACGAGGCTACCAACACTTTTAAGGTCAACAAATTCAAAATAGTATATATCGCCCCCTTGAAGGCATTAGTACAAGAACAAGTAAGAGAATTTCGGAGAAGGCTATCTCCATATAGCATTAAGGTTTCAGAATTAACTGGTGACTCAAGATTAACTAGACAGGAGATAGAAAATACTCAGATTCTCGTGGCTACACCTGAGAAGTGGGATATTGTAACAAGAAAAGCAAGCGACAATTGGTATACAGATTCCGTAAAACTACTAATTATAGACGAAATACACTTATTGCATGACGAGAGAGGACCGGTTCTTGAATCAATCGTTGCAAGAACACTACGATCCAATGATTATGTAGATAAACCAAGAATCATCGGTCTTTCCGCAACTTTACCAAATTACACAGACGTTGCTACTTTCTTAAGAGTACCTAAAGAAGGAATTTTCTATTTCGATGCCTCCTATAGACCATGTCCATTGTCACAACAGTTTTGTGGGATTAAGGTGGAAAATTCTCTAAAGAAAATAAATGCTACCAATTTTGCATGTTATGAGAAAGTTGTTGAGTCACTTCAAGAGGGTAATCAAGTAATTATATTCGTTCATTCCAGAAAGGAAACAGGCAGAACCGGTGAATATTTAAGAAAAAAGTTTATTGAATCAGAGACCACCGAGAAACTAATCAGTAATGAAGCAGGTTCAAAAGAAATTCTAAATTCTGAATCATCAAATATTGTTAACTCTGACTTAAAGAAGTTAGTTACTTATGGTATAGGTATCCATCATGCGGGTTTATCGAGGGAAGATAGATCTACGTCCGAAGATATGTTTGCCGATGGTCTATTAAAAGTCCTAGTTTCTACTGCTACCTTAGCATGGGGTGTTAATCTACCTGCTCATACTGTAATCATAAAGGGAACTGATGTATATTCACCAGAACAAGGTAATTGGATCCGGTTATCACCTCAAGATATTTTGCAAATGTTAGGTAGAGCAGGTAGACCAAGGTATGACACTCATGGGGACGGTATTATTATCACCAACCAATCCGATATCCAATACTATCTTGCAGTATTAAATCAACAGTTGCCGATTGAATCACAGTTAATCTCGAAAGTAGTAGATAATCTGAATGCCGAAGTAGTTGCAGGTAATGTAAAATCATTGCCCGAAGCAGTGGATTGGTTAAGGTATACCTATTTTTATGTGCGAATTCTCATGTCTCCAGAGCTTTATAAGGTACCCCAGGTTGCAGGTGATGAAACATTAGAGCAGTTCAGAAGACAATTGATGCATACTGTATTCTCAATATTAGCACAGCAAAATCTTCTTATATACAACGAAGATACAGGTGCAGTAAAATCTACCGAACTGGGTAAAATTTCTTCGTACTTTTACATCAAATATGAGTCCATGCATATGTATAATCAGGAATTGTCTGAGAACATTTCTCTTATGGATATATTTAGAATTTTCACGCTATCTGATGAATTTAAGTACTTTTCAATTAGGCCAGAGGAGGTTGGAGAAATACATGACTTGTATTCCAGAGTACCGATTCCTATAAAAAGTGATATTGAGGAAGCCTCTACTAAGGTGAATGTTCTACTCCAGGCATATATTTCCAATCTAAAACTAGAAGGGTTCGCACTCCAAGCGGACATGGTTTTTATCCAGCAGAGTGCAGGAAGAATTATAAGGGCAATGTATGAGCTGTGCTTAAAAAAAGGGTGGTCAACCCCTACAAAAATATTACTAACTCTAAGTAAATGCATTAGTAGAAGAATGTGGAATACAAACTCACCTCTAAGGCAATTTAATCGTTGTCCAACCGAAGTTATTAAGAAAACGGAATCTTCAAATCTACAATGGAAAGAATATTTATCATTGAAATCACCTTCACAGGTTGGATATTCAATTAGGATCGAGAAATACGGGAAATTAATATACGACTTAGTCCAGAGGTTTCCGAAAGTTAAAATGGACTGTGTTGTGCAGCCAATAACACCAAGTTTACTCAATTTTCAAGTAGAGGTGACACCTGAATGGATTTGGGATGATAAAATTCATGGATCGGCCGAATCTTTTCTCATATTAGTTGAAGACTTAGCTGGCTCAGAAATTTTACATTCCGAAACTTTAATGATCAGACCTGATGCTATTGGCAAAGAGATAATGTTAGATTTTTGCATACAACTATCATCAACTCAACAGAAGCGAATGCCTCCAAACATATTTGTCTCAATTGTATCAGAGAAATGGTTACAATGTGAAGATCAGGTAGCAGTTCGTCTCGATAATGTTATATTGCCCAAAAAATTTCCTGCGATAACTAAACTAGAAGACATTGAGTTAATTGAGACTTCGTCATTGAACGAAACCTTCGGTCCTATTTTCGATTTTGACAAATTTAATTTGATACAATCAAATGTTTTCGAACCATTATATAACAGTAATGAAAATATATTCATTGGATGCTCAAAGGGATCCGGTAAAACAGTACTGGCTGAATTGGCAATCTTGAATCATTGGAGGCAAAATGGTGGAAGAGTGATTTACCTGACACCGTCACGAACCAAGATTCAGAGGCTAAAAAAATATTGGTCGAAGAAATTTATAGATATTGCAGATGGGAAGGTAATCAGTGAACTAACAGATAACTTGTTAGAAAATAATCGTATTCTTGGTCAAAGTCATCTTACACTGGCAACGCCAAATCAGTTTGATTTGTTGTCACGTAAATGGAGACAGAGGAAGAACGTCCAAAGGATCGATCTTATGATTTTTGATGACGTCCATGAAATGAGTAGTGGCATTAGAGGTTCAACATACGAAATATTAGTATCTAGGATGATGTTCATTGCCTTCCAATTAGAAAAGGAACAAAGAATCGTTGCATTATCATCTCCGATTGCAAATAGTAGGGATTTTTCAGAATGGATGGGAATAGAGAAAAACAATATATTCAATTTCTCTATTCTAGAAAGGAACGAACCCGTAACAATACATTTAGAGGTGGAAGAAGAATTGTCTAATGACAGTAGCCCCAGAAATATAGTGCATAAAATTTTTGACCTTTCCCTCGAGGATAATTGCATTCCAATCATTTATCTACCAAATAGGAGAACGTGCATCAATGTTGCATCTTATTTGGCCTCAACAGCAAATAGAAGAAATATTGATCTCCAAAAGATGGATGAAGAACAAATGAAGGAATATGTGGAAAAGATAAAAGATAAACAACTTGCAATTTCTCTTGGGAAAGGTGTCGGATTTATATACTCAAACATGGATAAAAGAGATCGCAATGTGACCGAAAAACTTCTAAACTCTGGTGCTCTTTCATTCTTACTGGTGACTAAAGATTGCTGTCGGGATACCCTAAAATCCAATTTGATTATCGTTTGCGGTACCGAATCATATAACATAAGAGATCATCATTCAAATAATTATACCGCAAATGAAGTTTTGGAAATGATAGGTAACACTAAAGCTAAAGAAGTTGGTAATGCTAAAGTTATCATTTATACTACCTCATCAAGAAAATATTATTACAAGAAATTTTTACAGGAACCATTACCATCTGAGAGTTTCCTATATTTTAATTTTCATGATATATTAATTAATGGCATTAGCAATTCGATTATCAAAACTAAGCAAGATTGTGTGGATTGGTTAACGTACACATATTTTTATAGAAGAATTCACGCTAATCCAACATTTTACGGAGTTAAAAATTCGACAGAATATGGGATATCTGCCTATCTAACTGAGCTAGTTGAATCTACTCTAAATGATCTATCACAACTCTCGTTAATAGACTTAAATGAATCACCATCTGATAAGGAACAAAAGGCCAATTATGAAGATAACGTCGAAGACTCAGATGAGTCAATAGCCCCATTGAATGGGTGTTTAATTAGCGCTCATAATAACGTAACTTTTGTTACTATGCATTCTTTCATCACGAACGTTACAAGAAGTGCCACATTGGGTCAATTGTTGGAGATATTGTCAACAGCTAACGAATTTGAAAATATTCCGCTTAGAATTGAAGATTATACAAAGCTTATGAAATTGCAAGGATTACTTCCAATCAAATTTAAGGGTTCTACAGAATCAGATAGTACAAGTTTTAAAGTATTTATATTACTTCAAGCTTATTTCTCAAGAATTGAATTGCCATTCGATCTGAAGTTAGATTTGAATCTTATATTAGGTGAGGTAACTCCATTAGTCAATGCTTTTGCGGATATACTTGCTGGAAATGGTTTCTTGAATGCCACCACAGTAATGGATATATCACAAATGTTGTCACAGGCTGTATGGGATGTAGATAACCCATTAAGACAAATCCCATACTTCAGTGAAAGTATTTTAGAAAAGTGTAAGGATAAAAATGTTGAAACCGTGTACGACATAATGGCTCTAGAGGATGAAGAACGTGATGACATTTTAACAATGGACATGGACAAGGTGATGATGGTCGCTGATTTTATTAATAAGTATCCAAATATTGAAATGAAATATTCAATGGACAACATTCAAAACATCGTCGCAAACGAATTAAATAAACTAACAGTAACAATTATGAGAGATGATGAACCTGAATCGCTATCTGTAGTCTCTGAAAATTTTCCTGTCGAGAAAAAAGAAGGTTGGTGGATTGTAGTAGGCGATGTATCAAAAAGGGAACTTTATGCAATGAAGAAGGTATCTTTAAAGGAGGAACATAACGAATATCAGATCGAATTCATATTACCAAATCCAGGTGATCGTTCTATCACATTATGGTGCATTTGCGATTCATACATGGATACCGATAAAGAAGTCACATTCAATGTTACAGTTAAATAGTATTACTGATATATATATAACCATGTCTAATTTGTGCAAAATTATTTAATTTTGAGAATAGTAATTAATGCTTGGATATGATAATAATAATAATAATAATAAAAAGCGTAAATAGGAGTTCAATGCATATCAATGTCGCCATCTCCATCTATAGCTTCTGCGACATCGATCTCTGTAATACCGTCCTGTCTCTTCTTATTTTTCTTCTTCTCTTGGTATTTTGTTAGATCATCTAAACTCCAAACAGAAATACCTTCTTGATCCTTTATGTCTGTTGGTTGAGCCATGGTTCTCAAGAATTGCTTAGCATTCGAAATTGCCATATCTGTAGACAGGTTCAAATCCGCATCAGATAAACCTTGAGAAATCCATTTTGGTAATTGATTTCTCTTTCTCGAAAACCTACGATCAGCTAAGACCATAACCCCATAGTCGTCTTTACCTCTTAAAACTCTCCCTAGACATTGGGCAGCGTGTCTCATTGCGTCAAAAGACAAAAAGTCATTCTCTCTGATTTGATAATTTTCTCTTAGAAACTCTAAACGAGCTTTCAAAATACGTGATTCTGTATATTGGAAAGGAATACCAATCATCAGCACAGTTCTCCCGTATTGGTGATCAAAATCAATACCTTCAGAAACCTTCCCTCTAGCCACAGATAGTAATATCGCGCCTCGACCATTTGAGCAAGCTTTTCTATAGGTTTCTAAGGCTAATGAAGTCTCCTGAGCATCAGGTGTTTCCACTAAAATTAATTTGTGTTTCCACACTTCGTCAAGGATACCCATCGTTTGCCACATAGATACGATACTTTCCATATATAAATATGATGGAAAGAAAACAACCATACCATCAGGAGTAACCTTAGCAAATTCAACAAGCATAGAACCATAATTACGTACAATACTGGGATCATTTCTAATCTCAAAACGTGATGATATAGCAACTTGATCAGAACCTTTAGTAATAATCATTGGTAGGAATGATTTCTTTGCTAATGTCATTGCATATGACTTTTGTAAAACAGTTTCAAAATTTAACATTCTTGGATACATGTCCAAAGGTGATATAGTACCCGACGTAATAATTACAGAAGAAAATCTCTCGAATACTGGTTTGATAGCGATAGAGGCGTCCAGGCATGAAAATCTCATGATTGGATTAGGAACTGCTGCATTCTCAATTTCATATGGTTCAATTATTAATAAAAACCCATCCTCGTAGGTAGATATTAGAGTTGCAAATGTTGCAATATCCTTCAATGCCGTAAAATCTTCTACCTCTGTGACTTCTAAAGTTCGTACAAGCAAAGATAATCTTTCGGCACAAAACCTTAAAGGTTTCCTATCGATAAAAGTCAATTGTTTCAGATGTTGTAAAAATGATTTAGGTGTTTCTGAAATTACATGAAGAACCTTCATTCTTGTCTTCAAATATTCAATTAATCTTTTTAAGAAGGATACAAAATGCTCTGCTCTCCTAATATTACCTGGAACGGCCTCTGTTAATAAATCTTCGGAAAGGACAGGTGATTCAACAAACGTTTCTTCCTCGGGTCTTATAATGTCACTGCTATGCAACCCTTGAACCAATTTATCATACTCATCCTGCAATTTCTGTGAATCTACTTTCCTAACTTCATCGATACGATCTTCAAGGGCATTTGCACCTTTTGTAGCACGTCTAAGAACATCATTTGTCAAATCTAATGACAAGGATTCAATACAGACATTATCAATATTATGGGCCTCATCAAATATAACTATACTATCCTTGGAAACTTCATTGGAAACTCTCTCTGCGATCTTTGGATCTAATAAATAATGGTACGAATATATGATAATATTACATAACGAAATCATACGACGCACCGTAAAATAAGGACATATCGTCTTCTCTTCACAATAATTAATCAACTTTTCAAAGGAAAATACACCGTTTGGTAAGTATTCACTGACTTCCATTTTATATAAATTTTCATGATAATCACATAACTCGACATCAGCATCTGGATCAGCCTCTAATTTACGTTTATTGACACCATTTGTTAATCTTCTACATTTTTCATCAACTACGCTACCTTTTCTTTCCTTAGATACTACAGGGTGTAAACACAAGTTTTTTCTGGATGTTAACCCCAGACCTCTAAATTCTTCACGGTATCCCAATTCTCGAGCTCTATAATCCATCAAGTTTTCTAATTCGACTAAAGTCTTCTCAATTTCAGACATAGTACGTGAACAATAAATAATTTTTCTATGTTCCGGATAATGCATCTGGTAAGCGACAGCTAAGGATAATAAAGAAACAGTCTTACCTGTTCCTGAAGGCATTTCCAATATACTATTACCACCGGCATCTAATGTACGCTTGATATCACACATATAGTGATATTGTTCAGGGTATATCTTTGGATATGGAAACAGAATAGGTAAGTCGTCAATATAAAACTTCATGCTTAGTAATTAAATATCTGGTTTGGGCTTCGAGAAATAATACAGCCCTTGTCTCAGCAAAATATACGTTTTCAAACGATGTTCAATGGTAAATAACGAAAGCCTTTTCTAATACTATTATTTAGATAGATATATTTGTGTAATAATAATTGAACTTATGTACATGTTTAAGAATATATAATTCCGTCTACTATTTTAAAGGTCAAATGAAAGGATATATCCTCTGATCTCACTATGAAATTTTCAATGTTTTTTCCTTCAAATTGAAAATTGAAAATTCCCAGTCACGTGTAAACTTTTACCTCTCTTCGAGTGCTTGCAATACCTGAGGGAAGATAATGTCTGATGTTTCACCATGGACCGTAATCAGTATACCTTTGTCCTTGTAGAACTGTTTCAAAGGTTTCACCATCGTATAATAATCCTTCAATCGTTTAATGATTGTCTCTTCGTTATCATCGGAACGTTTTACCAGAGGCTCTCCAGTAACGTCATCAAAACCCGAAACCTTAGGTGGGTTGTATGATGAATTATAGATCCTCCCACTAGGAACATGGACATATCTAGTTTCTATTCTCCCAAGGATTGCAGATTCGGGGACATCTAATTCAATCACTTTTGTCAAATTCTGGTCTCTAGGTGTCAAGATACCATTCAGCGCAGTCGCCTGGTGTAACGTTCTTGGAAACCCATCTAACAACCATGGTTTCATAATTGTCGTTGATGTGGTACCTTGCGACAAAACGCCTATATGATTTGCCACTAATGAAATTATTAGGTCGTCTGGTATTAGCTTCCCTTGAGCGATATATTCTGAAGCAATCTGTCCTAGGTTTGTCTTTGCTTGAATCTCTTGACGTAATAAATCACCAGATGCAATGGATTGTAAATTTGGTACAACATTTTTCAATTTCTTCGTTATTGTACCTTTTCCTGAGCCAGGTGCCCCTAACAGTAACAATCTGAAAGAGTTCATGTTACTTTTTATTCGGATGAAGATAGTATATATATATATGTATACCTATTTACTTTGAAATAAAAACAGTCACTATTCAAATGGGATATCACTTTCTTAGCTCATCTATAATGTAGTTGCTGTATTTGTATATGCTATTATTTTTACCATGTCTTATATGTATCTGTAACTAAAACTATGATTGTTTTGTTTCGCTAACTAGTCAGTTATCCTTTTTTTGTCCGATGCTTACTGTGCAAACTGTAAGAACAATAAACATAATGCAATAGGGATCCTCGAGAAAACAGATCTACGAAGGACCAAAGCATTTAACCCTTATAAAGAACGGAGTGACGATGATATTACTTATCTAGATACCTTACTTTAAAGTATTGACCGTTGATATATTAGTAGTTGTATGTTATTTAGTATTAGTTCATGCATATATATATATATATATATCCTTAATAATATAAATATTATTATATCCCCTGTAAAAGAAAATCTGTACGAAAGAATAGCGCAACTGCTCTTTATTTATAGTCATCTATCAGCCAGTGACAATGAACGAGATTGTAGTTGTAATTGAAATAAAAATTAAAGAGAAATAACACATTTTTGCACACCCTTAATGTATAATAAAATAAAATTACGATTCTGGAGCGTTTGGGATACAAGGTATCTTTTTGTTCAGATGTTGTAAAACATGATCACGTCTTTTAAATCTTTTCCCACATTTTGGACATGAATAAGGTTTCTCTCCAGAATGTACCGATTTCTTGTGCCTTGTTAAATGATGTCCTGAAGAAAATTGACGTTTACATTCCTGACAAACATAAACTTTCCCAAACTTTGATACAACAACTTCTTCTGATGTAAATTTACTTGGTTGATTATGCATGACTGTTGTCCCTTGTAATGAATGTTGTTTTTCTTCATTAATATTATCTCCATATTCGCCGTTATTATTGTTATTATTACTATTGTTATTAGCAATACTTATCATATTATCGATGTTGTTATTGTTATTCTGTATTGCTGTATTTGTTGCTGTTGCCGTCATTGTTGATGTATCCTTTACTAATAATGCATTTGATATTGGGATGGCAGTGGCCAAACCAGATGATGGGGATGATAATATCCTCTTACCTAATTTTTGTTTCTTTGTTAAAGGCATTCCATTATCCATTGGGATCCTGCCACTTGGATTTTCGATTTGATTTAATGATGAATATTTAATGTTGTTCTGATTGTTGTTGTTGTTATTATTAATATTATTACTGCCATTTATATTATTACCATTTGGTAATATTTGATTAGAATTCGTGTTTTCAATAGAGGTTAATGCAATGGGACTTCTGGATGATTCTCTTGATATATTTAATGTTACAATATTCGAAGATTTTGGACGTTTAATGAATGGTGCGGAAGTTGGTGATGATATATTATAATTTGATGGGTATGACTGTAATAAGGGACTACTTGTATTCATATTATTTGGAGAAAAATTAGTATTATTCAATAATCTATTATTATTAGATAATGGTACAGTTTCATAAGCTAACTGATGAGTATTATTATTAGCAGAAGGGGAAAATAATGGTCTTAAAGAACTGGTATAGTTATTTGATGAAGTCATTAATCCACCTATGTTACCATTATTACCATTATTAAAATGATCAATTGGTGAATTCAACATTGGTTTTCTTAATCTCGGTGAAGAATTCCCACTATTTGCCATTGATGTTAAACTTAGCGCCAATAAGTTATCGTCACTATAGTCAAAGAGAGCAGATGATGGGGTAGTAAATGATCTCACAGCCAGTGGTGCCAATGGAACACTCCCTGAAGGTTGATTTTTTTGGTTGGTTAACTGTTGTTGTTGTTGTTGCTGTTGGTGAAATTGTCTTTGTTGTTGATTCGAATTCATTTGGTTGTTACCCATTGTCAAAGGTTGTGGTGAAACCAATCTTCTTTTCAGTGTTTGGTCATCCAAGGTAGGCTCAATAATATTCGATAAATCCATCATTCTTGATAAGAATGGTGAGGATACTCTACTCAATGAAGTATTAAGTTGATTCATAGATTGATTTAAACTTGGACTAGTCGATCTTAAGGACATATTTGGGAATAAAGGAGCCATTGAATTTTCTTTTATTAATCCATTAGTAGTTGATTTCATATTATTATGATTGTTGTTATTACTATTGCCGTTGTTGTTATTATTAGTATTAGTATTGGATGAATCATTGTGTAATTTCAATTTATTTGTTGATGAAGATGAAGATAACGAAGTAGTAATATTTTGTAATTCTTGTGAACTATGATTTAATAATTCATTAAATTTTCTATTTTTATTATTTTCCCAATTTTCTTTTAATTTTTTAACATCAATTCTAACTGAATCATTTACACAATTACAAGATTGTGCACGTTCACCAATATCTAACCAATCATCAGTTGCAAAATTTACAGATTCAGCTAAATTAAATCCATAATTAAAACCTGCATGATAACCATAAGGGAAAGTAATAATAAATTCATTTTGATAATGAGTAATTTTATTCACAGGTATTCCATTATTTCTTAAAGTCTTTGGCGATATAAGAACTTGTTTATGTCTCAAAAATTCAGGACAAGATTTAAATTCTTGTGGAAATTGTTCTTTAACATATGATAAAAATTGTTTTTCATGAGATTGTGGAATTGAATACCATTGCTTTGGTGCACCAAAATGAATATAATTAATTGAATATAAATCTTTATCTTCTAAATGCCATGAAAAACTTGATTTCCATAAACCTGCATATAAATAAGATTCATTAACACCTGGAATTTTTTCATCTAAATAATCTAAAAAATTTGGTAAACTTGCAACATTCCAAATTTTTAAATCTTTTGAAAATAAACTTCCTGGAGTATCTGCGCCATATAAAGGAGCTGTAAAATTAAGTGTCTTCCAATAATAATTTTCTAAAAAAATTAATCTTTCTTTATCAGTATATTGAAATAAATTTGAATTTGAATTAATTAAGGATGATAAATCATCAAAATTTGATAATTTTATATCATTATCAATAATGGTATTATTGTTATTATTTGATGATGATGTTGGTAAAGCATAATTTAATGATAAATTTTTCCATTGTAATAAATTAAAATTTTTATTTTTTTCAATATTTTGTACAACATAAATACCTTTTTCACCAGAAATTTGTTGTTCAGTTGGATGAAAAATTTTAATTTTTTCTAAATCATCTTTTGATGGTGGTAAATTTTGTAAATTTAACCATTCTTGTGGTGGAATAATTTTAACTATACCACTTTGCATTCCATAACTATTAATTGATTTAATAAACTGATAAAAATCTTTAAATTGTTCGAAAGTTGGTGTAAAAATAGGTATACCACCATCTGAAAAATGATCAGGTGTAACAAACCCATTCATCGTTAATATATATATATTTTTTTTCCTGTATATCTTTCAACAATATTTCAAAATTTGATGTATATCTATCTCACTTTGTTAAGTTTCAATATAAGTATCCCTTTTATAAAATATCTTGAATTAGATTGAGAAAATATAATATATCTTTATATTACCAATAATTAAAAAAATATCCCTTTTTTTTTCCTTGCTTCTTTCAGTGTATTATTATAGTGCGAAAATGGGAAAAAATATGTATATATAAAATACAATGATTGCTTCACCAGATGATAAAAACTTGCAAAACAAAAAAAACCAGAAAGAAGAAATGTTCTTTAGTTATTGAACTGGGGAGAGGTAACAATAGTAAATTATAACTTAACGTGAAAAAAAAATATATTTATGTAATGTGTACCTTGTATTATTTCTTACTAATATTTTTATCTTATTATATTAATAACAAGGGGTACAAAAACACAACGCCACAAAAAAAAATTTAAAGATCACAAATATGATAAAATAATTCTTAAATCGAAGATAGATTTTCCTTTAATAACAATGTAATATCTTAATTAAATATGATAGTTCAAAATAAAGGAAAAAGGGAAAAAGAATTTTTGCGATGACCCTTTTTGTTAATTTTCTTAATCAGTGTTATCCTATATATATATATATATATACGTGATTAGGTAAACCGATACTTGATCTTAAATAAAATCTCTCTTTTGTTTGTTTGTCAGTTTTTACTTTTTGCTGGGGAGGGGTAAAAAGATCTTATTAACTAATCAAAAGTGGGGTATCTGTACTTTGATTTACTTTATATATAAAAAAGTTATTAAATTGATAGATGATAGATAGATTCGTTTGAATTTTTTTTTTTAGTTCTATATTCATTTAGCATTACACAAGAACAAGTCCATTTAAAACTAATTAAATTAATTTTTTTTTCTTTGTCTTTCCTTTCTTAGTAGCTTAGTTAAGATGTTAATACCTCTTTAATCTTATGCAAAGTTTGGTTTGTACATGATATTTTCTTTAGTAATTACAGCTATTCTGCCGTTTAACAAAACATGTTTTTGCAGTCTTTTACAGGGTTTGGACAGGTTCATCACCATTAATTCATCAATCTCTTCGCATGATGAATTAAGTGGAAAAACTGAAAAGAAAAAAATTTCATTTTTGCGATGAGCTCTTTTTTCTGCTTTGTCGCTTCACTTTAGGATGTGGTGGGTGTGCTCCGGTTTACTGGGAGCAAAGGCCCTCCTTGTGATCTTCTCCCTGTGGAGTTTTGCTGGCTGAACTTCTCTGGCTGACTGGGAAAATAGGGGGCGAGGGAGCGAGCGAGGGGGCGTCTGTTCCCCTTTTCTTTTTTTCCTGGTGCTGAGTACCGCTGCCTCCCTTAGTTTTGGAGAGAGAAGCAATCGTACGGCCCAGTATCGTGTTGCACGGCAGCGTTTGGTAATCAATGTCTGCTGCTTCTGCTTCTGCTTCTTCGTTAAGAGGGCTTTCTGTTTTGCTTTTGGGGCTTCGGGGACCGGTACGGTTTTACCGTAGTCTACACCAAGTCTACACCAAGTCTCCCCTCCCCGCATTTTTCCTGACACCCTACCCTTGGCTGCTGCGCGATGTTCTTCCTGTGACATGCTGGAGCCACTTAGGGTTCTTGTTCTCCAATATTTTTTTACTAACAAAAAAGGCAGCTTCCTAAAGCAAAAAATAACACAACAACGTATGTTAAAAAAAGGACTACTGCTGGATTTCTCTCTTTTTCTCTTGAAATTATCCCATTTTTTCTCATTTGACGGGCCTCCCTTTTTTAAGTTCTGATGGCCGACTGGCACTGATAGAGTCGCAGAGATGGGTTTTAAGTAACCCTCTATTTCTTCTTTTTTTTTCCTTTTATTCGTGGAGTGTACAGTGAATGTCCGCAGCAGTGAGAGAACCCTTTTTTGTTTCTTTTTTTTTGTGGTTGTGTGTTCCTTGGATAGAATTGCTTTTTTTTTCTTGTCCTTGTTTTAGGGTTTGTATGACAGACCCTAGGGTTTATAATTAGGTCATTCCATCTGAAATATTTTCGTTTTATTTTTTTGCTTTTGCTTTGCTCATCATCTTTTTTTCATACATCATCCAGGTATCGTACGTACGCAGTAGCAAATAGTAATATTGGAATAGAACTAACTAGTAATATATATTGCTAGTTGTAATTACCATTATAGTATAGTTGTGTACCATTGTCATTTAATTTAAAGAAAAGCAGTTCAAATACGTTACTATTGAAGTGTATGACTTTACACTTAATTAATCCTCGTATCCTATCGCAATCACATAAACTGATGGTAATGATGTCATCTTCAGCTTCATCTTCCTTAAGAAATAATGTCTTGGTTCCAAAAATACAATTGACTGAAAAGGAATCTCAAATTTGTAAAGTCTTAAAAGATTTCACTAAAGAATATAATTCTCATAGTCATATTAAAGATAAAAATAATAATGGTGACCCTTTGACTTTAAGAATCACTGGTGGGTGGGTTCGTGATAAATTATTAGGTCAAGGATCGCATGATCTTGATATCGCTGTTAATAATATGACAGGTGAACAATTCGCAATGAGTTTAAATGATTACCTGGTTTTACATTATTCTAAATATGGTATTACACCACATTCAATTCATCGTATTGAAAAAAATCCAGAAAAATCAAAACATTTAGAAACGGCAACAACAAGATTATTCGACACAGAAATCGATTTTGTCAATTTAAGATCCGAAGAATATTCAACTATATCAAGAATCCCAACAATTGCATTTGGGACTCCGAAACAAGATGCTTTACGTAGAGACGCTACTTTAAATGCTTTGTTTTATAATGTACAAAATGAAACAATCGAGGATTTAACTGGGAAAGGTATTCAAGATTTAAAAGCAGGTTTATTAAGAACTCCATTACCAGCAAGACAAACCTTTTTGGATGATCCATTAAGAGTACTAAGATTGATTAGATTTGCAGCTAGATTTGATTTTAAAATTGTTCCTGATGTCTTGCAAGAAATGGGCGATCCTGAAATTAATATCGCTTTCGATAGTAAAATATCAAAGGAAAGAATAGGTAATGAAATGGAAAAAATTTTAAAGGGGCCAAATCCAAATATTGCATTACATCTAATTCAGAAATGTCATTTGGAAAATGTTGTATTCTTTTGGCATCATGATATTACTCTTGTAGAATTAAATCAAAAACAATTAGGTTCTCAATATGTGAATGAAATTGATCAAATTTATTCGAAGGGAATCTTAAATAAACATTTATTAAATTTTTGGAATCAAAGGTTAAATTTTTTGAAAGAAAATACTTATTTACAAGAAAAAGTTAATGAAGATCCCATTTTCAAACAAAATTATATTCTGGCCGTTGCATTGTTACCATTCTCTCAACGTAGAATCATTGCATTCCATAAGAAAAAATTGAATAACACGATGTCTGTAGTGGAATCAATCGTTAGAGAAGGTTTAAAACTTAATAAAATGGATGGGATTATTGTTGGGAAATGTGTAGATTCCATCTCCAAATATCATCAATTTGTGACCCAATTTATCGCTGACCCTTCAAGTGTTCAGAGATCTGATCTTGGTTTATTTATTAGATCATTCGAATCTCGCTATCTTTTGGCTCATTATGTGTCTTTAATGAATGAATACCTTAAGGAAACAAATCCACAAAGACAAATTCAACTTATAGCACATTATAACGATTTCTATCAATACGTTAAAGATCAAGATTTATTAGAGTGTCATAATTTGAGACCTATGATAGATGGTAAAAAATTATTAAAGTTATTAAATGTAAAATCCGGTCCATGGATGGGATTGGTTAATAATGATATTATTGTATGGCAGTTGGATCATCCACAAGGCACCGAGGAGCAACTATTAGATTTCGTTAAAGAAATTTTACCAAAATATATTAAATAGAGTAACCTATTTATTATCTCTCCAACCTATCATTGAAAATCAAGAAAAAAAGTACATACATGCATAAATTCATCAATATTAATATATAGTAATAATATGTAGAATACTAAAAATAATAATAATAATAGCATATATACCTAATTATCCAAAAAGAACGCAGCAGCCATCTCATTATTTCCATCGCCTACTGCTTGTCCATTATGGAATTCATTCATGTTATGGTCATAAACATCGGGAACAGTAAATGTATTTGAATTGAATTGCGCCATTTCATCTGTCATTCCGCTATTGTGTATCATATTAGTTCCTACAATAGGATTTCCACTCATCATTGTATTCATACTATTTCCATGTTCATTCGTGTGATGGTTGAAGGTATTATTACCACCATTTGGCGGTACTATTGTCGATGGAGAAGATGAAGATGCTGGGCCAGCAACCGATGTTAAAGTAGGACTATGTGTCGACATTGCCGTGTTTATATTCGATGTGTGAACATTATTTCCTGATCTTATAAGCTCACTCAACATTCCGGTTGGATTCTCAAAATCAAACTCCATATACATATGTTGTATCAGTTGATCATCGGCCATATTAGTGACGTCGGAGGCATTTTGGGGGATCATAATCGATTGGTTTGATGATATTGGAACTTTCCCACCACCAAAATGATTTAAGTTTATATCATTCGATCCCATCCCGGTATTCACAAGTGTAAATGGTTCGCCATCTTGGGTTTGATATACCATATTTGGTGCGTTTGTTGGCATGTTTAATGTATGTGATGTCGTGGTAGACAAAGAATTTGTCATTATAGACTCTAGAGCGCTACTACTACCTGTACTAGCATCGTTAGGCATATACGGTATATTTTCATGTTCGTTATTATTGTTATTCGAATTAGTTGATTTTATATTTTTTGTTTGTTTAATAATATTATTACTTGGAGTTCCTTGCATTGGAGTTGTATTGGATGTCATTGTATCTATGGCTGGAATGCTTTCCAGAGGTGTTTGGATATCAGATAATTCTATCATTGCATTATTGTGACTGTTATCTATAGAACCATTTCCATCGAAATATGTAGATCCATTTGTATTCATATATACATTTTGATTCATATTGGCACCACCCTGCGTATGAATGAGACCCGATGCACTTATATCACCAACACTTGGAGTGGATGATGTTGAATTTGAAGAAGGAATGGCAAGGTTTGATGTAAAATAAGGTGGTGTCACAAATGGAACGTTAGTAGATGGTGTCACCACAGTATTGTTGATCATCTGTTGCTGTTGTCTATATATTTCAGATATTGATTCTTGTTTTTTTCTATGACCTAATCTGTTGTTATTGTTACTACCAGAACTACCGTTGTTACTAATAGGTACCTTTTGAGTATACTGTTGAGAATCTAAATAACTGTTCTCTGGTCCATCTCGAACGCTGGAAAGCGAGGATATATCTCTAGAGAGACGGTAAGTGGAGGATCCTCTGGTGGAGGATCTTTGTCTTGCTGGAGATACTGTTCTTATTGGAGAATAAATGTTGTTCATCGATGATAAACCCGTGTTTATATCCTTGTTACCAGCATTGGATATAGAATCCATGGTGCTAGCTCTCTTCTTCTGGGTAAACATTTTACTAAACGCGATAGAGGCATCATTATCCTCATGTTTAACGTTTGGAGAGTACTGAGAGGGACTTATACCAAGCCCCACCAAATTTGAATTTGGAGAAACGTTGCTTCCATCACTATTTGAATTCATTGGTAAATGTGAGGATGAAGCAGAAGAATAAATTTTGTTCAATTGATGGCTATCAACCATGTTGTTATTAATGTTTGATGGATCCAAACTTGTCGTAGAGCGATTATTATTCAACATCATTTTATTTTGAAAATTAAAATCTACCATCTTTTGTTGTTCTGTCATTGCCATTTCCATTGCTTTACCAGCATCCATACTTGTATTGAAGACAGGCATCGAGGCAACATTGGTATTCATTTGAGGATCATGCAAATATGATGATGATAAATTTGAATAAGTATTTTTCTTTTTCCTTGGAGCTTTTTTATTATTCTTATTATTATCATTATTTGATTTTGGTACGATTTCATTCATCATATCATCAAAGGATACATCATCTATCATAGATTGATGATTTATTGTAGAGTCAGTTGAACGCAATTTCCCATATTTGAGTAGTGAACCATAAGACTTTTTCTTCCCTATCGAAGTCGATGACGAAGAGACAGCTGAAGATGTACTTGTATTTGCATTACTTGGCATGACCATTTCTTCTTTTGTGGGTAAAGTTGGAGTTGAAATGGATCTATTCAATGGAGTCGGTTTTGATATAGATTTCCTTGTCGATGTTGTTATTGTCTTTGCGCCTTCAATCGAAGAATGTTTACCATTATTGTTACTATTATTATTGTTATTCTGAGTTAATCCAATAGTATTATTTGTGAATTTATTCTTTGATGAACCAAATATCTTTAGCATTCTCTTCCTAGCAGATTTTTGTTTTGAATTAGGTTTTGATTGAGGTAACGAGGGAATCAAATTTGATTCGAACAGTTCTTGGGATATTTCATGAGCTGGCGGTACATTTCTAACCGTTATTTCTTCATTTTTTTCATGAAGCATATTATTATGAGAACCATTGATATTGGATGTGTCTATTTGAATTATCGAATCATTCATCTTATCTAGATCATCCTGCACTGTATAATTCACGAACACTACGCCATGTTTCCCCTTTTTCTTAGCTCTAACTTGTTTTTTATAATTTTCATCCATCATCATTTTCTTTGGACTTGTCAAATTTTTAAAATTGGGGGATTTCACGAATTTACCACTTGTATTGGACATATGAGACAGATCAGGTGTCGACATTCCAGACACATTCTTTAACTGAGAAGCTGAGGAGGGAGTCTGTCCTTGATGATCCAATGTATTGGTGGTAGTTTCCGTACCATTATTCGTTGCAGTATCCACTGGAGTACAGGAAGTGTTTCTCTTATAATAATGTGGGATTTTCCATTTACTTAATGAATCATTGGGACTCTTTGTAACTATTGAACCAGCAGCAGTCATATTCATGTTTGAAAACGATGGAGTCTTAACGTGTTTCGGCATGACCTATATAGATAGAAAATGGACCTAACTTCTATCAATGTATGTGTATGTGTATATATATTATCCAGTAAGCGAATGTAAGACGATCAAATTGAATCAGAGACAAGTCGTCTGTATATTGATCTTAACGTTGAGATAATTCCACTCGAATAAAAGAAATAAAAAAAGAGACAGATAATATCTGGGGTAATATAGTAGTAAAAATAAAAAATGATATTATATGTGTCAACCAACCGAGTAAAATAACTAAATTAACAAAAAAGTTTAGACGGACCCTTTTCTTGTGATTATAAACTATCTTGTGGAAATAGAGTTCTAATATATAAAAATTTCTAGTTTATCTCTTTGTATGTATCTGATTCCTGTCAAATTAAAATAGGTAAATTACAATAAATAAATTGATCGGGGGTCTTCCAGGGTATACTTATAATTGAAGAATATAGCAGTATAACACGCATATATTCTAATATTATCACACAATCGAGTACTAACTTATGATAATATATACAAAGATAACTATATAAATAGATAAAATGATACTATTTACTAAGAAAAATAAAATAAAATAAAATAAAAAAACCTATTAAAACTAGATTATATTGAATTGTGTAGTAGCACCACTTCCTCTATTATTAAATGCGGTCCACTCTGTCTATTATTATCGTTATTATTATCTCTAATTCAGTTGACCACCAAACCACACAGCGAAATGGATGAAACGCGCATATTGTAATTACTTTCACTCCTTTTCAGTATTGGTGGGTGGGTGGGCGGTGGCAGCCACTGCTGCTGCGTTAGGTTGGCAGCCAAGTCGTTTCAATTGTGTGAAGAAAGTATTTTCTCTCGCCCAGGCGGCGGTGGAGATACGCTCAGTTATTGCCGGGCAGCGGTGTCAGTCTGTCTGGGTGGGCGATTGGGTGCCACACACAGATAGACTGATAGACAGAAAAGCGGTCTCCGTCCACCGTTCTTGAAGTGCCGCCCGCTGCCTGCTACCCAGTGGTCTCGCTGCCAGCCTAGCAGTGCAGCCCGCCTCGTTTTTCTCTCTATCATTTATTAGGCAGGATTATTATTAAATAAGACAATAGCAAGAGGGAGGAACACACAGCAAGGTTTATCTATCCATACAAAGGTGTGCCGGTTTGATATACTCGTGAACGCAACAGTAAGAATTGCTTACTACCAGCCTCATTCTATTCATATATATATATATATATATATATGGGAAGGAATAGCGAATGGACGGTGGTGTGTTGACTGTCGGAGATATACAAATCTATTAATAACTCACACTTTCTCACTCCCTTTAAATATCTCCGTGGCAAGTGGGCCATTCAGAAATATTTGAAATTTGAAATTTGGGAGTCGTTTTTCTCCGCGGGGAGCAACACGACGTCCTTTTGCACTGCGCGGTAATACTCGCAACAAACAATGTTTACGGTGTGTAAGTGTCACTTTTCACGGAGTGCCATTTTATTAATTCCGATTAATAATCAATATTCTTTTTTTTTTTTGAAAAGTGCGAACAGGGTTTTCGCGTTTTCGTGTTACCACAACTTAAAAAAATTATATTCTAGTTATTTATTATAATGACACAATATATATATATATATTACTAATGTTTCTTTTAACGGTTGTTTTGGAAACTCTTCCTGGCGTCGATTAAGTTGTTCGCATTGGTGACACCTGGTAAATCCAACGATATGCGTGCACGGTCAACACTGTATCTATTGTCCAACGCATTAGTATCCAACATCTCTTGTCTGGTTTGATCTAGCGACGTTCTATATCCAGTAAATGGATTCTCTATATCGTTAGGATCGTTCTGTTCCATATTTGGTGAGAACAACAAGTCCTGTGTCTCCTTCGGCGACGTGCCAGTAGGACGTTTCCATTGTCTTGATTGTCTTGCAGTATTTCCGTCTCCAACTTTGATTCCCGTTGGAGCACCGGTATGTTCATTGTTTAGCACTCTCATAGGAATCTCCTCTGTCATTATACTGTCATGAGAACCATTGGAACCCTGTGTAAAGTATCTATCCATCTCAATCCCAGGGTGGCCACCTCTACGGTTTTTGTTGATTTTGGGTCTGTTTGGATCGGTGGGATCATAACCCTTAGGGTACTGATCATAATCACCTCGAGCCCACATTTCACGAATAATGGTGACATCTTTAGGGTAAAAGAAATCATTGTAACAATCTATTGTGAACCTTGGCAATAAACAAAACATGATCCCAATGAAAAATACACCCCAAAACGTTGGAGATCCATAGATTCTAGCAGCACCTTTAAATAATTCATGAGATTTCAATGAACTTGACCAAACACCAGTCCAAAAGAATAACGATATACATGATATTCCGATGAATAACGTACTAAACCAATCCCATCTATATTGATGTAATAAAACATATAAATTACATGATATAACAGCAATTGAAGCAACCATTATACCAACATAATAACGATGATCTAATCCTAACCCATTCTTTGTAACAACCATAGTTCTCTTATACACACAATATGGGAAGAAAAATGATATTAAAGATTGATATAACCCATCAAACATATACCATAAAAATTTACGTTGATTCCATTCCAATCTTAAAATACCAACACGATATAATTGAGGTACCACCAATGATACAGTATCACTGACATCCTGATCCAAAATACCTAAAAAGATAACTGGCAATGCAGTAAACACTAAATTGTAAAACATCAAATAAGTATATTCAAACAAATAAGAACCATCATAATTGTTATAAATACCATACCAGAATAAAGCCATAGTGAAGATAACATTCTTATAGAAAAATGCAGGAATCATTTCAGCTAATCTCTTATACGACCATCTACCATGAACTAAAATTAATCTTGTTAAATATCTAAATTGACCAATTGCATAATCAGAACACATCACAGCTTGACGACCTTCTTCACCAGCAATACCGACACCAACATCTGCAGATTGAATCATTGCAACATCATTGGACCCATCACCAATAGCAAGAGTCATAACATCAAGGGTATTCTTAACCAATTTAACCACAGCAGCTTTTTGGGCAGGAGATACTCTACAACATAGAACAGCTCTACAATTTTTGCATAACAATAAAAATTTACGTCTAACAACTTCATCGGACAATGAAACCTTTAAAGCATCACCATCAATCACCACAGCAAAATTACCACTTGGTTGATCATGATCATTCTTGGAATCAGCTAATTCTAATTCTGTACCACTTAGTCCAAATTTCTCGTGTAAGTATTTGGAGATTAAATTATCAACAACTTCTTCAGGTTCAGAACCTAAATCTTGAACATCTTCACCACCACTCTTGATGACTAATAGTTCCATATCACTGTTTAATAAATTACACGAAAACCCAATGTTAATAGCAGTTTCCACTTTATCACCAGTTAAAACCCATAGTTTAATACCCGCCTCAGCAAGAATTGCAATAGAGTCAGGAACACCATCTTGTAGACGATCTTCAATGGCAGTACCACCTAGTAGTATTAAATCACGTTCCATTTCTTCAGAAACTGCATCAAGTTTCTTTTCTCTGTCGGAGACAGCCGATGCAGCAACATTGTATTTAGCATTCCATCTTTCATATTCAGACCAAGATAATTCACGTTGAGCAATACATAGAGTTCTTAAACCTTCAGTGGCATATTGTTCCAAATGTAGAGCAGTTCTTTCTAATAATTTTTCGTCATTTGCACCCTTCTCAACACTTAATCTTGAATAGATAATAGAATCAGCACCTTTACAGATTAATAATGCTCTAGGTTCATCGCCTGGATTGGCTGCTGGGATCTTAACGATGCAACTCATTCTCTTTCTAGTTGAATTAAACTCTAATAGATTTAGAATTTCAAACTCCTTTTGAATACCTTGAATTTCAATAATTAACCCCTTCTTTGTTTTACCGACAAAACTGAACCCCATATCTCTAGCAGCAGATACTAAAGCTGCTTCATCGGGTGATTGGGCCTTAATTTCTAACTTATTTGGATCTTTATTACTTGGTTCGACAAGTACAGAATGACACAAGGCCAGAGCTAACATGAAATGTTCACAACATTTTTGTTGTTCCTCACCACTTTGAGCTTTTAAATCTTGGACAAATTCTTTAGAGACAAAAGTAATCTCATCAGGATAGAATTGAGAATTGTTTGACAGTCTCGATAATTCATCGATCATTACGTCTCTATCCTTGGATATACCTTCTCTCTCAGTACGACCTTCTTCCTCGACATCAATACCTTGTCTCTTTCTTAAACCAGCCAAAGCCTCAGTATACGCACGTCCATATGTGACACCATTAACTGTACACTTTTTAAATTCCATAATATTTTGAGTTAAAGTACCAGTCTTGTCAGAGAAAATGTATTCTATTTGACCTAAATCATCGGAAATATTCCAAGATTTTGGTGTACATGGGTAATCAAGTTTGGCATTGTATAACAAAACATCGCCATAAATAAATGCAGCTTGAGCGGTTTTGATAATTTCAATAGAAATATATAAGGAGATAGGAACCAAAGATTGGAATAAAATAACAGATACCCAAAAGGACACAAACCCATTGGTGGCAGCCCTACCGGCAGCAGTACCAAATTCAAAATAGTCCCTTGATCTTGGATGTCTATCATAATAAACACCGTTGATAATACCAGAAATGAAACAAATAATGAATAATAATAAGAAATTCATTAAGACCGAGAAATTTAACTCTCTTGAGATTCTTGACTTCTTAGTTGGAGTAACACCAGCATTTAACATGATCTTAGTTTCACTACCTGTGAATACCACGATACCCATTGCCCATTTAGTATTTCTTAGAGTACAACCACGTAATAGCATATTATTAATAGAAGCAGGTTCATTCTTTAAATCACCGTCCTTGGAATCAACCCATTTGGCATTACCTTGGTAAGAATATAAGTTTGCATGAGGACCTTCACTTTCAACCCAAAATTTGGATCTAGCAACATCTCTTGAACTTCTAATCGTTTGACTACATTTAAGAGCTTGACGAACTTTCAGGTTTGTTTCACCATCCAAATTCTTGGTTTCAACGTAACAAGCACCGTCTGCATCAGAGGTAGATAGCAAAATAACATCGGCAGGAATTTCATCGTTATTATGAATACGAATGATATCACCTACAGATATACTTTTCCAAAACCCTTTTTCGAATTTGCAATCTGTTCTAGGTGGTAAAGTACGGTCCATCACAGACGCTGCAATCGCGCCATCTACTTCATTGGAATAATCCAGGGAAGCACGTCCCAAGTCAGTTGAGTATCTATAGCTTCCTACAGAATCAAGTGAGCCACGGGGTGCATTACCACTTGTTTGAGCTACTCTTTGAGCTCTCAGTTGATTACGTTTACGCATAGCACGTTTACGTTTACCTTCCTCGGTGAAACGACTCTTACAGTATTGAATGAATCTAAACAATAATCTCGAATTTGCTTTTTTAAATTTTCTCCACAATGAAACATTATCTGCTGATACATTATCATTTTGAACACCTATCAAAATATGTGTATTTGTGTTATTCACTTCTAAATCAAGAACGGTACGTCTTGAATCTTCCATAGCATCTTTAATTGCAGTAATGATAACAATGACCACTAATGGCACAGCACTCAAACCAGGATTTGTAACACCAAATATTTGAAATGCACCTAAAATGTTTAACACTAAGAAATAAATATTGGCAAAATTTGTAAATTGAAATAATATATTCTTAGGTAAAAATGTCAGTGGTGTGTACTTTGTGGTTCTAATTTTATTTGTAGCATATTCAGCAATTGGTTTCCCCTCGGCATCCAGCATGTCATCAGGTAGAGGCATATTATAGTAAATTGTTCTTAGTTGATCTGCATGATTGTTATCACCATCTTCATCTTCCTCATCACCTCTTACAAATTCTTCAATTGGATTAATAAAATTTCGTTCAGCCCACTTCAAAGTCTTTGCTCTTCCGACCAATGGATTACCATTCGGTTTCCGTTGAGTGCCTACTCTCATTCTCTTCATATGTGTGTTATCAGTCTGTTCAGACATATCATTTTCTAATTGAATATCGTCGAAAGTACCAGTATTCCCAGCATTACTATTAATCTGTGGAGTTGCCTCAAAGGAATGGATATCATCATTACGGCCATCACTTAGAGATAAACTTTCTAAGGATTCATGAATATCTAGATTATTATTTCTAATGGGGTCCTGATTAAGCCCTTCAAATGTGAACTCATCACCAAAGGGCGACGAAGCGACATCATCTTCAAAGGGATTAGTTCCAGCTTGTTTCTTGGAAGACATTATGTTAATGCACTTCTCTTGAACCTATTTCGCTTTCTCCTTCTTGTAATAAATGAAAATTCTTTTTCTATCAAAAGTAAGTTAGAATATTAAATAAAAATATTGATGGTGAGTCTTCCAAATTAATAAATATAATCCCTCAGAACTTAACCAAAAAATTGACGTGTTCCGTAAATAGCAACTTATTATCAGCAAGTAATTACAGTAGCAATTACAGACAACCAGTAAACTATATGACCTAATCAATTCTTTTTAATCTTTACAAATGCTACGAACGCTTCTTATTAAATATATTGGATCAATCAAACTTCTTATATCTAAAAAAACTGTTTGCGTGTCTCTGCTTATTACGCCCACTGGTGACTTTTTCCACGATGCATTTTTTTCTTGCTTCTTCTAACAAATTTCTAAAATTTTGTTCGTTGTTACCCAAATTATGGTGTATGATACCTTCTCGCGCAGAGTCTACGTGAAATTGTTACCGGAGTTAACTTCGATAGGCAGATAGTCAATATTTAAATAATAGATGAGAGGATTACGAAGTCAGGGATGGCTCGACTAAGGTGACGACGCACTCCCTTGGGTAAACAGAGTAAATAATAACGATGATATTAGGCAAAATATTCAGATAGATACTAAAATTATACAATATACAGTTGGAAAAAAGGACTAACTACATATAGTTTGTTCAATAACCCTGTTGTAAATTATTTGTTTGGGTCTAGGATAGAGATTGGCAGAAAAAAAAGAAAACTAACATATCCTGTTGACATCGAAAATAAAAACAACATTATCAAAAAAAGAAGAATGAGGAACAAACTGTAGTAAAAAATGTAGCCTTTGTAAATAATATACATAAAGAATTTTGCTTCCTATTTTATACTGTTGTAGAACAAAATAAGGGAATTCTTTAGATGTATGATGTGGTGTGGGAGTGATAGTAATAAAAAGCAAAATTCGTCAACAACAAAATAAAGAGTCAATGTAATAGATTGGAAAGCTTATTATCACTAAAAGGAGTTCAATTTTTCGTAATTTTGTAATAACTGAAAAGAAGATACTCCTGGTTTATTGATTCAATACTTAAATAAAAGACCATTTATAATAAAAGAATAATCGAGTCCAAATATAAAAGTGAATTGTATGGTACAATAAAGGACAACAATAGAATTGGGGTAGGGTTGATAGTGGAAAGGAATTAACCTAAGAGAAACAAACATAAAAGAAATTTAAAGGAAAAAAATATATATAAACATTAAAAGAGTGTAATAATTTTTTTTTTCAAAATACTTAAGCAGATTGTTCTGGTTCAGCAGCTGGTGCAGCTTCTTCAGTTTGTGGAGCTTGTTGTTGTTCTTGCTTGAAAGATTCGTAAGCAGCAGAAGCTTCGGTGAAATGTTGCTCGAACAATTCATCGTTTTCCAACAAAGAAACAACTTCTTGTGGAGGTAAGTCAAGGATCATACCAGTAATCTTACCAGCAGCTTCTTCATCGGAAGTCTTGGCAGAGATCTTCTTATATAGTTGTTCACCTAGAGCTTGTCTTTGCTTTTGTTGATAGAATTGGTTTGAGTTAGCACCATTTCTTGGGAAACCACCTTGTGGAGCACCTTGTGGTGGCATACCGTACATTGGACCGTTTCTGAATTGTTGTGGTGGAACACCGTTCATTTGTTGTGGGTTTGGACCGTTGAATGGAACACCTCTTGGTGGCATAACACCGTAGAACATTGGTGGCATGAATTGACCTGGAATACCAGCGGCGGCAGCGGCAGCGGCAGCAGTAGCTTGTTGGTATCTCATTTGGTTTCTAGCTTGGATTTGTTGAGCTAGTTGGTTGCGTCTAACATCCTTTCTTTGAGCAATGGCAACATATAGTGGTTTACCAGCAACAATTTGTTGGTTCTTTTCAGTGATAGCCTTAGTAGCTTCTTCTGGACTAGAGAAACAAACGAAACCGAAACCCTTAGATTTTCCGTTTTCGGTAGTCATAACCTTAGCGGAGGTGATAGTACCGAATGGGACGAATTCTTCCTTTAATTTTTCATCATCAATTGAGTCATCAAGGTTCTTGACAAACAGGTTAACACCTTGGTACTTAGCCATCTTTTCTTGTCTAGTAGCTTCGTATTGCTTCTTTAGAGCTTGCATACGTTCGAACTTCTTTTGAGCACGACCAACGTATAGCTTTTGACCCTTGAAATCAAGATCATCCAATTCTTCGACAGCCTTGGCAGCATCTTCGTGGTTAACGTAATTAACGAAACCGAAACCCTTCAAAGTACCTTCTGGGGTCTTTTCTAGAGCAATGGAAGTGGTTTCACCGTACTTGGAAAATAAGTCTTCGAATTCCTTGTCAGTAGTTTCTGGGTCGATATTCTTAACGTAAATGTTGGAAAAGTTAGCTCTGCTTTCTTCTAATTGAGAATCACGTTCCTTTCTGGACAAATGAGTGGCAACGTAAATTTCTTTACCGTTTAATAGCATACCGTTAAGAGCATCAATAGCTTCCTTGGCGGCAACTTCCTCTTCGAAATGAACGAAACCAAAACCCTTAGATTGACCATTTTCATCAGTGGCAATCTTGGAAGATAAGATGTTACCGAAGACAGAGAAGGTGTCGTATAGAGCCTTGTTGTCAATATCTTCATTCAAGTTTTTGATGAAAATATTACCGTTACCCTTCTTTCTTAGAGCAGGGTCACGTTGGGACCACATAATTCTACATAGTCTACCTTTAATTGGAGTGTAGTTCAACTTTTCAATGGCAGTGGCACCAGCTTCATGTTCGTTGAAGTTAACGTAAGCGTAACCTAGAGAAGTCTTGGTAATGGCATCACGACAGACACGGATAGAAGTGACAGAACCGATTGGAGAGAAGATGTCGTATAACAAAGCTTCAGTTACAGATGGATCCAAATCACCAACATACAAAGAGGTTTGGGCGGTCTTGTCACCTTGTTCCTCAGAGGAAGTAGAGGTTGGGGCAGTTTCTTGATCGTCGTTGATCTTTAGTTGTTCCAATTGTTCAACAGTTTTTTCAGTAATATCAGACATTATTATTTATTATTTGGTATAGGATGGTTATAATAAAAAAAAATGTAAGTTTTTTTTGTTTTAAATTGGGGGTTTTTTAAATTTTTTTTGGAAATTTTTCAATATATGGTAATAACAATAATATGGAAAGCTATTGAATCTATTAAAACTGGTCCTGGGGTCGGTAATCCAAATTGAGATAAAAGTGCTTTAATACTATTATAAATTAACGTAGTGTTTCTGAAGATAAACTAATGAAGTTATACGCAGCTCACCGAGTTAAATGAAAACAAGAAGTAAATTAAACTAAATAAGAATGTACAACATATATATAAAGTGATATAAACTTATTTAATAAAGAACAATATACTTTTATTAAAAATAATGTGTTATACCGTCCAACATCCTACCTTCCAAAAGGTGCAAAATTCTCATTGCAACCCCAGCCTGATAGTGAGAAACAAGTGATGAGTGTAGTGAAATTACCTTGCGAAATGGCGAGTTGGACAAAATTGGAAAATTCTACAAAGTTCCACAAACTTTGGACTCACCAGAAAACGACGAAAAAAAATTTTCGCTTTTTTTTGTCTTCACAGCAGCTGTGCATCTCATAGAATAAGAAACGAGAGGCACAGAAAAAAGAAAAATTTTCAGTTCTCTATCACTTATAACGAGTAGTGGCCTATAGCTTACCTTAATAGATGATTGATTGGTTATTTAATAATGGAGATAATAATAATATACAGATTTATTAGTTATATGAGGTTGGGTATATGCATGCTAGTTGATTATGTTCTCTTTGCTCTCCTTAGGGGCGGACCTAGCAGTCCGAATCTTGTCATACATAGCCATTAACTTGTCGCTTTTAACATTGGCAGGCCAGAAATTGGCAGCGTAAGACCATAGATGTTTACATAGTTTGTTAGTTGGTGTACCTGTACCTGTAGCCTTCTCACGCTCTATATGATCACCAATATTCGTTAGTTCTGTCTTAAGGATATTGGCCCAATCTCTCCTGTCAAGACCTTTACCACCACGTCTTAGACGTTGTAGTGAAGTACGTACTGTAGTCATCTTGGTTCTACATTCATTTTCATCCATACTATCATATTCCTTAGTGTGTTTATCATCACTGACACTAGCTACCTTTTGAAGTTTTGGTACATTTGCCTTTGGAGCTGGGCCCTTTGGTGGTGATAGTTTTGTAGCAGGCCCTTTGGGTGCTGGTCCCTTAGGAGCGGGTCCTCTTGGTAAAGGTTTTTGACGTTTATTTGGTGGTACCTCATTTTTTCGATTTACCTTCTTGGGTATTAAAACACCGTTATCGTTAGAAGTCTTACGAACTCTCTTCTTTCTTGGGGCTACTGGTGTCTTATCAGAAGTAGTAGAAAGATCTGTTCCCGAACTACCAGCTTTCCCGGTATTTGGAGTTTGTTCCTTTGTTTCATCTCTCATTACTGATATTAAGTAATCGACTCTTCTACCTAGATGTATGGCCCCGGGTACTTTCTTGGAAGATCCAGTGATACCTTTACCCTTCTTGGTCGTTTCGTTTTCACCGGTACCAGTGTTTGTTTCCGCTGATGAAGAAGATTTAGGACCTGATTTCTGTTGTTCATTTAGAAATATTTTATCACTTAAACCCAAAAATGGATCATCTCTAATGTGGGTCCATGCACCATAACCATACTTATAAACACCTACTAATAACTTTTCATCATCTTCCTTGTTCCAGTTACAACTCCAACTTTGAACTGGTTTGGGATTTTTGTTATTATCTATTTTAAATTTTAAGGAATCCTCCTTATAATGATCATGGATAAATGTCTTTAAATACTTTAATTCTTCCGCACGATTCACTAATGATTCAGCATTTAGCGATTTTACACCTTTAAAGGTAAATAGTACGGCCTTCTTTTCTTTCCTCTTGGCAGCAAGTCTTGTAAGAGGATTTTCACTTGGTTGGTCTTCCATCTTAATTTGACCAGATTTTAATTTCAGTCTGTATTCAGATGCATCCTTTTCGAGTTTATCCATGATTTCATTTCTTTTACTTTCTTCGTCTTCTAGGTATTCTTTTGCATTAGTCATTAGTTCAGAATAAATTTCTTCATATTTCTCAATGGATCTGACAGGTAATACATTGTCAGCAATTAAGGTTTCGAAGAGATCAGTCAAATCACCATATTTCAGAACAGCTCTATATAATACACGAATCTCAGTTTCTCCGATGGCGTTTAAGTTGTTAGCTCTTGCTCTTCTTCTAGATCTAGAATTGTTTTCCTCTTCATCATCTGAATCCTGAGGAGTACCAGTTCCGTTGACACTGTCTTTAATTCTTTTCAAGGCATTGTCCCTTCTGTTCATCATTTCAAGTTGTTCTTTGACATATTCTTCGTCTTTACGTCTTAATTCTTCATCTTGAAACTTCTTCAAATCTTCCTCAGGAATAATATCGTCCCAATCAATATCGGCTTTGTAGTCTGTAACTTCAAATTGTTTTAAGAATTCCTCACCACCAAGGTGGGATTCACCAAGTTCAGGTGTTGTGACATGGTCCTCCGCATGATTCAAAACATCATCTAAATTCAAATCTTCCAGTTTCTTTTGATTATCTGTAGCAGCAAACATATTACCAGCACCAAATTTTAAGATTTCAGATAGTTCACCAGCATTTGGATCACTCTTCTTTCTATATTTGTTACCATCTGTGACACCTAAAGAAATAATAGCATATTCCAAAATCATCTTCTTACGTGCTCTCTCAAGAATTTCTTCTTCAACGGTATCCTTTGATACAAATCTATAAACCATGACATGATTCTTTTGGCCAATACGGTGAGCTCTGGCCATTGCTTGCAGATCTGCTTGTGGATTCCAATCAGAATCAAAAATGACAACGGTATCAGCAGTCATTAAATTAATACCTAAACCACCTGCTCTAGTTGACAATAAGAAAACGTCATCCTTAGAATCAGGAGCATTGAAATGGTCAATAGATATTCTTCTTTGCCCGGAAGAAATCGTACCATCCAATCTTTGGAAATTTATACCTTTGATTGATAGATAGTCACCCAGAATGTCCAACATACGCACCATTTGTGAGAAAATAAGGACTCTGTGACCGTCTTTCTGTAGTCTTGTTAGAAGTTGATCTAATAAAACCATTTTACCGGACGACATGATTAGCCCTCTCAGAATATTTTCACGAGACATATTACCGGCACCAAACTTTTGTAGAACACGATCTTCTGCATTATCAAACAGATATGGATGATTTGATGCCTTCTTCAGTTCGCTCATGATATTCAATAATGAAAAATGACCACCTTTTGAACCTTCGGTTAAAGCTCTATAATTCTTTGTAAGAATGTTTTTATAATATTCAGTTTGAACATCAGATAACTCAACACGAAGGATACGCTCAGTTTTTGAAGGTAATGATTTTTCAACATCTTTCTTTAATCTACGTAGAATAAAAGGTTTAATTCTTGTTTGTAAATCTCTAATATATTCCTCTTGTTCAGTGTCTTGATTGTCGAAATCAATTTCTTGATCGATTGTAAACCTACCAGGCATTAAGAAATTCACTAAAGCAGCCAATTCTTTGATGTTATTTTGCAAAGGCGTACCAGTAATTAGAAGTCTATTAGAAACCTTGAAGCTATTTAGTGACTCATATAAGGATGATTCCGCATTCTTTAATCTGTGTGCTTCATCAACAGCCAAGAATTGCCATTTTATGGAGCCCAATTCAGTACGGTCTTTTAGAATATATTCGTATGTTGTTAATAGAACGTTAAATTTCATATGTTTCTTCCCTTTGGCTTGTGGATTCGTATAAAATTCATAATCTCTAATTGCTTCTCTCGATTTTTGGTTACCCATGTAGCAAATACAGTTTAATTCGGGTGCCCATTTAGCAAAAGTTTCTTGCCAAGCTGGCATTGTGGATAATGGTACGACGATTATATGTGGACCACATTGTTTTCGAGAATATATTAACCAACTGATAAATGCAACAGTTTGAACGGTTTTACCTAAACCCATTTCATCTGCTAGGATACCATTATCATTTTTAGACCATAAAAAGGCCATCCAGTTGATACCAGTCAATTGGAAATCTCTTAATTCACCTCCCTTGATATAAGATGGCTGTTCATCCAATTTAGAAAATTTAGGTCTATTTGAACCATAATTATCTGAGTATTGTGGTAAGATGTTTGAATTTGTTCTGTTTTGGAAATGTCTAACCCCCTCTGGTGACAGTTTGACTATATCTGATGCATTTTCCCAAGTAGCCTCATCGTAATTCAAACGAGACCATTTAACAAGGTACTGTAATTGTGACGTACCGTCATCTAAAGTGATACGTTGACTATCGATAATTCTTTCTGGGACCGTATATTCATCAAATTCATCTGAGCGTCTTTCGCGTTCCATATCCATAACTTCTATATCTTCACGAGTAATGTATGGATCCAATCTAACTTCTTGGTCTTGTATTATAAATTGTTTACAATAATTGTCAAGTCTTTTGGTACCTTTGACTTGGTCTAGGGAATCATAAGTTTCCCATGTGTTGTGTAAATGAGATTCATCTGCCCATTTGATTAAGAATTCAAAACTTAGTTTGCATTCTTCCAAGCTAGGGACTTTCTTCAATATATCTTGGTTCGTATTTTCCTTTGGTCTATGATTCACAACGATATCAATTGAATGAACTTCTTCTAAATTAGAAGGTGTCACAGAACCTTCTTCTTCGAATTCTGTTCCATCTAAATCTTCATCCATATCTGACAATTCTCCTTCAGACTCTAATAAATCCTCGTCTGAATAATCAATATTATAATTAACAGATCTATTGTTATTACGTGATGAGAAACGTGTCGGAAGAACTATGTCTTCGTCTTCTTCGTCTTCTTCTTCTCCTTTAACCTTTTTTGTCCTCATTGATTTCTTCGGTTTGCTCTTCTTTGTGGATATCTTCTTTTTTGTCTTTTTAATCCCTACATAATCATCCTCATCATCCAAATCATCATTAATAAAATCATCTAAATTATCTTCGTCATCATCATCCTCATCACCCATATCATAGTCCGCATTATCGTCATCGTCTTCATCGTTATCACCTCTTGACCCAGTTCTAGATTTGTTAGATCTCCTAGGTTTACTCACTAGGGCATCTTCATCTTCACTGTCATAGTAGTTTTGATGTTGATTAGCAGTAGAACGATGAGATCTTCTAAGACCGTATAACTCTGGATTTTCGAGAACATCTTCTGAGATATTACTTTTCATTTTCTTCAAATATTCCTTAATTAATTAATATCAATTTTAAATTTTTTAAAAATTTGTAACTTTATGAGAAATTACTGGCAATGTTTTAGTATTTATCACAATTATTATGGTTATTTGGAACAAAGTGAAATGGAGAATACTAAAATAAATAAAATAGAAACTAAGAAGAAAAAAAAATGATAGATATCTTTCTGATTCTGGTTTTTTATATAGCCAAAAAATAGAAAGAGAATTTTTCAACCTGATGAGCTTTTTGAGATTAGAATGTCCTATAACTCTGTTTATGAAAAGAAAGTTCACCTTTTATTATTGTTTACCTTTAGATAACTAAAGAAATGGAACGGTCATGACGACTCTATTTACTATGAGAAACGTTGGCTAATTTCGGTGAAAAAATATCCAAAAAAATAACCAAAAAATGGGTATAATTTAGTTTCAAGTAAAAATAAGCAGAGAGACAGCAAGACAGCAAATAAAATTTTATATACAAGAAAGTAGAGAAGTGGAGAGGGTAACGTTATTTAAGATGATGTGAATGTTCTGTATACTGCAAGAATGAAATTGATTTATTAAGGTAAAATGTAAGATTATCATCTATAAGACTTAAATCCAAGTAATAGTTTAACATTTATTTTGGACAAGGATAAAAAGTCTTACTATTATACTTTTATTCCAGTAACCTTAAAGAGATAAACTTCTTCGATAGAGTATAATGAGTAATAGTTGATGCTTTCTTTGCTATTCTTAAATGAGGTAATAATCAAAAACAAAAATTGTAGCATAACAATACCCACTAGAATAAAATAATTAACTAATAACAAAATAAAATACGATAATATAGTTTAGTTACCAACGACTAATATCTATTTGAAATTGAATGAGGTAAAAAAAGTTTTCCAATCAAAAAAAATATTTGCTGACACTTGGGCACATGCTCAGTTAACAAATTAGTAGTGGAGGACAAAGTAGGAGAAACTAGATTACAAAAAAAAAATTGAAGGACAAAATTATATTTTGAATAGAAAGTTTCCCGAACTACGTAGTATGTTATGTTGTACTGCTAATTATGAGTATACGCAATTAACATAAAATTGTATCGATTTGTATTGAAAGTGTTCGTATTCAACGGTACCGGTGAAATGTAGCGGTAAGCAAATTATAACTAGTAGAAAACAACTCTTGCATCCACCAACATTATAGTATACTTCAGTGAAGAACCTTAATCATTTATCAAAAAAGCTTCGACATATGTATATTAGTATTATTGATGATTATAATGAATCATCCATTACTCTTTGAGTCATCAAAACTGAAATTTCTATTCATTAGGCACGAAAGACACCAAATTTTCAGAGGGAATATAATTTTCTTTTAGAATTTTTCCTCTTTTCCAGTCTTCGCCTTTTATACATTTCAATAATTTATTTTTTATTTTTTTCAGTTTTAAGCCCGTGGACTGCTTCTGTAAACGTCATTCGACCTTAAAGGTGGGCTTCTATACTGTGACATGAATGACATTTATTTTCAGACCAAGTCAGGTAGCATATATAAAGGAAACAATTAGAAAAATATTGGATTCAATAACAACTAGAGGTTCTTAGTTTTGGATGACCAAAATATGTTGCCAATTTTGCTAGTATCATGTATCCATTTCTAGAACAAACGCTTAATGTTTTATTATTACTATGTTAGTTATATATTGCACGTATTCCTTACGTAACGACTCCATCGCTCAGTTTGGCAGGTTCATATGTCCTTTATCAGATAATGAGCTCATATTATTTGTTTAACTTCTGAAAAGTATCCTTCATTTCGTAAAGATGAATTATGTTTTGCTCTATATTCTAATGAAACTACATCATTCATGTAGTGTTACATGTTTCAATCTATACACTTAATACCAAGTATTTTTATAATCGTTATTTTTGGGGGTGTCATTGGTACTATATCCAACTATTTAGACTCAACTGCTTTTAATATTGCAGTAACATATATTAACGATACCAACTGTAAAACTCTAGATTTAATATTCCCTGTTGTTCTAATGTCATTCTACAATTTTATGATGATTTGAACTGTAGTAAGAATAGCTACGGAAAATACAGAAGCTTACTATTGACTATTTTCCCTGTTGCTAAAACACTTATTTCTCCGCACTTACTTATCTCTATTAAGATATATTTTATATATTCAATGTATTAAGCAACTCATCAGAATATTTTTTTTATTTAGTAATGAAGATATACATGAATACCCTCTAAACTGATCCCTTCTTGTATTTCTCACAGTCGATTTTTGTTTTATGAATTTTCTATAATGTCTTGTATCCTTTGATATCTTGTTTTTGCTCAATTTCTTAGTGGGTGCTAAACTAGATCGATTGTTGTTTTTAATAGCTGTGTTTATGTAATCTAATTGTTCTTCTTTTATGTTGTATTGATTTGGATCTAACCAAAGTATTCACATACGATGACTTCTATAACGTTTCCAGTTTGTCGCTAACCTCCACAAAGTATATGTATTACTCATCAGTAATAACTATATGTCATAACATATATATAACAAATATATCTTATATAAATGACAATTTACGCATTTCTATAAGATTATAATTACAATACCAAGATAGGATGTTGTGTCGTAATTTTAATTTTAATGATCAAAACAATATATTGGCCACTATTCAATACTAAACATTAATATATTTTTAGCAGGATTATCTTAAATTTTGTTTGTTTGTCTTGAGTTCAAAACAACGTAAACATTACTAAACATGTAAACAAAAAACCAATAGTGATAAAAAAAAATGAGACCCTTTCTTTTCATTACGTAATTTCTGAGCAAGAGTAAACTTAGCTTTAAAGTACTACATAAAAATAGGTGTATTTTATCCAACATGTACCTCCTTTACTGATTTATATGTTTCCCTAATTTTAATGATTTGCATTCTTCATATTGGCAATCAACCGTGGTTCCCTTTCCCTTCCCTCTCTGCAGAGCTTTATTGAGTCAATAATAAAATTCTGGATTTGCGCATCATTGCTAAAAAATTTACTACCTCATACATAGTAAACCAGACAATATATATAAAACATATATATATAAAATAAAAGAATAAATCATCCATCATATAGTAACTTCTTATAACTTTTATTATATTTTCTAGGTAAGGTAGACACTATATTATCGTTAATCACTACGGTATCTTATACTAAGTTATTACGTGCGCTTTCATGACTGTTGATAAGGGACTATGGATTTTGGGTTATGGCTCACTAATTTATAAACCACCTCCACACTTTACACATCGAATTCCCGCCATTATACATGGGTTTGAAAGAAGATTTTGGCAAAGTTCTATAGATCACAGAGGTTTACCAGAGGCGCCTGGGAGAGTAGTAACATTGATATCATACGAAGATATTGTCGCTAGGGATGATTTCAAGAAGGATTTCCATCTGTATGAGAGCCAAGATCCAACTACAATTTCAAGGAATGACCTGACTACTGTCGGTGTAGTATATTATATTCCGTCTGATCATGCTGCGGATGTTAGAGAATATTTGGATATAAGAGAACAGAACGGGTACACCTCTCATGAAGTTGATGTACATTTGGAAGTATCTCCTTCTCAGGAAGCCGAGTTGAGGGACTCTCTGAAACATTTAGATATTCATGAACCTTCTGGAAGAAGAGTCCTTAGAACTTCAGTATACATTGGAACTGTGGATAATGAGGCCTTCATCGGTCCAGAGGATATTAAGGACACTGCTGGAGTCATTGCTACTTCTCATGGTCCAAGTGGATCTAATTATAAATATTTGAAATTGTTATGTGATTCCTTAGATGAGATGGTTAAAGACGGATCGATGAAAGCTACTGATAACTACTTAAAGAAGTTACTTGATGAAGTACACAGGGAACTCTAACGACCATACATCCGCACTTACATATAAATATATATCTTAATGTCTGTATGTGTTAACCTATAACGAATTATGAACAAATTTCTTCCATTTCTGGGTGATTCTTCCTTCGCCTTAATCTTCCTTATTTTTTTTCTTAGCTAAGGCAATACAAGTGTATAAAGAAAGCTTTTAATAAAAAAAAGGAAAAAAGAGATGAGACATTTACACATCATTTAAGATAAAATACATGAATACACCATCACCGATAACAAGAGTTAAACTGAATATGATCATTACATAAGGTTATGACTGATAATTTGCCCAAAGAATATTTTGACCTTATAAGGAAAGTAGTCAGGGAAAAGAATCAGAATGGTACGACTAATGAACGTCCATTAAAGAGACGTCGTCGTCACAGGGAGAAATTACCCCCGCTAAATTCTCAAATCCCCACAGACCCAGATATTATTGTTAATTTGGATTCTGATGATGATGGGAATTTTATTGATGATAATAATCAAGAACAGACCCCTCAAAGTGAACCTATTGATGTTGTGAATCGGTTAGATGTGGAAGAGATCCATAGTGAAGGATCATCACCGACATTGACATCGGTGGAACCAGAAGAGTCAGTCAGTGAGTACGATTCCGACGATTTTGAGGATGTGTCTGATACGGAACCTAACGAAGACAAGATCAAAAATATATCTGTAACGATTCATAAGAAAACTGAACCTCCGGAGGTGAAAAAGAGTCAAGTAAGGAATATGTGTAGTAATGAGGAGAAGAAAAGACGGAAATCCATGCATATGTTTCAATTACTATGTCTTATGTGTCATGGTTCGATTCGTAATAGATGGCTCAACACTTCAAAATTAATGAGGAAATTAAATAAATTAATCCCCGATAAGACCTTGGAGTTGTTACATCCAAAGAGAGACAATGAAATGATATTAAGAAGTACAAGAAAGTTACTTGATGGATTGAAACAATCTATGGAAATATGGCAAAAACATTGGAAAATCGTCCAAAAATATCATAATTCTACAGGGTTATACATGAAGATGTGGGATGAGCTATCGAATAATGACACACGTTCTAACATCACAAGTTCTCAATTGATAACTAAACAAACATTTATAAGACAAGTATTGAAAGGTGTTGGAGACAGAGATGTTGCTACACAAGGGTTTGTAGCGTTGTTAAGGTCCTGTAATGTCAATGCTCGTTTGATTATGTCATGTCAACCTTGTGATTTTACCAATTTGAAAGAAAATGATGTACCATGTAGAGCTTCTTATGATGATATGGTGAAATATCCGATCTTTTGGTGTGAAGTTTGGGATAAATTCTCCAAACAATGGATCAGTATAGATCCAATGAACTTAAAGACTATTGAACAGATCCGTCACTCAACCAAGATGGAACCCAAGGGTGTTATGTGTTGTAAACGTAATATGATTCGATACGTGATCGCCTACGATCGTCAAGAAGGGTGTCGTGATGTGACGAGAAGATATGTGAAATGGTTGAATGCAAAGACAAGAAGACGACGTATTGCAAAAGATTCTGACGGGCTTCGATGGTACCAAGCAGTCCTTGAGACCTTACATCGGAGGAAACGGACCAAGATCGATGATTATGAGGATGAATATTTCCAAGTAAGAAATGAGGACGAAGGTATGCCTGATTGTTTGGCGGATATGAAGTCCCATCCATATTATATATTGGAACGAGATCTTCACAGTAATCAAGTATTACGTAAAGGTTGCAAAGAATGTGGCTATTTGAACCTTCCAAACAATAAGGGCCTAATCAAGGTGTATGCACGTCGGGACATCCTTGATTTGAAGAGTGGCCGACAATGGTACAATGAAGGCCGTATATTAAAGAAAGGTAGTCAATATCTGAAAGTAGTGCAACGGAAGACACGAGAGGGAGAGATGGAAGATGAAAGGTTGTATCCCGTAGAGGCCACCGAGACCTATATGCCGCCATTAGCCACGTACCCATTGGGTGAAATCACGAAGAATACCTTTGGTAACCTTGAGGTATTTGTTCCCTCAATGATACCTGGCAACTGTTGTCTTGTGGAGAGTCCCGTAGCTATCAAGGCTGCGAAGTTCTTGGGGATCCAATTTGCACCTGCGGTGACGAAATTCAAGTTTGAACGTGGGTCTAAAGCGAAAGCAATGATCAGTGGGGTAGTGGTTGCCGTGTGGTTTCGGGAGGCAATGGTTGCATGTATTGATGGGATTGAATATGTTGAAGAAGAGAACAAGAGACAAGAGGAAGAGATCTGGTCGCTGGAGTCATGGCGAGTATTCTTGACCAAGATGCGGATCAAAGAAGATCTAAACAACACTTATGGTGTTGTAAACGAGTCCGAGATGCAGTTGCAAGAAGAAGCACCAGAAGAAACACCAGAAGAGGAAGAGTTTGGTGGAGGAGGAGGTTTTTTTGTTAATGCCACAACTCCTATGGATAAGTCCAGTCTACATCAAGAAGAAGAAGAGGAAGAAGAAGCGGAAGAAGAAGCGGAAGAGTGTATAGATACAAACCATGAAGATCCCCCTCCTGACGAGATAGATGATGAATATGCTACATTCATGGACGATATATCGTAAATAGACATATATATATAAATGTGTGATTCATTCGTTATACACACTGTCGAATGAAAAAAAAAAATATAAATGAAAAAAGGTGATACGTAAGTAATATTTTTTTGGAAAAAAAAGCAAAAGCAAAAGCAAAAGCAAAAGCAAAGCAAAACAAAACAAATAAGAATAGGAACATTACTGAAACGTAGACACACATACATATATCAGCAAAAAAAAAAATAGTAGAACAAGACTAAGCTACAACATAGGATGAGTTTTTTATCGAAACTATCGAAATTGAAGAGAGACACTAGCGAGAATAATGGTAAACCATCACATATAGCACATACCCAGAAGAATAAGAATAGTCATATTGAAGATGAAACGTCATCTTTATTACCTAAGAATTATATACGTGATGAGGATCCAGCGGTTCGTCGACTTAAAGAGATCCGTAATAAAGAGCGGTTAAAGAATCAATCTAGTGAGAAACCAAAGCGTACACCTTCAAAACCTCGTACTGTTACGAAACGTAAATCCAAAAATGATATGGAACAAGATATAGGAACAGTTTATAAACGTCGACTTGGTAGTAACAATCGCAATAACAACAACAACAATATGATAACAAAGAGACGAGAACCTATTAAGAAGATGAGTTTTGACGAATTAATGAAGCAAGCAGATTCACAAACGAGACCGAGTCCAAGTCCAAGATCTATTGCTAGTAATACCAATAAATCTATACATTTAAACAAACCTGGGTTTAAGAAACGGAATCCCATACGAGAAAGAAAGGTTGTTTCTTCATTGAAGAAGAAAGATAGCAATATGACCACGCAAGAACAACCTCAAATGGTGCATCTAAACACAAGGATGAGTACAAGTATAGCACGACCTCATGCGCGATTCGAAGCCAAACTGAATAAAAGACGTAATAGATATGAGGAGGACGAAGACGAATATGATGAGGATTTAGACGATTTCATAGAAGATGACGAAGAAGAGGAAGAATCTGCACAATTAAGAGATCGTGGATACGATCGTAACGAGATATGGGCAATGTTCAATAGACGTGGTCACAGTAATCATCCACGTCCAGACGAAGAATGGGAATCTGACGACATGGAGACTAATGAAATAGATATAATGGCGGAGGAAGAGGAAGCCAGTAAAGCAGCGAGATTAGAGGATAAAAGAGAGCAGAATTGGTTACGTAAACACGATGAAGCTAAAGCTCGAGTGAAAGCCCGAAACCATTCCAAGGGTTAGTTAGGAGTCATCTTAACAGAAATACGTATATATATATATATATATATATATATTGTATAAGAATGGGAAAGAACATCACAGGATACGACGTGCTCAAGTGAAAAACAACAACAACGACAAATTTTTGTTGTCGTTTCCATATAAACAAACAACGACAACGACAGAAAAAAAAAGTATAAAAGCGAAGGCCTCTCAATAAAGCGGGAAAAGCGTCGTGAAAATATTTGGTGTGTAGAAACGATAGTCTGTGATACACCCAGACCCCCACACGCGACAAACTTAATAATGAATAGCAGCAACAGCAACATCAACAGTAGCAATCCAGAATTAGAGGAAGAAGAGGTGTTCCAGAGAATACAGACTCACTTCCCACCTGCCAAAATCAAGAAAATAATGCAAACGGACGAAGATATTGGTAAAGTATCACAAGCGACACCCGTTATAGCAGGCAGGGCACTTGAATTGTTTGTCTCAATGCTAGTGTCGCAAGCTGGCCAAACGGCCCGTTCCACAGGTAACAAACGAATCTCTGCGGACACTTTACGTGAAACAATTATGCATTCGGAGAAATTTGATTTTTTACGCGAAGCCGTGTGCGGTGATGATGCGGATGCGGATGCTGTGGACGCTGTGGCGGATGCTTCCGCCTCTGCTGACGGCAGCGAGTGAATGTGGAAAAGTGAAAGAGAAGGCGAGAGAGTATTCGACACACCCACGCACCCCACCGGGCAGCCTGCCCGTTTTTTGCTCGTTTGGCGACTCTCCAACTGTGTGCTTGTCTGCTTGTGCGGGCACAGACCGGGCCGTGCAGAGGGCGGAGCCACGACTGCCAAAACGAAACTTGAAGCGAAGTGAGGCTCAGCCCAACCGGCAACTGGCGACAGCAGCAGCAGCAGCAATGGCAGCGCGGTAACACGGCAACCGGCGATAGGATTTATTTTCAGTTGCAAAGATAGTTATAAATATATCTGGGAGAGAAAGCGCTGTGCGAGACGAAATCGAGAGGGATGGGATGACTCTCTACCAATTTAAGTCTGAGACTGGCAGAAAGAACGCCTTCACGCACACTCGTTTTTTTTTATCAGATTTCAATTTTATAGACCTGCTAAATTTTTAATACTCCAAGCAAAAGGTAGATGAGGTGTAATCATTTGAATATAAAGAGAGAAGGTAAAAAGGTGATAAAAAATACAGCATTTGTAACTATGTGATTCTCTTGTTCTGTCTCTGTATGTAATTATTTATTTACTTACTTACTTATATCTGTAGTTGCAAAAATTTTATCAATTATGATGGTTGCAAGAAGTAATACATACAGTGTTAGAAGACCTAACCCTGCTGCTAATAATAATAATAATAATAATAGTAATATGATGATGACGATGGATGATCCGTTCTCACTGCAATATAACAACACAAACAACATGAACATGAAGAGAAACGCAAGCGTGCGTCGTACTAGAAGTATCAATGCTCATATCTACACTTCAAGTAATGATCAGTCCACAAGATCAATGTCGATAGGTTCCTCTCCTTACGATTTTGCTAATAGTTTGGCAACACATAATAAAGGTATGAAACCATTATTAAATAATAACCAAATTATGTCGCCTTATCAAGTACAGAGACAAAAAATGCAAAAAGCATTTGTCTTTAATAATGGTGAAATCTTTACTCCAAAGGCAACTCCGGTCTTCTCTGCTCCTCCTATTACTACTACCACTACTACTACTACTTCGACTTCGACTTCGACTTCGTCTCCTAAGAAGTCGCGGGGAAAAATATCTGGCTTCTTTAAAGGCTTGGTTAGAAATAAATCCATCTCAAGAGAGTCGCAAAGGAGTAAGCCTCCTGGTACTAGTACTCCCATTTCTTCAGCTTGTGTACCAATACCCATCGTGACGGTAACCGTACCAACAACGACTCCTTCGCCATTCACTACTAATACAGATGCTAACATTTTACAAAGGCTAGAAAAACAATGGGATACTGTCCATTTGAATACATCCTTTAATAATTCTATATCAACTCCAACTTTACATTCGACCTCCTTTGGCTCGTCTTTATCAATCTCTTTAAATGACTCCTTGGATGACACTCATTCAACGATGGATCATGTAAGGTTTGCGTCAGAGATATACGTAGATGAAACTTATAGTGGGCTGGATTATGAAAGAGCAGATCCAGAAGATGATGGCAAGGGCGACTCGGGCGTATCTAATTTTAATAATAATTCAATTAAATTGGAAGTGAATCATTACAAAAGAAATGAAATGTTTGTTCATCCAGATAGCAGACGTAATACTCATTTCTTTAGATAATCTTCACCCTCATCCTTTTATAGACATTCTTTATATATATATATAAGATTCTAATTTTAATAAATATATTCATTCCCTTTAATATTGACGATATAATCGTGTTTATTCACCATAGATTATTGCTTACTATATGAAAAAGCAACATCTCATTTTATAATGTATTATTATCTTGGAAGTGGAGTGTATACAAGGTTTCCAAGTGTATTCATTCCATTCTTCTTCATCTTGTACATGCTAGTCACAGAACGATATCATTGGTTGTCATAAAACTTCAACAAAAAAAAATAAAGAGCCAATATTGTGAAAATAGTTTACTAATACAATTGACATAATAAAATGTTGTTAAATCAATGATTTAGGTACGATATGTCCAGAGAATCTGAGATAGAGGTTCCTCCCTCTATTAGTCTCTTTATATTATACATATTTTAAATATTGTTGAACATTTAAAGTTTTCTATATATTACATGTAGAGCTTCTTTTTATGTCATCTTGTGAAAATGTTCATCTCGTCGATTACGCTCTGTGTCATTATGTGATGACACATATAAGCAAGTTTTGTAAATGACAGAAATTATGTGGAATCAATATATCTCGAATGTATTACGCAGTGCGTTACAATATGAAACAAATCATAATTCCAACTTCAAATGAAAAATGGATTTCCAATTCTTAGATCAAGTGAGATTAGAATAAATTATGTATAAAGATAAATAATTCTGAATTTCCATTCTAAGTTAAATTCTATACGTTCTATTACTTATGTAATAATAAAAAAAGCACTTACTTTTTTAGAGTATCTGTGATAGAGTTTTTTTCCTCTGTTATTCTCTTCAAGCTTTAATTATTTTATAGAGGCCATTTAGTAAGAAGATAATCGATCGGTCTCTTTATACTACATATAACGTAGAGATTGTAGAACATTTAACATTCTTTATATATTATATTAAGAGCTTCTTTTTATATCATTTTTTTTAAATATTTTGATTTCCTCAATCAACCCAGTCATCATCAATTGATGTAATGGCATCATACGATGACATCTGGTCACATCTAGTGATGACATCTGTGAGTGAATGTGCATAAAAGGTTTTCTTTACCTATATTGAAATCAAGTGTGATACATATTACCCTTAACTTCTAACAGAATCATAGACTTTACTGTTGTTGTCATGAAATATGCGTTGATAGATCTAACTTTACACAAATAATATAACAGGTAACTTTTATAATAATGGTGATTAGAACGTTTCTTTTCTCACCCATATAGTAATATTGCTTGCTATAAGTGATCGATTGGCCAGTTCCGTTTTTAGAAAAGCGGTACGGAGTACGGAAACGGAAACGGACATGGAAGACGGGAAATGGAAGACGGAAACGGGAGACGGAAGTTGCCAATATCGCTGACATAATTATTCAGCGAGATCTTACCAATGACTACTTTCAAGAACAATATCAAAAACACTGAAAATAAATAAAACCATTGTGATCCAATGAATTTAGTAATCACTTGTAAACTTCATTTTTTCTTTAAGCCATTGTCAATGGTTTTACCAACATATAAAAGGAGTCCATATTCAGCTCTAAAATGTAAAATATTTGTTTCCAGTAGTTCTTCCTTTCTCAACATTTAACATAGAACAATAGTATATACATAACAATTACAAACATTAACATACTACTTCTAAATCACTTCCAATATGCCATTCGTGAAAGACTTTAAAGCTGAATCTTTAGAAGATACAAATCTCTTCAGACCAATGAAGATCGGGAATATGAACCTGGACCATCGTGCCGTTATGGCCCCACTAACAAGATTGAGGGCGGAATATCCTGGTCAAATTCCAAACACTGACTATGGTATCGAGTATTATGACCAACGTTCCAGGAGAAAAGGGACATTTTTGATCTCTGAAGCCGCAATCATTTCCCCTCAAGCAGGTGGTATTGACGATGCCCCTGGTATCTGGAGTGAACAACAGGTAGAAGCATGGTCTAAAATCATCGAGAAGGTTCATGAGAATGGCTCTTATATTTTCATCCAATTCTGGGCTTTAGGTCGCCATGCTTTCCCTGGAAATCTGAAAAGAGATGGGCTTAGATATGTCTCTGCGTCCGACGACGTTTACATCGACGACTCCCGCCAAGCAATTGCTTTCTATGCAAACAACCGCCAACATGGTCTAACTAAGACAGAAATTCAAAGTTTTGTCCAGGATTTTGCAAACGCCTCAAAGAATTCGATTAAGGCAGGTGCAGATGGTGTTGAGATCCATAGTGCGTTTGGTTTCTTTTTAAATCAATTTTTGGACCCAATTTCCAACAAAAGAACGGATGAATACGGTGGGTCTATTGAGAATAGATCCAGAATTGTCTTAGAGGTTGTTGATGCCTGTATTGAGGCCGTTGGTGCTGAAAAGGTTGGTATCAGATTATCCCCTTGGGCTAGATATTTGGGTATGTCAGGAAGTACCGACCCAACTTTATTAGCAACATACTGCTATTTATTGGGTGAGCTTGAAAAGAGAGGTAGGGCTGGTAAGAGATTAGCCTACGTTCATTTAGGTGAACCAAGAGTAACTGATCCATTTTTAACTGAAGGTAAAGGAATGGAGATGTTTGGCCATAACGATTTTGCATTTTCTATCTGGAAAGGTCCAATTATCCGTTCTGGTAATTTGGCATTGCACCCTGAGATTGCAAAAGATTTGTTGAAAAACGATAGAACTTTAATTGCTTACGGTAGATTTTGGATTTCTAACCCAGATCTTGTTGACCGGTTGGAGAAGGGACTACCTCTGAATAAATATGATAGAGGTACCTTTTTAGGTAGAACTGATAAAGGATTATTAGATTATCCAACTTACGATGAGGCTATCAAAAATGGTTGGGATTACGAATCTTAGAAATTTAATATTTGATTCTGTCGGAAATATACTATAATAATGATAACGACCAAGGTTAATCCCGCAATGATCTGATAATAGGTTAATCCCTCAACAACTTACTAATAGATTACTTACGCCACCGTTGAGTGAATTTATAATCACGACAACAAGAAATCCAACATATATAATAATGGAACAATATTTCATTTATGAATATAATTGTTTCCATAATTTAATTTATATATTTTTGTATAAGATATAAAACATCAGACGACTATAAGTTGATTTTGAAATATAATAGAATTTGTTCAGTTAAATAAAAGATGTCTAATATTCAATTTTCCCATCAAAGGAAAAGGTAGCTAATATAAGTAGAATTTTGAGTGTACTGCACTGCCATATATATAACAACACATGATATATATTGAATAATGTAGTATTCGTTTCCCCTACATTGGGTTTATTGGAGCTACATTGTCCAATGTTACTATGCACAAAAGATGAGCAGTTTAACAACAGTAACTCTGTTTAACAACTTCAGCTCAAAAACGACCGTAAGGTGAATCTTCCCATGTAAATTTCAAATTTTAAATAAGTTAAAATTTTCAAATCATATAAATATTTTATTAATTACAATCCGATATAGTGTAACGGCTATCACATCACGCTTTCACCGTGGAGACCGGGGTTCGACTCCCCGTATCGGAGTTTCTTTTTATATCTCAACATTTAAGTTAACCGCCGATCTGTCGTTCGTGAAAAACTGATTTATTTTTTGGTGGAACCACAAGGTATTTTATTATGGTATAGAATGTACATTCGCACAAAAGACTTCAAATTGAATAAATAGAATATATATATACGGAGTTATATAATTCCATACGGCTGAAAAACCCACCGTATCATATAAAATTAATAATGTACTCATGTTATTCTCTCTTTCAATGTGTTGATTACCAACACATTGAAAGTCTGGTTAAAAATTTCAGGTTGCACAAGTTGAAGAACATCATCGCTAGACAATTTTGATTCTTCACCTAAAGTGACTATTTTGTCGTGGAATTCAGAATATTGATCGTCGCAATATTGTTCAATAGCTTCAATTAAATGCTGTGCTATCTCTTTATCTTCTATAGAATGACAAATTTGTTCATATATTCTTGGAATTCTGTTTTCAATATTACTAGTCAAATCCCTGTTTATAGTTGTTAAATTTTCAGAATCGGTAGACTTCAAACAATCACCAATAATATCTGTACTTGCAACATCAGTAAAATCTTTAATACAAATTCTTAACTCTTGAACCAATTCTGTACGTGCATCAATCATGTTATCAACAACTTTAGGCACGAAGTCTTTAGCCAATGAAAATAGTGACATTTCACCTGCTTTATAATTTTTGAAGAAGGATTCAACACCTGAGAAATCGAGAGATTTCGTATTCAATGTATATTTAATATTAAATTCTTGTATCTCATCTCTTAACAACAATAAGTTTCTTAAATAAAATAATTTAATATCCAAATTATGGGTTAAAGAGGTATCTGAACTTTCGTTTCTTGTAATACTTGTATAAGCATTTTTCAAAGATATGATACAAGCATGAACTGTATGATGAGCTAAACGGTCAAAAATTAGAGAATTAACCATTTCAAAAATCTTAAACAATAACGCTAAACCTTTAATTAGTGGAATATAATATGATGAAATAATGATTGCACTATTATTATCTGCTGTTTCAGATGTGGTTGTTACTGGATTAACGTTTCTAAAATTTTCAACATATGTCTTTACGAAAGCTTCATCGTCTTGTAATTTCAATTTTTTATTGGAGATCATAAAATCCTCAGCAGATGGTTTATAACTAATGATCGTTCTATGAATATAATTCTTGACAGTTTGAATTAATCTATTTTGAATTCTAGTCAAAACAGGTGAGAATATCTTATCAAATTGAACCTCATTGAATTGTTTTGAATATTCTTCAGAATCCTCTTCAAATTGATAAAACGGTTCAAACAACATTAATGAGTCGCACAATATATCAATGTCTGATTCACGACCACATTTCACACCAATGGTAACATAGAATGGATCACATAATTTGATGAACCAATGATTTATTTTATCTTTGCATAAATAATCTTCAGGGAAAAATTCCATAAACAGTTTATATTCTCTATTACACAATTGCTGGAAATATGTCTTGTTATCTTGAATAAATTGAATCATACTGAATTTTTTATCGCGAATAATGGTATCATCTACTTGTAACCATACAATTGGATTTAAAAATTTATGTCTAATTTGGAAATATTGCTCAAAAGTATCGTTCAAGATTGATGTTAGTTCATCCTTATACCTGTGGTATTTATCATCTTCGACTCTTTGAATCAATGCTGTAATATTTTGTTTGAAATCATCTGAGATTGATGCAAATTTATTATAAATTAAAGCCTCTCTTGTGTTTTTGTTTACCATTATATCTTTTTGAGCAATCTCATTTTGAATCTGTTTCAAATTATTAATAGAATATTTTGATATCAAATCACTTGCTCTAATCAAACATTGTTTAAATTTAATTCTGTAAGCTTCTGCCTCTAATATATCTGGATTCTCTTCAAAGAAAAACAAAGATTTATCAATATTTGACAACATTGTCTTAAAGGATTCCTTACGAACAATATTTGGAGAACTTGCATGATTAAGTCGACGAATAATAGGGGCTAAATTATCAAAATATGTTAGATATTGAGGCAAGGATTTTGATAATTTAACGAACCCTTTACGCGAATCATATAATGTATGAGTATCTTTAATAAAACCTGAAGCTTGATCTGAGATTGTATCAAATTGGGACAATGAGCCTTCCAATTGATCACTAATTCGATGAGTTTGTTTTAAGATACTATCATATTCTTTAATATTTTCGTCCAATTGAATTAAATAATCAGTGTACTGAGAATATTTATCAGGAGTACTAATCGAATCTAGAGACACCTCTGAAGGTTTATCAATTGATGTAGACAACAAATTTTCTTTACCTCTGGAGCCATTTATAGCAATGGCTAATTTCTGTAAATTTTCTAACAAATAGGAGTCATCCAATAAACTATTTTCTTGTGGTTCCAATAAAGTTGGTCGAACGGCGATTGCTTGAACCAATGAATTTCTTCTACTTCGAACCATTATAATATATCTAGGTAGGCCATACACACCAGAAACTACCTTACTTTGTTTAAATGTATATGTATCGGTACAGAGTCAGAGTACTCTTTATGTGACTGAGTTTTGTTTTTACTTATCGCATGTTTTTATAAAAATGTTCAACTAAGATTATTATTATTATTATATAATTTAAAGTGATCGACACCGTTCGAAGCGATAATACGTGGATACATTTTCGGAACCCTCTCAATATATATATATTGTTAAGTGATAAGGGTTTCTAGTTCACAATTTCCGTTGACATCAAATTACAAGTATTAAATATGGTGTAAACTAATACTTTCCGCCTTTTGCTATTCTACTCTATATTCTGTCCCAACTGTTATCTCACAAAACAGGGCTCAATTGAGCGATGTATCACCCACATAAGTATACAAATATAAAAACAAGAACAAGTTTCTAAATGATATAAACACATCCCAGTCAATAATATTGCAATAGTTACCTTAATTCATATGGTCGTTATGAACTGAAGCTGGCGTAGCAGAGTTAAATCTTGATTCGTTCATTTTATTTAGCGTTAGGTAGAGAGAGTTAGAAATAGCTTGAGTTCTAATGTTAAGATAAAGCAAAAAACATTTGTTATTCTTTTCTTTTAATTGAAAGTGCTTTATTTTATTATATGAAGTTTATAGAACCAATAGAATCTAAATCAAAATAGACGTTCAGAATTCTTTGTCCTAATATATTTTGTTTTAATCTCAACTGATCTATGGATTAGAAATATATATTTCAATTAAGGTTCGAACTACGTTTCATTTCCTAATTTGATCTGCTCTGTTACCTCATAACTTCAAAATATTACTTATTATTCTCAGTTTTATACCTGTTTTCTCCCTCTTCTCTCTACAGGGAAAAGGAAAATTTTTTCTTTTCCGGTCTTTTTGACAAAAGTGAAAAATTACTACTTAAAGGGAAAGATGAGATGACCTGAATATAGAACTATGATTTCAAGAGTCCTAGTTTGCTTGTATATTTTAGGATTATCATTGAATAACCTGTGCAAACTACAACACTTGGAGATTGAATGTCAGCAGTTAAGAAAATCAAGTTAAGTAAGATGGTTAAACAAATTTGTACTCACTCCGGTTCTTTCCATGCCGATGAATCCCTAGCTGTATATATGCTAAGATTATTACCAGAATATAAAGATGCCAAAGTGTGTAGATCCAGAAACCCCGAGGATTGGGAAGCCAGTGATATTGTTGTAGATGTTGGTGCCAAATATGATGGTGTCAAGTTTTTCGATCATCACCATCGTGAATTCACCGGTACTTTCTCTGAAAAATATCAGACAAAATTATCTAGTGCTGGTCTTGTATTCAAACATTTTGGTAGAGATATTATCAATCAAGTACTTGGTGGAAACGCTTCCAAGAAAGATTTAGATATTCTTTATGAGAAGGTTTACAAGAATTTCGTCGAGGCATTGGATGCTAACGATAACGGTATTTCCCAATATAATACTAAGGGTACTGATATCAAACCAAGATTCAACGAAAAGGCCACTACTATCCCAGGTATCATCTCTGGTTTTAACCCACGTTGGAATGAAGACAGTTCCAACGAAACCTTCGATAAAAATTTCCAAAAAGCATCAAACTTCATTGGTGAAATTTTTGTTGATTTAGTGAAAGGTTATGGTCTAGGTTGGTTACCAGCCAAGACATTAGTTAGAAAAGCTGTGGAGTCTCGTATGGATGTCGATGCATCCGGCAAGATTTTATTGTTTGATCAATTCTGTCCATGGAAGGAACATCTATACGAGATTGAAAGAGAATTAAAAATCGAGAGCCAAATCCAATTCGTTTTGTTTGTGGATTCTTCCAATACATGGAGAATCTCCACTGTCCCTGTATCTTCAGGATCCTTCGAATTCAGAAAGGGTCTCCCAGAAGAACTAAGGGGTCTAAGAGACGAGACTCTGAGCGAAAAGAGTGGTATCCCCGGCTGTATTTTCATCCATACAGCCGGTTTCATTGGTGGTGCCAAGACCAAAGACGCCGTTCTCCAACTAGCCAGAATGTCTCTATAATCCCTTTTTAAGTAAATACTCTTTTATTCTACCTCTACATATTTATATACATACGTACATGTAACCCAACATTCGAATGAACTTTCATCCCACCTGTCCACATCTGTTACGATACCACTTCTTCATCTTACCAGAGAACCCACCGACACCAACACCAGCCACGTGACGAACTGCTCTATCTTTTATGCGGCCGCCCTGCTTATTTCCTCTTGTTACAGATTTATGAAGCCGCGAAACGATTATTTTTCACAATTTTGTTGTTTGCGTAAGCCATATTATGTATTAAATAAGTTATATCCATAATAATAATACATATTGAGGTTGCTAAGTGAGTCGGAATTTTTCACAGAGAGCGAGGCGGATATAGAGAGGGAGAGGGCGCTCCCAGCTATTTTCTAAAATTAACTACTGATTTGAAACAGGGCCAACTGAACAAAAGAAAACAATAAAGATAACAAGAATAGCATTTAATTTTAAACAAGACAACAGAGAAAGAGAGAGATAGTTAAGAGTCACAGAAATAGGAAGACAGTGGAATAACTTTGTGTGACTAGTGCCATAATTTGAAATTGAATAGATATATATTTTCTTTTTCATTTTTGCAAAACACCATAGAAGAAGATATCGGATCATACAATAATTTTTTTGCTTTTTTTTAATCTCTCAAGGAGTCGAAGTTTTCAAATACTTATAACATCCAGAAACATATCATTTGAGAGGTCAGATATCCCGTTGTAAATACACACGCTCACTCACTCACATTTATTTATCTATCTCCTATAACTAATAACCTTTATTATTATTTGAGGTTGTCAATCCATCCCACTGGAAACGCAGAAGAAAGAAAAATAATAATAATAATACCTAATTATGAAGGGATTCTTGTGGTCTAAGAGCAAGAAATCCTCGGGTAACAAAGGTAACGAGAAGACGAGCCGACATACTAAACGGTCCATCTCGTCGTCGTCGTCGTCATCGTCCTCCCTGAATATATTACCACAAACTGCGACAGCTGAGACCCTCACCAATTCATTACGCGACAAAAGTTCAAGTTCGAATTTATCTGTCTCTTCAAGTCGTCAACATCACTTGTCAAAGCACAGCATTAAATCAATTGGTAATGCACCAGTGGACCCTATGAAGAGACAGAGTTCTTTATCGTCAGCGGACCATCATTCTACAGAACGGAAAATATATAGCTCTGATGCACATGCAAGATCTTCAAGAAGTATATTGCCAAATCATCATTTAAACATGATGTCATCTCATAATCCTTCAAGGGAAGATACACAATCAATTATATCTAACGAAACTGCAACCACTGTAAATGCATCCATTGCATCAAATGACGATTCTCATCCTACACATCATATAAGTAAAGAAGATATTGGCGGCCCAATATTGTCTCCAGTGAGTTCATCTTTACAACCATCTGGGATCAGAAAGATCAACACGGTCCAATCGTCATTAACGAACGAACAACAACAGAGAAGAGACACCATTACACGGTTGCTCGTCCATCTGAATGATGACAATTTCGATACAAATACTTTTAAAATCGGTTGGGTGAACAGATCCCACGGTCAAATTATGGCTCAACAACAGCCACATACTCAACTGCCGCACTCGAATTCTACACAGCACTTAAGAGAGAGGAAAATGTCTCATAGAGAAAGTGTACTCTTTGGAGCTGATATGTTAGCACAATTGAGTAGTATGGAAACCGAATCCCATAGGGATTCAGTTCGTTTAGATTCAGGAAACCAAAGAAATAGTACGATCGTTGATGCACAAACTATGGTTCCAGATTATAGGATTTATCGTGCAGAATTGAAAGGTTGTCTATTAAATTTATATAAGGATGGACTTGGTAGTAACATAAAATATTTTGATCCAACTGCTATCCCACCGGAAGTAAATGAACCACAACGTATTGAGAACTCCAACAAGATAGAGTTTAATGATAATAAACCGAACTTACAACAAGTATCGAACAAACGAGCAACAATCTCAGGATCAAAGTATTTCATGACTGACGTTCCATCATCAAAGAGAGGAATTGATCCAGATCATAATAAAGAACACATAGACCCCAAAGCTATATTACCTATAGAGATAAAATATTTAAGTGAAAAATATCCACACCCAAATTTAAAATTAGATAAAGAAGGTAGGATAATTGGCGGTGATGTTGAAAGCTTATGCCATGCCGTTTTATTTTCACCAATGTCGTCAGGAAAACACAGTGTTAGCACAAGCAAAAAACAGAGAACAATTGTGAATATCCTGTTACTTCTTCCATTAGTTGATTATTTTATCAAATTTATTATAACTTTCAACCAATTTGGTCTCACTTTCACAAAACACAAGATGAAATTAACCACTACGTCTTTACAATACCATAATATTACGAATGAAATGGACGATCAACTCTCAGAGAGATTAGCCCTAGTTGGAAAAACTATTCTTGACATCATGCCAGGATTCCTATTAGATGAACAAATATTCCAAGCCACAATTGCATTACTTAATACTATATCTCTTCACAATGATGAACTATCGAATAATTTAAAGATCTCTATTGCTAATAGACATAATGAAATGACTTCATTGACTTCATATATTAGAGTTGATCCATCTGTTTCTCGGACTAATTCATCTACCAGTAAAGTTAGTGGGAATAGTCTTTTAAATGATGTTCTTGACTTTAAAAAATTCCTTGATGTTGATACCACTTTTTTTGCCAACGAAGTTCATTTAATCAACTTAAAATTTGACAAAATTTGGACACCTCGAGAGGATTATTCTTTGTTGTATTCATCAAAATATATTAATCAAAACATACTGGCGTTAAATCCGTTGGTATTCAACAATTCTGAAAATTTGCACTTTTTGGGGAGATTACTTGTGTGTCATTTGTTCCCATCTAATCCATTATCAATTACACCAAAAACAAGGGCTAAGATTTTAAGAAAATGGGTTCAATTAGGTTGTAAATTTGAACATTTAGGTGACATGGTATCATGGTTAGCAATTGCTACAGTGCTATGTTCTGTGCCGATCCTAAGATTATTTAAATCATGGCAATACGTTTCTGAAACTACGTTAAAGATTATATTTAAAGATTGGGTTCCAACAATTGCTCAATTGGAGAGAAGACAGGCCTCATCGAAGTCAACAAGTAGTGTATTCATATTGGCACCTCCAAATTTAAATGATCCATTTATAAGAGACAATGTAATCTCATATTTTGGAGACTTAATTATATACGCTGATGATTTATCCCAAAATACAAAATTTAAATATCTTGAAAAGAAAATCAATAGGACAAAAAATGCATTCCATAAATGGCAGCAACGATTAGAAACTGTAAAAGAAACAGCCAAGGGACCTATTAAAACAAACAATTTGGAAAGTATTGATCCAAAAACAAGTAGTGTTTATCAGTTCTGGAAGTACCACGTTACCCAACCTTCTATCAATATTGAAAATATAATGAAACTGAGTCTTCAATATGAACCACCGGCGATTGACCCATATTTATATTCTGGTATGAATTCAAGAAGGAGTCCGTTATTAACAGGAAGCTATCTACCTATTTTATTTAATGAATTGCAACCCAATTACAGTTTATTCCCAAAAAAGTCTTTGATTGGTGCAGCAGGACCGACTATTAACAATACTCCTGCTATACCCTTAAGATCATCTGCCCGCAGATCCAGTACCTTATCAACGATTGGTAAATCTGAGTCTCTGTTAAATTTAAATGCTCCAAGTAGTGGCAATGATACAAACCAGATTACAGGCATTGGAAAAATCGATGGACCAACTATCAAAGAACTTGCACAAAGACAATCGACCCAACAAACATTAATGAAGTCTATTAGAGATATGTTTAATATTGATACTGATCTATTTCATGTGACAGATGATCTAGTTTTTAAGTCCAATATCGAAAAAGCTGTCAAGTCGAGACCTACAAGTATAGTCGTAGAATCACCAAGAAAATTTTCACAACAATCTTTCGGTAATAACTCTTCAAGAGATTCACATGACATGAATAGATTGAGCAAAACTTTAGAAAATATGAACTTTTTTGAAGGCATTGGGAACGTTTCTGACACTTTTAATGAATCTGTTATAGATGTCGTATTAAAATCCGCTTCACTAGAAAGAATATTTGATCTACTCGTCCTTACAGCAAATGTATTCTCTAAGTTAGTTGATACCAAGGATTTAGAAAATCATTTTAAACATAAAAATAGAGGGGTCAATGCGCGAGAAGGGAAAGAACAAAATTCTATGGGATTACTTGATTACGCTTTTGTTAAATTGGTTCTAGATGATGACGTTTTCACAGAAACATTTTTTGACTCTTATAGAAGTTTTACTACTACAACAAATGTTTTAGAAAACTTGGCAAAGAGATATATCGGTGCGAAGAGTTGCGCTGTAACAATCACATCTATGTTAGATCTAGGTAAGGATCCAAAAAACCATGTAGAGAATCAAAATTTTCCAAATTGGAATTCAAAAATTCTGGATGAAAAATATGTTAACTTGATTTATGTAGCTAAGATCCAGATAGGGGCTGCTGAAGCAATTCATCATCTAGTTTTAAATCATTATAGCGATTTCACGGATGATCCGAAATGTAATTCTATTTTCTTTGATATTCTTAAAGTTATGGAAAAAGAAGTTACTTATGAATGGTCATCAAGATTACAGAATATTAAAGAAGAGGAAGATGAATACGTTGGTTCGTACGAAGATGTTTCCAAGCTGGTCGAAAAATTAACCCAACTTTTCCAAATGACCAAAGCTACGTATCAGAAGGAACTATACAGACCAGTCGGTATCAATAGAACGCAAAAGAAGATAACCGAAATATTAGAATCATTTAAATCATTTTCTTATGATGAACTTAGAAGTTTGCTGAATAGTAAACAACTCGATGATAGCTTATTGGCTGAGTTCCAGAACATTAAACATGATAACTACGAAGGAATTCTTAATTGGCTTCAAGATTTAAATAACTTTATTGCGGAAAGAATGCAATTTATCGACAAACGAGACTGGATAGCAGTTTATCAAATATTAGAACTAGAGTCTTCGAAATCATTGACCTCCTTTTACAATTATCCACTAAATGTGCTTTCTTCCAACTTGGTTAACACAACATCTGCTCAACTAAAAGATTTAGAAATTTTGAATATAATCACATGGGTTTCAACTCTTGTAACCACAAATAAACTATCAGAGAACCAATCTTTGATATTAGAAAAACTACCAAACTCTATCCAAATCATCATTAAACTTCATCATTCATTAACTGCATTTTTTCAAGTTATAATTTCCAATTCGAAAATAAGTCTAAATGAGCGTAACGGTGTGTGTGCTGTTCTTATTCAAATGCTGAATTATACGCGCAACAAGAATGCAACTTTAGATCTATTCGAATCAACGGAATCTGCTGATCCACATGTTCTTTCGTCACATATACCATCTTTTATTGAAAGTGCTATTTCAAATGCAATCATTTCTCCTGAAAGTAGATTCTACGAACAAAGCTGGAAAAATGGACACGCTTTACTCTGCCGTAATCAAGATCCTTCACACCAAAGTTTTAATTCTATTGGTGATATACTCGAGGGTATTGACGATAAGCATATGAAATCTTTTATAGAAATTGATAACGTGTTTGATTCATGTATCCCATCACTTGCTCCATGCCCTGGGTGGCTAATCTGTAGGCTACTGGAAATATCTCAATTCGTTCCAAATATGAGTATTTCTAATACCAGGCTAATTAACTTTGATAAGAGAAGATTTGTGCATAACATTATTTCTAATATTTCTGCACTAATACCTGGTAAAACTAAAAAGTTGTCAAGCAAATGTGGTTATATTTTAATGAATGATTTCCAGGATTCGGACAAGTCTTTCAGAAAGGCAAGTAAGGAACTTGCATTATCTGAAGCTAGAGAATCTAAATATCAGGAAACTGGAGTCTTCAATGATATTCTAATTTTAGAAGTTGACAAAATCAGAAGAGAACAGTCAAAACTGAATAGTCTACGTACTCAAGAGCGCGATGCTATCCATTCAAATAAAATGCAACAGGATATCAATAGACAAAAAGGTGGGTTTTCTTCAATGAACTCTCTTCAAACTTCCTCTCATTATGGATCGTCCAGCGTTTCATCGACGAATGGGATTGGTTCTACTTCTGGCACGATGTCCAAGAAAAGTAGAAACTCTATAACAAATCTACCTAACAGAAGTTCTGTTGGTTCAGCAAACCAACCTTCCCAAGCTGGGGGTGTTAGCAAAAAATTAGGTGGCTTTTTCAGAAGACCATTTTCTATTGCGGGTTTTAACACATCGATATCGAATTACTCGCTAAACAGCTCAATTTCACAAGATGTTGGTTCGAAGAAGGTTATCGAATCATATCTGTTACCAGATTTGACGAACCAAGTCATCAATGATTCTAAACCTACATTGTGTTTGAAAACGTTTGAAATCAAAAGTATTTTAGAAATTATGAATCATCGAAATATTCCAGCTTATTCATTCTCCTTCAAGATAATAATGCAAGATAATCACGAGTATACAATCCAAGCGACTAGCTCAGAGGATTTATATGAATGGATAAAGATGATCAAGGCATCGAAAAGGTATTCATTCCATTCCAAAAAGTTCAAGGGACGGACTTCAAATAAGGTATTTGGTGTACCGTTAGAAGATATATGTGCTAGAGAAGGTACGGTGATCCCTACGATCATTATTAAGTTATTAGAAGAGATCGAATTTAGAGGTCTAGATGAGGTCGGTTTATATAGAATACCTGGCTCTGTAGGTAGTATCAATGCCCTGAAAAATGCTTTTGATGAAGAAGGAGCAACAAGCAACACCTTTACCTTGGAAGATGATAGATGGTTTGAAATTAATGCTATTGCAGGTTGTTTCAAAATGTACTTGAGAGAATTACCTGATTCCTTATTTACAAACGAAAAAGTTAGCCAATTTACCCAATTAGCACTAAGTCGCAAATCCAATGAGATTTCATTTGACGTTTATAAGAGTAATATGACCACATTATTGAATCAATTGCCTGTTTGTTATTATCAAACCATGCGCAGAATTGTGCTACATCTAAACAAAGTACACCAACATGTATCTACAAACCGTATGGATGCGTCTAATTTAGCCATCGTCTTTTCAATGAGTTTCATTGATCAAGAAGATCTATCTAACAGCATGGGCCCAACTTTGGGAGCTGTCCAATCAATTCTACAAGACTTTATCAAGACACCTAACGATTACTTTATAGAAATGAAATAAGGTAATTTCTAGAAACATTTAGCAAGTTTTCAAATACATGTGCGTTTACCGTTGCATAATAACATTCGGCCAGAATTGGCGCACAATTATATATATGGACAAGTGCATCTTATAAATTACCACTGCATATTTCTGCATCATTTTATAAATAATAAACGATGTATTCATTAATATTTAATTTTAAAACAAATCTTAATTAAATTTTTCTCTCTTCTTTATTGCACACATATTGATTTTATTTTATTGAATGTATATATATTGGAATTATACAAATTTTTGTCATTTTTAGGGCTCTTAAAATGAAATATTTACAAGTTACTTACCCCTTTGGATACTGTAGCCGTTTTTTTTTATTTCTTTAAATCAGATCTACGAACTATTTTAATTTTAGAATTGACCTTTCTTGCCTTAGCTTCTTCCTGTAACTTCTCTTCTTTTTCTTGCATTATACGTCTTCTTTCAGACTGTTCTCTAGATTTAGCCATACTATCTTTAATTGCCGCAAATATACCTTTATTTGCTTCTGTAGGTGATTGTGGATGTTGAACAACATCTGCAATCTTCAATTGTTTTCTTACCCATTTATTTCTTAATACTAATGTTTGAGCCACAGAAAAACAACCATTGACTGCAAAATAAAGGACAACACCTGCCGAAAGATTCATAGTGGCTGGAATTGATACTAATGGCAAAATGATAAAAAATCTTTTCATCGGACCACTAAACTGCTGTGCCCCGGTTTCCCCACCTAAACGAGAGAAAGACATCAACACTGCCGCTGTAATAAATTGTAGACCCAAATATGGATCTGCCAGAGTTAAATCGTAAAACCACAAAGCACCTTGATTGGCGAACCCATCAACAGGGAAATTCGACATGGATCTAAGACCATTGAAAAACCCAATGGCAACAGGTAGTTGTAGCATTGGAGCAGCTAACCATCTATTCTTGATACCATTGTCGGAAAGTAATTTCTTTCTTCTAAGGGCAACTTTTTGACCTGCAACCATATCTGTTGTAGCCATCAATTCCTTTGTCACTCTATCTAATTCAGGTTTAATCTTAGAATTACGTGCAATAGTATCCGAAGATTTTACGTAAAGTGGGAACATTACCAAACGGACCAATAATGTTACTGTGCAGATAGTACCCCACCATGGCAGACCAGTATATACATGTACATATTCTAGTACATGTTGTATAATATCTGCGGGCCAATGCCAAGTTTGTGCCAGACCAATACTATTCAAGTAACCGACGTGATTCGATAACTCACCAATAGAGTGTGTGGCTTGTTCAACGATGGTGGATGAACCCGTTACCATATCATCTAAGGAAGGTAACTGAGTTTGAATTTCATTCAATTGTTCAATTGTATCTGTGGACTTAAAACGAACAGTAGGTATGGAGTTTAGTAACGAGGTTCTTCTTAGCATATGAGGACTCAATACAGCAGGTTTAATAGTAGACCTACTGGTGCTCCTTTTGGCTATATTTACCAACGAAGATCTTAAAAACATTATAATGATCTAAAACGTATAACGTGAATAGTCGTTTGAAGTGGTGTGGTCTAAAGAGGATATTAAATGTAATGATAAAATTTATTGGCTATTCCGGGTATATCGTGTAAATACTGTTAGAAACGAAGCAAATAAAATAAACACCAAATAATCACAGTTATATTAGTTATTTTTGAACAGGACACCTTCAGACTTCTTCTTATATATTTGACCTGCTTTCCACTAAACTTTCTTTCATTATATCTAATTCAAAACTCTATTTATCTCTCTTCTCGACATCCAAATTGCTGAAATATTCTCTTAATTAAATTTCGCAGAAGCGAAACTCCAGGGAAGTTGAATTTTCAGAATTTTTAAAGGGCCAAAAAAAGCATTCGAAGTGACTTCTACATCTCTCGACATTCCAAAGGTTAAAAGAAAAAGGGGGAATGATTGGTTGGCTATAACTTGAATCGAGGACTTTATGGCTAGTTTAAGTATTGGCTAGTTGAGTTTGGTTATAGCATTTCGATGGTCTCTGGTGTCATACGACCTTATGGCGTCTTGCGTCGGTTTATGAGTGAAGACGTCCGAAAACAATTATACGTTGGATGCTTGAATAGAGAGTTCGATGATGTTCTGACTAAAGTTAGGCCCATAACCACGAATGAGATGGACTATGGATTTTTACAAGTATATCTCGCTAAAAGTTGTACCTGGGGTCATATGGAATCGGTGGATTACATATGGCATAAATATGTGATGAATAACCAGATCCTGATAATTCGTCCACATGTATTATGTGCAATGAGTAACTTGGCATTAGCTAATGAGAAATTCTTTGTCACGAAACAGATATATGAGTATTTCGAACAGTTGTATGGGTCCCAAATATATGACGAGACTATGTTACATTGGAAGTATGAACTTTTACGGATTAAGATTGAAAGTTTTGCCAGTGGGACAGGAGACTCAACAAGTTTTAGCGAAAAGTGGAAAGTGTTTCTTGAGGATATTGACCATGTATTACCAATCAGTACGACGTTTAATGTAAGAGATTTCCCTCACATGATTAAAGCCCTAGCAAATGATTTAAGAAATGGCAATATTACAGAGGAGTCCCTCTTAGAGATGTTATTCACGGAGAAGAAGATAAATATAGGGAACCCTTCGAGTCTACCACTATTATTGAACTTGCTATTGTTGCAACCAACCTTCACGAATACTTTCAAGTTAGATATATTTAAGAAATTTTATCAGACTCATCCACAGTTGGACCGTAAAGATTCGTTAATAATCATGTTTAAATTATTGAAAGGTGACGGTTATAATTTATCACAACTTGTTATATTTGCTACAAACCTGGACAAAGGAAAACTGAAACTTACCTCCCTGTCTTCAAAATTACTAACCAAAGGAATTTCCAACACATAATATAATAGCAAGTTGAATAGTTGTATACTGGAGACTAGTATAGATACACCAGAGGATAACCTGGTATAGGATGCACATGTAAATATAGAACTTTTCTTCCGGCAAGGAAAACTCCTTATATATATTCTTTAGAACAATTTCATATAAATCAATGTACGACAAACATTATCAATAACATATATATGTATATACATCCACTACAATGATCATTACAAAAATTATAGGAATGACCCCATCTCTATCGTAGCTTATCAAATAATTGTTCTTGTAATTTGATCAAGATATCGATTGTTCGATTATCGCGCTAATCTGATTTTTATCAGAAGAGAATTAACTATTTTAAGTGAATAGTTGTCTATAAATTAACCACTTTCTCATTGAGGGTTATCCCAAAGTATCTATTCCCATTAGGTTGAAAGAGAGTAACAACACATACCCATTATAGTATATCCATTTGATCATGAGTATGGACGCACCTGCTTCTTTAAATTTCTTTAAGGGCCATCCGTCATTCAGATTACTCCCTAACAAAGAGATTATCGAGGCAACTACGGAGTTGCTAACACCAGATAAAAGAAAATTTGATTCAGACACAGAGAATAGACATCCATTGACATATGGGTCTGATCAAGGTGCATTGTGGGTTAGAGATACAATATGTTCATTTTTGAATGATAACGTTTTCAAATTATCAAATGATTCTAATGTAAGGTCTACTTCCGAATGTTTAAATCTAAATTCAGGTGCATCCTACGGTATCCTAAGTCTCTTATTACAGACTACATTAGCACAGACTGGTTACACCAAGCAGGCGTTCATCATATCACCAACTTATTTCTTAATTAACAACTGTTTCATTGATGCTGGGTTTTCAGGAAAATTAACTGCAATTGATGAAATTGGTTATGATACCATTGATTTCAACACTCTTGAGAAGAAAATACAAGAATGTGAGGATCAAGCAAATAATGATGAGTCTACTGAGTGTATTGACAACCCTGAAAGTGATAAGAAGAAGAAAGTCTATAAATATGTCATTTATACTGTTCCAACTTATTCCAATCCAAGTGGTCATACTTACTCCGAAGAGACAAGATTAAGACTTATTAAATTAGCTAGAAAATATGATATGTTAATCATAGCAGATGATGTTTATGATATATTGAATTATGATGAAGATATTTCGAATGATAAAGACCTTTTACCTACCCCACCTAAGCGATTTGTTCATCTTGATAGACAAACTTGGTCTCCCACTATTGATGATCCATTTGGGAATACTGTATCCAATGCTACATTCTCCAAATTGATTGCACCAGGTTTAAGATTTGGCTATCACGAGACTGTGACACCAAGTCTGGCATTTCAATTGTCAGAAGGTGGTGCAAATATATCTGGCGGTACACCATCTCAATTAAATTCAATGATTGTTGGAACAATGTTAAAGAATGGATCTGCTACAAAAATATTAAGAAACTTGATAGCTACATATAAAGAACGAGGAGAAGTGCTATATAATAGTGTGAAGAAATGTTTGCCTCAAAGGACTGATTGCGATGTTATTCATGGTGGATACTTTATATGGGTTACATTACCAGATGGCTACAACATGGAAGAGGTTCAAAGGCGTTTGAATGCAAAACATGAGGTCATCCTTGCCAATGGATCCAATTTCGAAGTCATTGGTGATCCTAAGGGCTGGGGCCGTAGGTCAGCAAGACTATCTATTAGTTTCATGGAGAAAAATGAAATCAAAGAAGGTATAAGATTATTTGGTTCTGTTTGTCAGGAATATGCAACCGAGTTAGGGTTACCGTTTTAATTACAAAGACAGATGCATATAATCCAATTATAGACTTACTATTACATACAAGCGTATACTTATATATATACACATACACATATATATATATGTGTGTTCAATGAAATCGCTGAAAAGGCATCATGTGCATAATGATAACTAACAGTGGGACGAAATGGATGGGTTACGACATCTAACGCCAACCTCTAATGTAGTCGATGGTCACAATTTCTGTTTACATTTCCACCCCTTTTACCCTCCCTCGCCACTAATCGCGGCGAAATTCTGCTGAAAGGGAAAAGCGTAGAGAAAATTGGTAGTCGACTGAAAGTTTCCAGTGAATATTTTTAATACCTCTTTAGTTAAAAATGATAAAAGGTAATGTACTACAACTACCTTTTGCACGAATGATTAAGAACACTTTTCAGCTTTACATTCTTCCCTGTCGGTTTAGTATATATATAGTTCGTTGTTTTGGGAACCTGGATACATCCTTATACTTTTTTCTATCCATTTGTGTTCAAGCTTCATTATACCACTTTCGTAATTAATATACATTTCCTTCAATTTTAGAATTATGAACGGTTCAGAAAACCAAGAAGAATCGTACTCAATGTACCCAAAGACATCATCCCCACCTCCAATGCCTCATGTCAATATGCAATTTCCAATCTACCAGAACCCGGTTCCGATGTACAATTATCAAACTCCATATATGTATGCTCAACCAAACTATAACTACAAGATGATGAACCCTAATCAACCTCATACTCAAATGGGATATCAGGCTAATATTCCTCAAGGAAATATGGGTTCCAAGAAGAAATGGAATAATAGCAATAATAATAACAATGGTAATGGTGCAGGTGCCGGGACCGGCATTACTGGTACCATGAATCCTGCCAAATCTCAACCATATTATCCTAATCAAAGTCAAAGTTTCTATGGACAATCTTCAGTCAATAGCAATCAAACTAGAAACAGTAGATCCAGTTCTGTTAATCACGATCCCTTTAAATTCGATGTTTCAAAATTGGACGTTGCAAAGATTTCAGAAACATGTAAGAAATTTCCACTGTATATCAATACTACAGCTTCAGAATTTAATGAAGCAAAAAATAAAAACTTCTCTGTGAAGGTCGCTGATGTCAATGACTCCAAAGAAACCACTACATTTGCTAAGTCAAGTGAATCTGCCTCTACAATAGAAACTGTTGAAAAAATACCAGATACCCAATCAGAATCAATAAAACCAATCGAAGAACCTTCTGAGATTAAGAGTGAACCTGTTCCAACTATACCCCAAGAAAATAAGAAGAAAGTCAAAGAATCTGATGGTAAAAAAAAAGAAAAAGAAAACTGTCATAAGAAGGAAGATGAATCCAAGAAAATTGTAAGCACCACTTCAACAACAAGCATCAACTCTGTAGCTAGTGATGACACTACTGTCGCATCATCTCCAATAGCTACTACAAACTCAGCTCCAACTTTAACCCCTGCAGTCGAGACTCCAGCTCCTAAATCTTGGTCGGCTATTGCCTCGTCTGCCGGCGCAAAAGTAAAATCAGCTAGCAATAGTAAAAATGCTTCTCCACATACTCATTCTAGGACTACTTCAATAGTCTCATCTTCATCTACCAGACCAAAAAAGGACAAGAAATATATCCCACCAACGACAAAAGGTGCTGAACCAATTGGATCCATTGCTCTAAGAGCTTGTTTCGATCCTGATTATGTTAGCTACGCCCTGAAGAAGCATGGCCCAACAGGTGAAAATGATTTACCTCTTAAGACGATTATACCAAGAGGTATTATCAACACAGCAAATATCTGTTTCATGAGTTCAGTGCTTCAAGTATTACTATATTGTAAACCGTTTATTGACATATTAAATGTTTTAAGCACAAGAAACCCTAACTCTAGAGTTAGCTCATGTTCTACAAAACTATGGGATGCATGCATCAACCTGTTTACAGCATTTGATAAAGAATCATTTGAGAAGGACAAAGAACCTGTTGCGCAAAGTCAAAGCAATTCTAAGAAAAACAGCAGAGAGGGGACACCACGTTCTCAATCAGACAAGGCAGACTTTGCTTCGATATCTGATGCTATTAAACCAGATGAATTCTACAAGAGTCTGTCTACCATCCCAAAATTCAGAGATTTACGTTGGGGTCACCAAGAGGATGCTGAAGAATTTTTAACACAAATGTTGGATCAATTACACGAAGAGTTAATAACAGCTATTAACAATTTGACAGAAAATGAAATTCAAAATATTTTACAAAGTATTAACGACGAAGAATTGAAGATATATATCATTAGAAACCTTGGTCGTTATAAAAATGCTCAATTCCTGAAGAGTGCAACTGGTCAACTTCCAGCTCTTATAGAGAGATATGGTGAATCTGATGATAATGATGACGAGAATGGTTGGCACGAAGTTAGTGGTACTAGCAAAAAGGGGAAGAAGAACAAGACTGCGGCTAAGAGAACAGTCGAGATCACACCTTCCCCTATCTCCAATCTATTTGGTGGTCAATTCCGTTCTGTTTTAGATATTCCAAATAATAAAGAGTCTCAATCTATAACACTTGACCCCTTCCAAACTATCCAATTAGATATTTCTGATCCTGAAGTCAATGACTTACAAACTGCATTCAGGAAGTTCAGTGAGTATGAAATGATTCCTTTCAGATCATCCAATGGTAGTGATGTGGAAGCTAAGAAACAAACATTTATTGATAAACTACCAGAAGTATTATTAATCCAATTAAAGAGGTTTTCATTTATAAATAATACCGAAAAAGATAATTCCATGACTAATTACAACGCTTATAGTGGGCGTATTGAAAAAATCCGTAAGAAGATTGCTTACCAACATGAATTAATTATCCCAGCTGATTCTGTTTCCTCACCAACCTTAAAGCAACATGAAGAAAATAGACAATATGGATTATCTGGTGTTATTTACCATCACGGTATGAGCTCTGATGGTGGGCATTACACCGCCGATGTTTACCATAAGAGCAACAATAAATGGTATAGAATTGATGATGTAGGTATTACCGAATTGAAGAAAGAAGATGTTTTAACTGTTGGTGACAATGGTTCCGATCCAAGAACTGCATATATTCTGATGTACCAAAAGCTATAAAGGATTCTATAATACAATGATATAATGTACTCTATATTCTATAAATATTATAAACACCGTTAAAACTATATTGCAAATAGATATTTTCTAATAAAATAGTATTCAAAGTTATATTATAATATGTAGGAGGTCCTTCTTATATTAAGGATAAGTTCAATATAACTAAATAGAAAAACATTTCAAAATATCTCGTTGTTTGGATTATATTTGAGAAATGTATTATACAAAAACTGTCAGAAATTAAGAGTAAGATGCACAACACTTAATTTCAATAGGAAAAGAAATACCTTTATGACAGAAACTATCTGGAATCAAGATATCTAAAATGTCCTAATAAGAACTAAACATTTATTAAGTAATAGTCGTTTAGGTCATAATCGTTTAGGAAATAAGTTCATTACTTAACAATTGTTTAGGTAATCACTTTACTACCCAACAATCGTTTAGGTAACAATCGTTTCGGTAACAAGAAGAAATGAAATATCGGTAAAATTAAATAATATAAAAACAAAGAATTCTGAACTTACATTCTGAGTTAGATTCTATTCGTTCTGTAAATTATATACAATACAAAAAAAACACTTACAAATATAAGAGAAATATAACAAGTATATTTTGCTTACCTAACATTATGTTAAACAGAGTTGCTGTTGTTAAACTGCTCATCTTTTGTGCATAGTAACGTTGGACTATGTAGCTCCAATAAACCCAATGTAGGGGGAACGAATACTACATTATGCAGTATATATCATGTGTTATTATATATACGACAGTGCAGCACACTCTAAATTCTACTTACATTAGCTACCTTCACCTTCAGTTAGGTTAAGCTAATGTTAGCCTTTTTAGTGCTGCCGCTACATATTCAACACATTAAAACTCAAGCTGCGCCGACTCTCTACCTGCCACTATATAATATGAACGAATATAAGTATAACCACAGTATGTCCGCTTCAGCTTAGATCCCACATAATTTCTGTCAAACACAGGCATCTGTGTCCTTAGAACTATCCGAAACATGGCGAAAATGACCCTTTTTAAAAATTAGAGCTATATTCTTATTCTTTCAAAGAAAATAAGGTTTCGTGGTCTAGTTGGTTATGGCATCTGCTTAACACGCAGAACGTCCCCAGTTCGATCCTGGGCGAAATCATTTTTAATTTTCTTTTTGCTAACAACTTAGCCGCCGAAGGATTGTTTCAGTGAATTCGATTCAAATATATCGCAGTTTCTTTATATGTATTGTAATGAAAGAGGAAAAATATTATTTTAGTGTTTTGTTCATCTTACCATCAGTTAAAATATAACAAGTAGATACATATATAGATACAAATCTATGCTGACAACCAATATAAGTATATTCGATTGTCAAAACTCTTTTTCTCCACATGAATGCTTAAAATTGATTTTAATAATTCTAACTTATATTCCGAAGTAATCATATTCCTGCGCCTCTTGACAATCCATATGATGTACAAAGGTACGTCAAAGATCCTAGCTTCTCTAACGACCCTTATGACTGCTCTTTGACTACTGTACCATGTATAAGAGGTATAATTGTGCGATATACGAATACGACACCTCAGAAAGTACAGCTCAATGCAATTATCAATATGACATATGCATACAAAATTGTTGTATCGTTCGTAGTTCGCAATTTGATGTAATATTAGATCTAAGAGCTCCTGTTTCAAAATGCTAGACAAGTAATTAGATTCTGCATAATAAAGCACGTCAAATGTTGTGCAATTATATCAACTATAATTGACTTTTCTTTATTTCAAAAGATTATCAATATGTTCTTTCTGAAAAAAAACATTCATTCCACAGATTCTGACATGGTACGCACATTCCTAGCATAGGTAAAAGTCATTTAATGAGAATATTTGATAAAGAAGGAATATTTATGCATTTTCACAAGAAATAATCCATTTGCGATTTCTTTGTAGGAATAATTGCATTACCGACTCCATCTTGAGGTTGGACAGCATCAAATATGGTATAATTTCTTTGTAAATCATCCTCTATTCTCAACACAGCCGCCACATTACCACATCTATAACAATAATTTGGTGCCGACCATACAGTGACTAATCCACCATCGAACATTTCTTTATAGCCTTCCATAACTAATTGATGTGCACGCGCTATTAATTCTACATTATTTGTATGCAGGAATTGGTTCACTTCATTTTGACCAAATACAAACCCTGCACCTCTTGGTGATAACGACCATTTTTCAACATCATCAGGATCACTCCATAATAAGTCACACATAGCACCTTCATGGGGTACTTCTTGTTTTCTATCTATAGCTCGGATCTCATCTATTGTAGAAACATCAGGTGAAAGACCTCCGTGAACACAAAATATATTATTATTAATGATTGCTCCAAGAGACAAATAGTCAAATACTTCACAACAATATCGCCAAACGTTACTATTTCCATATTTTCTCATAATTTCATCATAAAACCCATAGACTTTTGTAATTTGACGCGTCTCATGATTACCTCTTATGAGTGTAATTCTATCGGGATATTTCAGCTTGTAACATATTAATAATAAGAATGACTCTAAGGAATAGAATCCTCTGTCGACAAAATCACCTAAAAATATATATCGTGTTTTCTCTACACCACCACTCTTGCCAAACAATGTTAGAAGGTCGTGCAACTGACCATGAATATCTCCACATATAGTTACCGGTGTATCGACATGAGTAACATTAGCCTCTGTCATTAACAACTCCTGTGCTTTCAAACAGAGTGAATATACAGCTTCCTCTGTGATATGTTTCCCTTGTTTCAGCAACGTTATTGTGCGATCGATTTTCATCATGACGTGAAGAAGCTTTCTTTTTCTAATAACACAATATAATAGTTTCGTATCTATATTCTACCTTTGATAATTCAAAACAAAGATTAATGAATAAGTCCCGTACCGATATATTAGCCTCCGTTCAACCTTGATAACTTAACTATGATTGTTTATATTTTGTTTCTCTGTCTCTTTATTGTTTGCAATTTTTCAGTTCGCCAAACTCGATGAACTTTTTTTTCCCTCTTTCTTTCGTGCCCACAACAACACCAAAATTGTTTGAGATGTGAAGAAAGGCTTTTCATTTAGACGTGTTTTGTAAACAAATCATAACTATATTCAAAGGCCAAGAGATAAAAGGATTTGCAATAGCTGTTAACAATACAAATATACTACATTGTAACGGCTTTTTAAATTTGCTTAAACCTAGCGACCGATCCGGTGAAGACTTTTCCGTGTTAGAGAGAGAAGAATCAACTACATAAAATATAAATTTGCAATGCTAGATTATAATTTAATGCATAAGGCTAATCCACTGCTATTTGCACCAGAACGCTATGATCAGTATCCTTTAAATCACCAGGAATTGATGCAATACTTGACATCTGCCTCTTCTTCTGGTGCGACTGTTTGTCCTAGACCAGTGACTGCTACGGATGAATTTGATTATCTGCTGTATATGGATGGTAGTTCTTCTAACCGTTCTTCTGCTAGTCCTGAACATTTAACAAATACGATACCTTCTACTGTTAACACAGGTATTATGGAGTTGGATCTTGATAAGAAACTAGCTTGTGAATTTGCTATTTATCAAACTCATATGAGAAATAAACAAGATGATATTAATGGAAGAACTAATAGTACTTATAAAATCAAAGATTTCAATGAATTATTACAGATGAAAGTAGGCTCTAATGAATGGTTTGATGAAATGTTACATCTTTTGGAATCTATTAATGCTACAAATATAGATCTCAGCTCTATCAGTGACATGGCCATTTCTTCAAAGGATATTAGTGTTCGTAAAACAGTCATTGGTGATGGTCAGACCTCAAATAATACAGAAGGTTCCCTTAGAATTGATACATCCGATATCGATATGCAAGATACAATATCATACATTTTGTCGAATGCAATTAAGAATGGGGTTGATATCAAACCACAATTTAAAGAGCCTACATCTGGAGTAAAAAATCAATCTAATGAAAAGGAATATCTTCGTAATATCATTGATTCCATGATTGCAATGGCTAAGATAAACAGGGAGAAAATTTCCAGTGTTACTGAAGACAAAGAGGCTAACGATGGTAAAGTGAAGGAGATGAATACAGCATTGAATGATTTACAACTGGCACATAATTTCTTAACGAGACAGTTCGAAAGCGATAGAATTGAATATTCAAAAGATATTGAAAAATTAACTAAAACTAATAGAGAATTGCAGGAAAAACTATTAAATTATCATTCTAATTTAACTAAAACAGAAAATGAATTACTTGAAACTCAAGAAAAATTACAAATGAAAGAACTAAATCCAATCATCGAAGGAAACAATACTCCCCTTCTAAAGGGCCTTGGAGATGATCTAGGATTTCTATCGCCACTAACTGTGGACCGTGATAATGTACGTAGTAGTCAAAGTTCTTTAGATTCGAAAGGCGAACTTAAGAGTGATGGTAAGGGATCATCATATTCGCTAACATTGATGCGTAATGAATTTAAGAAACTATTAACAGAAACACAACGAAAATACGAAACAGAACTTGCTAAAGAGAGAGAAATGCGTAAAGAACTAGAAAAGAAACAAATTAAATAATTTTTTTTCATATATTACATCCATGTTTTTCCATCTAATCATATACACCATCATCCAAATATACACACACACACACACACACACATATATATATATATACGTAGAGTATCTCAATCCAGATATGCTAAAATAAACATTTCCATCGATAATATAAAGTAATAACAGTTGAAATGTTATGATGTGTAAACATATATAGGAGCGTGCGTGATTACTTTCACCGCATTGTATTACGAATATCCAATTTAAACAGAAGAAAATAAAATAAAATTAAGTGAACCCAAATAGTGATTGCTTAAACACCCTACCTTATTACATCTTCCTGAATTCACTCAACACAGGGTATATAGCTTCAAACGCTTGGTAGATCTCTTCTCTTTGCTTTGCACCCGTCAAAACAATCTTACCACTAACGAAGATTAACAGCACAATCTTTGGCTTAACCATTCTATAAATCAGACCAGGGAATAATTCAGGTTCGTACGATGAGAAAGTACCATGACTAAATGCCAGACCTTCCAATCTAATAGGGAATTTCACATCACAAGAACCAACAATATTTTGGATTTTAAAATCTGTAAATTTAGCTGCAAAACCAATTTTTTGAATAATTCTTGCGTATTTTCTACTTGCAAGTTTGGAATCATCTTCACTCTTTGCACCAGTAACAACCATCTTACCTGAGGCAAAGATTAAAGCTGTAGTTTTTGGTTCACGGATACGCATAATAACAGCAGCAAAACGCTTAGGGTTATATTCTGCATTACGTGCATGTAAAGCCACAGTCTTTAAATCTAATCTGCAACCAAGATTTACAGTTGCAACAATATTTTGTAAGGTCGGCACAATACCTGATGTAGCTGCATCGTCATCCTCTTCTTCTGCTTCATTATTGTTAGTGCCCTGTATATTATTACTTTCAGTCTTTTTGTTGTCAACATCTTCCATCTTCTTACCAATTACGGTACTTTCATCTTTTAAGGTAGCATCATTAGCAGTCTGACTCTCCCATACTTGTCTAGTGTTAGGGTCAAATACTGCTTTATTCTGTTCTTTGAATTTCTCTAAACGCTCTTCAGTATCCGACATAGGTTACTGGTTCGATATAAATAAATAATATGCAAAAATAGGACCCCCAAAAAAAATTACCAAACAAAAAATATCAGTCTCTCCACTAACCCTCTCCACTACTAGAAATAGTTAACTATATATATCTTGTTCTTGTTCTTGTTCTTCCTTTATGAGCAATACTTCTCAGTATTTATTAAAAAAGATTATTTCATCAACTTCAAGTGACTTCGTTGGTTTTCTCGAATTATCATTTCTTAGTCTTTTTTTGTATTTCACAAAATCATGTTACACGAAGATGGCATCGCCAAAACAAGTCAAATATAATAATTAAACGCCATATCAAGAGCAAGAGCAATAGTGTAAACTCTTTGATCATGCTTCGATTGATAGTAGACCACTGTTGACTAAGTTGTTTGTATTCAACGCCTGCTGCATATTTTGAGTCCTAGGTTAAGAGAACTTGTTTTAGGAGGGGAAATAATAATAATAAATGGCATCTGTGGTGGAGTTAATGCGAATTTCGAGAGAATGCACAGATCAAGCTCATAGATTGGGTTCTACTGTTAACGATGATAAAAGTTTAGAGCAGTATTATACATTGATCAGAACTTCAATTCAAGCCCTAACAGATATTAAGATGAACTACAGTTTAACTATTGTTCAGGATGTCTATGTCACATTTTCTTTGACGAAATTATTACTCGATGAAACTACTGATTGTGAGATTACAGAGACTTACCTTTCATCTCTCAGACAAAGGCTTCAAAACTATAAGAATGGTTCTGATTACATATATATGCAATACTGGCTACAAGTAGAATTCATTGCACTGTACGACGTTACTGTAAAAAGAAACTCGCAGTTTCAATATCGTGTGGCATTAAATAATTGTACTGGTTTAATATCATATTTGAAAAGTTTGTTTAACGAAGATAATTATGCTCTTAGAGAATGGTGTCAATTATTCCAATTAGTAGAAGTGTGGTTATGTGATGCTTTGAATAGAACAAAGAAAGTTAATGAATTATACCCTAACCTCCTAGTAGAATCTAAACAGATCAATGAAAAATGGCACATATTAATTGTTATATACCACATTAATTGGCTATTAGAGCAACATCAACAGATACCTAAGGAATATATGGATGAATTAAATAATGTAACTGTGGAGACGCTAGGTCCAGAACTCTACGTTATGAAATTAATGCTTTTGCTGACTGATAAGATCCTAAAGGATGAAAATATTACGGATACATTGACTCAATTTAAAACTTTCTTTGAGCAATACAAGGATCAATTAAATGAACAATCAGTGATAACTATCTCATTTAGTCAAGATGTGAATGTTGTTTTCAAACATTCAACATTGTTCCAATATAAGAATCTCAAGACTTTATTATTGTTTTTTCAAGCCGTAAGTTACCTAGTGAATTGTTATGATGAAACAGCTAATTTCAGTATTAAGTTTCTACCACGAGTTAAGAAAAACCTTGTCAAAGAATTACATCATAGAGAAGAGGTGGATTCAAATTTAATTGCTGTTTCATTAAATGATAGAAACTATAGAATGAAATGGTTCTCTCAACTCCTTGATCTAACCGAATTTTATAGAATTTGGGAGAGGCTTATATTAAAATCACATATAAGTACAAAGGATCTCAAAGATGGGGGTGGATATAACGATTTACTAAACGTAATGCATAATCAAGAAGAATCACAATCTGAAGATATAGCTAGCCAATACTACAATTTATCTCGGGAAACAGTGAGCGATGAAGTAGCTCTTATCTCGTTATTGAATTGTTATATCCTTCTAGTTTCCAAAATTAATGAGTGTGAAGACAATACAAAGCAGACTTTAATGGTACGTTGTGAAACAGTATGGCATGACATCGAAGTTTTACAAGATAAAAGTAACATTGCAAAAAACAATACTATGTGGGATTGCACTATAGTTATCATATGGCTAACATCTCATTTGGAACCTTTCACCGCAACCCCCTTACCTACTAATGATGAAACACGTAGTAAATATCTCGCACAATTACAAAGATATTATAGCAGTAACCGCCTAACATCAGTATCACACGACAATCATAATGAAATAGAAAAACAATATAAGTTAAAGAAGAGTGTATTTTTACAAGTAATGGTAAATTACCTTGGTGGTCGTTTATTAGAGACAGATCTAAAAAAGATAAATGAAATTTCAAATATATGCTTACAAATTACAAAAGGGCAACGTATGCCTTATATACGTTATGTGATTGGGTTATGGCACCTAATGAATTGCACAATCTCCATGAACAATAAAGAAGTTCTTATCACAAAAGCTAAAATTGAGTCAATCCTAAAGGAAATGTAATGAGTATTGGAGGACTAGTCATCAAATCATTCTTAGTACAATAATAAATAATGCTTGGATGTATACCCTTTAACAGTCCTTCTTCCCACCTGGTACAAGCATATTTATATTGTTACCACTAAGTAGTAATCTACCGTGATGCTCCATTACTAACTCGTTTTCGTTGTTCTCATTGATGGTCCATTCAGTTGCGTCTTCTATGATAACGTTAACAAAATCGTCAAATCCAACAAGAGTACCAGTAAATTCACGATTTGATTGTAGGATGATCCATACTTTTTGGTTAATTGTCTTATCAATGACTTCTAAAGGTAATATCTCGACTATACTCATTATGCTTTTATATGTGATGGTTAATAGTGTTTCTCGCAATAAAAAAATCTTAAAGTGAAGCTAAACACAGGTTAATAAACGGTAAGTTGATGGATGTTCAGTTTTGGTAATGTTAGTCCAAAGAGAAAAAGTAAAAGAAGTTAAACCCAGTCTTAATATTTTGGTTAAGCTCTCCTATTATTGTTTCTTTCAATCTTATTTCCTAATCCTGGTTTCATAATGGTTTACACATATTGGTGCATGCAATTTTGCGTTACGCTAATTATCCAGTTTTTCCTTTATTATTTTTCGTTTGGGTTTTTTTTCATTTTCGGCTTTTCGCAAATTGTTGTTTTCCATTCATAAATAACGATATTTTAATTATTTTAGAAAGCGCAAAAGTAGGGTTTGGAGAATTACACCCGGCTGATGTGTCATAGTAAATACTGCAGGGCGCACACATTGTCACGCAGAAAGTTTTACTTTGATAATTTGCGCAATTATCATACGCATATTTTAAATAGTGCGCACAATTTAGTGCACGACACTCTCACAAACCCTAACTTCTGCAGGTAGAGATGGTGACTTCAGCTGACCAAATTCAACATAAATAGTAAATTTAAAGACGGTAAAAGTCAGTTACTAAATCCGTACGATTTTTTATTACAAGTGATAGATAATCAATGTTGACAAATTTCGAAGTCAGTCAGCCATATGATTTTCTTAGAAAATAATAAACAAAGTTGGTGCAAAAATGACATTCCATGCAATATTTTATTATATTATGTTGTATTATCTTCATTGGCTACTTCAGGGAGAAATCTATACAACTAACGTACCGTTGTTATTGCCAATGGATGCAACGTTTTTCATTTGTGCACTCCTATTGGAATGTATATGTGCATATACATTTATGGCTAAGTGTAATAAAGGGTGTGTTTTGAATTAAAAGAAGAAGAGTCCCCCGATTTGAGCTCTACTTAATTCATTCGTCCTTTTTAAAGCTTGGACTAGAAATTATCGGTTAATCACGTAAGTTGTAAATACTGCTGGGTGCACAAGTGATGCTGTAACCTGACATTATAATCTCAATTTGCACCTGATTAATGTAATAATTCTACCAATCTTATAGTATTTTTTGGCTATTATCGTTTTTGTCCTGACTACTCAATGACTTATAATTATAATTAAATTGATATATATATAAGATATATCTATTGATACTTTTAGAAAGATATTTTTCTTTGAAGAATGTTTGATTTATTGTGAAATTTGTATCTCTGAAATCCGCAACTCAATAATTATATAACAATATAGAACTTCTTCTTTTTATTTTATTGTCGAGATGGTTAACAAAGTGTTTAGTGTTGCTGTCTTCTTTGTCGTCTTCAGAGAATGTCTTGAAGCAGTGGTTATTATATCCGTGCTTCTTTCCTTCTTGGACCAATCTATAGGTACAAGAGATCTTGCTTTATTCAAAAAGCTAAAAAAACAAGTTTGGATAGGTGTCGGAGTTGGCTTTGTGATATGTCTGGCAATTGGTTGTGGGTTTATTGGTGCTTATTACTCTTTACAAAAAGATATATTTGGGTCAGCTGAAGATCTTTGGGAAGGTATATTTTGTATGATTGCTACCGTTATGATTACAATGATGGGTATCCCTATGTTAAGAATGAATAAAATGCAAAGTAAGTGGAGAGTGAAGATTGCAAAATCCTTAGTAGATATTCCAAAACGTAAACGTGATAGATTTAAATTAAGTTATTTAACTAGTCGTTATGCAATGTTCTTATTACCATTTATCACAGTTCTTAGAGAAGGTCTTGAAGCTGTGGTTTTTGTCGCTGGTGCAGGTATCACCACAAAGGGTTCACAAGCATCTGCCTATCCGTTACCAGTATTTGTTGGTCTACTAGCTGGAGGATTTGTTGGTTGGCTACTTTACTTTGGGGCCTCTCGTTCTTCTTTGCAGGTGTTTCTGATAATTTCTACTTCTATCCTGTATCTGATTTCTGCAGGGTTATTTTCTAGGGGAGCATGGTTTTTCGAAAACTATAGGTTCAACGTTAAGACTGGTGGTGATGCCTCTGAAGGTGGTGACGGTAATGGTTCTTACAATATCAAGCAAGCTGTGTATCACGTCAATTGTTGTAACCCAGAATTAGATAATGGGTGGGATATCTTCAATGCTTTATTGGGATGGCAAAATACGGGTTATTTGTCATCTGTTCTTTGTTACAATATATATTGGGTTGTGCTGATATCCATCTTGGGACTCATGATCTATGAAGAGAAAAAGGGTCATTTACCATTTTTCAGACAGCTACATCTAAGGCAATTAAATCCAGGTTATTGGCTCAAAAATAAAAAAAAGGATGAAATGACTCAAGAACAAACAGAAAACCTCTTCCACAATTTAGAGAAGTTACAATTCAATGAAAATGGTGCCATTGATTTGACTGCACATCAGCAGAATGAAGAAGGCGCAGATGAATTTGGATCTTCAAGCCAGCAGCCCTTTGATAGTACAGATAAGAAACAAACTGTCGAAGACCACACCTTACAAATTCAAGAAACAAATGAAAGAAGCATATAATATCAATATAATCTTTTGTAAATACATAAAAGCCACATTGCCACATAAATGTTTTAATTAGTTAAACTTATCAGTTATTTCTTCTTTTTTTGCGTCATCAGCCACATAGAAAAATATATGGTAAGAAGTTCACTAGATTTTGCACCACCTCCCTCATCAGATCTTATCATGTGGCGCAAGCTCATTGTCAAAGTGGAATTATGGTATATAAAACAAAGGATTGATGATCAAGATTGATGATCAATAATACTATCCGTAATTAATATTATTCATTCACTTCCCTCATTTTATTTACCAAACTGAGGTCAATAAAGAGCTGAGTGCAATGGATTTGATAGAACCGATTGCTCCAAATAATGGGATCAATTATTTCAGTAAGGATGTCAATTCTTTTATTCTCGAGTATGGGAACGTGACAGATGTCGGGCGTCTTCTTTCAACATCCTCTTTGTTACTGAATCATTATAATGAACTCACCAAATTCCTTTTTCAAACCCTTAATGTAATAGATTGTAATCGATTATACCTCGACGAACTGTACAAAATTACTTATGATTATTACCAGAAACTATTTTATTTAATATTTGTTAAGGATAAAATTAATAATAATTTACCACTTAATACAGAATTGACTCAATTGAGGAATACATTAAGAACTAGTTTGATCAATGATGTGTCTATTATTAGAATACGGAAATACATGCGAAATAACGTAAATCTCCAAGAGACAAGGTGTTTCCTCGAGGTTAATAGAATCGAAACGAGGGAACTGCAGTCAGCAGTTCAGTCTAATACTAGTATTATTATAGAATATAGACCTTTCGATACCTCGGGGACCAATAATGAATATTTTAATGATTCGATCATCATATACCCAAGTATAGGTTCAGAATTTACTACGTTTGATTTTGAAACGTTAATTCAGAATTGTTCTTCTACAAAGCAATCCCTTTTATTAAAAGAAATTTCAAAATTCAACGAAATTATCCTCTGCTTACCATCACCAGATTTTATTCAATTATTACCACTTTTTATTACTTTTGTTAAATATTTTATTTCTCTAAACACATCAGTGCCAAGCATAAAGGCATATTACCTGAATCTTAATGATTTGGTTAAACAAAGTGAAACTTCAGGACAAATATTTAATACAAACTCATTCACAAATCAAAATAATAAAAATATCATTGTTGGGTTGGAAAATGAATACAATTCGTGTTACATGAATTGTATCATTCAATGCTTGTTGGAGATAAATGAGTTATCATCAATGTTGATATCTAATTCCTTTTTAAATAATATTGACTATATTAATCCAAAAAATAGCAAAGGTACAATCATTACTGCTCTAGCAAGACTGGAACAAACAATGGTAAAAAGTTCACTAAGCAACAAAATGTTCGACCAACAAAAAACGAGCTCTTGTCTTCAATTGAAAAAATGTTGTGGAACAATCAATCAAATGTTTAATTCTAACCATGAAGAAGATTGTTTGGAATTTTGTGAATTCTTGATAAATAGTATGCATGATGATCTTAAAAAAGGTACCTTCATTAGAGTTCCTCAGACTAATATTAACGGCAATAAGAATCAGAAGAACTTCGAAGAACAAGCATATTTTGCCTGGTATTCATACCTTGAGAAGGAGTTCAACCTTATTGTTGAATTATTCCAAGGGCAAATGGCTTCTATTTTACATTGTCAATATTGTTTGTATCAGTCTAATACTTTTCAAGTATTTTCTACATTATCATTGACGCTACCTCCTCACCCTTCATGTTACATCCATGAATGTATAAACCAATTTTATAGACCAGAAAATCTGATGGGGAACAATGAATGGGAATGTTCTAATTGCAAAATGAAAAGACCTGCCACACAAAGATTACAGATCACAAAATTTCCAAAAATATTGATTGTTCAATTAAACAGATTTAGTAATTATATGAACAAAAATACTTGCTATGTAAAATATCCTCCTATTTTAGATTTATCTGTTTACAGAAATACTGAGAATATTATACCAAAATATTCGTTATTTGGAGTTACTTGTCACACAGGGACAATGGATGCTGGACATTATTCGTCGTACGTAAAGAAACAAGAAGATTCGTGGTGGCATTTTGATGACGCAAAGTGTAGACCTGTACATTTTGCAAATGAGTTCATCTCCCCAAATGCATATGTTTTATTTTATAAGATGATTGAATAAGGTAAATAATTTTTAATCTTTTTTTGCTTATAATATTTTTTAAAATATTGTTGTTAAGATATATAATGTTTACAAATAGGTGTACTGGTTTACAACATATAACATATTAATATGTTTTACCTGTTGTAGTAAATAACAATGAACGTCATTATATAAGAGATATCTTATATTTGTATAGTCACATATAGTGAACGAAGGGGTTACCTTCAGTGCTAATGAGGACACAACTAAATCTGTTCCAAATCATTGAAGTAATGATAAAAGGAAACGAAGAGGCAGATGATTGATATTGAATGTCCGTATGAGAAATATGTAGATGAATATGTTACCAAAGTTGGTAGTAGCTCATTGGAACAATAAAGAGGCAGCAAATTCAGGGTTCCCTCCAGTCATATTTAAGGCCTTAATCACTTCAGCCCTTGAGAAACCTAGATCCATCAATTGCTGAACCACTTTAGGCGGATAAGTTTGAGGTATATTAGAATTACTACTATTGTTACCAAATTGCTGATTATTTTGTGGTGGTGGTCCCGATAATGAAGTTCTACTTGAGTCCATTATCTGAGGTACAGGAATATTCTTCAAATTATTTGTTTCATTTGGTTTCCAATTATTTGATGACGTGTTTGATTCTGATAAATTGGCAGATTCAAATTCTTTTGGAATATCAGCCTCACCTAAGAAAGCTGTCTCAATATCTGCAATCTTTAACACATTTCTTCTAAGATCAACGCAAGCTTGGTGTCTTTTTAGCATATCTAATCCAATCAATAAATCGATTTGAGTATCGAGGACAACAAAACTACTTGGAATAAACTGAGTCTCTATCTTTACTAGGGCTTGATGTATTCTACCAATAATTTGACCAACACCTACACCTCTAGCTTCACCGATAAATCTCTTATCAATTAATTTTGTCAACCCTGTCCTTTCTGCCAACCCTGTTGACATAATAGTCATCTGTGCACCTGTGTCGACGAAGGCCTTTACAGGGGTCCCATTAATCTCCAAGTTGATATATAACATCGTTACAGTAGTGAAAACTTCTGGTGTATATTCATAGGCATTTCTTAGTTGTTCATCGATTACTTGTTGATCAATCAATTCTGCTATCCGTTTCTTATTCTCAGGTAAATCAGGATTGTCCATTAGTTTCTGATATTCTTGTTGCGGTATATTGAATGGATTTGTTTGTGGATAGTTTAACATATTAGGATAACGTCTTTGTAAAATAGAAGGGCCCAAACTTTCAGAGAAAGTTTGTGGATTTTCTATAGTTTCGTTCAATCCAGGGATTTGTTCAGTTAACTGTTGTCTTAATGGTTGATTTCTTTGTAATTCATGTCTAAATTGTTCAACATATTGTTCATCGGTTAGATTTGTATTACTTTGGGACCCGATTGGGAATAAATTTTGAGGTCCATGATTAAACTTGTTTCTAATTAATAATAGATCATTATCTTTCAGCCCTATATCTTCTACACTTCTCTCTGAATCGTGCTTGATGTCTAAGATATTTGTCTGATGATATATATCATTTTTAGAAGAGTCAAACTGACAGTCTAACTCAAGCAAAGCCACTAGATCGGCTAGATCAGTGTCATCACTTAACTCTACGGGTCCATATAATTGGCCAGTTATTTCATTAGAAATAGTCAATCTCATTGGTGATAGTTATATAATAAAATGAAGATGCTATTGGTTAGATGACTTTTAGTCGTATAATTTTTAAAACGTTGGTATAGTTGGCGGGGGTGGGGAAGTTTCGATAAGATATCTACCAATACTCCTTCCAAGAAAACAAAGTCAGTAAAACTTAAAAGAGCTAGAAGTTAATATCGATAATAGTTGTATCGCTCTCTTGATAATCCAGTTCTAAAAGACTCTTGTCTATTTCTTTCAACTTTTTTTATTTTGTGATCCGATTTTAGCGTATTCTTGTAGATCTCAGTAGTTTTAACACCGTAGATCTACCCTTAAACTTTGGAATCAGCGATAATTTAAAAAAGAAAAGATCGAGAAAATGAAGACTGAAAAAAATCTGACACTCTCTCAAATTTACAGCGGTCTGTTGTTTGACTTTCACTGTGATGGTGATCCAAAATGGGTGTTTGTCTGCCTTATTTAGACCCTTCTTGATTTCAAATATGTTTTGTTCTGTTCTTTCTCATTCTTCTTTTTATAGCCACCGACACCCTTTTTGCCATCATCGCTCGTCGAGAAATCGAAATTCTTCCAAGGGGGGACAGAAGCCCGAGATAGAGATATCACCAACAGTAATCATTATTATATAAATGATGAGACCATCGACAAAGGAATGAGTGTGAACTTAGATGAGACCACTGAATAAAAAGGTGGGATTTTGCAGATAGAATGAGACAATTTTTATCAAGATGAAGAGGGTAATTGATGATGTTCATGGAGAATCTGAAGGAGTGGTAGCGGGTACCGTTAAAATGATTAAGTTTGAAGATATACCGCAGGAATATAGGGATAGACATATCCCTGCATTTTCAGATGCAATGGATTTTATTTTGAAGCTAGACGATTCTTTGGTTCCTGTGTTTATGAAGGCTGATTTTGAACTGTTTAAGAAGCCTGATATGGGTTATGACGGTGAACCTTCAGATGATGCAAAGTTACAGAATGCATTTTCAAAATTAGGAGGAGCCATTGTTGGGCAACAGATCAGTAACTCCGCAGCAAGGTCGATTAGGATTAAGTTCATGGCATTGTTTGATGGAACGTTCCCCATATATAAAGAACTTAAGGAGTACGTCAAGACCCCCGATAATATCAAAAATATGAGGGAGAGTGGGTTAAGTCAACGGAAAGTTACTTATTTGGAATCCTTAGCGACATATTTTTCAGATAATGAAGAGCGATTGAAACAAATGTATTATCATGTAGAAAGTGAAGACAATGATGATGAAATCATGGATGATCTGGTTGCCGGTGTGAAAGGTATTGGTCCATGGACTGCCAAGATGTTTTTGATATCGGGATTAAGACGAATAAATATTTTTGCTCCGGAGGATGTTGGTATTGCAAGAGGTTTCTCTAGATACATTTCTGATAAACCGGAGTTATTAAAAGAATTGATGGACGGTAGAAACGCTGTAAAGAAGAGTAAAATAAAGCATAAGAAGTTCAACTGGAAAGTGTATGATGACGATATTATGGAACGTTGTGCGGATAAGTTTGCTCCTTATAGGACGGTCTTCATGTTTTTGTTATGGAGGTTATCAGCTACTGGTAAGCTTGATGTTACAGTTGATGTAGAAAATCAATTTGTCAATACATTGTAAATTATATGTATGTATGTATATCTAAGATTGTTTATATGAAATTACAAAATAAACATTTTTTTAAGAGGAAAAAAATAAATAATAAATATTCAATATTTACAGAAATATATTAATTATATATATATATATACTTTTAAACAGTTGGAGATTGTATTCTCGATTATTTGCTTGCCAATTTCGAGGCTTCTGTCATGATCTTACTTCCAGAGTTAGTAGTTTTCTTCAACAATTGTTGAGCATATCCACTATTGATCAAAGTTTTCACATTACCTCTTGGTTTTCTCACTTGATTAGCAAAGATCACTGCGGTAGTAACAAGAGCTAAAGAGCCAGCTTGATGTAATGAGGCAAGAGGTGTTGGAACAACCCATAGGATCGTAAAGATACCTAACGCAACTTGTAAAGTGACTACACCCATTAGTGCATGAACACTCATTTGAGCATTTCTTGGCATTACAAGTTTTTTCTTCAAAGCATACATATGAACAGCAAGGACACCACAGAATGCAGCTGTAGCAAATGTTCTATGAACCAATTGTACTGTGGTTGGGTTTTCCAATAGATTTCTCCACCAGGTATCTTTTTTATCATCTCTACGTGAAAAATTCTCGTCCATTAATTCACGACCACTTGGGAACCAAGTAGCACCCATCTTTGGCCATGTATTATAGATCATACCTGCATCCAAACCAGCAACCATACCACCGGACATAGCAGTCACGAAACAGAAAGCCAATAGAGTCAAAGCAATCTTTCTCATTGGTCCTAAAGCTGGATTATTCAACTTTTGGAATAATTTTCCAGCTTGTTCAGGATTCTTCATCCATTTGTTTTCCTTAAGAATATCTAGACCAGTCCATAACATACCCATGTATAAGAAGAAGGCTGCACCCAAATGCGTGGTCAATCTATATTGAGAAACAGTTGGTTTAGATTTTCTTGCGTTCAATTGGTCTTGATCCAAACCGGACTTAACCATCCACCAACCTAAGAAACCTTGTAAACCTAGTAAAGAAGTTAGACCTAAAAGTCTTTTATTAACATGTGCTGAAGTTCTCTTGGTAACGGCAAAATAGACTGCAGGAGCAATAAAGACAAGACCGATACCACGGCCCCATAATCTATGAATCCATTCCATAAAGAAAATGAACTTGAATTCATCCAAATTAATATGAGAATTCAATTGTTGAAACTCAGGGGATTCCTTATATTTCAAAAACTCTTCTTCCCATTCCTTTTGGCCGATTGGTGGTAATGAACCTGTTACAGGTTTCCATTCAGTAATAGACAAACCAGATTCAGTCAATCTTGTTAAACCGCCAAGAACAACAATACCAAAGACTAAACCAGAAGTACCGATCAACCAGTAAGCAACGGTGTTAGATGTCTTCACAGAGTTAACCATATCTGGAGTTACTTGTTCAGCAGTCTCATTCAATAAAGGTTTAAAAGAATTAAAATTACGATTTGGACTAGAACTAAAATTCCATTTAGATCCAAACATCGTGTTTCGTTTCATTTGACTAGTTTTTTCCTTGAAAAGAGGAGTCATAGAATAATTTCTAACACCGACTTGAGCCATACAGGAGGAAACATTACTAGCTAGCTTAGAGCATCCTTTGTTAAACACACAGTTTCTAGCAAAGAGCTTCGAGGAGACACTAAGGGCGTTTGAATCCCTCAAAAGCGTCTTCAAAAGCAGCATTGCTGGTAATAACTAAAAAAAACACAAAAAATAATAGTAGCAACAGACTATTTTTCGCCTTCAACTATTAAAAAATTCGAGCAATTCGATTGAGAATAACTTATCCTTTCCTTTATTAAAAAGGGTTGAAAATATATATACATATATATCTGCTTACCTGTAACGTCTCCCTAATTATTATATTCATTGTTTATATATGCGTATTCCCTAAAAAATTCACTGAAATTTCCATTATTTTTTTGGCTTTGCGCGGTTTCTTCGGAGCAATTTATCGCTTATAATATAAGTGTCGTGCAGAGTGATTTAGTGGGGGAGGTATACGCACATTTCATGCTAAGTTATGATCTCAACCATACCCTGTTTACCAAATGGCTTTTGAGACCATCGTGTATCTGGTGATGCTGGAGAGTGAGTCAGGTTTGTGGAGGTCACGGTCGTTCCGTTTCTCTGTGTTGTCTGGGGGGATAGTAGTCTCCGGATCGTGGATGATTTTTCTGGCAGGGTGGTCCATCTTACCTATCCCATCCACTACTGGACCTGGGACATAGTCCACAGCGGTGACCACTGTTGAATATCTGTGTAGGTCCCACTCAGACTGGATATGAACCCCCCATTTTAGCAAGGTCCGGTGGGTTACTTGTCTTAATGAGAGTAATGTGACGAACCAAACTAGTGATAACACCACAGAGATTGTTAATTTGGACCACTGAGTGGACTCAAACAAGTAAAATAACGATGACCGTAGCATAACAATACTAAGAGTAACGTAGGCTAACATTGGGAGTCCCAAACGTTCTTGGTAATCCTGTTGGTTTGTAGCGTGATCTCGATACATGATGTAAAAATATTTATCATAGATCTGTGGTCGTATTCTATTAAATTTCGTAATATAAGCATGTTTGATCCAATCAACTAGTATCTCGGACATGAAAATATTGAATATTGGTAATGATACCATTGTTATCAATAGTTTCTTGTCGAATATTGCAGTTATATCCCATTGGATGGGAGCAGAGGTTCCAAGGTTTCGTAACATAATAATTGTCACCAACACTAACAGTTTGAACCGTTCCATAGAATCTGCCATTGTTATTTGAAACAAACTTTCTTTATCAAATTTCTTAAACACAGAACTCTTGATCTCTGCGAATTGTAAAGATAAGAGTAATGTCAATAACGAATTGGAATATGAATTTACCGCTACATTTAAAGAAATTGTTTGATAGATTAACACAGACGTATGGCATACAAGGTATGTTAAACTGAGGAGTATTAACGATAATTGTTTGGCTCTCATATTCCTGTAACTAGCCTTTGTCAATAACACACTCAACAAACTTTGACCTATTGTGGCTAACATCTTATCAGCAATCTCTAGGACATTAAACAACATGTACAGTTTCATCGCACTTTGTCTTTTGATCTTATGATATACTTTCGAAGTATCCAAATGACTTATTATAATTGTAACACTTAATATTAAAAATAAAGATACCCGTTCCTTGTATGTCCTCGCCAATCTCGAAGTGGTAGGGTTGCCACTATATAGTCTTACGCCTATCTTGATAGGTAACACAGTAAAATAATATAGGAAACAATCTAATGATGCTAACAGTGTAAAACTCATGAATTTCTCAATCTGTATCGGAATTCTAAGCATGTTCATCAATTGTTCTATCTCAACATCTGTCTTGGAGTTCCTATTATTTTTGGTATCACTATCTTTCGTTTGTAAAGGATGGTAATCCAATTCCGACAACCATCGAATAAATCGATCGTTCTGCGGTAGTTGTGACTGTTTCTTAACTTTAACGCTCTTCTTCTTCATTACTTCAATTAGTATAAAAACATAATCTGTCCCTACCCCTGTTATGATTATATATATATCATTTGGTATGTATTACTTGTTACTCTTTCCTTTCACTTTGTTTCTTTGTAGTTATAACATCTTTTCTTAATCTGATCATTCTTTCGTTTGTCAGGAATTATAATGTTTTCCTTCTTCACACTACACATGTGAAAGAGAAAAGAAGAGAAATTAAAAGTCAACACTACAAAGAATAGGGAACCAGCAGTCTGAAAGAGATTAAAATAGAAGTTAGAAACAATAATTCAAAGTTGCACTTTATCGGTTTCATCCATATTTATTTACAATATATATTTTGAACCGAAATGACAGTAACATTAAAGAACATCCAAGATGAGGTCCTAAAACCATTCCAAAACCATAGACAACTTTCGATTAAGGAATCGGAAATGATGACTCTAGAATTATTAACGTTATTATGTGATGACGAGATAGATAAAGGAAGCACACTGAAATATGTGGCCAAATTAATAACGCCGACAACTTATGATGATCTTATTGAGGAGAGAAACCTTAATCATTTATGTGGATATCCATTGTGTGGCAAACCTCCTGAACGAAATATCCATCACTCAGAATCAGCGTTACATCATGGGACCTCAGGTGTGATGGCATCTCATCAGAATGATGCAATTATTAAGAGATTTTTGTGGGAAAATAATCCATATGCTTACCTTTCTAAATTCTGTTCTAAATTCCACTTCCGTTGCTCTCAATTTTACCAAGTACAACTGGATGAAAATGCCTTATTTAGTAGAACAGGTATTCATTTGATTAATGATACCTTAAAGAATAAAGATGATGATGAGAACGAGAATGGGGCCTATCAAGTGGTAATGTTTGAAGATTTATTGAGGGAAAAGAGTACCGAGGAAGATGTGAAATCTTTGATTGTAGGTTTAAAGAAATTAGGTTTACATAGTTCATCTGGTGATACTGAACTTTCTGAGGACAAACTTTTAGAAGACGAACTATCTCAGTGGCTGAGTGATATTAAGATTGTTGAAAATAGTAATCCTCCTCTCATGGGTGATTTAGAAAAAGAGAACTGAATTTTTTTAATAATCATGAAATTAAAAACTAGAAGTACATTCTAGTATTATATTGATTATCAGATTTGTTACATGAGAGGTCGTTTTATTTTCTGAGAGGGATTTAGTGGGTTATCAAATGATCAATGGTAACGGTATATATCTTTCAAGGAATGACGATGTGTTTTAAATCAGACAAAGGTGTAGTGGAAAGAGCTGGAGTCTATATCTGATTAATGATATTATTCTGGTATGATGGAACTCAAAAAAGTATATATTAATGCATTATATACTACGATCTATCTATATAGTCAGAAATATTTCTCAATAAATTTACAACCAACGATATGGTTTGGTGTGAATAACATATATAAATAATGCAATTAATAAATCAAAATAAAAAGAGTAGTAAATAATCATCTAGTTGTTAAATAGATCAGAAGATATTGAGTGTATATGTAAATGAAGAGAATCTGAGATAGAGGGTTTGCCTCTAGTAGTCTCTGCAAGCTTTAATCTGTTTGATTCGGACATTTTATAATATGATAATTGATCGTTCTCTTTTTAATATATAATATATAAGTTACATATTAAAGAACATTTAATATTTTATTTATATTATATTAAGAGCTTCCTTTTTATATCATTTTCTTTAAAGGTTTTTCTTTCCTCAATCACACCTTTCATTTTTGTTTTGTTTGATTCTTATCGTTGCTTGATCCTTATCAATGGTTGATTCTTATCAAATGTTTTCTTTACCTATTTTAATTAAGAGTTGTGCATGTTACTCTTAATTTCTGACCTTAAAAATAAGTTTGAAATTGAGAAAGTACGATCAGTATTCAAGTTTGTAATATCGAGCATGGTTATAGATTTTCAAATGCGTTATCTTGACGTTTATTTTATGTTATATAAAGGAGATTTTATATATAGAATGTTAGAATATGTTCTGTCTTTTATACGTTTAGGAAAAGGAAGTACAACTATCAAATATTTATAGTGTGCTTACAAAATATTCTTAAAGAACGTTCTAGAATCTCATACGATAAATAATAATAATCGTAGAGAATCTGAGATAATGTTAAATATAGCGGCAGCACTAAAAAGGCTAACATTAGCTTAACCTAACTGAAGGTGAAGGTAGCTAATATAAGTAGAATTTAGAGTGTGCTGCACCGTCGTATATATAATAACACATGATATATACTGCATAATGTAGTATTCGTTCCCCCTACATTGGGTTTATTGGAGCTACATAGTCCAACGTTACTGTCAGAAATTAAGAGTAATATGCACAACACTTAATTTCAATAGGTAAAGAAATACCTTTAAGCACAGTTATTATGAAGCGTGTTAAAATATGAAACAAAATATGTGGCAACATGAAACAAAGTTAATCGCATTATGAAACAAAACATAATTCGAACCTCAATTGAGATTAGAATAAAAAAATATATAAAGACAAAGAATTCTGAACTTGCATTCGAAGTTAGATTCTATTTGTTCTATAAATTATATATAATATAAAGAGACTGATCGATTATCGTATTAAAAAATGTCCGAATTAAATAAAGTAAAGCTTGAAGAGACTAATAGAGGCAAATACTCTATCTCAGATTCTCTACAGTTACTATGCACAAAAGATGAGCAGTTTAACAACAGCAACTCTGTTTAACATATATTCTCGATTTCAAACTTACGTTTACATTATTACAATTAATAACTAAACTAGAAAGTTTAAATTTTAAAACCTTTGTTGTTGTGAAGAATATAGAGTTACGTAAAATTTTTCAGAAAATACGGTTTCGTGGTCTAGTTGGTTATGGCATCTGCTTAACACGCAGAACGTCCCCAGTTCGATCCTGGGCGAAATCAATTTTTCTTTTTACTGACCATATATGGGTTGTTTCCGTTTTGGTACTTTCACTGTGGTACCTTAACAATAAGGCTTCTACATCAACCTTGCGATTCATTGTAATTCACACATATATTTGTCCTCAATTTTACCAGTACGACTTACCCATTTATAATATAATATATATATATATATATATGTAAACTTCCTTGAACAAACTTCCTAAGCTTCATATTACAAAGAACATAATGCTCAGCTGCAACCAGCATTCAAACAAGATATTAATTCTGTTTGCAGTATTCAAATGGCTCCTTTTCAAAATTCCTGAAGTGGCTGTCATATTATCCATCCATCGATACGAAACCTGTGTTCGAATCATCTCTCGCTCTCCCTCCCAAAAAAAAACAGGCAATCCCCACGGATTCTTTTGCGAGAAAAAAACTGCGAAAGGTACCAACAACGAGAAAAAGCAGACGAAGACGACGGTCGTTTGACCTTTGGCCCCTCTCCTTTTCTGGATTTGTTTTTAAGAGAGATTGGAAAAGGGAAACTTGATAAAATAATTAAAAGAGTTATCAACATAGATACCTTTTTTAATTAGTAATTGGGGTGGTTAACAATAGCAATAATATATAAGCACACATATACTGAATATTTTATTTAAGATGAGTGAAGAAATGGATACAGAATACGATGTGATCGTTCTAGGTACAGGGATCACTGAATGTATTTTATCAGGGTTATTATCTGTTGATGGTAAGAAAGTTTTGCATATCGATAAACAGGATCATTATGGTGGTGAATCTGCTTCTGTCAGTTTATCTCAATTATACTCCCAATTTAAGAAAAATCCGATTGGTAAAGATGAAATTGAAGCTAAATTTGGTAAAGACAGAGATTGGAATGTTGATTTAATTCCTAAATTTTTGATGGCTAATGGTGAACTAACCAATATATTGATTCATACTGACGTTACTCGTTACGTTGAGTTTAAACAAGTTTCGGGATCATATGTGTTTAAACAAGGAAAGATTTATAAAGTTCCTGCTACAGAAATGGAAGCAATTTCTTCTCCATTAATGGGTATCTTTGAGAAACGTAGAATGAAGAAATTTTTGGAATGGATTAGTAGTTATAAAGAAGATGAAATAAGTACTCATCAAGGTTTGGACTTAGATAAGAATACAATGGATGAAGTTTATTATAAATTCGGTTTAGGTAATTCCACTAAAGAATTCATCGGACATGCTATGGCTTTATGGACAAATGATGATTATTTACAACAACCTGCAAGACCTTCTTATGAAAGAGTTCTCTTATATTGTCAGAGTGTGGCTCGTTATGGTAAATCTCCTTATTTGTACCCATTGTATGGTCTTGGAGAGTTACCTCAAGGGTTTGCTCGTTTATCTGCAATTTATGGTGGTACTTATATGTTAGATACACCTATTGAAAAGGTTTTCTATTCCAATGATGACGCAGAGAATGGGAAATTCGAAGGTGTACAAACTAAATTAGGTACTTTTAAAGCTCCTTTAGTGATAGCTGATCCAACATATTTCTCTCATAAATGTAAATCTACTGGTCAAAGAGTCATTAGAGCCATTTGTATTTTGAATCATCCAGTGCCAAACACTAGTGATGCTGATTCTTTACAAATCATTATTCCTCAATCTCAAGTAGGTAGAAAAAGTGATATCTATATTGCTATTGTATCTGATGCTCATAATGTTTGTTCTAAAGGACATTACTTGGCTATCATTTCTACTATTGTTGAAACAGACACTCCACATATCGAATTGGAACCTGCTTTCAAATTACTGGGGCCTATCGAAGAAAAATTCATGGGGATCGCAGACTTGTTTGAACCAAAAGAAGATGGCTCCAAAGATAACATCTATCTATCCAAATCATACGATGCGTCCTCTCATTTCGAATCCATGACAGATGACGTGAAGGACATCTACTTCAGAGTTACAGGACATCCCCTAGTCTTAAAGAAAAGAAATGACCAAGAATCACAACAACAAGAATGAAAAATGTGCTAATATATATATATATATTATTATTATTATCGAAAGAGGGAATGAATGACTGATTACTCACTCTTTTTATAGGTGCTTTTCTTTTTCTTTTTTACGGCTAAAGATATGATTACATACACTCAGGTATCTATCAGGTCACATATTTGTACCATTGACTGATTGTGTTTATTACTTTATCCTTTTTTATATTGTTTTCTACAATCTTTTCTTCATCTTCGACCTTATTTTCATTCTTATTTCCCAATTCGAAAATAGAATATTGATTGTTGTTCGCCATAAAAATAGAATTCTAAAGAATTGAAGACGATAATTGATATACCTATATCTATGTATATTTATATATATGTGAAAAAATGACTATAATATGTTCGTTATCATATGAGTAAGTTGAAATTTTTTACAAAGATTGTTTCAAGCGTTAATTTATATAACCGCGTAATGCTAAAAACAAATAAATAACCAATAAAGAGAGTTTAGCTTCAAATCCTGGACAATTGCAAAAGGGGTCGACAGTATATTCCTTTTGGCTCAAATATACTAATATAACTATACCTACCTGTACATGATGGATACAAGTATATATGAAGCTTGTAACGACTTGGTGACAGAATTCCATACACAAAAAGTAAGTCCCGATGAGATTCTAGCAACAAAAGTAAGTCACTCGGTCCCAATCCCTTTCAAGACCCGTGACGATCTGGAGAGAGATACCAGAGCAGATAGAGAAGAAGGACTCTTCCATGGAGATGTTTTACCACGGATAGATCTAAAAGTATTACATTATTTTGCAACACAATTGTGTTTACAAAAATATCCACATTTGATTAACGCGATGGATGAGACATGTATGATTACTTTGGGATTAGTTGTCGAACAATGGATAGAAGAATATTTAACAAGTATAAATGATGAGGTGATCAGCAACAGTGAAGATACGGACGATGAAGTAGTACTGGATCAAGACTCTATTAACGGCACCTCTCTGGATAAATACAACGACGACCCACCCAAGAAACGGGTCCGCATTGGAGGAGGACCCTCTGAAGTAATTGCAAATATCATGAATGGAGCAAGTAGCACCTCAAATATTTAGCTATAACTCCCAAATATTACGTGGTCATGTATTCAATTATAATAAGTCCATGAAATCCACGCCGGCTCGTAAAGCATGATATTCTGGCCGACCAGAAAATTGAACTGAAAAAAAAGGAAAAATTTTCGAAGTTCAGTTGGGATGAGATCAAAGTTTCTTAGAGATGCCAAAGTTAATTGAAAAACAGGCATCTCATCATCTTAGTCAACTTACAGTTTTTACAAATTGGAATGGTCTGAAGGGTTTTTTCTGAAAGATAATTAATAAGATACATAGGGATAATTGCTAAGATGGCTAGAAGAAAAGGTGGTAGAAAAGGTAACAAGAAGACATTTGGTGCTCGTGATGATACCAGAGCTCGTGTAGGTTGGAATGACCTGGTTAGAGAGAATGAAAAATGGGAAAAATATTATAAGACTTTAGGTTTAATCAAAGAAGATGAATGGGACAGTTTCAAAAAAACTTGTCAATCTCCATTACCACTTACCTTCAGAGTTACTGGTTCCAGAAAACATTCTACTGAGGTTTTAAACCTATTTAGGGAAAAACATCTACCAAACTTAACCGATGTAACCTTCGAAGGTGAAAAGATTAAGGCTCCAATGGAGTTGAAATGGTATCCAAACGATTATGCTTGGCAATTGGATGTTCCAAAGACTGTCATCAGAAAGAATGAACAATTTGCAAAGACTCAAAGATTCTTGGTTTTGGAGAACGCTGTGGGTAATATTTCCAGACAAGAAGCTGTTTCAATGATTCCACCAATTGTTTTAGATGTTGAACCACAACATACCGTTTTAGATATGTGTGCTGCACCAGGTTCCAAGACTGCTCAATTGATCGAAGCTCTGCACAGAGGTGCAGATGAACCAAGTGGGTTCGTTGTGGCCAATGATGCTGATGCAAGAAGATCTCATATGTTAGTCCACCAATTGAAAAGATTAAACAGTGCCAATTTACTTGTGGTTAACCATGACGCTCAATTTTTTCCTAGAATTAGAACCAATGAAGATACTAAGGACTTCTTGAAATTCGACAGAATTTTATGTGATGTTCCCTGTTCAGGTGATGGTACAATGAGAAAAAATGTCAATGTGTGGAAAGATTGGAACACACAAGGTGCCTTGGGTCTACACACTGTTCAATATAACATTCTAAACAGAGGTTTACATTTATTGAAGAATGGTGGTAGATTAGTTTACTCTACATGTTCTTTGAACCCAATCGAAAACGAAGCTGTTGTTGCTGCTGCTCTAAGAAAATGGGGTGACAAAATCAGATTAGTTAATTGTGACGATAAATTACCAGGTTTGATTAGAGATCATGGTATCTCAAAATGGCCAGTATTTGATAGAAATATGGATGTCAAGAGTAAAACTGATGAAGGTATGTTAGAAAGTTGGTTCGAGCCTTCTAATGAGGAAGCCGAAAAATTCGGTCTAAATAACTGTATGCGTGTCTATCCTCACAAACAAAACACTGGTGGTTTCTTCATCACTGTCATTGAAAAGGTCAATGAGGAACTAACTGGTTCTTCTGAAACTTCTAGCAAGAGACCTGCCACATCATCTATTACTACTTCTGAACCTGCTGCAAAAATGCAAAAAAATAACGACGCTGAACCTCAAAAGAAGGAAAGATTACCTATTGATGCTAACGAAGAACCTTTCATCTTTGTAGATCCTGAACACAAATCATTGAAGTCTTGTTGGTCCTTCTACGGTATTGATGATAAGTTTCAAAAGAATACCTGTCTGGTTAGAAATGGTACTGGTGAACCAACTAGAGTTGTGTATACTGTTGCCCCATCTTTGAGAGATATTATTCGTGCTAATGATGACAGATTAAAGATGATTTATTCCGGTGTTAAATTGTTTGTATCTCAAAGAAGTGACATTGAATGCTCTTGGAGAATCCAAAGTGAATCCCTACCCATCATGAAACATCATATGACTTCTAACAGAATTATCAAGGGTAATCCAGAAATGCTAAAATTGTTACTGTTAGAGGCTTTCCCATCATACGAAGACTTAGAAAGGGATAACCTTGATCCTGAATTTGTTAAAGAAATGCGCGCTATCAGCTCAGGGTGTGCTTTCATTGATGTTCAAAGAAATGACGATAACAAAGAGAACTTGTTTTTGCCAGTTTGGAAGGGTTCTAAATGTATCAACTTAATGGTATCTAAAGAAGATACTCATGAATTGCTGTATAGAGTGTTTGGAGTTGAAACAAGTGCAAAAGATAACAAGCAAGCTCAAAAACAAGCTGAACACCAACAAGCTAAAACTGAGGAAACTCCAGTTGCTGAAGTTATTGCTGATGATGATTCCAAATAAAATGTAATACGTAAATAAATGAGTTCAATACATAACTCGTGTAACTTTGTATATTATTTTATCTCAATGTTTATTTATCTCAATGATCAAAAACAATCAATATATGTCAAAGAATGATTTCTATGCTATGCGATATATATATATATATATATATATATTAGTTACGCGAAGTTGAAAAGTTCGTCACCACATCAACAAAGAATGATATCGAAGTTTAAAGAACAAGATATCCCCTACATTAAAGATCAATAACCATAGTGACATTTCAGTTTAATCCATTATCACCATCGTTTTATTAATAATCTGCTTTTAATTTTACTAATTAAAAAATGGATAATTTGACAGCTGAAGACTATTTAACACAACAGACAGCATTAGAAGAAGAAGCAAAAGAATTAATGCCATGGGACCCAAAAACATGTACTTATACATTAGGACCATTAAAGCAACAAATATATGCATGTCTTTCGCATGATAACATTGGTATATGTTATTCCTGTTCTATTCGTTGTCACACTTCATGTGAGATAGTGGAATTATTCACGAAAAGACACTTTACTTGTGATTGTGGAACAGAAAAAGATAAAAGAATAGATTCGAAGAGTTCCGCATATAAATGTGAGATACGTCAAAATAAAGAATCTGATATTGCTGCTGTTGATAATGTATATGGGCATAATTTTGAAGGTTTATTTTGCGATTGTTCTAAGGAATATGACCCAGAGTCCCCAAGTGTTATGATTCAATGCATATTGGGCCTTGTTTGTAGGGAGGATTGGTATCATGACTATTGTATAATGGGTTATACAGAGGATGAATTGAATACTGTAACAAGGAAATTAGGGGAAGGTAAGTCCGAGAACCTTATTGATGGCTTCCCAGATTTAGAGTCATTTGACTCTTTTATTTGTTGGAAATGTGTGTCTAGTTATAAATATTATTTCCAAAAGATAATATCTAATGATTTGTCTAAGAATATAATATCTTGTACTATTAATCATGGAAAATCGTCTCATTTTATTAACGCTAATGGTAAAAGAGCTAATTCAGATAGTGAAATCCCATATTCAATTTTCTTAAAGGAAGATTATAGTAAGGACTTAGAGAAATTAAGAGATTCCTTGATAGATCGTAAGGACAAATTATATATCTTTTTGACAGAGTTAGCACCATTTTTGATTAAAGACGACGAATTATATGAGCCTCCTACCGAAGAAAACGAGTCAATGGTAGATATAATAAGTAAGTCACTGTCATCGTCGATGAGTACGTCGGATATTATTTTAGGAACAACTGCGCTACACAAGTTGCAGTCTAGCCTTAAAGAGTTTCTCAAGCCCTTTGCAGAAAAAGGTGAAGTTGTTAAAGATGAAGATATAAGTTCGTTCTTTCAGTCATCTAGTTAGGGAGCGGAAATTTGATAATTTGGTATTGATATATGAAAAAATAATGAACCCCTAAGAAATAACGGAACATGTGAAGCATGGAACTACACCGCTTCATCATACTGCAGTTTTTGAGATACCCCTTCATTTAAGGAATGAAAGCTATAAGCTTATTACACTTGAAAAAATATTGTTACCAATATTCTTTTAGAGGTTCATTAATTTATGATCAGAATTAGAAATAGCATCAGGCCCAATTAATTATTTTTAAAACGAAGTTAATAAAATGTTAGCTTAAGATAAGATCTGAAAAACAAAAACAACTGAAGATTTTATTTATGCCTGTCACTTCATTGATATTATACCTGAATTCAGAGTGAATATTCACCTCTTACATATTGTGAAATCCCTGGAACTGCTATAAATAGGGTACGGTTTCTGTTCGTTCATTTTTTTGTTGTTCCTTGAACTTATTTCATTGCCGCACACTAATAGTTTAGTCAATAATAACAACTAGCTACACAACTTCTAGTTGTTCCTCCCAAATTTATGATAGATAGTTTCTAAATGTGTCGTTGTAACTGTTATAATATAGAAAGTAGCAATACTTAGTTATTACAATTTTATGTTTAGTAAGACATTATTATTAACTGTTCAACATGATTCTAGAACATTCTTTAAGAATGATTAGTAAGCAAGTACTACTAATTGTTTCATAAGTGTCTAGAACATGTTTCAATAATGTTTAGTAAGAATACTATCAATATTTGGTAGACTGTTTTCCTTTCCCAAAAGTATAAAAGGAACACATATTCTAACTTTATATATATATACAATCTTCCTTATATAGATTTACTGTATATAACATAAAATAAACTACAAGATTATACATTTGAATATCTATAACTATATCAAAAAGTTATGAAGATAATGAGGTTCTTTGTTATGATGATATCCCAATCATGGTGGAATTTCCAGTGAAAAGAAGTTAAAGTTGTGGCAAAAAATATTAAAAATTAAATGGTCCCTAGCGGGATCGAACCGCTGATCTTGGCGTTATTAGCACCACGCCTTAACCAACTGGGCCAAGGGACCTTTAATTTCTGGAAATCCGCAGTATATCATTTATTTAACAATGAAATAGACATTATTTGATGATGAAATCAAATTATTGTGTTGAATATGTAGCGGCAGCACTAAAAAAGCTAACATTAGCTTAACCTATCTGAAGGTGAAGGTAGCTAATATAAGTAGAATTTAGAGTGTGCTGCACTACCGTATATTGACAGAAATTATGTGAAATTAAGATATCTAAGATGTCCTAATAAGAAATAAACATTTTATTAGGTAATAGTCGTTTAGGCCATAATTCGTTTAGAAAATAAGTTCATTACTTATCGATCGTTTAACCAACAATCGTTTAGGTAACAAATCAATTACTTGACAATCGTTTAGGTAATCAGTTTACTACTTAACAATCGTTTAGGAAACAATCGTTTAAGTAATAAGAAGAAACGAAACTTCGATAAAATAAATGATATATAAAGACAAAGAATTCTGAACTTACATTCTGAGTTAGATTCTATTCGTTCTATAAATTATATACAATACAAATAATCACTTACAAATATAAGAGAAATATAACAATTATATTTTGCTTACCTAACATTAAAACTTAAGCTACACCATTCACCTCTATACCTAACACCTTTAATAATGAACGAATATAAGTCTAACCACACTATGTCTGCTTCAGCTCAATAACAGTTTAAACATACACAAAATTTGAAAAATAATTCATTTATCATACCAAATTTAAATACCAACAAATATAGTAAATTTCGAGAAATTTTCAAGAAAATATGGTTTCGTGGTCTAGTTGGTTATGGCATCTGCTTAACACGCAGAACGTCCCCAGTTCGATCCTGGGCGAAATCATTTTTTTAAGTTAACTTCTTACCCGCTGAAGAACTCTTTGGGTCAATTCAATTCAAATATTGTATATGTAAGCTTTTACTTTATTATAATTTTTTATTATCCACCAATTGTTGTTAATTTTGTTTTGTTTTTGATAAGTTATTGAAATTCTTTTTGTCGGAAATATATTATAAGAGGGATAATGACCAAGGTTATGATCTGATGCTAGATTCATCCCGCAATGATCTAACAATATGTTCATCCCGCAACAACTTAATAATAGATTACTTACACCACTGTCGAGTGAGTTTATAATCACGACAATGATTATCCAACATATATAAATTGAACAATATTTCATTTATGAATATAATTGTTTCCATAATTTACTTTATATATTTTTATATAAGATATAAAAAGATCAGACGACTATAAGTTGATTTTGTAATATAACAAAATCAGTTCAGTTAAATAGAAGATGTCTAATATTCAATTTTCCCATCACTTTTATATATTACTTGCCATTATTTTGCTGTGTGTAAGTCCTCCCAACTAACAGTGGAACAATTGATGGTAATATTTTTGCACCAGCTGTGTCCAAAGTGGAAACAAACAAAACTGAAACTGTTATCGTATCTATTAACTAATAATCTGTGAACTATTTATTTTCTTTTGATTCTGTAATTTATTTTAAATTTCACACTACCTAAAGGGAACCATAAGATGTGCATGAGACACAATTTTACTATGTCCATGAGTAATTTTTTTTTTGTAAGGATATACGATTAAATGAAATAAATAAATATATAAATATATAAATAAGCGAAATAGTAATAATACTTATAAAATAAATATTAAACTTTGACAGCCATTTCTATCAAAATGCTCAGTTTTTGATTTTTGTATGGTCACCAAACAATTGGTCAAGATCAGCTGGGTCACTAGACTTACCAAGTAGGTAATCCAATTTTAATTGCTTTGAATATAATTCACCACTCTTCAAATGGTCCTTAACCATTTCTGCTAAGCCTTTAGTTAAGATTTCACTCCCGTTAAGAGAATCGCATCTCTTTAATTTGTCTTTATGTTCCGATTCTTCTATCATACCAATATCTACTTCATGTAATGTTTCAATATGATCCGATGTAAAGGACACAGGTACCAGACAAATACCCGGAACCTTTGATGAATCCATCTCACTCAAAAACTTTGATATAGCCAAAGTTTGAGCACCTAACCAAGGTTTAGGGCCGACTTGAGATTGCCAAGTCAATCTATAAGGATTTTTAAATTTTAATTTTGACATAATCTGGTATACAGTAGCTGCAACTTCAGCCGGATAAGCGTCACCTGTATTAACAACATCCATTGGTAAAGAATGAGAAGAGAATAATATAATTACTTCGTCCCTAATTTCTTCTGGGAATTCTTTTAATTTGTTCCTAATATTTGCGACGAATGCGTCCACTAAACCCTTATTTGAAGGCCAACGGTCAATTGTAGACCAAACAATGGATCGATTGGGATCTAATTTTTTCACTTGTCTCCATAATTCATTAATTGAGGATCCCGTGGTTGAATATGAAAATTGCTGATATTGAGTTAAAGCAACAGCTCTAGTGATACCATCGTCCAACATTTTTTGATAAGTTTCTTCGGTTAAAGGTTTTGCATAACGAAATGCTACATAAGGGTAATGAGGCTTTGTCTCGGGACTAATTTCATCTAACATCTTACAAACTTTAACAGATTGATATTCTGACCATTTACGAATAGGCGAACCACCACCTATCTCCTTATATTGTTGTTCAATTTTAGGGGTTCTAAATTTAGCAATATATTTTGCTATCAATGGTTGAAACCGCTTATTAATAGGAATAAGATCGTTATCTGCAAACAATTGATACAAAAAATCATGTGTCTCCTCCACGGTAGACGGACCACCCATGTTCATAAAGACAACACCTGTTGCCTGTGATTTGTTCAACTGGTAACCTTGTGAGAAACAACGTTTTAAAACATTTGTAGTCGATACGGTTGTAGCACGCTTAATTGAACAGTACATCGCTTAATGACAATTGTCATGGGGTTAGGTTCTTGAATAGCAGAAACGCAAATTAACTAATAAAAAGATGAAAGTCACAACCACCGTTTAAATAGATTAGATTACAAATCATGTTCTCCTTCCCCTTCCCGTTGCCCCCTCCCCTCGATCCTGTCTGTTCAAGCAACTGGCTCGTACAAATAATTTCAGGTTCATCAGATCAAAACGAAGGAACGACAATAAGGAGAAAATATCAACCCTAAAAATGCCATAATCAGGGCAAAGAAAGTTTGTTTGGATCATCTCGGATTTTATGTCAAATTTCAACAGAATAAGCCCGAGAAGGACACGGCAACCCGTTTTTGTTGAATCTTTTTTAGCATAATCATTATAATAAGTGAATTGGAATTTATTTTATTTAAAAAAGGGACAGCGAGTGGAAGACGTTAGACTTTCTGAACTATTTTCACAAGTTGCGTTGGTGTTTTTGGGAACTCTGTTATTATTATTATTATTATTATTATAATTAATTGTTCTGGGATTATATTTATATGCTTTGTTAAGTTGAACAGGGCAACTCTCCGATTTTTATCATTCTACATTACCATCTCCGATTTGTAAGACTTTGGATTTTTAACAAAGAGATGTATAACTTCATCGATGCTGGGATAAAGCATCTGTGTGAGACTTATGGTATTGATAATTTTACTTTAAGGTTTGCCTTATGTTTATTAGGTTCGTTCCCATTGAATGCGATCTTGAAAAGATTACCAGATAAACGTGTCAATTTGAAATGTAGCTATATTATCTTCATTTCTTTCATATATTTATTTGGTATCATGAACTTGCCTTCAGGGTTTAGGACATTATTTATTAGTTCTACATTTACATTTCTGATTACAAGATTTTATCATTCTGCATTTATGCCTCATGTTAATTTTGTATTTGTCATGGGTCATTTAGCTTTGAATCATATCTATGCCCATTTTGTATCCAATTCAAGTAATGTTAACATTAACTCTCAAATCGATATTACAAGTGCTCAAATGGTAATGGTAATGAAATTGACCTCTTTTGCTTGGTCATATCATGATGGTACTTATTTAAATAAAGAAGAATTCGATTCCCAACTGACCAAATATCAACAATCAAGAGCTGTGAAAAATCATCCTTCATTATTGAAATATTATGCATATGTATTCTTCTATCCTACTATATTAACAGGACCAAGTTTTGATTTTGTTGATTTTGACTCTTGGTTAAATTGTGAAATGTTCAGTGATTTACCAGAATCTAGAAAACCATTGAATAGATATCATCACAGTGAAAGAAGACAAATCCCAAAGAATGGTAGATTGGCATTTATGAAAGTTATTCAAGGTTTATTTTGGATGGTATTATATTCTTTCCTACCAAAATATATTAATATCGGTACTGTCCTAAATTCATCTATGTTTATGTCTCATAATTTCATTTACAGAATACATTATATGTACATTTTAGGTCTAGTTACTAGATTCAAGTATTATGCTGCATGGACTATCTCAGAAGGGTCCTGTATCTTATGTGGTCTAGGTTATAATGGGTATGATAAGAAAACGGGTGAAATCAAATGGGATCGTGTAAAGAATATTGATATAGTCGGTGTAGAGACAGCTCAAAGCACCAGGGATTGTCTAGAGGCATGGAATATGAATACTAATAAATGGTTGAAATATTATATTTATTTGCGTGTGGCAAAGAAAGGTACCAAGCCAGGTTTCCGTTCTACTTTATTTACTTTCTTAACTTCGGCATTCTGGCATGGGTTTAGCGCAGGTTATTATTTAACGTTTGCTACAGGTGCCCTTTATCAAGCTTGTGGTAAATTTTACAGAAGAAACTTTAGACCAATATTCTTGAAAGCAGATGGCGTTACACCAAGGAAATATAAATGGATGTATGATTATTTGGGTAATTATGTTATCAAGATTTCCTTTGGTTACATGATACAACCATTCTTAGCATTAGGTTTCAAAGATTCATTAAACGCATGGGCATCTGTATACTTTTATGGCCATATCATTGTCCTTACTTCATTCTTCATTTTCAAAGGTCCTTATGCTAAACCTGTAATTAAATTCTGTAAATCGTTACAACCAAAGGAAATTGAGGCAATAAATCAAAAGAAGGTCGAAAAAGATATTTCAAACAGTTCTGGTTTGTTAAGTGAAATAATTAAGGATAAAATTGAATACGAAAAACAAACTGCAAACAATTCTGAAGAAGAACTGGATCCATTAGAATTACAGGAAATGAATCTAGGTATTCCAAATCTAGATGATGCAGATTGGGTTGAAGCAAAAGAAGATTTCAACAAATTCATCGACGAATATAATGAATGGAAGGATAAAAAGGGTCTTGAGATTGAAGAAGAGAATTTATCAAAGGCTTTCCAGAATTTCAGGAAGGAGTTAGCTGAAACAGCTAATAGTGCATCTAACACTACAAGGAGGATGAGTTTTAGCAAGTATTCTCCAAAACCAGTCTCTAAGAAAAATGAATAATATTATTTCTCCTTTGAGTGCCAAAAGTAGTATTAAATATGAACTATAGGAGTATCTCTTCAGTGCTTTTAAAATTAGAATATTTCATCTCTTTATTTATATATATATATATGTCTTTTTGGATAATGTTATACGGTTATTAAAATTCATCTGGGTTGAAAAGGTCCAGATCCAGATCGATATCTTCATTGTCACTATTTTCTTTCTTTTCCTCAGTATGACTCTCATTTTCATGATTTGCACCAAACACAAATGATCCCCTTCTATCATTAGATATATTATCCGCATCTACTTCTTGTTTCTCAGGATTCATTTCATTGACGATATCTGTAGTGTTATCGTCTGTGGTTTTAGCTGTAATCGCTGGTTCATTTTCCTTCGTTTGACCTTTAATTGCTGTTAATTTACCACTGTTCAACGAAGCAAGAGCCAGCATCCCTCTTCTCAAAGCATCATCACCTGGCCATACAAAATTATTTGGACCAATGGATCCTTTATCGAATGTTGGTGGTATCTTTGTAAATTTTGATAATTTTGTCGCATAATCCAACAAGGTCGTTGAGTTGACTTTCTTCCGTTGTGCTAATATAGTATCTCTCTCAAATTCTACTTGATCCAAACTGGGAAGGTTATTTAAGTTATCATGACATTCATTTAATGTTTCTAAGATATCTCTAGTTTGTTGATCAATATCCATACGCTTGTCTTCTAGAGTACTAAGCCTAGAATCAATATCATCATATTTCGCAAAAGTCGCAAGACTAAAATACATGTCATAATCTGCCTGTATTAATTCTTGGGCATATTTTAAATTAGGATGAAACTTATCCACCGATTCAATTAATTTTGCCAATACGTCCTCATATTCAGTTAAATTTTTGTATATTTCGATCTTTCCCAATTTGTCTTCCAAAGTATTTCCTGAAGAGCCAGTCCCAGATGTAGCCTCCGCTAAAAGTGAAACAGAGGAGGATCTAACATGCGTCATACCAAACTCATGAGTTGCCATTATGATTTTTATTATATAGATGTCAGTAACTTACACTTCTTGGTATCCACACTCTTGCATTTATTGAAATGGTCGGTGAACCTACATATATATGTGTATATTTTTAAATGTTGCGCTTATTTAGAAGTAACGTAACTTACAGGAAAATTTCATCTGAAAGAGAGATGAGCAATAACATTAAACGTAGACCTATGCAACAAAAGTACAACAGAGACAAAGGAAAACTATATATCTCTATGATAGTTCTACACCATTTCTACATATATCTATATTATGCAATAACTAATTTACTGTTCCAAATATCAAATAGGAGTGAAAAAAACAGATCTAAGTACCACCTCTTCATGAGAAATTAGCTCAAGAGAAAATACGTACACAAAGGTTAAAGTTCAAATCATATATTTAACAGGTTTAATCAATTTGGTAGTTTGATACTATTAATTACCTTAGGAGGTTCATTAATATTAACCTCTTTAAGTTGCTTTTGAACCTCATCTTTTAGTCCTCTTCCCCATAGAGGATGATTCTCCCCTATGGTATACGTAATTGAAGCAGCATTCCATCCATCAGAACCTAAAAAGTCTAAATACTCTATAGCATCATCAATCTGTATGGCTTTCCCGTCATGTAACCCACCACTAAGACCCGGGTGTTTGATATGTACAACATGAACATGTAAATGATAATAGGAGGGCTGGTAGTGGATAAAAATACGCAACTCATCCGCCCTAATTGCGTAGTTGTAACATGGTGGGATAACAGATTTTAATAAACTATTGATTTTAATTAACCAATCCTTGTGCTGAGGTCGGAAATCTCTAATGGACTTAATGTCGTTCCTATACATAAGTGCAACCAGATACAGTGACTCTAAGGTCTCTCCATCCCATCTTGTATCTGGTAATAAAATAAAACCATCATTTGCATTAAGCTCATTGTAATGCTTGTATATAATCCTTCCTTGTTCAGAATTTTCATACAGGATTTTGTAAACCCATTCCAGCTTTTTAAAAGTGGACATCTCATTTATAAATGGTTTAACGATTTTCTGATACATTTCTGGAGTTTCCTTGACTATATGTAACTTCTGTTGATCATACCGTCTTATATGAACATCAGTAGCAGGCCATATTACACTAATCTTGGCTGTTGGATTTTCATCTATGTGCTCCCTCAATACAGCTAGAGCCCAATGGAAGTTATCATTAGATGTCAGTTCCTTCAATTCAACGACACCTTTCACAAAAGAAAACTCACTAGCACATGGGTCCCTCATTCCTAATTCATCATCAGAGACTGGTTTGACTTTATTATCGTTGGTCTTAAAAAAATGGCATTCTTTTTTAGGGTCTTTATAACTGTTTATGGTCATAAGAGGAGGATGTATGGACTGCCTTCTAATAGTATCATTATGAATAAAATGTGTCTTTTCAGCAGTTAAAATTGCATCCCTTGAGTCAATAGTCCCTAGTAAAGATACTATCTTCGTTTCTGGGTTAGAGTCAAGGTTTCTAATAAATTCAAATTTTTGTAGTAGGTCGCGTAATGTATACGACCGATTATAACTCTGAGGACACATATCAGTTGGACAGCTATGTAAACTCTTTAATAAACAAGTAAGTATATCAAATTAAAGAAGAGTATCTAATTAAAATAAGTGTTCTACCAGAAAAAAAAATTAAGATATATTCATTAATATCCTTGCTTAAATATATACAGGTTTTCAGTGGATAAGGTACCCTTAATTTCCCTTTAATAATCAGAAGAAGACCATTATAGGGTATTACTAAGGGAATATCCCTATATCCCCATTATACAGAGATATAATTTTATCCAGATAGTCAAAAGTAACTTATATCCCTTATAATTCATTTTCAAAATCCTGAAATAATGTATCAGAATCATTTAATAATTTCTCCCACCCACTGTTGTAGCTAGACCAAAAATCATCTACCAATTTCTGTGCTATCTCTGTCTCAGCAGCATTCATCTTTTCTCCAGTACTTGATATAATTGTAGGTTCTTTATTATTTTCGGTGTTAATACCATTATCAGCATCTTTATTTTTACCATTTGGGTTATTTTTGTTTGATAATGGCAGCTCATCCTTCTTATTCAAAATTTCAATGTGTTTTTGAAGTTCATTGATTTGATTTTGTTCTTCAAGTTGGAATTGATACTGTAAGTAACTATGATAGGCTTGCCTTGCACTGACATTGACCGATCCTTCTTGACTACGTCGTATTGTCTCCGTTATATGTGAGCTAGGTGGGAATTCGCATTGAAAACCAGGAGAAGTTCCGGACTTTTGTTCTAACCCTTGCAATATCCATGAGCTTTCTATCTTCCTTCTATGTTCTAAGGCTTTTTCAACAATGATTCTATACGTCTTTTCCAAAGTTATCAGAATTAAACCAGAATATGACCTCAGTATTATATTTTTTAGTTCAAATCCCTGCTTGTTGGATTTATCATAACTTATCCAGCCCTCGAATATTTTTTTGTACATATTAAATGTAGTAATTAAAGAAATCGACTTATCTGTTGGTACACTAAATGAACTCATATCCCATTCAACTTCTGTCATATCATGAGAGACAAATATACCATTTTCAAACAACGTTGCCTTCAGAAAAAAGAATGCATAAAATATACCTAGAGATTGTACTACAGGATGAAGTGACAGCCCCAGACAAGAAGTTAAATACGGAGGTAAAGTATTGTATGATGGGTGAACAGTTTCTGGAAAATATTTTTTATCTAATTTGTAACAGTGATTCACAAATGTTTTGAAAATAGAGAAAGTTAAAAGGTGTGCCTGGATTGAAATATTCTTTAGGAGTAAAGATCTTTGATTTAACAAAACAAACCCTACAGAATAGAAAGTTGTGATAATATCTAAGACTGTTAGCATAAGTCTAATTTCTCCAAACGTAAGTTCTAAGATTAAATCTGGATCAGTGGCATACTTAATAGGTTTTAATTCATCTTCCAAAAATTTGAGGATGACTTGTCCATGTTCGACCACCTTGGGTGTACCCGTCTTTTTGTAAAACTCGCCAAGCATAGGCCTTACTAAAAATAAGAATCTTCTCATCTTACCAAAGAATGAATCTTCTTTTGTGAAATCTCTCCCTTTCCCGGCTCCAGTAGATGGGAAAGCTGGATATGTATCCTTGGGACTACTTGTATTACTTTTATTTAAGAAAGTATCCAAGCTTGACGGAATTAGACAAAATTTTGGGTTTGAATCGATTTTGTTTAGACCAAATTCATTATTCATTACGGTACCATATAATTCCAAATTACTCTCTTCCTCATAATTAATATCGTTAAATGTTTCCAAATCAATATCCAAATTTTTACCGATTCTAAGGGATAATTCAAAATCAAAAAATAACACCCAAGTCCACAAATTCTCAATGGAGTCACAGCTACCACAAGTCATATCTTTATTTTTATAAATCTCCCTAATATTCAGATTTAAACCTAGTGTCTTAGAACAAGCCGTCAATTGGCCTACAATTCCTATTAAACTTGTTTCATCGCCCTTCCGAGAAGAACTTGAAATGTAGAAAATTTGTTGTAACAAAAACTGTGCTTTCTCAATATAACTTGTCTTCGGAGAGAGCAATCCTGTCAAGTAAATAACCAATCTAAAGATTTGTACAGGAACGTCATGTCTGAATTTTGTAAACACCAGGATCATTAAAATCACAGCAATTTTAAAATAATTTTTCTTGCCGTTAGGTTTTAATTGAATAACTGTTCCCTCACGATCTTGAACGAATGCATATTCCAAATCAATAAGGATTTTCTTCTTATCTAAGAAGGTATTCATTTCATATAAATTGCTATTTTTCTCATCAAAGAATTCGTTAATGTAACCTTTAATGGAGTCAAAATCAGGTAAACATGGCAAAACATCATTAAGTATAGAGACAGAGTCGCCAATTGTAAGTTCCATGAACTCTAATTCAGTCTTTATATTAGTCATGTATTTTTTCTTCCAAATATTTCTCTCTACTTTAATTTTTTTCCATAATTGAATATATTTATCCTTGAAACCCCAATTATTCCTCATTATAAATGTACGAAGTGACGTAGGCCCATATGTAATTGTTCTCCCATTCTCTTTACATTGAATATAATAATAATTTCTAAAAGGATTTGGTATTTTATCGTCTACAGCAGATCCTGAGCTACTTGTAACACTGTCAGTAACATTGTGATCGATTGCGGAAAGGCTAGGTCCTTCATAGGTAGATATACGACTTGTTGTGGGACTATTTGGTTTATCTGGGGAGCTACTATCATATGTCTTCATTTGATGGTATTTCATAGTTCCCACAAGATTATCTGAAGATAAATTGTCTTTAATGCCAGCATCTGTTGTTCTTGCGGTACGATGGCCACTTGGTGTAGTAGCTTTAGCAATTAAATCTGAATATATACATTCATTCATCTCCCGCGATTTACAACTAGAACACATTGGTTTCTGTTGATCACATTTTAATTTTCTTTTCCTACAAAATGTACATGATTTGATTGGCTTATGTCTCTTTGATCGTTGTTTAGTAACTTTTTTGTCTGTTAATTGTGGTATAGTCTCAGTTGGGATTGGCGTAAGAAAGTCATCCACATCTGATTTCGAGGTTCTATCGTTGATCATGGGCCAAGGAAGTATAATTATGTATATTGTTGTTAAATAACGTTTGTATTTGCTTAAAATTGTTTAACCACCTAGGCACGCTTCAATATAAAAAGAATAATAATGTAAGCCTTCCGAATAGAATATATATTAGCTAAAATTATATCGCTTATAATTCAAAACTGAATATGAATACCTTCCTTTCCAATCTCTTGATGTGTAACTGTCACTGATGTTATATGCGATATACTTAATTTACGGTATATTATCTCATCGTCATTGGTTTACACCACGCAGACCTATCCCTGACTAAAACAGTATACTAGGGTTCATACTCGTTCAATGTGATATATAGTTGCAATGAAATGACACATTTGACCCGGTAAGATCCAACGAACAATTATCCTAAGCTGTAAGAATGATAAATGACTGCAATTATTCTCTTTTTGGGTATAATTGAAACTCATAGAACTTTTGGGTTTTTTTTGTTCTGTTGTGCTTACTCTGTGAATCACCAACTAGCTACTCAAATGAATTTAATTGTGTTTTTAAACCGTGCATTAATATGAATAATAAGTTATTGGTGGTAGCTAAATTACAATTGAAATCGACATCAAGCTTCCTATCATTTCAAATATTTTACTTTCTCGTGACTCTCTTTTTTAATAAATACATATGAGTAATGAGTAGAGCTCTGAAGTCTTATACTGTCTGGAATGATGTATATATTGATACTACTGTGGTTCTAGAATATATTATAAACATTATAGTCTAGTTTGAGATAGTTCTCTTAGTTTACTTTAATATTTGGCCAACTATTCACTTTTTTATTGGACTACAGTTTTTTTTTATAGAGGGAATTTGCATATCCTTAACTTCAAGACGATATTGTATATAGAAATTTAGTCAATATATTAACATAGCTAACTATGAATTATCTAGTATGCTACTATTAGGTACGGTCTAATCTGTTTTTAACAAAAACACTCTATCGATACTGGTTATCTTTTTTTAAAATTAATGGATGTATAGATAACAATAATCGTGTTTATAAAATTATTTATAGTTTTTAAAGTAGTCCTAATACATAGAGCTAATATGCAATATTTATACACAATAGAAAAAGACTAGAACAATGTAAACAATTTCCCTGTCCACGATTACCTTTATGTAAACGCCTTTCTTTGCCTTTCATTACATTTTATTACCTCAGAATTCCTCCCCTTTGTAATGCAACCCCTTAACCAAAACTTAAGTAAGCTGCAAGTTTGACTGGCCCAGTTGACATTTAAATACAAGGAGGGGCCTATCATTTAGATTGACAGTAGATGGGTTTAACGCATTCAACTTTATTGTTTTGGTTTTAAAAGTGGGTTGTCAACAGAATATTGCACGTGCCGCAGGGAGAAAGTAATGAGAAATTCTCTCTCTTTCCCAAGCAGTCATCGATGAATATCAATATAAATATTCGTCAGGTAAGACACATAACGGAACCTCGAGGCTATTCTGCTTGAAAAAATGAAGGTTATGTGTCCCTTGTTCTTGGGATAGTAAGATATATAATGGAGGTGAGGACCAACCATACATTAACGCTCGTTCATTTTAAAAGATGTCTGATATTACACAATCAAAAGTAGCTCGTGTTGGTAGAGAAAACCAAGTGTACTCTGAAAAGAGTGGTGCCAGAATTGTTGCTGGCTGTGTATGTTTGACCACTGATCACAGCAAAGTGTTAATGATCAACTCGTCTGCCGATAGGAATAAATGGATTATACCTAAAGGTGGTGTAGAGAACGATGAAGTCATTGTACAATCTGATGGATCAATAGACTACAGTAAGACAGCAATTAGAGAAACATGGGAAGAAAGTGGTTGTGTGGGTGAGATTGTTGCAAAATTAGGGTTTGTAGAGGACATGCGTCCACCAAAAGAATGGAACAATAATTTTAAGAATGAAATACATACCGATAATGTGATCGTTCATCCTCCTAGATCTGAGTTTCATATTTATGAGATGCAAATAGTCACATTAAAGGATGAATTCCCTGAAGACCATAAGAGGAATAGAAAATTAGCCACTTTTGAAGAGGCTCAACAAGATCTTATTAATTCACAGAGACCAGAATTGCTCGAGGCTCTCAAAAGGTCAAGTATATTGAAATAATAATAACTATACCCGAGAAAGATTCAGTTAGAACGAAAACAAAATAAATATTTCAAATATCTGTAAGTAAGAATAATATTTAACTCGTTCAGAAATGGGAGAAGAAAGGTATAATATAACTCGAGAGATTATTATTAGAGATTATATACATATTGTATCATAACTATTTAGAACCACCTAGAAGACCTGACATCATATCTTGTAAGAAATTAGATTGTCTTTGTGCTGGGATTCCAAAATATTCTTGCCCTAGGAATTCAAGTTGAGGAGCAAATTTAGTGCTTAATTCTTTGTATTGTTCATTGAGACTCTGAAACAATGCCTTATTTTTTGTTTGACATGTCAATATCAGTAATTGTAAGAAATTCAATTCTGAACAATCGTTAAAGAAAAATAGTTTAAAATCTTCATCCTGACCTGGAATTCGTTTTGCAATGGTTTCGTATTTCACATCTGGATATTCTTCAACATATTGCTTTAAGAACTTTTCTTTTGCTTCATTGGCAAATTTGATATTAGAAATAAACAAATAATTGAATATTAATCTATTAAAGAAAGATCCTACTAAAGTCAATTGTGGTGTATTGAAACCTTTTTGAATATCTTCATCTACAGCCTGAACAAACCAATCCCATACTAATTCAATATATTTCCCTACTGAATCATGTGTACCCAACATGAAATATCTCTCGGCCTCATATATATGTTCACCTTCTAACAGCTTCAAGGCCATCACATTATGTAAGTATGGGTCACCAAATTTATAGTCACTGAACTTTACAGACCAATTGTTCATACCAGTTATTACATCCTTCATATTTGGTTCCGTTGGTTCAATTAGAACCAACAATTGAATCAATCTACCAATAGAGGCATCATCTACGGTCACTTCAGCCTGATCATATATTTCTAATAAGTAGAAGATAAGGTCAGTACCAGACCCACCTTGTTTAGCTTTCAACAACGACGTGGAACCTTGACTGACTAATTCAATAGCCAATTCATAAGTCTTAGCTCTGACATATCTGTTAGCAATTGTCCTCAGGGTCTGATGTGCCTCATAATAGTCTCCTGCAACAATCTTACTCTCGAAACGGTGTAACGTTCTGGCTAACTTTTGTTGTATAACATTATCTTTATTCTCGGTTGACATTTTGTTTTTATTACTTAGGTTTCTTGTCAATAACTTTCCACGCTTCTCAAGGCAAATTTAATAATAGATGTATCCTTATTTGAAGAAGCTATTGCAAATGATAACGACAGTTCTTGTTCTTCTTGTTCTTTTATTCGAATTTACTTTTTTTTTTACATTTTCGTTTTTCAGCTTTGCCAAAGAACGAGATGGGAACTTCACTGCAATTGAAACGATCAGGCTACGTATAATACAAATGAATATTTCAGGAAAACTACAGAACATTTCTAAAGGGAAGAAACGAATATTCAAAAAGAAATAACTGGCTACTGTATTGGACGTTGAATAGAGATACTTTAAGAAGAACCTTAATAAGCGAACCAATGTCTGAGGAAATTCCAGCTGATACTGCAAAAAATATGGCTGTGCAGTTGATCAACGAGGATAAAGAATTCTCGCAAGGGTTACCAGTTTACTTCAATAATTGCTTAGGAGGTAGAGATATTGATCAAAACTATCATGTTATCTCTGTATTTGGTTCTCAATCTAGTGGTAAATCTACACTGCTAAACCTTTTATTCAACACTAATTTTGACACAATGGATGCTCATGAAAAGAGACAACAAACCACTAAAGGTATTTGGCTTTCTCATACACAAGCCGTTAATACCAATAGAGGTGTTCGTAGCGACCCAGGATCTGATATATTTATTTTAGATGTTGAAGGTTCTGATGGTGCTGAACGTGGTGAAGATCAGGATTTTGAAAGGAAGGCTGCCTTATTTGCCATTGCTGTCTCGGAAGTTATGATTATTAACTTATGGGAGCAACAAATTGGTTTATATCAAGGTAATAACATGGGATTGTTGAAGACTGTCTTTGAGGTCAATTTATCTCTCTTCGGAAAGAATTCTAAAAGATCAGATGCATCTTCCCATTCTCAAAAACATAAGATGCTGCTGTTGTTTGTAATTAGGGATCATATCGGAGTCACTCCATTGGAAAGTTTGAGTTCTACACTAACAAGTGAATTAGAAAATATATGGAAGGATTTAAGTAAACCTGCTAGTTGTCAGGATTCTACAATTTATGATTTCTTTGATTTGAAATTTGTTGGGTTGAGCCATAAAATTCTAAGAGCAGATAAATTCTTGGAAGATGTAAAAAATCTGGGGGACAATTTCTCTAATAAAGAAAATAACGATGAATATTTGTTCAAACCGGAATTCCATCACATGCTACCACTTGATGGTTGGAGTATGTACTCTGAAAACTGTTGGGATCAAATTGAAAATAACAAAGACTTAGATTTGCCAACTCAACAGATTCTTGTTGCAAGATTTAAGACTGATGAAATCATGAATGAAACTCTGACCAAATATTTTGAAAATTATGACTCTAATATAAAACCATTGATATTGGAAAACAATAAAGACGCTTTAATCGAAATGTTGGTCTCTATAAAAGTTCAATCTACAGGTATGTACGATGATTTAGCAAGCCGTTACACCAAACAAATTTATCTTGAAAACAGAATTAAATTACTTTCAAAGATCAATGACAAATTTCAAGAAACTATCGAATTATTTATTCAAGGAACATCTACAGAATTAATTGATTCCTTAAAAAAATCACTATCAACAAATGACGATGAAACTTCATCTTTCAATGAAATTTTAATTGAAATTTCAAAAGACATCACAACTAGATTTCATGAATTTATTAGCAATTTTAAAGAGAAAGATTTAATTAATGAAGAATCTATTGCTGAACTTAACGCTAAATTTACTAAATTTTTAAACAAGAAGCAAAATGAACTTCGTGCTATCCAAGTTAAGAGCATTATTTCCCAGTTCAAAAAGAATATGAATTTTGCGATCAAAGATAATGTAATCTCTTACCTAGCAAATCCATCAGATGACGTTTGGGATAGAGTCATGTCCTTCTTTAAGAGATCAATGGATGAACTGTTGATCAAATTCGAAACTACATCTGACAATAGTATGAAAACATATGATTTCCAAGTTGGGTTTACCCCGGAATTAAATGACACCATCTACAAAAGGTTACGTTATATAGCATGGTATTTACTCAATGTTACCGTTCATGATTATTTGAAAGAGGATGCAGTTATTGGAATATTAAGAGAGAAATTTGAAAATTCGTTTAGATATGATGAAAATGATACACCAATACTTTGGAAGGATGAAAACCAAATTGACAATGCCTTCAAAATCGCTAAAGAACAGGCATTGAATATATTTGGGGTTTTATGTATTGCAAAAACGACTGATAATACAGAAATTATACCTGATGTTAGAGTGGAAGATGTTGAAGTTGAAGATGATCTAGGAATTTATCATTTAGAGCGGTTTGCCCATATTATAAACGAAATCCAAAAGGAGAAAATTTTGAGACAATTTAGGAGACAAATTAACTTAAGCGTCCTTGATGCCAAGAGATCCATGATTACAACCACCACACATATTCCAATTTGGGTATATGCTTTAATCGTGGTACTTGGTTGGAATGAATTTATGATGATCCTAAGGAATCCATTGCTGATTACGTTACTGTTATTGGGTGTTGTAGGTGCATATTTTGTTAATAAATTTGATTTATGGGGACCTGTCTTAAATGTTGTCAATAGTGCTATAGGAGAGACGAGATCCACAATTAAGGATAAACTAAGAACGTTCGTTCTGGAAGAAGGAGAATTAAATCAAAGTAACAGAAAGCAAGCTCCAGATGAATACGAAATGAATGATTTTAAAAAAGAACAAGAGGAGGAGGAGGAAGAGAAGGTAATAGATGAGAAAAAAGATATAAATGAATAGAAAGTCGGTATAGCGTATATACGTCAGTAATTTATTTATTTTAATGTTATATTTATCGTTATCTAATGATGTATCACGGTATGCGATCGAATAGATGCGCATATGTATACACATAATATTTTCTTTCAATGAGTTGTTAAATGATATTTGCAATAAGTCGTTCCCATCCCTCTAATTTTGTCAGTAATTTTTCCTGATCTACCACATTGCTTTTGATAAATAGATGTTCTAAAATATCACACCAAAATTGTTGAAATATATGAAGAGTTTCATTTTGAGTGGGCAAACTGGTTAATGCTACAGGAAGGTCCTTCCAACTCTCTTTTATAAGATTGCTTCCTCGGAAATATTCAGAAAATACTGACACCCAGTATGTGTATATACATTTGGAGACATCCACTAAACTATGTAAGCTATTTGAATTGAAATCCAAAAACTCTACAGTATCACCATATTCATCCAACATTATACGCTTAGTCGATTCTATCACCATGACAGTGACATCTTCAAATATACGAGCTGAAATTTCTGAGAATGGAGGTCTCGCTGAGTCCATATGGCGACCAACAGACACATCTTGACCAGAAACGCTCGTCGATGGGTGACTCAACTCTTCGGTTGTTGAACCAAACCTGTAGTTTCTCTCGTCGTAGGCAATCCTCGCTATAAGTTCACCAGTCATTCCCGTTCTGTATGATACTGTAAGAACTTCTTCGGTTAAAGCCTTCAGGCAAAGATTCTTATCATTGGACAACAATATTACAAAACAATTCTTTCTTTCCTTAAAATAAAGACAACAATCTAAAATGGAATCATCTTTTATTGAATTAATATTTATTCGTTGGGATAATTTTTGGCCAATGACACCACTAGATGTATTTGCTAAATGACTGTATATCCATGTATTTGCAGCTCTTGCAGCTTCCCCAACACTTTTATGTCTATTGGTAGAACTACCGCACTCATTGTTCTCAATTACTCTATCTGATCCTTTCAATCCATCTAGCTCTCGAATTGTATATCTTGGTATAATAATTGTATGATGATATTGGGTAAATAACGATCTCAAATTTTCTAGTATCTCAAGATGAGATATTATAAAATTTGTATCTATCACGAAACAGGTTGGTATTTGCGACTGAGAACCATCTATTGATATAAACTCTTCAGTCTGATTATTTATGGGAATTATGTTAATAAAATCTTGCTGTTCATTATTTTCAACGCTGTCTAGTACCATCTCAATATCATCATCATCATCATATCCATCTCCAGTAAGGTATGTCTTTGGTTCCCCATTGGACAGGTCTTGACTCTTTACCACTTCGGGGACATGTGGCTCATCTTGTGTATTCTGCTGTATTGTCCCTATTCTTTGGGCGTCTCTTTCAACTTGTAGATAATCATCTAGTTCATCTAATGAATACTTCTGATGACCACTGCCATTGGGACTTCTTGAATGACTTTTGTCCTCCCTTTTTGAGTATTTCCTTTTAGGTTGACCATGGTTGTCATATATAGATTTCAACATTATTTAATAGTGGTCAAACAGTCACAAACACTGGTAGTGTCTGTTACTCCAACACATAAATTTTCAATGACAATTTCAAGAAATCTAATGTTATGAACGATATTATTTTTTTGAGCATAATTAAAAGTGTTGTGTTGATAATGAAGGATATAAATGAAAATAAACAAATAAACACGTATACAATAGGTCACTTAATTAGATCGTTACATATTTAATGTTACTCATGATATCACCTATCAATAATGATTTTCCTGTAATTTGATCCCTTGGGATTACTTGAGTACAACAACAGATCATTTCTTGCAAAGTGTCTTCAGATATTTGCATTTCCGAAATGATCATACCTTCTAAAAGCATCAAGCACAGAGAAGTTAGTGCTCCTTGTATGACAGCAGGATGCTTAATTATTATTATGACATCTTGACTTTCGGATATTGGAGAGTGCATTACGGCTGACTGTATACGAGAAGATATTTCTTGTAACAGTACACATCGTTTCTGAAGCTGTTTCCATAAGTCTATGAATCTTTTGGTCAAAAAATCTCCGGAATAATGTATCATTTCTTTGATACAGTTACAAGCAGAGTTTACAATAGCATAATCTTTATCAAAAGTACATTCAACTACTGAATCCCATGTTTGAGCGATTTGTGGCAACATTGAATTATATTGCGTAAATAAAAGGGGGACAACTAATGAACTTACCTCTAAAACTTGTATTTTAAGTGGCTTTGAATTATGTTTCAACAATCGATCCCCATAAGCAAATATTTGAAGTAGTATTCTGTAGGATTCTTTGGGAATCGGGGACGTCCATTTTTCCTCGTCGTCATTTCCTTCTGGGTGATCAGTTTCTCTGTCATCGTCTTCATCATCATCATCATCACTGTCAGCTTTCATTTCATTTAATTTTTGATCAAAATATGCTTGAAAATTCTTAGGCTCATCCTCGCCAAACTTTAAATCTGTATTACCATTAATTAAATTACTCTCGTCAGACTCACGGTCCAAAATATTCAGTATTTGTTGGAAGTTTGTAATTCCCCATGGAGCAAACGTAACGGGTACAACATGATCATTGCCTAACAATAAAGTGTCTGTATCTAGGTAAGCATGCTTCATTTCGATCACAACAACCTTGAATAGCTGAAAGAACTGCAAACACAATTCGGAATAACCATGATAAAAATCTATCAACTTGAATATTGTCTCCAATACATCGCTAAATGCTTCGATTGCTTTATACCCAACTATTTTATAAATTACCATTAACATTGTAGACATACGATCTGTCAAACCGGAATTCAATTTAATTGATATCGTATCAACCAAATAATCCATATTTTCAGATATTAACGTTTTCACATTGCCTTCATACAATTCATTTGCAATCGCAATGGAACATTCTTGTGCAAAATATCTAATCTGGGGAGAACTAGAAGCTAAATTCTCAATTACGATATACAGATATTCTATTAATTCCTGTTCAAAACCATATTTTAGAACAGAAGATACAGTCTTAATTGTAGAGAGAATTGTACAAAAACTAATCTCTTGTTCTTTATTTATGACTCTACCTTCAGAAGCAATAGTAATCTCATCAGCCAGGTTATTTGAAAACTCAAGGGCAGCGTAACATGCTGAGGCTGCATCTTCAGATGCTTCATATGTGTCAGCATCATCTAACAATATATACAGATCGATCTCCCCTTGATCGAACGTTTCGTCCATCCGAGCGCCTATAAGCAAACAATCTATGGCCCATAGTGTAATAGTACGTTTCATTAATGACGACTCATTTGGATCAAAATTTGATGTGAGCGTTTCAACAATCTGTGAGATATTATTGTTCATTGTTAATTCTTTACCTATATGTTCTAGTAATAATTTTATACTTTTTTCTGTCTCATTTGTTAACTTATGGAATACTCTAACTTCTGATTTGGAAGGTTTCGAAAGATCAAAATTATCTGATATAATAATATTGTTTGATTGTTCAATAATGGTACTTTCATTTTTGGAAGCGTAAAGTTTGCTAGGTTCATTCTGTGAATCCAGACTGTCTATAATTGTACCGATTGTGTAAATCATACTATTCGCATCAATGCTATAACCTGAAACTATTTTCAGTGCAAAATCCAAGGTTTTAATTTTCTTGCTAGCATCGAATTGTATATGCGTATGAAGGTGTTGTAATTCATCATTTATTTGATTTTTAACGAGTGATATATTTTGAGACAATTGAGAATTTGGATCTGTTTCTAATTCAAGTAATACTGATATCAATATCTCTTTACAAACCACCAGGGACGTCGAACAATTCGCTAAAATATTTGAGACAAATTGTATTAGTGATTCATTTATTATACTATTATTACGCTTTAACAGTCTCGGTATAAAACTTTGAAGAGCAATATTGACTTGAGAAGATGTACCCTTGAGCCAGCTCGTATTTCTATGTCGCGATTCTAAATTGAAATTATTCTCAATCACTACATCATCATTTTTAAATTCTTTTATTTCACCTTGATCCCCAATTAAATCAGTGATATCTTCAATGACGTTAACATGCGCATGTAATTCTATATCGTCATACACTCTCTGAAGTAATGATTCAAGGAGCTTTATTGTCTGGCAGACCACTTTATAATTGACATTACGACCTGGAAGAACAAGTAATTTTGATATTGCAGACACATTACCAGGTAGAATATATGAAAGTGTTTCACCATCTTGTATGATGCCATTGTATAGTATCGATAAAGTGTCGATACACGCAAGTTGAGCATCTGGGGTCTGTGATGTGTGTTGTAATATATTTAAAAGAATAGTTACTGAGTGTGCCATTGGTTGCATGGTTCTATTTTGGGTAGAAAAAAATTCTTTATGATAACTTTGTGTTTCAATAGACTTCATAAAGGATTGTAACACAGTAGCAGTCACATATTTGAATTCATTCGACCTTTCTTGTAACGTAGACTCATCCTGTGACTCATTAATCAAATACGTAATAATAGGGAATAATTGTTTAGCCAATTCTTCAGAGAACATTCCCTTTTTATTCCATGCAGACTTTAGCAAATTTGATATGATTGATAGAACGTATTGACTTGCTATATTTGAAAGAGATTCCTGTTTCAGCAAGCTTCCTATGGGAGTGAATATATAATCAGCCAGTTGTGGTGGAATTTCAACCATTTCCTCATCATTTTGCACTATTAACTTCTCTAAGACATGATCTACTGCTCGAAGTGCTAGGGTAAGATCCTTGCTATTAGGATCGAAAACGTCTTTTGGCAAAAATGCAAGTTTCGATAAATCAACACATGGTTTCCTCAGTAATTCAAAGGCAGACATTTGGGTAGAGCCAACCGTATTGTAATTCATTTTCATATAAAATATAACATAAAGTTCCTCTTCTTAAACGCAAGGTGGCGATAATTTCAAGTTTCAAATATGTAAACAAAAAGGTTTGCGTTCGATGACTTTAAATATAGAAACTTGCTGTGGTAGTTATAAAATGGTTAAACTAACGCCAAATGTTGTAACTTCAATATAATTTTTATTTCCTTAGATATGATGTATATATAATATAAGTATATATCGGTGAATATATGTAATTTTCAAGCAAGTGCAAAGATTAGCTATCAACTGTTTGTAGGAGAAAACCCTAAAGAGTAATAGCAAATAATTACACCAGTTGCACTGTATGGAAAAAGTGTGTTCTAATCAATTGGTCCAGTACGAATATGAATATATATTCCATACACTGGGCTCTGATTGATTTCCTTCAATCCATTGTATCTTCTACTTTGTTATGGTAAAAATCAGCCGCTAAGTGACTTGTAGAAACGATTATAAACAGTTATTAAATGAGATTTCATAGTGGCTAGTCATAATAAATAAGCACGATTCAAAATTTTGTTTTATTAAAAATGCAAGTACACACATCTTTCTCAGTAAAAATAGATGTAATACGACTTAGGTAACTTCAATCATCTAGTCTCATCTATAACAAACATAGGAAAGTGTGTGCCATGTAATAAACAATGCAAAATATATTGTTCAATCGATATTTAATAGGTACTAGTCCACCAAAGAAAAGGGACTCTTTGTAAATAACCGTTCTAAAAGAAAAAACTTGTAGCAAGACTAAATTTTTTTTCCCAGATTAAACAGAAAGTATCATGTTAAGATACCTTATGAATCCATTATGAAAGGATCAAAAAACCAGCGATGAGAACATGGGCAATCAATAGCAGTTCAAAAAAAGAATTATTGTATATTAATGATAACTATACCTTAGGCAATATCACTATCGTGAAAGAAATTAGCAAAAATAATGTGAAGAAGTGAGTGGTTGTTTTTTTGTTGTTTTTTTGTAATAGAATGTGGTACGAAGAAAGAAAATAAAATGGTGATTGTAATCAATAATATTTATTTTTGTCTCCTTAACGTAGACGACGAGCCTCACGTTCAGATTCCATTAGGACAAGGATGTCATTTTCTCTGACTGGACCCTTGACGTTTCTGACGATAGTTCTAGTAGTGTCTTCGATGAATTCGACACGAACTTGGGTGACACCACCACGAGAACCGGTACGGCCTAGGACCTTGATAACTTTAGCTAGAGTGACTGGGGTTTTGGTATCCATTGTTGCTGTGATATGAGTGATATGGGGGACTTCTCATATACTAAATAAACAAACACAAATTAAAAACGTAAAACTAAATATCCTTTTAAGTAAGCAATTGTTTATATAAAAGTGAACTGAAATGAATTGTAATGTGATGAAATGCAGAAAATGTTTGTCTCGTCGTCGTCGCTGAATTTTTCACTGAAAAAAAAATCTGAAAGAAATTGTTTGCGTCTATCATTTTCCACGACAGAAAATTTTTCAGTTCTTATATCACCGATTCGGCGATAGAGAGGTGTCACTGACAGATTAGTTAGAGGGAGAGGCCCGATGATGATTACTTAAGCAGATAAGGAAACAGAAATTATTGATTGATAAATCTACACACATACACACATATTTAATTCTTGAATTTACATTATTTGGAAGTACTAAACGTATTAATTTCGTTTAATTATTTTTTGTGAAAATAACAACTCCAACAACAATTACATTGTAATGTCATCTGTTGAAGAATTGACAGAGCTATTTAGCAAAGTAGGTTTTGAAGAACCTAAGATCAAAGAGATCGTAAAGAATAAGAAGGTGTCTACATCCTTGGAGACCTTGCTCGAAGATGCCCCTGCAGGCTATGAATGGAACAAGTCTACTAGAAACTTTCTACATAGTCTGGCCTCTCTTGTTAAAGGTGCAGAGATCTCTAACATCGGTTTAGTGGTTAAAGGTATTGCTTCTGAAGATCTCAAGACTGCTCTACAAGTCAATGCTGCATTCAAATACATTAAGGAACATGGTGCTGATGCAACCACCGAATCAATGAATGAAAACTCTGGTGTTGGTATTGAAGTCACCGACGTCGAAGTTCGCGCTTCGGTTGTGAAATATATTGAAGATAACAAAGAAACTATACTACATGATCGTTATAAGTTGGTCCCAGGTATTTTTGCTAATATTAAGAACTTACCTGAATTAAAATGGGCCGACCCACGTTCTTTTAAGCCAATCATTGACGAAGAGATATTAAAGGTTCTAGGTCCAAAGGATGAAAGAGATCTAGTGAAGAAGAAGACTAAGAAACAAACTGATAACAAGAAGGGTAAAGGTACTACCGCCTCTGCTACTGGCATTACCTCAGATGAACCAAAGAGAACTATGTTTACCGAAGGTTTCTTGGGTGACCTACATAAAGTAGGTGAAAATCCTCAAGCTTTCCCAGAACTTATGGTCGAACATTTGAAGGCTACTGGAGGTAAAGTACGTACTAGATTCCCACCTGAACCAAATGGTTACTTACATATTGGTCATTCCAAGGCTATCATGGTCAACTTCGGTTACGCCAAACACTGGGATGGTGTCTGTTACTTGAGATTCGACGATACTAACCCTGAAGCCGAGGCTCCTGAATACTTCGAATCTATTAAGAGAATGGTATCCTGGTTAGGTTTTGCTCCATGGAAGATTACTTACTCCAGTAATTACTTTGACGAATTGTACAATCTTGCCGAAGTATTAATCAATAACGACAGAGGTTATGTCTGTCATTGTACTGCCCAAGAAGTGAAGAAATGTCGTGGTATCAAAGAAGACGGTACTCCAGGTGGTGAAAGATCCGCTTGTACGCACCGTAGTAACAGTATTGAACAAAACTTGAAAGAATTTAGAAAGATGAAAGAAGGTCATTATCAACCAGGGGAAGCTACTCTAAGAATGAAGATGAACATAGAGTCTCCAAACCCACAAATGTGGGATTTAGTTGCTTACAGAGTCTTGAATGCTCCACATCCAAGAACTGGTACCAAGTGGAAAATCTACCCAACTTATGATTTTACTCACTGTTTGGTCGATTCCTTTGAAAATATCACTCATTCCTTATGTACCACCGAATTTTATTTATCGAGACAAAGTTACGAATGGTTATGTGACCAAGTTCATGTATTTAGACCTGCTCAAAGAGAATATGGTCGTTTGAATATCACTGGTACAATTCTATCGAAGAGAAAGATCGCCAAATTGGTCGAAGAAAAGTTTGTTAGAGGTTGGGATGATCCAAGATTATTCACTTTGGAAGGTATTCGTAGACGTGGTGTTCCACCTGGCGCCATTTTGAATTTCATTAACACTCTAGGTGTTACCACTAGTACGACTAACATTCAAGTTGCTAGATTTGAAAATGCTGTTAGAAAGTATCTAGAAGACACAACCCCAAGATTAATGTTTGTCTTGGATCCAATTGAGGTTATTGTTGAAAATGTTGCCGATGACTTTGAAGAAGTTGTCTCTATTCCTTACAGAGCTGGTACTCCAAAGTTTGGTGATAGATCTGTTCCATTCACCAAGAAATTCTACATTGAAAGATCTGATTTCTCTGAGGATGCTTCCGATGCTGAATTCTTCAGATTGACTCCAAAGCAAGACGTTGGTCTAGTCAGAGTCCCACATACTGTATCCTTCATCAGATTAGAAAAGGATAATTCTGGCAAGATAACAAAACTGTATGTCAATTACAACAATGCCCCATTAAAGGAAGGTGAAAAGTCCAAGAAGCCAAAGACCTATATTCAATGGGTTCCAATCTCTTCAAAATTCAACTCGCCAGTTAGAATTGATGAAACCCGAGTTTATAACCAATTGTTCCATTCCGAAAACCCATCTGCACATGAAGGCGGTTTCTTGAAGGACATTAACCCAGATAGTGAAGTGGTTTACAAGCATGCTGTCATTGAACACAACTACCACGAAGTCATCAAGTCTGCTCCATGGGTTGTTGACTCCATTAAAGAATCTGAATTCTACGTCGAAGAAGACAAGACAACCAAGGAAACCTTTAGATTCCAAGGTATGAGAGTTGGTTACTTCACAATGGATAAGGAAAGTACCGATGACAAGATTATCTTGAACAGAATTGTCAGTTTAAAGGATAGTACCTCCAAATAAGCAAAAATAGATTGATAGAAAATTTTTTCTTCAAACGATTTAATATATATTAATGTGTATATTTAGCCACGCCTATAATAATACATAATAGCTCAGCATATGGCATCAAAGGAAATTACATAGTCCATGTTTTCAGATTTTTTAATGACGTCAGGCGTCACAATTGAAACAATATAATTGTTAACTATTTTGATAAAAATAAATAAACGTAGAGTGTATATTGATAACAATCAAAAAGGATAGCTCTTCTTGCACGTATAGATGTATCTGTTATCTAATGTTATAAATTATCTAAGAGGTTTAAGAAAGGGTACTCCAGCATCGCATCAATGAAATCAAATTTTTTTAAAAATATTAATGAAAATCAAGAGAGTTGCATCATTGATAATGAAAATTTAATTCCGAAGTTTTATTCACCAGATAGTAGTTATCAAACTAACCAGAACAAATTTAACAATAACAATAAACATTTAGGAAGACGCTTTAAAAAGATTCATAATTCAAAGTTTGATTTTCGGTATCAGGCATCACATTCGGAATTTGACACAAGCACAGCACCGCTCAATATAATAAACGACGTTACAACCGAATACGACCATCATGGGATAAAACAAGGAAGGGAAATCTCGGGAAAAGATTCTATACAACCATCTTCTCTTTACATGTCAAATAAAGAAGATAATGTATTTGATTATAATATTCCGAACAATCAATTGCCATTCCTTCTGGGCAATATTTTAGATTTGAAATCACAAATGAAACAATTAAAATCGTCACCTTACGATAAACAAACAAGAGACGTCTCAACTTTCAAGATTCCACTCTCCGAAAGGACAAATTCCGATGATAGTTTACATGCCAGGGTAGTTCCAGATTTTAATTATCCTAGCGAACAATCATTTAAACCATATATTGAAAATCCTGAAACAGGTCATTACTACAATATGAATTTGGATTATGAAGATAATAATAGTGATTTTTTCCCAGAAAGAAATAGAAAAATTACTGACTTCGATGACTATTCATCTACACCAAGTATTGGTTCCCCTGAAAGATCGATTCAAGAACAAACTGGTCAGAGATCATTAATAATAAAATATCTTAAGGATAGATTAAGAATTCGTCATCTAAGAAATGATTCTGAATATTCATTAGTATCGACTGCTTCTAGAAGGAGAAGACATAGACGTCAATTGAGAATGTATACACATCATATGAAGAAGAAAATTAAACACTCATTTTCCCATATTAGAAAAAGATAAGTATATCTATATATAAAAAAATTAATATTTATTTTATATTATTAAGTCATGATAGATGTGTAAAGCTTGTCTTTTATGTATTTATGTAATTGTTAGATAAGCATATTGTATTTTATATGCTTTTTTGAATGTTGATTAGATCATAGTATCAAATTCACTGTCGATATAAGAACCATTAACAAGTAAAGTTTTCACCAATCGAGGTAAAATCTCAACTTGCATTGTCTCCAACGGAAATTTCTCACCATCGACAGAAAATAGTCCTTCTTCAATCTTTGGTACTAATCTATATGCTAGAACTTTTGCATGGATAACTTCAGGTTCCAATATATGTGTCCCTTTATCTAGAGACAATAGGATAGGTGTTATTTTAGTCAACGGTGTTCTTGAATCTGTAATGACCATATCAAAACTTCCATCTGATGGTAATGCAGCAGGGAAGAATTTTGTATCTGCAGCCATGTATGGCATTTTCCCTGTATAGAAAATTTGTAAATTATTTGCAATATCTGGATTAAGTCTTTCCCAATCCTCTGGAACATCATTATTTAAAGAATATTTCAATTTGAAATCATCTTCTGTCAAATCATTATCTGAAGCTAATTGAGCTGTACATTCTTCTGGAGTGGTTGTCTCTCTATCAAATAATAAAGTAGTTTTATTTTTTTGTTCGATGTAATGAATATGAATATCTTTCTTATCCTTGACGGCATATTTCACATAAAGATCACAAGGATATTTCCTACCTTGCAAAACAGTGACTGCCACCCCTAATTCAAACCTTGAAGGTCCCATCCATCTAATGAATTCTGTGTTAATATCAGACTCAGCAATGACACCATACGTTTGACTTAAAAACGATAATCTAGGGAATTCATTGGCATACGATTCCTGTGAACAACACATCATATCTATCCTTGCCTCGGTGGATTTCACAAGACACAATGCAGCATATGAGGGATTATTAGTCCAATGGCAAGATATACTCATTGCATTCCCAGAACCACAAGGTAATTGAGTCACTGTAAGTTTATTAAACGCAGCAACGCGGTCCGGCCGCTGATACAACCCATTAATAATCTCGTAAGGGATCCCATCCCCAGAGGCACAAGCAATTGTGTCATATTTCTCTAGATCCAAATCTCTAGCGATATCCATAGCATGACGTGCATATTTTGTATAAGCAATATCAATTTTACATTCTGTTGACGCTAAGATAGGATGACATTTAGTTTCGTATAATGTTCTAGCTTTCCCTTTCCCACCATATGGGTTGATTACCACTAAGATCGATTTATGTCTTTTAATACCTTCAAAGCTTCGCTGGAAAATCAATTCGACGATATTTTCAGTATCCTCTTGAGAGGATGTAGTCATTGTGCTACTACTACCACCACCATCGGCATTACTATCCTTGATTGGTTGATTCTTATTCATCAGAGAACCCCCTACTGTTGGAACGTGTTCAATAGACAAATATAATTTCTGTGGAACGATATCATTTCCCTGAGGTACTACAAAGGTCAATTCAATTAAAGAATTTGCAGATTCCTCATCCTCATCCTCATCGCCATTGCCATCATCATCTAAACCTTTCTTATCCATTCGATTAACATTATCGTGTCTGACAGCATTAGGATCACTTGGTCCCGCGGAACTTTGGGCAAGACGGCCATACCCGTCACGTGACTGCTCCAAGGAATCAACTGATTTTGCATTAAGTATTCTTCTGAATGGAATCAAAGTATTATTCGGTAATAGGCCTACCGTTGAAGGATCGCATTCATAGTCAGTGTTCAGACATGTGAAACATCCGCTGAGAAATGATACTGTAGAGCCATTAGAGTTTCCTACTTGATCATAAGCATCTGTGACAGGTCCCTGAGTTTTGACCACAATACCTTCCTTTGTGAGTAATGCTCTAGAGTATGACTTCCCTGAGTACGACAGTGAATTGCTATTATTCATCGAGTTATAACTGCGTAAGCAAATATACTATGTATATCTAGGTGTATCAGTAAAAATACAGTTAATAAAAAAGAAAAATAAGAAAAAAGATATCGTAAATCACAAAATATTTCTTTCTATATATAATAGTATAGAATGGAGAATATGTTATGCTAATAATATGAATATGTATATTTGAGTGATCAGCTAACAATAAAGCACTCTACCTAATGAGTCTATAATGATAATAATGATAACAACAATGTTCTTGGCAAAACCATCACTAAGAAAGGGTTCTTGTCCCATTAAACTTTCCATTTGCATATTACGTTATATATATATAAAGTGCTGCAAACTATGCCATCAATGCCCACAACTTGAAAGCCTGCGAATAATTTGCGGTGTTCGCGTTTTAGGAATTTGCTGCACGAACACGAAATTTTCTCGGCAATAACAGGCCCAATTCCCCAGTCAAATGCCGGCATAGCAAACCCTTGGCCCCGCGGGAGATAAAATGGCATGTAAAGCCGATGATGCTCGGGAGGGTGTGTGGGTGTGATCATGTGATTGTCATGTGATCGGGTGTGATCATGTGATTGTCATGTGATCGGGTGTGGTCATGTGATCGTGAATTTTTTTCTGTTTTTGTTTTTTCCCTGTTTAATACACATATACATGTATATTAAGAGATTATTGGGAACTGATGGGACACATCAGTGGTAATGCTCCTGCGACTGTCGGGTATATCAGTGGTTGAGCAGAGTCTATAGTGCCATGGCTTTGGTGGTTGTTCAATGGAAGAATCAGCCGGCGATGGAGTCTTCCATGACTGTCTGTCGTGACACTCATACTGACTATATTCTTACCGTATGTAACGTTTGACAGGTATATAATTGCTACTAGAAGCGATGTAATTAGAAATGTGTACCGCATATATAATGTTATGTGCTGGTTACTTAGCTGTTCCCCTTGTTTGTTTGTTGGTTGGTTGGTTGGTTGGTTGGTTTTCCTTTAAATAGTAGACTTCTCATCGTATAAGGCTTCCTTAAGTTAGCTTTATCTAATATGATGTGACGAATTATACAATGAATATAATTATTTATAAAGGAGAGAATTGTACGTAGAACGGTGTTTATGCATTAAAATTCGCTCCCTGTAAACAAAAAATTATACTGAAATTTGAAATTTTAATATGGAAATGAATACAAAACTGATAATAAATTATAGCTTGATTGACATCGTTATTCTAAAAAGAATAGAGATATCAATAAAAAGGAAAATACTACGTTACTTTCAAGGATACATACAGCATTATGTCGAATTATAGTAATTGTAGGGACTCATATGTACAATATCAACATCTTGCAAAATCACATAATGTTTTGTACCATGAATGGATGGACGATAATGCATTGCCAACACCAGATCAAATATTACGAAATTTACCTCATAGATCTCATGGAAGTGACAGTGCAGTTGACGATCAGGATGATATGACTGTTCCAGCCGGGACTTCTGTAGATAATGACATGGAAGATAATGTAGGCTTTACGGTCTCTGACAAATATTGGGATTTCTTTTGCGATGATGAGCAATGGGAAATATTTCATAGTGCAAACTTAACAGTTGAACCTAATGGAAATTTGATGTTTAACAGAATGATCACTGCTCAGGGACCACTGGACACGTTGGGCGGGTCATCAATAGGGAGGAATATATATCGAGGTGATGATGCTAATGGTGCTAGTAATACCCATAATTCTAAGGACGATGTCAATATAGATAATAATACAAATAATAGTAGGGATAATGGTAATTCAGAGAAGGATATTGTTGTCGGATCAGCATTCGATCCAAGGACTTTACAGAATATTAAACAGAAAGTTGATGGTTGGACAAATGGTTTTCCAAACCTTACATAATCAATTTTTGTTCATTGATTACTTTAGGTGCCAGTACCGAATCTTGGTAAATTATTTGGTTGCTTGTTTGTTGTTGCTATTTATTATATGTGGCATGAGATACGCCTCAAATCTACTCACTTTTAAATTAAATGAGTAATTATTATAAACGCAATATTGGGTTTAATGCTACAGCTTTCAGAATTGTTATTCAGATTCCTTGTTTATTAACTGTTGTCCTTAATTTCATGATTAATCTATAAATGAATACAGGTTATGGATTATGGAAAACATGGCAATACGGATGTTTATCAATACAAGAAAATTAAGCCGACCGCCAAATTTTCATAACAGGACCAAGTTTGATCAAAATATCCATAATTTCATTTGAAATACTCATACCACCAAGCACATATTATAAAGTCCTGAATGGCTTTATGAATAACTCTTTTTCAAGACCTTTTTCTGGACAAGTTGTAGGCACTGCTACCCAAGCAAGTTTACATAGGCTACAATTAATTCAGATATATTATGGTTGTGATTTATGTCTGTGGTGGTTACCAAGTGTATCCTCATTTTGACTTTTCTTTGAAAATTCTTTTGCTGTGAAATGAATAAGATGACAGAACTTTCTTTTTAAACATGGTGGGCTCTGGCAGTCATTATTGCTCTCCTCACGGATGTTTTATACAAGATGCATATCAAATAAATCTAAAGGAATTTGGTTGAATACTGTTTTATAGAAACTGAATATGGTCGGTGAGAGGTCCGATTTGGCCGTTTATATATTGCATATTCGATGCTTACACATCACTTTATTATCATCAAAAAGCATTGTTATAGTAAATGGTAAAGTACATATTTTGTATGAGAAGGAAGTTCCCATAAATAAATTTAAAGTTTTTGGCAATTATTATGAGCTGAAGCAGACATAGTGGTGTAAGACTTATATTCTTTCATTATTTAAAGTGTTAGGTATAGAGGTGAAGGTGTAGCTTGAGTTTTAATGTTAAGAAAGCAAAATGTATTTGTTATATTTTTCTTATAATTGTAAGTGGTTTTTGACAGAAATTATGTGGAATCAATATATCTCGAATGTATTACGCAGTGCGTTACAATATGAAACAAATCATAATTCCAACTTCAAATGAAAAATAGATTTCCAATTCTTAGATCAAGTGAGATTAGAATAAATTATGTATAAAGATAAATAATTCTGAATTTCCATTCTAAGTTAAATTCTATACGTTCTATTACTTATGTAATAATAAAAAAAAGCACTTACTTTTTTAGAGTATCTGTGATAGAGTTTTTTTCCTCTGTTATTCTCTTCAAGCTTTAATTATTTTATAGAGGCCATTTAGTAAGAAGATAATCGATCGGTCTCTTTATACTACATATAACGTAGAGATTGTAGAACATTTAACATTCTTTATATATTATATTAAGAGCTTCTTTTTATATCATTTTTTTTAAATATTTTGATTTCCTCAATCAACCCAGTCATCATCAATTGATGTAATGGCATCATACGATGACATCTGGTCACATCTAGTGATGACATCTGTGAGTGAATGTGCATAAAAGGTTTTCTTTACCTATATTGAAATTAAGTGTGATACATATTACCCTTAATTTCTAGCAGAATCATAGACTTTACTGTTGTTGTCATGAAATATACGTTGATAGATCTAACTTTACGCAAATAATATAACAGGTAACTTTTATAATAATGGTGATTAGAACGTTTCTTTTCTCACCCATATAGTAATATTGCTTGCTATAAGTGATCGATTGGCCAGTTCCGTTTTTAGAAAAGCGGTACGGAATACGGAAACGGAAACGGACATGGAAGACGGGAAATGGAAGACGGAAACGGGAGACGGAAGTTGCCAATATCGCTGACATAATTATTCAGCGAGATCTTACCAATGACTACTTTCAAGAACAATATCAAAAACACTGAAAATAAATAAAACTATTGTGATCCAATGAATTTAGTAATCACTTTTAAACTTCAATTTTTTCTTTAAGCCATTGTCAATGGTTTTACCAACATATAAAAGGAGTCCATATTCAGCTCTAAAATGTAAAATATTTGTTTCCAGTAGTTCTTCCTTTCTCAACATTTAACATAGAACAATAGTATATACATAACAATTACAAACATTAACATACTACTTCTAAATCACTTCCAATATGCCATTCGTGAAAGACTTTAAAGCTGAATCTTTAGAAGATACAAATCTCTTCAGACCAATGAAGATTGGGAATATGAACCTGGACCATCGTGCCGTTATGGCCCCACTAACAAGATTGAGGGCGATATATCCTGGTCAAATTCCAAACACTGACTATGGTATCGAGTATTATGACCAACGTTCCAGGAGAAAAGGGACATTTTTGATCTCTGAAGCCGCAATCATTTCCCCTCAAGCAGGTGGTATTGACGATGCCCCTGGTATCTGGAGTGAACAACAGGTAGAAGCATGGTCTAAAATCATCGAGAAGGTTCATGAGAATGGCTCTTATATTTTCATCCAATTCTGGGCTTTAGGTCGCCATGCTTTCCCTGGAAATCTGAAAAGAGATGGGCTTAGATATGTCTCTGCGTCCGACGACGTTTACATCGACGACTCCCGCCAAGCAATTGCTTTCTATGCAAACAACCGCCAACATGGTCTAACTAAGACAGAAATTCAAAGTTTTGTCCAGGATTTTGCAAACGCCTCAAAGAATTCGATTAAGGCAGGTGCAGATGGTGTTGAGATCCATAGTGCGTTTGGTTTCTTTTTAAATCAATTTTTGGACCCAATTTCCAACAAAAGAACGGATGAATACGGTGGGTCTATTGAGAATAGATCCAGAATTGTCTTAGAGGTTGTTGATGCCTGTATTGAGGCCGTTGGTGCTGAAAAGGTTGGTATCAGATTATCCCCTTGGGCTAGATATTTGGGTATGTCAGGAAGTACCGACCCAACTTTATTAGCAACATACTGCTATTTATTGGGTGAGCTTGAAAAGAGAGGTAGGGCTGGTAAGAGATTAGCCTACGTTCATTTAGGTGAACCAAGAGTAACTGATCCATTTTTAACTGAAGGTAAAGGAATGGAGATGTTTGGCCATAACGATTTTGCATTTTCTATCTGGAAAGGTCCAATTATCCGTTCTGGTAATTTGGCATTGCACCCTGAGATTGCAAAAGATTTGTTGAAAAACGATAGAACTTTAATTGCTTACGGTAGATTTTGGATTTCTAACCCAGATCTTGTTGACCGGTTGGAGAAGGGACTACCTCTGAATAAATATGATAGAGGTACCTTTTTAGGTAGAACTGATAAAGGATTATTAGATTATCCAACTTACGATGAGGCTATCAAAAATGGTTGGGATTACGAATCTTAGAAATTTAATATTTGATTCTGTCGGAAATATACTATAAGAATGATAACGACCAAGGTTAATCCCGCAATGATCTGATAATAAGTTAATCCCTCAACAACTTACTAATAGATTACTTACGCCACCGTTGAGTGAATTTTGAGCTGAAGCAGACATACTGTGGTTAGACATATATTCGTTCATTATTTAATGTGTTAGGTGTTATAATATAGAAAGTAGCAATACTTAGTTATTACAATTTTATGTCTAGTAAGAATACTATCAATATTTGGTAGACTGTTTTCCTTTTCCAAAAATATAAAAGGACCACATATTCTAACTTTATATATATACAATCTTCCTTATATAGACTTACTTTATATAACATAAAATAAAACTACAAGATTATACATTTGAATATCTATAACTATGTCCGATAATTTCAACTCGAATACTAATCGTATATTCTCGATTTCAAACTTACGTTTACACGTTGGACTATGTAGCTCCAATAAACCCAATGTAGGGGAAACAAACATTACATTATGCAGTATACATCATGTATTGTTATATATACGACAGTGCAGCACACTCTAAATTCTACATATATTAGCTACATTCACCTTCAGTTAGTGACGGAAATTATGTGAAATTGAGATATCTCAAATGTATTACGAAGCATGTTAAAAAATGAAACAAAATATGTGGCATTATGAAACAAAATATGTGGCATTATGAAACAAAGTTAATCGTATTATGAAACAAAACATAATTCGAACCTCAATTGATATTGGAATAAAAATACATATAAAGACAAAGAATTCTGAACTTACATTCTGAGTTAGATTCTATTCGTTCTATAAATTATATACAATACAAATAATCACTTACAAATATAGGAGAAATATAACAATTATATTTTGCTTACCTAACATTAAAACTTAAGCTACACCATTCACCTCTCTACCTGCCACTATATAATATGAACGAATATAAGTCTAACCACAGTATGTCTGCTTCAGCTCATAACAACAGCACCTCTGTTTAACAACCTCAATCTGTTACTTGAATTTTTAAATATTATTTTTAGCTTTTATCATTCCATTACATTTAGTAGCAATAATTTTCAGGAAACATAGCTCGCATGGCGTAATGGCAACGCGTCTGACTTCTAATCAGAAGATTCTGGGTTCGACCCCCAGTGTGAGTGCTATATTTCTACTAATTTTCCGTGATAGTTTAATGGTCAGAATGGGCGCTTGTCGCGTGCCAGATCGGGGTTCAATTCCCCGTCGCGGAGTTTTATTTTTCAACATTTTATTGTGGAGCACGTGACTTGTACCATTTTTAATAATGTTCATATTATGACATCCCTAACATTCTATAAATTAATAGGGTCCCACTGGTTGGGTCATTTAGATAATATTTAAATCCTTGTGTTCTACGTTTGCTAACCGTTACAACTAGATAAACTGTAATACTGAACGTTGATTTCTTAAAGTCTTTGGAAATTCTATACATAATCATTAAGTTGAAAGACAATTTGTAACATGAAGATATTCTAATGTAATAACACCATTCCAATTCAAACTACATATTGTTGCAAAGAGTACTGTTTAAGCATCAGCTGTTGGTTGTATTTTTGTTTTTTCCCTTGTATCCAATGATCCTTTATTTTGCGATGAGGTAATCTATCTTGTACGTGCTTTTCTCGGCGCACTTTGACGGATCAATATTATGAATTTTTTTTTCAAAATTTTTTTTGTTTTGATATTCCAAATATTGAATTAAATAGTAAATAAAGAAGGATTAAATGGAAGAAATGACTCTAGGAAGTAATGATTGTAACAAATAAACAGTTCAGTACGATTTGTATTAGATCGTTATAGAGAAGGTTATCAGGTTTGTCCATTTTCGTTTTCAGTTCAAGAAAAGTAGAGTAGCAATAGTTTGCAGGATGTTTGAATTACCTGTCGTTGATGGCTATGAGAATGGTCAGACATTTCTAGCTGAAAGGAAATTGCGGTACAGATATTTCAATCAATCACATAAACGATACCTACATTACTTACAATCGAAATCCCAAACTGATATTGTACCTGTGAATGAACATGAGGAAGGCAGAGATGAGGAAAATGAAGAAGATATAGAACTTAGACATAATCATGAAGAAAGACTCTATTTTAAGAGATACGAGAAACCACAAAATAGTTATGAAATATGGAGATTGGATAATAAGAAACGGAAGAGAGAACCATTGCAACAAGGTACGATGACATATTCAGATATATCAGATATTGAAGAATATGGGAAACGTAAGAGCCAACATCTATATTACTCTAATCATAAACTGGTGGAAACATTTCAAAATCAAGTGGATGGGTATGAGCTCTTAAAGAAAAGGAAATCAACAATTGTGAAGAATGTTGATTTGAAAGTTATAGAGACTTTGATACAACTACTGCATGTTAATATCATCAGAAGGAAATGGAACATTGCATATAGAGTATTCGCCCAATTGGTTCGTATCCCCAGTGTTGATATTCGATCCATTTGGAACCTTGGTGTTGAAATCATGTCACACGCACAAGAAAACAATGATCCTGAACAAAAGATGACTTTGGAGTTTTTAGAATGGATGACAAAAGTTTATTCGTCAAGAGCCAAATATATTGAAGGTATCAATCATAAACTTGCACCTATGTTCCGTAGTAGTTCAAAGGATCATACAGCAGCGTACGTCACCACCTTACTGTGGAGGTCTCTGTATGTTGCAGCAGCTCATACTTTAGACAATGACCATTATACCGATGATACTAATAAGACTAGTGATGCTGCATTACAAACCCTCATTGAAAAGATTGATGATATGTTAATCATCCCAACGTACATGGAAGAAAGTGAGATCTGGTTTGTTCAAGCAATGTGCCATGTAGTGAAGACAGATTACTTAACCAGGCAGATGAGTGTCGAGCGTGTCGGTTCCATTAACGATATACGACGTAACGATGTCACGGCAGCGATCAAGACTGCTGAACGTTGTCTCCAGGAATGTCTTGAACGAACTGCTGGCGATACTGTTCAGTTCGCATTTCCAGACCGCTACATCCGTAGACAGCTTCGCCAACTGGAGCAAAGGATCAGCAACAAGTGAAGAATAATGAAAAAGTACGACTCAGATGCAACTGCATGATTCATTACCCAGAAGGTGAATATATTGAACCCCACTGCGCACGTGACTGAAATAATTTCGAAGCCAAGCCCAAATTAAGAATAAATGCCCGCAGCTGCGCCTCTCTCTGTGTTCCCTCCTCCGAGCCGGTCTCGGGTAGATCTGCCAGTCACACGAATTATATTATAATTCGCGTAGTGCGGAAAGGGGACAAGGGATGGAAGCGAGCAAATGACGTTGAAATTTTTTTCAATTCAACCTACATCGACAATTGATGATATCATATATATATAGGTTACGAAGACTCGATCATTTGATTGTTTTGATAACGTTACATTTTACTTTTATATCTGTTTTAGGAGTTAATTACTATTTTTAGGAGATTTTGTATATATTCTGTACTTAACTTCTTTCGTTTTTACGATTTTTCTTTGCTACAACTGGTAAGTAAAGACAACAAACAAATTATGCAACTGAAAAATTTGGTAATTGCTGCTGCACTAGCCGCAAGTGCCGATGCTTGGTCCCCTACTAATAGTTACGTTCCTGCAAATGTTTCCTGTGCTGATGACATCAAATTAATTAGAGAAGCTTCGAAGACTTTGTCTGATAATGAAACCTCATGGTTACAGAAGCGTGACCCTATTGCTTCAGAGGCCTTGTTAGCATTTGTCCAACGAGCAATGGCTAATATCTCATCTGCAGATGATTTGGCTGAACGAATCTTTTCAAACTCTTCTACTGCTCCAAAAATTGGTATTGCTGCCTCCGGTGGTGGTTACCGTGCAATGTTAAGCGGTGCAGGTATGATTGCTGCCATGGATAATAGAACTGTCGGTGCTAACGAACATGGTCTTGGTGGTTTGTTGCAAGGTTCTACATATTTGGCCGGTCTTTCTGGTGGTAACTGGATGACAGGTACCCTTGCTTGGAATAATTGGACCTCTGTTCAAGATATCTTGAACGGATTTTATAATGATTCGGATACTCAAATCTGGGATCTAGACCATTCCGTCGTTACTCCAGGTGGTATTAACGTCTTTAAGACAGGTTCCAGATGGGATCACATCTCCGATGCTGTTCAAGCAAAACAAGATGCAGGTTTCAATATCTCGCTTGCCGATGTCTGGGGTCGTGCCTTGGCTTATAACTTTTTCCCATCTTTGTATAGAGGTGGTGTCGGTTACACTTGGTCCACTCTAAGAGATACAGATGTCTTTAAGAATGGTGAAATGCCTTTCCCAATCTCCGTCGCCGACGGTAGATATCCAGGGACTACTGTTATCAATTTGAATGCGACTGTCTTTGAATTCAACCCATTTGAAATGGGTTCTTGGGATCCAACTCTAAACAGTTTCGCTGACGTCAAGTATCTAGGTACCAACGTTTCTAACGGTTCTCCAGTGAATCAAGGTAAATGTATTGCTGGTTTTGATAACACAGGTTTCGTCATGGGTACTTCTTCAACTTTGTTTAACCAGTTTTTGCTACAACTGAATACAACAAGTTTACCATCTTTCATTCAATCATTGGCTAAACATTTCTTAAACGATTTATCAGATGATTATAATGATATTGCTATCTATGCCCCAAATCCATTTAGGGACGCTGATACTATTGCATCCAACTATTCTCAAAGTATTGCTGAATCGGAATACTTGTTCTTGGTTGATGGTGGTGAAGATCTCGAAAACATCCCATTGGTTCCTTTAATTCAGAAACAAAGAGACCTAGATGTTGTCTTTGCTCTAGATAACTCTGCTGACACTAACTCTTCATGGCCTGATGGTACCTCTTTGGTAAGCACTTACCAAAGACAATTCGGTTTACAAGGTAATGGTATGGCTTTCCCATATGTTCCAGATGAAAACACTTTTGTTAACTTAGGTCTAAACACTAAGCCAACTTTCTTTGGTTGTGATGCTTCAAATATGACCGATCTAGATTACATCCCACCTTTAATCGTTTACATTCCAAACTCTTACCATTCTTACCAAGGTAATCAAAGTACTTTCAAATTATCTTACTCTACAGATGAAAGAATTGGTGTTATTCAAAACGGTTTCGAATCCGCCACTAGAGGTAACTTGACTGATGACAGTGACTACATTGGTTGTATTGGTTGTGCAATCTTAAGACGTAAGCAACAATCCTTGAATGCCACCTTACCATCTGAATGTGAGCAATGTTTCACCAACTACTGTTGGAATGGTACTATTGCCAGTGCTTCAGTTAATGGTTCTGATGCAAAGGCTACAACCACTGACATTGCTGCTGCTACTGCCGAAGGTGTTGATTCATCTGCAACCGGTAGTTCCACAAGTGTCTCTGGTACTGTTTCTCATACTTCTTCTACAAAGACCTCCAAGACTAAATCATCCAAGTCTAAGAATGCTGCTAATATATTAAACGCTCAAAACATTGGTCTATTCTCATTAATTTCTGCTTTGATGAACTTCTTATAATTTTAAATATATAGATATATATAGATATATGTATAGTTAACTTTTTAAATGACTACTATTAAACGTATTCGGACGCCTTTACCTTCGTGTTTTTTGATATATATTTATATTTTATTTTTTAATAAAAGAAACTCCGATAAAGTAACATTCTATTTTATTCTTTTATGTTGCTTCCGGTAGCTCTCTTATGTTAGTTAGTTATGCTAAATGTTATATAAGGAATTTTAATCTCTTATCCTTGCGTAACCTTTTGAAATTACGTTATGTACACCCATTCTTCTATTTTCAAGAACGTTTAGTAGGTCTCTCATGACAATACCAGGTTCCTCTCTTGCCTCTCTATATTTTAAGCCACTATCACCTCTTGCTGCAATATCAGATGCAACACGGCCTGTAGCTTTAACACCTGTGTTTGTTGGTTTCCCAACTGAACTTGTCAACCAACCATATTGTTTTTTACTGCCTGCTCTTAATCCTGCTGTGACATTCGAAGCACGATGTAATGTTTCTTCGGAATCAATTTTATTCTCATAATCCTCTTTTTCTAAGCCTAATGCTATTCTTTTTTTAACACGTCTCTCTTCGTCCTTCTTCTGTTGTATAGCTATGGCTCTTAAAGCAGTTGCCACTTCACTTCGTCTTCCTGAATTAATCTTAACAGCTTTTCTACGATGGCGAGATATCACCACAGCGTTCGTTATTATATCTCTCATATATGATTCACATGCAGACGACATCATACTCAATATGTCATTATTTTTCACCATTTCATTCACATTTTTACAATTTTGATTTATAAGAGCTCGTTTCATCATCTTGGAAACTTGGTCAGGATGTAGAAATGGGGGATTTTTAAGAAGTTTTGCAACAACTGCATTCTGCGCTTGAGCATTCTTGGAAGCATTAATCGAGGAATGTAGTAGAGCTTCTTCTTCTCTGATATCGACCCCAGCTGAAAATAAGACATCTTGCATCTTATTAGGATCCATTTTTTGCTGAGCATTATTTGAATTTTTTGTAGAATCTTGTCCACTGGTATTATCTTTTTTTTTACTACTTGAACTTTCTTTCTTTTTGGTTTTCTTCTTCTCATCAGCTTTTGGTAATGCTAAATTTGTGGATTTCACTTCTGTCGTACCATTACTATCACTTTTTTCTTCAAGTTTAACTTTCTTATTTGGTTCATTGCTAGTATCATTCTCTAGCTCTCTTTTCTTGACATCATCTATGTTATCTTTAGTGTCAGCTATTGTATCATTTACTGGTGCGTTACTTGAAGAAGGTGTATTGGACATTTGGAAATAATACCTAACTAAAATTGTCTGTGTATAAATGTGTTTTGTTCCTTTTCGTTTTCTAATATATACAGGAATGGATATGTTATATGTTATCTATATTGTTTCTACCGTTTTTGGAAATATATATATTCCGTGATTTAATAATGTTACAATTGAACTGAATATAGATGGATATTCCCCTTGGTTGATCGACTTATTTGCTCTCATTAAATGTCTAAATATTGTTGTACTTTTTCTTTAAGAATTGCTGAAATAAATTTTGTCGCTTCAAGTTTCTTTCTCCTCTCCTTTTCTGTCTTCCCCCTCTGGAAATCATTTTATACGTAGTATAGAAGAACTCAAGTATTATAAATTAATATGAATTTTTAATATTTGATTTGATTTTGATTTATAAAGTATAAATAATTGAATGAAATAAGGAATAAATTAGACGGTTTAGTATTTATTTATATGTGGAGAAAAGTTTTCGTGAGATTTGAAATCACACGTTAGAATATTAGTTTGGGTTCATATAGGTTGTTATTAGTATCAGCTTTTATATGCGATACCTTCTAGGACAAAGAACCATAAAAATGGAATAATATTGAGTAGAACGAAAATGAATTCCCTCATAGTGGATTTAAATACACAATGATGTTAAGTAGGCGTGTATTTATCAGTAATTCAACTTAGTATTGACGGGCAGCTTCTTGGCATGCCTTCAATTGTTGTAAATAATAGTCACAAGCTTGGAAGTTACCGTTGTTTTCATCTAAACAACGTGTAAAATTTCTAGCATCCAAGTCACACATCTTAGCTTGATCTTGGGTTAACTGACTTTGTTGTGCTTGTAACTGGCCGTTTTGTTCGATTGGAGCCAAGGATTCAGCATTATCGGAGCCTGAACCGGAAAACATACCTGTTAATCCAGCACCGAGAGTATGACCGACCGCACTACCGACAGCTACACCTGCAGCAGTGGATGCCATTTGTGCAAACATACCAGGCTGTCTTGGTTGAGCGCCTGCCTGTTGAGCAGTAGGGGCTGCAGCTGGTGTTGAAGTTGGTGCAGCTCTAGCTGGTTGACCACCGAAGCTAGCTGGTGCAGCCATGGTGGATGCAGAACGGGATTGTGTTCTTGTAGGACTTGGTCTTGCTGCTGGACGTCTTGCTGCTGGTCTGGAACCACCTCTAGAACGTGCCATTTTTCTTTCTTTTCTTGCTTTTTTAAATAAGTATCGAGTTGTTTTCTTTCTGTAATATTCTCGATCTATATCCTAATTACCTGAACTTCCTGTTTTCTTTTTGAGTATTTGAAAATGGGAAACGTTTTTATAGAAATAGTTATCACAATATTACGATTACTTTGCTCTTGTTGTTGTTGTTGTAGTTCGTCCTTTTGGAAAAGGTGTTGATGGAAATGGTTGAATCTCATTCTGCTTCCTTTATATATAATATACATATATAGCAAAACCAATCGAGAAAGTTTTCTTTGCCACCGAAAACGTGGAAAAATGGATTTGGCGGGGGGTCTCTCCCTTTCTGTGGGGCTTTCTGGGACCAGCGATGTATCCGATGACCGCCGATATCGGGAGTTGCGCTTCTGTTAGACGGGCCAATCAGATATGAGCCGGAGATCGGAATATGTGTGCAACTGGAAGAAGGACCTGTAAGTTGGTGGACCTTCGACGCAATGTTATGGTGTATGTTACAAATGCTTTATCTCTTTACATAGAGATATACAAATATCTGTTATGTATGTATGTATATGTGTGTGTGTCTGTTATTGTTCTACGTAAGGTGTGGAAACCTCCTGAAATTATGTGATTAGAATCTCCAATTCTCGTCCACGGATTCAATAGCCCAAGTGAATTTCTCTCTGAGAGACTTGGTGAAAATCTTCTCGATAGGGACTCCGAATTTCTTACAAAAGACAACCGATAATCTAGGATCGATATAATTAATCTTGGAGGTACCTAATGAGACCTCGGAGTTTTCTTCTTTGTCCTTTAATTGGATTGAAGATGTTTCTATTCTTAGATCTAATTTTTCAATTTGTTTCTCTAATTTTTCGACAGTGTTCAAAGTTGGTTTTATGACAATTTTACCAGTCTTTACTTCTTCTGCAAATTCTTCTTTCAAATTTTCAACTTTTTCTAACCATTCATTTAGAACTTTTTCTTCTAATAATTCTTCATTTTCAAACTTACGTTTATCATTCTCACGAACAAATTTACGTTGATATTTTTCATTTTCACGTTCAATAATCTTTTCATGAATCTCAATTTCATTTTCCTTAGTTAAATCATCGATTTCAGCGTAAAATTTTGGATTTTTTTTACGTAATTTTTTATCCAACTGTAACATACTTTTCTTTAACCTTATACGTTGCCATACAAGTTCTTTAATTCTGAAATTTGCCTTTTGAACAGATTGAGCATGACCCTTGGTGACAGACCGTTGATGGTTACAAAGAATGGCAACTGTTCTATTGGCTGCATTATATCTTAATAATTTTTCGGCAACAGAACCCTCATTTGGAATTAAATCTAATTGATCTTGCATCGTCTTGGAGGCATTATAAGTACGGAACACCTTGGCTGTAAGACCAGGCATGTAACTTTGTAGATGTTTGTTTAAGATGGATGGATCTAATCGATCAAACAATTGATGACCTGGTTGTTTTGGAGGTCTCTTGAAAATAATTAAATCCTTAAAAACTTGTTTATCGACTTCAACTTCTTGATAGAAACGAATCGAATCCTTACCCAAGAAATCAAAGATAACAATATTTGGAGGTTGTAAAGTAACATGTTCATACCGTAGAGAACAACAACCAACTGTATCTGCTTCATCTTCCGATTTCTCACCACCAGCTCTTAATGCGAACACATCGATTAGATAAATGGCTACAGCCTTTTGACGTTCCAACATCACTTTACTCTTTAGACTTCTCCTATAATCACGTCTGATGGCATCGATATGAGATTTCAATTCGCGAGCTTTTTCAAATTTCTTTAAATCACTTTGCCCCTTTAACGATGAGTTGGCAGCAAGCCTGACATATTTAAATGAATTAAAAATGTTTTCACGCCACATGGCTAACCATTGAACGTTTGGATCATGTCTAATTTCACCCCACTTGTGACCCTTTGGTGGTTTGGGGATTGGTGCATCTTTACTTAGATTCAATACAATATCTTCAGGATGAACTCTACGTTTTAATTTACCTGTTTTAGGATGTTTACCACGACCTCTAAATAAATCAGGAGGTTCGACTCTAAAATTACCAACTTGTTCCTTTCTACCATTTAATTCACAAAATTTATAAGGTTCTTCCTCCTTTTGTCTTTCAAGTCTTAATTCTTTTTTCTCTTGAGCAGACAATTTTTTTTTCTCCTCTTTTAAGACTTCAAAATAATTATAAATCTTAGTGAAATCACATTTATTAAAACTTTTAATTTGAATACCATTTAAAGTTCCACCATTTTCTTTTAAGACTTGCAAAAAATCATTAAAGAAATTTTTTTGAAACACCGGATTCTTACCATGATCCGTCTCTAACAAGGCTGCATAAAATCCTACCACTTCTTCAGCTTCTGGCGGTAGTTCTACAGGTTGATTGTCATAATAGAGTTTGATGTGTGACGGTAATGGTTCATAATCTGGCGGAAACATGACACCATTATGAACAAGTGTAGTCCAACCAGCATCCTTAGAGTCTCCTTCTTCCCACCATTTATAGGACTCTTCTTTGGTATCTTCATCGTCTTCTTCTTCTTCTTCTTCTTCTTCTTCTTCTTTCTTCTTTTTCAACTCTTTCTGTCCCTCTTCTTCTATCTTAACAGATTTTTTGGATGTTTTTGATTTCGATTTCTTTTTCTTCTTCTTTTCAAGTTTCTTAGACATTACTTCATCATCATCATCACTACCTACTTCAAGTTTAACTTTTTTATCTTTCAAAGTAGTCTTTGTCTTTTTCTTCTTCGGTTGCTTCGACAACACATCATCACTATCATAGTCTGAATCCTCCTCCACGACAACTTTTCTCACCTTAGTATTTTTTCTTGAAATAGTTTGAGACAATGGTGTATCTTCATCATCAGACGACATCTCAGCTCTAGTCATTTCCTAGGACTCAATTTGACAAGTATGGATAAAACAAAATATATTAAAAAGCTTATAATTAGTACGCTTGTTTGTCACTCCCTTTGTTTCCAGTAATAGAATTGCACGTATAAGGGACTCACCCAAACGATTTTCTTATGTGTAGTGCTTACTTTGTATGATAGGTTTAACGACGAAATAGTTAATTACCTCATCGCTGAAATTTCATGCAACTTTATATAATATATATGATTTATCGTATTGTTAACGCGTCAAATGAAACATAAAGAATGGGAAAAAAAATTTGGAAAAAAAAAGATCGACAAAATTTCCGGGTTACTACAAAGGATGGGATAGCTGCGTTGAAGAAGAGCTTAAGAGGAGAGATAAACAAGAAGGTTAAAGGGACCTGGTATCGCACACTCGATAGATTATATTTGAGTGTCCGGTGGCACTTTGAAAAAGGGAGAAGATCCACACATATATATATATATGACTGGCTGTAAAACTAGGGATGGATTAGGTTTAACTTGAAAGATATCCCTATTAAAACAACCGCTTCAGTTATTACTCTTTCAAACAACAAAGAGTAGATACCACCCATTTCAATAATTATCAGATCAAAATCACTGACATAGAGGATACAGAAATTCCGTCAGATGTCAAATTCGTGAAATTAACCTGATATGACAACTGTCCAATGCAATTCCACCAACCACAGTCGCCTACTCCAACAAAAATTATGTTTTTCAATGGGACTCTAATTTGCATCACAAATCGTCCAGAATATCTACGGTATATCATATATCAAACTGGATCAGCTTTTTCTTTCGACAAATGCAAAGTCAGGACCATAGGGATGACGCTGCCTTAACTATCTAACTGAGATCCGGGGCACTCCATCTAAAACCTTATGGTATTACCTCAGAGATAACGCTTTTCTTTCCATTAATTATTTCAGAGCAAATTTATCAAATCTCTAATACCAGACGGCTCATGTATTACCCGTTTATAGAAGAAGTCTGTTTGAACAAATCACAAATATCCATTCGTTAGCCTATCAAAATACCATTAGAAGGAATCAATCCTGATATTATATACTTAGGTTTCAGATAATTTTTAATCATCATGGATCATTGCCGGTCATACAGTGTGATTTTCCAAATAGAAAGTGAGGCAGAAACTGGTAAATTTTTATACTTCTTCCCCATGTATGGCAATGTTAAGAGCTTTCTAGGTATGAAAGGAATAATTGGCGGGAGGGACATTTAAAAAATGAACCTTGACTTACTTTACAAATTCACAAGAGAGAGAAATATTTATACTGTATGGTTTATTACATCCACATACAATGTGCTTCATATACTGAATAGTACCAATGAACTTAAAGATGAGAGTCTCCAAGAGTCTCCATTATTCTCATGTTATATTGAATATTTGAAACATATGGCAAACATCATTTTTGAGAATATAATAAAGTCGATGGGACACGTAATGATATTGCAAAATTATGATGAGAATAATTTAGCTGATAATGTGTCTCCCAGCGAAAACGAAGAAGCAAGAAAAATAGACATTGTCTAAAAATTCGACAACTCCTTCAATAATAAAGTTCCTATTGTATTAAATAAAGTGGTCGATTTTTATTATGAAGTTCCATATGGAACAAAATTAAAACTATATAAAGAATTAGTTCCCAATTGTATGCATACAGAAATATTGTTCCGTGAGAGAAGTCATTAAATTAAATATTCAAAGGTTAGTGTCCTTACAGATGAAGGATATTCAAATATACATATTTTTGTTAATAATACGTTAAATACAGCCGATTTACATCAAAAAGAAAGTGTACTTGATCTGGTTTCTTAATTTAAAGTAGCTAAGGCATTGGTACCTCAAGACAATGTACTGTCGTTAGTTTATGTTACTGTATTATTGAACTGGTTTATCAGTTTCATAGTACAGCCCAGACACTTCCTGATCTGATAAGTATCTCAAATTCGAGCCTAGTTTTAGACAGTATTAACAAATAAGTTTACTAATCCCAAAGATTTGACTCATTAATCACAACTTCATATCTACAATACAACAGAATTGATCCGATTAAAGTTGTAAGAAGTCTACTAGTCTAAATTTTATATTTGGATGCTAATAACCTCCATAGCAAAATCGTGGTTATTCGCATCCAGCTCCTTTTAAAAAGAATACTACGATTATGGATTCTTTATATAAGCATTTATGAAAAGATCCTGACTGTATACTTTTTAACCTCCGGTTCTTGACTTCCGAGACTTCAAACACTGGAACTGTGTATATATATACCGTACAAAACATACTACATGAGATTCATCATTGTCATAATTAAATGTTCAGAAATATATTATTGATCAACAGGGAAACAACAATGTTTAGTTAAATGTCAGCTATGTTTATGATGTTGACAGAATTAGCTTTACAAGAAATTATATCTGGATACACCGGACAACCCTTTCTTATAAGTCAATAATAAAATACTCTCCGTGGAAACTAACATTGAGAAATATGCGTATATGTGACTGATCATCACTAAGAGTCTCCCAAGGGGTTCAACTACTCCATAAATTTTTTTGTATGTTACATAGAGATGATTTATGTATATCATCTATACTTGCTATACACGGGGACTTGCAATTACATAATTATGTAAATAGATGTTCTATGAGGGCGTGTGTGGATATCGACCATAACATATCCTATTTGGAACATATATAGTAAAAGTGAAAACAGTAAGGAATTATCGAAATGGTAAGAAAGAAGAAGACGCATAACGAAGTAAAAAAGTTGCCTCCCCGGGGGAGAAGAAGCCCCAACTGGGGTTTACTGTTGTTGTTGTTGTTATTATTATCTAATGCACATGCAAAACTTGGCTTAACTTGATACCACTGTGAAGTTAAGTAAGACGAAAAGTATATAGAACCTGATGGTAATATGATGTACGTACATAATCAACACACACAAAAACCGTGCTTCTATTTTTATTGTGAAACGACCTAAAGAAAAGATAACTCTGACAGAGAAACAAAACAGTGCCTGTTTGTATGTATGTAATTGTTTCTTAATGAAATGATTTCCAACTATTTTTCTTCTTCCTCTTCTTCTTCTTCTTCTTCTTCCGTGATATTTATTTTTGTGAAATTTCAAGTTTTTACCCGATTCGGTTTAAATGTAAACAAATCAACTAGCAGTTTTAGGTAAAAAAAAAACAAAGCGACCAAAATTGAAATTTTTTTTCAACTCAGTACACTTCCATCTCGAACAACAAGGCAGAGCAGATAATATATATGAATAGACTAAGTTACAGTGATATTATCTAATTATAATCCCTAATTCAGGAATTAATCTATCCCTTTTGTTTTGGGGAGAATTTTATTTATATATATATATTAGAAGTCTTTAAATAGTTTTTGAATTCTTTGACTTTATTTGTTTCAAGAATTAGATATTTATAAAAACGTACACTTTTTCGTTTTTTACTTTCTGTGTTAAAGAAGTCAAGACGTTAACACATCATTTCCATCAGGAATCTTTTAACACTAATTAAATATTAGAATAGGTGCGCAAAAAAAAAAGAATAAGCAGTAATTCTTTTGATAAAACTATCCAATTAATACTAATCGGATTTTATCTATTCTGTTCATTCTAATTCCATTCCGGTACATTTCAAAGATTTAACGATATAATACCTTGTCGTTGTCATCGGTCATTTCTGTTTTCCATTTTTTGAATTTTTTTTCTTTTCTTCCTTTTTCCCCTTTGTTCAGTTTTTTTTTTCATAGATTAAAAGTGACACAAAATATTAAAAAGTTAATACAATTAAGATATAAAGATAAATATATAAAAGGTACAAGTTATTTCTAAAAATTGTTCTTTTTATTGTCTTTCTAGTCATTAAGAAATAAAAGTAATATCAATAAGTAAACATTCCACGCATCATGTCTTTAGCTCCTTTGCAAACTGTTAATGAAAAACAGTTGAATTCAAGAGCAATTCATACACCTATTAAGAAAAATAATTTAATATCAGAAAATAAAGAAAATTTTCATAATAGTAACAATAAAAGAATTGATAATGGTTTCAATCAAAAACAACCTCCTCAAAAGAAGAAAAAAGAAAAATTGTCATCGTTATGTAAGACACCACCATCTTTAATCAAGACAAGAGGTAAAAATTATCATAGAGGTCATTCCTTAGGTGAAGGTGGGTTTGCACGTTGTTTCCAAATGAAAGATGATTCTGGTAAAATATATGCTGCAAAGACCGTAGCCAAAATTTCAATTAAATCAGAAAAGACAAGAAAGAAATTGTTATCTGAAATACAAATCCATAAAAGTATGAAGCACACAAATATTGTTCAATTTATTGATTGTTTTGAAGACGACGTTAATGTTTATATTTTACTTGAAATATGTCCTAATGGTTCCTTAATGGATCTTTTGAAAAAAAGAAAATTATTAACAGAACCTGAAGTTAGATTCTTCACCACCCAAATATGTGGTGCAATTAAATATATGCATTCAAGAAGAGTTATTCATAGAGATCTTAAATTAGGTAATATTTTCTTTGATAAAGATTTTAATGTTAAAGTTGGTGATTTTGGATTAGCTGCCACTTTAGGTAACGATAGAGAACGTAAGTATACAATTTGTGGTACACCAAACTATATTGCTCCTGAAGTATTAATGGGTAAACATTCTGGTCATTCTTATGAAGTAGACATTTGGTCTGTTGGTGTTATGATTTATGCTTTATTAATTGGTAAACCACCTTTCCAATCAAAGGATGTTAATACAATTTATGAAAGAATTAAATGTCGTGATTTTAGTTTCCCTGCTGAAAAGCCTATATCTTCAGAGGCAAAACTATTAATACAAGATATTCTATCAGTAGATCCTTTAGAGAGACCTTCCATTAAAGAAATCATGGATTATTTATGGTTTAGAGGCTGTTTCCCTCCTTTTACAAGAGATGATGTTATGACAACAATACCATGTTATGAAGATGAAATTAGTGAAAATGCATCCATTATTAATTTTAGATATTGTATGGATACTGTTGGTTTACTAGATTATACATCCTATAACCAAAAGAAACAATCGATACCATTAATTAATAACGGTAACAATACTAATAATAACAATGCCATTGAAGAAGAAATGAACAAATACCATTCAATAACAACTGTTCTTCCCCAATCATTATCACCAGGTGGTACTAGAAATAAATATAAGGAAGTTATAGACATTGAATCTCAAAGAAAGTTTAATGAATTAGCAAGACAATCGAGACTTCGTAGAGCACAACAAGAATCAATTAAGAAAAATTTAGTACCGACCTCGACAAATACCATCAAATCTGAAATATCATTAAGAATTCTAGCAAGTGAATGTCATTTAACATTAAATGGTATATTAGAAGCTGAAGCTCAAAAGAAAATGGGTGGTTTGGCGCAATCAAGGTTACCAAAAGTAAAACACCCTATGATTGTTACCAAGTGGGTTGATTACTCTAATAAACATGGGTTTTCATATCAATTATCCACTGAAGATATCGGTGTTTTATTTAATAATGGTTGTACAGTCTTAAGATTAGCAGATGCTGAAGAATTTTGGTATATTAGTTACGATAATAAAGAAGGTTGGATTGCAAGTCATTATTTACTAAACGAAAGGCCTAAAGAGTTGAATAGATATCTTGAAGTCGTTGACTTCTTTGCAACTTATATGAGAGCTAATTTGAGTCGTGTCTCCACTTTCGGTCGTGAAGAATATCATAAGGATGATGTATTCTTAAGAAGATATACAAGATTTAAACCATTTGTTATGTTTGAATTGAGTGATGGTACTTTTCAATTCAATTTCAAAGATCATCATAAATTGGCCATCTCAGAAGGTGGTAAACTGGTGACATATATTTCACCATCACATGAAAGTTTTACATACCCATTAGTTGAAATCTTAAAGACTGGTCACATTCCAAACTATCCAGAATGTAAATTTATGGAGAAATTAACAATGATTAAAGAAGGTTTGAAACAAAAATCAGCTATCGTTAGAGTTGAACAAACCGAAGTGTAATCTTCAATCCTTATCTGCATTAATTTAATAATATAAATCAATAATTTCAAATTCTATCCCTAACTGAAGTTGACTTTGTTATTATTGAGCTTCTTCCATCTCCTTTCATCTTTTCTTTTTCACATATTGCATTAAAAATTTTCTGAAATAATACCATATTAATATTCACATCCTAAAATAACTAAATCCATTCCTCTATACATATATACATATAGTTCTGTATCTATTTTTATATTGTTGAGTTGTGTCTTAGGAAACACAAGAAAATCTAACAAAATAATTTCATTTTTTATAATTTGTTCTATTTTATTAACTTCGGAACAGATTTGAATTCAAAAAATGGCCTACTTCAGTAAACAAAAAAACAAAAGTGATAAAATTAGATTGTATGTGTCATAATTATAAAATTATGGAATTTTCTATGTGTTATTTTAGTTTTTAATAATAATTGTAGGTCATGCTGTTGAAATGTAGCGGCAGCACTAAAAAGGCTAACATTAGCTTTACCTATCTGAAGGAGAAGGTATTTAATATAAGTAGAATTTAGAGTGTGCTGCACTGCCGTATATATAACAATACCTGATGTATACTGCATAATGTAATGTTTATTTCCCCTACATTGGGTTTATTGGAGCTACATTGTCCAACGTTACTATGCACAAAAGATGAGCAGTTTAACAACAGCAACTCTGTTTAACAGTTTATACATTTCCATGACTATGTCCGATAATTCGAACTCGAATACTAATCGCACTTTCTTGATTTCAAACTTACATTTACAAAACTTATCATTATTTGAAATATAAGTAATAAATTATAAATTTGTTCGTACAAAGTGATATTATAATACTAACTATAAACTAAATAATAAATTTTTCGAATTTCGAATAATTGAGCTTTTATGGCCAAGTTGGTAAGGCGCCACACTAGTAATGTGGAGATCCTCGGTTCAACTCCGAGTGAAAGCAATTTTTTTGGTTATTTTTACTCTGAATATCTACCATCTTATGTCACAGTTGATACCATTACACATATGTCGAAGAATGTTTAACTTTTATTTAATTGGAAAACTCTTCCTTTTTATCCATGTTCTTTAAAAAAAGGTACAAAGTTTTTTTATTTAAAATTATATAATTATTTTAAATATTGAAGTTTCTTTTCCCTCATCTGTCAAACAATAGTTTTTTTTATTTCAAATGGTATATTAAATTATTCATTTAAGTAGTTATTCATTAAGAAATATTTATATTATATATGAATCTATAAGTTCCGTTCTCCAACGTGTCTGCAATAAAACGATGTATCATTTTTTCCATAATAATTTGTGGGGTAAAAATATGTTTCATCGTAAAAAAAATTCCCTTCAAGCTTGAATCATAACTGGAATCATATAGGTGTGAACATAGGTGTAACTTTTAATTAAGCCTGTGAAGTGACAAAGAGCTGCCACAACGACTAAGATATGGAAGATTTGATGCGAATGACCCCACATATCATAGCGACCAGGCTTAATTTTCTCTGGAAATCTTCCACCGTAAAGAGACGCACCTAGTATATATAAGACACCTTCTAATATGATCCATTTCAGTTGCACTCTAGTCCATGTCTCATGAGAACCGTAATAAACCAAACCTGCACCTATTGGAAGGAATGCAGATAAACCAAACAAGACAAACATGGCTGCCCTATATGGACGCCATTCCCTTGAACGAAATCTTTCATCTAAGGAGACAACTGCACAGGCAAAACCAAATAATAATGTAATCCCTGAAAAAGTGTAGAACATATATGAGCTATCATAGAAACCATAGTAGAGAATACTAACCATAGAAGTGGAGATTAGTATGACTATTCCTAAATAATCCAACTTATTACCAAATTTGGCTACCGGTGGAGAATGACTCTTTAAACAATGGAATATACTACTCATTGTTAAACAGGTAAATGCACCAAAGAAGAATAAATCAATAAAAAAATAATCTGTCATAGTGGTTGTATTAAATTTTGGGACGTAATACTTATCGATTAAAATCAATAATAAAGCGATCAAACCGGGAATCAAATGACTATAGATGTTGACCGATTCATTGTGAAGATAAAACAAACTGTTTATACATTCTGTAAAACTATTAGTTTCTCTAACATAACCTCCGTGAATAAATTCATTGTCCTTTTGCCAATCCGGGATCTCATGCCAAGTATACAATTTATGTTTGGTTGTATGCGTCACTTTAGCTTTAATTTGACCATTTTCTGATATTTGTCTGTTGTGAACGTTTTTGTTAGCGGTTCTTTTTTGAATGTTTGCAGTCATCTTCTTCAATTTATGTATAATGAATGACTTCTATTCTCAGATCTCTAACAGATTTGTTTTGTCCAAAATAATTAATAGGCACTGTCCACAAAACAAGAAGATACAAGAGTAAATAAGATCAAAATCAATACATCAATACATATACATATATATATAT